CTAAACCCTAAACCCTAAACCCTAAACCCTAAACCCTAAACCCTAAACCCTAAACCCTAAACCCTAAACCCTAAACCCTAAACCCTAAACCCTAAACCCTAAACCCTAAACCCTAAACCCTAAACCCTAAACCCTAAACCCTAAACCCTAAACCCTAAACCCTAAACCCTAAACCCTAAACCCTAAACCCTAAACCCTAAACCCTAAACCCTAAACCCTAAACCCTAAACCCTAAACCCTAAACCCTAAACCCTAAACCCTAAACCCTAAACCCTAAACCCTAAACCCTAAACCCTAAACCCTAAACCCTAAACCCTAAACCCTAAACCCTAAACCCTAAACCCTAAACCCTAAACCCTAAGCCCTAAACCCTAAACCCTAAACCCTAAACCCTAAACCCTAAACCCTAAACCCTAAACCCTGAACCCTAAACCCTGAACCCTGAACCCTGAACCCTGAACCCTAAACCCTAAACCCTAAACCCTAAACCCAACACCGTGAAGATTGAGCTTATGCTGTGAAGATTAAGCCTTTGTCGTGAAGATTGAACCTCGCCGTGAAGATTGAGCTTTTGCTGTGAAGATTGAGCTTATGCCGTGAAGATTGCGCTTATGCCGTGAAGATCAAATCTTTGCCGTGAAGATTGGACCTTGCCGTGAAGATTGAGCTTTTGCCGTGAAGATTGAGCTTATGCTGTGAAGATTAAGCCTTTGTCGTGAAGATTGAACCTCGCCGTGAAGATTGAGCTTTTGCTGTGAAGATTGAGCTTATGTCGTGAAGATTAAGCCTTTGCCGTGAAGATTGAGCTTATGCCTTGAAGATTGAGCTTTTGCTGTGAAGATTGAGCTTATGTCGTGAAGATTAAGCCTTTGCCGTGAAGATTGAGCTTTTGCCGTGAAGATTGAGCTTTTGCCGTGAAGATTGAGCTTATGCCGTGAAGATTAAGCCTTTGCCGTGAAGATTGAGCTTTTGCCGTGAACAGCTTGTGTTGCATGTCCAGCTTTCCTGTGCGCCTCTTGTGTGCGATTTGTGTAGGTGACGGTTGGCTGTTGATGCCCTTAGTGCCCACACCTCCATGAGGCAGACACAGCCTGTTGCAGACGGAGGTTAAGAGGGATACATTGAGGTGCAGCTGTGGTCGTTTCGGCTTTGTAATCCTGCCAGACTACACTTCAAGTTTTGCACTAAGCCATCTGCATTTGTGGTGCCTTACGACTTTCGTGAGAGTGCCTGGAAGATCGTTTGCCTGTTCTGACTACCATGTGATGTTTATTAGTTGCCTTTGCCCCACTATGCGATTCCCTGCATGATATCCTCGACGTCTCCCACAGGGTGTTGAGTCGGTGGCGGGCCAAAGGTGTCAGCGCCAGAGGGATACTGGTCTGAGACAGGGGTTGCTTGTTTGTGCATGCTATGCTATGATATGTATGCATTTGCTTGCTGTGTTGTGTAGCATTGTTTGGTGGTGGGGGTGGTGGTAGTTCCTTAATACGCATGCCTCACTTGGACTTAGACTTTTAGTATGATACCATATGGGCTTCAGACCAGACCTTCAGGCCCCACACCTTCAGGCCCCACAGATGTGGCTGCAGACACTCTGTGTGTATGCCCTATGGCCTTCGGGCTTTGGGTTTGCCGACACTGTAAAAATAATAAATAATAAAATCAGATGATGGTTCATAGTGTCACTTTCTCTATGAAATACATGTACACTCGCGATGCGTGGGTCAATGAGGGCGCAAGCAAATCCAAATGAAGATCTACAATTGTTATCTGCCAAAAAATCACTTTGTGCACCTTCTGCTCAGTCTGATTGCTGGATCTACAGACGCACAATTGAAGATGAAGTCGCTTTGTGGACAGACAGAGGTCGTGATGCAGACATAGAGATCTGTTGTGTGTATAGGTTTATGCTCAACTGATATAAGCGAAATATCATGGGGAACCGATTCCGCAGGTTACAATAGCATTCTGGGCCGAGGGCACAATTTGCATGTTGCCATCATATACACGTAGAGCTTTCTGGCTTGATAGTCGTTATTAAGCAACTGAAATTTCCAACTTAACGTCAATAAACCAATATCGAAGAAATTCCAACTCACATGGGTGTACCCACTTGATATGCAAGCAGCACGGTCATCACCGTTTCTTGTCTTGATCACAATGCGTTGCTTTTTGAATAGGTAGTGCCGCCTTGCATTGCTTCGGTGTGGCAGCTACCCAAAAGTCATTGTGCGGTTGCCGGACCGGGGCATGACAGCACTGCGCTTGCCACCCTTGACGGCCTCCTCCTGGATGGAGTCCCAAGGGCTGAACCCCTTCCGCTTGGTTCCCTTGTCCCTGCCCTCCCTGTCATTCCCTGGCCGCCCCCCTCGGCCGCCCCTGCCGCCGCCTCTCAATCCCCGGCCCCCTCGGCCACCCTTGTCCCGACCGCCAATCCCTCCCGACACGTCCAACCCCATGGCTGATGCGCGCGCTGCTGCAAAGTCAAAGGGGACAACCTGCTCCTCCGTCACAGCAGCCGCAGCGTCCGCTGCCGGGGACCTGTGAAGGTGCTGAGCTGGCTGCCCGCTCTTCTTCTTTGCCTTTGGCTGCAGCTCGCCAGCATCAAGCTGTGCTGGCAGGCTCTTGGAATTTTTCTTCTTCTTCTTCTTGGTGTGCCCCAGTGCAGGGGCGCTGTGTGCAGCAGACTCTTCGCCAAGACCGACTGCTTCAAGAGTGGCACGGACATCAGCTGCACAGCGCAGCCGCTCACGCTCCTGAGGGGTCACACTGGGCTGATCTGCCCGCTCAGGCTGCCACCTTGCTGTGTCGTGCTGCACAGAGGGCCCCGCATGGCGCCCGCCTGCCCGCAGCGCCTGCCCGCTCCCCCGCCTTGCCTTCTTGCTGGGCAGCCTGTACTGCTCAGACATGGGCAGTGGCAGGTAGTCTTCTGGCTGCTCTTCCTCAGCCTTCCCTGCACCACATGACAGGAAATACTGAACACCTAATCTCATGCCAGATGATGAGCCACTACCTCGCAAGCCAGCAAAGTGCAAGGGCACAGCAGCCAACGGAGAAACCAGACATCGCCAGCCTCTATGTCTTTTCTGCAAAGCAGTACAAGCGTAAGGTGGGGAGCACACCATGCGGAGCTAAGCTGCCGCCATGCGCTGCACCAGCGGCGCTGCCGCCAGCTTGCAGGACCTCAAAGCGGTTCTCTGAACGCAGCTGATCCATGACCTCGCGCACCGATGCAGCCTGCGCAGCTCGGGCCTCCTCCGGAGTCCCCGGCGGGGCCGGTGTCTCGGGCGCGGCTGGCGCCTGCGGCATGGGCGTGTCGTCCTGTGCTGCACTCTGCTCCTCAGAGGGTTCATCTGCGCTGATGGGTGACAGCCCGAATGGCAGCGCAAAATGCGCCTTCAGTTCCTCCACAGCCGCCTGTGCAGCACATATGAAATCAGCTTGTGAATACAGCGTCACCCTTCTTTCAATACCATGTGTGAATAAAAGGAAGTATGCCAGCAGTATTTTTCATGTTGGAACTCAGCTTCATGCCGGGTTCCAAATCTCCAAGTCACTGGCTTCCAATTTTCAAGCATAATGTGTCTTGTTGGATAGTCTGCTGCTTACCTTCTTGGCTTGATCAGCAGGTGTCACTGCCGCCGCGAGGCTGGGTGTAGACTTCAGCCCTGGCACTACCGGCGGCCTCCTGCCTCCCAGCAGCGCTCCCAGGCCCGAAGGAGTCTTCCCGCTGCTGGCGCCAAACGCAGCGCCAAGCCCAGAGGATGGCATGTCAACCATTTCCGCTGTCTGCACAGAGCCAAAACTTGCACGGGAGGGAATCCCAAAGCTGGCAGCTGATATTGCAGTGGCGCCCTGCGTGGCTACAACTGCAGTCGAGACAGGTCTCGAATCTGTAGGCTCTGCAGCAGCAACTGCTGTGGCACCGCCCGCGCTGTCACCCTTTGGTGCTGCCACGGCAGCCTGTGAGCCCACTGTCTGTGGCCTGCCGCCAAGCAGCGCCCCAAGCCCGCCAGCTTGGCGCGGTCCGCTTGCCAGCATGGCACCGAGCCCAGAGCCAGCTCTGGCTGACCCTCCTAGTGGCGGCAGCTTCTTTGGCAGAAGGGGCGCAGCAAGGGGCGCTGCCTGCGCTGGAGGTGCCTGTGCTGCCCTTACGCCTGCCAAACTCCCCTCGCCCTTTCTGCTCAAACCCGCGCCTGGAAGTGCTCCCAGACTTCCAGGCAGCAGTGCAGCATCTCCTCTGGAAGTTGCATCATCTGCTGCAATATCTGGCTCCGCAGCCTCGTCTTTTGCAGTGCGCCCTCCGGCAGCCTCCTCGGCCGCAACTGCGGCGAAGGCGTCGTCGACGGCGGATTCGCGTGCGGCCAACGCGGCTGCCGGTGATAGTGGGCGGCGGCGGTCTCCCCGTAATTCGTCAGGGTCAGGAACGCTGTCTACCTGCTGCCGCGCATTGGCGATGACCTCCACGACTTGACTTGCGAAGTCCAGCAGCAGAGGAGCGGTCCGCCTGCCGTTGCTGCGCACAGCCCAGGCACCATCTCACAACCCAGCACGCCAGAGCCCACTCTGCTGCAAATGATCTGTTGCCGGACTTAATCATCCTGCATTGACCGCATTTCATGTGGATCCTGAGCATCCCCAAACAACTCTGCCATGTTTGGTGAGGGGCTCCAGGATTAGACGGACAGTCCATAAGTTGCTAGATTAGAGGGGTACCCACTTGCCCAGAACAGCGCGCAGGTCACGGGCGTTGGAGGGCGCGCGCTTGGCCAGCTTGACCAGCAGCGCCCGCGACAGCACAAAGCCAGTGCTCTCATCCCTCTCTCGCGCCGTCCTGTCACGCCACGCATACAGTCCTGCAGCAGATATCCCCTTTGTCAGTGTTTTACATTTCATGCCAGTCCAACAAGCAGATGGCGAGTATGATCCTGTTGCCTTGAGTTGTAAGGAATGAAGGCAGAGACCGTTTGCAGGCAATGCCCACGATGGATAAATCCATGCCTTTGTAGCCGTTTGAACAATGGATGAACTTGAACGCTGCTGCTCCCATGGCATGGCGTGATCTTTTTGAACCTCTCAGGAAACCATACACTTTTGTACATAGAAGCCAGCTGCAGCTCTGGCAGACAGAGAGAGACAGAGAGCAATCAACCCTACTCACTAACCATCATAATACATATTAATGACTCCACCTAAAAATACAGACCTGCAAAGACGGCGAGCTGCTCGCGCGTGAGGGGCTCCTGGCAGCGGCGGTAGGCGTCCAGGTAGGAGGTCTCGGAGAAGAGCTCCTTCTCGTAGCGCTGCAGGCACAGCAGCCGCGAGCGCTCCAGCACCACGCCCATGCACGTGGCAGGCCCCCTCTCCGGCACCTCCTCCTGCAAATGGTCCGGCACTCTCGGCACCTTCGCCAACTCCACCTGCGCAATTGAATGCAGTCATAAGATCATATTGTCGCACAGCATGCTGAGGTACCTTACGTTGCAGGATTTTCAATAAGATTAAAGCAAAATCCAGCATCTTTTGCGCAGAGGATCTCGAAAACACCACGATGCAATGATCATGGATCGAGGTGACAGACCTTCAGGCAGTCATAGATGTAAAGGAGGTAGTGGGTGTCCAGGCGCGCGTAGTGCAGCGCCTCTGCAGACAGCGGCCGCACGCGCCAGTCGGCTAGCTGCCACCTCTTGTCCGCCTGTGCACACAATTGCCCTGAGTCAACCTAAAACAGCCCTGCTGCTACAATTACAAATCGCATGAAATGACTGACTCAAGAGAATGAAACCGGAATTTATCCAAGCTGTCACAGCCATGGTCCAACCAGGTGGAAAAGTGCCTGCTGATAGCAAGGTGCGCACCTTGACAGAGCAGAAGTGGGACAGCAGGTAGGCCAAGCCCGCGGAAGGGTAAGCCAGCACACGAGCAGCCTGGCCCGTGTCGAAGAGGCTGGCCACATAGATGCCAAAGTCGCGCTGCAGCCAGACGATATCGCTGTCCGAGCCATGCAGCACCTTCACAATCTGCAAAGTACACACGTGGGAACTTCAACCAAGAACTCAGCAAATTCAAGCTATCTTACTTGATAATGCAGGCAAGAGCTGCTGGGAATCCCCAGGAATCCCTTCACAGATATGCAGACGTAAACCAATATCATAGAAATTTACAGTTTGTTGACCAGTAACACGCGTGACATTGCGCCAAGCAGGGATTGAAGAGCGCTTACCTTGGTGTCTGCAAACATTGGGGCCAGGTGAGGGCCGATATGGCTGCGCAGGGCAATGACATCCACGAGGTAGTCGGCTGTGCGAGTAGAAACCTGCATGAGGCAGCAGAAGCCCTGGAACGACCTGCACAGTGTCACACAGCGCATCAGCTGTGTCCAGAGAGACATCTGGCACTCAGAAACGAGCTTTAAAGGCCAGACAGATAGACTGATTGTATGGTAATCAGAAAGAAGAAGTGAAGCAGCACGCGTTCAGAAGAGACACTAGGCACCTAGGCACAAGGTCAAGGGCAAAAGGAGGCAATGATTAAATCTGGTCCATACCTGAAAGAGTGCGCTTCCAGGTCAACAGCCACTTCTCTGACGGCTGAGAGCGCCTGTGCCAGGCTCTTCAAGCCGTCTAGTGTGTCCACGTACGTAAGGGGCGTCTCATCCAAACCCTGTTCAAGCACAGCATCACATGTCACATCGCTGCATGAGACTTTGCTGTGCACCCCACGCATAAAGTACAGTTCTTGCTGCACCCCTGAAAAGCAGTCAAAAATTCCAGCAAATGAAAGAGATCTTTCTTAGAGACAACTTCTGCTCTAACCTAAGAGCATGAAAGATGCTCACAACTCGTAAAGTGATGTGAGAACTCGAACAAAGGAACCATTCCAAATATGGTTGGGCATCACCTGAGGTAGCTGGGGCTCGGGGGCTTCCAGCTGCTTGTCCTCGTACTTGAGGTCATTAAGCGCAGCCTCCAGAGGATGCACTGCCGCCTCCGAGTCGGCCGCCACCAACCCCAGCCGTTGCGCATGTGCGTCCAGCGCATTGGCGGCTTTGCCTCCATGAGCCTCCTGTGCAAAGTGACAAGACTCAATGCCAGAGGTTTCAATTCCTTGCTGGCAGCGTAATGATGAGATACTCTGCAAAGAGTCAGATACAGATCCTATGCAATACATTTAACCTTCCCAAATGTTCTCTCATAAATTTTCGTGTGTTCAATCTCGGCTGCAACGAGTACTGCTCTGCAGCCTCCATCCTTTATGTGGGCATCAATAGAAGCGCAGCCAGTAAGTGGCCATCATGGGCACCATCCAAATGGGGCTGCGGCCAACCTCTCTGCGGACCCAATGGCCGAGCTTGGGCCGGAAGGGTGTGTTGCTGTTGTCGACGGGCGGATTGAAGGCGTCTTGCGGCCGCGGACCAAAGCCCACATCGGTGTGTGCGGCGGCGAAGGCATGCCTGGACCGCTTGTCTGCAGCGGCCTCCTTCCCTGTGCACAAGACACGCAAAAGTAAATTTCAATTTTCTGAAGTATGCCTTATATGTTCGAATGATTGGACTTCCTTAATACATAGTAGTGGGAACTGCCCACGTGGATCACTATCACGCGTTGTACTCACCTTATGAACTACAAAAGAGAATACAGACACATGGCAGACTTATCTTCCAACCCCAGTGCATATTGAAGTTGCAGACAGCCGTGCACCTGCAACTTGAGAGGCACTGGGGGTGGCAGGACCAGAGGCCGCTGGAGCGCTGGCATCCGCTGACTTGCCGGACGGCGCCTTGAGCTGCGCGCGTGCACGATCCAGTGAGGCATCCACTTTTTCCAGCAGATCATCCAACAACCCTTCCACCATCTCGCTGAATGCACCATCACCCTCCTCGCTGTCTTCCAGGTCCTCTGCATCCACCTGCTGGCTGCCAAAGCGGCCCTGCGTTGCACATACAATTGTTCCAACTGCTGATTTGGTCTGGTCCAAAGCGCCTGCACTTGCTGGTGCGGAGCAACAAATCCGTGTGTAAAGCCTGCAGCAAATTTGGCGACCTCAAAATTCTCTCACCTAGGTGTGGTACTTCGTTGATGTTGTTTTGCAGCATAATGGAACAAGACATCCAGAAACAGCAATGAAGCTCCACTCACCTGCAACTGGACGAGGAGCCTCCTTATCTCTCCTTTCAGATCCCGCGCAGGCTCCCGAAATGCAGCGAAAGTGTTGTTGTACTGTAGAAAACACAACACCGTGTGTTAGGTAAGCAAACTGGCCACAGATCGTGCTAGCTGTAGCGACACTATACATCCAGGGGCTCCCAAGGAACCGTTCCGGATGCAGAAAATAACCACATCATATGAGGTGTAACATATTTCGTACGTGGAAATCAGGCCCAGATGGCAGATCCGCCATCAGAAGATTGGCCAGTGCCGCTTCCAAAGCCGCTGCTTGGGACATCTGGCTTTTCTCTTCTGTAAGGACCTCAAGGTGCATGTTTAGAGCTATAACGCACTCTTGAAGTATGAAGTGAAGCAAAATTACCCTTTACCAACTTTGGAAGCTTTCACCGAGCGCCCAGCAAGGGAGCAACAAAGCAAGTGATGTCAACAGGTGATCTAGAAGTGGCCGCTAACTTTCACACTTTCTGGAAATGGCAGTAGGGCAACCGAGGTCTTCATCGAAGCGCTTTGTCCAATCTCAGGTAGAGGACCTAATTATCTGACTTCCTGCCACAGCAGCAACAAGACTGCTCTGCAGCCATGCTCAGAGCGCCAAAATAGGAAGCATGCCATTCAACCTTGGAGATCAATCTGCTTGCAAAGGAAACATTTTAAGACTTGGCGCTATTTGCAAAGGACACTTGTGCTACTTCCCATCAACAATAGTCCGTTTGGAAGGACTGAGCGTCTATGATACGGGGTCTAATGTTGCTGGCACCAGCAGCTGTACAACAGGTAGTTACTCGCAAGTGTTACAGTATTATCATTTCTGCAAGCTTTTCCGGCCAGTGGCAAGTTTCTCACAGATATATTCCTGCATGTATGCAATGCAGGGGCGCCGGACGGCTCTATATTTAGGTATTATAGCAGAGCTCATGGGTGACCACTGGCACCATGCCGCCATCATACCGGCATCATGATGATACTGTCATGCAATGGCAATGGGTGCATCTGCAATGCCGTTGCCAGTCTTTACAACTGCAGGCCACTCCTTTCTCGCACGATTGACGTACTGTACTCTAGCTAAAGCGTCTGCGAATGGGACTTCATTTTTCGCAGACTCGTTCTGAGGATTTTATATGCATCTTCAAAGCCATGCCCTGCAGCACTTCGTCGACACCTTCATTGCAATGTACAAGGGTTGCACTGGTTCTAAGATATTAATGACCGTATTTATTCAGCTGAGCAGTGCCTCAGACGCCCTGCAATGTAAAGCATTGCAATATACACACCCTAGACATTGCAGACATCCCAGGTCGCCACATCTCTCTCGCTCTATATCATGTACAACTCACCTACCATCTAGCTATCCAGCCTTCTATGACACAGCTCTCCCGGAGCAGCTACCTACAGGATCTCACCATCTAGAAAACTTGGAACACAGCATAACTAGTCTTCAAGAAAGCATAAGCCATTCATTTACCCTTTCGCTAATGTCCACACGTCTCATCTGCCCGGTGCTCCCTATTGGTTTTATGCACACCCTGGTGGTGACTGCTGCCCTTTGCCTTTTTGGGCCTGCCAGAAACCCGCAAATAAAACAAGCTGCTGCAAAAACAGTTTTGGTAGAAGTACATTCTGAGAATTCTGGATATGTTGGGCTTCAGTGTTGTCATGGCTGCAGCTGGCTTCCCATTACTACAACAAATGGAAGACAGCAGATCATGATACCCTGCACCAACACTTATCTCCGGTTTCTTTTGCGGCGTTGAGCCCGGTGATTGCGAGGAATTGGCAGCCAGTTGGGCACATTCGGGGCTGCAGCCGGGGGATTTGGCGGATGTGCTGCAGCAGCCGCCCGTGGGGCAGCAGCGGCAACCTGCGTTAGACACCCAGATCGGTGAGGAAATCGCATGGCTTCTTCCAATATTATCCGCTGTTGCTGCTTGTGCAGGGGTCAGGTACAGCTGTACACCTCAACAGCAGGAGCCATCAAACGAGGAGGCACAGGAAATTACCACAGGGGCCACAGCAGCTGCAGCTGCAGCGGGCTGGGGAGCAGGGGCAGCGCCTGGTGCACCCTGCGCAGCAATGAGGCTTGGAGGGTGAGAAGGAATGGTCAAGTAATGGCATTCTTAAACTCGAAGGTAATGCGTAATTGACTGACGCATAGGAACGGTCAGAGAGGAGTGCCAAACCATCATTGACCAGCACTCCTGCACCCAGATCCGTTCAGGGATGCAAAGCATGAAAAGGAATTGCCCAGGAAAGCAAAGACTGTGATGAAAATTATGTGTCGTGCTCTTCGTACACGCCGTTGTTTGCGCACTGAATGGCATTGCTAATGGGTTGGAAATAGACACCTGCACACCGGCCCAGGCCCCAGCAGGAACGCCCGCGCCTATCAGGGCCGTGCCACCGCCCACGTTGGGGCAGCCCTTGGAGGTGAAGTGGGAGTATGGGTTGGTGGCCGGCAGCTTGTCACCGCACAGCCAGCACACCTGCGTCTTGCACCCTGTGCACCTGCGCGCATGAGCCGGCCACATCATACTAATATTTCCTTACATGAAGGCTTGGTGATCCGACTTTTATGCTGCTACCGTGGAGAAGGTCCAGGTCTAAGCAGGCACTTACACGGTCCTACAGCGCTGACTCCACTGAGAGCACGTATTCAATACGGTTACTGTGGTTGTCAGGAAATAGAACAAAAGGGACTAAACTGGAATCTGTTGCGCAGGTTCCAGTTTACCTGGAACCTGTGCGGGTTTCCAGACCCCAGGAGATACACAAATGTGGTGGAGGGATGAAAGAAGCGCACGTGACACGATTGCATCCCGTTATCTTCTCGATGCCGTGGCCGCATGTCGGGCAGCGCACCATCTTGTTGGCTTTCTGGTACTCAGCCAGCCCCTTGTCAGCCTCCGCCTCGCCCGCCTGCCAATGCATGATGACACATTTTTCCTTACTCTTCTTGCAAAATACAAATTCTCTTTGGCATAAGGGCTTTAAGGCACATTCAGTCATGGGCATGGCTAGCGAAGAGGAGTGTTGCAGAGAGGACCGTGTCATTTATGTGTCGTTAGCACTCACCTGGTGCCCAATGTGCTACACAGCAGATCAGTAGTGTCCAGCATACTTGCAATTCCATGAAGGGGGCACATGTGGTGTACCTGGCGCTGGTAATCATTGCAGTTTAGGCCGTCATGCCAGTCCACCTTGCATGATTTGCACCATCCATGCTGGCACACGTTGCAGATCACATGCTGCGAAGCGTCCTCTGCACGTTGGCATAAGCATCAAATACCACTCTTTTACTTCAGTCATTGCCTAGCCACCGCACAGATCTCTGCCCGCTTCTGCAATGAATCTTGCGCACACACCCGGTCACACAAGTCCTGATATTGCCAGAGATGGGGTCATATCAAGATCATTCCAAGTGCAGGGGGCCCGAAATTTATGGGAACCATTTTGGGTGTCCAATGCCGCTACAACAGCGAGTAGAAGTGGGGCCCAAGCACCTTCGCCGCCAACTGCCACGCCCTCACAGTCTGCCCTGGGACAGGGCAGCAGGTCGGGGCATGCATTGGTGGCGGCCTTGAGGCTTCGTGCCAGGTACTGCTCCTCCTCCTCCACGCTCAGCAGCAGCGGAATGTCCGCATCCAAGCTGCAGCCCCCACCAGCACCGTCAAAAGCTTTGCTCTGCACTTTCAATGGACCACTACAATGTGACTTGCCCTGTTCTTTCATCTGCTTTCTTGTGTGCAGCAGGACCATAAATGGCAGATTGATTGTCTCCCAATTTCTTGAGAACAACAGACAAGGACACTTGCTTGACGCATTGAATAGGACCAGCATACACCACACAGCAGTCAGCATGCTGGGTCTCAGGGGTGTATGGGGAATTTAAAGTGGCCAACCTGCAGCACCAAGCGGATGGACCGTTGGCGCCGCTGTTGTCTTCTTCTCCTGCCGCCGCGGCCCGTTCCATGTCGGCGCGTCTCCGCTCGCACTTGGCGCAGGGCGGGTCCGGCTTGGCCTGGCAGATGGGGCACAGGACGGGGAACGTGCAGCTCCTGCAGCAACCATCCCCACAGCTAGTGCACCTTTGTTTTTCCCGAGAGCTGCTCTACATACCATCCATGATAGATGATATCAGCTGGACTGCTCAAACGTTTAATGCCGGCTTGACAAGATTGGAAGAGTGCTAGTCAGAAAATCACGGAAATTCAGAATTATGCGCTAAATCAAGCGGATAGTGCGGAGAGAATGGAAAGGGCAGGAAGAAGCTCACTTCATGGCTCCCAGAACGACTTCTCGAGCGGCGTCTCTGCACAGCCTGTGCTTGCACATGCTGGCGATGAAGCAGTCCTCCATGGGGTGATCGTCGTAGCAGACTGCGCAGCTGAACGTGGCCTCCCGCGGCTGCACCACAGGTCCCACGCCCAACATGTCTTCTGGATCTGGCTGTGACCCTGACACATCGATGGGCTGGCTGGACCCCTGAAAATGGAGCCACACAGCAAAGACCATCAGCGCCGACTCTGTCATGTCCAAGTGTATCACCGGGCAAGGGGCACATACACCCTATGCAACTACAATCTGCCCTGCCCTTACTTGTTGCCCTGCCCTTACTTGTTGAGGGCAGCATCATCCGCCCGGCCCCTACAACGTGTACCACAAATGCATTCTGCAGTGACGGCTTAGGCTCTCAAGCGACAGCACACATCAGCACAAACGTGATCGAAGGGTTTTGCTGAGGGCGCCGCACCTGGTGTTTCTCTGCAGCCGTATGGGACGGGCCGGGCCTCTCATCAAAGGCTGCTCCGTGGCGCGCATGCTCGTTTTCAAGGGCCAGGAACTCTGCCCGGGCTGCATGGTCCCTCTTCTGGCTCGGTGCTCCAAGGGGGGCAGCCTGCCGATGAGCTGCCCTGGTATGCCGCGGTGGGGACCCCTCACCGTCGCCTGTTAGGTCCACGTAAGCACCTCTACTGCGCTTGCTGAGCCTGCAACAAATGCCCCACCCTCTGTAAGTCACGCGCCAAAAAGCGCTGCCCTCATGCGTGTCACTGAAGACACAGACTAAGGAAATGGGGAACAGCATTAGTTATGTAGCATTCTGTTTACAGTAAAAGGCAGAATTCACAGGGAGGTGTTCACATCTGCATTTGCATGGGCGCCTTGCCACGGATGTCAGCAAGGCGGACCACGTCAAGATCAATTATGTCGGCCTCATCGGAGCTGCCTGCCTCGTCGTCCAGAACGATCGTTGCTGCCTGACTGGGACCGGCAGCGCGCGAGTTCCTTGCTCGTGTGCCCCTGCAAAAAGACCACCAGCACTCTCTGCTCAATGTAATCATCCTGGAATGCGTCGCAGACATGCCTTGATGCATGAGATCTGGCGTAGGGATTGAACTACTAGGAATTTATGCCTCGTCCTGGTGACTGCAGTCACACATCTGGCATTCAAGCTGAACCCCTGGCCTACTTTGACTCACCCTTCCACCTGAGGGCCTTGACCTCTGCCGCGCTTCCTGGGGGTCAGATGATCGTAGTCAACCTCATCGCGTAGTAGATCGATCACCACAGCCGCAGGAACTCGAACATTGGCCATGTTCAGCTGCAAATGGTATGGTGCCTTAGCTGGCAATGCCTTGACAACCTCGATGCCAGCGGCGGCTTCAGGGCCTCCACGAAAACAGGAGAAAATCCTGCCAAGCCGAGGCATACAGGGTGAAGAGGAACCCAAAGCTAATATGAACAGTCGTGCAGCTCAATGGCACTCCATGGGCAAAGTTCTGCGGTGTCCTTGCGGTCATTTACCACGCAGGATCCGCCAAACATGGAGCTCCAATCAAAATGACACCTTTACGTTAATTGGAGCATCGCCGAAACTTGGAGGAGTGGGCCGTCCTCGAGAATGCATCAAGGACAAAGCATGCAGGGCACGAAGATGTTGTAGCCTGCCGCTGTGACGTCACAGATTGAGACGATCGAATCCAAAACGACAGCATCCAGCTGTGGTGGCCAAATCTCATTAAACACAGTGTCAACAGGAGATATGTGAGAGATACCTGCCTTGTAGCAATCCGTGACCCTGCGCAGGCCTTCCAGCTGGTGCCAATCCTCTGCGAAACTTCGAGGTTGGTTCCTTTGGCGTCTTAAAGCACCACAGTGTAGGCTATGCGATTGTTTCATACACGCCAGATGCACTCACACGATGCAATAATAACACCCTCAGACGCAAGAGAGCCTTCAATATGGTCAGATTGCAACTGTGGTAGGCGCCAACATCAACAGGGTTTTCCCTGCATAAGTTGAACACGGCGATCAACTGAGCAAACTCCAGCTGGCACATCATCCTGAATCTTTTGCACAACTCAGGAGAGCTTCTCTGGGCAATGGATCAGCGAACAGGTATCACGCAGATGATCTGCAACGTTGCTGGTTCAGAACCTGTAACAGGTTTGAGCGTTTCTGATTGCACCATCAGACCCATGCAGCTGTTGCTATCACCACCGTTCACACGGCATTTTCTCTATTTTCCACCACGTCGGTTTGCACGCAGGGACCATTGTCAATGAAAACTTGGCATTGCTGATGGAATTTTATGATGGCGTCCCAGCTGACAGGGAGAGGAACCTCAAGGAGTGTGCTGCAGAAACATTCTATGAGCATTCGCCCTGGTGGTATGAGGACGATCACATTGATAGATTCCTCCACCATGGCGTTATGCGGAAAATTGCGGCTCATGCGTTCCTTGGGCATTCCAATCGGCAAGTCTCCGAGTCCCACCGGCCGACAGACTACCGCGGTTCTGTGCCCCGCACTGACAAGCTTTCCCAATACCTTCAAAGGGTGCAGCGCCTGGCAGAATGCAGTGCAGCCAAGTGCTTGCAGCTGCTGAACTGCTCGCCCGACCAGGTTTCCCCAAGAAGAATATTGCTGGGAGGAGTTAGACTCCCACTGCCCCAGTATCCAACTGCGCATCCCTGCTCCGGTGAGCCCGTCCACAGCTTCCTATGCTCCTCGCATACATTAGTTGATGTGCTTCTATAAGAAATATGCCAATGCCATGCCATGCCAATTGGTTTGTGTCTTTGTCTGACTACATAGCCTGAAAAGCGAGTCTTTCTGCTTTCCAGCAGCCTGTCACACACAACAGGGGAGACTGGACAGCCTTGCAGAGAGTGGAGCATCAGTGACCTGCGAAGGCCATCCGAAGTTTCCTGCAGCCTGAGCATAGACACTCCTGTGCAGCACGCAGGTGACATGCAACGCTGTCAGGCCAGTGCCGGGGGAACTGCAGAGAATTTGCATGCTACACCCAGCCCACAAGGTGCAGCAGTGGCAGGCAGCGGCAGGCAGTGCCCGGATTGCCGCATTGCTCCCCAACTGGTGGCAGCATGAAGAAACCGGCAAAGGGGCATTCTCCTGCTTCCAGTGGAGATCCCTGGCTCTCAAAAGTTGCCAGCCGGCTTTTTCTCAGGATTCAGCACTGATGAGCGGGATATCCCTTTTGAAGAAGCTCCTGTGTCTTCCCAGAGATGGTTGAAGTGAAAACCTTCATTTCAATTATTTTACGGGTGTCGATTGACACCCGTGGCATTTCAGAGAAAGCGCAATATGTTTGTACTGTACTTGCAGCTGTTGTTTTGTGTCACTGTTTGCACCACCGCATCTGAGCTCCCTGCTATATCCCAAAAAGAAAAATGCAGCTGCTGGGTTCTAGGTTGGTCAGCAAAAGGCTGTGAGAGGTTTGACCTATATATCCATATAGCTCACAAAGTACGGCTGATGTGCCGCTTAGACACAGTGTTGGCAGGAAGTATCTTCCGGTCAGCGACAAGCAAGAAGAGATATGGAGCTTTCCTTGAGGGTGGAATATCAGCATATTATATGGATATTATGTGCTATTATTTAATCTGAGAGACTGAACATTTCCATCAGAAACCTTTATATGGTCCGCGTTTCTGCGTACGCTCTCTCTGTCTTTTTAGGGGGTTGAGTGGACATTTCCAAATGGTCATCAGTAAGATCAGAGATTGTACACTTCCCATATTGAGCTCATCTAGCTACGTTTTTGATTGTTGCTCACAGCAACACACATGGTGTAATACCGCATCAGCTGGCTCTCCCGTACACACACTGCATGCATCTCTCAAGAAACTTTCTACTGCAGGGTTAGAATCATGCAAGGCTGAATGCTTTTTATCCACAATGAAGAAGTTCTGCTGAAAAGTTTCCTTACAGTGCACAGCAACAGACTCTGCAGCCATGTCCAATTGCCTTGTCCAAATTGCCTTGTTGACTGGAGGATTTCCCTAGGAAAATAGCACAGCACTTCTGGACTACATTCTGAGTGGCACAGATATTCTGCAATATTATACATACACCGGTAGCGAATAAGACGTCATTCCAAAGGGATGCCATGCAGCGACTCTGGGTGCCTCTGTGCATGCGCGCGTGCCTCGGCAGCCTGCTCCTGCAGGTGCCAAGGCATCTCCTTGTACACATCAGTAAACATGTCCTCCAATGGCGGCTTGGCCCCCTTCTGAGCCTCAGTCAGGGCGTCCACCACCTGAAGATGCAAGGAAGATAATTTTTCTCTGGCCAGCAGCATGGGCAATCCACGTGTGCAGTCGTGCGAATTAGGTGTAGATACCCCATTCTTAATGCTTTGCTTCTCTGGGCTGGGAGCTATGCAGCTTGCTGTCGACATGAACCTGCTTCTGCTCTGAGAAGTGATCCCTTTCTTTTAACATATTCTATTCTATTTAGTTTAGGGTTTGGTAAGAGTAGAGGGTATCAAAAGGGCATGGTGACCCACAGCACGTGCAATTGCCATGCCTACACAGGATGGAGAAGTCTGATACACATGGTGCTGGACGTACCATACCTAGATCCCTAGTCCAGAAAACGTGTAATAGCAACAATAATAAAAGGGCGCGCACCTGCTTGCGGGTGGCCACGCGCAGCTGGCGTTCCCTTTTGTCGTCCCACCAGCCGCGGCTGACGATGAAGTTGTGGAATCTGGTCGCCGGGTCGCGCGCACGCCACGCGCTCATCTCCTCAGCCGTGCGATAGCGCGACGAGTCGTCCGATGTGGAGTGGTGCCCGCTGCGGTATGACATCGCCTGCACAAAAAGTGCCAACGCACGTCACGATCCCAGCGGTCCTGAGTGATGGGTGAATTTGTGTGCCTGGAACCCCCAAGACCTGGCTATGGCGCCTTTGCCAGCTGACAGAGATCATTGTAATTGCTCTGTAACCTTCGCCAATTCTGTGCGGGGATGTCATACATGACAGGTGCCCAGCTCAGCCCGCGCATTTACATGCAGACCTTCACCGATGTGACAGGCACGATGCAGAACCTCTGTTGCTTGCAGGCATGCGCGTAGTAATTTGACTGCACTAGTGTGCGTACCTCGATGAGCACGGGGCAGGTCTTCTCGAGTGCGATGCGCCGGGCCTCTGCAGTGGCGCTGAAAACTGCGCGCGCATCTCCCCCGTCCACACGCACGCTTGGAATGCCGTAGGAGGGGCCCCTGCCCACTATTCCATCACCTGCGCATGCTTGCAGACCCGCATACTTACCAAGGATCTGCACATTAATACACAGCGCAGTTCTATGACACTCTTCTCGATGCAAGGCGTCAAGTATGATAGTTGACAGATGCAGTGGAGTAGGAGGCTGCAACAGACCGGGATGCACCATGAACCCTCTTAGCCTCTGGTCATCTTGAAAATGCATCAAGAGTTCCGGGAGCAATCTCTCTGCGCGCACTCATCTGCACACCTTTGTATTGTTCGTTTGCTGGTGTGGAAATGGCCCAGCCGTTGTTGCGGCAGATGAAGAGGACCGGGGCTGACAGCGTGGCCGCAAAGTTGAGGGCAGCGTGGAAGTCACCTTCGCTCGCTGCCCCCTCCCCAAAGTACACCGCTGTCACGGCGCTCTGCCCTTGCAGCTGCAAGCGCAGATACAGACCTCAGACCAGACACAATAAAAATTTGAGAACTACAAAGCATGCTTGACATTCGAGTTTTAAGCGGCGCCAATGACGCAGGATACACGCAGGAGATTAGAGCATATTCTAATGAGTCCTTTCGGCCCCCCTGAAAAGCAGGGAATTGCTGCATATTTGTGATGGAACAGAGCTGGAAGTGCAAGCTCACCTTCAGCGCATAAGCAGCTCCTACAGCGTGTGGCAACTGGGTTGCGAGTGGCGCGGACACAGTCTGGAAGTTGTGGGCCTTGCTGCCGTAGTGGATGGGCATCTGGCGGCCCTTGCCGTGCCCAAGCACATTCCCAAAGCACTGCATCGCCACGATAAGTTTAGCGATGACAGAAATATTGGCAATTGAGAATATGGTGTTCCTGTCGTCCCATGAGTGAGGCACAGATTACACGATTGGCATGCGTGCGCCCTCATCAACCCTCTGCTCTGCTGGGTGCAGCAAGCTGTGAAGAGAAGATAGAGAATTGAGCTGCTTCTCAAGCGATGGGTTATGTCAGGCCTGCTACAAAAGAAGCGCCAGGGTTTTTGCAGAATGGCAGGCACCCTCCAGCAGGAGGCAGCTGAGGCGCAAAACATGATGAGCAAGAAAGGAGGACTAATTACCTGATTGGCCATGTCAAGGAAGGAGAAGCCTCTATACAGAAGAGCCCCATGCTCCCTGTACTGAGAGAAGATGTGATCCTTGGGGGACAGGGCGGCCGCGCTGCCAATGATGGTGGCTTCCTCGCCGTTGCTGGTCATGAAGAAGGAGAAGCGCCCCTGCAGAACACATGCGCAGCAGTATCAGCGTCGTTAAGGAGTATTGACACCTCACGGGTGCACTGAACCCTGATTGTGCATCAATTTACATGTCTTTGGATAGATCCACTGGAATGCTTGGCAACAGCTTCCGTGCAGGCTTGCAGTGAAGATGCATAGAGAGAAGTCAAGTAAATGTTTGCTCGCACCTGCCTCTGCGCTTCATAGAATATGACATCCATGGTCTGCAACTTGACCATCGTCTCATACATCTTGAGGGCCAGCTCCTCATCGATATCATGGGGCACTTCTGCATCCTCGATGCAGGCTCCTGGGCACACCAACAATCTAATGGGCATTTACTCGCACCTTGCTGCACTCCTTGTGTCTCATCGCACATATATCAGATTAGACCGCATGTGTCGAGTATAGAGATCCAAGCATGGTCTCACACGCACCTGTGCTGTCCAAGGTTCTGTAGCAGCTTGTTGGCTGTGACGGGGACACTGCTCCCCCGACAAAGCTGAGGCGATCTGTGAACGGTACGCGGCCACCAGGAAAGTCCATGCTGTTCTTTTCGTTCTTTGCAGTACTGGCACTGCCCTGCTCTGGGGCTTCTTCGCTTGCACGAGAGCTGGCAGGTACCATCCTGAAATGCCTCTTGGTAATACAAGACATGTGCATATGACATGAAATGCCTTCTAAAGGATGTGTTGAGGATGCGAGACTTGTGCTGGTCTGCCCGTTGCTCAAGATTCGCTCGCACAGCGAAGGACCATCTTGCAAGACCCTCTGTCTTGCAAGAGCACCCAGCAAGCCCTTTCGCATCATTCTAAAATTCTAGTAATCCGATTTATTTTATAGAAAGCTGTTTTCTGGGTCAATTCAGTCTGCTTTAAGCAAAAGGATGGGAACCCAGTAGTCAAGATGGGCGCCAAACAGACAAGCACAACGAGCCCCTCTCACAAGTGCCAGGATCGTATCAGATTTACTGCCTGTGCCCGATATGAAGATTATGATTCCATTGATCTCTCAATTCGATTTGGACGTGAAGAAGAGAGGCCGAGTCAGATTCCACTCAACGTCAGCACTTGCGTCACGCTTCTCATAAACTTTGACATGCAGAAGGAGTTTTAACAATGCTCAAGCCGGTCAGAATAAGTAAATTCGCTGGCTTTGGAATATAGGCACTTCATTCGTGGAGCACATGCGCGCCACTTTGATCTTTCTAGGAACTTTTCATCCACAAGCATCGCTAGGAAAGCATCGGGACTGACAAAATCACGGATTTGACGTTGGTTTGAGATATCTCATCTTTCATGGGCATGTTATTGCATACGTAGGCACCAGCAAGAAGATCTCTTGCCTGTCCACCGGAATTGTTGATGCTGGACTGTGTCGATGGGCTTTGCAGAAGTACTTGCATCTTTTGTCAATAGCCCTGCCCGTATTTATTCCACTATCCGCGACACGGTCCTTCCTTCGCCTGGCACTAGAAAGAGGCAAAGAGAAGATAGCATCAACGCGCAAGCATCTGAAATACAGCCACGGGCATCACGGCCCAGGATTGAAAAGGAGAGGATCCAGGAGGCGGTAGGGACTACGGTTGTATTGCAAAATATCAATGGTCAGACAGCAGGCGCACAGCCACTTTCCAGGCCGATCCTGAACGGTCTGCATCCCTTTGCATCACCCAGCCAGCTGGGGCCAGAGAAATTGCCACATCAGTCGTCCAGGCTGCTGGCAGCATACGAAGCAGGGCGTTACGGTACAGCCACGCCAGCTCGCAGCAAATTGGCAGCAGACAGACAGCTTACTAAAGCACCAACTCCCTTGCTGTACCGGAGCGTGGCACCTAGAAGGCACGGTCCTTATAGCAGCTTTCGCAGAAACTTCCCAGCGCAAACTGCAACCCCTCCCCAGGTGGGGAAAGTTTCTTCTGCCCCTCCTTCCAATGCATGCATGTCAAATGCATTGCAGCGCTGTTGAATGCTGATGGGGAAAAGTGCATGCTGGCTCACTTCACTTCATGTTGGCAGTTGCCGAAGGATTTGACCTGGCTGTGCACTGCGGTACATCTGCCGCACAAAAAAAATCATGGACATGTCTGGTGCCAATAATCACATCCTGCAGTTGGCCCCTTCATGCATGCGCCAAATTGCATGGCCCCGTTTGTGCAGGCATCAGCGGAAGCTGAGGTGACTAGGGCGGCCATCCTGGAGGAGCTGAGGAGGGCGAACGAGTACGAGCTGGACGCGGCAGCGCGCAAGGCAGAGGCAGAGGCCAAGCGGGCAAATGCCCTGCACAAGCTGCTGCGCGATGAGCAGCTGGCCGCTGAGCGCACCGCCCTGCCTGCTGTGGTGCGCTGCCCATTGCTGTTATCATCCTGTTTACATCATGTGATGGCGCGGACATGCTTTATACTTAGCACTATGGCAGCGCTTGCCTTCTCCATTATGGCACATTTGAGAGGTGCCGCATGTGCCGGGAGACCACTGTGCACCAGAAGCCCATGGTGCATGAATTTGCCGCTCAAGTGTTTTTGTGTAATGTGTAGATCGAACGGGACGAGTTGGGAACTGCGTGTTCTGACGGCGCGCTTAAAATATAAAATGGATTTCTTTGGTGCTGTGGCACAGACGGAAGGAACTGTTGACAAATTGGAGGAATTGTAAGTAAGAGTGCGGGTGGGTGCAGAGCGCTGCGGTGGGGGAGTCGATGCCGAGGCGGCGGCTGGACATGGAGCCGGCAGCGCAGCAGCCGCTGGAGTCGCCGGAGCCGCTGTCGTCCGCGCAGGGGCGTTCTTGGGCCGCTCTGGAGACTCCCTCCGCCCCCGCCGCCGCCAGCCCGGCCATGATGCGCGCACGCGCTGCCCTCATTGCCGAAAACGAGGATGTGCGCCCCACATTTCTTTTCGACACTGCTCATATGACCTATTTCTTGGTCAATGTTTCGGGTTCAGATTTCAGATATTTGTGGCCACTTCAGATGCTCCTAGTCACGATGACGCATGTTTCATATGTGGAGGAAGGTGAGCATGCTCAGCAAACTCTTGAGCGTGTGCTGCAGGCTGAGCAGAAGCGCCTACTGCAAGAGCGGGTGCGGTGGCAAGCAGACTTCCAGCAGGCCAAGGCGCGCCTGGAGGGCGTCAATAAACGCCTACAGGACCTCAGTGTAAAGTGAGTCACCTCTTTTACTTCATCCTGGCTTCAAACCTCTACTTGTCAATCAAGGCAGTCGAAAGCAAGGCCAGGGCGTCATTACCGGAGCTTTATATATTCGCTAATCCTCATAACTTGATTATCGCTGGGCAGGGCGCAGAGGGCGATGGCGGCTGGCGCGCCGACACCGCGGGAGGAGTCGGAGCGGTCGCTGGTGCTGGCGCGCTCGCAGGAAATGAAGCTGCTGGAGGAGGAGAAGCGCCGCCTGGAGGACATGCGCAACGCCAGCCGCCTCCGCTACGCAGCCGCCGTGCCCCTGCCACCTGACGCCGGGATGGGCGCGCCCCTGCGTGCCGGTGAGTAGACCATGCCTCCACGACGTGTTTCTTATTCATCTAGTTCCCTGACTGTCTGATACTGCATCCTGACTGTCTGATTCTGCATGACGTGGTCCTGTTCGCAGACACTGGCTTGCCCATGCTCAGCGGTGACTACATTATGCCCCCCCCTACCAGATTTCCTTTTTTTGGCCTTCATTCTGTGACTCTGTGACACTGTGTGTCGTGCCTCTGCCGCCCAATACCGGCTTGTTTGCCCCTGCTTGGCGGTGAGCAGATCTTGCACCTGCCGCGGTGTCTTTTGTGGGTTTGAAAAACTCTGGGGCCAGATTTCTGGGTGCGTGGGGAGTCTAGACCTTTCTGAAACTTCAAGTGTTGAGACGTGGAACTGTGCATGGTGTGCACAGGGGTGGACTTGCAACCTGCTGGGGTACATGCCACGAGCAATGATGTTTGAATGGTCTGGTGCCAGTCAAGCCTCTGATGGGGTGCTCATGCAAAGCATTGCTGCAGAAGATATATCGTATTTCGGCAGATCATTGTGTTGGAGGGATGTGACATTGTTTAGTGGGTTGATTTTGACTGGGTCATTTCCTGCACCAACCACAGGCGAGCTGCGGTTACCGGACGTCAGCTGGGCAGCGCCGTCTCCCACAAAGCTGCCGCTGGACGGTGCAGCTGCGCAGCCAGAGGAGGAGGAGGACGCTGTGCTGGTTCTGAGCAGCGACGACGAGGAGGAAGAAGAGGAGGAGCAGGAGCAGGAAGACGAGCAAGAGGTGAGCGTCTGTGCGTCTGCAATGCATACAGATTTCCCGAATCGGTTGGCATGCATTTTCCTGTCTGGCTGAAATCCTGGACCATTCGTGGCCTCAGGCGGATTCTTAGCACCCTACAAAGTCATCAAGACTGTACTGCTGCTGAAATCACGGCAGTTCCAGAAGCCAGTTCGTCATGGAGCCACGAGCCCGTTGTACGGGCTGTCTTGCCCATTTAAAAGTATTGAATGACCAAGGCGGCAGATTCTGGCCTCGGCTTTTTCGCAAGAGGTAGTGAACACACCCCAGCGGTCCTGGTGGCAAGTCTCTGACGGATGTTGTGTCACCCTCTTGCCTGCAGGAGGTCGTCACGGAGGAGGAGGAGTCTCTGAGTGCGGCGCTGAGCGAGGTGGCAGTCAGGGACCTGGGGGAAGAAGTCAGCCAGGAGCGGCGGCTCACCAAGACGCAGCGCCAGCTGGTGCGCTCTTGTCAAGCATCTATTAAAACTCCTACTGGTGTCCCCAGTGATCTTGTCAGGACCCTCGAGCATGCATCAACGATGGATTGCAATCTTCAGCGTGAAATGTGACGCAGCTGTTAGCATTCTGCCCAGAAGCACAGCTGCCCCGCTTATACTGCTCCTTCTCCTGCTGCCAGAGACATGCTTACAAGACGCCTGTTACTCGATGGCTTCTGCGGAGCCAACCGTGAGCTCCAAACGGGATGCTCATCAGCTCGCTGAGGTATATGTGTCCGCTGTGACTGCAGGCGGCGCAGGCGTTGGCTGGGGGCGACCCAAAGGAGATCCTGGTGTACCACAAGTCGAGCAATATCGAGATGTCACGCGGGCACATGGCCTGCCTCAAGGGCCTCAATTGGCTCAACGATGAGGTCATGAACATCTACATGGGCCTGCTCCTAGTGAGTGACGCCGCTCACGCTCCTCCACTTGTGCCCTTGTGATGTAGCCATGAAACATGAAGCTTGTGGGCATTGCAGCTCACGGCTTAGGTCTTCCCACAAGCTTGGTGCTATTTGCGACATCACAGGAGATTCTGTCATAGCTGACTGTCAGAAGGCCATATTGATGCCTCAGCCATGCCAATTCGAGCGCCAGGCATCACCTGACAGGGTGATGAAGCTTCCCGTATTTGAGACTCATTGTGTAGCACGGTACTATAAATGTGAAATACGCGGTTCCATGGTGAGTCATGAAGAGTGATTCGATGCGCTGTGCAGGACCGGGACGCTGAGCGGCGGCGGGCGGGACTGGTGCCGACCTGCCACTTCTTCAACAGCTTCTTTGTGAACAAGCTGTACAAAGACGCGCATGCCTACTCCTACAAGGCCGTCCAGCGTTGGACCCTGCCCAAGAAGCTCAATCTGCAGAACCAGGCGCGCGCTCTCTTTACACCTTTTGTCACAGTGCGCCGCAATTGTGGTGTGACTGCTCTCAAAACATGTTTTTAATTGTTGGTGTCTTGCCTCTGAAATCAGCTGCGTCTTTCCTTTGCTAAAGCAAGTCTTTTGATGCCCAGAAGCAGGTCAATGGTCATTGCTTGCATGTATTCGTGATATGTGATCAACTGTTCACCCATCAGCAAAAGTCATAGAGAATTCTCACCTTCATCACAGGAGGAATATTGTACGCGCTCAAAGCAATTATGTGCAGGAGAGCTACTGATCCTCTGATTATCTTGGGTGCAGCAATCGGAGAGCATCCTGGATGTGGAGCGCGTGATTGTGCCAGTCCATCTGGGCAACCACTGGACCTGCGCCCTCATCGACCTGGTCGCCCAGGAGATTGTCTACTTCGACTCCCTCGGGGTGAGTCACCCCAACCCATGTGGCACAAATGTATTTTTTCTACACGGACATGCCCCCTGGAACCTTGTATCCAGATGGACATGACGATCCACCCGGGTGCAACTTCTCACCTTCAACCGTGTGTTTCTGCCATTTCTCTTGATCCGAAGTTGGAACGGCAGCTCTTGAGTACTCACTGTAAATGCTGTAGTGGAGGCGCAATGCTGGATGCAAGAGGTAGATCTGTTCATGCTGATCACATCAGCAGGGAGCGGAATGTGGTGGGCTATGACCAGTCATTTGCCATGCTTGGCATGACATTTGGCGCAAAGGTCACCAAAAAACAACTGCGCTCTTGCAGGGCCGTGAGGACAAGATCCTGCGAGCACTGCGCTCGTACATCGCGGATGAGTATAGGGACAAGCGCAATGCTGAGGTGGACACGTCCGAGTGGCCCATCAGGTGCACAACCGGACATGCCCCACCCCCGGGAAGCAACCATGTTGCCTCAATCTCACTGCATCTCAGTGAAAAGCACCAGGCTTTATTTGCAATACGTCAGCTGTACAGTGAAGGGATACCATTTATGGGGTACATGAAATGATCAGCATTTCATGTGCTCCAACTCAAGTAGAAGCTGATTCTGATGTGACTTGATTATGCGCAGAGTGGCAACGGGTGTTGTTGGCTGTGCAGGTATCCTAGGGATGTGCCTCTGCAGCAGAACGGCTGCGACTGCGGCGTGTTTGCTCTCCAGTTTGCTGAGCATCTGTCGCGCGGAGCTCCCATGGACTTCTCCCAGCTTGACATGCCGTTCTTCCGCGCCAAGATCGCGGCTGACATCATGACCGGCCGCATCGCATGAACAGCATGTCTCCGAAAGCACTGGCCCGGACAAAAAGATTTGTGACAGAGATCCCATCTGATGTCTGTGTCTTAAAGGGGGCAGTTCAATGAAACGCCAAACCCCTGCGAGGCCCTCGTTGTTGATAGCGTGGCTCCTTGTCCCAATCGGATGGATTCCCCTGTCAAATGACAGTGTGCGATTATGACACTGCAGAGCTGCAGCTGTGTTTTGTAAAAGAACAGTTAGATGCTTCAGAGTACCTGCTGGCATTCAACGTCGAATGATCTCGATGACAGACTTCTGGAATGCTTGACCGCCCCGGGCGGGCCAATACGCTTCAACAGACTGGAGAGTTTTATTTGGTATGAGCAAGACACCCTGCAATAAAAATTGCATTTGCATTGGCGATGTTGATGAAGCTCTCTCTCTGACTTAGCTCCAGGCAGAGCGCATAAGAGTGCCAACGACATGCATGGTTATTTGAGTTGCAGATGGCATTCCCCTGAGACAGAATTAATGCCGCATGCAGACAGTGTACAGATGTTCTTGCGCACAAAAGCACATCACTAGCTGTATATCTGCCCAGATGGGGTCCATCTCTGTAAAGCAGCATGTTCAGACCAGCTTATTATCATGCATGCTCTTGGGGTCATTGGCATTTGTGATAAACCCAGCACTGGCTTTCTAAATATGTACCGTAAGTGAATTGCATATGCCAGGTCATGGTGAAGTTCCAAAGCTTTCAAGTGGGTTCATATTTGTTCTTGACATGCCAGCTGGTGAAACACTCCGCCTACCCAGCAGACCACTCGCATTTTGTCTCATTGTACAGGTGCAATGGCGTCAACATATATACAAGGTTCTAGGTTCAAAAAATCGTAGAGGTGGGTTGCACATGCTGTCCAATCGAAAACTGCTGAAGTGCAGCAATTGCCACTGAGGATATATCCTCCTCATATCAGCTGTCTCCAGTCTGCGCAGCAGCGGCTACTTGCTTCCCCGCTGCTGCTTATGCTTTCGTAATATTCCACACGCTGCTGACCTGCACAAGAAAAGCAACAACTCATGGACTGGCATATGTATGCGCACTTTGGAAGACTCAGCTCCATGAAACTTGCGCCTACGCTGTTGGCAGGTGCTTGAGCTGCTGTTGGGCATATGACGTGGGCACAATGAAGGCCTTCCAAACCTGGTGTTCCAGAATTGACAAGGCATGTGCGCATTGTATCTTCAGCAGCAGCATGCCCTCAGAAAGTTGGCAGCGCGAAGCTAGCAGGCAGCATCAAAGGGCATTCTAGACCGTTGAGCTGCCCCTGGCCCGAAGCAATCATCAGATTGGCAACACACCTGTGGTCCGGTGTTCTGACCCTGAGTTGCCAGGGGTTGGTAGACTATGGCGTCCAGGGTCACTGAGCCGAACGAAGCTGCGTTCTGCTGCGTCGTGCAGTCAAAAAATGTCTCGAATTCGAACGCGTAGTTCGTCCCCGCCACCAACTGAACAGCAGAATGAACAGATGGTCAGCTATCTGCGTGTCCATAAGCAATCCTTTGCACTCATCTCACAGACGTGCCAAGCGTGCAAGAGGAACATAGTGTAATATAATGGCATGGTCTCCGCGCAATTAGCAGGATCTGTAAGCTTATTGACCACGTACATTGAAAACCTAGGCGGTCATTGGGGCACCTCTGCCGCTTATTCACGACAAGCTTTCTTCGAGCAAGAACGGAAACAACACAGACTGAAGGCAGACGCTCACAGCAGCAGATTCAGCCTAATTCATGCGACTGCAGCATGCACACCACCGGCGCAGCAGCATGTATTTGGTATCAAGCCGGGGGCACGGCATCACCTGCTTGCAGCCCTCGGTCACTCTGTACGACACTGGGTGCACGCTGTTGGACAGGCAGCCCGTGATAGTCTGATTTTGGGTGAATGCCTGCCATGCCACCGGCGCCAGGTCATTTTCCAGGCCATTTTTCTCATCCTCTGTTGTCACAGGCTTGTAGCTTCCATACATACCCTGGCCATCAGCTGCTTCTGTTCTGCAAGGAAATGGCCGCGCTACCTGCGTTTTCACATTCTCAAGGTGACTATAGCGGCTCCTTAGATATACTCATATCAAGGAAAGAGACTCACTATGCCAAACTTCAGGCTCATGACAGAGGTTCAAGAAATAGTCATAGCGCAGAGCTGGCTCTTTACTCACCACAGCTACTTCGCACGCTGACAGTGGATGCAGCAGACAGACAGATTACGTACCTCGCTTTTGGATTCAGAGTCGTATGGCACAGGCTGCAAGGGCGCAAGTGCTGCGAAGGATGGGCCAGGAGCAGGTGCCAGAAAAGGTCTGCCTAGGCTTCTCTGCGCAGGGGATGTCTCCGGACTCGGAGCGGCCAACGTGGAGACTATAAATACTAATAGCACAGGTGCTATTTGCGGGAGCTTCCACATGCCGGGCATTACAACCCAACCTCTGCCAACTTGATGTGCTTGTCTTCAACACAAGATGCTGGTTGTGTGCTTATGGCGCTCCCACTCCAGAACGCTCTGCAGCTATGAAATATATTCTAAGCAATTGGGAACATTTTGGAATGATTTCTGGCTGCTTCGTCATGAATGGGATCCTTGTGTCCGCCTCGTGAGGTGGAAGCTTCCTTTTCGGAGAAGAGTCGAGGTGCGTATCGTCATCGCATGATTCTCTCACCCATGCAACGTCCAGCAAGAACTTGGAGCTACTGTCAAACGAAGCGAACAATCTTTTGGTATTGACTGTCTCAGTCTCTTGTTTCAGTTCATGTATTGTCATCCATTCCAAAGCCATCTTGGATCAGAAAGATGTCTGGATTCTTGGTCAGGGCACTGCTGTCAGCGGAATTATCTTGGTTGTGGGCAGGCAGTCAATTACATTGATCTGTCTCCGAGATGAATTGACGGTGCAACTGGCGTGTGTCTTCTGAAACGCCTGCAATATCTCCCATACACGGTTGTGTGCAGGTCCGCATCTGCACTCAAGTCACATAAAGCAATGAAAGAATTTTCTGAAGAGTTTCTTTGCTAATTAAAATGAAATTTGCATCCCCGGGAACGTTTGCTTGTACCACAAACGAAGTGTGATGTTCTTGGTGATCTTGTTGCAGAATGGAATCCTCGTGGGCAGTTGGCAGATTAGCCCCCCAAATATGTGCAGCATCAGATGCAAAATGGTGTTCGAAGCATCAGCACGCAATCAAAAGGATTGTGCCAGCACCCAGGAGGTTGCTGGTACAGGCTATGCATCCTTCTGAAAACGTGAGGGTCTCGCTTGCTATCCCCTCTATATCTGTGGCACCCACAGAGTCGGCAGACCTAGATACTGATCCAGCCCCAAGTGAATTTTCCGCAAAGGGGGCCTTGCCTTCAAGGGTCCAAAGTTCAGGGAGACAGCGGCAGCAATTTAGAAAATCGTCAAGACAACAAAAGCAGGACAGAAGAGAAGCTGCAGGCACAGCTGGAGGGAACCTTGAGCCTAGCAGCGTTTATCAGGGAGCTTTGGAGAGCGAGCAGGCAGCAGGAATAAGTGAGAGTGAGAATTCAGCAGCGAGTTGCAAGTTGAGCAGAAATGCACAATCTGCGCATGAGAGGGACACCAGGAATGACATCGAGAACTCTGCAGTCAGTGCCGGCAAAGAGGCAAAATATGCCAATGAGAAGGTAAATGTGCCTTAATTTCACTTCTGCCTACTGGCAGATTTGTTGGCTCACAATCCTTTCACAGGAAAGTGATTACGTGGCTGTGAATGCTCTGGAAACTGTTTCCTATGTGTGTGGCTACAAAAGGTGATGTCAGCTGCTGACTCAGCCGCTGTTTGCAGGCATCCAGGCAGCAGTTGCTGCAGCACTTGCAGGAGGCACGCGAACGTTCTCGGAGACTTCAGGACAGCCTCAGAGGGAATGCTGTTCGACTGGCGATAGCTGCACAGCCAGCACCGGGTCGAGATCTACCAACGCTGCACAAGCAGTTTGATCCAGGGGCTTTTGTTGATCGCAAGGTGCGCAAGCCTGGGTCATGCGATTTGATTGGCGGTCATGCAAAAAGCCCGAACACCAGAATGTGGCTGTTTTCTCATCCCATGGACCCCACAATGTGTGCGCAGCTGTGTTATTTGAAATGTTCAGCTCACGCACGGTGGTGCAGTTGTTCCTGCCGGCCCATATCAGATGACAGGTTGACAATTCTGCCCGAGCCTTTGTGATACCTTTCTTTATTCTGCATCTGCCTGTGGGATGACTCAACCACCAACAAAATTGTTGGCATTTTGCTGCAGGTGTACGACCAGCTGCGCGCCTCGCGCAACCGGCTGAGCAAGCAGCTGTCAGAGCGCAACCGCGACCTGCTCTTTCTAGAGCAACGCCTGGACGAGCGAGAGCAGGCAAGCCTTGAAGGGCCAGTCTTATAATCTGTCAAGTATCCCAAGCAGCGTCTGTTTGTACTTGACTGGGGAAATGTGTGCATTTCGTTGTTTGGACTTGCACTTGGATTTAAGAGACTCATACAGGCAGCTGCAATTGAAGCTGTGATCTCCCATTTAATGGAGCCAGCAGAGGGTCTGCAGGGCTCTCAAACTTCCCAGAAACTTTTGAGGAGCTGCAGAGCTCTTCCCACTAGCATGGTGTATGCCATGTACCAGTGCAACACCATTGACCTGCATGCCCACAACCAGGAGGCATTTAAGAGTTGGACGGGGCGATGCAGGACCTGGTTGCGGCAGCAGCGGCTTTGGAGAAGCTGCGGAAGGAAGCAGAAGCTGCCAAGCAGCTGGCGGAGAAGTCGGCCGCCGCGCACACCTACGGCGTCGACCGCGCAGCCGATCGGAAAAATGCGACCTTGGTCCTCACCCGTCTGACACAGCTGCAGAATGTGCGCCCCTACTGTTGCGCCGATATGGGAATGTCTGTGTGCAGTACGTTCTTTTGTTTTCTGCAGTATCCCCCATACTTTTCCACTTGTGGCTGCCCTGATATCTGTCTGGTAGTACCTGTGCAGGGCATAACCTGATATGTTATCTTTGTGTGCCTGTGCCTCATTGACTGTGCTTGAAAAGTCAAATTGATTGGTTATCACCAATGCACCCTCTGCTGCGGCGTGCTCACCATGGGATCAACATGCATACAGGACAGCAAGTGTGGCAGCACTGCATGGCCAAGACCGCCAATTCCTTCTCATGTTTGTTCAATATGATTGACCTCCTGTGTGTCACTTTGCCGTGGCGTGCTGCAGGCGTTCAGCACGGAGATACAGGCGCTGGATGCGCGGGTGCCGAGGCAGGTTCCCATTGCCTGGTTTGGCGTGGCCAGCGAGGTGCGGCTGATGGGGAGCTTTGACGGCTGGACGCGCGGCGTTGACCTCAGCGCGGATGACATCAGCGATTCAGTCTTCACTCGCTTTGAGGCCACTGTGCTCCTGCTGCCGGTGAGGGACCCCCTAAACCAGGGGGCGCCCAAAACATGAATCATTAGTATCTCCAGTCAGAGCTCGTTTTACTCTTGCTTGGGATGAGGACAATTGTGTGAGGGCTTTGGGAGCAGCTTATTGCCAATTTGCAGGGCTGTGCTCATTCATCATGAGCCATTATTGGGGTTGATTGTCCAGTCAGGAACAGCTGGATATGCAGAGCAGCCACACCATGACTTGATTTTACTCCAGTATTGTACAGAGTTGACCATGAACGTGTGAGGTGATGCTGGTATTTTCTGGTCGTGCAGGGAGAGCATCAGGTGAAGTTCCTTGTGGACGGCAACTGGCGCCTTGCGCCGCATTGGCCTGCAGTGACAAATGCGCTCGGAGACACCAACAATGTTTTTGCTGTGATGTGAACAAAATCCTGAAGCAGGCTTACAGTGTTTTGCACTCTTGCTGCTGCGACGCGCATGCGCATGAGCAAGCTATATAGTATGGAATGGGGACTGATGGAGGGTGGCCGGCGCCGGAGTCTCATAGAAAGTGCAATCCTTGCAAACTCGCTGCACATGCAAGCTGTTATAACTTAGATTATTTGGGAGATATCTATGTTCAATTGTCAGTCCAATTGTCAGGACATAGGGACTGTGTTGGATCACTGTACACTGGCATTATTGCGTGCTGTTAGCTAGAAAGTAGTACTTCAAGCATGACTCTCAGAGACCTATAGGCTAGAGATCTGACATTTCCAGACTGAAATTGACTTCATCTTGGGGTTTATCTTGTGTATGTGTATGTGAGATCTGCTTCTCATTCTCTTCACCAGCTGGCATGCTGGCGCGAGCTTCATAGCTCCCCTTGCCAGCTTCAGCTGCACTCTTTGTTGCATGCTTTAGATGCATTCAGCCTTGGAAGCTTCCGCGAGTGGTGGGAAGCTACGGGCAATTTAACGTAATGGGCGTCGCCATGAGGTCTCAATTCTTACGACAGGGCGCCCCATCCTTCCATAATTGAAGTAACTTCTTTTACCGAGAAAATTTCCCTACTAGCGCTATGCAGATCTGATTTTGGAAGGTCGTCAGATCGCACGTGCTAAAGGCACTTGCACGGCATCCAGCGCGTGGCGTGTACTACCTACCAGCAACGATGGTCAAGGATGATGTGAATTCCGAGAACAATCCACTACTGACTCCCTGGAAAGCGGGACGCTTCGAGCTGTCGAACAGGTACCCTGTTCTGTCAACGCGGTTTTTCCCATCCTCAAACCGGACAAAGGAAGATCGGAAAACTGATGACATTTGTCGTCGTGAGGGTCCCTCTCCAGGCTATTGATGCAGATCTGGCCATACGATGGGATTGCTAAAGGCTGTATCGGGTTGTGTCCATTACTGTTGCTAAGTGTGCACTATTCACGACCAGTGTGCAAAACAGTTTGTCGGAATGGTTTGTGCCAGCCGTGCGGGAATCAATTAAGGGAAAAGAAGACGAGGTTGGAAAGGCACGCCGACTACATCCAAGCGTAAAAATCACACAGGGCGCAGAAGAACACATACATTAGGTCTGACAGAGACTTAGCCATCTGATCTCCAGCAAGCCCATCCTTTCAGCGCCTCAGCAGCCCTTGTGACTTGTGCCATCCTTGGTGGCAGTAATATCAGTCCCATTGTGCTGCAGAGGGCTCAACGCACTGTGCACATGGCATGCGATATGGCCAGGGGTGCCCATGATCACTGCCAAAGAGGTTGTGGGTTGCTGATCAACGTCTTGGCACCTTTGCGCGCAGGGTGGTGCTTGCACCGCTGACAAGGTGCAGAGCGCTTGGGACTGTGCCGCAGCCGGCTGCGGTGGAGTACTACTCTCAGCGTGCGACCAAGGGCGGCCTCATGATCAGTGAGGCCACAGTGATCTCTCCTGAGGGCCATGGGTGAGTCAACATGATACCTCTTCCCTTTATGCCAGACTTGCACGGACCTATCAAAATGGAGGCACATGTTGCATTGTTGTATAATAAGGAGCAGAACAGGTGCTTGCGCCTCTGCATCTGAAGATGATGCCTGTGCATGGGATGTTGAAAGAATGCTCTACCCTTGAACCCTTCATGCCGTTCGATACCAAGGCTGTATGCTGAAGAAGGTGTTGTGATTTTGAGCACTTATTCGACATAGTGTGATGAATGGTATTCATTTGTATGTGGCAGGTACCCTGAGACACCAGGAATCTACACCCAGGAGCAGATCGAGGCGTGGAAGCCCATTGTTAACGCTGTGCACGCCAAGGGCGCAACATTCATCCTGCAGCTGTGGCATGTCGGCCGCGCCTCACACTCAGGTGAGGGGCCCATCCCAAGGCTCGACAGGGGGGCAACAAAGATGCCGGGGTTCCCAGACAGCAGTGGTGGAATTCTCTGCGGAACCCAAGGGGTTCATGACCTGCCTGGCAGACATGGCAGTCAATGTTTGTGGGAAAGAATCGTGGGCCGAACAGAACCTCGTCCCAAAACCCAGAAGTATAGACCCAATCCCGGGGGGGGGGGGGGGGGGGGGGGGGTCCCCTGGGATCTCAAGCCCTGGCCCACCCTGCAGCTGCGTTTATTTTGGATTAGGCTGTGCTCATATTGTGGGCATTCAAGGCGTGTTCTTGGAAAAGCTGCCGCCACATCCTTTGTGAGAGAGCATGAAAGAGCTCGGCACACCCCTTCAGAGCGGTTTGCATCGCTCTCCTGCATGGCTCTTGAACTCTTCTGCAACTTCTAGGACACATGTAGCCAAGCCAGCAGAACAAAGTAGAATGGTCCACAGGCATCTCCAATCTGCTGATACATTGCTGATGCTGCTGGTGTGATGCGCAGATTACCAGCCGAACGGGCAGGTGCCTGTGTCTTCATCTGCTGTGGCCCCCTCGGGCCAGGTGTACACCCCCGAGGGGCTCAAAGATTACGAGGTGCCACACGCGCTGACCGAGTCTGAAATTGCTCAAGTCATCGAGCAGTACAGGCAAGTGGCTATCTCCCTGTTGCTGCTAGCTACGTCTGCCGATGGCATGACTGCTGCACTTGCACATTCTGGTTGCCATCAAGGCTTGCAGGCAAGAGCAGCCTCAAGCGGTTTGGATCAAAAAGAGTTGTCCTAGCTGTATCTTAGGCTAGCACAGCCGCATATACAGCAAGCGGCCAAGTAGTCGCTCGTGCTAGCCTTCAGTGACATGTTCCAGCAGAGAGCGCGGCCACCGAGGAGCTGAGAAAAGTCGCAGTGTGAATGGAAATGTGTGATGCAGGCAGGGGGCAGCAAACGCAATCGAGGCCGGGTTTGACGGCGTTGAGGTGCACGGAGCCAACGGCTACCTCATTGATCAGTTCCTCAAGGTGAGAAGATCTTGGGCTTTGCCCTCAACCCGAGACCCTAAGGGTCTCATCGTATGTCTTTGCTCTATATTTGTCATTGGATTCCCACGGCGCAAAGGCATTGTTCCAAATGTTGGTTGCATGCAGCACTGGTCACTTTGAGAGCTTACTGAAGTTACTGATCACGCTGTTGCTTGTGATGCACTGCAGCATGTCGCCTCCGTGACTGGCATGGCACTGTATGGGCTGGAAGAATGTTTGCATGCATGGGCATGGCTCACAGTGCCCGTTTCATCATCCCATAAACAAATACTCAACACCGGTGTGTTGTGGCGCAGTCGAGCGTGAACAAGCGCACGGACAAGTACGGCGGCCCCATCGAGAACCGCGTGCGCTTTGCCTTGGAGGTGGATCTTCTTATCAATCATCCTCCCATCGCTTGAATTGAGGAGTTTTGGACATTGTGTCGTTTGAGGGTGGAGGACGTTTGACCCCCCCTGGAAAATGTTGAGGGTGGCTCCCTTTTGGGAGATCTATGCTTTGTAGAATTTAATTGCGCCAGCTGCTTCCGCTGCCGAATAAGTTTGCCCTGTTGAAAGGAGGAGAGCTGTGGTAGTCCTGACATCAGCTGCGGTCCCCTCCCCTCGCAGTTCAGTAGTAACTACGCATGATGCTTCCAACTGCAGAGAGCTGTGATTGAAAATAGCGCCCCGCGTGCGCAGGTGACTAAGGCGGTGGTTGATGAGGTGGGCGCTGACAGAGTGGGCATCCGCGTGTCTCCCTTCGGCGGCTTCCTGGATGTGAGTGTTTTCTCTACTATCTTTTCTAAATGTAATCACACGCATGCACACTCGTCAATTCTTGCAGGAGAAGGCAGGCCCCTGGTCAGCACCAGGGCTCGCAAGCATGGATTAGTGGTATCTTCGTAAATTGTTTGTCAGCATTGTGCCCTCAGCTGCGAGTGCAGGCAGCTGCAACCTGGCTCTGGCAATTGCTGTGCCCTGGTGCATAAGATTGTGTGGCTCTTAATCAAATATGGGCACCTGCAAAATGTTCTAATAGCGACTTCAATCAGTTTGTGGTGCTGCTTTGCTTGCCCCAAGCTGCCACTCAGGCGCCACTTTGCCAACTGCACCTCTGCTGACTTCTTCATAAGTGTCTCTGGAGTGGGCCCTTTTGAGAAAGTATCTGCTGATTGGCCCCGGCTGGCGGGGGGCGGTGTAAAATCTGAGCATCGTGCCCACGCTTGATTGGGTCTTGGATCTGGCGAGTCCAACAAGGGGTAGGTTTGTGGCAGCCTTAAACTGCAGCTTGTCTTTAGGATGCACCTTGCCTTCGGCAGGAAAAGCTTGTAATATTATAATTTTCTGGTTGCAACAGGCGGAGGACCCCCACCCGTACGCACTTCACACTTATCTTCTCGAGGAACTGAACAAGATGGGCATTGCCTACGCCCACTTCATTGAGCCACGCGCCAGCCATTCCATGGGTGTAGGCTCCCCCAACGCAGAATTCAACTTCCAGTGCCTCGACCAGAACCTGGATGTGAGTAGGCTCTGCTTCTCATCACCGCCTCATCTGCAGAGTCACTGTGTTGCTGTGCATGCACCCAACCAATGCCACTTTGTCACTGTGCATGTCTCAAGACAGCCAGCCACAACAAGCCTGGAGGCCTTTTGCGATATCTTCGACAGCGCTGGCACTTTAAAGAGTGCACAGAGTAGGCCTAGCAAGTCCAAGGACGACTGCCGCCAGCAGCCTGACTTGGTGTGATGCTATTGCTTTTATTGCCTGCCTCTGCTGATGGTGTGCTCTGTGTTTGCAGGTGTTCCGCCGCGCCTTCCACGGTGCATTTATTGCTGCGGGAGGCCACACGCGCGCATCTGGCATCGCGGCAATCGAGAGCAACCATGCGGACGCGATTGCGTACGGCCGCCCCTACTTGGCCAACCCCGACCTTCTCAAGCGCTTCGAGCTGGACGCCCCTCTCAACAAATATGACAGGTGAGCTGTGTGCTGACTGGATTGGAGTGAATGGCTGTCATGTGCAAAAGACACCCTCTGGCCCGGACTCAAAGGAGTAGGTAACCATTTTCTCTGCACTTCATCCCTGCCATCAGCGCTTTGCAGGGACAGCCCAGTGAGAGCACAGTGTGCTCTCTGGCCCGCAGACTACATCCTTTACACGTTGTCTCTGCACCTTGTTGATCATGCCGAAATGCTAGACACACAAGACATTGGGAGGACCAACCAAGCAGGGAGAAAGGGCAGACTTGCGGAGTATGCATGCGGCGTGCGATACACACAGGGCCCTGTTGAGACAGCGTGTTCAAAGGAACAATGTGAACCTCGTGTAATGACAGGGCATAATTTTTGGAAATGGGAACGTGTGCTGTGCGCAGGGATACCTTCTACACACAGGACCAGGTTGTTGGCTACACGGATTACCCATTCCTGTCAGAGGCACAGAATGGGAGCGCTTGAATTTTGAGCAGCTCGCTTGCCAGTCAGCGGAGAACGCCGCAGCTAGAGAACAATTCTGTTGTATCTAATGCCTTTGCCGCTGACCTGCCTTGCTGCTGATCCTTGCCAAGGAAATGTTGTGGTGCACCTTCCCATTTGATAGCTCAACCGAGCTGGTGTGCTTCTCCATGCAGCCCAGACATCGTCATGGTGTGTGTAACTGTCTGGCATGATCGCTTGCCACTTCACCTGCTATCAGGTATCATAGATGTTCTAATTATGCCATGGTAATTTTGTCCTGTACAGTCCTGTACAGGACAAGATTATGCACATGTAGCAGTGCAAAGTACATAGTACCTGTGGACCATATGGGTGGGAACTCGACTGTATGCCTGTCTAGACGAATATTTGTGAATTGTACTCCACTTATGACGTGATGTAAGGCATTGTTTTAGAGTTTTCAGCGTGTGGTAGACGGCCGACCATTATGGCCAGTGTAAGATTGTGTCTACTAGACACTGTCTAGGTTGTGAGATTTATAAATTTACATCTGATCTTCTCAAGCTGTATATGAGAGCCTCCGAGGCGTCTATGGCATGGGTCTTCCTTGCATTACATTTTTTTGGCAATGAGGCAACCTTTGGCAGTGGTTTTTTTAGCATATTTTCCGCACATTACATTTACGGTTCCGTCCTTTGCTTAGGGTGACGTCACATCAGGTGGAATTTTCTACACACAAATCGTTGCAGGACCAATTATGCATGCTCACTTTTTACCACTCCCACAAGGCCCTCAAGGGGGCACATCTGCAAGCTCAGTCAGATAGCAATAAGTCCAGCTGTCTCTGAGGGGGATTGTAGCTGCACATCCTTTGAAAAAAACCCCCATCCTGAATGCCAGAAAATGGCATATGGAAACCCCGAAGACCATGCCCTTCTAATTGGCTCCGAAGGCAGTCAGAAGAGCGAAAACACAGCACAAACTAAGAAGCCCACAGAGTGCTCACAAAACACACAACAACGCCATGGTCAACAAACCTTGATCAACAAGTCTCTAGAAGATGTTCACCAGCACTTCATGTATAAAAAGCATTCACCGAACAGTAAGCAAAATGTCCCTGTAAAAAGGGGCGCAAAGACCAGGAAAGGCTGACCCAAGATAGCACGCAGGCAATCACCTGAACAGGAAATCCCCACGCCCAAAGCCATTTTTACAAGGCAACATTGCCACTATATACATCTACGCTCTCTGCCTGAGTTCTGCTTTCTAGCGCAGCGCTCCCAGTGATGAGGCCCAGCGCCGGAAATCGTCACTACCGAATATTGCCCGGGGCCGCATTATTCTGAGAGGCACTCCAAGACAATATCAAGGGGTTCTTGTGGTCCACACTGGTGACTGCAAAAATGGAAACATGAAATTAAAGCAAAAATGTTATCAACACTTGGCAACCAAATGCTTCATTCATCAAAGTGGGCCTGTCGTGTGCAACAAACTTGGCATAGCGCCATCTTCCCGAAGTCGGCCCAGGCCACAAATGGCAAGTGATCAACCAGATTTGCAATTGGCTGCCAAGGCAATCCCTAATTACGCTTGATTATGTGTACATGATTAAGAGCGTGTTGCATTCTGTCTTGGGTTAAATGGAACATATGCTTGCCATAGAGACTCACTGGGCCTCAAGCAGTAGACAAGCATGTTCTCCTATCACCAGTGGTCTTTGAAAAGGGACTATCACTCCCCTGCGTGGTATTGCAACGATTGTTGTGCTCCTTGAATCAGCGTACTGCCCTATGCTGCAACCGCTCTGTTGAGAAGGAGAATGCCCAGGCCAACTGCTTTGGTGGCTTCCTCTGTTCAGGTAGCAGCAGCTCCGAAATAAAAAAGATGCACAATATCCTGCCATGGAGGTAATCCAGCTCTCTGAAAACCAGCTCCCCCTGGCCATGATGTGGCGGAAAATATTCATTTCCCTTTCCTGGACTCCTTGGGCAATTCGCTGGAGTATGCAGCGTTGCCTGTTGACCATCAAGAAGCCCGATTACGCCCATTGCTGAGAATTGTGACAGGAATTGAAGGACAAGATCCCAAAGAAGGGCAGAACTTGAATAAGCTTACTCTGCTCTGCTTGCAGGGCTTGCAGCCGTCGCACTTTGGCATTTATCGACAGGCAGGCATATAGGCGGCCCCAGTATTCTCTCATATCTTTGGGCATCTTGTCATCATCCCCGTAGAAGTCTGAAACACGAAAGAAACTGTTCAGATAGTATCTGGCGCTTCAAATTTTTCCTGCTTTGCAGTGAGATCCAATCTGTCACGGATGCTGAAGAGAAAGTCAATGTCTAACATACCTATTCCATTTCTTATTGCCTTCTCCCGCAAAGGCCCCATATTTCTTGTGATCCAGTCCCTCTCCGAGTCTCTAATTCTTTGCATTTCAGGCAAACGCTTCAGCTGCTTCAGCTGTTCTACATCAAAATCTTCTTTAGCGGAGCGTCCCAATATTCCTGCGAGACCTACCACGTGTCAGCCATTCCTATACCTCATCTGCTCAAATGTTTGCCACCTACCAAGGTTGCAATACCTTTGAATATCTGGCTTGTTGCCGCTTTCGCGTATTGTATGAAATCCAGGATTCCAATTTTTAGTTCACTGCACCAGCAGCTTATTGTATGACCCGTCGTTCAACCACGTTTTGATATCAAGCTTAGATATTCAAGGTGATGTCTGGTTCAGGATTGCAGAGAGGAATTGATCTCCAACACTACGGGGTCACAGGTGCTGCATCTCCAACAAGTAACGTTCTGGGGTCCTGCGTCAAATCAAATTGCAAGTCTTTTGATGTTAACACTGGGCAATCCAATGGGTCGCGGTCAGTCACGGCACGTGCACGCACGCACACGTGTGCTCTAATACACACTTGATAGACGGCGATGAACCCAGCTTGTTGACATCAAACGCAATCCTGGCTTTCTCCAACCTCAATTCTCAACAAATAAACAATGATTGGTTGTGTTGATACCTCCAATTTTAGATTATAACTTTGTTTCTCGATTTTGGCGAGATGCCTCAATCGGGCTTTGTGTTGCACGGTGTGGGCCAGAGCACCAGAGCCTTGAAAGTCGAGCTGGTAGCTTCTTTTGCCGATGTAGAGTTGGAAAAGGCTACGTTCACCATGGGGATCACCAATAAGACTCCCCGTTACCTGGCGATGAACCCGTTGGGGAAGGTGCTCCACGACCTCAATGATGTGATCATGCAACTGCATTTGACGATGTGTGAATCTTCTCAGAAGCTAATAATCTGGCACGTTTTTTATCATCCAAGAAGGGATCAGTTGCATAAAGCCTGGTACAAGTACTCACTGATTTATTCATCAAGCGAGCACCTGTGAGGCTCTGGCGTACTCTATGTTATAAGTACCACATTCAAATTTGAATTTAACGTGTTGCTATGCAGGTTCCTGTGCTGGAGACGCCTCACGGCCCCTTGGCTGAGAGCGTGGCCATCTCGCGCTACATCGCTTCCTTGGGGCGGTCGAACTTGTATCCCAAGCCTCTCAACCCCAGAGGTGACTCCCGAAGCATCCATCCACCGCATTCGAAGCGCATGCTTGCCCTTCATCACAATGCGCGTTCCACTGAAGCTGCAGGCAGCCACCATGAAAGCAAGACATTTAGATAAGATATCCATCTCTGCGCCTGCGGTAGTCATGCTCATACGTCAAGGAAGGCTTCTAGTTGCCGGCGAAGCTCAGTGCTGCTGCTGTAGATTCCTGGATAGGTTGAAAGAGAGAAATTCTCTTGTCCCTCATGCAAGTGTGATCTGTAAATTTGCTGCTGCAGAGACGACGCGTGCACAGATTGACAGCTGGGTGGATTGGGCGGCTGAGGTGGACGCTGCGGCGCGGCAGTGCGCATTCCCTGTAGCGCGCGATAAGTTACCCTTTGATGTGAGGGTTGCGGTAAAGGGCCGCGAAACCCTGGACCGCCTGCTTGCTGTGCTGGACGGCCACCTCAGCAGCCGCACCTTCCTGGTCGGGCAGAGCATCACGCTCGCTGACATCATCGTTGCCTGGGCACTCATCGTGCCCTATTTGGTGGTGGGTCTATACTGCCACTCTTTGAGGCACTTTCACCTCTAAAGTGGTGAAAGTATGCACTGGCCTGGCTGAAACAAGCATTTGTCGTTGCCAAGTCCAATGTCAGCCATCACGGGCGCACATGCTGCGAATGTGCACAGAGATTGAGACGTTCAACCGCGGATCTGAGCTCGCCAAATGGCATCGGCAAGTCTGAGCGGGGCTGCAGGCTTCTCTTGGAATTTCCTAGGAAGACACACAAGATCTCATCGATCAGAAGGTCATGGTTGTGGTGATGACAAAGTGTGCTGCTGGCTCAGCTGTTCGACGGCGAACTGCGCGCCAGGTTCCCGGCGGCTACGCGGCACCTGCAGACTATTCTGTGGCACCCCAAAGCGGTCGCCGTGCTGCTCTCGCAGCTGCAACCGCCGCAGAAGGCGCTCCTCGCCCCTGTGAAGGGCGCGAAGCACCGATGGGGCGAAGGCCCTGGCCCTCTCGCTCCCCTTGCGCACGCCGTCAACCACCCCTGGTCAGGTGTGACTCCCCTGCCCAGACCTGGCAGTGCCTGTCTCTGGGGTGATGAGGAATTTGACTGGGGAGCATGAGACATGCCATTCAGCCATTTAGAGGAAGAGCAATGCAGGCAGAGTGAGGTCCAGAACAAGGAGAAAGGTGTCAAAGGAGAAAGCTACCTACGACACCTCTTGAGCCCTCGATCCCGTGTATGACTGAAGCATGCTGCTGCATTTTCCAGTCCGTCTGAGCCAGCCACGTACAGTGCAAGCACTGGTATTCATGCATGAGCCTGCCTCGCTGACTGTACGTTTCCTTCAAATGCACAGGCGATAGGGTCCGTGCAACTTTCGTGGAGTTCTTTGAGACCAAGGGCCACACGGCGGTGCCCTCGTCCAGCGTGGTGCCTCACAATGATCCCACGCTGCTGTTCGCCAACGCCGGCATGAACCAGTTCAAGCCCATCTTCCTGGGCACCGTCGACCCCAACTCAGACTTTGCCCGCCTCTCCCGCGCCTGCGACTCGCAAAAGGTGCGTGCTATGCCAGTTTTCTTAGTCCTACTTCATAGTTAAGCATATGCGTGTGACTGTAGTAATTTCGCACAATGGGCGCCAATCCTGCAAAAGCCTGCCTGCTGGCTTCACTGTCTGGCAGCGGGTACCGTCCCAGCAGGCAGACCTTGCTAGATATGACAAGAGCTGCAGCAGGCACGCTTTTGTTGATCGGCGTCTCTTGTGTGAAGTGCTCCGACCTCTTATGCCATTTCTTGTCTTCCTCATTCTTCAAAATGTGATCGGTTGCCTCCTCTAGAGCGCATGCAGGAGGCAGCGTGCTCCTGGCAGTCCCATTTATGTCTATGTCTCTGCGCAAATTACTGACTCACATACCCACATCATGCATCACTGCACCACAGTTTATGTCGGTGCTCATGCATATGAAATCTTCTGCGCACTCACGCACACGCACAGACCGTCGCTAAGGGGCACGTGTCTCATTTTGCTGCAGTGTATACGAGCTGGCGGCAAGCACAACGATCTGGACGATGTGGGCAAGGACGTGTACCACCACACCTTCTTTGAAATGCTGGGCAACTGGTCTTTTGGGGACTACTTCAAGAAGGAGGCCATCGCGTGGGCATGGGAGCTGCTCACGCAGGTCTACAAATTGGACCCTGCCCGCCTCTACGCCACCTACTTTGGCGGCGATTCTGCGCAGGGCCTAGAGCCCGACGAGGAGGCCAAGTCCTTCTGGTGAATTCGAGTTCTCGGCTTTTCTCTTTCATGCACCTGTATGCATTCTATGGTACAGGCTTGCTTGCAGAAGAGATCTTGGCGGAAATTCAGGGCTTCTCTGGAAATTTTCTTAGATGCTATTGAGTCTGCAGAGGTCTTGAAGGAAATCATTTCACTCGGAAGAAAAGCAATAGGGTCACATTGGTGTCCAAGAAAGCTGCCAGGAAGGGGCATTTGCAGTGCACTATCCAAGCCCAACATGGGTGACTGCCTCATGTTGCATGACAGCCGCCAAGTGATCTTTTGGTGTCATTTGTCTGGGGTGGGCAAATTTCGTCATGCAGTGCCACATCACACCTCGCAGCAACTAACCAAGCGCAAAGTGGGATCGTAGCAGCTTGGTCATGGGTGTCAGCATGCAGGCTGGAGCTGCTGCCGACGGAGCGCGTGCTGCCCTTCGGGTGCAAGGATAACTTCTGGGAGATGGGTGATGTGGGCCCCTGCGGCCCCTGCTCGGAGATACACTACGATCGCATCGGCAGCCGAGACGCAGCGCACCTCGTCAACATGGACGACCCCAACGTTCTTGAAATCTGGAACATCGTGTTCATCCAGGTACGCGCCACTACACTGCTGTCAAGACTTAGCTTTGGGGGCATGTCAGAAAGGGATGCGCAGCCAACTCTCGTGCGCTGATATTATGAAGCACGGTTTTTTGTTTGTGCGCCACCTGCCTGTCAGACGGGGGGGAATGGACCACTGGCCTATCTCTTCCAGGAGAAATACAAAAGGAGGCTTCATCTTCGTTTCCAAGGATCCTGTGAAAGGACTTGCATGTCCCCTTGCGGGGGGAAGGTCGTAATAAAATCATCGATTTAACGCCTCTGGAAGCTCGTGATTGCTGTAAGTGTCATTCTTTTTGTGCTCATATACACTACCAGTAGTAGTATTTACTTATTCCAAAGGAGTGTTGGATGGTGGATATACTCTCGACAATGTCTGGATTGCTGAGAGACATTGGCATCCGCAGTTCAACCGGGAGGCGGACGCCAGCCTGCGGCCGCTGCCGGCGAAGCATGTGGACACGGGGATGGGCATGGAGCGCGTGACGAGCGTGCTGCAGGACAAGGTGTCCAACTACGCCACAGACATCTTCACGCCTATCTTCGACGCCATCCAGACAGTCACTGGCGCGAGGTCCTACACCGACAGGGTGAGTGTATGAGCCCTGAATTGGCTTTCTGCTCAGGGTATCTAACCTGCTATCTACATGCTGTGATACTGCCTGAGTCCAGCTTGGACTTTGCTGGGTCTGGATTCATCACATGATACAAGGTCATGGATGCTACAAGGAGCTTAGCATGGGTCCATGGGGTAATACTTGTTTCAAGAGTAAGAGAGCAAGTGGGTCACTTAGGGAGGGAAAGTATCACCTGTTGACCCTAGACACAAATCGGAAGCGAGGGCTTTCATGTGATTTCAAGCACGGGAATGGGGAGAGAAGCGTGGCTTGGTCCTTGTGGCTACACTTAGTTTAGGGCTGAGCTAGAGAAGGGATAGGGATCCCTATTAGGGAGACCTGGATTGTCTCCATCACATGTATCGAGGGGGACAGCTTGAATGCTCCGAGAGAAAAGATTACCACAATCTGTGCAAAGCCAGCAAGCGCAGGTGCACGGTAGCTGATCATCCGCATGTCTCCTCAAGCATTTTCGCCATGTTTGGAGCGCCTGCCTCTGCACTGTGAATCAAGGCAGGAGCAGGTGACAGAAGGGCAACATTGTGAATGTCTCACTACAAGATTGGCAACGAGCTTGACAACCCACGTTTATTATCCAGGTGGGCAAGGACGACACGGATGGCAAGGACATGGCATACAGGGTGGTGGCTGACCACATCCGCACGCTCTCATTCGCCATCGCCGACGGCGCGCAGCCGGGCAACGACGGCCGCAACTACGTCCTGCGCCGCGTGCTGCGCCGCGCGGTCCGTTACGGGCAGGAGGTGCGCTGCAATCCACACTCATCCTGTGACTCATCGCTTAACTGTGACTCATCATTGCATCTCTGTGGAAGTTGGGAGTTGAGGAGCACTCATACCCACAATGTTGAGGATTGAAAACTTTACTATCGGAACACACATGAGTTTGCTGTGCTCTGCATTGTGCTACTCATGCAGCTTCAACTGACGTCTCTTGTCTCTAAAGTTTGCAAAAGTGCATGGCAGTGTTGGTGAACGGGCTGTCAATCTCAGGCTAAATCTTTAGCACCGGTACCACAGCAAGAGCTGCGTGGATGCTACAAGTGTCCAATTCCTGTTCTAGTCTCACAAATTTGTGCATGCATGCACAGGTGCTGAGCGCGAAGGAGGGCTTCTTTGTGAAGCTGGTGGACTCTGTGGTCGCCAACTTTGGCGGCTTCTACCCAGAGCTCATCGCCAAGCGCGACCACATCACTGATGTCATCCGGTGCGTACGCAGCGACCCTTCTCTACCAATCGTCGGGGCAACCATAAAGTGACTGCAGGGAATAGTAACTTCTAGCCTTTGTGACTCTCATCAAGGAGAGCTCTATTTCCTCCCACCTTTTCCCTCGATCTCGTGTGCCTTTGTGTCAATTTGGCCACTGTCCTGCGCGGTAGCCTTCGTGCTTGTGCCTGCCGATTAAGCAAGACCTGCACTTCTGCATGTAGCCGCGCTGAACGATCTAGAAGACCATTTGTTCTCTTATGCTGAGAATTTGGGTCGTGCGCGCAGGGAGGAGGAGGCGAGCTTCAGCCGGACGCTGCAGAAGGGCATAGAGCGCTTCAAGAAAGCGGCCGCCAACGCGAGCGGTGGTTCCTTCAGCGGCAAGGACGCATTTGAGCTGTATGACACCTATGGCTTCCCCATGGACCTCACTGAGGTGCTGTCCTCGCCCGCATTCATGCAATGCATTGCTCAACATTGAAGTGCTACTCATTAAGATCTGTCAAGCTTAATATTACCTGTACAAGCCGTACACACTGATTGCCAACAAGCAAGCGTCACTTTATCTCCTGTACAAATTCATCAGGAGCTTCAGCATCCTGGGATACGGAACATTGTATATCAAGCAAGCCCATACGCCTGGCATCTTCACTAAGCATCTGAAAAAAAGGAACGTAGACAATCAAAGATTCTGGCAGCAGTACTCTATGAGCAAGTGAATCAGTATACAGGGAAACACTGCCTGTCGAGCTGAAGGTCATTTTCATGGAAGCGCAGCTGATGGCGGAGGAGATGGGTCTGAAGCTGGACAAGAAGGCGTTTGAGGCGTGCATGGAGGAGCAGCGGCAGCGCAGCCGCGCGGCCGGGAAAGCCGGCGGCGGCCCGACGCTCAAGTTCGAGGCCGAGGCGACCGCGCACCTTGCAAACAGCGGCGTCCCCGTCACTGACGACAGCCCCAAGTGCGCCCTGCATTCCCTCTGTCTCTCTTTTGTGCCTCCATCCGACCTGCAGATTTTGAGGGTGTTCCTTTCCAATGTGCATTGCTGTTCAGCAGAGCAAGTGGTGGTTTCAAGTCCGCAATGCTGCTCTGCCCGTATGGTAGCATTACTTTTACGCTCAAGCACAATCAACACCCTGGCACCATTTATCTTCTCAAAGCTTGCCATGCATATTTCTAGCTGGCATTGAGCAAGTGCAGCGCAGCGCTGCATGCGTACAGCCGTACAGCTGTTGGTACCAACTTTCCCTCTGTCAGACATGAGAAGTCTTGCGCTTGGCCGTAGGTACACGCCTGGGAGTGTGAAGACTACAGTGCGCGCCATTCTGTCGGCGTCGGGCTTTGTGGACAGCACGGCTGGCGCGGCTGGGCCGCTGGGGGTTGTGTTGGAGAGAACGCCGTTCTACGCCGAGTCTGGCGGCCAGGTGGCGGACAGCGGCGAGCTGGCTGGCCCCTCTGGCGCCATCTTCACCGTCCAGGATACCAAGGTCCGACCTTCCTGCTGTCCCTGGTTTCTCATGTGGAGGCTGATTTGGTTCTGCCGCATGGCAGTCTTGCTGTTCAGGTTCATGTGTACCTGCCTGGCTTCACTTTTGTGGCTGAGCATTTGTGGGCAGCTCGCTTGTTGATGCCATGCGGGTCGGGGAGGGGCCCGATTTCCTGCGTTCCCAGCAGGACTTAGAATCATTGCTCTTACAACAACAGGAGTCTGAATTAGGAACTTGTTGCGTGCTTTGTTTGCCCAAAGAGTTCTGTCTTTTTGAAATTTGAATTTTGAAATCTTGGCGGGCCTATAGGTGGCTGCAGGCTATGTTCTGCATGTGGGCGAGGCGGCAGAGGGAACGTTGCGCGTGGGCGACACAGTCAGCGCTGACGTGGACATCATCCGCCGCGCGCGCATCGTGCCCAACCACACCTTCACCCACGTCCTCAACTTTGCGCTCAGAGAGGTTTACCCCTGTCGCCCTGCACCTTGATTGCACCAACCATGGCTTCATTGCCAGGCCCATCTTCAATATTCTTGAAAATAGTGCACCGATCTTCTGGGTAAGGATGAAAACATATTGTCCAGTTTTCCTCACCCTTGGATTCATGTGCACAAGCCTGTGAAGTGCACCTGTCTGAAGCGGTATCTACTGGAGCATGTCAGTCGTGTTGGCACACGAAATAAAACAAGTCACTGGATCTGCGGACATGTCTGAGCTGAAGGCAACTCTTTGTCAGTGAGCTCTGGTTCATGCAGCTTTTTACAAGCAAACCTTACAAGGTGATGTGTCCGCCTGAACAGGTGCTGGGGGATCACATCGACCAGAAGGGGTCGATAGTGCAACCGGAGCGGCTGCGATTCGACTTCTCGCATGGCGGCCCCATCGACGGCCCCACCCTGGGCAAGATCGAGGCCATCTGCAACCAGCAGCTGGCCGCCGACCTGGGCATCTTCTCAAAGGACGTGGCGCTGTCAGACGCGCGCCAGATCAATGGTGTGCCACCCTTCCTTCATGCAATGGAGTCATGCGAAACTGCAGGGTTTCATGCTTGCCTACATGCAAGCGTGCCAGGGCAAATTAAAGTTTGGCGTCGGTGTTGAGACCAGTGATCTATCTCCATGCTTGGCCAATCGTACATTGGAGTCTGGCTGCAAGTAATCACTTTCCTAGTTCGCATCGCAGGGCTTGGGTGATCTTTTCTGTCATTGAATTAGCTCTGATTTGACAGGGATGATTTGTTGCCATGACAGCAGCAGCAGCAGCAGGCAAAGTCTGCCTGAGTGGGGTTGCAAAGGGATGTCTTAACTTGCCAATTATGCATGTGCCCATGCATGGGGTGCCAGACGCTGAATGCCAGGCTGCTGTCCTGTTCGTTGCGGAGGCATGTTGGCTTTTTAAAGGGCAATTGTTACAAATGTGAGGGTTTTACTTTGCCTTCAGTGTTGACTGGATTGTGCATGTGCAGGTCTTCGAGCGGTGTTTGGGGAGCAGTATCCAGACCCAGTGAGGGTGGTGTCGATTGGGAAGTCTGTGGAGGACCTCCTGGCGAACACGGCGGACCCAGAGAACGCCAAATACTCGGTGGAGTTCTGCGGCGGGACGCACCTGAAATCGACCGGCCAGGCACGTGCGTTTGCGCTGCTGTCCGAGGAGGGCATCGCCAAGGTGGGGCCGAGATTCTCAAGTATTGCATTCAAAATTTGTCCTATGTACCCCCAACTGGAGGTCATCGGGTTGATAAAGGCCTGGGGATTACAAATTGCTGTCACCCGTGTCACTACTTTGCCCTCAGAGGTCTGGACGAACTCCGGTGATGTTTCCAGCATGTCTGCTGCCGGGAGAAAGTGTCTTGCATTCGTGACTTGCCAGAGCTGGTCTTTCAGTGTAAGGATTACCCCCAGAAGAGGCTTTTGTATAGATCTGCACGTTTGGGGCAATGTTTTGCCTGCAGTCAGTGCTGCCAATTGAGCGAATTTGTAAGAATTCAGAGGCTGACTTTGCCAAAGCACTTTGCATCGCATTGCAGAACAAGCCAGCGACGCAGCTGCACAGAGAAGGAAGCCTGACGTGTCATGATGTGTCATGATTTGTTGCAGGGCGTCAGGCGAGTGGTGGCGGTGACATCAGCAGAGGCCGAGGCGGCGGTGGCGCGCGCAGAGGCGCTGACCAAGGCCATGGAAGCTGCCCAGAAGCTGACGGGGCCGGCTCTGGAAGCTGAGATCGCCACCCTGCGCCAGGTTTGGCCCTGCACCTCTTCAGGCTCACTGTACACTCCCCCACATGAGACAATGCATCTCCGAGCCCACCTTTGTGTACAGTTTTAACCCTTCGAACAGTTTCAACCCTTTAAAAATGGCATTTTGCACATTCTCTCAGTGTGGGTAAGCTTATATTTGCACTTCAGTTGTCATCAGCACCAGGGCTGTCACTGTAAGAGTGCTGCGTCGGACCTTGCTGCAGTTTCCACTTCAGTATTGAGATCAAGTAGGCAGAGCTGTGAGAAACTTGCTTTGACAGGGCATCGATGGCTCTGCGATCCCCGCCGCGACAAAGGCGTCCCTGCGAAACTCGCTAACGGCGCTGCAGAAGACTTTGTTGGAACAGCACAAGTCGGCGGCTGCCGCCAACAAAGCGCGCGCGACCGCTGTCGCCGTCGAGGCGGCTGACGCCGCGGCTTCCTCGGGGCAGAAATTTGTCGTTGTGCAGCTCGAGGTACGCGCCACACGTATTTTGCCATTGCCGCATGTGTACAGTGTGGGAAGTAGTGACTCTTTGATATCTTGCCACTTGCGCACAGTGTGACAGCTGCAGAGCCCTTCATTTTCCTGCAACCATTTCATGGCAGCGACTGTCTATCCACTCTTACCTGCGTACAAACTTACAGCAGCGATAGAATGGCTGGCGGCCTAGGAGTCAAGCCCCATAAATTGAAGTACCTAGAGAAATGATAGTGTTGCAACATGGGCAGTGTTGAACAGTGCCGAGCTTCATTTCTTTCCAAGGAAGGAGGGTGAAGAAGATCTTGGTCATGCTGTGCACACAGCTCCATTCGGTGTGACTCTGTGCTGAGAAGGCGTGTTCTTGGCCACAGGTGGGGCTGGACAGCAAGGCGGTTCTGGAGGCATGGAATGCCATCCACAAAAAGCACCCGGACATGCCCGTGGTCATCGTCACTGCCGATGCGGGTGAGCCTTTCCAGTGTTTCCAGATCAGACATCTTTTAATGCAAAAGTGAGCAGCTGCTATAGACTTTATCTCACGTTCCTGGAACAACAGCAGTGATCTTAACCATTGAACCTTTCCTTGAAGGAGCATTCTCTCATTCCTGGCAATTCTTCCTCTCTGCGCAACTTCGGCCTCGCCTGCAGACAGTGACTGCAACAGTGTTCTGCTCTTCAGTCTTTTATATGTAGTGCATGTGGCCTGGCAATACTGACCGGTTGTTTGCACATGCGCGCAGCCAAGGGCAAGGCGCTGGCGTACGCTGGGGTTCCCGACGCGCTGTCAAAGCAGCTCAATGCCGGAGAGTGGGTCAAGGCGCCGCTGGCCGCGCTCGGGGGCAAGGGCGGCGGCAAACCCACCACCGCGCAGGGGCAGGGGCCAAATGTGGACAAGGTCCCAGATGCCATCCGCGCGGCCGAGGAGTTTGCGCGGCTGAAACTCTAGAGACCTCTAGGGCCCGAATCTGAATTTAAATTGTGCTCACTGGATGGGACGTGTTTTTGGGTTTCACACTAATTTCTGCGAAGAAAATAGAAAATTTGGGATTGTACCTGACTGCTTTGGGTCTCGAGCTTGAGCTTGTGCTTACTGTGCCAATTGTCCAGCCTTTCTTGGGATGGCATTGGTGTTCTGAGCACAAGACTTCCATCTGCAATAGACGGCAAATCTTTTTGTACTGCCTTTAGCGAAGAGAGACTTCTTGAAAAAAAACATGCATGTGCACACACATGGCCTTCATGACATCACGAGATTTGGCCCTCCATGACTTTGCATTGTATTCACATACTTTCACAAGAGCTCAAAGCTGACAATAAAGTAATTAGCTGCAGTAGATTCAAAGCTCTGAAAAGATATTAGAGCTTGCTCACGGGACCTTACATACACAAAGATGTTCCTCAAGTTGCAATCTAGATCTGTTTTCGCCAAGTCAGCCATAGCAAATTGCAAATTTGCCAGAGCGATTTGAGAATTATTTGTTTCACTCCTAACACTCTTCTGTGACACAGCCGCAAGGGGTCTTCATTTTGGAAAGGCTTGAAAGACCTGAACTTTCATTTATGCTTGCGTACAACAGCCTCTGCACCCTTTAAAGCAAATTTGCTGCATGCAAACTGACGACACACTTCCCGGGCAAATACACTGGCTAGGATTGACGGGCTGGGTACCCAAAAGCAAAATTGCCATGTCAATTCTTCTCAGGGCTTCCAATGCTAGAAGGGCTTCTACGCGACCCCAGTAACAAATCCAGGATTCACGCTATCCGTGGGATACTGTTTTAACGCGCAGAGCAGAGCTACGCTTTTGTCACGTTGGAGCCACGCTATCCAAATCTCTTCGCGTACAGAAAATTGTTATATTCGTCTAATACAATAGGAAGAACTTTTATTCTATTTCTGAATCTTAATATTATGATATACTTTTGCGTGTTGTTGCAGCTCAAGTTTCCTGTTGTGATCGAAACCAAACTAGTGACCTGGCCTTTCCCGCCTTCATGACGTCACGAAATCCGACCGCCATGTCTACCGTCTTCATCTTGGGGATACTGAGATTCAGTCTGATCTGACATCAAAGTTCAGATAACAGATCCAAAAATTTCTACTGCTGGTCTAGAGTATTAAAACTCCAGTTGGGAGATCGCTCGCATTATACTACTTTCACTAGTGTGTGGGTACCATATTCGAGTGAGGAGGAGACGATCGGTGTCTACTTTGCCTCTAAGACCCCTTAAATGATCCTAGATTCGACTCACAGACCCGTCAAGTAAATTAGTAGGTCCCGATCAGTACCCATCTTGTAGTTGAAATATACACATCTTCGGGAATCCCAACGCCTAGGTGCGTACTTCCTTTTCTTTTGATGTCTTCCAGCTATTTACAGCTATAGCAAGTTCCTTCAGAGCCTGCGTTATGTAGATATAGCCGAAATCTTGAGCTGATCACGGTTTGAACAGCATCGCATATCTGCTTGCTGGCGACGCTGTGTCTGCATATTGCAACGGTTCAAGGCCCAGGCGTACCTTGTAATGCACATCCGCATCTTCAATACGGCTGTCTTGCTGTTGCTGCAGGTATCATGAAGAACCTCAGGGGCATGATTGCAATCGTGACAGGCGCCGGCAACGGCATTGGAAAGGCCATAGCTGAGCGTCTTGTTGACGAAGGCTGCGGAGTGATGTGGGCAGATGTTGATGGAGAGGCTGCCCAACAGGCAGCCGCATACTGCCCTCCAAACTGCCTGCAGGGATTCCCCTGTAAGGTTTGTCACTGTTCCTGCTGCTGACAAGCCGCTAAATATGTTCCAATGGGGCCTACAACGAAAGACTTCTGGCCACCACTCAATAGACTGGACAAGTCTAGAAGCTACGGCGGCGCTCTAGCTGTCTTGTGTGCCTCTGGCAAGCTCATCAATGACATGAATGATAAATTGCGCTCTGATATGTAGTGCAGGTTGATATGTCAAAGGAGAAGGAGGTGGCAAATTTGATCCAAGCAACGCTTATGCGCTTCAGTCGGGTAGATATATTTGTCAACAACGCGGCGCGCTTTGTTTTTGGCCACGCATCAGAAGTGACCGAAGAAGGTGCTTGCTTGATCTTAGGCACTGTCTTGACATGCTTTGAATTGGGAGTTTGTGGCCTTCACCTTACTGAGCCTCACCGATCCCAGGGACAGGCAAATGTGCAAAAAAACCAAGTCTCCACAGTTCTTCTGAACTTCCAATGGCTGCAGATTGGGAACGGGCCCTGGGCACGAATGTGAAGGGGTACGCATGGGGCATCAAGCATGCCAGCCTGGCCATGATGGCGCAAGGCAGCGGTGAGAACTCCTCTTTTCTGAAGCTCACCCCCTGTGATTTACAGCTGTGTCTTATGGGTGCAGTGGCCTCTTGCTGCTGCGCAGCCTTCATGGCAACTTTACTGCAACTTATGACCCCAGCCGCTTGCCTTGTTGCAGGAAATGTCAGTAGTGTCCAGCGCTCTGCATGGACAGCTGTTGCAAATCGTGATGCCTTGTCTTGGGAAGATGCTCTACAGCTGTCTGAGCAATGGTGCCTGGGAGAAAGGGCTCACGTTTAAGGTCTTGTTCTGCGCTGCAGGTGCCATTGTGAATGTAGCTTCTACCAGTGCGTTCGTGGCGCAGCCGTCTTTTGTACCGTACAGCACCACGAAGGGAGCTGTGCTGCAGCTGACGCGGTGCAGCGCGCTGGACCTCGGGCCGCACGGGATCAGGTACAACAATATCTTCCTTTTTACTGCAAAGGATGAAGTCATCTGGCAGGCATGCATGACCCACTGCCAGCTTGACAAGACATATATGAAGGCACCTGGATGTAGAGAAAAGAGAGCTTGTAGAGCACATACTACTGATAAGACATCTGGCGAGCAAGCAAGTCCTGGAAATGCAACAGGTATTGCTGTGTGCCTTGCTCCCAATTCAAGTCCCTGCGAAGCAATTTGTAGATGTACCGTATTCTTCACATGCAGGGTCAACGCCGTGTGCCCTGGACCGATCCTAACAGACGGGACGGCGCGCCACGCAGCCAGTGTCAGCAAAAGCACAGAGGAGTTGTGCAATGAGATGACAGCGCCACTCATACTGAAGCGCATGGGGAAGCCGGATGAAGTTGCATCTGCAGTGGCGTTCCTGGCCTCTGATGAAGCCAGCTTCATCACCGGGACGACACTGATTGTGGATGGCGGCCTCACAGCGTTGTAGCCTGAGCTGTCGATCTGACATAATGAGACCGTCTGCAAGAATTAACAATCGGAGTACTGGTTGCAATAACTCAGCTGGTAGTCTGGTTGCTTTGCTTTTGGGCCCCGCTTTCTGCCTACGGGAAGCATCTGCCACTGAACACAATAGGGTTGAGCCTGCTTCAGGCATGTGAACCCATTGGCCTTGCTTTCAGAGACTCAGCAACACCGCTTGGCGTCATGGCTCCATGGTCCCATGGTCGATGAATGACTATACATCAACCTTATATGTCAAATGGTTTAAGTGCAAAAGCAAAGTTGTTAAGAATCTTGGTGACACGTTGGTCGGGGTCCAGAATATCCGGCATGCTCATTCCATTGAAAGAGAACATACAACCATGGGAATAGCATTCTCTCTCTTCACGAGCGTGACTCATATTGTAGTGGGCCCTGGCCTAGCAGTGCTAGCATTCAGGTATATTAGTCAGCGGTTACTAGTTCTCAGGACGAAAAGCTTATCCTGAGGCCCTCAGAGCTGGGCTCGGATAAGCAGCAATGCTCTTGTTGCAAGCAACAAATCTGCATCAAGAAGAAGATATAGGTGAGGCACATTACTCTCTAAGCAACTTTGAAACATCGTGAAGAGGAATATCTCGTTCGTGCTCCTCAGGTGACTTGAGTGCATTGCAGTCCAGTATCTCATTCCACCCTGTTGCGTCAATTTTAGAAAATGTGCAAGCTTTATAAATATGCGAAGCAACTTTATACGGAGGGCCTGTGGGCCCATAAGCCAGTACTGAAAACCAAGTGCCAATTTCAACACTTCAAGTTGCTTTCCTCTGTACGCATCTGGGCAGGCTCGTTAGTATGGGTAATCCTCAGCTTTGCTGTTTGTGCATGAAAGCAGCCTTGTTGTTCGTTTGCAGGCAGTTTGCAAGGATGTCTCAGGAGGGAGTCACAGCTGAAGAGGGACCTCTGAAGGTTTACGTTGTTACAGAGATGCACACTCGAAACATGGACGATGGGCACACCGACTGCACGGTTCACGGCGTCTTCAAGGATGAAAAAGAGGCGTGCGACGTGTGCTACAAGCTCTTCACGGAGACAGTGATGGAGTATTTACAGTATGGTCCTATTAAAAGCTCAGGAAGGGAGGATGGTCGGAACTTTAAGGTCCGCCAATCCGAAGGAAGTGAGTATGACTCCTGGTATTATAAGGTCACCGAGACGACTGTGCAGTAAATGACATCTTGGCAGTGTCTGCAGAGAGCAGGCCTGGAAGGTGGCAAACGCTTACAATGCATTTGTCATGCCGCTTGATGCCATCTGTGGTCGAAGGGGTAGATCTCGAGCTGTCCAGACAGGGGCACAGTTCCTCAGGGCCTCACGTTATTGTGTGAACTCTGCTCTTATGAACAGTGTAATTGCAGCATATCATTGCACACTTTTCATGACCTAGTCAGTCTTTGTCACAGAGCCCTTGTCTCCCATGGCGTGCTCTTGCCCCATGCTTCTTCCCTTTGAACAGAACTCTGATAGCGCCTCCGAAGCCTGCAGGCAACTGAAACGGTGATGAGTTGTTTAACAGATGCTTACACAACCCGCAATTCCTTTGTCAGCAAGACTTTGACTGCATTCACTGATATGCAATTTGCTGCATAATTTGTAATGCTGACTTCCCCCTGGGTAGATGGCGCTTGCAAGCTACACAAGCTGGTGTGCCGGGCAAAGAGTGCAAAGTGTGCTGCTGAGCAGTGGTTATCCATCTATCTTTTCTGGAGTGGAACGTATGCAGTACAATAAAAAGCGTGCTGTGCAGGCAGAGCAGCAATTTTCTATCTCAAACATCCATGCGTACATTCCCAGTTGATCCTTTGTCTGCTGAAGCTACCTTTTGCGGGCCGGTCATACGGTCTGTTGCATCTGAGTATTCTTTTCTGTTGATGTACTTCTCACCACGGTAGTTCACCTGCACAGCAAGCCACAACGCTTGCAGGAGGAAGCTAGCCATCCGGAGCCTCACACTGCGCAACACATCTGCTTCGAGTGGGCCACTCATCCTGGGGGCCTGACTCATATATTTGTACTTACCGAAATCAAGTCTGCCTCTCTTTCTTCCCTGCTGGTGTATTGAAGAGTGCCTGCCAGGCCACACAAGGCCCACAAAAGAGGATTCAGCCTCTCTTACTGGTCCCACATCACAGACACATGGAGCACTTACTGTATGGCACTGCAAGATTTTGAGCCCTAAACGATGTGAGTGAGTTTCCTTTTGAGTAGCAAGAATTTCTTACTACATCTCGAGATGTTGTAATATTTTGCATCAACAGCCAGCTGCCTAGTGCTGTGTGGGTGTTGAAATGCAAATCGACTTTTCTTTCTGCCTATATGGCTGGAGCAGTGCTAAGGGCATAGTGTTCCATAATATTTTTAGGCTTGACAGAAGAAAAACGGTGCGTCAGTTCATTTTTGCTGTACGACGGTCTTCTGGCTGTCGCTGCAAAGTCGGGTTGTCTCCTGTGCTTGCTGGAAGAGCCACGTCCTCTATCACACAGCACGGACTGCTCGGCGCAATCTTTACCGCTCATGACATTGCCGTCGATGAAAGGGAAGGGGACCGCAGAGGAACACTATATGTCTCAGCGTGTTTTGTGGCACCAATGGGCCTCTGTTTTTGCCTCTGTTTTTGGCTTTTACCACACGGGCAGGCGGGCTGCCCATCACGTGCACCGAGTCCGCCAATTTTTGTGCAGCAGCATATTGATCGCATCAGGTTTACCTACCTAACTCGCAAACCCGCAGGAATTTCCGACCAGGAATGATTCCAACAACACCCATGGGTCTGGTGTTGAATATAGAGTCTGACTGGCCTTGGCACTTGCCTAGAACCGAACGAAGTTATGACGCACCGTGCTGGCTCTAAAGAACGGTGAGTGGGATATGCGGGTTTTATTCTACCTGCGATAAATACCTCTCAGCCGTATCTTATAAGATACCATCACTTAGATCTCCAACCACCGCGATCAATCTTGGCTGCGGCGGCAGCCTCGGAAACATCGGGAAGAGCAGAAACGGTTGCACCGAAGTGTCAGAAATTAGGGTCATTGCCAGAAGCCAAAAGACACCTATTCAATGCCCTCGTCGCTGGATGAGTCCAACACAAGCACTTGCTGGTCGCCAAATGACTCAAGCAAAAGCGTCTGCTCTCTGCCTGCGAGCAGAAGGAGCACGCTGAAAGAAGGGATCGCGGTGGCTGTCAGAGTGAGGCCTCTGAGGTGAGATGAACGATACTATATTTAGATTACGATGGATATCTGCGCCCTTTCTTGTGCCAGGAGTCCTCTCGGAGATGGAGGTCAAGGTCCTGCCTTTGGCTGTGCATGAGAGACTTACAAGACTTACCCATGTGGCTTACTCTATGCTTGTGCGCTCTTGGCAGTGTGCCTGAATTGGACAGAGGGGAGGCCGCGGTCTTTCTGGCAGAGGGCAATAGCATTCGCAACGGCGCAGACCTCTTCCACTATGATCATGTCTTCAACAAAGAGACCACCAATGAACAGGTGATCCACAACACTTGAACCCCCAAGCTTTGATGCTGCAGCTGCGGTTGAACCCTCTGCCATTGGGAGGGGTACAATCTCAGAAGTCTCCTGCTAATCGGAGACTTGGCAGGAGACTTGATGAAAAACTGCATGAGCTCATGTCAGACACAATAGCAGCTTTGCTGGAACATGGCACAGCGAGCACACACTTCCCAGCAAGGTAATATTCTGGGAAGCTAGCTAAGACACTCTTGAGAAAGACAAAAGTATGGCGCTGGGATACAGGTATATTCAGCAATGGCGCGGGATGTAGTCCGCACCGTGACTACGGGCGGCAGCGGGGCCGTTCTGATGTACGGGGCTACGGGCAGCGGCAAGACATGGACCATGACGGGGGGTCCTGGGGATCCCGGTATCGTACAGCGGGCCATTACGGACCTCTTTATGGAGCTGCCGACTGAGCCGACAACTGCTGTCAACATGTCAGTCTTAGAGGTGTATAACGAGGTGAGCATTTGCCCGGAGAGGCGCCATCGGCAAGTGAACCACCGCAGAAATGTTTGAGCCAGGGATCCGAGCCATGATGAGTGAATCAACTGGAGCTGGGCAACCCATAAAGAGAAAGCTTTTGGTTTTCTAGTTTCAAGTAACATGAATTGCTTCTGACACTTTCACTGAAGGACTTGCCATTGGCATGATGCCAGGTCTTGCTGAGTGTTATTTGGTTGTGCTATCAGGAGCTGAATGACTTGTTCAGCCTGAAAGGGGCGCGGCTGGAGCTTCGGCAGGCCACAGGCGGCATCGGCTGCTATGTGACCGGGCTCACCCAAGTGCCGCTGACATCAGCAGAGGATGCCAAGTCAGCGCTTGCCAGAGGGATTGCCAACCGCAAGGTGCTTTGCTACCCATTGCCCTTTCATCATGATCACTGGCAGACTTGTTAACAAAGTTCTTCTGTCGCAAAACACTGGGCAGCTGCAGCTTTGGCAAAGAGTGGAACTCTGAGATCTTTGCCGGCTGCATGAAGCCATGCTGATGAAGCTGGGGAATTAAGAGTAGGAGATCAACAGTTGATACTAAAATGCAGGTTCGCAGCACGGCCATGAACGATAACAGCAGCCGCAGTCACAAACTCATAACCTTCACAGTGGCAAGGAGCGCCCCTGGAGACAGTGCCACTTCCACCGAGCCAGAAGAGGCGCTGGATGATGTTGCAACCCTGCATCTTGTGGACCTGGCCGGCTCCGAGTCAGGCAGGGTGAGTCACAATTAACCGCACAAATCAAGTGCTTTGTTGCTGTTCGGTGTCAATTGGGCTGCAGGCATACCAGAGTCTTTGCGGCGACGGGCAGTACCACCTTGTGTTCCTTGAAACCAAATAAGATGTATGGTACATTATGTCACATCAGAAAAATAAAGTCACAAGTCTGAGTGATGGTGTCAGGAGTGTTAGACATGCGCGTGCATGTGCATGCAGGTGACGAGCTGCAGGGACAGGCGGCGGGAGAGCGCTTCAATAAACAAGAGCCTTCTTGCGCTTGGCACGGTAGTGAGCGCGCTGTCAGAGGGCGTTGCCTCCCACGTCAACTTCAGAGACTCCAAGCTCACCCGCCTCCTGCAGGCCACGCTCACAGGTCCGGCAAGCTGCCATGCAGCGCGTTTTGATTATTAGTTCTGCTCAAGAGGCCTCTACCGAACGCTTCAAGGAGAGGAAAGAGTCCTGGCAAGTGTTGTATGCTTCCTCTAAAATAACTTAGTGTCAGGGAAATGATGGTCGAGAGGGCACTTCAACAAGGAAGCTAGGACACATTAGGAATTTCATGACAGAGCATTTGGCGTGCCAGCCATAGTGTACTGCAAGTATCCATTGTAATCCAGCGAAGTGCTTACGTAAGCCCAGTGGATCAACATAGTGTGAAATTGAGAACGGCTTTTCGCAGAGGGCGGTGCCAGGGTGGCGTTTATTTGCACGGCCACACCCGCGGCGTCCCAGGCACATGAGACGCGCAACACCCTCGAATTCGGCAGGCGCGCCAAAAAGGCAATTCTGGCTCTTTCAACCAAAAGGATAAAAGGAGCTCTGTCTAAGCCGCATTACAATTCCAGCTCAAGCTGCACACTCACTCACATGAACTCCGCTCATATGAAGCCATTCTGCGACCTGGGCCGGAGAACCTTTATTAGAGCCCAACGTGCAGTCCCACCAAAACAGAGCAGCAAGTCAATGTGCTGTGGCGATGGTCTATCCAATTTGCAGGATTGTCAGCATAGCCAAGGTTTGTCGTGTACCATTGATGAGGGGAATGTAATTTGTCATTATTACATTCCCAAGGATGCAACCTGGGATTTGTCATAAGGTTTGGTTGTCATAACACAAAGGATTTGTCATAAAATGCAGGTGCAAATACCCAAAGAGTCCACGCGGCGGCCGACAGACAGGGAGATGGTGCGCATGCTCCAGAGGGAAATCGCCGAGTTGCGCGCACAGGTGGCGAGCCAGAACAGGCAAGCGGGTGAGTCACCGCAAGAGCCGCTGGACGCTGAGTCAGCCCCCGGTGCATCAGACCACTTCCGTGATATGGCAGAGAGTAGCACACAAGAGATGGAGCTATCAGTGGAGACAGCCTCTGATGGGGAGCCTTCAGAAGGGCTCCAGCTGCATACACCGGTGCAGAAGGTTGAGGCGCGCAGCTGGAACAAGAGAATTTTGGAGTTGACACCAGCAAAGACTGGTGTCAGCAGCAGTGGAACAGATGCCCGTGGGGAAGAGCAGGAATCAGAGGAAATTTCAGAAGAAGGGAGTGGACGGTCAGAGGGTGCCACATCAGCGGGAGGGAGTGATGCAAGGGTTAGTAAGCTGGGGAGGCAGCTCAGGGAGCTGGGGAATTTGGATCTGGACTGTGCGGCGGATGATGGATTACTGGACCTCATCAATTCGCTCATCCAGGTGCGCTGCATGTTGTTGGTATCCCCAAAACAAATTTCAAGTGTTTCTGAATCCAAATCAGATATTTCTGCTAAGGAGGTAATGGATTATTGTGTGAAGTCGCTTTTTGGAAACAGCAGCCTCCCTTTTAAGTACTGAGGTTCAACCCAATGGACATCATACATTCTGCACAGGCATTTCATACATGCTGCGCTCCTGACAAATCTATGTGTCTGTGCTGAAGATGATGGAGAGGGTCCGGCATGTTGTGGAGGGCCGACAGAAGGGCCTCAAGGGCAGTGGAGGAAGGACAAGGGGCAACATTAAGCCAGAGGAATGAATGATTGCCCGTGCAGCGCGTTGCTGCAGTGGTGACCATGCTTTGGGGAGCAAAGAATAAGTGGACATCATTGTCAATACATGCAATGCAGTATCTATGACAGCTCAGAAATTATAGCGCACAGACATTGCCATATGTTGATAGCCATGCATGCCTAGCACTTGGCCGCCTTACGCGATGGTGAACATATGTGAAAGTTGGCAATGACAAATTTTACAGTACAACCATTATGACAATGCATCGGGGAACCTCCTCTCAAAGGAGATTTATAGCTGAGCATCCACGTCCCATTGCTACTTTCTCAGACAAGTATTCCCTGTCAGAACTTCAACCATTCCCCGTCACGAATTCAACCATGCAACAACAGTGGAAAATCACACAGAGTGACAGACTTACTTCCGCATGCAGCACCTGCCGCATGTGACTTGCAAGAATTCCCTACTTGCTGGCTGGACATTATTGTCTCACACTGGTATGGTTTGGACTGTCTCCCCACTCGCGCACTAGCACTACACTTTGGCGGCTGCTGGCAGGACATCCTTTGTCTCGACCGCGCACTCGCGCAGTTCTTACTGCACTTTGGCGGCTGACATCTCTGCTTCCAAGGCATCCAGCTCTTCATCGTCCAGGTCATCGTCCTCGTCATCATCCTCGTCCATAAACAGCGCCTCCTCCTCCTTGGACAGCTTCAGAGACGTGCCTCCATTCGTGGCTGCTGCTGCACCTACAATGAGGAATACCTCAGAATCTAGCATAATCACGTCAGGGTGTCGAAATAGAAGCCCCAACCGGCATCAAAGATCTCAGATGAAAACCAATTCAACGATGTGTTGGAAGCTTTTACACTGCATCCACAGCAGCAGGGTCAGCACTTGAGGCTGCAACAGAGCACCACATCACTCGCCCCCCCTAGAGCATCTGCATCTTGCAAAAGGCGCTCTGCGGTATGGTCAATGCTCACCAAGCCCAGTACAAAGGGCGAAAGAGTGGTCCCTTCCTTTAACACCACACGGGGAATTGAGGCTTGAAAAAGAAACCCAGATCACACCGCAATCATGATCCCGGAGGTCAGCCAAATATCTACTCTTAAAAATGCAGTACCAACCCAGATAACTCTGCATCCAGACGTGCGCGCAGTAATTACTCCTAGAAAATTGCAGCAGCGCCATTCGATGGCCCCGGGCTGGCCGCTGCTACGGCCGATACACTAATGCAGGTAAACTTAAATATTGTATACAGGCAACTCACAGGGAGATTGCACATCTAATTTGATGACCTTTCCGGCCGCCTAGAGCGGATTTGGTGATCTGCGGAGCCCGCAAAGCATTTCGGACCGTGATGCTTATGAGGAGCTGGAAATCCAATTTAAGGGGTCAGGTTGCCTGATTGGGGTGTCCCAGGTTTTTCTTCCACAGTGTTCAATGGGCCTTCCCACGTGGAATAGGTATGGCCTGGTGCTTCTCTGCCGCTATCTGTAATGAGGACCTCAACGCCCACAGGGGAGAGCGCGAGGGCTGGAATTGCGGACAACTCCTATGAACCCACCATTTCTCGGTTTCTTGCATGTCATCCTGGCGCAGGGGCCATGCTAACCATCTCTATATCGCAAATCTAACATGCGTCACGAGGGACAGATAACACATATCACTCCGCGGGTAAGCGCCGTTGCCGGGAGACGCGGCAGCCGCCGTTTGACGGCCCCGGCCCGGCCGCCGCGGCGGCGACAGATGCTCTTATGCACGCAACCTAGATATGCTGCACGCTGGCAGGAGACTCATAGCATACAGCAGGCAAGCAGGCGCGCACCATTGCTGGTAGATGCGGCAGCGCCGTTTGACGGCCCCGGCCCGGCGGCGGCGGCGGCGGCCGACGCCTCGGCAGCGAGGCGGGCGGCTGCTTCCTCGTCCATGCGCCGGATCTCGTCCTCTTCGTCGTTCTCGCGATCGTACGCGTCGTGCGCGCCCGCGTCGTCCTCCGCCTGGAAACCCTCCTGCGCGGGGGAGCGAAGAAAGGGGATCAGGAAACCCTACGATTTGCGCTCTCAGGGTACAGCGCAGGTGTGTGCCTGCTGCATTTCCTCGATGGGCCTGCCCTTCTTGTACACCTATAAGCCCGCGCGGCTCACATGATCAGAGTTTCTGCATGTATTCTAACACTCCAGTGCGCTATTTGGCTTCATTGAGTGCTTGTCAAGCACAGCTGCCAGACATCTCTTGATAATAGAGTGTCCTTAAGGTTGCATGGCCCCTAGGCTTTCATACAGGCATCTGATGACGATGACCCGATGCCTATCCTGCAGACGCTTTACACCCCATGTCACACTGGCATTGTCAAGAAGGGCTTACACATACCTGCTTGAAGATCCCATAACAAGTGCCATACACTCTGTAGCACACCAGTATGAAGAGAGAAGCATACTTGCCTTCATGAAGATCCTGATTGGCTCCAAAGCCACTTGTGACAAAAACCGATTAGGGGGGGCCTAGCCCATTAGGGGAGTAGCACGCCAGCAACAAAGAGTGCACCAATTGAGGCTTAAAAAAAATGCGGTGCTTGCCTGCATGAAGATTTCGCGTCCGGTGAGGATGCCTTTGCGTTTGCGGTCGGCCTCCTCCTCATCGCGTCTCCTCTGTTTCTCCGCCTTGCGCTGCTCCCGCCACCGCGCAAACGTCTGCACACCAAATCTGCCACATAAGCGCTGATGCCGGCAACTTGCATTCCAGACAACTGTTCCTGTTGGGCTAACACAGCTGCTCTTCTAGACATGCCAGCTGCAGCGCTACAGCAAACACAAGGATGGTGAATGCTGCATATTGCCTGATACGAGGCTGCCGCTGAGACCTGCTGAGGCCTGCTGATCTGCATGATCCAGACCGCTGGCAAGTGGGAACCAGGATTGACTATTATTTGCGTCGATAGTCATATTGAGATACGGCAGTCAAAGAGAGCGAACTCATTGCCTTCTAGTCACAAAGGCAGGATGTAGTGTGAACAGTCATGGCGTACCTCCTCTGTGATGGGCGTCTTGGCGTCAACCTTCCGCCGCTCCTCATCGATCTCATCCTCGATAGGCTTCACATTGGCTGCCTCCGCCTCCAGCAGCTCCTGAACAAATCAACACAGACACACATTCATGTCACCACCTTTAAAGACGCACTAATGCACCACGTTTTCCTGTAGCTGGAAGACACAGGAAGGCCATAATCGAAGCAAGCGCCGAGGCTGGGCACAATTGCAGGCATGTGCACTTGCCGGCTGAGCCAGAGAGAGATATCCAAAGTACGATTAGTACTAATTGAACAGCAAAAGAGGGGGATGATGCGCGGGCGCACCTTCATCTGGCTCTTCAGCACGTAGCCTGGCGGCAGTGCGTGGCGGTACTTGCAGTCCTTGCCGTTGGGACACGCCCAAAACCTGCACCATAACACAGGACTCCACTCTCAGTAAACACCAAGACAGGCACAGTTTCAGGCCTAGAGCAACCACAGATTGCGTTTAGGTATGTGCAGGAAGGCTGCAGGCATGCTCTTTATTGCCGCAGCCCATCTCAGACTGACATGACTGCCTTCACGCAGATCAAAACAAGCAGGTATCGTGCTCCACTTACGTGCTGGTGCCACTAGTCCGCCTGGCAAACAGGGGCAGTAGAAGAAATCTTTTGATCTACCGTATGCAAATGCCTCTTTGGAGGACTGCAAGAGCTGCATCAGGAGGGATGTGAAAGGCAGCAGGTCGCATCACAAGGACAGCTCTTGACAACTCATTTCAGTGTTCTTTGTTGTGTGTTGTGTTGTATGTTGTGCAGCTGCCCTGATCTGCAACAGGACTGCATAAATGTGCTCCACGTACGCAGTCCCCACTATTATTGAACTCTGAAGGGATGTCCTGCGCGCTCACCAGCCATACATCTTCTTCTCAACGGCGTCGAGGAAGTATTTGCAGATAATGTCGGTGGGGCGGTTGCGTTCGGCGCCGTGCTTCTGCTTCACAACTTCCTCAAGCTTCTCCTGGTCCCACTCGCCCATGCCCTCCTCATCCTCCTCGCCGCCCCTCCTGTTGTAACACATGCAGGGCATATGACCCATTGTACCGAGGATTATAGCCTGCCCATTCCACAGTTACTTAAAGTAACCTTGTGATACCCTTTTGCATTAAATCATACGCTCTCGTACGAACCAAATATGTGCACACACTTTCGCGTCACATCAATGAAAGCTGCATAATCAACAGAATTGCAACGCTTGTGATGCAACCAGACTGAATCATACATATCAGAAGCTTTTGCAAGCAAGGAACTTTCGTCCTATGTCGAATAACTGGTCAATACAAAGAGGATTGGAGAGAGAAACGAAGGGCGGCACCGTTCGTGCTGTGTCGTCTTGCAGGTGTTGCTCATGTCCCGAGAACACATGCCAAGCATACATGTCTGTGCGTCTGCTGAACTGCAGGCAGGAGAGAAGAAAATGGCAGCACCTGTCCTGGAAGATGTCGATCTTGCCGCCCTTGCGCTCCACGTTGAGGTCGTGGGAGAACTTGCACTTGAAGCCCTTGGTGCACTGTCCATGCCGGAAGTACTCGCACACCACCGACTTGGGATCCACGCCTGCGCAGTGCTCACAAGTGTCAGCTTACATGACAGCGAGAGTGAGTCATCGCTTGGGGTAGTTTACTCGAACGATTCCCTGACATCACTGACACAGGGTGTTGAACTATGGTCCTCCTCGCTCAGAACACCACTGACTGCATGCACCCAATTTTATCCGCCTAAAGGCGTGCGCAGGTTGGCGCGCATGAGTTTAAACAACCATGCATTGAACTGCTACGGGAATCTTTGACGACAGGAAGCACAGTGCGGGCATGTCGGCTATTTTGGGTTAGTGCTGAGGGGAGGGTGCCCACCTACAGGCACCTTGGGCTGCTTGATGGCAACGGCAAAGAGCTCTGCCAGTTCCCTGGCTCTCTCAGCCTCTGCCTTCTTCTTGTCCTGCAGGCAGGCACTCATGCATCAGCGATATCCCTCTTTTCACACAGTCTCAGGCACATTTAGTCTGAGGCAGCCTTGTCATGATCTGGGGCCAAATGCCTGATCCAAAGTGTGGCTGTGTGATTATGATGATGACTTGGCCGGGCGATTGACCAGAGACAGTGCCTCAGGCAGTAAGTACCTTTGCATCAGGGCCCTTCGCCCTCTTGGCTGCATCGTCCACATTCTTCTTGACGGTGTTCACGAACCTGGACAGGACAGCTCATCAGATACTAAAGTACCAGGCAGCGGTTAGATCAATGTACGTCCCCAATACATGCAATACCCATCCTCAAGCTTCTTGTTAGCCAGCAAAGTGTCCAAGACGGGTTGATGTATCACTCTGTGATGGACTGGGACTCACTGTTGGACTTTGGCACTCTTGTTCTTGTTCTTGAGACCAAATGTCTTGTCCTCCGCGACCTGGCAGTAGCAGTATTGTTCATTGGAAGCTTGTTATAGAATGAAATCAATTAATGCAACATATGACAATTGTACCAAGTGAGCAGTTCCTGGGCAAGCAGCTGTCTGCTGCCAGGGGAGCATGCCATGCATCGCTGCGGGTATCGAAGCGATCGCATACCTTCTTTTTCTGCTCAAGCTTTGCTTTGTCAGCAGCTTTATTGCCTTTGTTCGACTTTGGGGCCATCCGCTGACAAAGTAGGCGTCCCACTAGCTAAGCTTTTTTCACGGATTGGCCTCGATTGCGGGCCTCTTGTCAATCGATGTACACTTCTATTTTCACCCTTGAGAAGTCCCCTTTCCTTGAACCAGGTAGGCTCGGCCTTGGATAAGAAAAGTCTGCACGTTGATGGAGATTATGGTAGCTCCACACTCTCTGCGATTTTTGACGCTCGGAGCCTTTATGAATCGATTTCAGATTGACCTATATCTTCTGGAGAAGTGAGGAATTGATAGATCGAAGGAATGCAGCAAAGCAATCTGAGACGGCTCTGCTGGGAAGCCATGTGATGGACAACCACCAATGTAGAATCAAAGTCACGTCCACAGGTGCATGAACTTGCCATTCATCGCCAGGTCTGCCTGCAAAATCCTCATCAATACAACAATCCCCATTTTTCCATTGAGTCGAGATTTCTTCATCTGTTCGTAGGATTGCAGGCTGCAGCGTGTTGGTTTCCAGACCTGCTAAACCTACAGAGATCAGCTCGACGACACCGATCATTTTTTGAAGTGCCTGTTGGTCGTCTCGTACTGTTCCTTGCATTTCCAATAGCATTCAAAAGGGGTCTGTCAGGGATACTGCCCCAAGTTTCGAGTGGGCACATCTTTGGAGTCCTAGCACCCAGGATGTCTGGAGCAGGAGCTTGGTTCCGGACGATGCTGCATCAGGAGCCCATCATCATGTGGAGCTGCATCATTGGAGGCATAGGTGCGCGTCATTTACGAGCTGCCAGCTCACATAGCACCACCTGCAGTTGCTTGTGCAGCAGTGCTATGCATTAGAAAATTGCAAGACCTGATTTTCTGAGGCTATGCATGAGAATATTGCTATTCCGCAGGTATTATCATACCAGTGGTAGTGCCCCCCATCCGGCAGTCCTTCTCAAAGCCGAAGAACATCAGCCCACCACCAGTGAAGCAGGTGACCTGCTTCACCTTCTCTTGTTGCACCCTAGACATGAAACTTTCAAAAATATCACCACCTGGGCCGCATGCAAGAGCAAGGGATGCAGAAGCAGCTTGATATTTAGGGCCTGCTTCATATGTTCAACTGAGCATAGAAATCCTGCAATGCAGATGATTGAGGGAGTCACGGCGCGGACTTGATAGTCGATAATGTATTTCTGCTGCCGAGCTATGCACAGCGCCGGATATGGGCAGCCAGTGATTGAGTCAGATCTGTGTTGCAAGCTGCGGCGCTCAGCAGGAGTAAGATCTAGGGGAGCGGTGTGGCTCATTGTTGAGGAGGTTCTGTTGAGCTCCAGGCAATGGAGCTGCAGATTCTTTGATAGTGAATATTACAAATGGGGAAAGATATTCAGACATAGCAGTTTGACTGCACTATCCCCATGATGATGGGCGCAGCTGTGGGTGGTGAAAGTGACACAGGACAGAGCAGGCTGCGGCTCTGCCACTGCAATGATCAGCTAAACTATTCATCGGTTGAACCTATAACACGATTCCTGAGAGGCTACTGCACTAGGGTGGAAGGATCCCCAAGCTGCTGACACTATCGCCATATGCATCAAAATCTTCTAGATATAGAACATGACCTTGTAAGTTGGTAAGGAGCCTGCCTCCAGCAGATCAAAGGTACAGCATTTGAATGCGCAACTATGTTCACTCGATGTCCACTCTCAAATTTAGGGTACCTTTGATAAAAAATCCCTTATGAGGGGCATGACCTGGCTGCCCGGAAATCTGCCCAGAGCCCCTTGGGCAGCCGCCACCTCATCAAAGCTGCCCACATTATCCCCAAGCTGTACTGTTCTCTTAGGTGCCGCTGTTCCCTCCACACCATTTGCTCTAGAGAGCAGTTCCGCTACGCTCTCTGCGGGGTCTGGGTGCGGTATTGGCTCGAGTGGGATGCTCCTAACAAAAGTGCTGCCTCCAAGCGCCTCCACAATGTGACTGCACAGGGGAACCTCAGTCAGTCAAGTGTCTGATCTGGAATTGGGTGGTTGAAATGGAGGAACAAATGGGTGCTAAAACACCACCCCCGCCATTTGCCAGGGAGCCACGGCAAAAAGACAGGGGCATGACGACAAAAATTGCAAGCCTGGGACCATTCCATGCAAGCTCAAGGCCATCAAAGCCTAGTGCATCTGCATTCCAGCATGCACAGGCATCCAAGCTTCAAAGCAGCCGAAAGCTAGCTAGTCCTAGGCAACAACAGCATTGTCCACAACAACAACACACACAACAACACCAAAGTGGATGCAGAGATGCAAGGCCTTGCGAGCGCCATGTTAAAGGAAGGGCTGCTTTGCAGTTTCATGCAAGACGTGCAGCATGCAAGACTCCTCCGGCTCAACAACATCAGTGCATTACATTACTGTATGATGTTGGCAATCATGTGTGCTTATGCTCACGATCAGCAGTATACAGAGGCTCAGGAAAGTTCTCACGTGAGGCGCGCGATGGCATATGGCACCGGTTCATGAGAGTGGTCGCCAAATTCTACCGGGGTGGAGTGATCGCTCGTGAGGCAGAGGGAGTATCGCCCCCGACCGGACGCCTCGGCCTCCCACAGCCGCCTGATTAGCTGGCCCACCATTGCATCAACCGCCTCAAGATAGCGCACCTGCCAAACGGCGTTCCCACCAATGATGACAATCTCCATTACCAGTACTATTTGCAACCAAGGATCGGAGGCTTATAGCTGTGAGCCTAGCTCGTTGGCAACAGCAAGCAGACAGATGTATGAATTCGCTCAGATGCCCGATTGTGTTTGTAATTAACACGCAGGGCAGAATTTGCACACCCCGCACAATACGTGGCGCCCGATGCTTGCAGCAGTATCAAGCAGCGGTTTCTTTCGGAGGACCCACTGCTTTCCTAGCAGACTGCAGTGCGCAAGAGCATGCAGCAATAGAGAGCCCTCTTGTCACAGGAGTCTTGTGGCTGAAGGCATGTAAGAGACATGCCATGTGGAAGATGAGGCCAAGTCGGTCACCTTGAGCACAGCCTGTCTGTCGTGACCGGTATCGTCCACAGCCTTCACATGCAGCATCCCAAAGCGGTACCCACCGTCGATCAGCGCTGATGAGATCGCCTGTGCCTTCTTGTGGAACTGTGTCCTATAGTCCCCTGCAGTGAAGGGCATGCCAGTCAATGTGAGGCAAGGAGTGCAGTGTACAGAACATGCTGGCATGCCTTTGACAAACGCCCAGAGCCCCTGAAAGGGCCATACTATCAGTGTCTCTGCTCCATGCCCCTCTGTTGCAAGGGGTAGCAGATCTGCGTTAAGTATGCAATCTTCTCCCTGCTCAACTGCACGTACGCGATCTTTACATGGATGGGCCTTGCCAAAGTTATTAGGCAATACCTAATGCAAGGTGCAATAAAGGAGCTTTGACAGCCACGAAGGTCTGCCTCTGCAACCCCATCCACTGTCCCACCACGCATCCCCCAGCATGCTAAACCCACAAAGGAAGACCATAGTGAGAGACAAAATTGGAAAAAACGGCACCTGTGGCTCCAGGCACTGAGAGGCAGTCCATGCCGAGGGACATCCCCAGGCCAGCAATGATTTTGGTGGGGGCGACCATGCATGCGCGAAGCCCATGCCTCTCCTCAAATCCCTCCACAGCAATCCTGCAGCCGCCGTAGACATTCGTTAGAAGGGATTTGGTGAGTAACATAGAAGGTTGAATTTGATTTCCTACATGCTCAATTTGACTTGAGATGTGTCACCCCAGTCCTTGATGCAGTCTGTTGATAGATTTGTGAGAGCAGGAGATAGGCGCTCACAAGGGGTCAATTTCCTACAGTCGTCAGCGCAAGGGGCAAATGTTGCCACTGTGTGCGCCAATCCTCAATACAGAGTCTCTGTCATGGTTATCCTTACCCGCCTGACACAGAAGCACAGAGCGCTGTACATACAATGACAAAATGCAAGAAGTAACGGGGGAGGTGGATTGTGCGCACCTTGATCCGCAGCCCCGCAAAAGCACAATGTTGGCAGGCGGCTTGCCTGCAGCCACCCTCTCCTTGTTCACCGGATGATCCTGCGCACAGAGCCGCAGCAATCAGCTATGCTGCCTCTTGCACTTGAAAACCCTCTATCCTAAATGGACAACAGCAGTTATCTGCCTGCCAGGGTGCAGGGTCCTTCCAGATTGGGCCTGACATGCACATGCAGTGAGAGGTCAAACCAGCAAATACCTTGAGGACGTTGCAGAGAGTGGCTGAGAGCTCGGTGACAAGCACTGCTGTGAAGGCAGCCTCCGGCGATCCATCCAGCGGCTTCACCTCCTGCGCTTGCAGCAAGTAAATGATTAACATCACTAACGGCATTCCCAACAGAGCCCAAGCAGCTATGGAGGATGAGACGATGCCTAACAAGTGAGCTCAAGCCCCTCAAGAGCTTTTGCTAAGGCCTGCTCCTGTCTGGACTCAGATATACGCAGTGGAAACTGGGCGCAGCATGTTGAAGCAGCACCGACATGTGCACCTGGCTGGAGGGAGCGAGATGTCTATTCCTACTCCTGTTGCACACTGTTGCTGCCAACAAAGGGCAATGTACAGGGGCCACTGGCCACTGGTGTCGGCTTGGCACAGCCCCATGCCAGGCGTATGCTCATGCGTTGATGTAAGCCAAAGGAGCAGAAGATCTCAAACATCAAGACAGTTGGAGCACCTGGAGCGGCAAGTTGTCCTTCAGGGGATCAGTCCCAATTATGGCGTCCGAGAGGCCTGGCCCCGAGACGGCCACGCCGCATCGATGCTCCGTCGCATACTTCACCGCCACCGAGTGCTGTGGGAACCCCGGCAGCCGCACACCTGCCCATACAAACACCACTCAACTAACTCTCACCCCACCGTCACGTCCTCCCTTCTGTGCGCTTCTGATAAAGCACTTGTGATCAGCGAGCTCTGGTAAGGTGAGGAATGCTGCCAGATCTGCAGGTCACTGATCGGCTGGAGATCGAATATGAACCCCCCCGAAAAACCTAATTGAGAAAGGCTGTTCCCTTCTGCCAGCATGGGACTGGCAATGTCTTCAATGCGGCAAGTATTGAGGCAATCAGCAACACCATGCACGAAGAATGCCCCATAAATTAGTAATGTAGTGTTTCCGATCGCACCGTTGAGGTCTGCGCACAGGAGCGGCCCGATGTCTTCGAATTTGCGGTCGGCGCGGCGGCTGAGCACGACGCCGGAGGCCGGGTTGAGCGTTGCAAAATTGCATTTGAACGCGATGTCCCCCGGCTGCATGGGGATCCCCGCCCCCATGCTCTCAAAGGCCCCCCTTCCCCGGTAGTGCCTGCACGCGCATGCATGTAAGGTAGGTAAGTCTATTCCGTGTTGCCGGGAGTTTTTGTAAAGTGGTGGGTACAAATGCAATAGAAGTACCTCATCGAGGCATTCTATCTACTCTTCATTGCGTTTGGGCCCAATTTACAGAGGAGATATCACAAGCATGTAGACCATTGCCATGGGCCAGAGGCGATCTAGTCCAACTAACATGACATGGGTGAGAAGGTGTGAAGAACGCACAGCCTGGGCTCGTAGCCTAGGATCGACAAGTGTGCCGTGTCGCTGCCGCATGCAAGACCAGGCTCCACTGGATCCAGCAGACCATTGAGCCCGGCTCCTGCGTATTTGGGAAGTTGAAATATAAAAAGCCGCTCACAACCACTGCAAGCACGGACTTCTTCTACCGCTCTCTAGATTCTGTTCTTGACATGCTGCGGGGACAGCTGCTGGCTAGGAAAGGTGGTCGAGCACTGCAGGACCACAGAAAGCGAAGTAATCTTTGTGAGGCACTACCTGCAACGCTGTCCAGGAATCTTGTGGAAGCGAACTGCAGGGGCGTATTGCCGTTGAGGAATGGAACGCTCACGTCCCCCAAGCCATCGATCAGTACAAATGCGATGCTGTGAGGGATTTCTTCAGCTTTTGCATCTGACTGAGAGGCCATTCTGTATACCAGGGCGTGTCCATCACATTGTCGCGATCTGTTGCAAGCAACAGCGGAGACAGGTAGCTGTCTTTCCAGTTGCCGGCAGCTCCGAGGCTTGTTATATCACGGCTACGCGGCTCAGGAAAGTATCCAGATGATGTCTTCGCAGATATATTTTTTACAGTGCGAAAAGATGCTAGTTGATAGTGGATAACTTTTTGCGCATGATCCTCTATCTTTCTGCTGAACACATAATATTATTTCCTGGAACTCCTTCTCTCTTAATGTATGCAACGTATTTGAAGAGTTCTGCTCTGATGCCAGCAGATGCATGCACTTCGCTGGCAGCTTCCTCCCAAATGGAAGCTTGGGTTACGGCATGATCAGTCAGATATTTCCAAATCTCCAATAGGCGTGGCCAATCGCTGACTGGTTCCCACTTCTAGAATCAGAACAAGCCGGAACAGACTCAAACATCGTTCAGCAAGACACCTGGAATTACAAACAGCGAGGCAAGGTTCTTGCAAGTGCGAGCTTGATTATTATTGGCAAAAATGCAGACATCCGTGATCCACACTCCACTTCCTTTCAGTAGCACCAGAACACGTACTGCACTGCCTGTGCTTCCCACACGCCGCCTTTCACTCGCGGCGCGATGCAGCGCTCAGAAGCCGGAGAGGCCAGAACAGGAGCCGCGCCTGTCTATTGCTCCGAAGCTGGCCGCTGCTGCGCTTGCGGCATCTCTGCTGCTCAGCGCAGCTGCACCAGAGGACGCTCTTGCTGCCAGGTCCGGAGGACGCGTTGGTGGTAGCTCCTTCCGAAGCAGTGCCCCCAGATCAGCGCCCTCAGTGCCTCGCTCAAGGTGAAGCTTCTGGCTTTGCACAATAAAGCAATCTGCTTGCAGCAACCCCGTATTCTCGCTCAATCTGAGATCCATGAGGAAAGATCCATCGTGTTATCGGCTAGTCATGTTCGAGGTTTTCAATTGCAAATGTAGTCCTTAGCAACCATTCAGCTCTGGTGCTGTTGGATGTTTGTCAGCAAACAGTGCTTTCCTGCCTGGGGCAGCGTCCAAGGTGTGAGTATAAATTGTTTGTTTCTCCTTGTTTGTCAGCCCACATGATCAAGCTACATATCCTGTTAGCTTGAGCGCTGTCTGCTTGTTCTGCTGGACAGCTGTCTCTCTTGGGACAGCTGTATGGACAGCACCTTGAGAGAGAACCTGCTGTGCAATATATGACTCCAAAATATCAACCTCCACATGCATTAATTCTCCACAAAGCGTCCACATCAGCGCTACAAATTGCTACGTTTCTCTTTGTCATTGATACTATGGATCTCATTTGTGCTGACAGCTGCTTTTATTGCTTGCAGTGGCCCGAGCGTGCGCAACTACAATTACTACTCGGCCCCTCCGCTTGTGGGAGGCTACGGCGGCTACGGATATGGATACGGCGGCGGCGGCATTAGTCTGTTCCCAACAATGCCCATCTTCTTTGGCGGTGGCGGCCTCTTCAACATCCTCATCTTGATGGTGAGCCTTCCCTTTGCGCTTTGCTTTTCTTGCATCCTGTCTTGGTTTAGATCTGCGCCTCTGTCTTGCGCCTATACTGGCTGCACATCGCTGCCAAGACTTCACGTTGCGCAATGTTTCTCTTGCCTTCTCTCTTGGTAAATTGCGCCATTACCTTGCCCTTACAATGGCTACACATTGCTGCCGAGACTGGAGTCTCTGCGGAGGTGCAAAGCGTTGCTAGAGTGCTGGCGTTTAGGGTCAAAGGTCTTGGAAAAGAAAAGATTTGGGCTTCAGTTTCATTGAGATTCTGAAAAGAGGCTTGGAACTAGACACTTATCACCTGGCTTTCTGTGGTCCTTGGCATAATTGCTTGTGCTCTCTGTGCAGTTTGTGGCGTCAACAGTTCTGGGAGTTGTGCGGAACCTGTTCAACAGGCGGCGTGATGACAACGATGAATTCGATGACTGAGGCAGCTAACTACGTGTGCATCTTGACACTTCAAGCTTGGTCCAAATTTGGTCCAGGTGTTGCATTGTTGAAGAACTGCGCGCGGGTGAGAGCAGTTGAAAAGCATGGATACTTGTGTCAGGGATGTTGTGACTCTGGGGCAATTTTGCGAGTGGAGCATTACACTGGGTGGTAAGACAATGATGTGTGGACCTTAGCTGGCGCTTGAATCTTAGTCTGCGCAATCGTTGTCTTTCACAGAAAGTATTCAGGATACACAGCAATGGTGTGTATCCAAGGCTATGCTCAGCTGCGGAAGAGTTATTCCAAACTTGTGGGCTTGTTGAGGCATTGGAATTAACACCTTCAGACTGATGGCTTCGGAGCAAGAGCTGTATCAAATCAGCACTTCCTGGCACATTATTGCCTCAGGGGCTCTAGTCAGAGGAATAAACCTGTCGGGAAACTGCAATTATATTATTACTTGAATCTGTTTTTTATGGATTATCAGAGTCTCAGATAGATGTAATCGCGCTCTGTGGCTCGATCCTCATTGTTAATATATATAATGCCCAGACGGAGCACAGACAAGAGCGAACGTCAATAAGCACAAGATAGTTTTTTCACTCAAGAACGACACCTGCACTTCCTCTGATGGGATCAGCAGGGCTGATGACACCTTGCAATCCACAAGCATACTCTTCATGTGAAAATCATGTTTGGAAACCTTGAATAGATCCTTGACCTTTCAAGATCATTCCTTTCTGCTATTAGCTACCCAAGGAAAGAGCTGTACATAGAAGCTGCTCTACTGATATACATGTAGCCATTGACAATAACGCACACAAGTGCCTCTGACTATTACAGCCTACCATTCCGGCTCTGCACATCCATTCTGAATCATACCGACATCGCTGTTATTCCTATCATCACTCAGTCCTTAAAGGCCGGTGGAGAAGTCCAGTGAAAGGTTGAGAGCTTGCTGCCAGGGCTCATCGCTCCCCATCACCTGGCCAAAGCACCAAACACCTCAGCATATTGGCTCTCAACCACTGCCATAAATTATCTGGCTGTCTCCAATTCATCCGACTCGCAACATCCCCTAAGAAAAATTTTCCAATTAAGTAGCCCATTCCACAGAAAAGAAGTGCAAGCAAGCCACGACGCACCACATTACAAGTCAGCTAGAGTGCCAAGAGGCAAGAAGCTCTGCCTCGCGGGCACATGGTGTACAATGTTATTGTTCAGTCAGAGAAAAGAAGGAGGTCAACGCTGTGTGTAGATGTGGGACAGACTGGGAGGCGCACTTGTTCCTGGAGGCTGCCGAAGAGGGGGCTGTCAGCCGGCGGCGGCTCATCAGATCCTCCGCTGCCGGCCGCCGCACCAGAAAAGGCCGCGCCCCGGCCAGCCGGGCTGACAGGAATGCCCCCGCTGCCCCGCCGCGCCGGCCGCGCTGCAGCCGCAACCGGCCGCGCGCGCGCCCGGACCACCGTTGTCGGTGCGGCGGCCGGCCTCAGCTGTAAGACTCCTGGACGCCGCTGCTGTTGCGCCTGCTGAACACAAAAAGAAATGCTGCTCACCCAGCACTTGAAATCTGGGTGTCCTGTACCTGCTGTGGCTGCCCTTGCAAGGTTCGTCGAGGCCGGGGCTTTTGTGCCTGTGCCGGAGAAGATGCAGCTGGGAAACTGGTGCCTGCATAAACATGATGGGAAGTGTGCTGCCGCGGCCTTCAAAAGAATGCAAACTTCGCAAGCACCTGGCATGCATGCCGCCGCATGCATTCACGATGTCTGCCGTTGATGCTGTAACAGAAGGCAGCAGGAATATGACAATGCAGCAACATATGCACACAATTGCCAGGAAGATCGTGATACTGTACACATGAGTAAATGCCGCATCGGCTCTGCGCATGTACGATTGAAAGACTGTCTGTAACGCTGTGAAGGGGCTGGAGCAGGACAGAAAAAGTTAGAGCCGCAGTAAATCTGCACATGCCGGATGAACCATCTGCATATAATGCTGTGAATGCAAAGGGCAGGAGAAGACCACGGCGAGTGCCGCACCTATCGTGCTCATGCATTATGGTACAGCTGTGAAGGGAAGGGAGCAGGGTAGAGAAGGGTGGCAGCCGCACCGGCTCTGCGCATGCATGATGAAACATCTAAATTGAAACCCTACTGCTGTAAAGGGAGGAGAGCAGGGGAAGTGATGGTACGAGGCTCACCGGCTCTGCTTCGCTGTCGCTGCTGTCGCGGGGCCGTTTGGCGTTGGTGCAGTCCTTGCAATTGGCCACCAGTCTGTCCTCCGATGTTCCCTCCCTCGCCAGCCGGAACTCCTGCGCGCACGTGTTCCAGACCCTTTTGAACTTCCCTCCGTTATCGCGCTGGCATTAAGGTTCTTTATCATCATTACGCGATTTTCCTGCCAGTGGCAAGGTGCGTTGGCCCCCGCCAACTGGGGCCATTGCATGCAGATGCATGCAGACTGGCATGCACACCCCTAAATTCCGCCTCTCATAACACTATATCACCTGTCTGCCCCACGTGATCTCTCCTGACCCGCCATGCAAAGCGCTGTGCTTGAATGCAGCTGGCAATCTGAAGCGGGCAATCTGAAGCAGGAACTCCCTTGAGATCTACACCTGCCCCCAGCTTGAGACGACGAAAGCCTGCATGTGAGACCTTAGCCGCTGCTGCATGCAAGACAAGATTTGGCAATCCCAGGGCTGCCAGGTGGCTATGTCCCAGAGGTTCTCAAGGTATTTCCAAAGAGGGTCCAAAGAGGCAATGCCCCATCAAGATGTCGCTTTCACCGGTGTCAGCCGGTGTCCTGCTCAGCCGCACCTCTGCAAGCTTCTCTTCGCCGCAGATGCCGCAAGTCTTCCTCCGCGCGATGCCCGGGTTCTTAGCCAGCCGCCGCTGCGCCGCCCAAAGATTGAAGTACTGCGTGTTGCACACCTTGCAGCGCGATTGCAGCCCGTCGGCCGCGCGCGCATCGCGGCCAAACTCCTCGGCCGGCTTTGTCTCAGCGCATGCTCTGCACGCCTTGCGCTCCGCCACCGGTCGGTCGGCTGCACACCAGGACATGCGCGTCAATTTTTGGGTGTAACATGCCTTGGCATATGCGCCCCATCCCACCTTGAATATTTATCTCTGGCTGTGGTCATCAGGCATCAAGGGAATATCTCAGCCACTACAGCATTAAGTCGCTCTGTAATCGCTTGTGCACCATTTCCTTTTCTTGCACACTGCGAGCATATGCGCAGCGCAGAGATCATCCCATGAATTGCTTCTGAGCTTATAGCTCCCTGCATGCTTGCTCAGATGTGCCCAAAACATAGAAACACATGACAGCGCAGGAGCACAGATGCTCAGGCCAAAAGGCAACGAAGAAGGTAAGCACCCACCTCTCTTGCGCTCGTCACGCCACTTCTTGTGCAGCAGAGTAGTGCAAGCCTTGCACTGGCACTGCAGCCCGTCCGTGCGCTTGCGGTCCTTGTGGAACTCGCTGGCAGCCTTCTCCAGCTTGCAGCCGCCGCAGAACTTACGCGTCACACACGGCGCCACCGCGGGCCGCGAGTCGCGCCATGTCGTGTGCAGCTTCTGGCAGCATGGCTTGCAGTACGCCTGCACGCAAATCTCAATATACTCGCTGAAATGAACTTCACCATTGCTCGGTGTCAGCTATCCTTAAACGTACTGTCTGGCTGGCTATCAGTTGCGGTAGCACACTCCTCCCTAGGCAGGCGAACGGTACGTGTAAAGGCTGCAAATGTTGAGGGGTGGGCACCTGGTATCCGTCGAATCGCCGTTTGCTCTTGTGGAACTCGGCGATGGGCTTCACGTCATGGCAGCCTGAACATTTCTTGTTTTCTCGTGGGGCTCTCTGGGCCTGGAGTGGAATCACGGGCTCCTCCTCCTGCTCCTGGTCTTCCATGCCCTCCTCCAGCATACCCCGAAAATTGAGCACAGCTGTCTGACCCGCCATGGCTGAAGTTTTTGCACACTTTCCTTTCTGCTACGTGCGTCTGGCTGTGGCTTTGCTGCTTGTGCTGCTCTACTGGTGCGACCTCAGCGTTCCTACGCGATGTTGACTGTCACATGCAAACCCAGGATCCTCTCAAATTGCCTGCAGCCATGAGGCTACGAAGTCATAGCATCAGATCTTCTATTTTCAATTGCAATGAGAAAGAACGAGTGGGACGACGGGGATGATAGTTCGATGCTAAATAAGCGACAACGAAGTTCCCCAGCAGCATATGATCAGTAATAATGATTTACTTCCAATTTGGTACAATAATAGTGTTTGTCTTTCCCTGGTTTATACAGAATGTCCAGAGCTTGCTTCGAATCCAAGCCATGCATGATGCTTGCGTCACCGCCAGGTCATGCCATATGGCAGCGTGTCCTGATCTGGCTCCTCCGCTTCGCTGCCAGAAAGTGTCCTGCAATCACTCCAGCCTCTCACCTCGAATCCTTTTGCATCTTAGCTCATTCCAAGACTTGACATCATCGAAAAAGAATCGATTCGAGAGAAGGATCGAAGGACTGAGCAGCATTCGATTAGCTTCTCGCTGGCTGGTCGACGCTCTGACAGCAAGTTCTGGCGCCCTCTTACTCATACTTGCGAAGTGAGCCTTTGCTCGGGTAAATTTCTCATACACCAGATTACGCTTGGATAAGTGTCATATTCGTGTGCATTGAGCTGCGTATGATCGCACGTAGCGAAACATCCGTTTTGATCTGGCCAGTCATGACTTCGTCTTGGATCACTTCCCCAGAGTCATTGAATCGACCGTCTTCTTCGAATGGGAATCATAGAAAAACAGGTGCTGTTGTGCAGCAGGCCAAGGCTATCTGGATCCAGGGCTCGTACCAGGATAGTCAGAGATCATCACATGATTGCTGGGCGAGGGCGGCAGCACGGTGCATGGATTGCTGCTTTCTTCGCCACTGCAGGTCTACTGCTCACGGCAGTCCAGGGAAAGGCACGTTCCTGGGGTCACCGTAGACAAAGGATTCGTTCCCACCTTCTGAATGAAAGCCTGCTGAGAAACTGAGTGGAAGTCTTGCCAGACGACCTTGCTCTGAACGGCACCATAGGTCAGCATGACCCCTCAGCAGCTGAGAGTTCATGGACACCTGTCATCTTACCTTCGCTCTGCAGAGCAAATGGCATGCTTCACCCTGGCAAAAGTTGTTCCAGAGTCAGGAGTGTTGCAAAGTTCAATGCAACAACTCTCGCTCTTGCTGTCATACAGGATCAATGCTAAGCACCTTGATACGCTCGTTCAGGACCCTGCTGTCAGCAGAGGTGGCAGGCTGGCCCTCAATGCTGTCGTACACGGAGGGCCATGGCGACCCTTTCTGCTGTGCGCAGGTCCCAACAAACACATCCCTGCTGGTGACACTCTCGCCGGCCACAGGGCAGGCGAACGCCAGTTTCGCGCAGCTGACAGCGGTTGTCTTTGCGCTTAGTAATGGGACGGCGCTGGCGCCGTCTGCGGGGTCAGTGTCATTCTCCCGGGACGGCGCCAGTTTTGGCAGCGCACGACTCACCCCTGTCAACTCCTCATCCACCCCGGGCACCTATGCAGGCAGGCTTCCGTTTGCCATGACTGTTTCCTCACCTGGAATTGCGTAATGTCTTTGAGAAACGCCAGAGAAAACTCTTCGTGAGCCATATCACAGATCAGCGTTGGTTGGCAGTCAGGGTACTGCTTTTGCACTTCCTGGACCGCAGAAGTGAGTACCCGGTAGTGCAAGTTTGCCCACCACTGCAAAGCCAAGCTTCATATTTATCAGCAATGGATGTTACTATTCTGAGCTGCGTGCAACCATTCAAGCACCTTGAAGGCTTCGTGTGCATGCGCAGGTTTCATGTTGACTACACTGCCGAGCGGGGACCACCAACTAGTGGCAACTTTTGAAGGGAACGGTGACTTGGAGGCGTCGACTTCGCTCCCTTTCTATGTTACAGCTGGAGGGGTGAGTAACCGCAACATCATGCATGGAATCTGTAAGGGAGGGTGTATATGCTTCTCATAAGGTAATTCTGCGTAGATGAATATTGAAGCTGACGCAGCCTTTGCCTTGAAGTGGCATGTGTCTGAGGAGCAACCACAGCTAGAGCATGCATGGGACTCTTTGCAGCGACATGAGCTTGAAACGTGCTGACCATGCTTCTTTTGTTGACCAGGCGAAGCCGGGGAAGCACGATGTAAACGTGCCGGACCCTTTTGGGAAAAGCGGGGGGTCAGAGGAGTCCCTGGGGGTGAAAATTCTGGATGCTGCAGATGCCAATACAGCCCCGGACGACTTCAAAAACATTGCTCAGGTGAGCGATGACTACACATCGCGTCACTGATTTACCTTTCTTGATCATGTCACACATTACTGCTTTGTCAGCTAAGGTCCTGTCCTTATCCCCCGCTGCATGCTCATCAATGTGCATGGCGTTGAATACTGTCTTTGCCCTGGCTCTGGACATCTAAACTGCTGGCGTCGGCAGAATTTTGGCCGGGCAATGATCGGCACTCCATTGCTATTCCTTGGAGCATGTAGATGACTGCGAGATTAAGACCCTGGGGGTGTTTTGGGGCAGGACCCTCAATTTTCAAAGGGCACTGGCAGTTGGAGTACCCAGGGGAATTCGGCGGTGTCAGCATACAGCACTGGGGGCTCGGGAGGCAACGCCGCTGTGCGGCTGGGGCAGGGTGGATACGTGTGGCAGGCGCTGTGGTCAGGGGTAAGACTCTACTGCTCTATTTCTTGTTTTTTATGTTGATGTTTTGTAAACAAATGAAGGAGCACACAATCCCCATCAGTAACATAAAGCACTGCACGACCAAGCATCTGCAGGTAATCAGTGACCACCCACATTTGGATACTTTGTGCTTGAAGATCTGTCATGAAGCTCAGCAGTCGAACTGGGACTTCAAGACCTGTGGTACCTTTTCCTGCCTTGCATATTACAATGCCCTTCGTGATATCATTCTTGTTCAGTGCGGCGTCCTTCCTGTGGGCGTGTGCAGATGTAAGAAATTTGCCCCAAGGGCAGTGGAATCCTGCTTGTCTCGAGACTGGAAATGAACAAAGCCTGCTACGCAAGAGTAATCATCACTTGGCACTAGCAAAACTCCAAATACGTGTGCAATCTGTGCTAAAGCCAAGATTGTTATCTGCGGGGATCTTTCCATGCATCAAAACCGTGCCTGTTAAACTGAATCGGAGCAGTTCAAAACAGCTGTGTAAAATCTGAAAGGGAATTATTGCTACCCGCAGATTAGCCCAAACACGGCGTTTGTTTTTGGCCGCCCAACTTTAGTTTGCCGACAGCCATGGTCTGGCGGGACTACTCTGCTACTGAACTTGTGCAAGCATGTGCCAGTCATTGCTAACACTAAGCGCTTCAATCCGCAGATTAACCCAAATACGGCGTATGCGGTAAGCGCGCGGGCATGGGTGGATGACGGCTACGGTCTAGCAGGCGTTACCTTTTTCACGGGAGCCGGCGTGAAGCTTGCGGCAGCTGGCACGCGCGTGTCTGCGACGGCGTCCGGCGTCGTGACTCGTGGTGTTTTTGTCGCGCCCCCTGGCGCATACTTTGCCGCCCTCTGGGCCGGCAAATGGACCGGCGGCGGCCAGTTGCAGGTGTGGCCCTTTCTATTGTAGTTCTGCCAAATAGTTTAATCACAATTGGGGCATTACTTTTGTGTGCAGATCATAGCATGCTGCTGGCCATCAGATGTTGAATCCATGCTAAAAAGGCTGCTTACAACTGGGCAGAAAAGCCACTGCTGGTCCACAAGTTTGCTCTGGAATACTTTTAGCTCCTGAGTCCATTCGGGCTGATGCTTCATCTTACAAATCCAATAGATCACTGAACATTGCGTCATGCATGCTTGCGGGTGTCTGCCTCTTTTGCCAGGCCAATGTGCTCTTGGCCTCTCTCTGAGTGTGGCAGCCTTTACCAGCCGCCGTCTGCAGACGCACCTTGCCTCTTTTGGCAGGGACTAACATGTAATGATAAGTTTAGTCTGTGAGCCTCGTCTATCCCATGTTTGCCATGCAGGTGTCAGAGCTGCAGTTTGGCCCGCTGCAGAGCGGAGCCCTGAGCGTGGACTGCTCGGTGACGTGGCGCCAGCTGTCGGCCAGCGGCCCTGGCATCAACACCAACTACCTCATGGACATCTCCCCTGAGTGGCGCAACCCCGGGGGGCCAACCTTCCAGGAGGCTTTGAAGGTGGAATTCCTTGTCTGCACATTATAAACTCATTGACAGCCTACAGCAATTTCTGCATGTGCTTCATACAAAACTTTTGCAACGACCCGCAAGTCTATCTATTTGTCATTGGAGCTAAAGTACAGAAGACACAAGTTTTGGCATCCTGCACAAGGCGTTCCGCGTGGAACGCAAATCGTGACTTCTCTGACTTCGCGCAGTGAAATTGGGAAATCCTTCAAATTCGCACCAACCCGTGATTGTGCAGAAGCATTCACAATGGTGCCCGGGGTACCATACGCAGCCAAGCTTCTTTTTGTTGCTGTGTGCCCACATGCGAGCCCATACCCTCAGCTGAGACCTGAAGCGACAGTCGCATGAGACTAGCATGCACATTTTCCCCATTCCGTTTTGTTTAAACCCCTGTGCATGCATGCAGGCGATGGGGACAAGATCATTGCGCTATCCTGGGGGAGAGGAAGCGAACAGTTACCAGTGGGCACCACCACCGTACGGACCCACAACCAAACCGAAGCCCATACTGACCACGACTTACGGGTTCCCCGGCGGCGATTTTTTGTTCTACAATGACTGGACCCGCACCTTCCAGGTACACTTGGGCATGCATGCAGAAGTCGGGGAACCATAAATTTTTCTTGCAGGACTGCTCCGGTGGTAGCTTGCTCTGTGATTTGTGGTCTATTGGTGTCTGTCCTGGCAATGGCAATGCTCCCCACAGTCAAAGAAGGAGATAAGTAGACCTGTGCCATGAAGGCACTTTACCACGAGGCAAAGACTTTGTCAGTAGGGCCGCTGGAAAAGAGTAAGTATACCACGGCTAAGCTGTGTGCATCGGAAATATTTATTGACCCTCAGAATTTTGCGCGCAGGGGTCCGTGATGAATTTTGACGAATTCATGGAGGTGGCGGCGGTGCTCAATGTGACTGACCCTTACGTAATCCTCAACCACGACAGCGTGAATGTGGACGGCCGGTACGCCGACCCGGCCTGGGGATACACCCAACTCAAGGCTGCCGCCGTGGCATGGCTGCAGTACATTGTGCGCATGGGATACCCGGTGAGCCCCTGCTGCTTACCTTCAATTCTTTCCTTTTCTTTTTTTCCTCAGGTTTGCGGGAGAGTGCCTGTAATGCACTTGAGCTGTGGGGGTGCAGTGGGTGCAGCCCTTCACCTGAAATGCAGCCATGAAATCTCTGCCAGAACCTCTGCACCATGGCAGACTTGTCGAGACCTGTAGAAAGCCTGAGTTGGGGGGAAGAATGCTATCTGTAGAAGTGGTATTCCTATTTTTGGTCTCCTCATTGCCATGGTGGCAAGGGTTTCTGCCACTGAAATGAGGGCTTGTCTCAAGTCAGGGAGCTCCTTGGATTTTACTGGAACGTGGGCAAAGCGCAGAGACCGGTGAATTTCGAGCTTGAAACTTGTATCCAATTACGCGCTGTGCTGACTCGCAGGTGCGCCACTTTGAGCTGAGCAATGAGTCGTGGAAGACCAATCAGGCGGCGCAGTATGCTTGGGCGCTGCTGGACTGGGCGCCTGCCCTAAGGGCAGCCCACCCGGGCGCGCTCATCGGCGCCAACGGCCCGGCCGGCAAAACAGAGGTCGGCGACCGGGACAGCGGCGTCGCCTGGTGGCCGCAGGTGACTAATGCTTAGTCATCCAAAGTGCTCCTTGGGATCAATGTTGGAGCCTGTGAGGCATGCCGCTCAGGCTCTGAAGACGAGGTCGTGTACTGTGTTGCCTGTCACCCACCGCATGCAACGCAGGTGCCTTGAGAAGCTGCAAAGGCTGAAAGTGTGAAAGTACTACAAGTCTGAGCGGGATCATGTGTTTCCATGGCACAATCACGTCCTGGCTGTGATGTGAAGCCCTCAATTTTTACCATGACAAGTGCCCTTCTGTGTGGTTGCCAGCAACTTCACCGCCGCTGTGCTGCTCATGACCAAAGTTTGAGACTCCAGCGCAGTCTCTATGCGGGGGCATTGGATGAAGATCTGAAAGCACTTTATCAGATTCTATTAGCTGATGCATCATGGCTGGTGCTTACAGGTGCTGGGCGCAGCCAGCTCATCGATAGACTTTCTGGCGGCGCATCCTTACCCGGTGTACGGCTGGGATTACTCAGACTATCTGTCAGGGAATTATCCCAACCTGCAGCAGGGGGTCATCGAAGCAGACATAGCCATCCAGAGCTTCGCGGCCCCTGCAGACAGGGAGCGAATCCGAATCGCCGTCACAGAAACAGGGGTTGTCGACTGGAACACAAAGTGAGCTACTTATCCCAGATACTAAAACCATGCCTGAAATTTGCAGGAGCCTTTTCTTACAGGGCTAATCTTCATGCAGTGATGTACTATATGTTGGGGAAGCTACCCACAGCATGCTCCTAGCAAGCAATATTAGACCTTCAGGCTTGATTTGCACTATTCCGCATCCTTCTTGGCCGCACCTTAAGCACGCCTTCCGCTCGCATAGTCAGTTCCTTTGTTCCTGTGGCAGCATCCTCAAGACACAGCACGATATGTTTTGGTCTGATGTATGAGTCTGCAGACCCTGTTTTTTCCCGGCATACGGTCCCAAAAATTCTACCGACATGCAATTGATATCTGTGCAGGTGGTCAAACTCCCAGGCGGACCTGGGCCATGCATTAGTCGCGTTTGACATAATGGCCAACGCGCTTAGTCACCCGCGCGTTGATGTGGCGCAATTCTGGACGACCAGGTGGCGCTTCGGCGGCTTCGCTCCAACCAATAACCCCGGATCTGTGGCAGACGCCCTCAACGTGAGAACCCACCTCCAACTGCTTTACACATTGAAATTAGTAATACGATCCAGAAATAGAGCCCACCTCCCATTGCTTTACACAGCTTGTCGCGTGTGACTGTGCATTTTATACTGCTGCTTGTGCCAGTACTTGTCAGCATTTCTGGGTCATATCAGATAGGACATGTGCAGACATTTTCTCATCTGCATGGCAGATGACAGGGTGTGCGCTGTATTTTGGGCTGCAAGAATCCCACATTTTTAGAGATGCCCAAGCTTCTTCGGCCTTTTTGTGGGCTGTGTCTGGCATTTTCGCAGACACTTTGGTCGATTTGCATGGCAGATGACTGTCTCGGTAGACTGTGCTCTTGTATGTTAACTTGTCATGACTGCCACTTCGTCAATTATACATGTTTGATGCCTCCCCGTAGCTGCTTGTTTTGGAGTGCTTCATTGCAGTACCTTCCAATCTGCAGATCCGGCAAGAAGTTTCTTGGCGTTGTTTACGGGAGGACAACTCGTTCTAAAATCTCTGCCTATGCAGCACTTGCAGCAGCACAAGTTTTGGTGCTGCTTATAGGGGGACAACTTTTTGATAAATCCCTACAAATGCAGCAGTCGCAGTGCTGGTCCTGTTTCATGGGAAGACAACTTCCAGTAAGACCATTTCTGGTAGCTGCTTGTAGGGGGACAGCTAGTTGATAAATCCCTGCCAATGCAGCAGTTGCCAAGATTGGCCAAGCTGGAAGGCTGTCATAGAAACGCTGCTGCGACGCACCTAAGCCAACTGTGGCTTGGATAGGCGTGTAATAATAATAATGATATCAATGCAGCAGTTGCAGTGACCCAACTTCTGGTGTTGTTTCACAGGAGGACAACTCATTGACAGCTCTGGGGACGGCGCTGTCTCTGGTGGGCCGGTACTTCGCCGGCGGCCGGCTGCTGCAGAGCGGCTCGTCCAACATAGTGCGCACGTGGGCGGTCGTGCCTCCTGGAAGCAGCCTCACCATCATTCTGCTCAACAAAGCACTGACCGCCACGCAGCAGGTGTGCACAGCTGCTCTCAACCAGTTGGTCCCTTGAAGTCTACCCTGGGCATCTGAATTTAGATTCTGCTGACAAAGCCCTTACCGCCACACAGCAGGTCTGCACAGCTTCCCACCCTGTCCTTCCCACCGTGCCTATTCTCTTGCCTTGTCTGTGCTTGATTTAGATGTACACTTATGAGACCGAGCCAGGTTGTTATTGCTGTGCATTGCGTGCACAACAGGTACCCCCCTCTCTCCTGCACTCCTCCACACCCCCGTGATTATAGACTTGTTACTGTGGTGGGTTTGCTAGTCCAGGGTTCACTCGTTTTATACAGCTGCTCTTCACCAGTTGGTCCCTTGAAGTCTACCCTGGGCATCTGACTTCAGTTTCTGCTGACAAAGCCCTGAACACCACACAGCAGATCTGCAAAGTTCCCTCTCACAAGATGGCACCCTGGAGTATCTGAACAATAGGTGTGTAGTCAGGAGCCCTAGCATCTTGAGATGAAGGTGGAGGTGAGACTTGGAGCATGGTGCCCGCAATAATTCGATTTCGTGTTTCAAGCAGATGACTGGATTCTACAAAACCTTCTAATGACGGGCTTGTTTTGTTTTTTACTGGTACACATCTTTTGGTTCTGTTGTACCTGAGTCAAACACGGAAACTAGAGTCTAATCATTTGCTCAGAAACGTCTTCTAAGATTGTCATGGCCATGTTCCCTGCAGGAAGTTTCTCTGCTCGGTGGGTGTTTCAACAGCAGCAGCAGCAGCGCGCCAAATCTGGCGCCAACCGAGGCATGGCTGTTCAATGGTACATCTCCCACGGACCCGGCCCCCGTCCTAAACAGGATCCAGGACCCCAGCCAATTAGTCACCGCCAGCAACGGGCGACTAATCTTCGCGCTGCCGCCGCTGTCCATCACTGCAGTGACTTTCTAGCTCTGAGCCTGTCCCTAAACCGTAAACCCTAAACCCTGAATCATGATGCTGGGAGCCTGATACTGCACAAGTGTTTCTTGCCAGCATGGATCCATGGTGCGGACGACTGTTTTCTGACCGCGCCTGCTGAATTCGAATTCTGTCAATGTGTCCCGTGCTGAATCTATGGTGAACCCCGACTTGAGGGGTGGAAGTATCAAAACACATTTTTGGTAATTCATGGGTGTAGAGTCACATGACATGAGTTGCGTCAAACGCGTCTTCAATAATCCTGGAACAGAGTTTTGCCTGTTCAATTGGAACCATGCAAGTCTGTGGCGCCGGCGCTAGGGCGCTTCATGCTGCAATTGTGAATTTTGGAAGAAACCTGTGAGCAGGGTGAGGGATGTTTGACCAATGAAACTAACAGTACAGCAGCTGACCATGACTTGCTTGAAATTTGCCGTAGTTCAGGCCATGACTTGGCCAGGCTTGTACTTGTATTGGTGATGTCACTCTGTTGAGTGCAGGACCGTAATTGTAGGTAGGGGGGGTAATTTGAGCTGGCGGTGCTTTGGTGTTTATCTTGAACTTTAGTTCCCAGAACGGCACTCATTTGTGTCTACGCTAGGCATGAGGAAGTTTCAACCTACAAGCAGAGATTTGATGTGTGGACTTCTAGTACTGACTAGTCAGAGGTTCATCAAAGAGCACAGCGGATTTGTGCAGAATTCTAGAATCACAGTTTGGGAATTGGCCGATATATGGCTGGCGTAGTACATTGTGCTGAAATCCCCAATTTGTAAGAGACATGAGAGGCATGATGTTGTGATCTCATTGTGACAATAGTTTGCAGGTAAGGGGCATATGTACAAGCACAACGCCTTTGGCATGCTTTGTGGTTGCCTGAAGCTTCAGCATAGTTGACCTGCAGTGCAGGACAGCTGTCCATGCATGTCCATATGGAAACTGCACCGTAGATAGAAGATAGAACCATATATACATTGCACAGTGCACCCCTCACGTCGAGTGGAACTCTGTTGATGACATGCGGTGATCTATGAGCGGCGGGTCCTGCAGATTGGGGTTGCTTCCATACGAGGCCTGTGGCTTGCACGTAAGGAGCTGATGGACTTACAACTGGGAAGGCGTATTAAAGGTCACAAGGGTGCTGCATGCAATTGCATACATTCCCCGCCGCCGAACGGACCAGATTCCCATCTCTTCCTCTCCAGGCCCTTGATGTAATCAAGTTTAGGAGCCATGCATGTTTTGCAGTCTCCCTGGTTCAAGGAGAATGCAATTCGTCACACGTGTCTAAAGGTTATCAAGTTTCAAATTGAACCTCACACATGGATCGTTCATACCAGGCTGAAAATGCCCGTTCTCGTCCGCTCCCGGAAGCAAAGCTGCCTTGGGCGTCACCAGTAGTGGGTTGGGTGACCACCTGCGAACCCGACGTGACGATCTGTTTTTGCACTTTCGGCACTCGGTTGCTTTTCGCCCATTGCACGCGAGCAGGCTCGATATTCTTGGTACAGAAATGTCTTATTGATTCAATAGCCTTGAATAGACACCGGCGCAGAGGTCAGCGGTTCGAACCCAATTGGGGGACACAGGAGGCGGCTGCAACTTTTTGGTCATTCGCCATAAGGCGAATGCCCTTCACGGTCGCCCAACCTGGTACGATTTATCTCTAATTCTTACCCCTTCCCTATGCCATTTGGCTCCTGAGCAGGCGGCCACGCTTGCTGTACGGAACGCGAACCGGAGTCTAGAGGTCGTTTCGAGGGGATTGCCCCGTTTTAGGCCCTAATTTATCTCTAAATATCTCCCTGGCGATTGGCTTTACGGGCCTGCGACTGGTTCTGCCCCCCAGCTCGCGTATGACCTCGTGGCCGCCCGCGGGCGCTCCCACTTGTTTAGACGCATCAGGACAATTCCACATCTCCTCCTTTATCTTCAAGGGTAGAATCTTGTTTTACAGGGTTGACAATGATATAGATGATGCAGGGATTTCCAGTGAAGTGGCATGCGCTTGCAATTGCATGATGGTCCCAAGTGAAATGCCGCTGGGCTCCTCAATAAAGCGTCAAGCAAATCAGACAATTTGGTGCCATTACTTAGCTAGAGCTACAGCTTAGCTAGAGCGGTTATACGGCATAAGTTGTATAATCTATAATATAAATAATAATGTATATCATAACTGATGCCGCATCTGTGGGCAACGTTCTTTCACGTGATAAGCAAGACAGCCTTACTGCGCATGCACCGTAACATTCTGTCCCACAAAGGCAGCAACCTTTCAGCCATCAAAGACAATGTGCACGCGCTTTAAGATATGGGCGCATGAGCGACGAGGAAGAAAGGCACTCACAAGAGATGCTCCCACACAAAAGGCCTTGGCTAGCTGTGACTTGCTGATCATCAGTCACATACAATTATTGTACAGAAGACAACCCTCACACTGCTGAGCATGTGCCTGCATGTGAGCATGAGTGAGCGTGTGAGCATGTACCTGCATGTGAGCATGTGCCAAACTCAACTTGTGCTGCTTCACAGGGCCTCTGCAAACAGCTGCACTTGTGCATCCTTCAGCAAGTGCTGATTCTCAATCAGCCTCAGTTCACGGTCCCTCGCCACCTGCACAACAGCAGATTATTATTATTACTATTGTTACACGCTTTTCCTGCCAAATGGCAAGGTACGTCCTGCAGACAAGCTGCAATTATAGGCTGCCACAATCCTACCACTTTTTGGACTCGCCAGATCCAAGCACGACCCAATCAAACGTGGGCACGGTGCTCAGTACTTAAACCGCCCCCCGCCAGCAGCAGATACACCCTCTATTATCTATAGTGCTCAGATATGGACACAACCCCATTCTCTAAATGCATCAAATGGGCTCACACAAAAAAAATCTCGCTCACATGCAGCACACAAGCATAAATATAGTCACTATGTCAGGATCCCAAATATCATTCGCATGCGCGGAAGGAAAGGTACCTCTGCCGGATTCACAGTGTGCATGTGTCGTGCAGAAGTCTCAATCGGAGCATTTAATGACGACACAACACTTGGCACTTCTGACAATTAATATGTTAACAACCCTGTGTATTTTTGCATGCCTCATGGGCAGGTCACACTTTAATGGCTGGGGTCGAAGAGAATTATGTCTCACCTTTGCATCTCGCTCTGAGGTGAAAGCCGACTGCCCGGCAGCTTTGACCGTGGCCTGCAGAACTGCTTGCAGCGTGGCAACTGCCTTTTCCACAGCCCCCTTCAGATTCCTGGGCTGCTTGTCCAATGCTGCCAGCAGCAGCACCGTCATCAGATCCCCTGCGCATGACACATACTTTGCTGAGATTAAAATGACTTTGCTGCCTTTACTTTTCTGGTTTCTGGGTTCTAGATCTTAGCCTTGCCTGCATCTGCACGCAATGCAACTGCTGCAGTCACGACGCATGCAGGGCGAAATCAGACCAAGTCAAAAATAATGATCTTTGCAATCTACCGGAATAGTGCTGCTCCGATACCAAGCTACAAAGCCAGTAGCATCAGCAGCAGTAAGCCTCCACTGAACGCTTTGTAAGTTGTTGACATAAGAGCGGCTCATGATGACAGTGGAGTTACTAATGGTTGCAGCTCGACTAATGACGGCAAACACTTCAGCGAGTACCTGTGCCGGTGAAGTATGCGGCTGATCTGGGGACTCTGAGGCGGAGACGGCTGGGCAGGCCATCATCCTGAGGCACTGTCGTGCTTGCTATAAGCAAAAGATAGTCGGTGACCCCCTCTGGGTGAAAGCTGGTCATCACCTGAGAACACCAATTGTCAGCGCAACATGCAGTACTATACAGGTTCTCAAGAGCCTGATGCACTCTGTTCACACTGCAAGGCGGGCCTTACACCTACTTGGGCTCGCAATGCCCTCATGTCTTGCATTGAATCTTCTCATGATTACGAAAGATTCTGAGCTAACAATAACTTGAAGATATTCCAGACAAGCAGCTGGGTAGGAGAAGCTTCAATGGCTGCGACGTAACAGGGGAGCATGAACAGACCCCAACGCTATATAGTCAACAAATCGAAGTGATCTAGATGTAGCAACCCTGCCTGGATCAGGGGATTTAATAATTACCAGTCTTTAGAACTCCGTGCCTGGCAAGAAACTAGGGTCGTCACGCAATATTCAAGGGGCTGAAATTTGCGCACCACAGTGGAGGGGCCGCGGCTGTGCAGTGTCTGGCAGGCTGCGAGCGCGTCCTCCTCTGTGATTATCCGCTGCCCCACGAGCTGCTCTGCCTCGAACTGGTTCGGTGTCATGATGCTGGCCAGCCGCGCTATGTCCTCCTTGTAGCAGGGCACCAGATCCGGCTTCACATACAGCCTCCCATGGTCGCCCATCACAGGGTCACACACTGTAGCGCGCAAAGTAACCCTTGTCAGAAATACTTTGAGTTGACAAGTCCCTGAGGACTGGAGAACAGTGATGATGATAAAAACTCGGGATTGGTCTGGCCAAGTACCTAATGCATAAGGACTGGAAAACCTGAATACCACAATGGTATTAAAGCGGGTTTGCTTTGTGCATTGCTGCTTTTAACGCTCAGCCGAGAGCAGACAGTCTAAACTGCTCACGTCTGCATCCCATATGGCATGTTCAGCAAAGTTCGTCCTCGAAGGCCCGGCGATCAAGGATTCCAAGGAAAGTTTAAGCGTCATGCCGGCAGTAGCCGCGCTACAAAGACTTGGCGAATCTTCTGATGTCAAGAGGACGAGATCCCTCTATGCTGCTTGGGACAGGGGCAAGATGAGGGGCGTTGAGGCCCCACCGTAGATCAGGTTAGGGTTGTGCTCCCTCAGAAGTTCCACCAGGCGCTTGACGGTCTGCAGCAGGGACGCGCTGCCAATGTATCCTGCGAATGCATGCGTGACTCAGACTTAGTCAGCATGTTCCTAAACATGCAAGCACTGCTTGTATCTCCAACAAACGGCAGCAACCAGCTGCATGCCCTCGACTACACCACAGAAAGGAGGGCTCTGGTGCAACACTGAAGTTCCTCACAAGTGGGGAAGGATTGTTGGACTTGGGTTGCATTTGGAAGAGCATGGTGGGACATGCCTGTGACGAGGTGGCTGTATTCCAACAGTCCATTGGCTTTCATGCCCTCCACAATTTCCCACAACTGGTCCCCGTCCATTATTGATCCTTTCCACAGAGGGTAACCTGCAAGCAGAATCACGAACACAGTGTCAACTTCTGGCAAATGAAGCAACGGTGCCCACAAGCTCCTTTGCTAAATGCACAACTGCAAGCTTTTCCATTGGGAGTATCTGACATAGCAAGATGGGCACCTGTGTGGTTGGAAAATTGCACGGAATTGATGAAATCCACTTCATAGCCGAGGAGCTGCAAGGGAAAGACCGCGCATCGGTTGCCCACATAGCCATGTACCACATGGCTTTGAATAGACAGCACTCGCTTTGCAGGCTCTGTCGCTTCCATGCTTGTGTACGATCCTTGCACTTCTGATGCCGAGAAATTTGTGGATTTCACTGCGGTGCAAGCATTGCTGTAGCTTCCTAACGCGCTGCTGGCCTGTTTGGGGTTGGTTTTGAAGAAGAGTGCTATCCCCTGTCCTGCAGGGCGTCTGAGACAGCCCTTCTGTATCCTAAAAATTCCGGACGTTACTAAATGAATCGACGCCACTGTGACACATGCATAGATCGTTCCAAGCTCGGGATCTGCTTCCCTGCAAAGTACTTCTTTCTGAGAGCACACAGGTCTTGCACAATGCTTATGCTGAGAGTAAAGTAGTTAACCTAATCCCTAGCTGAAAATTAATGAAAGAATTCGAAAGCAGGCAGCTGGGATGATAGCGCGATAGAACTCGTCCGCACTAATATCGGTGATCTTTTCCGGAATCAGTCAGCACATTCTATGCATGATGTGATATATTTTTTTTAATCGTGTCTTTAATTCATCGAAGTGTAATCCCGAGAAGGAATTCGAGGCGACGACTGAAGGGTCAAAAGCCTTGGATGTTACGTCATGATGACTCCTGCAAGACTGATGGATGTCAACAGCTGTGGTATGAGGCCATACCCTTTGTTAATCAGCATGCATGCAATATATTTGTCGCCTGCATTGCGCAGGGGAACTGGAATGAACGAATATTACATTGCGATGAAGCGATCTGGGAGTGAAATGTCCAACATTTTGTGGGGAACACTGCATCTCAAAGCGCACCTTGCTACTTCGGCCTGCCGCAGTCCTTGCAAGGCATCACCACAGGCATCCCACCATGCACACCAGGTCTGTCGGCCTAGCAGCTCGAACGTGTATTGGCGTGCTGCTGCCAGTCTCCGCAGGGTTCCCCTCCGCCTAGGCCGCGTGCCTGGACTGCACCAGCCCCGCCAGGGGTTGACATGGCCTTGTCTAGACTCTCGGAGATCCCGGGTTCGCCAGACAGCACTCCTGGATGTCTCCGGGCAATCCAAGCCACGACAGGCCTGATAACTTGTCGCTGTTGCAAATAATTGGGACCAGGACATTGTCCCAGAACTTCGAAGCATAAGCCCAATCCCGGGGCCATCCTCAACAGCTTCAAGCAATTGCAAGTTGCAAATTTGCGCTGGCGCTAGCCTAGAGTGATCCTCTGAGAGTGATGTATCCAGACACTGTCTAGTAGACACACCCCGTTGCCACCTGGCTCCCATGTGCAGATGTGATCTGAGAGGCATGGCAGTGTCTGGCATCCGGCTAGTTGGACTGGAGTTGCAAGTTGCTTGGATCTGGCGGGTTCAACGAGGTGTAGTAACGTGGTAGCCTTTCACCGCAGCTTGTCTGCAGGACGCGAATTGCCTCTTGGCAGGAAAATAATAACAACAAACATGCTGTACATGTTGCACATCTGGCAGACAGTCGTGTAAGGAAGACCTGCCCTATTACGCCGGCGTCATCGGGGACTCATGTTTCAGATGAGATGCGTGCCCCATACGTGCACCCACAATTTTATCTAGTAGATAATCCCCTTCCACACCGAGGGACATGGGACTCTAAATCAACTCCTAATCAGTTGATTTAGAGTCCCCTGCGAGGAAAAGGAAGGAAGAAAGAAAGATTACACATCACTCCAGTAATATGGCTGAATCCAAAAATGTCCCGGACCATTACATGGGCCATTACATTGATTCTCTGGGCCCTGGCGCACAAATGTGCAGGGCCCACCCTCCTGCCGCCTAGGGCTGATTTGATGGAATGGCAGCATCCAGATAATCAAAACAATCCATCACAAAATGTGCAACACCAACAATGTCCAACTGCCACATGAATTGCTGCATGGTCACAATGTCTGCACCAAACAATCCAGGGGAAATGGGGGCGGCATCTTGGCGGAAGCTGGGAGGCAACAGTGCCACACGCATATGAATCATGCAGATCTTGCAAATATCTCGTAAATTTTACGAGAAGGGGTTGTGCGTCTCGAGAAAGCCCAACTCTTGTTGACGATCTCCTCCGTAAACCAGACAGTGTCCCCGAGATTACTGTATTCAAAGATGGCACTACACGATATCGATGTTTCAGACAAGGTGCTCATATGTGGTGGAGGCATCGGAGGGCTTGCTCTGGGAGTGGCACTCGCAAAGGTACAGCGCTGGTACCCACTGATTCCTACTTTGTCCTTAGGTTTTCGTCACTTTCGCCTTTACGCTAAATCGCGCTTTGAGGTTGTCGTGTGCAAACTGAGTGTGAGACCTAGCCAGTTCGGACACATGCCGCAGGTGGGCATTCCAGCTGTGGTGCTCGAGCGGGGAGAGCAGCTGCGCTCGGCTGGTGCAGGCATTAGACTGCAAACGAATGCATGGCACGCGCTTGAACAGCTAGGAGTGGCAGACACGCTGCGAAAGGAGCATATCAGGATGGAGAGGTACCTGCCCATCAAGTGCTCACCATGAAGAAGGAATTTCCGAAAGCAACAGCAACTATCCAACTCTGTAACCTGACTGCAGCCTGGAGGTGACGCGCGACAATGGGCGTTACTTGGGGGGTGCAACATACCGAGACGATGAGGAGAATCGGGGCGTGGTAAGAGATGAGTTGATTGTCGCATTGGCAGCTGGCCTGCCAAAGGGCAGCTTTTACCTCAGTTCCAATGTTCAGAGCGTGAGAATCGACGAAAGAGGTGCGCGGTTGGGACAAAAGCAGGATGTCTTTACTGCCTTCCTGCTTCCTGTGAATTGACCTGGCATAATTGCAAAGACAGAACATATTCCTTATAAAATCAACTGTTTCCTTGGACCGGCTTTTGAGAGGTGTGACTGAATCAGCGAACATGGGGCATTGTGCAGGAAATGGAGTGGCAGTCCTGAAAAGCGGGAAGGAGCTGCGACCTAAGATGCTGGTTGGGGCTGATGGTGTGAACAGCAGGGTGAGATCCGGCCATTGTTGTCATAGTTTCCAAAAATATCTTTGATTGCCTCTTGAAATGTCTTTTTCAGGCTGTATATTCTTGGCTGGGCTGCTGGCATGCGCCCGTTCGAGAAAGCATTGATGTCCAGCAAAGTCAGTGAACTTTTGGCTGCACAATATTCAGGTCTGGCTCTGTGGTCTGCAGGTGACTAAGGCTCTTGGTTTCTCATCTGTCGCATACTCGGGCCAGGTTGGCATCAGGCAAGCACCATGCGCTCACAGTTGCACAACCATTGCTTTCTGCCGCTTTCACCATTGCCAGATGCTATGTTCTGTTCCGTTACAACTTATACGGGTGTAATTATTACTAGTTTGCTGTTTCTTGCAGGGCAATAGCGCGGTTCAAGGAGGGGATTCCAAACTTTGACAGGGTGACTCGAGGGATACTGGGGGGCCCAAATGGGGAATTCGACCTGCTGTTCCCTCTCACCGACAAGATCATGTACTACGCAAGCGTTTTCTCTCTGCCAGAGGTGCTCCACATCTTGACTAGTCCCTTGATTGCTTGCCTTGAAGGTATCCAGTACACGTCTAGATATTCAGATCTGAATCCCTGCCATTTTCTTTGAGCCTAGTAGTCGAGCAAGAGTCGCCTGTATATATGTGTCTGGGCCAGATCTTGCCGGAAGTGCTTTATATCAACCTCCAAAGAACCAAGTTGCACACTATGCTGCATGCCTCTTTAAGTTCGGCTATATTGACTCATGTGAGCGGCCAGCAGTATAGAGCTGCATGGGAAGCACAGCCTTTGCTGCTGGTGTACTATTTCATGGAGCATTTGTCAGGACATATGAATGTTGTGGCAATGGCTGATTGCAGGCGGAGGCCAAGACCTTCAATAATGAGAAGGCGCTGCAGTACCTGCACTCCAACGCTGAGCACATTGCCGAGCAATTCAACATGCCCCTCTGGCTTTCTCACATCAACCCAGAGGACATCTACGCCCATCAGCTGAAGGACAGGTGAGCAGGCAACCCAGAGTCTCCGCTGGAGCTGCTGTTTTTGAAATGAGCTGAAGAGACAAATGAAGGGACCTGGGCTCACCCTGATAATGACGGTGAAGGGTGTTAAGAAGAGATGGAGCAATCGCACTGGGACTGTGGTGGATCAATTGATTCAAGCTGAACTCTGTACGCCTATGTCATGATCACTGTCATGCAGGGCACCAGACAAAGACAAGGCATGGGGCAAGGGCACGGTCACCCTCATTGGCGATGCAGGTACTGCGCACTTGTTGTACTGCTTTCAAGTGCAGCATCCTAAGTGCCGTCCATAGTATGCATCAAATATACGGTCATTTTAATTCGAGCCCATGTAACCTGTGGTAGAACTTCTACCGTAGAAGACTGATTGTTAGTTATCTGCGCAGCGCACCCGACAACACCATTCCTGGGCCAAGGTGGAGCCATGGCTCTGGAGGTGCGCAGACACACACTTGTATATATGTATAGCACCTGTTGTTGATCAGGCAATTTCATCGGCCATTTTCTGCATGATGGTGCTTCTGCATTGCGCATGCCTTGCCAGCATTACCAACAACCTCAGGCACTGACAATTCTGTCCTTATCTGCGGTGTGTTTAGTCACTAAACTTTATTGCAGAATATATGTACCCCCCATAATGGGGGCCCCATCTAGGGTCTGAACCCCAGTTCCTGAACTCCAACCCTCATACACAAAAGGTAGCATGGATGGTATGCAGGACTCGGTCGAGTTGGCGGCAATGCTGTATTCGATGACCAAGTCTGAGGGCGGGTGGGAGAAAGCGAGTCCACAGGCCATCGCAGAGGCGCTGCGCGCATTTGAGCTGAAGCGCGCGCCGCGGTGCCACGACATGGTCCAGCTGGGGCGAAAAAACGGCGCCATGATATGCATGAAGCGCTCCCGGCTGGTGCGCAACTGCAGCTCCCCCCAACTTTTCCAACGTTTCAGTTCTTTGCCTTCTGTGGAACTGCTGCTGTCTGCAATAAGGGGTGCTACACCAGTGGCATGCGGGGCCGCTTGAATATGGAAGGGGAATAGATTTGGCAGACTGTGGAGGGCGGTTAATTCTGTGCGCTGCATAAGAACTGTGCAGGACCTGATCAGCTTTGCCACTTTCTCATCAGTGCTTAAGACATCAAAACCTGAAGCATTGCAGATCATGCGGGAGTCTCTCATGGCAAGGCTTTTCCCGCCGAGATCTCTGAGATGTGATACTTTTGCCCAGAGGTAGCTGGAAACGCTAATGCACTTGATTGTGCTCCTGTGCTGCAGGGGGTGTTGCTAAGGGACCTGTTCATCATGGTGGCTGCGCGGCTCACTCGGGTGTCATTTTACACCGACTGGGATGTGAAGTTGACGGCCTAGTGAGTCATCACGAGTCAGCCGATTATTGCGATCGCTGAACTGACCGCTCCCGCGCATTGGTAGGGGGTGCAAGCAGCTGCAGCATGCAGCATAAAAAGATGACTTGAGAGAGATGGCACTACAGGATTGTGCAGTGGGTTGAGCATCATCCTTGGTCAACTGGATTGATTCAGCACGAGTGGCAGGTGACCTGCTGCAGGTCTAGGTAAGGCGTCTGACATCTATTTTACTCAAGCGCATTTTTCTCTGATTTATAATACGCTAAATGCCGAATGAGGATTTGACCACATGTGTACAAAAGTGCCCAAACAATACAAGATCCTTAGAAGTCATGTGTGGTTTCTCTGCCAGCCAGAAATGAATTGAACGAAAGACCCGTTTCCAGCCGGGTGGCTAGGTGCGTTTCAAGCCATAGATTACACACCATAATACATTAATTCAGTGCACCTAGCAGGGCACATTTTCTGTTTCCTGCCAGCGGATGAGAGTCTCCTGGATTTCTGAGCAGGCTTGGATTGTCAGCTCATGATTAACCTTTGGTGCCCCTTTTGCCTCACAGAATGTTATTCTTACAAATTGTCCCTTTGTAGCCTCACAAAATGCATGGCACCCTTGTAAATGTGGCGTATGTCTGGCTCCCGAATTCGTTTACTCAAGATTGTCAAACACCTGTTCTCATTCTCTCGCCCGGAAATCAAATTCCCAGAGAGTCCACGTCCGCCATGAGTAAGGTGGCCTCGCTAATGGCTGCAGATATCAACTTGTCCTGCAGGCAACAGCAACAGAAAATATCAAGCCCGGGGCCCCGCCGTCACGCGTGTAAAAATCGACGGCCACCGCCGCCCCCGCGGCTATCTGCAGGATTCCAATCTGCGCCTGCAAGCAACGGCAGCTAACATTGTTTGCTGGGATCCGGATCTCTGTCGCTGGATCTTCCTCCCAAGCACATGTATGAGTTGCCAGCTTGCCACGCAGGATGAGGCACTTGTAAGGCTCTGGATTGCGGAAGGCTGATGGGTCATTGCTTGAAACGTTGATTCAAAGGAAAGTCGTGTCTGGATGGTACTATTGGAAGCACATCGAGCTAAATTCATGTCTGAATTACCCTCAGCCAAAGTGGGTAGACGTGGCTCACCTGTAAAAGGCTTTTGGCCAGCGTGTCGTTCCCAAATCGCTGCAGCTCCGGCAGCCGCCATGCAGTTATTCCCAAAGACAAGCTGTGACGCCTCCTATTCCCTTAGCTCCAAGTGATGATCTGCGAGATGTGCGTTTCTGATCAAGCAGCGCCTTGATTGCAAAACCTCTAGAGCCAATCTTGTATACAAAATGCGGTGTGAAGGTAAGCTGCTGAAAGTGTCCGCCGCATACAACATTTGTTGACAATTCCTTGGCTGCTTACCTGCTCTCTTGCTTCATCCAGTCTTACCATGGCTGGGCACAGCAGTGCAAAAGCCAGAGTCTCAAGATGGCCGGCAGGCCTGTCCAGCAAAGGTCACATGAGATGGTGGAGATTAACAGGGGGTATTCCTCTCACTTTGTCTACTTAGCAAGATGCATTGGCAAGGACACAGCGCAACGAAATAATTGCTGGCACACCAACAGACACAGCCTGCAGGAGACAACAGCCTGAATCTCACCTTCCACGAAGAATCCCCCACGCCGTGTCAATATTGCTCTTATCTCATCAATATCCTGGTAAACTGCCTCAGTGTCGTCTACCGTATGAAAGAAAGCCATCGCTCTGGTGGCAAGTTTGGTGGCAACTCCAAGTGGTCCTTGAAGCGATCATAGGCCTCATTAAAATCTGCAAGCAGCAATGAATAAGTTGTTCATGGACCTGATTCAGCACAGGAGTGGTCTTCTTTTCTCTCCATGAGAGCAACATGGCGCTGACTGCAACAAGATCGAGACCGACATACTCACCGAAACCCATCTCTTGGAGGGTTCCTACTGTCCTGGCAGTACTATCCTGAACGTACGTGATATGAGACTGCAGCAGCTGCTGTTGCTCCTCAAAGAGCACATGGAGGTCTCCATTTGGAAGCTCCGACAGCTTCACAGACTGTGCCTGGCGCCTGGGAATATCTAAAACAGCCAAATTTCACTCATTAGTGCCGTTTGCAGACTGAGTTTGAAGAGCATAGATGCCTGTGCTGAGTTTGATGGTACTATTGATACATTCTAAATGAAAAGGAAGTGGTGTATCTCACCCAAGATACTTGCTGTGTTCTGCTCATTTCTCAGCTTTGCAATGGCGTCGGGTGACTCTGCACTGCTGTGTCCAGACACACGCGTCCCCATGGCAGCTATTCCCTGAAGGCCATTAACGTCTCTCAAGCAGGCGATGTTCAAGTATTGTGAACAGCCCTTCCTTAACAGGACCCGTGTATGCCAAAAATATAACAGGATGTGAGTGCAAAGCCACTGCACCTGCACAGGTCAATCCAGGCTAGGGGTCTGGATCCAATCATTGTACTTGTTTCTGAGCGCACAATTGCCAGATACAGTGCATTGCCAACAAATTTGAACTAGCCATTTGAACAAGCGATCTATGTTCAATTGATCAGGAGGTACCAGATGTACAGCAGGCCGCTACGTGTAGCAGATCTGGTCCTCAATAATTTCGATGATCTACTTGTGACTCAGTTAAGACAATCTACGCATGTATAAATGAAACCGAGTTGACTTCTACAGTTTATCATAAGGGTATCCAGGTGAGCACTGCAGCGTCCTCTGCATTTGATTGCTCCAAGACCAGGACTCTTGGATGTTACGTCATGATGACTCCGGAGGGATCCCTGCTGTTTGTGGCCAAACGTTTCGCTGATAGAAATGCAACCATTGGTCGTCCGAGCATACTAACGTGCACGCCTTGTAAGGATCGAACAATATACAGTGATTGGCGATGCGGGAGTGAAGAGATTTTAAGGTTTGTGGCGAGCTAAAATCAGTAAATTTTGCTCTCTCTGCCAACCAAGAACTCACTGCAAGGCGGCCAGCACAGGTAAATCATGATGCAAGCTAAATATTATTGTGAGCAATAATATTTAAACCATTCTGCGAGGCTCCTATATGCCAGGCTTCCATGTTGTCGGGTCGATGCTTCATTGGGATTTGGCTTCAGAATATATCTTGCCCCAGCATATGAGCTCAATCTCATAATTCATGTCGCGGCACAGGTTTTGCGGTGGCGTTATATCGGGCGATCTGGACTTTTCAAGCTTCAATTGGCCAGGGAGTCTGCTCTATGCAGTCAAGATGTAGGAGCCGTGGGACTGTTTACTCTTGATAGATCACAAGGTACGGTCCTTAGATTAATACTTTGGATCGAATCCTCGAGAGATTGCCTTAAATGTGCACTGCCATGCATGGGTGTTGTACTTCAATTTGTCCTCCCACCACTTTGGCATCCTTGAGCTTACCCTGACGGGAATGTCACACTTCTCCTGCAGTTTACAAGAGCCTAGCCAGGGCAGGCCGCAGAGCGAAGGACAGCCATGCCGCAGGAGGGAAGATCACAGCACGCAGACACATCCAATGGCGTTGTCGGTCTCGGGGCGCGCACCCTTCCTGTGCCTGTCTTGGCGCTGAACACATTCATGCTGGAGCCTGATCAGGCGGCGGAGCTGCAGGCAAAGCACAGCGTGACCCTGCATGAGCTCATGCAGCTCCTGGTCGCGCCTGCCGCCCTGCTGGCGCGGCCGCCCACCTCGGCCTTCCCTGTAGGGTGAGTCTCTTCACCTTGTCAAGTTCCCAGTGGGAGCCTTAGTGGGGTCTTTTTGGAGCATACCACACTCAGAGTGTGTCCTTTGGACAAACACATGTGAAGAGTAGGATAGTAGATTCAAGCACCGGCAGCATTGTAGTCTGGGTTTCTAATTAAGGGTGCTGTCATGTAGCCAATTTGTTGCATGCATGAGAGCTTTACAGGTCTGGCAAAGGTCTGGCCAACACTGAGAGACTGGGCTCATCTAGCTCCTGCAGTAGCTGGCCAGACTCACTTAAAGCTCACAATAGGACACAGAGTCTCTGCAGCCATGTACCAACCACATAACACAGGGCTCTCTGTCCAGCCTTGTAAAAGTCAAGCAACACAGAAAAGCACGGAATTGAACCATGTAAGAATCATGTCACATGAAGCCTCTCATGCGACTGTTCAGGGCGATTGGGCTGGGAGTGTCGGGGCGGATCTATGTTGGAGTGAATCTGGAGTTTCCAAACCTGCCACTGCAGCACTCGGTGCATGCAGAGCAATTTCTGGTCGCCAATGCAGCCGCTTGTGGCGAGCGCGGACTGACGAGAATCACCGTCAACGCCGCTCCTTGCGGCCACTGCCGCCAGTTCCTCGCCGAGACAGTCACCGCGGTGAGTCATGGATGCATCACCTCTGCAGTCCACTTCCGAGCCTGCTTCCCTTGTGTAGCTCCTCTGATTGTCAGTGCAAGACTCTCCCTATTTGACAAGAGATCTGAGGGTCAGAGCGTGGAACGATGTAGACAAGCATGGGCCAGGAACGCGAGTAAAATGTCCTGCAACATGAACTAGGTATCACAAAGATATCTTCTCATGGACAATAAACTGTCTTGAGGAGATCGTACTGAGGGATGCCCCTCCATGCCAGCTTCTGTAGATTGGCAAGGTTGCATGTCATCCATGCATCCTGGCTGATAATGTCCCGTGATTGGCTGCAGGAGAGCATGGATATTGTGTACAAGGGCAATTGCTACCGCTTGGACGACATCTTGGTCGACAAGTTCTGTCCCAGCGACCTCATAGAGCCCGGCACAGCCCCTCTGCTGCTGGAACAGCAGCACAACGCCGTAAGCCTGGCCAAACCATTTAGCGCTTCTCCAGGCAGCTCCATCACTCAGGTACTACATCCCTTGCAACCCCTCAAAGCCCCCATCCAAAGCAGCAGGTGCAATTTAGCCTTGTACTTCACATGGAATGAGATCAGGTGGTGGGATCTGGCAGAGTTTGCAGCGGGAGACGAGCGAAGTCCGTGAAACACGTCCTTATTGCCAACAGTGTGAAAAACTCTCACCCATAAATCCGACATGCACCGGCGACAAATTTTTGGTTGAAGATGCAATTTGCACTTGCGCATGAGGGGGTGAGAAGAGCTAGTGTGTGCCGTCTTGCAGGAAGCGGCGGAAGCTGCTGTGAAGGCAGCAATGGAGAGCTACGCCCCCTACACGCGCTGCCCGGCCGGCTTAGCGCTGGTGACTAACTCTGGGCGCATCTACGGCGGGGGTGTCATCGAGAGCTGCGCCTACAACCCCACACTCAACCCCCTGCAATCCGCCTACATCGCCTTTGCAGCGGCTGGCGAGGCCAGCTTTTTCCAGGCAGGCCTCTGCCCTCATAAACCTGTGTAGACAAGTTCCAATGATAGGATTCTTTACTTTCATGTTCTGGTCAATTGTTGCTTGTGGGAGGACGTGTGAGCATGCGCATTTGAAGCACAAGTATATGGAATTACGCCAAGGTAGAATGCAAGACATGTGAAGCACAGTCCTGGCTTACTCATCTTTGGAGATCTAGAGTAGCAGCGCAAAGCACTAGAGTCTCACAGATCCTCCCATTCCAGGAATCGGGCGCCCAAACATGGATGCCTGGCAGTCATCCCTTCGATGCCTCCTCCCTTGAATCAAGTTTTAATTTGAATATGAACTTGAATGAAAATTTGAAGTTGAAAAAATCTGGCCACAGGTGTGTGCTGCTGTGCTGGTGGAGCTACCAGAAGCTGCCGTCTCCCACGAGGTGTCGACGCGAATAGCGCTGCAGTGCATTGCACCAGGCGCAGAAATGGTCACACTGCCGCTCAAATTGCTGCCACAGCAGCCCTGAGAGAACAGCGCATGCTGTAGCACCCAGCCACTTTAAATGGTGCCTGAAGCAGGAGCCTCTAAAGTAGCCTCAGAAACCCATCGTAAATTCTTTACTAGTGTTTTCGTCCAGAGAAATTCACAGAAGATGTGGAGACGAACTGCATGCTTGCTCTTCATGTGAGCGTTCTATCCTCAGGAAAGCATTGCAGCAGAGTGATCTGGGAGCGTGCGCAAAAGGCCTCTTGAAGTTGTCTAGAGCTTGCATGTTGTCGAGCCTTAAGGCTTCACTCTGTCAGACACTGGTCATAAGGTGCATCTAGGTCCTGCAGATGTCAGAGGGAGATGCTTGTGTCAATTGGTCTTTCCAGATAGCGGGCTCACCCTGGCACCTCATGAAAATACGAAGCATATGCTTCTTGAGTGTATTTGCTGTGGGGGTCCACAAAGGGATTTCGGGTTTGAATGCATTTGGTATGCTTATAGATGACCTCAGGAAGATTGACAGACGCAAAATTGAAGGGGTGCATAGTAAGTTTTTGACTGGTCAGAGGAGGCATGCATGATGCAACTCACAAGGGAATATAAAAGAAAACGCGCATACACCAGAAGAGAGAGCGGGCCTGGCCTATTGGCTGATGGACGATGGTGGCAGGTCCATCTACAACCGTGACCGCCCCGAGCTGAGGGGATAAAGACCACCACCCAGGGGTTCACCGAGGAGGAGGTCACTGGGCTCTCAAACGGGCTTAGGCTCCTCCTCAACGACTCAACAAATCCATAACATTCACTCCCCAACAAAAAGGTATACTTGTTCAAGCCTACTTGTCTCATGCTTGAATGACACACGCTGTGCCTCAAAAGGAGTTGACATCACGACCAGCATGGTGGTACTGGTATACCTTGAAATTACGTAATTGTAGTTCTGTCCGTTCAAACGTAGAATCTCGCCCATAATCAATGAGTAAGAATTATAACGGATAAGATGCATGCATGACTTGTCCTCAGTTCAGGACAGCCACCGCCTTCATCAAATCACAAAGCTCTGCAGCCTTAAAACTTTTAGATGTAAAGCTCAAGCGCCCAAGGCATTGATACTGCAAAGTCAACCAAGCGCGGATCACGTGTGCACATTCTTCGAATCTGGTCTGCGCAGAATGCAGAGACATTGTCCTTGTCCCCTGAACTTGTAGAATTTCAACAACATACAACACTGTGAGCCTCGCACACACCAAAGTGACCACCCGAGGTCACACCCCACCAACTCACCCTGCACACCGCCAGGGGGAAATTCTGTGCGCATCAAGGACCCTATTCTGGTCCTCGCATAGGCGCAGAAACGTGCCCAGTCAAAGTCAATCTGCACCCTGGAAAACTCATTGCCAGAGCATGTCAAACAAAACCATCCTGTGCTGTTCTTGGTAAACGTCTACAAACCACACTCTGTGAATATCTGCTCAACAGGACACCCGAACTCAAAGCCCCTCTGGAAATTCTTGAAGGCAGGACACCCTCTCTTGAGCCTGGACAGAGGCTGTCGCAGGATTTACCAGGCAAGATAAATCTGATAATCCCTGCGTAATTCTTGAAGAGAGTAGCACTTGATGTAATAACCAATCTTACCACTTTGGCACAAGAGTGTTGCCGTCTCAGCCTGAAACAATCATCACATTCCTCAGAGCAAGATCCTCAAAAAAACAGCCGCCACTTTGCCGTTTCGGCAAAGTCTGATGTTGTACCGTAGCCTGCCCTCCCACAAGAGGAACAAAGCGACTTCAAATAGACACAGTCCTCTCAAAACTAAGGGGGCACCTAAGAATATGCTCTTGAGAAACTGTTGGTCAGATGTTTGGCATATCATATTTTCCATCGCATCTGCCCCTTACACACCATTTTGAGAATTCAGCAGTGGCTACCAAAGACAGGCATAGAATCCACGCCCTGTAATGCTTTCAGCAGCCTCCTTCACTGCTCAACTCTACAAATCACACCCTGCTGCAGATAGTACTGCGTTGTGACCCATGCTCACCCAAGGACAAACTGGCCAGCGTTACATTGCCAGATAAGGACCTTACAGCCTTGGCAACAGCCTGTAGCTTGTGGCCCACAACTTATTTGCTCCCTCCAATTCTTGAAAGCCAAAGATCAACAAGTGCACCTGCCCTGTCGAAGCTTCACCAAACCTTCACATCGGGCTGAGAATAACCGACATTTCTTACCACGATCATTGCGCCCCAATCCGCTTATTCCAGCCCTGATTCACCATCCACCGGGCAGGAATACTGCCCACAGAGCTGCCTGCCCGGCTGCCACATCACCTGCCTGCTCTGGGCAACTGCCAGCTCAGCTGCAAAAAAGGCTTCACTGCTTATCGCCGTCTCCCAGAGCAGGCTGCTCAACCCTCATCGCTCTTGCATCTCATCTCAGGCACTCGCAGAAGCGCCCGCCGTTTCCTTCACAGCGCCATCTGAATGGATTCTCCAGAGACTCTCCCAGGCCTTCAGGCCAAGCTGTAGCTGCTGCTGTGCTGCAGGTAGTGCTTCACTGCTGCCAGGCGCGCAGGCCAAACTTGCCCTCTTCGGGTTTGATGAAGGCCGAGCGGCGCTCCTTGGTTTTTATGTCCATGTAGAGCGACGACGCCATTGTCAGCTCTGGAGTCTGCACTCGCACACACAGCCCTCAGCACTCCATCACATGTAGAGGTCCAAAAAGCGGAGATATAGAGATAAACAGTGATCTGCATGCAATGTTCGGCATGTAGACAAATGTTCCCGTGCACCCAAGTGTGCTCTGATCCTTGATGAGAAGAGCAGTTGAGCAGTCCTGAAGCTCACTTTGTCTTGCTTGTGAAACAAATACATTAAATATACTCCATTCAGCAGTCATAGCAGCCTGAGACGGGCTTCTTGCATCAGGATGTCACCATAGGTAGGGTCCTCTCTCATGAATTGTTTGAATCTCTCAGGGCTCGGGAGAGAAAGTCTTGAAGGTGCAAATTAAATGAAAAAATACCAAGAGAAGATCCGACGAGCAGGTGACATCCCAGGGGAGGGGGCGTCAGGGCGGGGGCGTGCCTTGCCGGTTGTGGAAATGAACCCCTGGTTGATGGCGGCCTGAGTCAGCTCCCGCGCCGTCATCGCCTCCGACGAGCCCTGCAGCACCTGCGCGCACATGCAGGCACATGCCATTCTCCAAACATGCACAATCTGTGTAGTCCATCTAGTGCCATCAACAGACTGTCAAGATCAAAGCCTTACAGGTGCCTGACCATCCACCGATCAACCGTCTGCAGGCAGCCCATAAAGGATACTTTGGCTATCTGCAGACCTTGCAGGAGTGGAGGGTCAGGAATCTGACATGTGCGGGCCCCGCAGGTGACTCGACAGCACATGCCAAAAGTCATATACTGCGACTATAAAGACAACGGCAGTTCTCTACCCATGCACAACCCCCTGCAACAATGCGGGCCCCTGCGGGGGCGCGTGTCTAGCTTAACAGAAGTGTCCATTTGCACACAGTACGCTCAGCCTGGTTCTCAAAATGGATGCTGCAACAGAAAAGCTACACCCCAAAAATGCGCTTCTTTCCAATTGCTGCAGAGCGGCAGGTCTCTCACCTGGTACGCGGCTCGCTTGAACCCCCCGTTCGGCCCGTTGGCGGCGGCGGCGGCCGCGTGCGAGCGCAGCAGCCGCCGCGCGCCGCCGTCGTCTGACTCATCGGCGCCCTCGGTGCAGTCTTCTGGGGGCAGCTCTTCTCCGTACGCCAGCAGCGTGGCGTCTGCGGGATGTCCCTGCTTTGCCGGTGCCGCGCTCGATGCGGCTCCCTGCAGGCACTCGACAGCAGGGCTTTAGCATGTGAGTAAAATAATTCAGGACGTCGGGTACCTTGGGGTCCTGAACCAACGAGAAAGGGAGGGAGGACTTGCTGCACAGCCACAAGAACATTTTCTCGCTGTGCGCTACAGCAAGGGTGGTCGATGACTGTTGTCTGATTGCAGACAGGCTACAGCACCGCTGCAAGCTGCCCCTGAGACTTTCAAAGTGGCACTGAGGGCTCTTCAATAGCCAGAGGGATGCCAAGCCGCAGCTTCAGACTGGTACAAGGCCCAGTGCTGCCATCTTTGCCACAAAGGCAATCTGCTTGGTGTTACGGGATAAGAGTACTCAGACAGCCTCAGAGCGGGGCTTGTTACTTTACTGTCTGCGCTCCTGGAAAGGCATAGCAAAGCCCAATGGTTCTTGAGACGCAGTATGACGCTGCTGCTCAGGGAGACCAGAGAGGGAACGCCCCCACCTGCAGCGTGGACATGAGGGTGCGCGGCGGGGTGAGCGAGGGGGTCGCAGCAGGGGTCGTCGAGCACGATGCGAGCCCCGGGTGGTGATAACGCGCGGTCATGGACGGCGTCGGGGGGATGAGGTAGGCCGAACCGGACCCCCCGGTGCCGCCCGCGGTGGCGACGGTCCCCCCGTAGGTGGTCGCTGTCTTATGGTTCACCTGGTCGATCAGCTTCATGGGCGGCCTGCCGCGACCTGTGGGCATACAAATATGGCGTTTGCTCAGACATATTGTTTCTGGCATAATATTGCTGCAGTCACAAATCTGAGCGTAAAAGAACCTGAATAGCATGAGTTTCATGCAATTCAGTGCAGCTTTCATGCGAAGCACGTCATCACAGCAGGCTTTCCGCGCAGTCTGCAAGATCTGTCAGAACGAAGTATTCTCCAGCACAGACAGATCTTTCCATGCCTGCACGAGAAGCCCACTGGCCACTCATTGGGCAACACAATCGCATTCATAACCTATTTTCCTGAATGAAACAGCCCCAGCCCAGGACGTGGGAAGAAATCGCACCTCCTTTCCGGGCGTCCGATGCAGCGCCGGCGCTGCGGGTGCGGGGGGCGATCTGGAGGAGCAGGTCCCCTCCCTCGGCGGCCCGGGTGAGCCCACCGCTGCAGAAGGCCCCCCCGGCGGTGGCCCCTGGTTTCCGGCGCAAGTTGCGCGCATCAGCCGCGCCGCTGGTGTAAGCCTGCACGCGCAAAAGAGTAACACTAACTATCCTTTCACCAATACCTTCAGCGCTCCTCCCACCGATACCAGGCAACAGAATGCTCACGTTTCTGAGACACAGATCTCATGGAGGCAGCTTTTTCGAAGACCGCAACAGTATGTTGGTCAATCCGCACATCACCACAGGTTCCGGAGAGCATGGAACCCACTTGTGCAACCATGACTGGATGTGCCTCAACGGATATGGTTTCACGGAAGAATGGTGTAAACTCCCTGCCCTGTAGTGGTGTGCAGAGTGGCCCTTCAGAGGGTCATGCAAGCAAGCATTCAGATGGTACCTCGTCTGCAATGGCATCCTCGTCAGTGTACGTTGAGCAGGCCTCCTCATGGGCCGCGCGTGCGGCCGACGCAGCCTCTGCTGCGGCAGCCGCCTTTGCAGCCGCCTGCAGACACGACAAGGCCCTCCATCTCCTCAGCAAGCGAGCGTCATGCATACTCAGGCATGCAGAACTACCGAGGAATATTCGTGTCAACCCTAGCCTGCTTTTGCTTTTTGATGCAAGGTGTACAGAAAGAGGCAAGTGGTGGCAAGCTGGTCCAGGACCCAATCTCATTTTATAAGCAAAGCGCCAAGGGGTCGTTTCTTCTAAGGAGATTGTCGAAAGGCCCAAGGAGCATCAGCATAGCGCACCTTGAGGCGGGACTTGATGGGCCCTTGAGTGGCGGAGGCAGCGCGCTCGGCGGCGGCAGCGGCTTCGGGGTCGGGGCAGGTGCCAAAGCCGGGTGGAGAGCGGTGGGGGCACGCGCGCGACCGCAGCGCATACAGCTGCGTCGTCGGCGGCGACTCGGCCTCGGCTGACCGCGCCCGGCGCAGGGATGCGCCGTCCTGCGGCGAGTGCGAGCCTGCACACATACACGGTGTTAGCTAAGGACAACAGCAGCCTGCATTTTGCGGCGGTTGCAAAGATCTGCCGCTACCATGGCAAGCCATGCATTGTGTCAATGGCTTGCGTTGCCAGCATTCGTGGCACGCTCCACCTTGCTTGCACGATTGCGCGGCGCTGAAAAATTGATCTGGGTGATTGAGAGTCTCTCAGTCATCATGACCGGCACGGAGTGTTCCCATAGCATATCTGGTCCTGAAGGACCTCATTGTCATACAACGACCTGGCAAGTTGGGCAAGATCTTGTCACAGATTCCAAGATTTTTGTCTAGTACTGATCAGGGAATGAAGGTCATCCACCTGATAGCAATTTCCCAAGCGCGGCATCCTCTTCGGCGGGCGGCTCGGCGGGCTTGCGGCCCCAGGCGGAGCGCTGCGGCGCGAGCGTCAGACGCTGACGCCACCGGCCTCGGCCGCCGCCGCCGGCCGAGGCGACCAGATTTGGCGCACCAGGCCGTCCCGCGGCATGCGGCGGCTGGCCGAGCGCGTGGGCCGCGCTGGACTGCGCGAGCAGCGTCTCCACCTCGTCGTCCGCCGGGCTCAGGCTGAGCATGCTCCGCTTCTGCGCCGGTTGCGGAAAGAGCGTCAGACGTATTGCGACACTTCAAAGGCCACTTCTATATGGGGCCAGGACACCAGAAAAGTCAATTGACATAATGTGTGTAAAGATTGCGCAGTGCAGAAAGCAAGGCAGCCCTAAAAAATGGCCATATGCTTGCAAGTATGTGTCTCATAGTCGAGGCTTGCAGATCAATGAACCCTGTGGTACAGCTAAGGCCACCAGCATGTGTGTGGTGCCACCAATGCAGCGCTTCCAACACCCAAGTATCGATACAGCCCAAACTGCACAAAGATTGCGCCGCCGGGTGGAACTGCAATGGCAGCAGCAGATTGTTGAGCTCAGACATTTTCACGACACACATCCATCGTTGCCCCTAAGCCAGAGCTATGAATGAGCTTGTCCTGAGTACCATCCGGGGCTCAAAAGGCTTACCCTGATTGCTCCTGCGGCAGCACGGTTGCCGCGGGGCCCGCACAGGCGCTCGTTCTGGCTGCTCTCATCGATTCCCTCGATGCCCCCCTGCGCGCTCCCCTGGAAGCCCGACGGTCCCGCAAACGCCTCATCCGGGCTGCGCACACGCCCCCGCAACCTCAATGCCTCTTGTACCATATTAGCTGAACATCAGGAAGCACCGTAGACAGTGACGATGTAGCCAAGGTCTGCAGTGGCCCCTGGCTATGTATCACGTACGCACATCGGCAAGACTTTTGCTCTGATCTGTGGCTTCAACAAGGAATTATGCTCACTTTGCCAGGTGCCTTCACAGTGTCAGGGGCCTACCAGATGCTCCCAGGCAGGCTCAGAACCTCACCAGGAGGCTTCAACTGCACTTGCAATGCGAGATGTCCTACGATATGGCCGCATGTAAGGGGCTTACGTTTCAACTAAACAGCAGCGAATCACACCTGGGCCGGGCGAGGGGCGAGCCGAGCTGGCCAGCGCCGGAGGCAACGCTGTCGGAGCCGTCATGCAGCAGTGATGACTCCTCGGCAGCGGCAGCCATCCCCCCAGCGCCTGCGGTGCGGCCGCGGCCGCCGCGCCACGTCATCTCCCCGTCGTCGGCCGCCGACCCTGTCTCAAACCGCGCAGCCGCGCGCGTCGTCCTGCGCAGGCATTGCCCTTGCACTTGGCACGTGTCTTGATTTTGGCTGTCGGCCTCTTTGCAAGGTCACAGTCATCCTCGCTGTCTGAACAGCTTTGGTTATGTTGACAAGCATGGATACTAATAAATGGCGCTGTTTATGGGCCGATTGCAACACCCACGGAGTTGCGGTCCTGCCTAAGGAAACGCTGTTGAAGTCTCTGCAGCTTTGACAGAATCCTCAATTGTGGGGTAGACAAAGCGATTTACCTGGAGCGTTTGCGTCTGGGGGAGATGGGCAGGGGGTCATCGTCGAGGGCGTGCTTGGAGCGGGTGGTCCGGCGGGGGGCACCGCGCGGGGCACCCTTTCTGTTCGCCTCGACTCCCTCGTCGATAACGCACGTCCCCTCCTCGTTGGTCCTGATCAGCACCTTGGTCGAGGCTGGCACAACCTTCCCAAAGGGCTTCGACACCGTCCAGCAGTCTGCTCCCTCCGAAGCCCTGTCGGCAAGCGGGGAATTATTTCATCGAAATCCCTGACTTCCAGGGGTGGATCTGTTGTCATCCATCTATCCACCATTCCTGACACTACAGGCCAGAGAAGAACCCTGCTTGTACTTACCAAGCGTTGCATTCCAGGTCCAGTGGAAGCATCAGAAAACTCTGCTTAAAGCCCTCCAGGATACATGGAGCCCAGAAAAGGGTCGCCAGCCACTGCACTAGGAAGCCACTAATGTGTGCTGTGGGCACAGGATTAGTCTTTCCAACTTGAAAAGAATAGATGGTGCGCACCGCACAAAGCGCTCCCCAGTGTAGAGGGCGTGTCTGATCTGGCTCTTCCAATGGTCATTGTGAGTGATGAAGCGGGAGCCTCCAGAGCGCTTGTATGCAATGCGGCCCCTCTGCTCGCATGCCCGGTAGATCTGCAGTCAGAAAAGACATAATTCAGGTTTGGGGAATGCATGAAGACGACTCAGCCTTTCTGCCTGGTGCAGCTTGCCCTGCTGTGCCCTCCTGCAGGAGAGCAACAGCAGGCAGAAACCCCAGTCTTAGGGCTGAAAGGGCCTTATACATGTCAGTTCTGGAGCTCTGCAGAAGATTAGCACATGCATGTGGCTTGTGTCGGGCAGCAAAAAGCCTTCTAGCCTCAAACTCTCAGGATGGTGGCCAAGCAAGGCATCAGTGGATGTCTGATCCTTCCGGGCATTTTGAGATGACAGCCCAGGCAAGAAGGTGTTATCCACCAATAAAAAACATCATGCAAGGGAAAAACAAGTTCAAAACATGCACCTCGAGTCATTAGATGCTGTCTGCCTGGCAGCTCTACAGGTGCGAGTCAATCTTACCTCACGCAAGGATGCTTGGCACCCATAGGACAGAATAGCGGCATGGATCATGTCATGGACGCTGCAGAAGGCATCCACTTCCATGACCTGCACGACAGCCCCAAACTCAATGTCAAGAAGCCTCAGACCCACCATTGCAACTGCCTGCTTTTGCTGATTATTAGAAGCCTCAAACGCTTCAGGCCTTCCTGGTTCACAGAAGCAACGCAGATAGGACTCATGGCATTGCGTAGACAGAGTCTCTGCGTCTTCGTACCTTGATCTCGCTGGCAACAGGCGCTGAAGGCCCTGCACGCAATACGCTTCCCTCTCAAGACGCAGAGCAGATGTTAGCCCAGAAGGGCGCGCCAAGACATCATTGCAGGCTTTCAACTATGTAAAGGCAAAGGTTGTGTCAGGTCAACGCAATGAGACAGGGCCACTGGGTGGGTCGTGCCTTCGGCGGGGCTTTGTCGGCCTGCTGGCGGTGGCATCCTCTCCCTAGCTCTATCCCTCGCTGCATGCAACAAAAGCACCTTGATCGGACCACTAGCATCAGCAGAGGATCCACAGTGCTCTAGGAGGCACTGTGAGGTGTCGACAGGACGACCGCGCTTCGAACATCTTGGCGTGCGCAGCTTCAAGGAGTCGATAAAAAACCCTGCAAGCGTGCCACCACGCCTAGGAGGAAGACCGCGTGAGACGCGCACCCCGTCTCCTACTCGCCAGGGAGCCCCACAAGCCTTTCAAAATACCTAGCACATTGGAGATGACGCAAGGCACCGGCACCAAAACGCTCAAACGTGGCCGACAAAGACCAATGGGAAAGACCCTCCCTGGCAGGAAGAACGCGGACAGCCGCCTGAACATGACCCCGCGCGACACCCACTTTGTTCCTATGGACCGCTAAGCCTAAAAGGAATGTCCCTCGCAGACGGCGGCTGTCTATTCACCTCCCGCTGGCAGTGAGGAGGCAACATCTGAGGCGGTCCTCCTGGGAGGCAAGACCAGGCTTGAAGTAGGGTTGGTCAAAGTATTCTTGCGGGGCTTGCCAATATTCGCACCTTCAACTAGGTGTGATGCTTCCTGCTGGTTGTTCATGTGACCTTGGGTGATTCCTGCAGCTTTTGGCCCGGGTCAGATTATGGCAAAGTCCTCAAAGCGGTGGTGGCTCCAGAAGAGACACACTCCGGGGATTTGGCGCGGCTGCGATGGTGCTTCAAACACAGTGGCAGCCTATGCCTCTTTAAGGGGCTATGCTATATCAAGTGGTCGCCTGGAGAATCTCACAGGGTGCCCTATAAGGCTTTCCAGAGATAAGCATGATTGGATTGTGGAAGGGTCCGGCAGCTCCTGAGTAACCCCGTGCAACCGTCAGCCTTTGAGCAAAACACGAGACACCTGTCTGGATCCTGAATGGGCGAGACTGCGATTCTGCAGGTGAGCTTCCAGTGAAATACCAGAAGCCCTGCCTCCCTTTTCACTTTCAGGGTCACTAAATTATTCACTCATATCCCACGTTCTGGCCACCAAAACCAAAAGAAATCTTTGCATTGGACTTAATTGTCGTGAGCTTAGCACTGTATCAGACGTAAATGCATGCTCACATGGAGTGAAACTCTTTGATTTGCTGCAGTGAGGCGAGATGGAGCATTTTTCTGACTTCACACCCCAATACTGGCCTATCCACTTGCATATCTGTTTAGATCGCCTCATAGCTCACAAGGCCTGACCTAAATCGCTTCTTATGCGCTTAACTCACCATCGGACAGTTTACAGTACAATCAAGCCGCTGCAAGGAGCACTTTGAAGCGCTCCCCTGACCAACAGCTAAAAATAGATGTGGATCAAATTCAATCCAAGGTAGACCAAACACTTCATCAGCCCCTGACATCCTCTTATCTCCCCCGGCTTCCTCACAAATGATACATGCACAAGTAAATTTCCGGAACAGATCTCACCACTCAAAGCCACTCAGAATCGATGTTGCTCATTCGTTAGGCGCTTCATAGATACAACATATCAAGATGCGCCTTGCAGCGTCGAAATCCAGTCCCTCGGTGTGAGATGTAGAGGGTTAATCATCTGATTGGCGGTGCCAAGCTGACAGCGTAAACAATCTCAACAATGAAGCTGGACGACAAAAAACTTATCAGGGCGATTGTTCGCCGAGTGCATCCCGACTTGTTCTCGGCACATCCGTACGAGCGGGCGCAGAACTCGGAGTCTTTAATGGCAATGCTCCGTGACCGCTTTCAATTTTCGCAGCGGGCCCTGGGACACACTTAACAAAAGCACTGTTCTTTTGAAAGTGGTTTCATTACTTAATTACTTAATTGTTTTACTGAATGCATGGTGCCCACTCAAGACTGACTCTTCTGTTTTGCAGTTACTGAACAGCTACGTCGATGAGCTGCAGCGGCGTGGCAAGGTTCAGACGGCCGCAGTGAAGTTTTGGGTCATAGAGGACGGCCGCCTGACGCAAATCAGCGCGGAGCTACCCAGCTACGGCTCCCTTGGGCCCCTCTTCTTTGCGTTCAATCTCATTTCTGCAGACGAGATGCAGTCTGGCGCCGGCTCCTACATCAGCAGTAGGCTTTCTTCTCCATATCAAATCGCTATGGCCTATTAAATTTGATTAGGAGCCATGATGTTGGTGCAATTGGTAGCCTGGAGCACTTCTTCTGCTCCTCAGCTCCTGCAAACAACAACTGTTCCCGCGCGCTGGCGAGAACTATTCAGAGCGGAGAATGTAACACGTGCACATTTGCATGCAGGTCAGGACAGCACAGGCTTTCTGGAATGGCTCAGTTTCACAGTGAAGGAGGCACTGCGGGCCTCAGAGCAGCACGAGTCCATGAAGAGGGTATTCCGCGAGCTCAGAGCCTCCCTGGAGGACAAATTTGCCCTGGCAGCCATCCAGGTATGTGCTCATGGCTCTCACTATGGTGCTAACACCAGATCCAGGCAACATGCATCTGCTGCACACCTCCCTTGCACGGAGTAGAACATTCCACAAACATGCAATTCCTTCTCTGCATGCCTCATCCTGCTTGTCTTGATGCTCATTGCCATCACAGCCTGGCCAGCTGAGGTGCATGCAGACACTGCACCTGCCTCAGGACAAGTCCAGAGATAGCAGAATGCCACTTGAAGGTTTAAATACATGGCATACAGGTGGGAGGGGAATTCGCTGTCAGCAAGGCAGAGCAAAAGCGACAGATAGAGGCGCTGAGGACACTGAACTCCTGCCTCACCACTCTGGCAGCCGACCAGCCGGAGCTTTTTGAAGGTGAGTGCACTTACTCTTGATGCGCCACTCTTGTGCCTAGCGTCATGGACTTGCATGGGACTGCCTGCTTGACTATGTTGGCATCACACTGCCTTTGCGTGACTCTTGGCCATGTTGCATGCAAGTGCAGCAGAAACATCTTACAATAAGTGCCCTTCATGCAAGTGACGAGGGCGGCAATGTAAATTATGGACCCCATGCAGGTCTGAGTATTCGCCTTTATCACCCCGACTCGGCGCCCTTTGACACGTCATCCTTCCTGGATGACAGCGGCTCGTATAATCTGCGCACAAGCTCTATAGAGGTGTGCTCCTCTGCGATGAACATTACAGCATTTTGCATGGTCCGCCCAGCAAGTCCCTCTGCCCGGCTTTATGGCTTGTAGAAGGATTGTGGATCCCTCAGCCAGGGGGGTGGGAATGAAGCGCTGGATCCCTTCTTTGCACAATCAGAGCAACAATTTGTGAGCTGCTTGGGTCATGCGCGCGTGGTCACGCGTCAGGTGCCGCAGGTCCGAGGCAAACGACGGCACACGCATGATCAATCATGCAGCGTAGCACACCGCATGCTCTGCTACATTTGGGGTTCATGCGGCCAGGACCCTGCTACGCAATCCTGCAAAACATGTTTTGCACATACAGTTCCACAATTCCATCCCTTGCAGCACAAGCTCCGAGGGCTTGAGCTCCTTGAAGAACATTGGACAGGGCGCGGTGGTCTGGTCTGATGCAATGAACTCCATCGTGGCTAGACATGTGCGTGTCAGTGTGATTCATGCCCTTGTTGCAAAGCCTTGTGGGCGTGCATGTCTCGCCACGCTTGAGCAAATTGCATCATAGCGCCGTCGTCCGCCTTGTAGCTCCTCATTTCCACAATTCAATCCCCCTGTCTCAGAAGCCCTGAGGGGTGTGTGATGCGCGCGCGCAGAGCTACGTGGCAGACGACGGATGCCTGCACATAGTGGCGGACCGGCACCGGATTCAGGAGGCAGTGGCCAGCCTCGATCTTGGCCGCGCGCGCCTGCTCACCCGCCTTTCCCTCTTCTGGGTGCACCGCGTCAGGTGGGGCTTCTGAGCTACCTCCTGTAGTTGGAACCATGTGTCGTAAGGCACTGGCCTGCTCTGAGGTGGACTCCATATTTTGGGACCTGATGTGAGCGGTGTTGCTCTAAGACTGTGTCATGGGTGGTTCTCTCAGCACGATGAACTTTTCTAATCCTTGCAGCATTGTTATACAAGGACCCCAGTGGCCACAGCATGCAGATGAGTATCTTAGCAAACTGGCTGACCTCTGCAGAAGGGGTCTGCCAGTGGGGTGTGCACATGGCAGGAGACTTGTGCAGGTTGATAACGATATCATGACCGCCTCATGAGGCTCTGTGCACCTAGAGCCCTGGGCTCTTTTTTAAAAGGCCGCCTGCACGCGGTGTGCAGTGCAAGACCCCTTCATCCGGCTCGCAAGGACACCCTCAATGCAAAACGTCCATGTCATGGTTGCATGTGGCGCGCATGCATGCAGGCAGCTGTCTTATGCATGTTGATGTGTATGCCAGGTGCCTAACTGGCCCTTGCCCATTTGGACACCTCCGTAGCTCGGATGCTCTTTCTTCGAGTTTGGCTGGGGTGTCTGTTTGAACTGACGTCCTGTTCTGGCGCGCATGCATGCAGGCAGCTGTCGCCGCCGCTGAAGGCGCTGCTGGGCACGGACAACGTGTGGTGCGACTCACGCACGGAGGAGGGCAGCCAGAAGTTCGTGCTCTGGGCCGGCTGCGTCCTCGAACGCAGGCGCGGCCCTTTGTGTGATCCTCATTGTAGACACACTCCTTGGCCCCCCCAATCGGGGGCCCTCACTACCGAGTGCAGCTGTACCAGTCCAGCTGTGCCCCTGGAACAGAAATTTGTCCCTTTCGGGGTGCACAGAATGTGCATCCTCAAATGCAGGCGCGCGCAATTTCTTATAGCTCACTCAAGACTCACCCCTCAGTTTCCCCTCTGTATATTTAAGTCGCATTGCTAAAGCAACCATAGGCCCAAATCAGGGCACACGCTCTCTGCATGCGGGCTCCTTGCTTTTTTCTATCAGGGGAACCTTGAGCCAAAGTTATCGAGACTCATGTGACACTTTTCTTCAGAGGTTCCTTCAAGTCAAACCCCCATGCATGCTGCTGATTTTCCTTCCTTATTGCACATGACGCGTCTGCCAGTCAATATATAGTGCCATAAATTATGAAATTTGTGGCGTGCAGGGAGGAATTTGATCGGGTACTGGGCGGGCGGAGGTTTGCCTTTTCATTGCTGGTGCACTCGGACGAGTCATCACCGATGGTGGACTTCCTGGCGACTTCCTCGGTTCTGCAGGTGGATTGGTCCCTCGTTTCTGATCCTCTGTTCTATACTGACACAAAGGCCCATGGGCAGGTCTTCGTCTACAGCTAGTCATGTTAAAACTGCGCTATGTCACGAGATGACAAGAGTACAAAAGCAGCCCAATCGTTTTCCTACACTTCAGTCTTTGCCTCTTACCATGGACCTGCGAGTTGAACTGTTGTATTAACTGCAACTTCAGTGAGAAGAGGTTGTCCCAGAAATGTCATACTGCAAGAGGGTCATGTCCTAAAGGTGTGCATTATGCACTTGAAGTGCAGATGCTGAGGTTTCACATTTCACAAATACCGTTGTGCTGCTCAGTCAAAACCTCGCCCGGGTGCCTGCAAGAATGCATGCTGGTCTGGGTAAACTTCTAGTCTATCTTTGATCTTCCAGGGTACGGTCATATGTACTAAACTACGCTCACCAGCAAAGCATGTCAATAATTGAGGATGGTTGTCTGTGTCTGCAGGTGCGGTCAAACTGTCCTCCACCTCGGTTGCTGGAGTTTCTGGCGGGCGAAATGGGATTGGCAGCCAACGAGGCGGCCGAGAGCGTCGCCAGCAGCAAAGCGGAAGAGGAGGCCCTGCTTGAAAAGGTAACTCCTCTGATTGACCTGTGAATATCGTTGCAATAGATTCCCATGGAGTTGCTGTCAAAAAGCAATTGTGTGCCGGGCGCATTTCACAGGCCTTCAGTATTGCACCCACCTACCGTGTTACAGATCGGGCCCGATGGCCAGCTTTTGGTTGACAAAAAGAACCACCGGTGACCAAAATGTACACCCTATGGTCTATATAATCGTCGCATCAGTGACATACAGGGCACATTGTTTTATTGTGGTGTCTGATTCGCATCCTTCATCCCATGCAGGAAAGGTTGTGCTTGCGGCCAGATGAAACATGACGTCCGATTCAAAAGTGATGTCCATGGCATGGCATGAGGCCTTTGCACACCAGGACATGGCCTTTAACACGTCAGGCGGAAGCCGCGCTGCAAACGCGGAGTCACCGCTTAGTAATCGCATGCATGCAGGTGCGCGCGGCGCTGGGCGCGAAGCATGTGATCTGCGTGTGCTCCAGCTACGACAGCGCGGGAGTCATGGACGCAGCACAGCGCCTGCTAGACTGCGCGGATGTGCTTCGCGGAGTCGTTGACCTGTCCGGTGAGCCGTTTTCACTGCTGCAAAACATGTCTTCAACTAACAGCCATCACTGCTGCAACATGCTTGATCAACTGGACAGCCACTCCTGCTGCAATTCGTGTGACTTGGTGGACCTTGACGTCACAGCTGGACTTGCGATTGACGTGGAGAAGATCAAGACTTTGATTCACTGCTGAGAAAGAGCGCGCAGATACCTTTTTGCACGGTCTTCACAATTAGCGCAGAACGTTAGCTGTTTTCAATTCTTGGTTGTGGGTTGTGGGTTCTGGGTTGTGGTGCTGGATTGTGGTACTGGAGCACTTGGTCAAGCACAGACGGCAATGACAATGAAATGCATTTGCCGCGTCACAATTGCTGTTGTCGTCACTGCAGTCTCTGCGCGCCCAACTTCTTGCACATCCCACAGCTACCAATCTTCTGTTGCTTTCGTCACTTTGCCTAGAGTGTGCCTCACACTTAGTCTTATCTTTCTGCGCAGGTGCGAGCATAGCGATCGACGACTGCTACGAGCTATGGGAGAGCGGTTTCATCTCCATCCCCCACAACTTCCAGGTCAAGGACCTCCGCCCGGAGCTGCGCAAGCTGCTATCTCCCTATACCACCCCCCCCTCAACCGCCGCTGGCAGCATGCAGCAGGGCAGCAGTGACTTTGCTGCTAATGGAAATAGTAGTACTGGCATTAGTGGAGGGAACGGTGTTGCACCGGGCGCCGGGGAAGCTTCCGGGGCGGCTTCCGCCAGCGCGGAAGCTGCGCCATTGACGGCCGGCCGCTTGGCGGCGGTGATGTGTGCGCCAGGTCATCGGCAATGGCAGCGGCTGCGGGGGTCTGTAATCGAGCGGAGGAGGGGTGTCGGCCGCGGGATATTGCTCAGGCCGCACCTGCGTCAGACGGCGTTCCTAAGGAGTGCATCCGGTTGGCAACAGTGCTTGTGCCAAACTCTTATATGAGGTATTAGAGCTGCTGCACATAGCGGCGCTAATAAAGACACAAGGCCCCACTCGTGTTCAGAGCACTTCCTGGATTGAGAAGGGGTTAGCACAGTTCTGGAATAAGCAAGGTAGGTGGCAGGTTGTGGCTGCACCCACACAATTTTGATTGCAGGGCTCTGAAAAGCACTCAGAGTAGGAGAAAGCAATGAGAAAGGTTCCAAACGGTGTGTGGCAAGAGAATTGTCTCCAGTGTCTCCAGGGTAGGCGTTATATTGATGTGATGCATGCTGTGTCACATCAATATAATTAGCTCGTGTACACGGCTCTGATCATTGAATGTAACATAGAGAACTGATCGCAGGCACTTCAAGACACTGACTTCTAATCCTGTGTTGGGAGAGATTCGGTCTCGAAGATCTCTAGAGACAAATTGCAAACTCTTTCGGATGTGGCATTGCCGAGCGGCTTGCGTTGCTTGCTGATAAATATCTTGCAAATGCAGCAAATGCATCCGCCAAATGTATGCCCATGTGCTCAAGGCGGCAGTGCAAGGATGTTACTGACCATCTCAATGACGCACTGATATATATCACATTATTATAAATATGACGCACTATATGTACTAAATGCGTACTCCAGCCATGGTTAAAGACGTCATCGACATCTAGCGATGATGCAAGGCTACAAGCAGACAGCTTTCCGCTACCGCAATTTCTAGAGATCTTATCGATACAGACATCAGGACGGTACTGACATCAGGATTATGATGTATCTGCTCATTGCGATATCTACTGCTATCACCACACTAAGCCTGACCATATCTGATCTCATCACCAGAGCGCACATACAATTTTGTGCTGCATTCAAGCCTTGCAAGCAACATGTCAATCAATGAGCAGTGAAGCATGTCACTTCAGAACCAAATGTTCATCCAGCACAGCATCACTCAAGCCAGGAGAGAATGCACACATCAAGACAGAGCGAGCACCAGTGAAGGGAGAAAAGGCTGCCTGGCAGGTCTAACAAAGTGCACCGACAATACGGACACGTCCCGGTCCAATCAATTGTAACGATTTAGAATTGTGAGTTGAGGTAAAAATAAACAGCGGCAACAACAACCAAAATGCCCACTCCTCCCGCCACCAACACCGGTGTGTCACTCCTGCACACAGCGCATGCAATCAGCCAGCTTATCATGCACAGCAGATCAATGACTTCAAGTTTTAGCTGGCCAGAGGTAATATCTCCCCCAGGGAGAATTCCTACACAGTAATTGCAGCTAGCGATGGGTTGCTTTGACTAGCATTGGTGTAAGCTGAAGAGCTATACAAACGGTTGTTGTCTTGGAACAAACTATTTGGTGAACTCACTTGTCCATTCCCTCTCCACTGGCCGGTTGGACACCGCCTCGCCTGCTGCTTCCTGTGCTGCTGGATGCAGGCTGCTTCTGAACCTTGAACCTGCACATTCATTCCCTGCCAGCATTGAAGAGAACAGGGATGCTCGCACAACCTCTTAGGGGCCTCTGTAGCTGAGATAGCTGAGCACAAACGAGTGATGGCCTGTCTAGAACACGTGCAGTATAAAGGGCATCAGCAGTAAAACCTACCATGAGTGCCTGTACAAGCTGGCAAGCAAACAACAAGCAAACAAAGCAGCAAATGACAAAGAAATGAATGACCTGGCTCCTCACGCATTTTGCAGCCACATTGTTCAGACAAATTACAAAGTACTGGCTGGCTTGAGAGCACAAGGAGATACTACTAATGATGGCATTTGCACTTTTGCAGCTGGTGAATGACAGTGAGAACAATATAATGTGCTGCCTTGCCTGCGTTTGGGTGCCTGGCACGTAGGGCAGATGTAGTCCTTTCCAAGCTCCGAGAAGGGAGTTCGGCCATCGTAGATATATCCGCAATCTATACAGATGTACGTCGGAGTCGCTGTCTTTGCCTTAGCTCCAAAGGCCGCCTGTGTCTTCGCGGCATGCCCTCTCCTAGGAATGCGTCTGCTCTGCCTCAATCTCAGTGTCTGTGCCTGCGACGGTAGCTATGACCAATTTGTCACATTTAAGATGCCATATTCAATACTCCAGATTTATGCATTTCCTACTCTGCATCAAAGTGACAAAAGGAAATCTGAGGTGGAAAAGGTCAGTCTTGATCAAAGGCATACCACCAAGTCCGAGAAGGTACCATTATGTGTTTAAAAAAAATTACCTTTGGCTGTGTGACAAAGCTCCCGCACAACTGCGTCCTAGTATGCAGTTGCTGCGTCTGCATTGACGTGAGATTCATTGGAACGGACGCACTCTCCTTAAATTTGCTGATGCACAATAATTACGCCTCCTGTGCAGATAGATTCCTTGAGATCTTGCTGTTCTCTTGAAGAGCTTATACCACCGCCAAGAGCCCACACTTCTACTCCGCATGCTGACCACTCAGCTGACGTCACTTATCTTATCACCTCACTTCTGAACTCAATTTAATCCTGGGTTAAAGAAGCCTATGTCTGCATTGCAAGGCAGTGGTGGACTCGAGCACAAGTATCCACAGAGTGTACCTTTGGCAAATTATCAGAACTGAATCCAGGCCCGCGCATCATGTTTGCAATGGCTCAGATACATATTCACTATGGCTGACTCAGGAATAGAGAAAGAAAGCATGGGACTGTTGATATTTTTGCGAGTGCAACGGTAGCTGGCTGCGATCAGTGAGAGTAGCATGCATGCACTTATAATCTTGCATGCACGTGCAATTCCAACGTTGGTTCTTTGTCATGATTTTATACTTTTGCAGAATTCACTTAAGCAGCGCTTGAGAGGTACTTTATACGAGTTGCAGCTCTTACCTACCAAAGAAAGAAATTCATGTATCAGATCCTGGGACCTCAGGCCTGCCGGCCTCACATGCTGCCGAATCAAATAGCTTGGATGCACCAACCATTCCAATTATGTGCGTGCAACACCATTGCGCAAACATGCTTGCAGACGGATATTTTCACGCAGCTCACAGCCTGAAAATGTCAAGCTGACAGCTAGCAATTACTAATAAGGCAACCTGTCTCTTCAGATCGAGAACCTGCCCCCATCTTGCATCTGCATTCAGTGCATGTGCGCCGCCCATCCGATGACACCACAGACACCGCCAATCAGCACAGCCAGTGGCGCAGGGCAGCCCACAAAGTCCACCAGGGCGAAGCCGATGATGCCTGCACGCCGACCATGCATACACAACCTCAGCCACTGTAACGATTCTGTTACCCACGTGACAGGCAGGCAGGAGGGGGTTCCCTCCTGACCGTGCAGGACCAAGAGATCTACGGCTGTACGCTATCCTACACAATCCAGTGTTATATCAACACTCCCATTGATTGGAAACCGAGTAGAACACTACAGCCATCTTCTGACATCATCAATTCACACCTTTGGATCCAGTCCATGGGAGCTTCTCTTTATTATGCTTCAAAGAGCAGAGCATTATGATGTGTATCCCCTTTCCATACTGGGGTGGCGAGCATCAGAGTCCATCGCAGAAACACAAACCACAGACTCATTCCAGCTGTACATTGCAGTGCTCTTCAACTCTTACGTTGATCTTAAATCGTCAACGGCCTCTTTTGGCCAGGACAGCACCATGTGCGCTACTTTTTCAGGCAGGCAGTAACCAGTCTGCTGCATGCCAGTTTAAGAATGGCAGAGCAGGAAGATCACTCCAACATCCACAGGAAGAAAACAATGCCTTGCCGCACTGGATCCAAGCTGACATCACTATCTATGGCATTGCCCGAGCCAGGCCCATTTTCCACGTATTCCCGCTAGGCATGCTGCAAGCTGGTAATCCTGAAAATCACCTATGAGGTCATCGCATGACTAAACGCCAGAGGGGTACTGGGGTACAACTGCAGGGGCCTTTTGCAAATGGCAAAGGGCGCGCACCGATGCAGATGGTGGTGTTGGGGAAGGGGCTGGCAGCATATATTTGGAAGGTCAGCGAGAAGACAGATGCCACAATCAGGCCCACAGCGGCGGAGTTCAGACCCGGCAGCATCCTGCGCAGTAACATTTACATTAATAGCTGACAGCAAACACTGCATGCAAGTCTAGGCACGTGAAATGGTTCACATGAAACAGCTCTAAGAGTACTTCTTTTGCAAGCACATCACTTTGTTTCTGTGCGTCACATTGCACATTCAATGCTTCACTGAAGAGGCCGGAAGCTTGAGGGATCGAAGTTCAGCAGAAGCCCCGGCTTTGCGTGTCAATGGTCAATCTCATGCCTGCTCTCATCACTCATGATATGTCCAGCACCGATTGAAGGAAATGGCACTGCTCTCCGCAACGCAGAAGAAATGAGTGGGCATCACACAGCATGGGCTGAGTCAGCGGTGATTCGGCGAGGGTCAGCGGTGACTAACCTGCGGTACACCTGGAAGTGGCGGAAGCCACCCCACCATGGCATGAAGCCGTAGATGAGCAGGATGCCCGGAGCAAACAGCGCCACCCAGCAGATGAATATTCCCGCCACCACGCTCACACCGGCATTGTACGCTATGACGGCGCCTGCAGTGCCACCCAGGCCCTCCTCTCAATGTCAGAAGACTCTTGCTAGCTTGTGCCAAAACTAAACAGCATGAAATTCTTAAGAATGGCTGTGGCATCTTGGGGCATCTTGAAAGTCTTGTTTAGACTAAGCAGCATGTCGCACAGACAGCATGCCACATGATCGAAGTGCTGACAGGCTCTCATGCACAAAGCAGCAAGCGCTATCTGATTGCACCACGGACCTGTTTTATCCTGCAGCCCCCTTTCAGGGGACATGCTGAAAAAACGATTCAGGGAGGCGCACCGAGGTAGGCTGCGAAGTTGAAGAGGGGCCCCGGCATGGCCTGAACGAGGGCGAGGCCGGTGAGAAAGTCTGCCTGAGACACCCAGCCGGTCGCTACCACCTCATTCTGCAGCAGGGGGAGGACCACCTGCATAGCAGCCAGGCAAGTCTTCCTCATCACTGCTATCAAAAATGACCATATTCCTACGCCTAACACGACAGTCCGGCTCCGCAGTGGCAGTTTGGGTGGACGGTGCCGAAGGCCCCACCCGGTCAACACAAGCATGAGGTATAACCAACAGAGTGAAGGCCAAACATATTGCTAATCACAGGTTATTCTGGGGCATTTTAAAGCAGGGAGATCGCGCTCTTTCATGAGGCACCAAAGTCAATGAACAACTGCTTTCAGCTTGGCATAACAAATTCCTGTCGGTTGACCTCCTACCATTGGATGGTGAGGTCGCACATGCAGGTGCAGCTAGGTATCCTGATGTCGCTATTAAGTCTCAGCTAAGCTTTCAACATCCCTGGGCCAGAGTGCAGATAAGGAGCAAAGCCTGATGGCGCAGGGAATGTATTACGCGGTCGTTCCCGCCCACAGATATATTGCAGCCTGCAAGACCTCAAACTTAGGTCGCAGGTCTCAGAGAGTGTCTAGCAGGGGATTTACTTGATGTAAGGGTAGACCAGGAGCAAGTTTGGATCACCTAGGCCCCGCCAAAGATGATGCAGCCGGTGCGGTACAAGGCCGCCCATCAACCAATTGACGAAAATCTGAATGCAGACTTTGCAAAGCTAACTCCTGGGGCGGGTCTCAGGAAGTGTCTGACAGGGATTCAGCTCAAAAGGCGGGTTACACATATAGAGCGAGGTGTAATCACCTAGCCGCCACCGACGATGATGGACCGCGAACCTAGTTCAGGGGGCGGGCCTCTGAGAGTGCCTGCCAGGGATATGGGTGAGGGGTGGATTGAGGGCCAGATGAGCGGGGTGGATCACCTGGCCGCCGCCAAAGATGATGGAGCCGGTGCGGTAGAACGCCTCCCACCAGTACAGCTCCTTGCGCTCGGCGTAGTCGGTGCGGCGGCGGAATACGATGGTCAGAACCAGCACGATCGCCCATGCCGCAATCAGGACGAGACCCACCGCGCGGCTGACCCCGAGCTTCTCTATGCGGTCCGCCGCGCTCGCCTTGGACACCTGTTCAACAGTAAAATTCGTCTCAAAGTCCCCCCCCCACAGTCTATTCCGTTCTGGTGGACGTTAGCAGCTGGGTGCTACTTCTTGAAAGCGCGAGATCTGGACCGCGGCAATGGAATCCTCTGTTGTGGCAGGAAGGATGAGCTGCAGTGCGTGGAAGCTTGAAGGTTGACCCCCCTCATTGGCCTCGCTTTGTTGTCTGTAGTTTGAAGCTGTGCATTGGAGCAAGAACAGGACCCACACCACTGTTCTGCTCCTTGACAGTCTCTGCAAAAGGGCCCCTTCTGGTTGTACTCAGTCTTGCAGGAAATGCGTTCTGCTTTGATGGCAGGTTGAGCTGTATCCAAGGGAATGAGCAATGCGCAGAGGATAAATCTTGCAGACGAGGCGTTGCACAACAGAAGAGTCATGATATTGATGCGTCACCAGTGCATGCAGCATGACTGCAGGGAAGTCCCAACTAAGACATTCTGCAACGACTGCAGGGGTAAAAAGCATCACTTGATTACCAAACCTGGTTGCTGAATCTCAAGGGGCGCGCACCACTTTGCGCAGGGTGAAGAGGGTGACGACGCCGCCTGCCAGGATGAGGGTGGGGAAGATCCACGTGGCGGGGAAGTAGTATGAGATTATGGCCGCCACCGCATTAATGATCATCGTGGTGCGGTCCTTGCATGTGCCGTACGTCAGGCCTTTTGCAGCGCTCGCCACCAGTGCCACACCCACTGCTGCCAAGCCTGTGGAGCACACACCCACACAGCCTTTGTAGGAAGCCCCTGTGTTGATGCAACGCTGACCGCGGCTTGAAAGCTGTTCTGTAGAAGCATGTGCAGTGCTGTCAGGGCCGCTGCACCAGGAGTTGGGCAACAGGCAGGTCCATGACAGATCTTTTGCATGTCTCCTAACCCAAATCTTAAAACTCTGTGAACAATGAGCCAGCAGACTTTTGCGCATGGCACAAGTGCGGCGCCTCAGTAGGCAAGCTGGCGCTTCAGATAGTTTCAACATGCTTCGAGTCCAGTGCCATGCTTGTGATCATGTGCTTGGCAAACAGACAAAAAACCCCACCTGCGACGATGCCCTCCAGCCACGGGGCGGGGTTCTTGAGGAAGTTGGCGGCACCGGCGCCCACCAGCGATGCAATGAGGAAGCCGGGGTACTGGAACAGCACGCCTAACCAGGCAACCACACAAAAGGTCTCTTCAAAACACAATATATGCTCCAGGAGGTTGGCGCAAAATATGCCCCAACATACATTGTCATGAGGAACAACCCTTGAAAAGACGGGAGCGGTGAGAATTACTTCCAATGCTCATCCATGCACCTTTCAGACAGTAAAACAACATGCATGTCCTTGAATGAGAGGCAGTGACAGGGCTCAAGTGGATGACTAGGGATTCCTGCAGCAGTGTGTCACCCGTCATGAGGCCGCCAGTGACTCCCTTGTGCACCACGCCGATGGCAAAGGAGACCTGAGTTGAGGTGGGCCCAGGCAGGCACTGGGACAGGCCGAGCAGCTCCAGGAAGACGGTAGATGACAGCCATTTCAGCTTCTCCACAAAGACCTGCCAGGGGGCAAAAAGAGGGGGGCCAAAAGACCCGTCAAATGCTGTGACAGGGCGTGTGGGGTGCATTTAGAGAGGTACAAGGCATTTGAGGAGATTGAGGCATTGCTGGCTGGCGACCGGCTGGCAGATGGTTGGAGGGATGGCTTGCAGCTCACCCACAGTCAAGCACAGAGGGCACACTGCACACAGCATCCGAGAAGCGTCAGTGGCTTTGAGCAACACAGCTACATGTGAAAGTCAAGGCACGAGTCTTCTGGATACAGGGGTGAGGGTGCAGCAACTGCAAGAGTCCGGGATCCAGGGTGCCAGGGATCTTTCAGGTGTTACCTTTTGGAAGAGGGCAATATGCGCTGTCGGGCCACCGAACGCCACCCACCCCATCCACACGAAGCGAAGGAATAGGTCCCTGTAGGAGACCTTGTGTGGAACAGGTGCTGTTGGAGCGCCCTCCACATCCAAGGCTCCAGAGTCCTGTGCTGCCTCAACACCGTCCCTGCACAAGGAACCAGGGCATCAAAGCCAGGCTCTTTAGGTGACGAATCGAGGGACTCGCAATGAGCAGCTTGCTGCCTGCTTCTTGAAGAGATCAATTTAGGGCGTCACAACAGACACGTGCTGCAATCACAGCCTCTGGAACGCATAGGCAACGTGCACGGCATCGATTCAATGACGCTTTGAACTTATTGGAAAGCCTGCGTACCCAGCGACAGTGCTCTTGGGCTCAGGCTCAGAAGGCATCCCTCTATTATCGAGTGCTATTTTCGTTTCAGGAGCGGCTGGCAACTCCAGGTCGCCACTAGCACCACCCGGCTTTGCCATTGTTTTACACAGCAGCGACGTGCAGGGTGTACCAGTCACTTTTGATGGACAGCCACCCTTTTGCAAAGATTCTCTTCAATGGCCTTTGCTTAAATAGACGCCCCTAATCAGAAGGGTGAGGACGGAGTTGAGCGGACTAGTACCCCTAGGATGACCAATCCCTGCCTCGCTCACGGCTCAAGAATACAAAGGACTAAGCAAACCTTTTTACAATACATTCATGTATTGCGTGGCGAGGAGTTGTTGCATGAGTTATCTGACTAGCACTCACTCTTTTTGAAAGCGATGTTTTTATTGTCAACAGTGATGGAAAAAAGGCATTATTCACAGTGCTGAAAGTGATGAGCGACGGCATGATCCCTTACGTAGTTGAGACAGTAACACTCTCATTAAAGTTCGCAACATCTATTTCGCCTGACACACGGACATCCAAACTCCAATAGAACGCCGAACAAAGACTTTTCATTCGTCCGGTTTGCGTACTTATATCCAGGTATCACACTTGAGCATGTTTTTGCACAAATTGATTTTACGCCTAATTACAGCGCTTATGCCTGTTTCTTCACTTCAACATGGTCAGAAGTTCCATTTGTCGGTGTCACAACAACAGGCTGTTCTCGGAGCTACATTATCAAGCTGGCGCAAGGGGTTCCTGCTGAAGAAGTAACACACGTGCTGAGCCCAGGTTCTTTGCTACACATCTGGTGGGTTGTGCTGGAGAAAACCACGGTCTGACGAGTTGCCTTGCCTTTAAGGATCCATAGCTTCTCAGAGCACCTGCACTGTAACAGACCTTAAGCAAATCAATTTGACCATGGTATGGGCAATCTGCGCTGACCACACTGAAATTTCAGCATATTGTGCCGTGTTGCAAAGGGTACACTGACTTACTCTGCAGATGGCTCAGCAACTATTGGACTGGCTAGTTGCAGAACTGCAGCATGTGGAGCAGGAGGTGCTGAAACCTGTTGGTTTTGAACATATCAACAGCAGCACAGGTCAGATTGTCAAGGTGTGCAGACTCGGTTTGGTTGCCCTCCTTCCCAAGCCTTCTGGCATATGTGCCATATATATGAGGAGCTTTCCTTGGTAGCTACCTGAGAAGTCTAAGGTGTCTGTTTGCTGCAGGATGACTGACAAGATATATATCAATTTGGCCTCTTCAAGTGAGACGCTGTCACTGCCTGCAAACCCGCCTCCATCTTGCAAGGACGTACTTGACACTTTGGGCGTGGGCACACTGCGGGAGGGCGATGACCTTGTGCTGCACTCACGCATCCTGGAGGCTGGCAAGCAGTACACCTTCGTCAAGGAGGTCACAGCAGGTAGCTTTTATTGGCTGAGTTTGCACAGAGATCGCAGTGCCTTTGTTGTCAGCGGTTGTGGGCTTGTATCAAGGCTCTATCTGACAACCTGGCTAGAGCTCCAAAACACTGTTGAGGTCTAGGTGCGTCCGCACAGCAGTCACCCCGTACTGCGCGCCTTGGTTACTAGTGGTGTCTTTGGCCTCAGATAGTCGGTCACAATTGGATGTATCCTGTCAGGCTCATACAAAGGCCTGAATAAACTTATACATCTGCCACTTTGTAGGAAAGCGCAATGGCGCCGTCTTGGGTTGGAAGTCAAATGGCAGTCAGGATGAGCTTCATGTTGAAATGTGTCCATCCTTTTGTATTGCAGGAATCATCGATGTGGATGCACTCGAGATCAGCAAGGTAGTCGCGTCGGGTGTGGTGGATCCAAACCGGAACTTCTATGTGGAGGCTGCGCATGTGGGGCGCCTTGTTCGTGTGCTGGCTGGCAAGAGCGTGCTACTGCTGGTTGGCGCTAGGCAGTCTGGGAAAACCACGGACGCTCAGGCTGTCTTGAGGAGGTTGCACAAGGCTGGGTACCAGGTAGGCATGTTCACAGCACCTGTGCCGGCCCATGTCATCCCCCCTGTGCTGCACACCACTAGCGTGCAAGCTGAAGTCAGTGGCAGAACTTTGAATTCCCTTTGATAATTGGTTGCTTTGCAGATCATCTATGTGTGTTTGGGCGCCTTATCCTGCAGTCCAGACTTTGACGGGGACAAGATCTGGTCAGCCCTCCTGCGCAAGCTGAGGGTGCCTATCGACAAGGGCCGATCTGCCTATGAAACCGTTGAGAGCCTGGAGAAGCTGCCATCAGGGAAGACATCTCTGGCTGTGGTCTTTGACGAGGTGACCAGTCTTCCCACCCGCGATGGGGCTCTCGGACTCTTTATCCAGCAGCTCAGGTCATTGCTACAGGCAGCACCTCTGTCAGATGTCAGGTAAGATTTTCAATAAGGACGACAGAGTCTGTTGGTACGTTTTGAGGAAATGTTACTTGGACCTCAGCTTGTGCCTCCAAGCTTGCAACTGGTACCCATTGACTGATTCATATGTCAACGGTTTTCATTTACATCTCGTAAATTGCTTGTGCAGGCTGGAAGGCGTTATGTTGGTGGGCACGCCGGCGTTGCCTCTGGACATCATGAATGCCTCCACAGACGAGCGCTGGTCCTCTTTTGTTGTGGTGTGTGCTTGCACAAATCTTGGATACACATTGCCTTGCCATGCAGCTGCAGCAATTGCTGCTACCAGTTCATTGCCCTTTGATGTCCCCCTGTATTGTCCTTCACACTGCTCGCTGTGCCAACCATGCTACATCCTAAGTATATTGTCTGTTTTTTGAGCAGGAAGGGGCGCAAGCGTCACAACTTTTCACAGAGACAGAAATTGCAGACCTCTTCCAGCAGATAGTGCTGGAAAGGAACTACGACCCTGGGGCAAGCTTGCAAGAGTGGGCTAAAGTCATAATGAGTGCGACGGAGGGTGTGAAGGGCCTGTCTGGGGCAGTGTTAGCAGAGGTGAGGCACACTTGTGCTAACACACAATATGCACTTGGCAGCCATTGTCTCACTTGGTGAGGCCTGAAAGGCTCAGAAACTTGGGAGCAAGATTCAGTGTTGCAATCTGGGGTGGAGAGAGGTGCTGTTTGCAACCAACCTGTGCAATATGTCCCCGTGTAAAAATCTTGCCCTCAGCAGTTGCATGTCAATGTACAGATTGATGGACGGTGGAGTCTAGGGCAGCGGTTCGGTTTGGGAGACCTGGTCAGCTACCTGTCGGGCAAGCAACTTGGCCTCCTCAGGCAGGGCATGCAGAGGCCGAGCATGAGCTTGCTCAGGGCGCTCACGCGTAACGATGACGAAATGCGCTGCATATTGACAGAACTGATATGCTCAGGTTGGGAATTGGCTACCTCTCACATGCATGCCAAGGTGCTGCACAAACTTGTAGCCAAACCTGCGAGCACTAGAGAGACTTGTGCCATTCTGGCTCTTGGGCCTGGAGCAAACCAAGTGTCCCATCCCTATGTCAAGGGCCTGCAGTATCGCAGTTTCAATGCTTCTGAAGGTTGACTATTTTGCAGGACGCTACTCCCTAGAAGACACACCCAGCGAGGCAGCGCTGACCTTAATCAATGATGGCGTCGTGAAGATTGTCTCCTCAACGGACAAGAAGTTCATGCTGCAAATCTCAGCACCCATCCTGGAGCAGCTGCTGCAGGCCATGGCTTTGAGGGACATCCAAGCCGCTGTTCAACTCCCTGACCCCCCCATGGAGCTCGGACAGAGGCAAGATCCGGCTGTTCATGCTCTTTGCTGGGAGTCATGCTCACCGTTTTTAGGCAAAGATGTCAAGATTGCATGTTGGTCCCCACAAGCCCGAAGTGAGAGCATACAAAGGTCAGCAAATGGTGACCACCAAATGTGTGCCTGGCAGGTCGTTTGGGGTGTACTTGCTCAAGAGCGCCATCAGTCTGCTGGATGTACCCCGACTCTTGCAACCTAGGGTGGCAACTGCGAAGAATCAGATCCTCGAGTATGCTCTGCAGGTGAAGCTCTGACAACATGCGCAAAGTGTCTGAACACCTTTTTCGCGCATAAACTCAGGATTTTTGGCTGCATGGATGGACTTCATTGGCCTTTGCTGTGTTGTGCAGCACGAATTGAGCAGAGCCCTGGCCACTGTCTTAAAAAGCAATGTGAAGCTGGCCTCCCTTGGTCTCGTGCTGGGAGTGGAGGTGCGCAACAGAGAGTTCACAGCCATGGACGCGAAAACCTCTCAGGCAAAGCTGGCAGCAGCACAGCAGAGCCAGGGCCAGCACAAAAGCCTTCAGTCTCAGCAGAAGAGTGCAGATGAGCCGCTAGATGGCAGCTGGACAGAGATGCCAGCCTCACAGGAGCAGCCTGCAGCCAAGGAGCCACTGGCTCCTGATGTGATGGATATCCTAGCCAAGCTGCTGGGGTCGAACACGCTTCAGGACAGGAGGCTTGACATGTCTGTGGGCCCCTATGGGTTCGAGCTGCTCTCCTCCGGCGCGAAGAAGGAGGTGGTGGAGCATGCAGCAAGGAGCATCCTGTACGCAGACATGCACGACCTGCAGATTGTGTTTGCAGTTCATGTGAAGGTTCGCCGGGCGCTTGGAAAGCAGCCGCGCTTCCCTCCCTGGCCGGACCTGGGCGATGCTGCCAAACCGGTGAATCCCTTCAATGTCCTCCTTATGTGGTGAAGTCCTATGCTTGCTTTCTTCGCTCATGCTGCAACTTGTCAGCAGAATGCCTGCGCTCTCACCAAACTTTGGAACAAGTATATGCAGTTAGCAGCTGCAATAATTGCTTCACATTTGCCAGGTGATCCCCATAAATGTCCTGATCGACGTGGAATCTGGAGAATTGCGCATCATGTACCTGGACACGTCCGAGGTGACGCGCATTCCTTTGCGCGAGGAGGTGGAAATGCTGAGCGGGCTTGAGCCGCCGGTTGGCCAGCCAGGCACAGACCGAGTCTCGGACGGCGCAGCCAGCGCAGTGGCACCATCTCCAGCTGGTGTGCAGACCTCCCATCCTCAATTGGACCACATTCAAGTACTGAATGGGTGTGCACAGCGCCGCATGGTGCAAATGCATATGCTGCTACTCAAATGGTCTCGCGTGGCCTTAGGTCACAAGTTCCAAAGGCTTTGCAGATAATGTTTGATTCGTGGTCCACGTTCATGCTGCCGGGCCATGAGGGCAAGGCACAAATGTTGCGTGTGTGCATACACAGGTGGCAATTGCGGAGGCAGACGTCCAGGTGCATTTGGTCTGCTGCCTGGTGTGACTGGCCATAGACGGAGCACAGGCACAGGCCGCCGCATGCAGCCCTCTCTTCGCGTTCCAGGCCATGCCCCATGCGTCCTTCTCAGGCGCTTCTGCTGACAAGCCTGTCAGCCATCGCTGATCCAGTTGTTCCACAGTGTCGACAGCGACATATTTTGCCAGCTGCTTGTATGGACAGATTTCAAGCTGATCCAGGTTATTCCACAGTGTCAACAGCGACATGTTTTGCCAGCTGCTTGTATGGACTGATTTTAAGCTGATGCAGTTTTCTCCACATGTGTCGACAGCGACATGTTTTGCCAGCTGCTTGTATGGGCAGATTTCAAGCTGATGCAGTTGTTCCAAAGTGTCGACAGCGACATGTTTTGCCAGCTGCTTCTATGGACAGATTTCAAGCTGATCCAGTTTTCCCCAGTGTGTCAACAGCGACATGTTTTGCCAGCTGCTTGTATGGACTGATTTTAAGCTGATGCAGTGTTCTCCACATGTGTCGACAGCGACATGTTTTGCCAGCTGCTTGTATGACAGATTTCAAAGTAGCTCTTAGTCAATTCAGAATTATCTTGCTGTCTTGCATACATGTATAGTCATTAAAACGTGATTACTACATACTTTAAATACTGTATAAACTGTGTAATTTCAAAATGTGACAGGTACTGATCAATTTCAGATTAAGCTCAGTAGAAATCTACCGTGTTTTAAGTATTGTTCTTTTGATTCCCTTCTGCAAATGGTCTACTGGGTCGGTGTCAAGCAAGCAAATTTCAAATTCACACAACTTCAGCCTGTTTGCCTTTGGCCTGCCATGCGCCTGTCTCTGCGCTGCTTCTGTGGCTGAAAGGGCCTCCCAGGAACAAATTCATCCCTGTGTGGGTATTCTTTCTCTGCACTTCCTTCTCTCTTCGCTGCTCTGTCTCCCTCGCTTGCTCTGCTTGGTCCTTGGCTCTGCCTCGACGGTACAGGGCTAGACCTCTTCGATGATATATCTCCCTGACTCGATCTGTTCTCTCCCTGGCTCTGCTTCGCTGCTGGCTCCTTCTTTGGCCTCAGGGTTTTCGGCTTCGTCCCCTTCTCAATAGTTTTTGCCCCTTCCTGCGCCGCCTCGTACTGCTGGCGCAGGTTGGCTGCCATTCCATTCCTGCAGCGCAGAAGAGCCTCCATTGAGCAACAGGAAAACCTTTGCAATGGTCGAATGCAATGTCCTTTTCATGCAAGGCTGGCTCGAAATCAGTAGCTGCAGAGACAGTCTTTGAAGACATGGCCTTAAACAGTAGATAAGCATCGAGAAAGCAGATGTGCCGAGCCATGATGCTTGCATGCATGCAGCCAATTGCCGGCATGCTCTCACCTGCACTCAGGTGCCAGCCACTAAGGAGTTTTATCGACCTAATTCATGTGAGGTGAACTTATATGAAGGCGTTCAATTCCAATTTATTTCTAAAGCAGGAGAGATCTAGAATGCAAAACAAATTCAAATTCAAAATGACAGTGTAAGTGCCAAAGTAAGGAGGAAGGGCTGTCCCACTGTGAATACGAGTGCATTGACAACACAAACATCTCCAAATATCTCAAAGATTTCTTGGAAGAGGTGTCAGGCATGTGCACGCACCTGCCGCGTTGCTCCTCGAAGCTGGCCCATGCGCTTAGTAAGGGCAGGTGCGGCTGCCCGGCAGCTGCCCCCTGGCTGAACAGCTCCCTAGCCATCGCGTCATTCCCCTCCTCCGCCTCAAGCAGCGCCCACTCCATCAGCAGCGGTGCATGCCTGCAGTGACACAACCCCTCAAAACACAAATTCAAGTCTTTTTAAAACATTGTCGAGTCCTGCCATAGTTGCTGGCATTTTTGGTGCCTGTGTCCATGTCACAAGACAGGAATCTCTCATCGCAGGTACTCTTGTCTTACAATAAACAGAAGGATGAAAGCGCCATGTTCTCCTGTGCTTATTAAAAAAAGCAGCATATGCTGCCCCATGATTCCCTCTTTGAGACTACCACCATTTCTTTGCATACCGGGTACGCAGTGGATGACCAAAGGGTGTCCCACTCAAGAAGGGAATTCTGGCGAAGAATTGATAGGAGTCAGAGAGAAGGACGCGCACTTGGGGCAGCTGGTGTTGCATACAGTCTCAGCATAATGTGGCCTTGTGATAATTTCAGTGACAAAGAGGCCGGAAAAAAATAGACAGTAGTGTCAGAGAAAGGGCACGCACTTGGGGCAGCTGGTATTGCCCTGTCTGAAGATGTCTCTCGCTGCGTCATTGTCCCCTGCCATCTTCTCCAGGACAGCCCACGCCTGCAGTGCACAGAGACTGAACCATATAAATATATAGTTAGAATGTAAATTAAAATATAATAATATAACAATAAATGTGACCATCTCAATAGCCAAAAAAGGTGGCTGGAAAAGGTGCCAAGATAGGCCGAGCTGGAAGGCTGTCATAGAGACGCTGCTGCGCCGCACTTAAGCCAACCGTGGCTTGGATAGGCGTGTAATAATTTTAATAATAACAGCCACAATCTCGCCTCTGCCATGTTATCCGAGATTACATACACTGCAGGGTGCAGAGCATCATTTCTGTCCCTGTCATCCCGGCTAAACACTGAAGTCAGGCTACCACAGTCTGCCAATGCAGCATGGAAGGAGCCATGCAGCATATGCTAGAGGTGAAGGGCAACCTACAGAAGACCTAACATCCTCAAAGGTCAGACCTTCTTATAAGGGAAGCAAGCCAGATGATGCCCACCTCCAAGCTGCAAAGCTTTTCATGGAAACAGGCACCAACTGGTGCATATTCCTTGGTGGGCTTTTCACAGCAATGTACCTGATGATCCATACTGGAAGGGAGGATGGCTTACAACTGAAGGCCACTAAACTTGAAAGGACATCATAAACTCTGCCGCTAACCTGAATCTTAAGAGGGAGGGGGGTAGGCCCCCCCCCTGTTTTGTTTGGTTCTTCGATTGGGGTGTTCGCTGGCCTTGCAAAGGCACCGCAAGCACCTCAAGGCCGCAAGAAATTCCATTCCCCAGTGGCCTTCAGTTGATTCGATACCCCTTCTCCGCGAAAGCTAAAGTGATAGGACCGCACCTGGTAGATGTAGGGGTTGTGTGGCGCGCACTCGATGCCCTTCTCAAAGCAATCTCTGGCAGACACCCACTGCCCCCGCCGCCTTTCTAGCAATCCAAACTGCAGCCAGGTCCGCTCATCGTTTGCGTTCTGCGCTGCCGCGTCTGCAAAGAGCGCCGCTGCCTCCTGCAATGCATTATTACCATTGTATTCTTATAAATATTATTACATGCTTTTCCTGCTAACAGGCAAGGTGCGTTCTGCAGACAAGCTGCAGTGAAAGGCTCCCACAATCCTACCCCTTGTTGGACTGGCCAGATCCAAGCAAGACCCAATCAACTGTGGGCACGGTGCTCAGTAATTGTACCGCCCCCTGCCAGCCGGGGCCAAATATTAAGTTATTGCATTCCAATTCTTAAATGCAGTTCTTTTGTTGCAGACCTATGTTGCGCTCAGTACCAACTCAAGCTGTATGCTGGAAAACAATGAACAATTCCGACACAACAACGTTGGCATTCAGAGCAGGCTAGGGGCAGGAGTGTTGGTGTCAGTCACCATGCCGTGACACTCCAGCAAACTCCTATTATGGAAATGCTAGCAAGATTGGCACGGGAGGATTGGAGGACTTGCGGCATCAGGTGGAGCAAGTGACGGGCAAGTCAGGCAAAAAGGAGTTGAAGAGGTCATTCCTACCACCGTGAAATCTAAATATATAGCTATCTGTGAGATCTGTGAGAGGTGAGATTCAATTTTGAGCGTGTGATGAGTCACCTCCAGGTTGCCGGCACGCTTTTCGAACAGCGCCCACTCGCGCAGGAAGCGCGGGCTCACGGCTGACTCATTTCTCCTGCCCAACAATTTGCAGCTTCTCATAAAATCGTGTTTCCAAGAAATTAGAGTGCTTCACTGTTGCCCGAGAACAAGCAGAGTCTTCTTGGCAGGATGAGGTAATGTTATCAGAATTTCCACAATCATCTCAGAGCCATTCACGGCGCCGATTGTGCCGATCGCAGCCACAGCCTAAGAAAGTCACAGCAGCTTTCATTTTCCCGTGCCATTTTTGCCAAGATTGGCACTTTTTCCACCAGTCGCATGTCAGTCCCACAAATTATGCATGCATTATGTCATGTGATTTGTTGGCTGACCTGGCATCGCGAGCCGCCTCCCTGCCGGCCCGGTACAGCCGTCGCGCGTCGTCCAGCCGGCCAGAAAACTCCTCCACCCGCGCAGCTGCCTCGAAATTCAAGAGCGCCCCCGCCGCGTCTGCGCAGCGTTCCTGCCTTTGTCAGACTGCGCTCTTGTGCTGGCATGCAGTGACAGATTTGCACACCTGAGCTCTACCCGAGCTCCACAAAGGCAGACCTTTTTCTGTAGCCGGCCACATTGTAGATATCTCATCTCGACTGCATTTGAGGAGCATTGTCGTTCCTTTCACACGTGCGCTCAGTTGCACTGCTTCATACTTGAGCCGTGCCCTTCCTGATCAGAAGCCCCAACGGAAGTTTCAAGGCAAGCTGTCAAGAGCTGCAGAAAGGGGAGTCTGCCAGCTACTGCCAGCTACTGCAGGGACAGCCCTTCAGCAGCTTGCAGATGAAGCACAAGCCAATGCTTGATACGTCCACACCTCTCAAAAGATCTCTGAAGAGCACCTAATTAAGGCAATTTCATAAGCACCAACGTCCCATGCTGGAATGGAAAAGTGTGTGGTGAGAGGGCACACCATCGGATTGCTGTCCCCGGCTGAAGCAATCGAGCGCTTCCTGCAGTTTCCCCTGCTGTTCTTCCAGCATGCCCATCGAGTGCCACGCGTGCCCATTGGACGGCTCCGCTTCAATCACTTTCTCCAGCTGCTTGCGCGCATCCTGCTCCCGTGCAAACACAATGAGTCATCGCCAGCTCAGCTACATCACTTTGCCTTTTGCTGTGTGTTCCAGTGAAACCAGACACCGGGTTTCTTTTATGTGGGGGCATCGCCTGGTTCTACACATTGCTGACTGAGGTAATTGGCATGCCAGACCGTTTCCTTTCTTTGAGCAGAGCGAAAAATCCGCATGCTACAGATGAAGATGATGCACCACTGTGATATGCGCAAGGCTTAGGCCTCCAGCAGCATTGAGGCATTCAGAAAACAGAGGTCTTCGGGAAACAGTCCCCCACCTCAGACTGCCCCTGCTGCATCTGCATCTGCGCTGCCGCATGCAGCAGCTGCACATTGCCGGGCTCGATGGCCAGCCCGCGCCGGTACAGCCGCAGCGCCGGTGTCACATTCCCTGACCTGTAGTGTAGCACACAAAATAAAATGCGTCATGTCTGTAATAATGTAATAATGAATGCACATCGTCAATGTTTGCACTGCTGCTGTTGCGTCAACACTCAGCTACAAAAAGGTGTTGATTGTCCCGGATAATCCCGCTTGTCAATAAGATCTTTCTTTATCTGGGCTTCACCACACATGCTTCACTCACTGGCAAAGTGGTTTGCCATCATCCTCCCTCTTCTGTGTTTCGGGGTATAATGCAAACAACCCACTCTCGGGGCCTTTAGCGGTTCTTGAGCGGCCAGCGTTGAGAGATGATTCCTCGGCGCTGGGAGGATGTTTCCCCACTATGGCCTCATGCAGGTAGTGACCCAGTCCTAGACAGACAGTTTCCACAACTTTCTCTTATACAAGCTCCCACACTGGTCCCCTGCTCTTGTCAATCTGCTGCTTTGGCCCCGTGTGTTGCTGAGCTGGCCTCTACATCCATAGAGCAGGGATACATTGTACTGACCTGGCTTCCAGAACTGCCAGTCCTACAATGGAGGGCAGGTGGTTGGCATCCGCGCGCAGGGCTCTGTTGTACAGACGCCGGGCCGCCGGCAGCTGCTGCCGCTGCGCCTGCATGGACAATCAAACAGTAACCACTGAATCCTGACTTAGATTGAATCATGATTGCTGATGCCATGCATTCTTTTCAAGCTTCCTCCTTGCAACCTTCCCAGGCCTTAGTCAACACTGTAGCTGGATTGTAGTAATATGGCAGATGTGAACTTAATTACTCCCATGCTAAGTCAGCGACATGCTCTGTCCCGATTGAAAACTTTGTCAGCGCTGTGGATAAGTGAAGGTGGCAACATGGCACTGATCGGACAGGCTTGGCAAAAGTTGAGCCAGGCTTGTCTTTGCATTCCATGTCTATCATGTTATGCAACCGCTAAAGAGTCAACCATCCTTCCAGGGTCCAGGGGTATTTATATCGGACAGAGAAGGGCCGCACCTCGACCTGTGCCCATGCGGCCCACAACGGCGCATGCGGCGCGCAATTTTTCCCTGCCTGCTCGAATATCTCCCTCGCGCGCTCATAATTCCCCGCCCGCCACTCCAGCAGCGCCCACGCCTGCATCAGCAAATTGAATTTGAATTGAATTGGGAATTTGAATTGAAGAGTAATTCGAACTCTCTCACAGGCAGCCCTCCCTCCTTCCTTGGTCCTCACACTGCCTTCAGTGTCTTGCACTCTACCTTGGTTGAAACAACTTCTTCTCACAGGAAATGCCACCGGTGTGACACTGCAACTTGTGGCACTTGCATAGGAGTCTAAGCGCTCCACTGACCAGCAGGCGGACACACTGGGCTGACATGCTCATGATTGAACATGTATATAATTGCGTAAATACCTTGGCAGATGTGCCATTGAGCCGGATTCAATCCTCATAAGACAAGGCAGGAAGCTGGAGAGATACACATCACATAAAGGTCATCATATGCATCCTGGCGCGTAGACAGATGGTCTGAGCATGGCAGCACATCTGGCGCCTTTCTCCTTCCCACTAGTGTCGTATACATCGTGAGAAATTTCACCTGCCAGGAGTGCACGTGGGTCGGGTCCTCTTTGGTGGACCGATCAAAGAACTCTCGCGCCTTGTCCACATTGCCCGCCTCACCCTCCATCACCCCCAGAGCCTGCAGGGATATAAGAAATCCTCATAGCATCTCACACGCGCGCATTCACCCCCGAGCTTGCAGAAAAATTAAAGGCCCCTGTCAACCTCACACGTGCACATTCACCCCCACGAGAGCCTGCAGGGAGATCCACTGATGTCTGAGCCTCTCATACATGCGCATTGCCCTTATTGCATCAACGGTGCAATGCATGAAGTACACGAGCCAGGACTATCTCCAAGCATCCCTGCTTTGCATATCTTGCAATGGATTGCACTACTTCGCACCACTGGGCCCTTGGGGTCTAGAGAATCCCACAAGGCTCACTTCGAAGAGCATGCTGTTCAAGGGTAGCCACAGAGTGCTGATTCTGTTTACTGCACTCTAAGTCTCCATTGCAAGCTGTTCAAAGCAGCCTACACCAAACCCAACTCCGAATATGCTACACTCCAATACTTTTAAAATCCCATTTCCATGGTTTGAATTTGCAAAGGTGACAAGAGCGGGTCAATGGTAGATTCTACCTGCAGCGATGCCACATGGCCGGCATCCGCTTCCAGCGCTTCAGAGTACAATTCCCTCGCCTTCGCTGCATCTCCCCGCCGCTTCTCATACGCTGCCCAAGTTGTCAGCAGCATGGGATTGCCCGGCTCGGCTTTTGCCGCAGCGGCAAAAAGCCGCTGCGCCTTTTTGGGCTCGCCTCTTTTCCCCTCCAGAGCCGCCCATGCCTATTCACACAGATAGATGTCGGAAATTGAAGCTTCTTAGTTGGTGGCAGGCGGCTGCTGCGCCTCTGTTGACTCAATCCCATTTCGTCCTTTGGTGTAGCTGAGCAAACATCCTCTGTAAGCATTTCACTTGCAAAAGCATCTCCGAAAACTTTCACTGTGAGGCTTGGCCTGTGATGCATCGGGCTGAGCTGGCCCAAAAAACAATCACCCTCTATTTTTAAAAAGCTACCCTTGGAGGCACTCTTGAGGGCTTCTCATCTCATTGACATCAGCCTTCACCGGAAATCCACCAGTACAAAATACATTCAAACTTGGTATGCATGAGCAAGAAACGCACCCGCAGCAGGACAGCGTTTGATGGCTCGATGAGGTGTCCCCGGTTGAACAGCGTGCGTGCCTCAGCTACATTACCGCGCTTTCCCTCAAGCACGGCCGCTGATGTCAGCATGCGCACATTGCGAGGAAATCTCTCCAGCGCTGACATCAGCATCTTGACCGCTGCGGCTGTGTTGCCTGCCTTCGAGATGTCCATTGCTGCCTTCAACAGTGCCTTCTGCTCCCCCTTCCCCTCTGCCCACGCAACAGCATGATTCACAGGAGTTCGAAGTACAGTTCTAAAAGTAGCAGATGTCAGTTTCAGCTGACGGGGCTCGAGTTCTATCACACCAAGGTTCAATGCATGCGATTCATCTTTGGATGTTGGACAACTTGCAGCTAAGAGTCTAAACTAGGAGGTCCTGCCTGACAAAAGTACACTCTCAAAGGTCCTTCATCTAGTGATGTTATATATTTTCGCACCTGCAGGTCCTGATGTGGAAGGCTTGCCACTGTCAGCCTGCTCTGCAGAGGCGCCCCTCTCCGCACTAGCAGCTGTCAATAGCTCCGAGCTAGCATCACTCAAGGAAGCGTCTGGAGCGCCTTTTATAGACTGTGCTGAGTCAGAGAGCAATGCTCCCACTGACGGCCTTAGGCTTCTTCGAGTCCGCATGGACACATGCCGGTAGGATCTTGGAGGCTGTTTAAAGACAAACTTCTGGGTAAGAACATCTCTGTGACGTGGCAAAGCGCGTCCAGAATTGCACTGCACTGCAGTGTCCATCTTCCTTATCCAGCAGATATGGAACAGCTAAACTTTTCTCGAGCGTCCCACGAGATAAAAGATTGTATGCTGTTGATGTAAAAGGCAAGCTAAATAGCTCCGCTTCGAGAAATACGACATCTCAGACGCAGATCCTTGTTTCGGAAATTGCCTCATATGTATAACAAATATATATGTGGACGTGAAATCTCAATGCTCGAGAATGCGATCCTTCACAAGTCGCTTAAGATGTTTTCCAATATTTTATATGTGAACTCGGCAGCAAAATATTAAGTTTATGTCGGTTTAAGATGGCTGCCAGGCCGGCCAGTGTTCGGTGGCGAACCTCCTGAAGCCGTTCCGGAACACACTTTGGGGCAGATTGTAGAACAAAGTTCAGGCATCATGTGAGGTAATATTTTCCCTGTGATATGGCAAGCACGTTCTGGAGTCAAAATTGTGCCTGCAAAACCATCCTGTAGATGATGGTGTTGCGATGATCTTCGAAAGATCCACCCTCAACTTTGACAGGGGAAAAAGTGGGTAGCCCTGCACTCTTGGTCTTGTGAAGCTTTGCAATCACATCTTCAGCTGTCAATACGAATAATAGGAGATCGAAGGATCAGAGTTGGAGGCGTCCTACCATTGTGGACCCCTCCTTAGTTAACCTTCGAATAGCAACGCATGTCTGATGCCGGGGTTCCCTGGCTATTCAGATTGCTGCCTTTTCCATGAATGCATCAGAGCTCGACTTCACAGTCCTTTCAATGCTCGAGGCTTTGGCTAGGCAGCTTCACTACAGCACTACAGAACACACACAGCTCGCAACAGAGGAAGCTGGTGGTTTATAATCAGTACCCTACGTTTTCGCAGGTGGCTATGGTCGTCTTGTCGACCATGACACTTTTCTGAGCGCCGCGTTGCTCTCTGGGCAAATCCGTCACAGTGAGGGCTATAGCCTGCCTGCAGGCTAGCACCTGTACTTCAACTGGTGAGCTGCTGACTCCTTGCTCATTGCCTGCCAATGTGGCCAATTGTGAGTGTGTAATGCAAAACAGCCAGGGACAACTTGTTCAGGGATGGAGACTTTTGCAAAACATGAGGTGGTGCTTGACAAACGGGGGTTGGGATTTGTCTGGGAACCCCACCTTTGTGTATACAATCAACCTACAAATTTTGTGTATATAAACCAGCAGGACCAAGCAGATACGTATCTGCATGGTCCTGCTCTTCTCTGTATTCGTATGTGTAATATGCTGTGTGACTCTGCTATAGCGGTTGCGCAACATTGCATGCATTGTTGTGGTATATATTTCAATGTAACGGTGGTATACCTTAGACGGCAGGGCATCTGAATGTAAAGTAGTCTTCCTTTGCACCTGTGCTGGGACAATATGCAGACTAGAAATGGTGGACTAATGCACATAAGCAGTCCATGTGTGTCTGCGTACTATCGCCCTAAGTCTGGCCACCAGTGCACTGGTGCAGTTAAGGCATCAGCACGTCCAAGTAGCAGTGTGACAAGGTCTTTGACTGCATTTATCATAGTGCAATAGATTCGTTTGCCCTACTCATGGCGCTCGCTCTGCTTTGTATGTTTTGCAGTGCAGTGCAAGACAAGCTTGAGCGTAATTTCGTTGGCCAGAGCATTTTGAACACTCTCGCACAAGATACATATCAGCGCATGCTGCTAACTTTGCCGAGCGGCCTGTGCAGCAGCCACCAGATCTAGCACGCTCCATGCATCTGCCACACTGTGCTCCCCTATGCTCTCCCTTCTCAGGGCAGTCAGATGCGCTGCACTGCCCACTGCTTTGCCCTGCAGGGCACAACACAGGCTCGCAGTTTTAATGCTCTGCAGCGCATTGACTCACAGCTCCAACTCTTGACTAGTTAACCACTGAGAAGGCCACAGCGCTCACAATCTCATCATCCAGTTGAGATGCTGAGCAGTAAGCACCATGTCTCAGCTGCAACTGTACCATCTGCGCATGCATGCTGCATGCGCGGCTCACCAGAAAAAGAATGTGTGGGGAGCACCAATTGGCATCAGATAGGCTGTGCGCATGTCGCAGCTTGCAAGATTGACGGGCGTCAAGATTTTGGAGTGAGCAAAGATGAGCGGCCCTCGCCCACCCGTCTTCAAGGGTCATGCACTCACACACCAGCTAATAAGTAGGATGTGGGAAAATTACACGCAAAATAAAAAATACTGAAGGCATTTTGGGCAGTCCACTTACCAGGTCATGGGCTAGTGAGCGGATGTAGGTGCCTTTGCTGCAGGTTACTTTGAAGTGCACATCTTGTCTGTTGCTCTCGTCCCGCTGCAGCTCAAAGCTGTGTATTGTCACCGGCCGTGACTGCCTCTCTACAACTTCTCCCCTCCTGGCTGCCTTGTACAGCCTCTCCCCCTTGATCTGCATGCATGTGTTATGCTGCCTTTAGATCAAGACTGAATTCGTTTCTGAGAGACAAACTCTGGGTGAAGCGCGAGTGCAGGGATGTTGAATTTTGTGCATTTAGGGCATCTTGTCACCAATGCCACAAACGATGAGTGCATTGCTGATTCGTTCGAGGCTGGTTGCAACCTTTAATTTGTCTATGGGCGGACCCACATCCTACAACAGCTTCGGATGCAAGCATACCTTGATGGCTGAGAACATGGGTGGCTGCTGTAGGATGTCCCCAACAAAGGCCTCCTTGGCCGCCTCCAAATCCTCATCTGCGCCAAAACCCCCAATCCTGTCATCCCGATCAGATGGATCAATTACCTGTGCTGCTTCACAAGCCAACTTGCAAGTGCAACCTCCCATAGATCTGGTCCACATTTCTTCTTCCTAATTCTGCTCTTGCAGCCCAAATAAGTCATGTGGAATCGTGAAATATCAGCTGCATGAGCCTGGTCAGCTCAGGAGATGAGGTGCCAATTACATTAAATGGGATGCGAGCTCCCAATTAGAAGGAAATTGTCACTGCTGGTTAAGGCAGCAACCAAAGCACCTCCTTGCCTGTGACGTGCTCCCAGGGCTGACACTCAGAACAATCAAATTGCAGACAATCTGCAGATATTTAATTCAACTCAATGCTGAGTCAGCCACCAGGGACAAGTGCTCACCTGTGATGTCCTCCCAGGGAAGTTCCTCCTCGATCTCAGACATGGCGTCGTATGATGGCGTTGCCTGCCCCAGTCGCAGCGTGCCAGAATAGGCCTTCTCCATCGCCACAAAATCGTCTATTTGCTTCGTCCCCTGGCCCGTGCAGATGATTAGCAACCCCGTCGCCATGGGGTCAAGGGTCCCCGCATGCCCTACCTGCACATTACATTTCAGAACATCTGTCTCCGCATAACGTGGCAGCATAAGCTTTCTTTCAAGCATGCTTCGGAACATGCATAGCTGGTTTGTATCACCAAGCGCTCGCACATGTGCAGCTAGCATGTAAGCAAAACAATCGGCGAATGCACAGCTTGCTTATTTCATTAACCATGGGCACATGCATAGGTTGGTTGTCTCAAATAAAAATTGTCAAGGTCACTGCTTGCTTATATCAAACAAGCAAAGACAAGGCCCCAAGTCTTGCACATGCCGTAGCGGCACGTCACCAAATTGTTTGGGATCATGACTCATAGATGAAATGTTGGTGCCATGTTCTAACGGTGCGCTCACCTTCTTTACTTTGAGGGCGCCTCTAAGCTTGCCGCAGACATCGAAGGAGGTCCAGTCCTGGGGTTTATCCACTAGGACGGCAGCGTTTGCCCATACACCCGCAGCAAAGGAAGAGCCCTTCAACACCATTGTTGGCGGCACTGCGTTCGGCCTCCTTCTCTTTACCGGGTTCCTGCACATGGCACAGATGAAACGCGTGAGTGAAGTTTCGAACATCACAAAAAACTCCCTTGAAATGTGACATCATGCGTGCAAGAAATTTGGGCTGAAGGACGGCCTGCTGACAGGTACGGGTTTCATCACAGCATGCAGGCTCCAGAATGCCAGCATTTCAAGTCAGCAGTGAATGCAAGACATACAAGGCAACGCGAGCGCCAGTTTTAAACACTCAGATCAGACGCACTCCTTGGCAATTTCTGGATGCCAGCAGAGACTCACTGGGGTGCTGAGGTTGATGCTGGTGAGGATGCACGGTCTTCTGAGCGTGCATGCTTCAGTTCATTTTCTGCCAGGGATGCAGATGTCTCAGGGACATCCTGGCCATCTGCCATAACTGGCTCTGCTGCAGGGGATGCTGCACTGATGACTTCTGTAGATGACGCAGCATGGAGCGCCATGCGCTGTCCTGATAATGTACAGGCACAAGAATCGCGTCCAGGGGAGCGGAGTGGCGCCTGGTTTGATATACGGAGCTGCCCCCAGGATGCTCCAACGGTGCAGGATGGACTGCAGCGTGTCTGGACAATCCCTCTTACTGCAGCAGACAGGCGATCGTCTTGTCCATTTGAAGTGACACATTATATGGTCCTTTCTATGAAAACTGAGAGATGGAAAGTGCAGATCAAGTCTTCACAGGTTCGTGAGATTCTTTCATACCAGGGCTCTTCGTTGCAGGTATCAGTAAAAATCGTGTATGATTGAGCAACTCTGGCGACTTTGTGTAGAATGGCCGCAAGCTTGTGCTTGCAGTCATTAGCAAGCTTGCGATGCTCTTCAGCTTGGCTCGTTGTTGACGACAAAGCAAACGGTGGATCGTATAACAGGCGACCTGCGAAGCATTGTTGTGAAAAATAACGAAATTTTTTGTCTTTCCTTTGCATTGCACTTTTCAGTTGAGCAACGTTTCTAGGCGTCATCGTCCACGTGTCGAATGAGATATCTCAGCGGATAAGTGCATGGAAGAGAATTCACTTTCACTTGTGTATATTGCTCACATATTCAAGTCGAATAATTCAACAACTTATCTAATTGGCAAGTAACAATTTCCCTGCGCTCGAGACGGGAATTGTGCGGTCAAGTTGCTATTGCCAATCGCTGCTTGTGGAGCACACCTCTAATAACAGTCACATCTGTACTAGAACCCCCTTGTCGACTTGTAAAATACCTGAAATTTATTTTAGGAACCAAAGAGGATCGCCATGCAACAGATCCGGCTCCTTGGACAGCACCGATCCTGCCTAGGTGGTCCTGGAAAGGCGCTCTATATTCATAGGCAGGCAATCTGCGGCCCCCAAGGTCCCAGATGCTTCCAGAGAAGTGCAAAAAACCAGAAGCCCGCCTTCAGGCACGCCGTAACATGCGAAGCTGCTCAGCTGGTGAGGAATGTGTGTAATTCCAAGAAGGCTCTGTGCAAGAGATGTGCACGTGTACTTTGTTTTGGATCATAGTTAATGTTTTTCCCTTATATTTCAAGTTCACAGTGCTGCGCACTGCAGGCCACCGCCAGTACCACTGCAGAAGCAGCACCTGCTGCGCCAACTGTGCAGAATGACGGCCTCATCTTTGGCTTGGGATCCGAGGATGCATGGGACGAGGCTGTTGTAGGAAGCCCAGTGGTGGGTCCCTACTGCACCTCAATGCGCAGAGCAAAATCCTGAATCTGCCTTGGCACGATGACAGAAGACGATGTTCCCATCAAACTGTCCGTTTCTGCAGCCATTCTCTGTCATAATGTGGACATAGACATCCTTGTTGCATTGCATGTGCTGCCTTTCTGGCCATGGGAAGTGATGCCTGGCTTTGATGGGTGTCATTTTCTGATTCTGTGCGGTACCGCCTCAATGCATGATTCCATGACCCCCCAAGTGCTCACATGGTGCACTTGGGATCATGCTAGCCGAGACACAAATAAAAAATGGAATTTGAATTTGAATTACTGTCAGGTGCGCTGCTTCCTGGGCGAGGATGGCAATCGGTGGCTGATGTGGTACAGCGGGAGGCTTGCGGGTGACCCCGGCCTGGACGCCGTGGCAGCTGCTGCCGGCTCCGTAGGTGCGCCCGGTTGACGACCCTACCTGCGACACGAAATTTGTCATCAGCTAGTTATCACAGCAATGAAGCAGGCACCAATATTGGGAGTTGTGACACGCAGAAGGTGCCTGTGTGCATCAGAGATCATCAGAACTGATGAAACGAAAGTCTCAGCATGCAAGTAGCTGGGCATCTTGGTGATTAGAAAACGAACGTGCTAGAGATTTTGTGACCTCTTTGCATCCTGTGTGGTGCAGGTGTGGCGTCTTCGAGGGACGGCATAGAGTGGACGAGGGGCCACGGCGAGATAGAGGGTGCAAGGGGCGCGGCAAAAGAAGGGGATGTGGGCAGGGTTTTGGCACCCAATGCGGAGGACTGGTGGTGGCTTGACACTCGCCACATGACAGTCTCAGACGTGCAGGTGAGGAGAAATCGTGCATGAATCTTTTGTACACCTGTACATCTAGCCTAATTTTGTAATGGGAGGGGGAGCCTCTGCTGTTCTTGCTTGAAGCAAATACTAGAGATGTGCTGCTGCGACGTGCGGCTGTGTCCTTCCTTGAAAGCTTTGGCCAGCATGTTAATTTATGTCACCGTGAGCAGGATTTGCCAAAGGCTGCAGCTTGGCAAGAGGGAATGGCACATTTCGACTGTTATTCTGTGCCCGTACTTGTCCAGCAAGCATGCAGGCACCAACACCCTCATTCAGGGATACCAAAGCATGTTGCTATGTTGATGTCAGCATCAGCGGCTCAGTGACATCAGCGGTGCGCGCAGGTGTTCTCCAGTGATGGCACGGCTGGCGGGGGCGTCTACTGGATGTTCTACTCGGGATCAAATTTTGAGCCTGCCGCTGTGCCCGCCGGGCTGCCCGGGCTCGAGCAGGGCAGCGAACAGGAGGGCATGCGGTGAGTCACCTGGGACAAAATTCTTGCCCACTTGCATGCAAAGGACCTGTCTCCACAGCAGGGATCTGTGCGCCGTCGGGAAATTATGCTTGTGTTCAAATGAGGGGTCGTTTGCATCCCGTATACGGGCAGTTCGCAGCGCAATGAGTTGCTGCCCGCCAAGTGGAAGTCTCCGTGGATTGTGTGCTTATGCATGTCTCTGCAGAGACAAAGGCCTATCAAGGCTCCTGCCTCTGATTTACCTGCGCTTAGAGCAGCTAGACTACGTTTGTCTTCTCTGCTTTTCAGCATTCACAATAGAGGCAGGAGACAGACACTGTATATATTTGGCGGGCTACAAGACGGGTCAGATGAAGATTTAAATCAAGCAATTTCTTACGCCTAAACCCCTCCTCAGCCTCTTCCTGGTGGGGGCCTAAGAGGGAGTTGCATTGCATTGCAAGGCAATGCGTGCGGTGCTGGGGCCTTCTGGGCATGTGCTGGGTGCGGGCGGGGGTCCCGATGAGGGAAAACGGCTTTGAAATCATTTTCAAAAAGAAGGGACTGGAAGTTGAGTTCTGTGCTCGGTTCGCCCTGCCCGTGCACAGGGGTCGCGCGGGGCTGGCGCTGTCGCAGGACGGCAAGAATTGGGCTCGCATGGAAGCGGCACACCACACAGCAGCAGTGTTGGACGCTGGCGCAGAGGGCGAATGGGACGCTGCATTCATCGGCTCACCCCAGGTAGGAAGTTTTTATTACTGTATTATGAGAATGATGCCCTTGCAAAGCCCTACGCATTCCCCTTCCGGCCCGACACCCCAAGAAGAGAATGTAGGGAGCAGGAACAGAGCAGCGCTGCTGTACACGTGACAATTGTCCTCGGTGAAACGGGGTTTTGTGAGCTGACTCAGCTATTTGACAAGCGGCAGGTTGTTCAAGCAACCCAAGCCCCAAGCCGTAAGCTAAGCATCGCTGGACAATAGGGGATTAATTCCTGTAGATCTTAGCCTTTTAAGGCTCTCCTCCCCCCTAGCACTGGCCTAACAGCATTCATTAAACTGAAACGCCCTCCTGCTTGGCCTGGGTTGAGACTTGTCACTGCTTGTGCCTCAGCGCAGCAGGAGGGAGTGCCGGAAGCAAACTGTTGCCAGTGAGGGATTGCTGACATGTGCCGGCACATGCGCGCAGGTGGTGGCAGTGGGTCCGCGTGACATGCGCATGTTCTACCACTCCTTCGACGCATCCGCTCAGAAGTGGACCGTCGGATGGGCATCCTCCCAGGCAGGACCCTTGCCCACAATTCACATCAATTAAGGTCGTGAAGCAGACCTGTCCTCCAAGTTTGGCGCCTGCACTACTTCTGTAGAGGCACTGTACTAGCAGAGGAATGTTGATCCTTCTTGTATGCGGGCGCTGCGGTTTGATATAGGCACAAAATACTGCGAGGGCTGAAGGCAGCGCATGTTGCAGGCCAGTCAATTGCGGGGCCTTTGTAGAAGAATCTTCAGGATGCACTTTACAATTGAATATGAGTCAGATGATGAGATTTGTAATATATGTTGCTAACATGATGTTCCAACTGGTTCAGGACGGCTTCAGCTGGAAGAGGCAGGGGCCGCTGTTCTCCGGGGGCGATGACTCAGCGGCCTTTGACGGCGCCGGCGCCGCGGCGTGCCACGTCGTGCGCGACTTTGCCACCAAGCAGTGAGTCATCGCTGTTACTTGTCGTCATGTCATATCCATCAGGTGGTGAGTCATCATCAGGATAAATTTTTTGATCTTTTGGGGCTGGCATGCGGGACTGCCTGTGCACATCATGCATGGAGAACTTCACGCTCTGCAGAAGGTCCTGCTAAGGAGCCTCCGAAAATCACCAACTTCGCAGCTGCACTGAGTCTTTGTCGCTCTGTTCTTTGTGGGTGCACTTGCTGGCCCCTGCCGGGGTTTATGGAACTGCCACAACCATGTCTGTCCCCGCGCTTTTGTATTTATTCAGGCGGCAGGAAGTTTTTTTGCAACAGAGCTTGCCACAGACTGCTGGTTTAGTATCGTGCAGCACATCAGCTGCTCTGACTCGGCCTTGCAATGGCCTCTGTTGTGTCATCAAGCAATTCGCACATTGAGGTTTGTGCAAATCAGTGGCTACGAATCAGCCCAACGATGTGCAGCGAGGCGGGATCCAAAATTTTGCAGACTACTGGCTTCACTTGGCTTCACTAAGCACAGCAATCTACACTGATTTGTAGTCCTGAGCTTTCCCTGATGTTTTGAGATTTTTTGAGCAGGTGGATCATGTTCTATGAGGGAGTTGCACGGGACAACGCGCGCTCAATTGGCGTGGCTGTCTCGGAAAACGGGCTGTCCTGGCGGCGGCTGTCGCGGCCGGTTTTGAAAGCGGGTCCCCCCGGCGCGTGGGACTGCGGTGGCGTGGGATCCCCATGCGCTGTTCCCATGGCAGGTGCGCGGTAGCTGTTAGTCACTCTCTGGCGTATTTTCGGTCTCTGCATCTTGCTTTCAGTAATTTCATTGCAGCTCAGCTCAGTGCACTCTGTTCAGCTCAGTTCAGCCAAGTGCTACTTCAGCTCAGATCAATTCTAGTCAGTTCAAAATTCTTCAGTGCTATTCCAAGGGCCACAGAATGCCCAAAGGTGGAACTTGATGGTGTGCTGCCCTGATTACGAGCAAACTTTTGCTTTATACCGGATTGCCAGGAAACCAGGGACGAGTCTCTCGGCCATCTGCAACCCCTGATCAGTAGTTGTCTGTCCACGTTCTTCCAGCACGCTCTACCTTTTTATCAGTAACTCAGCGCTTGTGCTTGAATACTGTGAATATCAGCTGCCTTGTGTTCCAGGCTTGCACTGTTCATCATCAACCGCCCAACGTCACACAAATTCTGCTGCCCTTCTCAGCACCACCACCGCCAAGCGAGTGCTGACGGTGTTCTGTGTGCTGCAGATGGTCGGTGGAGGTTGTACTACCACGGTCTGAGGCAGAAGGGTGGCAGCGCGTCCGGTGTTGGCCTGGCCCTGACTGACAAAGAGAGCAGCGAAGAGTTCGAGGGCGTCCGTGTGGCTTTCAACAAGCGCCCTCAGTCGTGAAATGAATCACATGATCAGTTGATCATGAGGCTTGTGTGGAGTTACTTCTGATACTTTGTTCCTGTGTTTGCGGTTCGGAACTTGCCGTGGGGCCCGTGCTGTTAACAATGTAAGGGGCGCATATATGCCCCTGATGCAGCAGGTCATTAAGATGGCCGAGAAGTGCAAAGGCCTGGCTCTGATCAGTCTGAATCATTCAGATGATCTGTTCAGCGCCATGTGCTAGCCATGAAACGGTCTGAAGTGTCGAATGCATGCAGACTGACTTTGATGTCGACATCAACATCAGTCTAGTGGCCGGCGTGTGAAATCACGAAATATCTCTTCAGCCCCCACGCGCCAATAATGAGTCATCGTGACTCAATCATGCTATGCGTTGCGAACGACGTGACCTCCGTGGCTCCACACTGGATTTGCCACACGTTCTTCTAATTCGATAAAACAGGATGCCGAACCGATCTGCTGAGCAGTCCTGCATACCATGCCGATTGCTGAGTGCCCCACTTTTGCTTTGTCAAGTTCTACCTCAGTTTGTAGGTGTTATCCTCCCAGCAGAAGCTGCCTTTTAGGGAAATCTTTTCTTGAAAATCTCGATGTCACCACATCATTATTTTGAAAAGATTCAAGACAGGAGGTTTATCAAGGAAGCGAGTGTGTCAGTGAGCCCAGGAAACCATTCTTTAAATTCTCAATGAATTCTGAGGCTGTTTTGGACCGAGTCAAATCGGCTGCTGATGGCCTGAAGGCGACGTTCGCGTGTGGTGGCAGCGTACAGAGCTCTCAGCCCGTTCGTGTTTTCTTCTGGGAAGACAGTGCGACTATTGAATCGCAGGCCTGGGTAACAATACAGGAAGACAGTCGATCATCCCTGCGAAAGGGAAAAGTTCCAGTCCTCTTGAACGCAAATATTGTGTGAGTTTTGCAGCACAAAGCTTTGGAGCTGCCTCTGGAAGGAGCAGACACCACAGCACTGAACGATCTCATATCGGCCTGCTCCGTTGCAACCTGTGGCAAAACAGATCCTGATAATTCCTCATTCCTGAAGCTTGGGCCATACCGCACCATGTTGCAGTGCTTTATGTGTGAAAAACAAATTCTTATATTATCTACTCAGCAAGGATGTATAAACTTTGTGGCTGTGTCCTGAATACCGAACACAATTATGGATCTCTTTACCAAAGGGAGGAGAACAGTGTAGGCGAAGAGAGGAGAATGGAGTTGATGTAGGTTTCTACTCTCTTGTCTTTACAGGCCAAGATTGGCTTTTCCCCTTGAAGATCCGTCCAGAGGCGTTCCTTCTCTCCTGCTGTGCTACGATCGAAAGGGATCTCCTCCACACTCCTTGCTCGAAAAAAAATCAGATTCATTGACATCCATTGTCGTCGCAGAAGGTTGCTCTCAGGGTATCTCGGAAGAATGTCGTCGGACGATGCAGTTGAACCTCTCGCAACCTTGGCCTGTAAAGGAAATTCTGAAACGCATCAAATCAGCTGCTGACGGCCTCAGCGCCACCTTTGCCTGCGGGGGAAGCGTGAAGTGCTCCCAGCCAATCCGTGTAATCTTCTGGGAGGACAGTGCGAACGTAGAATCACAGGTTGATTATGTTTCCTTGGATTTGTTACCCCGTGACCAAGTTGCGAAACGAGAAAATGTATGGAAATGCCATCTTCGAAGAATTTCCCTTACCTACGCCATGCTAATGGTGCCCAGCACAAGCTTCTGGAGCTGCCTAGAAGCGGAGCTGATAGCTTGGCACTGGAAGGCCTCGTGGCAGCCTGTTCCCCTGCAACATTTGGCAAGGCCTACCAGAACAATCCCACAGGTGAGCACATTGATTGGACGCCCTGATGTCCAATTCTGGGAGTTTGAAGCACCCCTGCTGCGACTTGCTGCTTGACCCACCGCTGCATGATACAGTAGAGGCTACTTCGGAAAGGTTGCTTAAGGTATCAAAATTTGTAATCATGTCTCCCGGCTGGTGGGGGGGCGGAATAAGTACTGAGCACCGTGCCCACGGTTGATTGGGTCTTGCTTGAATCTGGCGAGTTCATCAAGGGGTAGGATTGTGCAGCCATTAAGTGCAGCTTGTCTGCAGGACGTACCTTGCCTTTTCGCAGGAAAAGTGTGTATATAAAATCAAAATATCTCATGTGTGCACAGAAGGGGCAGATGTCCTGGATCCCAGCTACAGGAAGGCACTCAATGTGGATGCAGCCAAATTTGGTGTGACCATCAATCTGGCAGAACTGGGAATCTTGGCCGAAGTCAAGACTCTGATGGCCCCTGATTCTGCGGACATCAGAGCAGAGCTCTACAAGCTCAACATGTGAGTGCGCCATGCTTTTTCCCCTTACAAGATTGGAGGGTTCTTCTGATTCTTCTGCTTATAATCTTTCTACTTTGCGGGCGCTTCGCTTGCACTTCATACACCTGGAGATTTTCGACCACCCTGCCAATTTGGATCCATTCAGTGCACGAGCATCGAGATTGGGTGACTTGGCTGCAATCGAGGACTTTTATGTCGCGCTTGCCAGTCACTTTACAAGTATATTTAGTGCTTGAGCTTGTGCTTTAAACGTGACATAAGACGGCTTTGAGGAAGAGCATTGTGTGCAGCCACCAGGCCGGGGACTTCTTCAAGGCGCATGTGGACACACCACGCAGCAGCAACATGGTGTCACTTTAAATACACACACTAATAAATTCCTCCGTGTTTGCACGAGATTACACGTAGACATCTCACCTTTCGGCTGCTCATAAGCATGATCATTCATTGGACCTGCTGTCAAGCTGATGACAGATAATGACTGATTGTTCTGCGCAGCTGCTCATACGCATGATCAATCACTACCTGCTTTCAAGGCGATGACTAATGAGGACTGATTGTTCTGCGCAGCTGGGCTCGTTGGTCATTGCTCTGCCGAGTGTGCATGAGGGTGGGCAGTTGACTGTGGAGCACGCAGGCCAGCAGCAGACCTTTGACTGGTCTTTGACAGAGCTCCCAAATGCGCCGTTGCTGCAGTGGGGAGCCTTCTACTCAGACTGCAAACATGAAGTTCACCCTGTGACCAGTGGCGCGCGCATCACAGTCACCTACAATCTCATGGCCGTCAAGCCTACTCTGCCTGTCTTGAAGGTGTGACACTGGGACTTTAGTTTGGCAATTTGCAACACAGTGTTGGGAATCTTGCAGCTCGTGGCAACGCCTGCGAAACGTGTCACATTTATTATTATTACTATTACACGCTTTTCCTGCCAAGAGGCAAGGTGTGTCCTGCAGACACGCTGCAGTTCAAGGCTGCCATAATCCTACCCCTTGATGGACTTGCCAGATCCAAGCAAGACCCTATCAACAGTGAGCACGGTGCTCACTATTTGTACCGCCCCCTGTCAGCCGAGGCCGATTGTCAGATTTTGGGTAGGTGAACTTGGCAGATGGACAGACAGCTTGGGAAGGTGGTTATGCCATGTCCTGTTATCAAGAGCCAGGATATTTGCCTGAAGGGGGCAGTGTGTTCACAACTACAGGGCGTCAGTCCAGCCAGCCTGGCTCTGCGTCAGGTCATTGAGGAAGCCCTAGAGACCCCTGGATTCCTGGAGCAAGGGGGCACGCTAGCGTTTGGCTGCCAGCACGCCTATCCCCACAACAGCGATGCCTTTCTGAAGACAGATTTCAAACCCCAGCTGAAAGGCGCAGATGCATGCCTTTTCGCTTTTGCGGAAGACTTGGGGCTATCCGTGGATGTCAAGGCAATCTACAAGGACTCTGAAGACAATTACAGGTAGCAATATTTCTCAGCACAGCCAAACCTACTACTTTCATCTAGCAAAAATGATAGTGTGTCTAGCCCGCAACCATGGAAACATGTCAAGCTTGCTTCCACAGCAAAAGCACCGCATTGTGTGCATCTCTCGCGGTTTGATGTTTAGACACTTGATGAAATTCTTCCCACCGCTGCCTCTCAAGAGCTGGCCCCTGGGGTGCAGAACCAAGCTTAGTCACGATGAGTCATCTATTGAGCCTGGCGCTTGGGTGGCAACTGCAGGATTGCAGCCGACTACATTGGCTCAAGTTTTGGGGTTGAGTATGAAGGCATGGTGGACAACGAGTATGAGTATGACTATGAGGAGGATGGCTGTTATGGCGTCGTTCTTGACAATGGCGCTCAGAAGCGGGAGGACCTGATCTGGTGCCACGAGATCGGGCACGGAGAAATCAAGGAAGTGTATCTGCACTATGGTGCGCTCACCCTGACCTGCCTGACATTCATATTGACTCATAAATTGTTGTTACATGGCGGGCACTTGCGAGGCAGCCCTTTCTTCTACCTTCTGGCGCTTGCTAGCACTCTGCCTCGATGTTTGCATACCTCTTTCACTAAGTTGATGAAAAACGGCTCAGATGTGTGGTTGGAGTGATAGAAGGTCCATGTGCGGACCATCTCTACTTCTGGAAAAGTGGTGGCTACAGATTTAGATGGGGTGAGGGTGAGAGAGAGAGAGAGACAATTGGTGGTAGTCAGAGTGGTTAGTGGTTGTATAGCTAAACCCCCGATCAAAGAAGCTGCAAGCAATTGCATTGCATGCAAGGCAGTGCAAGCACGAAGAAGGGGTAAGGGCTGTTTGTGATAGAGCTGCAAATTGTGACTTGTTTTGAGCGGTGCGAGACCCTTCTGCATTCAGTGGTTTCTCTGCAATCTCTGCTGTTAACCGTGTGTGTGCATGCAGGCAATGACTATTCCAACAGCTGCATGTACAGCTATGCAGTAATTCTGATTGAGGTTCCCACAGCTGCCGTGCGCATGTGCGGCCCAGCGAGCAAGCGAGCACGGCAGTTGACTGAGAAAAAAGTTTCAGACTTGCATTCTGCGGTAGCGCCGGGTTGTAGTGAAACAATCTGGGCCAGAATCTGTGTGTTGCGCAATGCTTGCATGCTGGCAGATACTGCTGCAACGGTGATTGTTTTTGAGCAAGGCGATGTGGCTTTCCTTGGTGCTGACACAAGCAGATGTAAATGTCTTGCTGGCGTTGGCATTAGCTGGCACTTTTAAGACAAAACTGCACATACAGCTATGCACTCATCCTAATTGAGGTGCCACCTGCCGCTGAGCGCGTGGCCAGGCCATCAAAGGAGGAAAAGAAATGGCAGGATCCGGGGCGACACTTTCAACAAAGCGCGGCAGATTTGAAACGTGATAGCTTGTAGCTCGAATAGTCTGAGGGCACAACAGCATAATCCACATCTGTAGGGATGACTTTTCAAGGCGAGCATTGGAACACGCGGAACGTGAAAGGGCGAAATAACATATCTCTGTACTGCATAAAAACAAATTATGCATGTGTAGCCCTGAGGGCGGAGTAAGCGTCTAGTAGTAGTAATATTAAGAATAATAAGTCATGTCTGGGACTTTATGTCAGCCATCTGCTTGCAATGAATGCTTGTGATAGCATCAGCGAAAGTGAATGCTGGATGTTCATCAGTATATCGGAATTAGTATGGCATAAGTAACATTACGGCATTCTGTCACGTGCTGATTCACGCTCATTCATGACGATCGAATCAGAGACAAAGTCTTAATGTTGACATCAATAGCTTAAATTGCGAGAAAGAAAAAATTGTGGAAGGGGGGAAGAGGAAAAGCATCCGAGGTCAGATAATGGATTTGAGGAGCCCAGTCGAGCAGCTGGCCGCACTGGCTTCTAAAGCGGTGATAAACCGGACAAAACTGGCTGCTGATGGTCGCAATGCAACCTTCGTGTGTGGCGGAAGCGTCACAAGCTCTCAGCCCATTCTTATACACTCGAGAGGGCATACTGCTGGCACCGGCATTCCCTTGAAGGTACTACGCCCATTCTTGAACAGCCTCTGAAGACTTTCTTCTTAGAGGTTCTGTTTCAGGGCGTACCCCTCTCCATGTGCATCAGGCTCTTAAGTGCACAACCCCAATTAACAATTTCGCCGAGTGCAGACGTTCATAGAGATGCCCACAGACGGAGCTGATAAGTGCAGACTCGAAGGTTTCATGGCAGCTTGCTCACCTGCAGCGTTCGACAAAACCAATCCGGGCATCCCTGCAGGTGAGCTAATTCGTGTTCGATCTCCCTCTTACAGACTTCGTGGATCCTTCATGTGCTTTCCTCGCCTTGCTCTCTCCTGAAGTTAAATTACACCTGCTACACGATAATCTGAATTTGGTCAATCCTGCTGCACAAGGAGGGCATCTTCAGGTCCTAATCAGAGCAGTCGAAATAGCTGCAAGTCGTTTCGGGGTGGACATAAATCTGGCAGAGCTGGGGACCCTGGCAGATGTCAGGACCCTGATGGCACCGGATGCATATGATATCAGGGCTGAGCTGCACAAGCTAACCATGTGAGCGCCATGTCCTCTACTGCACTCATCATTGCTTCGCTGTGTCCTCTCTGGCTAGTGTCTTTCCCAGAATAACAAACTAAAAACGCAGTTGCCCACATCCAAATCGATGCAGACTTCAAGGAGGCGGTCATCACAAGGCGGATGTTGGCAGCCCACTTGCCAGTCACGGTGACATGGTAATGCTTCTCTTCATTCTATGTTGACGTCGTCATTATTGCAAGGCTGGGATCCTTATGAGGAAAGTGCGCTTCTGAGATATCCCGGCTGCCTACGATAGAGTCGGCAATGCACTACGCAAGTTCTATCCTTTCTGAAATGTTGAGGTTGCATGTGTGCAGCTGGGGATTTTGGTCGTTGCTCTGCCGAGCCTCTACGAGGGTGGGCAGCTGACTGTGGAGCGCTCAGGAATAAAACAGACTTTTAACTGGTCAACAAACTACCTGCCGCTTGATACCAGGCTGCAGTGGGGGGCCTTTTATTCAGACTGCAAGCACGAAGTGCATCAAGTCACAAGCGGCTTTCAATTTACGGTCACCTACATCCTTAAGCCTAGCAGGGGTCCTGGTGCTATCCCAAACCCAATCTACGAATACGGACCGCCGGGATTCGGTCCGATCTTGCCGGTGCGTGCTTGCTGTGGTCCATTATTACGTTGTCCTGCTCAGTCATCTTGAACACTGGCGTGAGCATGCATCCCATGTGCATTTCCTATCAAAGGGGCTCTTTTCCCTTTGCGGAGATTGGTGGCTGCATCACACCTTCATGACGTTGCGGTGAAGGCCTTGGCGCCAAAGCAATACGTCTTTCCAGCCGGATATAATCGCTCTCTCCAAACGTTTTATCATTGTCCCACGCATGACAATTGTGAGCTGTATTGTAAATGATTGATGGATACAGGGCACCGACCGCAGAAGCCTACCTCTTCGACAGATTCTTGAGGAAGCACTTGAGGCTCCAGGCTTTCTGGAGAACGGGGGGACCCTTGCCTTTGGATGTCAGGAGAAATATCCCCACAGCAGCAATGCTTTCCTGGCAAAGTGGTTTTGCACTCAGCTGAAAGGCGCCGTCGCCTTTATGCCATCGCAAAAGAACTTGGGCTCAAAGTTGAGCTCAAGGAGGTCTACAAGGATGAGTTCAACACGTATGACAGGTGTGCCAGATTCAAATTTGTTTCTGAACTTGTCTCACTAAGATAGTGTAGCCTCTCCTATCTTGAGCTTGTAAAGCTGTCGTATTGGGAGTTATCAAAGCATCTCTACCAGTGATCTTAGGAGCTCTATAATCTTCAGTGCACACATTTCATGGCATGGCGACAAGACATTGGACGTCACCCGTGTTCAGGATTATACTTGCTGGCAAATGCAGGGGTGGTGTTTATACATCGGTGCAAGATTTTGCCTCGAGTGGAACAAGGATGCCGGCGAGTCCTATGCATCCTACTGGGACCGTAAAGAATACGGACACTATGGTATTCTGCTTGACTACGGGGCTGAGAGGCGGCAAGACCTGATATGGTGCCACGGCATAGGCCACCGTGAAGTCAAGGAAGTTTACAGTGCGTGCTATCATCTGATTGCATCATTCCCTTGATATGAATGCATTCTTGTCATGCTTGATGGAACTGGAGCATGTCATACAAGCTGGTCTGACAGGACTCCATTAGTCATCAACACTGTCTTCATGAGAGGTGTGCTTAGCATGCAATGGAAGATGGCCAGACATGTCATCAACTTTGGGCTGTCCTTGCAGGCGATGAACATCGGATCAAATACCCCATGTACAGCCATGCGGTAGTTCTTATCGAGGTTCCCAGCGCAGCCGAGCGCATCTGCGGTCCCGTACAGACGCAAAGAGCCCCAGTCAGCTGACTCACAGTGTTTGGCATACCGGGCGACTGGCGTGGGGTACCTCCAGCTTACAATCGCCAACATTGGCAAGTGCCATCTGCACATGATTGATCTTGAGAGGGCGGGGGCGACAGAGTTTGTGAGCGCATCTGCTCGTTTAAATTTAGGGATTGAGGACGCGTGGATAGGATTTGATTGTCCGTTATCCGCCACTGCTCAGCCGCTGCTCAAGGCTTGCCGGTGTTTCTTCAGTTTGAGCCAAGCTTGATATGCACGGGGGACAGCTGAGAACTCTTTGATGGGACACCCAATATTGGATGCCCCATTGCATGGTACATTGATGTACCCTGCAACAGTTGCAACTTGCTCTTTGTCAGCAACCACTGGTTCGAGAAACCTTAACTGTGGCAGGAAAAAAAGTGTCATATACAATGTTAGTGTTGGACACTTGCAGCTGCGCACCTTGGCAGCTCTAAGAAAGTGTCAGGATGTGCAGTGGGTGTGCACTATCTGAGGGCAATTTCTGAGAGCAGAGAATTCCATATATTCTCAAGGAGGCTCTCCATCACTTTCTCTTTGACTTCTCTTATTCCATTACCCAGAACGTATGGCTAGTCTTGCCCGATGGCGTTCCTTCAACCAAGGGTAACAACCCGGGAGATTTTAAAATCTAGGGGAGTTTTCTTTGGATTCTCCCCCCCCCCCCCCCGCTTCAACTGCTGTGCTGGGCTCGAATGGCCCTTCTTCACTTTCTCGATTCGTTGTGAGACGAGCAGCAGAGTTAAATGCATTGGTCAGAAATCCGGAGGCTCTGGCCATCAAAACTTCAAGACAGCCGTTGACGAAGGTCATAGTTGAGAGGTTTTGAAAAACCACCAGGATTGACAACTATTCAGGAGAAACTTGTACCGTGCAAAGACGCACTGTGAGAATGTATCAGAACATAGAAAAGACGGGAGTCGATTCTCTCGTCACACTGGCGCCCAAGGCGATCATCGAACGAATCAAGCTGGCAGCCAGTGGCGTCAAAGCCACCTTTGCCTGTGGCGGCTCCGTCAAGTGCCCAAAGCCCGTTCGTATCTTGTTCTCTGACGATGGTGCAAGCATCGAAACGCAGGTAACTTCTGAGTGCCGCTTTGCTGACCGGCGTCCTCCCTCATATGACCGGCATACCAAAAAAATGGCAGGGACCTTTACGAGAAACAGAGGGATATTGGGGGGTTTGCTTGAACCAAGCGATTGTGGATACGTGCAGCCGAAAGTGTTGGAGCTACCCAAGAACGGAGACAATGCCTCTGCGTTGGAGAATCTCGTGGCAGCCTGCTCAGCTGCGACCTTTGGCAAAATGAATCCCGACAACCCCAAAGGTAGACTCCACAGCTCTTCTCCCATTCTTCCGTCCAAGTGTGGCTTTCCAAAGTTCTGCAATTTATTACACAAGACAAATCTCGATTGCTTCCGATGCAGAGGGGGCGGATGTGTTGGATCTCAGCTACAGGAAGGCGCTCAAGCTGGACGCAGATTGCTTCGATGTGAACATCAATCTGGCAGAGTTGGGAATCTTGGCAAAAGTCAAGAGGCTCATGGCGCCTGATGCGGCTGACCTCAGAGCAGAGCTCTACAAGCTCAACATGTGAGTGCGCCAATCCTTTCCCCTTAGACATTATAAATGTCTGCTGATCACTTTTTTTTTGGTTTGCGGGCGCCTCGCATGCACCTTACTGGATGGGAGGAATTTTCATCACCACGTGAGCATCCTGCATTGCAATATACCGCTTAAACTGAAAAGCAGAGGTGCCCGCAACTACAGCTTGAAAGGGAAGGTGATGTTGGAGAATTGGGTACAGAGTGCCCCAGATGTATGATCCTGTGTACGTGTGCAGTCACTGGACAGGCGACTTCTTCAAGGCTCATGTTGACACCCCTCGCAGCGCAGACATGGTGAGCCCCACTGTTCCGCCATTCTTGATGTTCCTTTCCATTGCCATTACATGCGAAGAACGTGTGGTGAGACTCCTGAAGATCTCCCATCCAAACATGCTGCCGTCTCTGTGAATGCCGTACGCCAGACCTGGAGAGAACTAATCAATTCCACTTTCCAAAGCTTAATTCTTCTTTTTTGCTGGGCGCAGCTGGGATCTCTGGTCATTGCACTGCCTTGCCTCCACGAGGGAGGACGGCTGACAGTAGAGCACGGTATCGAGTGCCAGACCTTTGACTGGTCTTTGACAGAGCTCCCAAATGCGCCGTTGCTGCAGTGGGGAGCCTTCTACTCAGACTGCATACACGAAGTTCATCCTATGACCAGTGGCGCGCGCATCACGATCACCTACAATCTCATGGCTGTCAAAGCAGAGGATCCTCCACTGAGGGTGAGTCAGTCTCGGCACAAAGTACAGCGACCCTTACTGATCATCTCTGTAGCGGGCTGCTGCATTCTCGAGCTTTGTGATGTACCATGTATGAGCTGCTTGCGACTTTGTTGCTGCACTCTTTCGGCGGACGCCACTTGCCTCTTTTGACACGACACCCTCTGATGCCAACGATGAGTAATTAACACACATGCAGTTACAGTATGACCAAGAAGTAGAAACCCGCTCTGGTCTGTGCCTCCTAATGACAGTCAGAACATCTGCTAGTACCTAAATTACCGCAACTTTCATGGCCTAGTCTCACAATCTGTGCTTGAAGCACGTGTAGAGATGTCAGCAAGCTACTGGTGTGTATCATCTCACAGTTCTTGTGCACAATTGCAGGGCGTGAATCCTTCCAGTCTGGCCCTGCGCCAGATCCTAGATGAAGCCCTGCAGACCGATGGGTTCCTGGAAAAGGGAGGCACTCTGGCGTTCGGCTGCCAGCACGAATACCACCACAACAGCGATGCCTTCCTGGATTCACATTTCAGATTTCAGGCAGATTTAAAGCTGCTGCTGAAGGGGGCTGATGCGTGCGTGGTGGCTGTTGCAAGAGACCTGGGCCTGAAAGTGGACATCAACCCATTGTTCAAAAATGAGAACAAGTGAGAGACGTGGAGGTGCTCTATTGGGGTTCCTGACTGAGTTAATGGTGTGAAGCAAGCCTAGCGAGAGGGACATGCAATGCCTGTGGCTGATAGCCCATGGCTGTATCATGTTCGCATGCACTGTGCTTGCCTTGATAAGTCGCATCAGAATTATTTATGAAGCTCTGTAGTGGTCACGGGAAGAAGTTGAGTGCAGCAAAACCGCCTTGAGAATTAAATTTTCCTGGGTGCAGCTACGAGCGTGAGTATGATTCTGAGGGGAATCCGCTGGCACCCGAAGAACTGGAGAGGCGCCGCGCAACAGAGTATGTCGGCAAAGAGTTTGGGCTCGGCATCCATGACTTCGTAGATCAGGACGCAGCCTCTGTGGCAAGGTTGGGAAACTACAGCGCGGCCAAAAACAGGGGAGTTGAGAAGCGATGGGACCTGATTTGGTGCCACGGCCTTGAGCACCATGAGGTGGCAGAAGTCTACCTGGCATATGGTGAGTCATTTGCTGACTCATGCTTGTCCCCTTCTGTCCTGCGAATCATTCCTATTATTACACGCTTTTCATGCCAGAGACAAGGTGCGTCTTTGGTCCTGTGCTCAGTGGATGAGGCAAGCATAGCACAGATTGCAACGGAAATGCTGCGCTCTCCCTGGGAAGCATGCATCTCTTTTGGCCTCCACCCAAACAGGTTTTGATAAAATTCGCCAATGAAAATGCTTGGTGTTATGCTGTATGCTGACTGAGCGCTGATGTGGCATGTACGTGGGCAGGCAACGAGTATTCCAACGAGGTCATGTACAGCTATGCTGTGATTCTCATAGAAGTCCCTCCCATGGCACAACGCAAGCTGGGTCCGGCAAGCAACTCTGCTGAGCAGTAAAGGTTTGGCGGCAGGATAAGGGACTCTAAAGTTATCTTTTGGCATGCATGCTCATCCGTGAAATTTTACGTGTAAAGAGCGTCTCTGTTCGCTTGCAATGTGCTATGTGGATGCCGAGACACAATTGACGTATAGCTTCGAGGAACATGCTGGGATTAAAATGCCGTTCAATTAACACTTGAATCTTGGGTCTGCAGATGACCTCTGAACCTATCGACGTCTGCAATGTTTGCTCTGGCAGTGTCTAACACCAAACGCAAGTCACCAGTGTTGAGCACCGATAAAAATCAAAATCAAGGACTTCATCCTGCTATCAAAGATATTCTTTGCTCTCACGAGGCAATGCACACGGCTGCTAGCTTCCCAGCACAGCATCATACTGGAGCACATGTCGAATTACGTCATCAGTATGTAATTGGTTCCCCCCGTCATCAGTCCTCCCCCTCCAGCACATCGCGTATGGCCTGCACATCCGGGTGGTCCGGGCCGAGAGCAGCCTCCTGGATAATCAGCGCCTTCTGCAGCAACGGCCGCCCGGCCGCATCATTTCCCTGCAGCATTCCCCCAGCAGTGTCAATGTTTCTGTCAAGACAAGCAGCTGGAGCCGGTCATTATTACCAATGTTACACCACGCTGCTCTTGCAAATAGTTAAGGTGCAGGCAAGCTGCAGGTAATGGCTGCCACATGTTCTGACGCTTGACGGACTTGCAAGATCCAGGGAAGACGCGATCAACCGCGGGCTTGGTCCTTGTAATGTGTGCAAACTCCAAGGCTTCACAACAGCATTGATCAGGCGTGTCTTCCTCTCGTATTGTGAGCCGCCAGCCAACCATTTGCCCATAATGAAGACAAGGCAAATGGTGCCTCCTCCTGATTTGCAGATTGATGCGTCATGAACACATGTCTTACCAGTGGTCTTACCAGTGCACAATGCAGAGCATTCAGACCAGATAAAAGACAGTATTCGGCCCTGGTCAGTCGAAACCTTGGTGTCTCCCCCCAACAGAAATGGTGAGAAGCTGGAAGCTACAAGAAGCAGAAGAGAAGGAGCAAAACGCCCACCTGCTCGAGGTGCAGGACAGCGAGGTCCGTAAGGGTGTCCGCGACTTCGGTGGAGCTCGATCCGTAGACCGCCTCGTAGATCCGTAACGCGCGCTCGTACAGCGGCTGTGCACGGCCAAAATCCCCCTGCTGGTTGTACAGGATCGCCAGGTTAGACAACGAGTCCGCCAGGTCTGGATGAGTCGGCCCCAGTACGGCCTCCCTGTGGCGCAGCTCCGCCTCGTGTATCGCCTCCTCAGACCCTGCGCAGGGGCAAATACAAGAACATGTTTAGTCACGTCTGAGTTCGTCTTCCCGACACTGTCTGATCATTTTGCAAATCACGGGTCCAGGACGCCTTAATTGGCTCAGCAGAGAGGCAACACTCTGCTGCCTCTCTGTGATGGGATGGTATGCAACAATGCAACCTGTGGAAATGAACTTGTACACAATCTGTGCCTGGCAAGTGGTTGTTTGTCCAGGGCAGAGAGCACCGAACCTATTTACAAGATAGAACATTTTTCGTCAGGAGACCAGATAGGATGCTGTGGTTGTCAAAGGGCGCACCAGCATTATAGTGGGGCGGATCGACGGGGTAGGCCTCCGCCAGGCTGTAGTGGCTGGAAGCATGCGCGCTCGCCAGCACCGTCACTGGCGCAACCGCGGCGGCCGCCGCCGATTTGTTGGTGCCGGATTTGCCAGTGCGGCCGGCCGCGGCGGCCGGCGCGGGGAAGGGCACGCCCTCGGACAGCCGTCGCGCGACAGCCGGCACCGGCGGCGACGCCGGCCGCGGCGCCGGGGTGGCCCGGCTGCCGCCGAGGGGGGTCCCAGCGCCACCGCCGGCCCGGCCAGGGGGCCCGGCGGCGGCGGCTGCGGGGGATCCGGCCTGCGCGGCAAAGTCGGCCTCCAGCTGCTCCAGGATCTTGGGGTTGAGTCCCGCCGGCAGGTGCTTCCTGACCTGCGCGCCCGCGATGCTGTGCACCTGCGGCCAAACCGAGCCAGCAAGCTCTCATTGCTTTGCAGATGTGACAGTAACTGATTTAAACAGAAACATCTGCAAAGCCACACTGGCTTTCAGCCAAATTCCTCTGAAGAAGCACTGCTGGCTGATGTATATGTGAATGATTGAATGCGAAGAAGGGCACTGAGAAGAATTATGTCGTACAGGTCAGAGCTTGAGCAGGTGTGTCAGATTGACGGTGGCTGCAGGCTCTATAGGATATCCGTTTAGGAGGGGCAATACAGGAAGGCTGGCTGTCGACAAGAGTCAGGACTCAGACCAGCAAATTCATAATAAATCTAAATTAATTCAGAAAAGTCCTTGCTTACCAGGACGGTGATGCGGGTGGCGGCAGCGCGCACGTCTGCGTTGGCGTTCCCTAGCGTGGCACCCAGAAACTTCATGAGGGGCTCCAGGCTAAAGGAGTCGCCCTTGCCCACGCCAAACACCGGTATCAGCACCTCCAGCAGCTGCAGCCTGCGCCAGCCAACCGCAACTTCAACCTTCGTATTTCTAAATAAAAACTCAAGCTTGGTGTCAAGTGGGACTGGCTTGCTCACACAATGCACTTGTGAGATGCCCCGGCAGCAGCAAGCGCCTCCAGCATGAGCAGCATCTTGCGACGCTAAAGGCCTGTCAGTCGTTCATTTGATAGAAGAGCTTGCAGAGGCTCGGCCTCAGATGGGGGGCTCGGGTTGGATAGGCTCAGGGGCTGGCATGCCGTGCTGCACAATGGCTAATTGATGTAGCTCACAACTCTTAGGAGTTGTAATGTACGGCAATTTTTTTGCTCCGTGTGTCCCCAGTACTGTCCTATACCCATGGTAACCTCAAACCATCACAGACGCAGAACACATAGCCATGGATATAGTAAAAAATCCGCCTCCAGCGAGATTTGAACCAGGGACCACTCGCCTGCTAGTCCCGAGATTACTACCCACTAGCAATCAGAAACAAGGCAACCATGAATGCTAAGCACGTTTAGGGTTTAGAGTTACGTCTCTCCTCTGTATAGCCGTGCTTAGGGTTTAGGGTGTAGGGTTTAGGGTTTAGCGTTTCAGATATCAGTGCTTACCTGCCCAGCACCCGCTTCCACTGCGTGGCTTTCTCGGGCTTGAGGAAGAGGGACACCAGCGCAGACAGGCCCGCCTCCTTCTGCTGCGCGAGTGCCAGCAGTGTCTCAACTGCGGCCGCCTGAACTCGCGCATTGTTCTCCCCGGCCTGAAGCATGCAACAAAAATTTGTCAGACTGCTGCAAGATTCAGTCTTGAAAGGTGGAAGAGTGCATGAGGTCATCATCGCATGCTCAAGGAGCAGAAAGTGTATTCCTCGGCTGAAAGGCCACCCTCGCTGATTAGAAAGGCTGCATGCATGCAAAGCCACTACGTTCCAGAATTTTGATATGTGCTTCAAGCAGTTCTCACTGCGCCTGTACTAAAGATGTGATTAGCCACGACAGGAAGGAGAGAACTTCCAGACAAGTCTGTCGGCTCTGCCGGCTTCCTCTAGATCATCGATATGGTTCTTTGTATTGGTGAAAATGCTGTGAAACTGCTCTGCAGGAGCAGTAGAGGCCTATTATCATCATTAGGAACATGGGCATTGCGCAGATGCCCAGTGGATAAACAGCCATAGCCAGCCAGACCAGGCGCACCTTGTCGATGAGCAGCGGTGCCAGGTCAGCGACAAGGGAGGCGCACTCGCGCGGCGCCATGACCCCTGGATTAGTCACCGCGCGCAGCAGGCTCAGCCCCGCCATGTACACTCCTGGGACCTTGTCTGTGAGTGCGATCCGCAAAGAGTGTGCCAGGGATCGCGCCAGCTCCCTCTTTGCGTCCGGGGCCAAGTCCTGGACAACAAGAGAAGTTTTGTTACTGTAAGCTCCACATGCATGCTTTGTGGCCACTGTGGGGGATTGTCTAGCTGCTGTACAGAGCAGTCTTGTAGGCAGCCTATGAAGTTCTCAGTTCAAGGGAGGCCAAACAATTTGAATTGAAGAGGACAGTGCGACAATAAATGCAGCGTCTGGGGTAGGGATGCCCCGGCATGCGCTTCCCGTTAGATGCAAGCTCCTCTGCAAGGTAGTTTGCATGCTTTTGCGGGGCGGGTACGGCTCTTTTGAACAGCGCAGTACTTCCGGAGCTGGTCGGCCTCGTGTGACTGCCCGATCCACATTAAGCGGTGCAAGGAGGTGCGGAATATGACAAAGGATTTCTAATGATCCTTGTGACTGCCAGGGACATGCGGCAGACACAGGTTTCTTTCGCTGAATTCTTAAATCTGTGGATGTCATATGTTTACGCTGTGCAAGTAAGGCTTGCATCTGCCTCCCTCCATCCGCTACAATGGCAGCGCAATTTCGTCTGTGCAAAAGCATCGCTCCGCAGAAAGCGGGTATCACTCACCTGCCCGGACAGCCGCTTCTCGAGGTGCTGCAGGGCGGCTTCGCGTAGCTGCCAATTCTTGGAGAACAGGCAGCGCACCAGGTACTCCTCAAGAACGCTTAGTAACTCTGATGTGTCCTTCGCATCCGCGGCCGATAGCGGCTCCGGGGGCGCCAGATCCCCCGGCCAGCCTGGCGGCGGGGGGCCTGATGACATAAGGTGCATGTCAGCGGATACAAATCAGTCATGCTGGCAAGCTGCTCATTGCTCAGTTTGACACTGTTGGGGGCCCTGATCATGCAACGCATGATGTGAGCGACAAGAGACTATCATACAACGATGCATGATGTCAGCGGACGATATATGACCCAAGTTTTGACCCTACTTGTCACCGGTTTATTAAAGGTGAACTGTCAATGAAGTCGGACAGATGGAAGGGCTATCTACCAGGATACCTGAGGAAGCTCGCCGGTAGCTGAGAACAAACGAGCTTTGAGAGGGAGCTTCTACTGCTACAAAAGCTCAGTCCCAGAGGGAATTTAGTCGAAGAGACCAGTATCAGTCCCCATGTTTGCTGATGAAAATTTAAAACTTAAAATCCTCAGCCTTGCGCACTTACCGGCGGAGTCGGGGGCAGAGGAAGAAACCAGAGCGCGGTCCATGTCGAGCGCGCGGGCGGCCGGGGCCAGGGCCGGCGCGGCGACTTCTGCGGTAGCTGCCGAGTAGCTGCCGCGCGCGACCGCCGGCCGTTCATCGTACGCCTGAGACGGCGTGCTGCTCGCGCGACGGCTGCTGGCCGCGTAGCCGGGGCCCTCGTCCTGGGTCGACCTCCGGCCTGCTTAGGATACCATTGCTGAGCATCAGTCACCATCATTGTGTGACCTTAAGTCACACCACCTCTGCCAAGGTTATACCCCGCAACCTTTTGCATCAACGAGCGGCATCACACCAGGAGATTGACTCTTGACCATCAGGTGCTAATTCATTTTTGTTTGTTAGGGGTGTCATCGTACAAACAAACTTTATTACATGGGCTTGTCAGTAGCATGCAAAGCCGTGTGCGGCTGCACACACCAGGATCTGCAAGAAGGGGATAGAGAACCGCTCAGAATTGCGCATTGCTGCCCTGCCACAGCTTGGGGTCAGTGAGGCGGAGTGCAGGCTTCACAGCAAGACATGCTCCTAGGAGAAATAACACAAGGGGGTTGTGAGAAGGGCAGCGCACCGATGGGTGAGATGGGAATCTCATCATGGTTGCTGTAGGAAGAGGGCGACAGTGCCATGCCATTGGAGTGCTCCTTCCTGCTCCCCAGGCCCCCATTGTATGCAGGCTCCTCCTGCATTGAACGTCCTTTGATTCTCAGATACACCCCTCCAGATGCATGTCAGTCATACATCAGCTTCACTGCCTTGAGACGACTACCTGTACAAGTGCTTAATTTTGTGCCCTGGCATCACTGGTATTCATCACTTCAAAAGTGTTGCCTGATGCGGCCAGCATTACCCAAGGCAGAGATGTCTATGATCACTGCAGCCCACCCTTTCCAGCAGACTGGAACATGTTGCTGCATATATTGAGATGGGTCCTTGACAAGACCAGCCCACCTGTTCATGCGCGTGTCCGCCGCCGCGCTGCCCGCCGAGCTGCCCGGACACCTGCCCGTTGGGTGCGCGGCCGCTGGGGGAAGCTCCCCCGGCCAGCCGCAGCCGCTCGATATCCTGCTTCAGCGCCTTGGCCACGTCATAATCCTCAGCCTCAACCGCCGCCCTCTTCCTGTGGACATTGTTCAGTGTTCTCAGTGTCTGCTAAAATGCTTGATGATAGACAGCTGCTGTTCAGCGGCCGGCGCGAAGGTGGCCTTCTTCCTTACGAGAATATGTAGAAGTTTAGTCATCAGTACGTCACAGAGGTTAGCGGCCAGCCTTGTACTGACAAGATAGGGCAATATCGCTCATCTCTGACTCCATGAAATCCAAAACGAGAGGGTATCGCTCACGATACCTAGCTGGCATGACCAAGAAAGTGACAGAGCTCAAAGAGATTTTCCCAGCCCACACGGGTCCTTCTCATTGCAACACTGCGTGTGTCCCTCGCATTGCTTACTGTGCAAGATTGTGCAAAGGTTTGAACAAAATTAGAACAGAACAAAATCAATGGCCCCACCTGGCTTCCAGGTCCGACAGCTGCGTGGCGACTGCCTTCAGGCGGTCGATGGCCAGTTTCAGGCGCTTGGCCTCGTCATAGTCTTCCTCTGCCACTGCGCACGCCTTCGCTCCCTCCAAATCCCTCAGCCGCGCCGCCGTCTTCACGTCTGCACCGGCGTCCCCTCCGCCCGCCGCACCTACGGAGCGCATGATGTCGGAGTTGATATTTGGGTTTCTGCAGGGCTTGCAGTGCCCCTCGAACGAATGCAGAAGATATCGAGCGGAAGCTTCGCAGGTTGCTTGGGATGAGTTCCAGGCTAGATATACATGCAACATAGCAAGCCAAGCAAAGCAGCCGAAAAATTGCATGCTGAGAAGCGCCAGGATGTTTATAAAGCCAATCTTCTGGAGGAGGTGCAGGAATACAAAGGAAAGATTGCATCAATTTCCCGCTTCGTAGGGGACATTTTGCACCTGGAGAGGTCTCTCCGGCAGTGTCCTCTGATGCGCGAGCGGATGAGCCGTCTCCAGAGCGAGACTGTGCCGACGGCGGCGTTGGCTGCGGCCGGCCAGCCGTCTCCGCCGCAGCGGCCGGCAGGGGGCTGCCGGGGAGCTGCGCGCGCAGCTGCGTGCTGCTGCGCCTGAGCAGCTCCCCCGCTATGCTGACCCCCAGTATTCCCGCCTGCACAACAATGACGCTCCTTCATATATTTCCCCCATGCAGCAATGACAAAGGTGTCTCTTCAAATGTCATCCAGAAACGGGCCTTTTTAACAACTCCATCGTTGCATTCAAGGCAAGTGCCATGCATGCTCAAAGGCACCATCTTAATTATGCAAATCTGCAGCCGCCAGGTTCGATGCAATGTCACAGGGCTGGTCTGCCCTGCATGGGAACAATTACCTGCGCATGCAGGACCTTCTACGACCAGGAAGACAACATGATACATCATTGAAGGTGCAGTACATTGTTCTGCAGAGCTGGGGACTCCACCTGGCTGTAGGCATTCTGGGCATTGGAGTGGCAGCGAGCCAGAACTATTCTCACAAACAGCGCCTGCACGCTGACTGTCACAGACTTGAGCTCGCGCGCTTGCAGCTTGCTGCGCTCGTTGCAGTCAAAGGAGAAGGATCCCAAGCGCTTCCAGGACACTGCCTCGCCTCCCCCAGGCGTCCCAATGTGCAGCTCCACTTTGCTGGCAATCTGCACAGACCGCCGAGATTGAAACCTTGTGCAGATAGGATCCTACTTTGAAATTTGCAGGACATGTGCGTTGGAATGAGGCGTTCGAGAATCGTCTGCTGGCACTACACAGCAGCTACAGAGGGGCCATGTGGGTGCAAAGTGACTTGTACAGAGGTGCTGTTTCAGGTGCTGATTGCAACATGAGAAATATTTCGCGATAAGTGGAAGACAAAATTACCTTGTACTCGTGGCTCAGTATTTGAATCTGGTGCACATTCGCCAGCCCCTCAAGCTGCAGGGTCACCTGCTGTGGCCATTTGCAAAACCTGTCCAGGCACAAGCCTTTCAACGTTGCGCGAAGAAGGACGGCGAGGATGTGACCAGAATGAAATGGTTTCTCTTTGGCTCATGGCATTACGAAGTTCAGTCCTAGGGGAAGTTGCTCGGGACAGTTGAAAAGTTCTCATCTTGAAGTATGAAGGAAAACAACATACTCCATTTGCCCTGATGGCAGGCCAGGCATCAGCGCGATGAGGATACAAACACGTACCTAGGAGTCTGCCATCCCTTCACTTGTGGATCTTTGCAGAGAAGCTCGCTTACAGGATAATCTGCATCCTGCACACCATAAACACAAAAGTTGGGGATTGCCGGCTCGTATGGGCCATCACTTTATGGCATCGAGCCAACATCGCCGTGCAAGCACACGCATTACATCTGAAGAAAGGTCCTCTGCCCTGCATTGTATCTGGTAGAGAGATGTTGCGAACCTCGCCAGAGCACGAGCTGATGGTGAAGCCCAGCTTCGGGGCTGAACTCCCCATCTGAAATCTTCCGAAAGATTTCTCACCTCGCACCAATCCGTATGCAATTTCTGTTCTTCGGAAAAGGAAAGAACGGCTTCTGATGGGGGGATGCGTTTTCAATTTGGCGGGGTTTTCCGCGAGGGCTTGGGAAATGCCCTCTTCGGGCAAGGGGTACGATAAAAATACAATACGAACCAACTTCTTGAGGGTGGAGCTCTGTGGAGAAAAGTTCGTTTCACTAATGAACGAAGGCAATGCCACTTGCAAATCGGGGCATGCCTAACAATCTTGTCGCCCATAGCCACACAGTACCAGTATCAGTGCATAAATAATTGCAATCTCTGCTAGCCATGCTGTAGCTCCCCATAGATGACAAGTCAATGTACTTCAAGCAGTTCGGGTGTTTCACGACACAAGTTACAGCAGAGACCAAAGCATCCCCTTCGCAAGGAAGAGCACACCACCGTATTTTAGTCATTTTATCTTGGACCACAGCAGGCCTAAGGGTCAGAGCACCATCAAGATGACTGTAACCAATGGCGCGGAAATAATGGCAATGCAGAAATAAGCTCCACCACAGGCGAAGCCACAGAAAGAAATAGCATGTGGTGCATGGCCGTACTGTATTCAGCCACCATCCTTATCTTTCGCGGCTTTGAATGGCCTTGTCAAGACCATGAAAGATCTGTCAAATGGCCTTGCTTGACTTCAAATTGCTGTATTCATCCCTCCGGGTGAGTCACCTTCTCACGAGCAGTGCCTTTCTTAACTGTCAGACCACATGGGCTTGTGAGGTCCAAACACAGGAGACCACCCACGACAGCTGCAGCAGTGCCCTTCCAGCTGTTCAAACTTCAGATTCACACTTCAAACACGATGCCGAATTGGATCAGATTCGCGCGTGGAACATTCCAGGCGTGGTTACGTGCGCGGGTGACAAGAGCCAGGGGGTTATAGCCGTATTCCAGCAGGAACCGGCGCCAGCATGGAGAGCCTGAACAGGCAACATTATTAGTATCGGCTTTCATCATTTATTTCATGATCGTATGGTCAATGTGGACGGCATCTGCAATGCAAGTCAAGCTCACAATGTCACGTTAAGGCCATGCTAACAGTCTTCCCCCATGATCACTGATCATGCACTCAAATTAGCGTGCCAGAAACTGATGTCTTCGCATGTGAGAAATTGGCGAATTATGAAAAAATGCCAAGCTAGTGATTCCCGGCTTAGAAAATCCAGAAAGAAGATGGCAAAGGGTGTGGGTTCTTTAAAAAGGGAAACTGCAATTCACCTTCGCGCGATTCGCAGGTTGTGCTGCCCATAACATACACCATCTTGGGCTCCTTGTCAGCCTGCAACAGAACAAGAGAGCCCCATCACTCGCAGTTCAAAGGCCGGGACGCCAAATCGAAGATTGATGTATGTCAGGTCCGATAAATTCAATCTGCAGGAAGTACTGTGATCTTTGCGATGACAGACAGACAGATACACCGCACAGCATCCATCCCACTAAATGCAACAGCAACCGCAGCATAGAATGCACAGCGGCTGAGAGTTTCACGTTCCCATCATAGTGAGAAGTTCCCAGTGATAATGCACGGACGAAAGCAGCAGGGCACAGTAAAGCAATAGGATGAGTGGCAGACAGAATGAGATTATTACTATTATTATTATTACAAGCTTGCTGCCAGAAGCAAGGTGCGTCTGCAGAAGCTGCAGTAAAGGCTGCCAAACTGAGATTAGGGCAGGGCTTATACCGGGAGGGAGGCGCCAAGGGGCTTGATGGCAACGGCCAGCTCCTGCTTCAGGGCAGCAGCAAAGGCTGGACCCATGTCGACGACATCAGAGTACCTGCATGACAGCAGCAGGCCACAATTCTCAGCCAATTTTTGGCCCAGAGATGATAGCTGCGCGCCAGCAATGCTGGGTGAAGCGTGCAAATAATTACATAGTATGCTTGGGAAATCATGTGATTGCAATTGTCCCTTTTCTCTCACTCAGGGCAGCAATGTGGCAAGACCCGCGTTCCGTTTCCAATTTGAATAGCAGAGGGTTAAGGTACGGGAGCTGCAGGCAAGTGGCGCACCCGTAACGGGCAACAGCGCGGTAGAAGCCGGGAGCGTTAGTAAGCGGCCGCAGCAGGAAGCGCTCCTCTGGGAGCACCGAAGACACCGGCACACTCCTGCATGGCATGCCTCTCAGTAATCCCAAAGTCTCCGGTACTGTACTTGATCAGTGGAATTGCTTTACTTGGACACCTATATAATGAGTATCAGCTCAGCATAATTCTCTGAGAATCTGGCATTGCAAGGAATCAAACTGCGTGTTCATCTGCTCACACGTGCTTGCAAGATCTCCCTTGACATTTCATGTCCTGTGCAGTATTATTATTATTATTATTATTATTATTATTATTATTATTATTATTATTATTATTATTGTTATTGTTGTTGTTATTATACGCGCTTTTCCTGCCGAAGGCAAGGTGCGTCTGCAGACAAGCTGCATGTAAAGGCTGCCAAACTCCTACCCCTTGTTGGACTCGCCAGATCCAAGCAAGACCCAATCAACCGTGGGCACGGTGCTCAGTATTTGTACCGCCCCCCGCCAGCCTGTGTAGTAGACCGTAGCGTAATCCCGCAATACTGTCAAAGGAAGTCTGAACATGCCAGCTGCATGCTCAACACAGCAAATGCAGAGCACCCTGCTTACTAACCAGCAGTTGCAGGGAGAGTCTCACCGTACGGTGAGCAGGATGATGGTTTCGTAGACTGCCGGAAGGTTAGTCATCATGTGGATGAAGACAGGGGGCGCCTCTGAGACGGTGTCCGAGAAGACAACGCCCGTTCCGGGGACGCGAGTCACCACCTCGCCTGCGGCGAAGATACACTTTGTATTAGTAATCATCTAACAACGTTGTTTTTGCCAGAGGCAAGATGTGTCTGCAAACAACCTGAAAAGCCGACCCCATTTCACAAAGATTAAAAACAACAAACTTGCGCAACTTGAACATTTTGTCAGGACCCGAGCACGGCCCAATCAACAGGCTCAGGACTCATACTGGCCCGCGCCTGCCGCGGCCTTCCATCTCAGACACCATTGTTCCTTGATTGGCATTAATATGCAGCTGCCTCCTGAAGTACAGAAGGAGCTGCAACGCAGACATGTAGATTGTGCGCTGTCATCATCTAGCCTCATTATCCCCTGAGCAGGGTGCTATGTGTTCTGCAGCTAGGCTGCAATTCCCTGCGCGTGCTGCAACATATTATCTTGTGCATCGAGTAGCTGTTGGCCTGAAGGGTTGGAATTGGGGGGCTCGCCTGTTTTGGAGAGCAGCAGCGGCTGCTTGGAGCCGCCAAGAGTGATGCCCTCCTCGTCATCAGCCTCCTTCCCACTGCAGCCAGAAACAGATTTGATTTTAAGTTCAAGCTGCATGCCTCTTATCCAACCCGAGGCACACATCACAAAAATAAATGACAGTGGAAGAGGTGGCAGGCTGCAGATACTTACAATTAACAGCTATGTGTCGGGATTTGGCAGGAGTTTGGAAATCCTCAAGCAACCCTCTACAGCGCAGGGCATAGAATGTCAAACCCTGGGTATGTATAATACAGGGGGAGGAAGTCAGGGACTCACTTGGAGGGGGGACCCAGCGCCACCACTAAGAATGAGGACCCGTCACTGAGAGGGGGGAACCGGCACACGCAAATATGGGGGACCCGTTTGGGGGGACCCAGTGCTGTTGGTAACGGGGGGGGGCGGGGGGGGGGGGGGGTATTTCCTGGGCGGGACTTAGCGCCAGTACTAACAGGGGGGATTCTGGGAGGGGGGACTGCGTGCAATTAGTAAGAGGGGGGACTCACTGGGAAGGGGGACCCAGGGCCAGGACTTGCTCCAGGTACTGCGAGTTGGCCTTGACGTAGACGCTCTTGCGCTGGCGGCCGTAGAACCAGATGGCGCTGATGGCGAAAACCACTACTGACAGCGCGATGGGGAACCAGCCGCCTGTTTCACAAAAAAAATCACAGAATATTTGAGTCAATTTCATCAATGTTTCCAACTACTCGAGCAATTTTTGGAGGCAGCCACCTGTTTCACACAGTGCACAATATGATCTTTAAGCCGGGTTTCACTCGATAAGTGAACACCTAAGCTCCCATTCAATGGGAATGAGACACATGGAGTCCCCTTTCAGTCACGCCAGGGGTATGAAGACTGCAGTTTAGAAGTGTTGCTAGTGACTCATTTTTGAGAGAGCACAAACAGTTGACAGGCTGCCTAGAGAACGCAGTAAGCACTAGTAATATTAGTAAGAAAGACATGTGTCATAACAATCGTCCCTTGAGGACGCATTTGTTGGTCACAGGACTATGACCAAAGCAACCTCTCGAATTTAGTCTGCCATGCAGCCGCGCCAAGCAGCAAGGGCTTCTGCCGCAGTCACATTCAGAGCCCATCATAGTTGCACCATTCGGTCAGAACACTTTTTGGGGACCGTATGCACGGCCGAATATACGGTCATACTGTATTACAAAAAACGGAGTACGGTCAAAACGGCCTATTTTGGCCCAAAACACCGAATATTATTATTGTTATTATTACACGCTTTTCCTGCCAAAGGCATGGTGCGCCTGCAGACAGACACCGAATAGACGACCGAATATTAACCGTATGCCGAATGGCCGAATCCGTATGGTGCAACTATGGAGCCCATGCATGAAAAGGACGCTAGTGAGCAAGGTGGATGTTCAGTGGAAAACAAATGCAAACCGAAAAAGGATTCTCACCGTTGAGAAACTTGAAGAGGTTGGCAGACAGGTAGGCGCCGTCGATGAGCAGGAACAGCGCATAGATTGGAAGGGAGATGAGAGGGTTGACGTTGTAAACGACCATGGAAGCCAGGAACATCAGGTTGGTGGTGATCAGCTGCACAGCACAGCAGCCGTCCGGGTGACTCAACTGCTTCTATTTCACTTGGAATTTATATGCATGCTTGCACCGAGCGACCAAAAATTAAGCCGTTGCCGTTCTTTAGAGCCTCCCTTGACTTATGCCCGACCATATGTCAGCACACACAAGTGCACCTCAAATGGTCCCTCTTTGTGCACTTTGCAGCTTTAGTTTGCAAAGACTTCTTTGTTGTGCCCAATTGAAAAACTTAATTTTTTCTTTTGCCTCTGCAATGCGCCTCTGAACAAAAACTGGCACTGCAGGACCGAGTAAGAGTGGCTCATATGACACCGCAGGAATAGCGACTCACCCTGGCAATGCAGCAGTGACTAACAAGAAGTGATCCTGACAGGGCAATGACTGATCGTGACTCACCATGACAAACGTTACGGCAACACCGTAGCCGTTACCGATCGCGGTCCCATTCTGGAACCCGGCCACCACCGCAACGGTGAGCACCATGAGAATCCAGTTGATCCAGGGGATGTAGATCTGGCCCACGATGACTGATGAGGTGTGGATGATGTTGAGCCGAGGAAAGCAGCCCAGATTGATCGACTGCTTGATGATCGAGAAGGCTCCCGAGATCATGGCCTGCCGCATGCATACCAGGCAATATCAGTCCATCAGTACTCACAGCACATGGCTTCCAGCCCAGGGCGATGATTCTAATAAGGCTGCCGCATTCATACGGACTGGTCACAAAGATACTTGCATCATGCTGCGCCAGAGTCTGCCCGTGCAACATCTGCTGCAAGTTTCTGAAACCCCTTGCCCCTAATGTGACGATTGGCAAGGGATTTGAAATTTTGAGGTGATGTGCTGGGCCTGATCAGGAGCCGAGCGGCTTCTGCTCAGTCTGTGGGCACGCATTGTACAACTCCACTCTCTCATGGGAGGTTACACCAATGCAGAAGAACACAAGAGGGGTTGCAGCTCCCAGCTCATATACACGATGGCCATTTGGAACTGAAAATGGATATGTCGATCGTCATATTTATGTTGAAATTTAAATTTGAATTTGAATTAGAGCGTGCCTGGCTGGCGACGATGGCGGCGAGAACTGCGACGACAAACATGGGCCAGTAGACTGGGGAGGGAATGCTGGCGTAGAATGTGGTCGAGTAGGAATCTGGGTTGACCATCAGGAAAGCCGCCTGGCCCAGGTATGTGATGATGAGCGAGGGGTAGGCCACAAACAGGAAGCTCAACTGCAAATCATACACAGAAACTGTCTCAGTGTAAAAAAAAGTGAAAAACAAGTTGTCTGGCGCCGCAGGCTCTGCTCTGCTTTGGTGCCCACAAAAGGTTCACATATAAATGGCATAAGAGGTTGGAAAGCCATGTAAGGGAAGCTCAGCTGCATAGCACAGGGCGAATCTGTGTAAGTTGCAGAAAGGGAAATGCATTGTGACCAATGAAATGCCACAGGGATCATGCAAGAGCTCCGCATAGCCGGAAGGCGCGAAGCACACAGGGAAAGGCAGCGTATTGTATACTTTGGAAGCACGGCATAGTTGCACGACACCTGACACGCGTGTCAGGTGTCGGAGTGTCGCGAACGTTCGCAAACGCGTGTCGAGATTTTGGCCATTTCCGACACCGCTCCGACACCGGGTTACGTAAGGGTTACGTTTGACCGTTTCTGACTGTTTTTGGCCGCTTGGACGCCGGGAAATGACCAACAACACCCCAAACACATATAACATGCTTGTAAAGGTGTTTAGAGACAATTCCGATGTGTTTTGATGCGTTGTCGGGTCCGGGAACAGCTTTTTGAGGTTCCGTCAGCCTTAGTAACCTGTAGTCATCACCCGATTGCATGGTTACTAACGTCCCCAGGTCTGGACACGCGTGTCGCGGTGTCGCAGTGTCGCGAACGTTCGCAAACGCGTGTCCAAATTTTGACCAGCCGTGTCGTGCAACTATGAAGCACGGTGCATTGTTCACCCACAAAAAGCAACTAACGTGACCAGTGGATGCTTTTCAAAGCTGCTGTCGTCAAAAGCACAGCACACTCACCCGGATGGATGCTTTTGAGAAGTGGCCCAGATCGGCGTACATGGCTTCTGTGCCGGTGATGCACAGCAGAGTTCCGCCCAGGGCAGTCCAGCCGCTGAAACCTTTGCGGATGAAGAAGAGAAACAGGTAGTGCGGTGATAGCGCCTTGAAGATGGCTGCGCAGACACAAAACATGTTTTCTTTTCAAGCAGTGATCTTTAGAGCCCCTTTCCAACGGGGCTCCGACGATGGATAGTGCTAGCAGAAGGCGTGACATGCATGATTGGGTACCTATGCAAATGGTTGCCAAAGCCTTTTGACAAAGGCAAGTTCCCTAGATGCAGTGTGGCACGAAGCGTGGAAGCATGCAAATCAAATATGTCGGCTAAATTTTCCTGAGCTTGCAGCTTATGACATGGTTCTGCAAAGATATCGCGTTGGCAGCACTGCGAAATGACATGTTTCCGCATTTACATGCTGCCTCACTTGCCCACTTGGGTTTCAGTGGCTCTTTGAGATTGCCTCTTCTTAAAGGTATGGTCCGCAAGGGTTGAAGGACTCGAAGGGGTCTCACCGGGGTAGTAGATGATGATGTTGTAGAGGTTGATCATGACGTTGGCCACAAACCAGATGAGCACGATCGGCGCAAATGTGAACCCGACTTTGCTGGTGCCCACTCGCTGGAACACAAACAGCAAGATGAGGATCGCACAGCTGATGCCCACGATTGCACCTGCAAACACGAAGCAACATCAGCAGTGACCTTGCAGACAATGGTTGTCACAAGGTACATGCCGTCTGGCTGCGGCAGTCCATCATGCCCGCAATTCTGTCTGCTTCATGCTTGAGTAATCCTTTTCCCCTGCTTCAAAATGCCGGCCATGCTCTGATTATTACTGTGACAAACAAGCACTTGACATGATGAGGTCATGCTGAAAGCCAAAACGTCACACATGCACAGGAAACAAAGACATCTCATCGTCCAAGATAGGACGGGAACTGAATCAGGCATTCCGCCAGATCAGCACGTGCATGCCAAGATAGGCTGGGCACGTTTTGAACATTGCGGAAATGTTAGTGTTTGGGATGCAGGATTCAGGACCCCAACGATAATCAGATGATGGCCAGATCAGGCCGCACCAGTTGTAATGCTGGGCGCTGCAACTTGGATGCCAACGACAGCGGAGATCACAGAGATGGCCGGAGTGAGCACTCCATCTCCGATGATCATGGACGTGGCAAGAAGCACAACGGCTAGCAGAAGTACCCGGGCGCCCTTGGAACTCCGCAAGAGTGCGGCGATCTGCGAGGTGAGTCATCTGGGGTGAGTCATCGTCAGTCATGTTTGACACCTGGATTGCCTCCCAGAAAAAAGAGCTTGCCCCTGAGGCCTAGGATCGGCATCGATGGTTTCACACGTGTGTTGCTGAAGGGGTTGTGGCTTTGCTTTCTGTATAGCTATGCGCTCAAGTCACTGATCAAAACCACAGTACATGCAAGAAACACAAGGCATTACAAGCGCCAAGCAAGGAGGAATGGCTACTTCAATGTGCAAACAGGAGTGCAACAACATTAACAGTACATTCCTGCGGACAAGAAGCACGAACATATTCTATTTTGCACGGTGTGGTTTATAATCAGACAAACTCACGTACCACAACAAGCAGGTTGCAGCTATCAGATGTCCTGGGGGTGTGCTGCTAGAGAGCTGGATGCAGTGAGCAAGAGAGAACAGAGAAAGGCTTGGCGCATGCCTTTGCGCCGATGGTGCGGGGTTTAGCGCGGGTGGATGACTCGATCATCTGAGCGCTGGTGTATCGGGACAGGTGCAGGTCTGACGCGTTGGGCGATCCACTGCCGGGGGTGGATATGCCGGCGTAGCGGGTGATCAAACTATACAGCGCAAACGTTCCACCTGTGCACGCAGCACATATGAAGCGTTTGCAAATGGGTTTTGCTTGCCTATACGCTGAGTCCACTTCCTGTAAATTGCCCATCTTCGCCAGGCCTCATGTGGTTGAGGTTTGCGCAGCCACACACAGGCTGGCCCACAAGCTGAAAGGTGCTGCATGTCAGTTCTGTTGATGTGGGGCGGAGTATTTGTCGCATTGTTGTGCAAGAATTTCACAGCAAATGGAAGCCAGATGATGAAGTACCTTCGCCGTGATCATCTGCTGTCAGCACAATACACACGTACCTGCACAGAGCAGAAGCAGACAGGTTGTCACTAAGAGCAACTACCAACGCACTTCCATGCACCACACTGATGCATCCAGCCATCACCGTGATCATATGAAGGTTGGCAGAAGCTCTCAGGCGCCAGGCTGTGCATACAGGACAACTCTGAGGTAAGCAAGTGGGAGGCAGAGCGCGTGCAAGGCCTCACTTGAAAACCACCACGAGGGTGATTGTCCAGAAGATGAGGCTCATGAGACCCTGCACAGCAGCAGCAGTTTTCGCATTATGTACCGGGTTGGCCAGCATCTGTGCACCTTCTGTGGCTACACACGAGACCCAGTGCAGTGAGAATGTCACAAGTCTATCTGCTCGTCACAGCGATTGAATTGGGGACAGAGCCACAAGAGGCAGGGGTGGCTCACCACAACATCCTCCTGAGAGGGGCTGCTAGTGAAGGTGGAAGCATACACGTACAGCGGCGATGTGCCAATGTCTGCACAGCTTACATAAGATTTGTTCAGGCATGATCAAAGATCAATATTATTCAGCTTTCCGGGTTCAGACTTCGGACAGCTTTACACAACCTTCAGATCCAGCTTGGCACATCATGAACATTGCCAGACTGCCAGCAAGAGCCAGCTTTTAGGGAGTCTGACTCAGGGCTGAGTGCATAAGAGGCATGTGCCAGGCGCCTTAGGGGGTGTGCTGTGTGCACGTATGCAAGATTACGAGAGTGTATGGGACAGGAAGGCAGCAGGGCTCACCTCCATAGATGACACCAATGCTCCTGCAGGGACACACAATGTATTATCTCAGCACAGACATTGGAGTGTGCTCACTGATAATTCTTAAGTATTGTAGATCATGATCATTGGCCACGAATCTTATGCAGCAGACATTATAATTACACGGTTTTCCTGCCAAAGGCAAGGGCGTCTGCAGACAAGCTGCATGTAAAGGCTGCAAAATTTCCTACCGCTTGTTGGACTCGCCAGATCCAAGCAAGACCCAATTAACCGTGGGCACGGTGCTCAGTATTTGTACCGCCCCCCGCCAGCCGGGGCCAAGCAGACATAAGGATATGTGAATCACCTGTACGCGAGGCCAAGGGTGACTCCCCAAGTGGCTTTCTGCAGGACACAGCAACTCACAATTCAGACCAATCGCTTCTGGTATCAGATGCAAGCTTGTACTATGGGCTATGAACAGATATGCAATGGCTGCAAGGTCTAAGCACACACAAAAGAGCAGGCCTGCGATCATACTTATCAACTTGCAAGGCAGCCATTACTGGGTAGCGGAAACTCGCGGAGGCGGAGAAAATTGAGGCTCCAGGGATGCGTACCTTGAGAGATTGACTCTTCACGTTGCCCTCGAGGTCACGGTCATCGTGAAGGGACACCGCCGCCTTCTTCGCCTGGGGCCGGCTGGCCTCCGATGGCTTCAAACTCTTGTTCGAAGCCAGGCCTCCGGCGCCGGTTGCTGCAGCTGCCATTCTGCAGCCAGTAATACCGATCAGGAACATTTGCCATAAGATTAGGACTTGGGAACGCCTGGCGGCTATGCTTTGCCTAGGAACCTGCTCAGATGCGATGCTTGGCGAACGCCTTTCTCCTACCAGCACATCACGTACTGCCTCGTGAAAGGGACTTCGATAGAGAATTCTAGCGCATGTTGATTTCTTAATGCGCTCGATGCACAAGTGTGCTTATCACAGCAAGGGAACAAACGGGTCCAACCGTTGTGCCCAAGGTTTTCGCACCTGCAGATGCGCAGGATGCTCACTGAGCGCGGCTGTCCGGTGCACCTACTTTCTGGCAATGCAGCTCCTGCGGTATCCAATGTTGAAGGATGGTCCGCTTGGATCAGGCTATCGCAGATACCTAGCGTCCGTCCGGAATGGAAGCTATGGCGCGAGAGATAATGGGAGACGCAGGCGTAGCTGCCCGGCCGAACAGGAAGCTACGGCAGGCGTTACCTCGGGTCACATGAACCCAGCTTCCTCCTGGACGGAAACTGCTTGCAGAAGCAGTCCTCGGCCGAAAGCTTGGCCAAACAGATGGCTGGATGAAGCCAGCTCAGGACGGCATGGCATCTGAGCATATTGGCAGGTCACATGCTGAAGAGAAACTTAGCTGACTGCAGCTGTTAACAACGTTGGAACTCATCACCAAAGCTTTAAGCTAAAGAGTATGCACGCTCTCTGCTAAGTGCATGCAGCTCTCCTACGTTGCATTAGTTTACAGCATCAGTTTCTTCACTGCCCGCGCAGGGCTTCAAGAACGTCACCTACCCAAGCTCGTGAACACGGTACCTGCAACATCTACAGATATCTCATCACGAGGCTTGCCACTACCGTGTGCAGTGCATAACTTTCACGCATTCCTAGTGCAATGATAAGCTCGCAGGGCCTCGTAAATCTGCATCTTTCTTCCGCTAGTCCAGTTTGGTGCATAACATATTTTCTCGAGACAAGAGTGGCTCTAGAGACTGGCTCAGACCTGCGTTTGTAATAAACGCAGTACAGCATGCATTGGCTGACTAGTGACAAATCGGTGTTGACTGGACACCCTAGCTCAAGCCGCCTGCGCCTCATCAATGGTGTCTGCAGTTTCTAAGAGGGTTTTGTCCAGGGGAATGCCACGCTCGAAGAGGCTCTGGCCGGGGTGTAAAACAGGGGCGCTGCCCAGACAGACATCTCCCTGGTACATGACAAATGCCTGCTGCGGTGTTATCGCGCGCGCCGGCTGCCTGAATCTCACCAAAAGTCCTGCAAGACACAAGCACCAAGTGAACTCTCTGCACGCCCTTGCAGTCAAGGTGTTGTGTTTACATTTTATTGGTTCCTTCTGTTAGTAAAGTTTCCCCTAATGTCTCTCGGATGCCTTGCTTGGATCTGGCAAGTCCAGCAAGGCGCAGGATTTTGGCAGCCTTCAACTGCAGCTTGCCTGCAGGATGCACCTTGCCTCTTGGCAGGAAAAGCTTGTAATAGTAATCTGTAAAATAATGCCTCTCTGTATCCTGTTCTCCAACCGGATCAAAGGAAGACAAGGGCAGTCTTTCATCTTGGCAAAGTCATTCATCATCTTCGGTGGTCTAAATGATGAAGAAGATGTAAGCTTACACATTGCACTCCGGAATGTTTTTGGGCGGCCTGCCAAAAGATGACTCACCAGGTGACTCATCAGCACCGTCAGCGTCGGCCAGGCGGCAGTGCGCGCTGCGCTGCAGCGCGTCTGACGTGGCGGCTGCGGCGGCAGGCGATAATCCTGTCACGTCCTCCACTGTGCACTCGCGCAGCACCTGACGGTACCTGCAACAGCATTAGCGAGACCCTTCAAGCCCCTTGCACGTCTGTGCTGCCAAGAACAGCACAACCATGTGGGTCCACATTGAATGCTGAGACATTCCTTCCTTGAGACTTCATCAAATGGTGCTGCAGGCCTCGGGCTAGTTGGATTGCTCTTGGAAGACGCTAGGCAAAAGAACACGCTCGCTTGAATTTATATGCAGCGTGATGCAGACCCGGGGCTGTGTCTTGTGAAGCACCATGTGCGCAAGGAAGGACTTTGTTAATATGGAACACAGTATAAGATAAGCAGGTTTAAAAAGAAAAGCCGCACCTGGCCTTGTAATGGCAGCGCAGGGGGGTCCCGGCAGCCAGCTCCGGTGGGGGGTCCCCCCCAATCCAATGGGGGAACCGCAGCGCAGCTGTGGAGCAGAACAGCGCCGGATGGTCCCCGCCGCGCGCCACGTACGCCCGGCGTTCCCTCATGTCCTTCCCCACCACATACACCCTGCAGCAATGAGTAAATGTGAATCAGTATCTGTTCTATCTTCCAGGGTCTCATCTCTTGCTCTCAGAAAGTGTCGTACCTTCCCGGGTTGAGTCATTTCTTGCCACCCTATATGCTCTATCTACCGTGCTTATGTATATCTTCTGTCACCGACTGGTGTATCCGTTTCTTGCTGTCACTATTTACTCTGACTCCAGGGTTGTGCTCAGAGGGTTGTCCCCTTCTCTCATCAGAGCAGGATTGCAGCGAGGAGTGCCTCAGTGTACCCCATTTACAGCACAAAACATATGCTGCCATTGCAGCTGCGCCTTTGCACTAGCATCTAGACTAGAAGTGCCGCCCTGCCTAACAAACCGCATTCTGCATGCAGCCTTCTTAAGACTATCTGTTCCTGAGGTATGGCGCGGAGACTGACCGTTCGGGCAGCCCGCTGATGCCGGCGCCCTGCCCATGGGTCATGGCTGCTAGGTTGGCGCAGTTTCCCACAGCTTCCCCGCTCTCCACGTCCACGAATGTCCCCGGAACCGGCTGCGCAAACTCGCCGATAAAGTCCCCAAACTGACGCCGCCCTGTCATGCGGTTGAAGTAGTCAGACACTGCTTGAGCTAAGCTGTCCAATCTTTCTGCAGCAACAAAACGTCAGCAAAAGAGAGAGGCTTGGATGAGGGCTCAAACGGCCTGAATTCCCATTGCTTTGAACAGTAAGAGAGACAGAATGTGCAAGGATTTAATGACTGCCTCCAAAACCCCCACAACACGCCGACAGAGACGCTGTAAACATGGGTAGGGAGAGGATCTGATCCCCAGTCAACCATGACATGTACAGGTTGCAGACAAGTGACAAAATTAGAATCTTCTGCCAACAAATCTTCTGCCAACAAATCTTGATGTGGGGAGTGGGGCAGCACACCGATGAAGCAGATGCCCGCGCTGCTCTTGCGGGCAGCGCTGGGCAGCCCGGCCGCCTCAGCCACGCGGCGTACCTCCGCCTTGCGCATGGCCCCGAGCGGAAACAGCACATCTGCATCACAATAGCACCTTCCATTTAAGGAAACAAACCGCGGACATAAAGCGTCAAACTGACCAGTTCTTAACAAGCGGAGCTCCTTGAGGAACCTCGTAGTTATCATACATTCACGCTACATAGTCGCCTGTGTCCCGGGCACAGCTATATGGCCAGGTGCTCTTCAAGAGTACAATTCTGCTGAGGGCTGAGTTTTGGCATCGAGCTAAAATGGCATTTTGAATGGAAGATGAGACCAAGGAAATAAGGTATGAAACGTAACAAGGGAAATACAATGGGACAGGTGCGGACGTCACCTGACAGAGCGGTGCCCTCCACGGATGCCAGGAAGTAGGACTGGTCTTTAGAGGCGTCCCTTCCTCGCAGCAACTGCGGCCGCCCCGTTTGCTCACACCTGCGCAGTCCCATCCTATCCGCTCTTAAACCTTGTAGATGATGCCCCGCTGGACTCCGCATAATGACAACCTTGTCAAGTGGCATGACTAGTCAGTATGGGCATGGCAGACTTCCCTGATCCGCGGCACAACTGCCTTGCCCTGTCTGTGTGACACATGCATGCATATTATCAAATTGACAATACAAGGCAGTCAGAGAGCTGATGGTCGTCACCTGCAATGCGAGTTGCAGCATTGCTGGGATATATTTACATTTTCGGGGACAGTTCTGCGTCTTAATCGAAGAGAAGCACTGTAAAACATTGTACGCAGGCGGCAGAGAGATGTGGGTATTGAAGCCCACCTGCGGTGCGACCATAGTGTACTGTCATGCATGCATGCATGCATGACAGACATGTTTGTGAAGGGCGCCCACCTGCTGATGCGCGCATAGTGCCCTGTGGCGACACAGTCAGCGCCCAGGCCGCGGCAGAAGTCCAGCAGGGCGCCGAATTTTATGTGGCGATTGCACGCCAGGTCTGGGTTTGGCGTGAGTCCTTGGCTGCACTGCACACCATTTGCAAATACACCGTCAACTGGCCGCCCTGGCTAATTGACAAGGTGTTCATGCTGCTCATGCGCTATTCGACAGCTTCTTGTGACAATGTAGCTTTGTGGGAGAGTCTTATAAGCATGGCGCACGATGGGGTAAATCACCCCTTTCTGGCTGTATGAATACATCAATAGAAGGAGAGGAGATAAGCAGAAAAAATACATTATATGCTCAGCCTTCCTTAATAACAGTCCTTGAGTACCTCGATTCTCTTGTGACAAATGAAGAATCGCATGTATGAATTGTATGTATGTCGCTACATGCAGACCATCTCGAGTCTGTACATTTGGACCCTTTCATCCAGACGGGCCCTGTCTCCTATCGCCTCAATTGCATCAGCGCGCAACCATTGAGGAGCTGGTTCTGTACCTGGGCGACAAACTCTGAGAAGACCTGCGTCCAGTACTGGCGCACAAAGTCTGCATGGTGGATCGGGATGCCCAGGTGGGCCGCCACACGCTGCGCATCGGTCCAGTCAGCATCCGCTGAGCACGCTGAGTCACCCCTCTCCTCAGCCTCGTCCCAGTTGCGCATGAACACCCCGACCACATCATGCCTGCAAGCGCATAAACACCCATTTCATTCTATAGTCTCGCGCAATCATGCGCAAGATGGAGTACATGCGAGCCTGTCAAAGTTTCCAAAGCCATTCCAGTCCTTGTTCACATGGCGTGCCTACTCAGGTGTAAGTCCGAAAGATCCAAAGCTGAGATGGCCTTGCTCTTTGCAATGAGACCAATAGATCCTCCTGACCCTCTTAAAGCTTTGATCAGACACTCAGGTAATCAAGGTATATGGTACATCAAAATCGGCCTGGGATGCACAGCAGTGTTCTGTCACCAGGACGCACCCTTGCTGCTTGAGCATCCAGGCGGCCACGGTGGAGTCAACGCCGCCGGACAGACCCACCGCCACGGTCCTCTTACCCTCCACCTCGCGGCCCCCAACCCACGTCTTAATTCCCCTTGCCGCCCCAAAACCTTCCATCGCCGCCGCCCCTTGCGCTCGCACTTGCGTCAAGAGCAGGCTTGCTCGTGGAATCTGTCTCTGGTGCATGCTCGCCCTCTCGGCTAGGCTGTCAGTGGAGGATACAGGCATGTTCCGTGACCCCAGAGATGCACCGGTGCTCGGGCCTGCACTGTGATGGCTGCAGCGTCTGCCAGCAAGCACCTCCGCTGCGATGCTGGCCAGAGAATCCAGTCCACCACAGCTGGGGACTGTCGTGAATGAAGTGCCTTGGGGGCATTCCCTTGTGGCATTTGTCTGATGCAGGTGAGGAACTGACTCTCCAGCTGGGCATTGCGGCTGATGACTGAAGGATCGCTGCCGTGGGGATGTGGCAGCGGCTGTGCTAGTCACGCAGAAAGGTGCCAGAGCCAGGCTGGAAGCTGCTTGAAGCTGCACGGCCAGGGGAGCTATGGTTTGAGACTCTGCTGCGGCGACACTGAGCCCTGGTTTGCAGAGCCAGCTGAAGCCATGAACAGCCCTCATGACTGGCAGATCTTTTGTCAGATCTCCTTCTTTGCTGCTGCTGCTACACCGCGGTCGGCTGCAGCTTTCCCCTTCTGAGAAGCTTCTGAGGGTGAGGAGTCACCGTCTGCCTGACTGATCCCTTCGGCTGTGCTGCCAGGATCAAAGAGCTCCTTTCGCTGCTGCGCGGTGTCGACTGTGCCGATCTGAGTCAGGAACCTGAGCGCAGCACATAATTTATTGTCACGTCTGCCTAGCATTGCCCTTGTCAGGGATGAAACTCTTTTGCGCGCATGTAATAGTACACGGTAGAAACCTGGAGGTAAATCCATCACCCAAACTTGACAGGAGAAAGTAAAGGAAAGATGCATTGAAGAATCTTCCCAGCACCGACCTCCCCAGAATACATTAGGGAACATGTGTCTACTAGTGCTAGTGCCTACTCCCATCAAGAATAAGGGTGCAGGAAAATTGTAAATATGCAGAGATGGTTTAAAGGGCAAGTTGCCAATCGCACCAGTTGATGAGGAAGAAGAGGCCAATGGCCAGGAAGAGCAGGAAGGCGACGTGGGGTACAAGTGCTGGGGCACCATTGATGCTCAGGGCCAGCAAAGACCCCAGAGACAGGATGCAGCCAATGAGCGCCAAGTTTAGCAGCAGCACTGTCGGCTTCTGCAAGGGGACAAGGAAATATTCCAACCAGTAGCTGTAATTTCTGTACCTTCGGCTGTCTCTTTGTATGGAAGTGGATGTAGAAGATAAAGAGTGCTGAAAATGTTGCTGATAGATGCAATATCCAAAGTGAAACAAATTGTCAGGGATGAGACGTTTGCGCACATTAACACCACTCGTGAGCGCTCCATATAGCACATCTTCAACCCACATGCCTGCGGATACACAAAAGAATTGATGGGCAGCAGCAAACAAGGGCCTGAAGATATTTTGAAGAATTTACATGTAATATACGTGCGTTGGCATAAGGCGATGACTCCAGAAGTGCACACCTTCAACTCGAGATTGTGCTGTGTACTACCATCAGAAAGGCCCAGCCGCCCACTGCAAGGAATGCTAAGACTGAGAGCACTACGCCTACTGTTGTTGCAGAAGATGCGTGCGTATCTCTGTACTTCTTCTCCTGTGCCTCTGGTTGGAACGGATCAAGCTGACCGTCTGTCTCCTCCCCAAAAACGATCTGTTTGTTGAGGCGCCTCCTCCTAGCTCCCATGATACACTTGCTCTGTCAAGAGTATCATTGATCAATGATCATCGATCTCTTGAGAAGATACAATTTTTTTTATTCAGACATTTGGCATGCCTGTCTCTCGGCAAAATATTGCCTGCCCCAGTTTGTCTCGGAGCTCCAAGAAGGTTATCATCTGTGCAAGCTAATTCGGATTGTTGGAGATCACAAAAGAAAGTTTAGAGTGTCCATGATTAATTAGCTCGGATCTCCCTTTTATTGATGTGGTGCAAGGAGTCAAGGCTGGGCATCCCGCAGCGCGTGTTCACCATGCCGCAGCGTGTGCTCACAATGCTCACTATCTTTTCGGCTTCCTTTGTGTTGTGTAAATGTTCGCAAACATCTTCACTTGGTCCTCGAAACTCCTATGAAAGGTGAGCTGCACAGAACACTTTCAAATCTTCACTGTCAGCACTTGATGCACACGAATTATCAGACATCATTCAGAAACCAGGGACCAATAAGCATGCTTCCTGATCGCAGGCCTGAGCACACAGAGCATGCGAAGATGGCGAGATGGCTTATAGCAGAAAATAACTGGGGAACAGTGAGCACGACCAGCATACACCTTAAAGGCACTGCTTTTGGGTGAGCTGTAGTGTCTGCGCATTGGATGATATTGAATTAGCATCTCTCGAATCCCTCAGGGTGATCCACTGGATTGTGGGCAAGCAAACGACATGGTGATGTGTTGCAGGAACTTGGTGTCTTATGCTGACGGGCCCAAAGGAAACTCAACAGGGCGGTTGTTGTTCTACCTGACCCCGATGGATGCCACAGCTACTGATCTAGCGGTGTGCCTACATGCCACCAAAATTTGGAACCCACGCAATACTCTGTCATGGGCATACCTGCATGTCATTTCTTGATTGTGTGCGCAGCAGTGTCACACTTCCGAGCCAACCCCTCCATTACTGCCAAAGAAGTCACGTACCTTTGGGGGGATCATTCATGTAAATGAAGCCCTGTGATTATCTCACTGCACAGCGTACTGCGCAGGTGAACCCAGCAGCAACACTCAGTGTAGGTGAAGTGCAGCTGGAAGGCTCATGTGGAGTCATGGATCCAGAGGTGACATCTGCTCTTCTGTAGCTTGCAGCCTTTCCACAGAATCCATGCGCCAGAATCGTCACAACTATGCAGTCGACTGGGAGTTTTTCAGCTGTGCAACTTCTTGAGAAGCCTTGCAGCATGCCAAGTATTGATGATCAGATTTGACAGGTTTTGGAGCATCAATGTATTAGACAGCAGCGCTGCTGAAAAGTGCCAGAGCTGCCAAGGATCAAATCTTCTCCTGGGACTAAAGCAAATCGTTGATGCCCGCAGGACCCGACCTGCGCCAAGGTGTCAATCTCTGGGCCAATGCGGATTGTGCCGAAGCACGAGCTTGATGCTGCAGAGGAGCTGCTTTTCCAGCGGCATCCCCAAATGAAAAATTGGCCGGTGCGCCTCCTCCTCCATTTCTTTTTATTTTTGCTTCTGGTCTCTCTGATTCGTATCTCTTTCAAAATCAGCTTCCTCTTCCTTTCGTGAGTGCAGCAGCAAGTCATCATCTGTGCTCGTATGCCAGAAGGAAAAAATCAACACATGACATTGCACAGCATGCTATGCATGCAATTCCTGCGCTCTCTGGCAAATGCCCATGCTGCAGCGCACAGCACTTGGTTGCTATGACCCGTCGGCACAACTGTCTCTATGCTGAAGATGTGAAATGGAGCTGATATTGGGGTATGGTGTGTTAGCAGAAAGGGCACAACTTCAGCGTGTGGGAGCTGCATGTGGCAGCAGTGCGGCTGTTGGATTTCTATGGGGGTGCGGCAGTGGTACCGCCAGAAGACTACTTTGCTGCCAAGCTGCAGCTGCAGAGGAGAGGCGAGAGCGTGGCGTAACGATAGCACTGTACAATGCAAGAAGACCACTGTTGTGTGTACCATTAGTGTAGCGTAGCAAATGCTGCTGACATACAAGAGACATGAAGGCCTAGGCAAGCTAGTTGGACCCTGCATTGCAGCGGCGCTGACATAATGCGCCAAATGTCTGCAGTCTTTGGTTGCTTCTGGACTGATCTTGATCTACATGTACCATTGTAGCAGCGGCGACCTGCAATTCAAGGAGCACACACTGTGATGTTCTAGTAGAACATCTGTGAGAAAATCTTCAGATTCAAAATGGAAGCCACTGGCCTTGCAGTCTGGGTGACCTGTTCAGGCAACAAGTGGTGCTGGAGACATATGCGCATGCATGCAAATGGCTGAGATATAAAGTCTGCCGGCGCTCGAAGTTCTCAGAGCGGCTAGCGTCTAGGCTAGTGGAGCACCGCGGCGCTAGCCGGCCCGGGATAGCGAACTGATCCTCCATAAAGGAAATGAAGCAATATGTAAACGAGGCTCGTCTTGAAATTCTGGAGCACGAGCAGGCATCAGGTCGAGAAGCGAAAGCAAAAAGAGAAAAGAAAAGCGCGAGTCGAATGTGGGGATTGAACCCACGACCTTCTGGTTCGAAGCCAGACGATCTGTCCACTGATCTAATTCGACGAGTTGCATGGAGAAGGTGACAAGTTGGCATTTTTGTCTTCGTATAACCTTGTAACAGAATTTCGCACCTCCTCCTCCCATGCAAAGCAGAACGGAAATCAAGAGCAGATGATATGGACACATGTTGACATCAACATTTTAACGTGCCCACACTGCAAAGCACTGGTATTGAGGGCAAGGTCTTGAGAGGTTTGAGCCCATTTTGGCTGGGTCTGTTGCCACATCGACGAAAGAACATCACTTGCCTTTCGGTGAAGAAGGGGCTTTCGAAGAAGTTGAAGGCGGTTGAAACCATCGGATCTCAGACTGCTTGAATATAAGCTGAAAGTGCTAATGGGCTGCACTTTATAAAGAGCGCAGGTGACCACCCTCACATGTCCAAGAAAGACTTTCTTGCTGCAATTTGGTACGCATGCACTTCGTGACATGAGACAAATCTACCAATGTTTAGATCCTGACAACCATATTCCTTTTCTCGAATATATACAGACGGTGTGCTAGCACGGTGCAGTACTTCATCTTTGTATTGGATCTTTGTAGACGAAGCTTCCTTTTATTTCTTGAGAGCGTTTAAAAGCAATCACGAAAAAGACAGTTGCTTTTGGCATATGATATCTTCTGACATGGTCCCACCGATGCTGGGTGTGAAGGCATGCACCTTGTTTGTGGCGCAGGAGGTCTTTGTCTGTGTCAAGAGAGAATCATCTGGTGTGGCTGGCTCAGCACTTCTTAAGTTCTGGCTGCTCCCAACATCGCAGGGCCTTCCCGTGCATCCAGCTCTCTGGAGTTTGTTCTGCTGGGAGCAGAAGGCACCAAGACTCTTGTAGCCTGAAGGCGTCGGTGCAGCTTTGCATCGGGTTGGCTGGATGGCTGCCTTGTCATGACAGACACAAATGCAGAGGTCCTCCACCTCAGGTAAGGCTGGCATGCAACCGTGTCACATGTATAGACAATGTGTCTAGGAAACAGGGGATGCTTACGGATCAATAGCTTCACCCCAAGTGAAGTGATGCGCCCACAACACTGTGCTCTGGAAAAGTCTTAGCGGCTCTGCACAGGGCTCTGCACCTGCGCATGGTAAAGACTCACCTGTGATTCATTGCTTCATATCTGGTGAATGACGATCAGAAATGATTAATGCTCAATCGTTGCAGGGCGGCCCAGCTGCGTGAGGGCCTGGCATGGAGTCAGAGCTTGGCCAAGGACTTCAACGGCGCGCTGGATGCTTACTCAGCGCGGCTGACTGACCTCCAGCTGGCGGTGGCATCCGTTGCGCAGCGTTCCCAGGCATGCTCTTCCCAAGTCAGTCTGCTGGTTGAGGATTATTAGCCGTCCTCCCATCAGTATATGTGGCATGCCTTGAGGGTTTTCACACATCCGCAACCCAGATTCTCATTGCTACGAGACAGATGACACTTTCATGTTTGTCACAAGGCCGAGGGGTTGCTGCAATCTGGGGTCTCCAATGCTTGCATGCCTGCCTGCATGCATGCATGCATGAATGTTACTGGGCACGTTCTTTGCATGCTTTGCCTACTGCGGGAGTGAAAAATCCTAGGTCGTCATTGGGGGGCTTGTGTGCTCTCCTCAAACGAAATTGTTTCTCTGTGATGGTTGCCATAAAGTCACGTTTGAGTGTGGGCAGGCTCTGCGCACGGCGCAGAAGAACATCAAGCTTGCCAGGGATGAGGTGGAGGAGATGCTGGGCCACCTGGACACTGCGCGCCAGGTCATCATTCCACACTCTCTCAGTTCCCTTACAAAGTATAATGTAATCCACTGGACCCAATATAGGCTACAGGGGATGCAACTTTCACAAGATTATGATTAGGGCCGTTCTTTGGTTACCCAAGGATTACATGACGCCCTGTGATATCCCTGGGATATAGTTACATGCATCGGGCAGCGCCTGGTCTCATCATGATGTCTGCTTCAATCCATGCCCACTCGAAGGTTGCCAATATTTGTACAGAATCCGCCCAATTCTACTCGCCAATCATTTACACAGCGGTGCAGCTTGAAGTGTTTCCCCAGTGAATTTTGTGCAAAATAGGTAGAAGCCACGATTCTGGCGGGGCCCAGGAGCAATCTGGCGGCGTTTCTGAAGGCTCTCGGCCGCCTGGAGGCCTCCAACCAGTTCCTTGAAAAACACAGGTGCCCCGGCACCTCAGTCACCCGGTTGCAGACAGACACATCTTTAGATCATGTTGTTCAAGCTATACACAGTATTGAATGCCGTTGATCAAGCACATAAGTGACGAAATGGTCAGAGTTAGCAGCTTGATACCCATGTATCAAAATACCGCCTTTGGCTGCAGATATCCTAGCTGTGGGAAAGTTGGTGGCCAAAGCACTCCTTTATATCCAGTGACGGCTCACACCATTGGAAAATTGAATGGAGTGGAGATCTGGGAGCAAGATTCAATTGCTGGTGTGAAGGAGCCATGTGCGAGCAGCCTGGCTGTATAGTGGGCATACTAGCCCCCCAGTGTTCATCGAGACACATGGGCCAGATACGTTGGGTGTCCATGTGCAGGCAGGTGCCGACCGCTGACTCAGCGCTGCAAAGCGCATCGGCACTGCTGCGCGATGCGATGCGACTCGCATTGGATGACTTCACGGCGACGCTAAAGCACCATGCAGTTGTGCCTTCGGCATCGGGGCACCTGTTTGGCGGCGCTCCCTCCAGAATCGGCGGGGAATCTGGGCTGCCCGCTGCCCAGCCCCTGCTGCCCATGCTGGCCACTCCGCGCGTCGGTGAGCCCCTGCTATTATGTTATTTCCCCACAATAATTCTTTGAGGGCACCCAAAGTAATAGAAGGGACCGCCATGACATACGCTGCCGTTATATTATCCATCCCCAGACCCTCCCTGAGGCACCCATACCCCGAGCATGGCAATAATATGGCTCGATGTGGAAGCACCCAGAGCAGGCTGTCCTGCAGCCCTTCCTTTGTGCGTTGCTTAATTGTGCTGTGACGCCGCAATTGTTTCTGTCGTGTTCTTTCTTAAAATTTTAGTACTTGTCAGAGGGGCATGTAATCTAGAGTTTGGTGATATCACGTCTCAGCCGAGCACTGCAAACATGTGCAGGGAGCAAGCTGGGCGAAGGCCAGGAGGATGACTCAGTGGTAGTCATCCCCGCATTGGTGGCCGGGCACCTGCGCGCACTCGCAGAGGTGCTGCTGCGAAACGAAGAGCGCCGCACTCTGAGCTCCTATATCGATGTGCGAATCTTGCCTCCGTTACACGCTGCTTTATAGCGATGTAGCTTGTACACCTGACACGCAGGCTTGTCTTGATAAGTTCAACATTTCGGATGTCACCTCAGGTCAGGACCCTTCAGTGGCACAAACACCCCAAGTGCCAGGCAGAATGCAATGCCTTTAATGCATGTAACGAGCAAAGGTTCAGCTCTACTGTACTGTACTGTAGTGGTCCCTTCAATCCCATGAATGTTTCAACCTCACTTAGGACAGCGCCTGCTGTAATCACTGCACCCAATTGAAGGGAATCCGGTTTTGATGGTGAGGCTGGCTGTTTACCTCGACACCGGAATGAAGGGAACCCGGCGTAATCAGAGGAAGTCAGGGCTGTGCTGGCACTGTGAGGCTTACTTGCTGATACATTTTATATATTGCCCCAGGTGCGGAGGGGGCTTGTGGAGAAGGCCCTGGCAGGGCTGCTCAATGCGGCGTCGGCCGGCGAGGAGGCGCGAGGGTCGCTCTTCAGCCGCATCCAAGAGTGCGTTTTCCATCTCTCCACCTCTCCACTACTGTGGCCTCTTGTCCGTTCCTTCCCACTGCAGGCCTAAGTTGTACTGCACTACGGTTCTCATGCATGCGACCTCTCCTGCTTCATGATGATTTGCCCTCGAGCGGGTTATCTTATTAGGCAGCAACGCGCATGGCGGGCATGGGAATCACCTAGGGAATTCACTCTTACCCACTGTGACAGAAGAATTGTTATTGGTGGCATCTCAGCAAATAACCCAATGGCGCATGCTTGCGGAATGCTGCACCTCTTCAAGGTACTGGAAAGACGTATGAACAAGTGCCGGCTTCACTCCTCAGGATTCCTCCGGACAGGGGGGCTTGATCTATCATATACTCATGCATTAGATACCTAATATCGAGAGACGGTGTTTGTGCGTTTGTGTTGTGCGCCCAGATGGGTAGCTGCACCAAACTGCTGGTGGGTATTGTGTAATTATAGCGCGCGGTGTCTGAACAGGTGCCAGCTTCTGAAAGGGAGAACCCAGTATAGACGGCCGTACATTCCAATATTGAAATACTGCCATTGGTGCGCGCGCAGGTGGGTGGCTGCGCTGAAGCTGCTGGTGGGCATTGTGAAATCGGAGCGCGCGGCTGCACAAGCCGTCTGGCCGCCTGGCTCCTCCGAGACGGAGCAGGCGTTTGACGAGGTGGTCAGCCGCAGTGTCGTGGCCGCCACACATGCTGGCGCCTTCATTGTGGCAAGCAAGCGCACGCCCGAGAAGGTGAGTCTCTCTATTTGATCGCCGGCTGAAGTAAAGTTTCGCCTCAGAAATCCCACTGCTGGACTTGGATGTTGTTGCAAATGGGATGCTGGGGAGTCCCATTGGGGTGTGATGTGTTGCGCCAGAAGTCCCTCTTTCAAGAGAGTAGACTGTGGCCACTTCACATGTAGCCAGTGGACTTCCATGTTGAGAGTTTCGAGTCAATCTCATCTGGCTGGTAGCCATTACATGCGCCTCTCGCGGCGTAAAGGAGAGTTTGCAGGGCATTCAGAGGATGAAAACCTGCTCCGCATCCTTCACGCTAGTGGAAGGCATGGGAGGCCTGGCAGCCATGCTGCTGTATTCCTCTTAGGGGAAAAAGAGGAAGAAAACCAAAAAAAAATGATGTGCCAGCTTGTTTGGTGTGAGCCAAATGCATACATTGCAACAGAGGGTGCATACAGCCTATCTCTTGTGGAGTGTCTTGCATTTTGTTGCCGATCCTGCATGCGACCCTGTCCTGCACTACAGGTGCAAAAAGAGTCCAAGCGCGGTAGGTTGGTGGTAATTGGGCGCAGGCCAGCAGTTTTGAGGTGCTGGCACCGCCTGCCGTGCTTCTGCAGCTGTTCTGTAATACTGTATGTGACCTTTGGGCACTGCGTAAGGGCTGCGCCTTCATGGATGCTGACAACAAAATGCACGGTTAGTGCAAAAAGGGTCTTGAGAAACTTCTGCAGTTGTTGTTGAGAATGCTGTGTGCGTCTGTTGTCGTGTGCGCGCAGGTGTTTGGGCTGCTGGACATGCAGGAGCAGGTGGAGGCAGCACTCGCCAGGCTGGCGCCCACGCTGGAGGGAACGCCTGCCGCCGGCTTCCTTGCCGACTTCACCCAACTCGCTGCCATGCTCCGCCAGGAGGTGCGCACAATAATATAATAAAAATAAAATAAAAAATAAAATAAAATCATTACAGCGCAACAGAGATTGCAGGACATCCAAGGCAGTGCGGGCACTGAGAGAGGAGAAAGGGTGGAGTCAAGGTTCACCCAGCCCGCCACCTTGCTGCGCCATTAGGTCTGTCGGAAATCCTTCAATGCAACTGCTTCACATTTGCATCCAAACCAAGAGGACATTCAAGGCAGTGTAAACATTAGTCTTGCAGGCCCTGAGTGGGGAGAAAAGGTAACCTTGCGATTTACCCAACACTAAACACACTGCGCCAGTAGGTCGGTTGAACTACTTTTTTGCCTCATGAATACGGCATTGCAAACGCCTCTGCGTTGAGCCGTTGTTGTCAGTCGCTTGTGGCTTGAAGGGGTTGTAATGCTTTTGTGGCAACCTCAGTTTAGAACAGAAATGCTCAAGCCTTGCTACCTTTGGTGGTAGCTTGCGCTGCAAATTTGCCGCAAGTGCCTTTGGCATTTATGGCTGAGGTCTAGCGAAGTCATCTCCAAAGGTTGACACTTGCAGTTTGCAGTGCTCAATATCTAAAGGTCAAACGCAAAGCCGCCAAGCCCCTAATATTGTTCACTGTCCTCTTAACACAGGCCATTTTAGGGAGCACCGCTAGACCTGCGCCCTTCGCACCCAATTTGGACCCCCTTCCGTTACAGCTTGTCAAATGCTCCTGGGCAGTCAACTCCATCTTCAGCACCCACATGCAGGAAGATGGCAATGCTGAAGGACATGTACTCTTCAGACCTCTTCAAATCTCCGACCCTTCCTGTTTCTGCAATCTGTATATGCCCCTAGTTTTGAAATACTCGTGTTTTTGCATGCATGCAGGCGCGGGCGACACTCGAGGAATTCGAGGCAAGCATCGGGCGCGACACGGTCAAGCACCCGCCCGCTGATGGCACCGTGCACCCGCTGGCCGCCTACACGCTCTCATTTCTGAAAAGATTATTCGCATACGAAGCCACCCTCGACACACTGTTCGGCAACGCAGCCAACGAGGTGAGTCTTGGGGCCATGAGCAGGTCCAGAACTGACGTTATTGAGGGGGCAAGATCTGCCATGTCCTTGGATGTGAGCTTTGAAAAACTGACCCACTTCCCGGTTGTTACGTGCCTGTCAGGCATTGCTAATACTATTTTTGTGGCCCTGAAGGCTTGCATCCGATACACGTGGTGCTGAACGTACCTAGATCCTAGATTCCTAGGAACTGGAAAACCGAAAATCAATAAGAAATAATAAAGGCTTGCAGGACTGTCTTGTGCGCACGTCACAGATAAAGCAACGGCTTCTGTAGGATCAGGCTGTGCGTACCTCTTGCTGGGCAGGGTGCTTGTCAGGCAGCTTTGCTGTACTTCACAAAGAAACAAATGCGCCGCGACTGGGGCGTCCATGTGCAAGCTTGCTGCACAGCCAGCTGGACACTGCACTTCCGAGCTGATCCCTCCGTGGACATGGGCTTCTTGAGTCTGACTTCAAGTATGTGGGCCTGTCTGTAGGCTGCGGCGCTGTCGGCTGCGCGCAGAGTCTGACTTCAAGTATATGGGCCTGTCTGTAGGCTGCGGCGCTGTCGGCTGCGCGTAGAGTCTGACTTCAAGTATATGGGCCTGTCTGTAGGCTGCGGCGCTGTCGGCTGCGCGTAGAGTCTGACTTCAAGTATATGGGCCTGTCTGTAGGCTGCGGCGCTGTCGGCTGCGCGTAGAGTCTGACTTCAAGTATATGGGCCTGTCTGTAGGCTGCGGCGCTGTCGGCTGCGCGTAGAGTCTGACTTCAAGTATATGGGCCTGTCTGTAGGCTGCGGCGCTGTCGGCTGCGCGTAGAGTCTGACTTCAAGTATATGGGCCTGTCTGTAGGCTGCTGCGCTGTCGGCCGCGCGCAGGGGAGAGGCGTTGGAGCGGCGGCGCAGTGAGGGCATGGACGAGGGTGTGATGACGGCGGTGCAGGGGGCTGTGGGGCACATGCTGCGCGTGCTGCTGGACAATCTAGAGACCAAGGCCCGCACCTACAAGAACAAGGTAAGCCCTCTCGTACACTTAGCGGTTCCTTGGCTTGCTGATGACGGACGCGAGGGTGTCCTGCTGCCGCTGTCCCGGATGAGATAAGTGTGCTGATGGCATTTTGTTGTTGAATGCCGTGTGCTGCTGCTGCCTTCTCTACTCTGAATGATCAAAACCAAAAGAAGTAGATAGTAGTACGCGGGAGGCCTCATGCAACTTGATGCAGAAAGTGGAGACGTGTTGGTAGGCTCTTGAGCACTAGGGAGCACTCGAACCCCTGTTGTTTGAAATCTAGTCTTGATGCCAATGATGCTCCAGCTCGGGGTGCCATCCTGAGCATGAGCATGGCGATGGCTGGCCGTGCTGCTGCAGAGTCAGCACAGCACCCAGTGGCACTACTCATGCCAAGTGCCCTCGCACGGCACAACGCCGCTATATGGTGTGCTGATCTGCGGCAAATTGGCCATCTGTCCCAAAGCTCATTTTCAGGATATCTGACACCCTGGGTCATAGTTGCACCATACGAATTCGGCCATTCGGCATACTGTGATTATTCGGTCGTATATTCGGTGTTCTGGGCCAAAATAGGCCGTTTTTTAACCGTATTACTCCTACTTAATACCGTATGACCGTATATTCGGCCATATATACGCTCCCCAAAAGCGTTCTGACCGAATGGTGCAAGTATGGGCCTGGGTGGTCCCTTACCTGCACCACCCAGACCCAGTGTGTGAATTATGCATTATCTCAGCAGCTGCTTTGCTTTCTACTTGGCCTGTGACAGGGGCAGACACTGCCTGATCTTGACAGGTGTCTTGCTTGCAGACAGTGTGTTTAGCCAGCAAGACTCAGTGCTGCCCATGTCAGATATCTAATGTATTCCACAAGTACCTGGGCAGGAATGGACAGCTGAAGGCAGAAGGGCATCATGTGCCTTCTGCGGGCAAGCGGTATTTGCTGGCGAAATCCTTCTAAATAGGGTGTAGAAGGGAAAAGAGAAAACGCCATAGGGGGGCATTTCAAATTGACGATGGCGTGGTCTATTGTGTGGCTCATACAGGCGGGGGCGGCGCTGTTGCACTGACTGTGCAGGCCTCGAATATGTTGACTCTTTTAGTCACTACGTAATCGACATGCATTCCTGAAAATGGGTGTGTGTGGCTGGCGCAGGCGCTTGCGGCGCTGTTTCTGATGAACAACGTGCACTACATCGTCAAGGCAGTGGAGAGCAGCGAGGCGCTGTCCTGCGTGGGCCAGGACTGGATCGAGCGCCACAAGGACCTCATCGAGACCTACGGCGAAGAGTACCAGGTGCTTTAGTTTCCCCTTCCTATTAGGCAGGGGTAATATGGTTTCCAAGGCTACGGTGCGTGCTCTGCATACGGGTCCCCTGATCAACATATGGACAGGTTAAGGAGGAATTATCGCATCAGGCCCGGCTTGAGGGTGCTTGCAGGAGGGCCCTGCCCACGAGCGACTCAGCTGAGGGTGCAGGCATATTTGGCCATCTGGGATTGGAGTGGCTTTGGTGCTTGCACAGTAGTATGCATGGCTCCTACAGCAAAGTGCAGTGACACTAGAAGCAAAGCAAGCTTGTTTGACCAACCGACCCTTTATCCTTAGCAGTTAGTAGCGCAACATGGAATGCCATCAGCTTGGCGCCTTCTCCACCAGTTCATTCTTTCCACACTGGTGGCACGTTGACAAGCTTGCGCCACCGGAGCGCAAAGCACTCGTCAGAGCACACACGCAAGGTGACTGATGGGCATGGCTTCCCAAAAAAAAAATCAAAAAATATATATATACATGCAGGAATCGTCCTGGGGACCGCTTATGGCTCTGGTGGGAGACGGCGTGAACGGAGAGGGCCGCGCGTGGGCCAAGGAGAAGGCGGGAATCAAGGAGCGCTGGAGGGAGATCAACACTGCCCTCACAGAGCTGAGGGATGCCCAGTGCACCTGGACCATACCTGACCCTGCGCTCAAAGCCAACATGAAGGACGCGGTCGCTGAAGACTTCCTCCCATTGTACAAGGTGTGCTTAGGGATCTCAGTTTGCTTCTGCCTGTGTGTATGCAACCTCTCCAGGAGGTCAGTGTCAGCAGGCTGCACATTTAAGTCTGCATGCGTGCCAGAAAGGCGTTTCCTGCCATGACTCTATCTCTGCTTCGGAGCTACGGAATTTCTCAACATGAGCTCCAAACATATTCGATCAGCAAGTGACGATCTGAACCGGCAGTTTGTTCTCCGAAGCGTTGGCTATTGTCACGACTGCCCAGGTGCTGGTCAAGGCGGCATGCATAGGAGTCATCCATCAGGAGACACTCTTTGCCTGTCCACTGGACTCTATTAAATTATGACTTGGCTGAAGCCACAGTGGCTTTTACAAGATTACTTGTTGGCCTCACGTGGAGCCACATGTGGCTCCAAGAAATATTAAATTGACGGCATATCTAAAGCCACATTGGCTTTAGCTCCAAAAGCTTAACAGAATCACTGCAATGGAGCCTTGCATCAATTGCTCTGCGTGCGCGCATGCAGATGTTTATGGAGAAGTACAACCCAGAGGCGACGCCGTTCACGAAAAACCCGGAGAAGTACATCCGCTGGAGCGTCGCCGAAGTGCAGCGGCTGATTGCAGAAGACCTGTTTGAGGCCCGGGTATGTGTTTCCTCCTTATCGAATTTCTTCTAGGAGTTTCTTCTGGATTTAGGAATCCCCTCATAGTTGTATAGCTAAGGGCATGCCTTGTCATCTCCATTCGCTGTGTTCATATTATGCTTGGCTGACACTGTTCCTCAGAGCTGTCAAAGCAATTTCCATCTTGGAAGAGGCGTATGAGGTGGCTGCATGCACAAGAGTTGCGCTGAGCAGTCAATGCATCTTTTCAGATGGTGCCCTTTTGTTGTCACTATTCAATGTTGAATGATATCTTGGTATCCATGTCTATGACTATTGCCAGTAAGAAATGCGAGCATGGCATGGTACGGGCAGCAACTGAATGACTGCATTGTTCTGACAGGAGCGTGACGCAGTCATTGCAGCGTCGGCCACCAAGGGCGCTGCTTTGGGCACCCGTTCATCTGGCATCCCAGTCGCATCATAGGGGCGCTGTCCTGCATACAGCTGCGCATGCATATGCTTGCTAGTTCTGTGACCTCAGAGGAGCATTATCTCAGGTATTTTTATTGCTGGGATGGTCTCGTATGTGCAATAATCACCAATGCCACTTTGCATGCTTGACAGAACAAATACTGAACTTGTCACTCAGCCGCAAGGTTTGGTCTGGACTTGTAAGTAATTACAGAAGCAGTCCTGCAATAGTGGACTAATGCTTAAAAAGCCTGGTCCCATCATGGCACAAGAGCAACTCTCTATTAAGGGCAGGAACCGTTTTTAAACGTATTTTTCGTATTTTTCTCATGTCCAACCATGCTCCAATGAATCTCTCCCCGAAGAGACACGGGATCCCTTGTCTTAATCCTCTATCTCTGAAAATATACATTGCTGTACAGGGGCGTTCCCACAGTGTATGTAACACAACATAACGGATCTGCTGTCTGGTATCAGTCAGACTTGCCGTCAAACAGAGCCTCAATCTCCTCCAGTGTCTTGCCCTTGGTCTCCGGAACTATGGCAAATATCGTCGCGAGTGCAACCACGCCAATGCCTGCAAAGGCTAGGTAGGTGCCCCCCGGACCAAAGGCCTCCTGAACAGAAGGCAGCACAAGACTGACCTGCATTCACCACACACCAGGAACGCTTTAGAGACACTCTGCAGAACAGGATCACAGCAGGCTCTCCACATATGGCTGTGTGCAGGAAAAGATGCAAAGTTTTGCATCCTTCACACAAGTGATCAGGCACTTGGCAGATGCATACGCAGATAGTAGACGTGCATTGCAAATGCCACATCTCGTGCTGACATCAGCATTTGAATCCCCCAGGTCATGCATGACGTGTAAAGTTTTATGCACTAGCAGGGCACTATTTACTTTGCAACTGAAATCTGAGGAGGTGTGTCACCAGAAAATTGGATCCAAAATTGGTGATGGTGGCCAGCGCAGAGGCTGGCCCTCTGACAGCCAGCGGAAAGATCTCCCCCACTATCAGCCAGCTGATTGGCCCGAAGCTGACCTGTGCACATTTGCACAGTCGCAATGCTTCAGTCACATCAATTTATTCTTACTACTATTTATTGCAGGGCATTCAAAAGATAGATCCATCTAGAGAGAGCAGTAAAATCCACCTGCATGCCCTTGACATAGATCACCAAGGACGATAGTGCAAGGAAGCAGGAGATTACTTTCTAGAGCTAGTCATCCAGGAAATGTCTAGAGCTACGGTAGCTATTCAGGTGATCTGAAAAAGGGGAAAAAGGGCACCATAACTTAGTTGGGGTTGTTGCAGCCTGGGGGCTCAGGTATGTGTCTCTGCACCGACGCGTCTCAGCAATTAAAACAAAGGCATCACTGCCCCCAGGAAGGAGTGCCATAACCACCAGAACAGTTTTATGCTAAGTGCAAACCTGCTAACGCTCTTGCATTGTCGAAGTTAAGATGAGCGAAACTTGCCTGGTAGGCGCCCACATACATGAGCAGGGCGATGACACTAGTCCAAGTGGCGGTCCCCCCGCTCAGCAACAGCTGGGACCCCCCCAGCGCCAGCAGTGCCCCCACCATGGCCCCCACGCCCCCCAGTAGCAGCGGCCGCCGCCCCACACTGTCCACACTCAGCACCGCCACTCCTGTTCCGTAAGATATATTTTAAATCCAAACATTCTCAAGTTTTGAAGGTCAAACCCTTGATGCCAAGGAGGAGCACACATATGCATGGTATCTTGAAGGATGCAGGGAGACCACCCCTTAAAAGGGTGCTAAAAGCGAGTGGGTGAGAAGTGAAATGACTAAACTGATCCCTGGAATGCAAGAACAAACGAGGACATTGTGTAGCCCCGAACTTCTTGAGGCTTTCCTGTTACGTCACCCAGGCTGAAAGGATTCCTCACAAACAATCTGCATACAGTCCAGGGACAATAGGGAGGAGTGCTCACCCGTCATGAGTAGCTTGAATAAGCCCAGCAGTACTGACACCCCGGTCGCATCCTTGCCAGCGCCAAAGCCCGCCTTCTCAAATATCTCTGTCCAGCGGTTTCACATTCAGCCATTGGTGCCAGCATTCTGAAGAGCTTTTAACACTTGCAATGCTGAGCACCCATGATGGCTCATATTGAGCCCGGCCGATGGGCAGCCAAGGCTTGGCCACAGCACACAACCAGGCTTTCACAAGAAGACACACCTCGCTCCAGGGATCGCAGGAACTGCATATTGAGACTGCTGGAACCAAGACAATCGCGCAATAATCAGCAGATCAGGAGACAGGCAACATGGAGTTTTCAAAGCGAGCACCTGCGGCATAATACAGCACAGAGGGCTGCCCTGTGATCTGCTGGAAGAGCATCAATGACGATCCGATCAGCAGCGGCTTCAGGAAGCGGCCCCTAAACAGCCCAAAGAAACCTGCGCGCACACCAATCCATTTTTTCACTGCATTCAATTTGTGGGCAATTATGCAGCCCCAAGTAACATCACTGCATGCCTCTGTAAGTAAAACAGGCCACGAATCTCTTGAGACCTTCAACACAGATTCCTTGCAATCTCGTGAGGTCATCACACATTCCTAGCATGCCATTGGTCAAGACTAACCTTGCTCCCATGTGTTCTGGGTTCTTTGCCACCTATAGCTTCTTTCCTGAAAAGCTCGCTCAATCTCTGCCGAGGGAAATCTACAAAAGCTCAGGCTAGTCCCCTCACCCACTTCTGGCTCCTGCTGCGCCTCCCGTACGGACCGCGCCATGGCCGCCACCTCGGCCCGTACCATTCCCAGATCTCCCCCGTACTTGCCCCGCGCCCGCATCAACGCCGCCTCCGCCTTCGCGTCCCCGTCGCCGTTCAGCAGCAGCCACCTCGGCGAGTCCGGCAACCACGCCTGCGCCAGCATATGACAAATCCCCGGTCACAATAGCGGTCACAACAACATACGCATGCGTTCCACCATAATTGAGGGGAGAGCAACACAGAGACTATCGGCACCAGCTGAGAAAATTCTCGGGGATGCGGCTGCTAGAAAGTAGGATCCTTAGCCCGCTTGCCCACTTGCATGTGTGTGTTGAAGGTTCAGATATGGAGGCTCGACAGGCAATGGCACCAAGATCATATACGCTACACAGATAAGTTGACAAGAGCAGCCATTGCTCATGGCAGTCAAGCTCAACATAAGCTGCTGTGTCCATGCAAAGCCCTTATACATCCCCGAAGACAGCTTCCCCGTGAATGTGCGTGTCAAGCTCTAGTTGACAATGCTGCACATCAGCAACAAGAGCTGTGATGACAACCCTCAAGGAATCACCATCATCGGGACGTACAGGGGCAAGCACGATGTTGGCAAGCCGGCCCTCAAGCTCCTGGCATGCACTGCATGTAAATGCATCTGAGCCACCACCTGAGGAAGCCCATTCCGGTTGACATTCATATTATCACGTCTCTACAAAGAAGTATCCACCTTGCCTTGTCTGAGGCACTGCATTCATAAAGTGTTCAGTCAATCCGCACCATGCCGGCGAGGACTACGAGCGCGGGGCCTGCCGCCAGCCCGTACATGGCACGCCATCCGCCGACGTCATCGATGAAGAGGTAGGATGTCAGATAGCCCAGCAGGATGCCGATCACCACAAAACACTCCTTCAGGCTGCGCAGTCAAAAGAGACATCACTCAGAGGGCAGCAAGTTATGTGCAAGACCCATTGGAACTTTCCAAGGGGTCAGAGGTGATGACTCCTAGTACAGCAGCCGTGTAATCTCCGGATAAAATGTTCTATGCTTTCAGGCGCACCCCAACATGAGGCTTCTGCCTTCCCTCCTTCAGTGCTGTATCCCTTTGCAAATGTCAACGGCTTCCTAGAATGATGCCAAACTAGATTGAACCCATGACACTGAATGTTTGTGTTCAGCTGCATCCGATGGGATCAGCACTCACGTCTCGCGCGTCTCGCTGCTAGGATGTTCTCGCGTCCAAGGCAACATCCAGCTTGCAGCGCACCAAGCAAGAATATATCCTACAGGTGACAGGAACCCAGCCAAAGGCCATAAATCTGCTGCAGGATATACAGTATATCGCAGTTGTAAGAGCTTGCCTGATCAGCAGGCCCCGCACATTCGCGGGCGCTGCTTCGGCGATGTAGGCTGGCGCTGCATGCATCGTAAACCCGATGCCCAGGCCGTAAAGGGTGCGGCCCAGAAGCAGCAGCTCCAGATTAGGCGCGAAGGCCATGAGCGCCGCCGATGTGCCTGCGCATGCATGCATCCTTAAAACATGTGGTATATCTTGCTGTCTGGTTTGGGTGTAATAAACTCACGATGCAGATGTCCACTCCCTCACACATATCATGCGTTTGGCAAAGCAGGCTGCACTTGCAGCCTCCAGGCAGATGATCATGAAAAGAGCCAAGCAACACATCAGTAATTGCTGTGTATTTTATGACAAAGGATGCACATAGACTGGCTCATTTCTGAGGCGTACATAGCAACAAAATGTTGTCGCAATTGGCTCTTTTTGTCATGACTGCATTCAGGCTGTAAATAACGCCAAATTCTAGCCAAACGCACTAATGAGAAAACATTGCATACTCACCGTAGAGCACGGCCCCCAGCATGAGCTCCCTCTTGCGGCCCAGTTTGTCTCCCACGACAAAGGCGGCTGCAGAGCCCGCCAGTGCACCCAGAAGAGATGAGCTCACCACAAACCCCGACTGGAAGGAGCTCAGCTCGTACCTGCGCATGCAACGCAAATCATCAACACATCTTACTGTCGCAACCAGCTCATCAGAAAAAGCAGATGACCTGAAATGCTGAGCCAGCACAGGGGAACGTAGGTGGCAAGGTATGGGGCCATGCTCAAGGGCTAGCTCATCACCCTGTCCTGAAACTAGGTAATAAAGAAGGGTTCTCGTTGATTGCACATTGGAAAAGCAAGCTTGTATATCAGTCCAGCCACAGCCGAATGCTGCTTGGAAGCCAGCAGAATGTGGTTTTCAAAAAATCTTTGCAATGGCAAGTGCAGGGAAGGGGAGATCTGAGGCTTACCAGGATGTGCCACTGGTGACCGCGCTCTTGAGAGAGACCAGAGCGCCTGATGTTGCGCCGATGTCATAACCTGGCACATGCAAAGATATAAGCCAGATCATACTCACCTGCATACACTTTATCTTGTGCATGCATGGCTGCTTTCAAGCAAGCATCCACATGCACGGTCTTGTACCATGCAACAACAGAGAATTGCCGGAATGCTTCTGTGCTGGTGAGGTGTGGCGCACCAAATAGAAGACCGCCAATTGCAGGGAAGAGGAAGAGCAGCGCAGTCATGACCTTATCGACTGGGGGAGTGGGGGGTCCTCCGGAGCCATTGCTGGACTCCTGCGGCTCACCCTGTAGCGTCCACGGTCCAAAATTTACTAACAGGCACCGTATCATCTGACATTGTACAGCTGTCAGGCTGGTGCCATGCACAATGCAAGGTTCGTGTTAACGAAAAACTGATAAGATTATTCTTCATCGAGCGGTCAGGAGCCAGAAAAACGCACCAGGAGCGCCTGATCCAGCCCCACTTCCTCATCGACAGATGTCACATTCTCAGACGAGGCTTTCGCCTGCTGCCTGCCAGCACGCATGCTGCACTTTTGGTGCAGCGGTGTTTCTCGACTTCTCGACCTTACAATTGCATGTGCTTTGTCTGCTAGTATAGATCTTCTACAGACGCAGTTAATTGGCAATCTTGCGGCCCGGTGGGCTGAGGGAAGGTAATGGTTGTGGAGTAGAGCCCCCGAGTGTTGCTCGACTGGGCCAACATGCATACCGAAAACAGGCCTTGAACCCCTTACGACCAGAATGGTTCACATAAAGAACTTACTTTTTGTGCTTGGTTCCTTTTCAGAGCTTGGAACTGGGAACTTGCGAACTGGGCCCTGACAATTTGGGTTGGCGTCGGTAGGTCTGAGGGGTGCATTCACTTGATGAGGTCATCCTGATATCACGTGGCAAAGCTTTCGTAACTAAAGTATCTTGCCGAGATACTTTACGGGAACAAGATCAGCACGTTCCAGAGTCTTTCGCCCATCAATTTGACGTGTTCGGAGGTAAAAAGGGCACATATACCCGCCATCGTCGTTTTCATGTCGGGTTCTCACGCTTGAGTGCCAATCCGGGTCATCCACAGGCGTAGTGTGACTTGGGTACTGCGAAGAGCGCCTTACTTACTTCGAAAGGGCTGCCGTGTTGATCAATCTCCTTTTTTAGACTTATATACAATCGACGGCCCATCAAGGTGCGTCAATGCTTGACTTGTTTCGGAACACGATGTGATAAACCTCGCGGTTTGGGATCCAAATATCTACCTCTTTAGTGGTCAAGACATGGCTGTCAGCTGTTACTGTGTCGGTCAGATGTCTATCGTGTGTCTTGATGCGATGCGAGATAGGTCTGTTGTTTTCTTATCAAACAGCATGCAGGCAGGTTTTTGTTACTCAAGTTTTGTTTGTAGTCATAGTTTTTAGAAATTCAACTTCATTCGATCATTAGAGGCATGCAAACCGCTTCACTTATGCTGTGTCGCATCAAACTCATTAATATGGACACACCGGTGGTAGCAGGATGGATGACTTGGGGTTACTCGCCCTACGCCTTGCGGTGGCAGCGATTGTCATTTGGGTCTCAACTCTCCTCTCTTCGTTCTGCAGCAAGGCCCTGATCTGCATCCTCGACTCCTACAAGCTCAAGCACATCCCAGGTAGCCATTTTGCGCCCTACCCTCTTGCCCACACCCCTCACCCTCTTGGTGAGCAAAAGAACTGCTCCTTTAAATTTACAGTGCCTGTGAGCTTTCAACACAGCATGTAAATTGCGGGTGCGTCTGCAAGATGGCCATCTGCAACTTTTATCAATGATGCCGTCTGGCACATGGGTAATGCAGCATATCTCATGATGGTCGCAATCAGCCTGGTTATATGGTCCAACATTCTCAGCTGAGAAGCTTTTTTGTGCAAATTCAGGTCCGCCTAACAACTCGCTGCTCCTGGGCAACACAGCCATGAAGAGCAGGCCGGATCGCCACCGTCTCTTCACCGAGTGGGCGCATGAATATGGCCCCGTCTCCCGCCGCCGCATTATGTTTCAGCACGTGCGTGTCAGAGACCCTTGCCCATTGCGTGTCACATCTCCTCTCCCTTTGACCTTCTCACGAGCGTCATCACAAAGATACCCAACCCCCGAGCTCAGCTTGCATTCGTGGTGTCCTCTGCGCGCCGACCAAAGCAGAGATGGAGGGAAGAGCGCTGCTGAGTGCAAGCGGTCAAAACAAAACCTTGTACATGGCAGCACAGACCATAAGAAATAGTTTTCAGCAACAATTAATGCTTGGTGTTTTGAAGCCTTTACAGGTTCCGGAAGCCGGACCACTCTGAAGTGTCCTAAAAGCGAAGATCTGCCCATCCCTACTTGCCAGATCAGAACTTGGCAGCAATATGATGGAGATCTAATTGTCTGAGACCGGATCTTGAGCTCATTCATGAATTGTGAATCTCCATATGATTTGTGTGTTTCAACTGATGGATCGTGAAGAAGCCAGCAGTGTTTACCACTTTGTTGCATCTTCACATGGTGGGTTTCGCATCATTGAAAGCAGCAAAGTCATCTGTGCTGCCGTGTTGGGGTGCAGCACAACAGAGGGCTCAGGCGCTTCCTGTCCAAACTACACTTCCCGAGATGCCAATCTTCCCAATGTTGACTGTGCTGCGTGTGTGCATTGCCAAGCAGTTCATCCAAGTGACGGATCCGGCGATCATAGCCGAGGCGGTTCGCAGCCGCGAGCTGGACAAGAAGCCTCTCGCGGGCGGAGGCATCAATAATTTTGCCAGCCCCAAGGGCCACTACAATCTGCTGAGCTCCCCCTCCAATGAGCGCTGGAAGGCTGTCAGGTGATTTTCTTCGCCCCTCTATTGGTCACTCTTGTGTATCTCTCTGGTCATTACAGATCACAGGACTCCTAGGGGCGGGACAATTTGGGATCAATAACTCTGCCAGCCCCAAGGGCAACCTCAGCCTGCTCACATCCCCCTCCAACAAGCGCTGGAAGGCTGTCAGGTGCTGTGTCCTGTTCTTTCTTGGTTATCCTTGTGCACTGCTGGTGCTTGCTGGTAAAGCGGCAGTGTGTTCGTGACAGACTAGACCATCCATCCCGCAGCCCCAGTCCTCAACGATCAGTCGCTGCACCTCAGGCGATCCCTGGTGAAGGCTCTTTGTGCATGTGCCCTGGAGCCTTCTAATCAGCACAGCCCAGTCACCACCAGAGGACTTGAGGCGCCAATATTGGCACGGATGGAGTTCCCTAGTGAAACGGCAAATCATGTTGCCTGTTTGCAGTATCCCTGCTGCCAGATTGTGTTGCCAGTCCTGTTCTAGCATCAAACGCGATTCACCGCTTTCTTTCCTCCGATTTCAGCTGTTGGGTGCTTGCAGGAAGGCGGTAGCGACGGCGTTTTCGACGGCCAACATGCGGGCGCAGTTTCCAAACATCCGCACAGCATGCGCGCAGCTCGTGGACGTACTGAAGACCGTCTCAGCCGATGATGTGGTCGACATGGACAGCGCGCTCTGCCGCGAATCCCTCGATGTCATCGGTGCGCGCCCCTCTCACACACCAATTTCCCTTTACCCCCGGGCTATAGGGCGGTTTATTACTAGGTCTCCCTGCCGGCGTTCTGCACATCCAGGTGATCTGAGCTATCTGTGCATGGCAACGAACATTGAAAAAAGGACGAGACCTGGCAAAACACATGTGGTGTCCATAGCCGGAGAACGTAACTTGCCTTAATGTTTTTTTGTTTTTTTTGGAAGCTGAAAGCCATATCTGGTTTGGTTGTGCTGCACTTTACTGGCAGCACAACCATACTACCGACAGACATCCTGCGTTGCAAGCATACTTGCCATCGTGACCGCACACTTTGTAAGAACGGCGATGCACGTGATACGATGACATGCAGACACCAGTCACATCCCCTGCTGCCATACTGCATAGCCGACGACGCTTGACCAATCCTTGTTTTTGCCGTTGCTGACCTTGGTAAGCAACTTATCACCCCTCTGAGCTACTGATTTCCATGGCAAATGACATTGCCAGCAAGCAATAAGCCGGCGCTCACATGAGCATGACACCTGCAGGCATGGTGGGATTCGGGCAGGACTTGGGCGCGACGCGTTCTCTGGCAAGCAGCGATGAGAGCGGGCAGGCCATGGAGGCAACGGCAGCCGCCATGCTCGAAGCCGACCGCCGCATCACCGACCCCCTGCGCATGCGCAAGTTCTGGCGCAAGGTGAGTACCGTAATTTGCCTGATCAGGCGTCTTAGTACTCGAAGTCGAATTTGAAATTGCTGTTTATGGGGCTGCGGGCATGCCAGAGGCAGACTGCAGCCTTACCGACCCCCTGCGCATGAGCAATCCCTGCCGCAAGGTGTTTGTGCCCAGAGGATTAATGTGGCATTGAATTCTATGACTTCTCTTCGCGCACGCGTTTGTGTCAGTTGCCTTTCTGCTCTAGACAACTGCCAGTGCACGAGAGAGTCACCCAGCGCAGTGTAGGTCCCTTGTCACCAGCTACATTGCAGATGCGCATGCAGTGAGGAAAATTTGAATGGGAATTTGCTGCTGAGGAAGATTGCCAAATTATGGAGGTATCGGTTTGCTTGAATGCTCCCCTGGGGTTTCTCTGCGCGCCTTGCACTGATCAGATTACCTGGCCATGATTGTGACCCTTCGCTTGCTGCAGCCTTCTTTGATCAGACGTCGTATTAGACAGTCCTAGGGATGAGCTCCCACATGTATTTTATGAGCGCGGGGAAGATGACTTCAGTTTTGAAGAATTTGTCACTTCTGGCGTTTAAATTTGAAATCTGCATGCGCAGGACGTAAAGGAGGGAAAAGCGGCGACACTCTGTTTCCACGGAGTTATGCTGGGATTGCTGGCTGGCATGAGGAGGGAACGCCCCGCCGAGACGAGCATCGCAGCCCACCTGCTGGACATCAAAGATCCCGACACAGGTGAGCGTTTATATCATATCCACCCCTGGGGCATCTTAACCACCCTATTCTTTAATTTACCAGGGGGGTTAACGGTAGTTACAGACCCTCCTGCATTATCAAGCGTGGGATTGCTATTCCAGATCACGAGTGAAATATGGGCATATTGCTATGAGTATGCTTGGATGGCCCTCCTGAGACGTGCTGTCTTTGTCCCTGTGTCTCTGTTTCTTGTAAGATTTCTAATAGAGGGCCCCAGATTACTTACCAGTGCAGTACTAACTGCGCAGGGAAACCCCTGGAGGATGCGCGCCTGCTGCCTGAGATCTCCATACTCTTCATGGCCGGCTTTGAGAGTGCGCACCCCCATGCTCTAACAAATTCGCTCAAGACCAATCACAGACTGTGGCTTGGGCTGGGAGTATTACCTTCTTTTAAATGTCACATGCCCTGCTTTTGTTATTGGGTCCTGTCTTTCATCCTGCATGCTGCACATTATTTGGGCCTGTCGTATTCATTCTCAATGACTTTGCCTCTCCAAGCACTCAGAGTGAAGCCAAGCTTGTAACTTTCACAGCGAAGATGGTACTTGCCGCCTGACACTCATTTGGCTCTCTGTGATGTGCAGCCACGGGGCACACAGCGGCGTGGACGCTGTTTTCTGTGAGCCAGAACCCGAAAGTTGAGGCCAAAATCGTGGAGGAGCTGAAAAGCAATGGGCTGCTGGCCACTCCCGAGAAGTCCAGCCCCCGCCCCATCGAGTGGGATGACATTCCGAAGCTGACTTACCTCAACGCTGTCATCAAGGTGAGCGCTCAACCAGGGCATTATACCCAGTATTTTCTTTCGGGATCTCAGGGAAGGTTGTCTCTGCACAGCTTCTAACACACTGGCTACATGACGCAAACAGCCAGAATGTCACGGGCAGATGCAAGCAAGATTGGAGCATCGAAGAAAGTTTTGCAGTGAGGAGTTTCTACTTGGCTCAGTCACCAACCTTCTGGTTATGTCATCGACAAACACCTGTCTTCCAGCTCAGCGCAAGCTGGGTAGATTACATGTTCGGACTTGATGTTCTAATCTACATCGATCCTCTGCATGAGTCCATGCGCTTGTACTCTGCAGGAGGGGCTGTACCATCCTCTCCAGGTCCACGCAAGCCGCATAGCTGTCGTGTCACCGTTCAAGATATAATTTTATTTTGCTTACCTGCAGGAGTCCATGCGGATGTACCCCGCCGGGGGTGTGGCGACGTTTCGCACCCCCAAGGGGACGAAAGATGTTGTGCTGGGGGGTGGACGCGTAGTGGTTCCACCCGGAGTGGGCCTGCACATGCCCATCACAGCCGTGCACCACTCCAAGGACCTGTGGGAAGACCCCGAAGACTTCAAGCCTGAGAGGTTCTTTGAGGTGCGCACACTGTAGTGCTCATTCTAATTCCCGCACCCCCGGCGGTGCGGGAATCTTTCAAAGCAACTTTCATGGGACTTCCTGACACCAAGAATACCAGGGTCATGCTCCATTGGATTGGGCGCGTCGAGAGCTTTCCAAATCTGGCCGCAAGGATATCATGGGAGTATATTTTGGGAGATATGATCTTATTTATCCACCCTTTTTGGCCAAATATAAATATCTTTTGCGGGTTTAAGAATGAGCACTACAGTATCATGTGCCCCTTTAGTGCCCCTTTGCCTGAGCTTGGCTGGTGGTTTACACACCCTTGCTCTGCACGCTGCAGAAGGTACATTTTCTATTATATGATTGAAGCACTTGCGTGGAGAGTCCTTGTCAACTGAATGTTGTCTTTGGTACCCCCTGCACGCTGTCTGCTGAACAGGTGCCTACCAGCAGGGCATCTGGTTGCTAAAAACAAGAGCAACGCTGATTACATCCTGGCTTAGTCCCTCACCACTTGGCAGGAAGCGCTGTTGGCGTGTTGTTGTTTCCAGGCGACTATGGCGTCCCCGTGCAAAAACACTTCTGCCCAGGGCATTTTCTGATCAGAAGATGCCTCCGCAAGGAAACCCACAGTTCCCAAGAGGTCACGTGCCACCTTTTCTGAGCACGGCTGCAATATGTGCCTTCTCGCAGTTGTATTGAGGCTGCAAAGATTGAGCTTCTTACAGTCTGCCGTCTCACATGACTGGGGTCTTGCCTCGCAAAGATGTGTCCGAACAATTTACACTGGTGAGTTCTTGGTATGTATGCAGCAGCCGTATTGGCCAATGGCATTTTTTTATCCACCAGTGGATTTTTCCTCTATCGTTAACCCCATGCTTTCCGCAATCTGGCGCGTAAAGGGCCTCCTTGCATGTTTTCTTTCTCTGACTTGCTGTCTGACCTTTGCAGGATGGTGCGGAGGATGCTAAGGGGTTGGATCAGGTGAACGGGCGCACGCCGGTGCGCTTCATGCCCTTCAGCATGGGCGGCCGTGACTGCGTTGGCCAAACGCTCGCAAAGCTCAACCTGGCTACCACACTCGCACAGCTGTACGGCAACTTCTCCTTCCGCCTCGCCGATGAGGTGCGCGGCGTTCCCTATTCTTACCACCCTTTACTGATTACTTATCTGTCCCCATGGTTGCGCAGCGATTGAGGCGCTGCTGCTGTCTCACGCATGCATCCTTCAAAGACAGCTAGGTCTGATGTCAAGGGGTTTCATTCTTGAATGTGCGCGTTTTCCTGCAAAATTTTGAATCCGGAAACACCTGTATCCACATGCATGCGTGGCAGCAGCTGACGCTTTGCATGCTTGAGTCGATGCATGGCGCATGACAAGGAGATTGGAGCAGGTTTTAACCTTTTGCTACGTGAGCTGAGTTGAGTGATATGGTGCATTGTGGCCGCAGATGGGGGGACCGGAGGGTGTGAAGGCGGCAGAATGCACATCAATTACTCTCTCCTGCAGCAAGGGAATGAAGATGCATGCTGTGCCACGCGTGCCCTCCTGAGACAGCATCTTCCTCGGACCTTGAGACTTCTGTGAATGCAGCCTTGAAAAAGAGCTCTTGCAACATCCCAAGGAGGACCTACTCATTGGATGTCCCATAGCCTGGCCTGGATTGAAGCGCGGCGGGCAAGATTTTTTACTGGTGGCTTTTTGGTGGGGGAGGAGCATTGGTGGTGTTCCTGTGACTGCCTGCCTTGTGTACAGGTTTGCGGATTGATTCTGCTACTTTGGTCATAGCGTGCAGAGGGTATCTGTTAGATGACTGCCTTACCTAGGCGTGCACATGAATTAGACCATTGCCTGATTTCATGAAATGCTTGATGTGAAGCTAACAGTGGTGTACGGGCCCACTTTAAAGTGTATACATAGTATGTATTACATACGTATGCGAATTCAATTCATTCAGGCCCCACAGATGTGGCTGCAGACACTCTGTGTGTACGCACTATGGCCTTTGGGCTTTGGGTTTGCCGACACCGTAATAATACTAATAATGATAAATGCAAATTAAATCAGACAAGTTGTCTGAATGTCCCTGAGGAAGACACCCAATATCTCCAGAATGATGTCATCGATGGGAGTCACCATGCCAGCTCTGAGAACTGCAATCGGTGGTTTTTTAAAGGTCAGATTTACTGAAGTCATCAGGATCTTAAGCGTTCTCACCAGAATGTGATGTACCTAGGTTGATGCCTACCATGCATATGCATACTATGTCTAGACTAAGATCTTGTTGACATCAGCTTTGTGTGATGCATGCGCATCGATATCTCTTTTTTGCCATTCCCATTCTGAGGACTATTAGAGCACTTGCTGAATTTGCCATCAATCACTGGCAGCGCTCTCCGACCGGCCTTTTCAAGCACTGCAGCAAAACCCCGCATCATGTCTGCAGCTACCCAAATCGCAGCGGCTTGATCCCCTGCAGAGCTGTACATGAATTGGAGTGCATAGAGCATCCTCCACGGAGAGTCAAAGGGCACATGCGCAACATAGATGATGGTACAGTATGTTACAATGCAGCTTTTGACATACAAACTTTGATCTCCCATACATGCAGGGCCGTCGTGCAAGCAAGCTTGACTTCAATGCATCTCTGATGGCTGCTGCCTGATGTCATCAATGGCAATGCGGCATACATGTGCTACCACAGATATCCATACAAGTGTGCCCCGATTGCTCAGGTTCTTAGCATAGGACAGTCAAACTAATATCCTACTGTCGTTTTTGAGGATTCCACGCACTGGACAAAGTGAGTACATCCTTGCCAGCATCCCGCCAAGCACTATCTTAAAAGTCAACCATGTTGAGTGACATGTCAAGGCACGTGTGCTGCAAAATTGGCAGCTGCTATTGATGCGTGCTCTGCAGCATCTTTCCCATGCTCTGTCGAAAAGCCCGCCTGCCCTTCCCTACCCTTTTCTACTACATCATGGGGTCCCTGAGTGATGTGGTTTCAGAATCACTCACAATAGGCAGGGCATCTCGTCTCTGCTGTTGACTGCAGCAAAGCCAGCAGGGCTGCACACACAATGCGATGCTGTTGTAGCAGGGCTCAGACAGTGCTCTCACGTCTGCAGCTGCAGGGAACTCCTACAAGTGCGTCTCTGCATTCTTTTTCTTGGCGCTCTGCTGACTGCTCTCTGACAGGGCATACATCCCTGCTGACCCTGCCATCAGCGCCACTGTGACGGCCTGCATCCATTAGAAATATTACACATTAGTCAACAGTCAGGTATGCGTGCTCCAAGTCAAGCAGCCCCGGTCAGAGCTGCATGGCAGAGAACCCAGCGGTAGAACAGTACAGCAGATGAAGTTCGTCAGAGATATGCAAGGGGCTTTGATCCGTGCCTGGAACGCCACTCTGGCGCGCATGAACTTCTGTGAGAGATCAGCATTGCCCTGCAAAGAACCATACAGTAGGTAAGCTTGAGACGCAGAAAATAGATACAAATGTTTGCGAGGCAGTCCTTCATGGTGCAGCAAGGTCACCTGCTTGAAAGCTAGAAAGCCGGCACAAAGGACGCCCGCTGTAGCTGCAGCACCTGTAAATACCGAAGAACCATCTTGTTCTCGTCTTATTCCCGTTTATGGCCAGAAGCAATCTGCTCAATAGAATGTTCAGTGGGCCAGCAACTGATACATATGACATACCTACTAGCACCAGTGGGTTCCGTTTGCGCTCTTGAAGAATGTCGTTGCCATATTCTTGATGCCCGAAGTTCTGGCTCATGATTGCTCTGCCAGACCTCTGTGATGGTATGGTGTATTGTTGTTGCGACACCTCTTGTGTTGTGGGCTATTCCTCTTTTGCCAAATTTTATTAATATCTGCGCGTTCTGGTGCGCCTGTGACGTCCAGATCGCACTGAGACAGCACCCTTTCAGGACACTATTCAGACAAGATCTTGTGAAATGCCAGACTCACGCGGCAAAGGCTAAGAATTGGTCTTGCAGACACAGAAAAGAATCAATACCCATCACATGCAATGGATAGGCGAGATACTTCGTGATTGTGCGAGAACAGAGCTTCTATACATCAGAGCGTCCACGTGGGCTCGATTCTCGGTTGCGCCCAGTACATTAGGAAGGATACGCCCAGAGCTCCTGGTCAAGGACTTCCTCGAATTTCCTTGCACGGTTTCAATTTCTTCAGGCTGAGTCCAGAATAAATATTTCCTGCTCCATTCACTTTGAGCTGCCAAGGTCTACTCGCAGTGTCTGGTGCCGGTGAGCCTCGGTGAGCAGGATAAGACCGGACATCCTCCCCCTTGAAGGGCACTGCCTTGCATGTTCGAGGGATCTCGCTGTAACATGCGGGATATTGGAGGTCAGTATTGACGGTCGAGGTTAGTCGTCGTGGGGTCAAGAGCAGCATTGCTGGCGAATTGTTAGGGACACCTTGCTATGGCCCAAGCCAAGATTCCTAGTACTGGAGCGAAGCCTGACAATATCCCTGGCAGGCAGCAACGAGCGGCAGCTTCCAGCAACCCCAAGGACAGTCTCATCACCTCAGCAGAGAGAAAGAAGCGCAAAGGTGCTTCTCTTTCTGCTCTGAGACCTCTGCAAGCTTATGTAAGCATCTTGCAGCTTGTAGGGTTCACATACCGTGGCCTGCATTGAGCCTGGTATTAAATTGTATACGAGTGAATAGCGTTTCCATCAAGGCATGCACGCCTTTTGGCACGGTTTGCATTGAAGAATAAAAATGCAGATTGCACCCTGGTCGATGACCGAAAGCAAACCTGATGTTTTCCGCGGAGATGCTATGCAAAATGCTACTATATAACCCGCTTGTGTTATTTGCTCGCCTCAACGCTGCAAATGTAATATCGAGAGCAAGCGGGTGTACCTTCAGATTCAGGGATCGGGCTAGCTAGGGTCTGTGCTTTGCGTGTGCCGGTGCATTCTTATAATCATAGTATTGATTCAATGTGTTGATGGAGCTTTTTTTAGCTGCAGATGCCCATCAGGCAACAAAGGAGATGCCGATTTGTCATACTCGATCATGTTCTGATGGTCCTGATCTGAAAACTAACAGGTCCCGTCGATAAGACTGCGCGGCCAAGCAAGCGTACCCTGCATGTGGAAGCAGAGGGAAAGGCTGCTGCGCCCCACCAGCCTTCAGAGGTGAGACCTCTGGAAGTCTCACATGCACTGGGCTTGATGGCTTCAGACTCCGCATTTGATGGTTCCACCTGTTACGACAATTCATCTATGTCTCGTTCAGCAAACACTGTGCAATTCATTAGTACTCCCCTGCCAGGGTGCTGCAGCCGTGATGAATGGAAGCACAGTCAATTTCTTGCTTAATTTCTCGTATCATTCATCTGTTTGGAGAGTGCCAGTGCCCCTAGCATCACATCTTGCAAGTCATGCGGTAGAGCTAGCATGACATTGGGGTGTCACAAAAGTCATTAATGCAGAAGAGCTGTCAAGTCAATTCAAACTGATTAGGTGTCAGTTGCCTGCAGAAGAGCCAGCATGTGTCTGAAATGTCAAAACCTGTGACAGGTGTCGACATCAGAGGAGGCTCAGGCTTCCATGGACAGCCAGTCGACGCCCAGCAGGCGGGCAGGCGATGAGTCAGCCGGGCAGGAAGTGGGCAGGAGCGCTGCCCAGAGCCCCAGGGCCGGGCAGGCCCCCAAGCCCAAAAGCGTCTTCAACTCGATCATCTCCCCCGTGCTCACTCTATTCCAGGGGAAGCCGGAAGACCACCCTGACTCCGAACCCTCTGTTGTGCTAGAGGTGAGCCCCTTGGTAGCACCAGCTAATTCAATGCATTGTCTATGCTGTATGAGCACTTTGGGAATGACCAGCACTAGAATGGTCACAGATGCCGATAAATCATCTGGGTCACAGACTTTCCCCACAGTTCTGCAATATGGTCACCTGTAGTACTTGCTGCAGGACCAAGCCTGCCTGCAGACCTGCTCAACGTCTTGCACACTAAATCGCGATTGACTTGTGGCCTGGGCTGCCTATTGAGTGCTCTGGGGAGGATTCTAAGTGAGAAGGGTTGATCTTTTGAGGAGTGAGACTCGCAAGGTGTCCTCTCATTGTGGGTCTGTACTGCACTTTTCAGAGAAATAGTGAAAAGGATGGCGTAACAACTCGCAGGACGGGCGGAGGGCGCATGTGGGAATCCACCACTGCGACGGCGGCCCGGAGCCGGCGCGGCACACCGGGCCGCTGGTGCAGGTGGAGGGAATGCCCCTGCCGGAGGTGCGGGCCGCCCCAAGGGGCGTGCCCCCCGCCTCTGACGCGGGGGCGGGCCCGGCGGTGGAGCGGGAGGAGGGGGGCACCTCCAGCAGCACTGACGGGGAGAGTGACACCTGCGTGGATGAGGGAACTCTGTGCGCGTCTGCCTCCAGGTACTGCCGTGGCCCTGGGTTTGTAGAAAGCAACATTGCTTGGATGGTGAATTCCCTGTCAGATCGGTCCATGAAATTGCAGGTAAAGGGGGATCCATCTGACCTACCCCATCATTAGAGGGGGCAGGGCGATGGTAGGGACTGCCATAATGCAGAAACAATGTCTACCACAGAAATGCACAGTAAATAAAGATATTTGGCATATGCATGCCAACCACATACCCTGGCAGTTGTCATAGCTATCCCGCCTCAAAGAATTCTCTGTCGAGCCCTAAACCAGCAGCATGAGGACTCTAATATTCATGTTTTCTTACCATTAATACATGATGGCCCTGCCAGCGGCAAGGTGTGTCTGCAGAGGAGGTATCGTACCCCTTGGTGGACCCAATCAACCGTGGACACGGTGCTCAGTATTTGTACCGAACCACGCCAGCCGGGGCTGATGTTTTGATGTTTATGCGCTTCGCATCAGCCGCGCCTTACAAGTTTGCTCTGTGTTTTTACAGCAGGGATGAAGAAATGGAGGAGGCGGGGGCGGCCGCAGCGGCAAAGTATGCAGAGGAGGAAGACTACGACGAGGAGTGCATAGACTTTGACCCCTACGCATTCATCAAGAATCTGCCACCGCTGAAGCAGGTGGTGCCTCGCTGGCGGCGCTCCCTCCTGCCCCGGCAGACCCGCCAGTGCAAGAGGAAGACCCTGGTGAGCTCATGTTCCCAGTCTCCTCTCTCTTGAAGCCACTCTGACACGCAATTGCGCACATGACATTGGCCGAGTCCATCAAGCTTTGATCTCACAATGCCGGAGTTAATCATTCCTGCAATTGTCTGTCGGTGTGTATTCTGTGTTCTCCCCTTGATGGGTTTGCCTGATGGCTAAGATGTCCTGCTGGGTTCTGTCAGCAAATCGCACTGCATGTGTGCCAGCACCCACACTTCTCCATGGCTGCTTGTCTGTATGAGAATTCCTTTTCTTAACGAGTAAAGGGAAGTGATGTATGCCAGCATTTCCTTCATCCCGGCTATCATTTTGTGGAGACTTTGTTCACACAATCGATGCACAAACGTGGGCAACAAGTGATCTTATCATTAACTGGTAATATAGAGCGCATGATAAACTTGCTCCTGATAGATTGCTGACTGATATGCTGACTCATATGCAGGTGCTGGACCTGGACGAGACGCTGGTGCACAGCACGCTGGACGGCTGCGACGAGCCAGACTTCAGCTTCCCGGTGGCGTTCAACGGGAGGGAACACCGCGTGCATGTGCGCCGCCGGCCGCACCTGCAGCACTTCCTGCAGCGCTGCGCGGAATTGTTTGAGGTGGTCGTCTTCACCGCCTCCCAGAAGGTCTACGCGGAGCAGCTGCTCAATATCCTCGACCCCACCCGGTGCGCGCTTTTGAATTCGAATTTGCAGTTGAGCTTGTGGATACCCTGCAAGCCTCAGCGCGTGAACATGCACTAGCTCCAGGGCAGTCCCCAGGGAAAGATGGTTTGTGCTGTCAATTTAGTCCCTGAATGGCTGATCGATTCTGCTGATATCGCTTCCTGGCCATCTTGCTTGAGTCGCTGCACTGCTGCAGTTACATGTTTGGGCGCTAGAAGGGCCATTTCCCGACAAAGGCCTGGGGAAGGACTACTTGGCCTTGCTCTGAGCTCTTATGCTGCTAAGAAAATCTTGCTGTATCTGAGAAAGAGTGCTTCAGCACATCCTACTGCCCTGTTGAAAGGTATTGTAAACCTGCCCGTCGAACATGCGCGCAGGACTTTGATCCGGCACCGCGTGTTCCGGGACTCGTGTGTGTTTGTGGAGGGCAACTACCTGAAGGACCTCTCCGTGCTCGGCCGCGACCTCGCACACACCGTCATCGTCGACAACTCCCCCCAGGTTCGAGTCCTCCTCACCCCGCTTTCTTTACCCTCTTTTTCTTTTTGTTCTTTTGGAAAAGATTCACCAGCACAAGTGTGATGTTCCGCTGGTCCATGTCTGACAGCTGATGATGAGGAGCACAATTGTCGATGCACTGTGTTGTCCTTGTGCATGGATCGTTGTGCTCCTACTCCTTGAGCTGCAAGGCTGCCATGACTGCCAGGGTACCGCTGCACGCATGCTTATGATAATTTTTGTCTGCGTACAGCTCCATGCTTGGCATTTCTGCAGTATTTGCAGTGGTCGGGCACCTTTCAAGTGCAGGATTGATCTTGATGCTATGCTGCATGCGTGGGATGCAGTCATGCCTGGAATGGTCGCGAGTTCCACCAAATTAATATGCAGCTCTCGTTTCACATGTGCGCGGTTGTGTGCGCGGATTTTCTGTTCATGCTCCACCCTGCAGAGCTCAACTCTATGAGCATACTTGTGAATCGCACTACAAGCCATTGCTGCTAAGTGACAGCTGACCAATAAAAAGCATGTCACGCCAGGCTCTGACGTGTGTAGCCTGTGATGCGCGCAGGCGTTCGGCTACCAGTTGCCCAACGGCATTCCCATCGAGTCCTGGTATGACGATGAGGCAGACAGCGAGCTGCTGAGCCTGCTGCCCTTCCTGGAGAGCCTGGTGCATGTGGACGATGTGCGGCCGGCGCTCCTTGCCGCTTACAAACTGAACCAGCTTGTCGAGAGCGCCCCCACCTATCCTTCCTACCACTGAGGGACGTCTGAGGGATTCTTCTCTGGCAGCAAAGGGAAGGCGTTGCCGGGCTCCAGTCATGGGATGACAGGCTTTTGCGCCACCCAGCACAAGCCTGAATTAGCTCGTCAAGAGCGCCCCAACCTACCCCTCCCACCACTGATGGGAGGCGGCTCTCTGGTTGTGTTGTGGTGGGGTTGCCGGCCTCAGTCATTGGATGACAGGCTGTTTGCCACATATCCTTCTTACCACTGAGGGGTGTCTTGAAGGGCATTTCTCTGCTTCCAGAGGGGAGCCTGTGCCGGGGGTCAAGTCCTGCAGAATTATGTCTTTGCTGGGTACCAATCCTGGGTAGTGGTGGAAGCGAAGCAACTCTGCTGTTCTTGAACTTTATCTAGCTTGTCAAGAGCGCACCGGCACCAGCTCATCTCTCCCTCCTTGGTCAGTTCGCTTGGATAGGGTGCCACCAGTCTGGGCTGAAGCCGCAAGAAGAAAGGTGACCATTCTTCTCTGTCTACATTTGCCACCATTTTATCCCAGAAGGGAGAATATCAGCATTCTCCCGTCTTGGCAAGTGGCCCTTGGGCAGCACCCTTCAGGGGGAGCATAGGCTCTGTGCAGACGCTGTGAAGCAAAAGTCCACATGAGTACAAGGGCATCTTGCCAGCTAGCAGCGTTCATGCCTTTTATCAGGGGCCGATGCCCAAGAGGAGACAAAAAGAAGCATTGAGAATTCTTTGTTGGACCACAAAGGGAGGAATGGTGGTGCAGAAGCTTGCCATCCAGCAGGGATGAGAGCTACCTGATCTCTTGTTGCACCCGCGTAAGCTCTGCCATTTATTGTGGGCTTTGTCGTTGATGTTGCATCTAATGATGAGGCAGCAGGTCAATGCAGTGTTGATATGCACTGGTGATGAGCCGAGTTGTCCTGATTTGCTTTTGTCAAGAAAACGTGTCTGGGTTGGGTTGTGACACTGTACCGGAGTTTGCAAAGGCTTCCTCATGTGAGAAATGTACAAGGTTGCGTGCTACGACAGCACATGGCAATTGAGTTGAGATTCTTTCATCTCACTTTGTATGGTTGAGTCTCTTGAGTGTCCGCAGAAATGCTGATGTTGGTAGCAAGCATAAAGCATAAGCCACTGTTGACTTGGGGAGGATAGGATACAGAAATCGATCGCCCCTGAGCCCTTTGGCCAGAAAGCAAAGAACAAATCATTACCGGATTGTCGGTGTTTCATACGTACAGCGCTGTGCTCTGCTGGCCTCTACAGAGTAGGTCTGTGCAGGTCATCAGTAAGGCAGGTCTTCGTTGTGTTTCCCCTTGTCTCATAAGAGTTCATTGTCTGGCCATGTCAGTTGGCATATCCAAGGCCATTACATAAGGTCGCATGTGGCGATGATCGCAGTATGCTGCAATCAGGAACTGGCAAAATAGGTGGTATTTGGACTGCTCTTTCTAGGCTGCTTTCACATGGCACTGGACAGCCCAATTGGCGTCTCTGGCACATAGTGTACATGTAGTGATGTATGATTTGAGGTCGCTCAGGGCATTGTGCGCTGAATGCTGTGTAAAACATTCGTGATTGAAGTTGCCTGCCGAGCTGGGCTGTCAAATGTGTCACGAGGCTAGTGATTCCCTACCCCCGGGACTATACGATGCATCATGATCATAAGGCCTTCAGTCAGCAGTAAGGTGCAGCAAGTCTTCCCACAGGTGTACAGTTCCACAGGGGGTATTTAAGAGTAGTATTTGGTTAGTTAAGATCAGTACCTTCTGAGGTCCATCACTCGAGAGGGCATGCGCCCCATAGGACGCATTGCATCCTATGCATGCAGAATAATAGGGACCAAGCAGCCTTTACAATTGCAATCTACGTGTGCGGAACACAGGCAGCTTGCAAGTTAAAAAAAAAGAAAAGACATGCAACATCCTTCCTAGCCTGTGGCATACAAACATTGCGAAAGGGGCACGCTTGGCCCCCTGATTGTTCATTCAAGCATTGAAACTTGACATAAACACATTGCTCATTGGCTTTTGTGAAATAGCAGGAAAACCTCGACATCACGCTGAATAATACATGCTTTATAGAGTACCTTGGTGCTGCCAGATCACAGACACAAATTTATTCATAACAGCTCTAAGCCTGAGAGCATGTGAAAGATCTTTACTCTCTCTAGAGCAAAGCAAGCACTGAATTAAACACTAGGCCCACACTAAACCAGCCAGGCTGGAAACATGCAGAAATCACGCCGGGCCAACATTGAGAATACGTTTGCATTAGTCTGCACCCATGATGGTCTTAAAAGGGACGTCTGTAGTACGTCTCACAATAGATTATAGCCCAGTTCAGATGCAAAACCCTTCTCCCTCAGGAATGATAATGCAGACACACCTTCAACGCGGATTTAATCCCATCAGTCAGAGGAAGTCAGTACAACAGGTGTTTGTGTTTAAATATTTGCAGATTCAAGTCACCCCAGTGCTTGGAACCCAGCATTAGACAACATTGAGATTGTGTCACCCCTCTTTTGTCTGTGCCCATGTCATGCGCTGGACTTTCTGAACCAGGACATAATGACCTGGCATTTGACCAGGACCACAGACATCTTCTCAAGTAATGCACTAAAGCACATAGCATTGCTTCATGTGCACAACTTGCCACACATGAAACACATGGCTGTCCATGCTTAGAGATGGCAATGCAATCCTCAGATTCTGGATGGCTGCTGCTACAACGCGCGCCCACCAAGGTTCAACCCCAAAAACAGGGATGCTGTCAGCCTTGGGCATCTCGCGGGCTCGGTATTCTCAGCTTGACTTGGTTTGCCGTGATAGATCTAAACATCTTCAGTTGGGATGGCCAGATAGAGGGGCCAAAACCATCCCCAACTGGGCCCATGTCATTGGCTGGGCTCTCTGGGACAGGGCATAATGATCTGACACTTGACCAGGCCACACAGACCTCTTCTCAAGTATTGCACTGAGCATATGACATTGCTTCAAGTGTACAACTTGCCACATATGAAACATATGGCTGTCCGTGCTCAATGAGATGGCAATACAGTGCTCAGGTTCTGGATGACTCCTGCTACAATGCACGCCCACCGTGGGAAAACCCCAAAACAGGGGTGCTGTGAGCAAGCCTTAGGCATCTTACGGGCTCAGTTCGGAGAGTCCAGTATGGTACTGGACTCTCTGAACCAGGACTTCATGACCTGATACCTGACCAGGCCATGCAGACGTCTTTTCTGATGTTGCCTTAAGGATATAGCATTGCTTCAAGTGCACAACTTGCCACATATGAAGCACATGGCTGTCTGTTCTTCGTATGTGGGAGATGGTACTGCAATGCTCAGAATCCGCTTCAACTCCCAAACAGGGGAGCTGTGAGCCTTGAGCAAGCTGCTCAGAACACCGTACTAGATCCACTTTGGAACAGTTGCAAGCTAGCCGTTCAGAAGTGCTCTCAAGACCCACTTCAGGGAAGGCGCTCAGAACATTTCAATAGGCAGGGCGAAGCTGGGGGCCTTGCCAACAGAGAAGCCGGTCTCCCAAGGGAACGCCATCGAAGGGGTGAGGCCCATGTTGGGCAGCAACTGGTCCATGCTGGCGGCGCTGCACATGGGCAGGTCCGTAACCTGGTGCGGCTCCTCCGCCGGCAAATCGGCTGAGACCGCGAACGCGCTGCGCATGCCGTTGCTGAAGACCGGCCCGGCACCTGGCAACACGTGCACACAGGTCAGTAACCACTTCCCAGGAGAGGTGCGCAGGTTTTGAGATGCAAAAACAAACCATTTTTTTATTTGGTGCCTTGACCAGGGCTTTGCTTGACACCCATAAAATACCATGAGCTAGACTCCTGTGGATGCCATTTACCAAGATCTCAGCTCTCAAATTCTCACTCTCAGACAACCGATGTATGCACATCATGTGCATTGTTGACTTGCTCTGGCCTATCACCCTCAAAGACAGCCCCAGGTCGCAATAAAGATAGCAGGTGTTGGATTTGAATGCGAATTCAAAAGGAGTACACACCGAGGGTCGTGTCGGCAGCGCCAGAAGCGCGGGCTCCGGGGTAGTTGCACGCGGTGCTGTGGTTGACTGGCTGCTGAGCGGACTGGGAGCAGGAGCTTGGGCAGGCATGGTCCTCCTTTGGCAACATCACCTCGCCCTTATTCTGCACACAAGCAACGAATTTGGTCAAGACACCGCACATACAGCCACACGCATGCGTACAGACTGTGCCCAGGCTGCCAGATAACAACAGCAGCAGACGGATCAGCACTTTGCAGATTGCACGCCGCAAGGGGCCGATCAGAAGTCAGTCCAGGTGTGTCTCATAACAATCTAGCCTCTTGTCTGTCTCATGGTGGAGGCAACAGCCGGCGAGTTGCACCAACGTTTGGGTACCGGCAGAAGTGAGCTTGCATCAGGCAGCGGTGACGAAGGGTGACTCGCACCTCGAGCAGGTGGCGAAGGTGGGCAATCTCTCGCTGCAGCGCCTTGTTCTGCGCGGCTGTCGCCTGCAGCCGCGAGGAATATTCGCCCATCTGACGCATCATCGCCGCGTGCTGAGTCTCCACCGCCGTCGCGTGCGAAGCCAACGTGCTGTTGTGCTTTTCCATCTCATCGGCCTGCGCGCATCATGAGAAGTAATTGAGTCTCCAGATGCTTGGCCCAGCCAATTGCACAACATTAATTTTTGCATCACCCCCCACCCTCCTGAAAAACAGCACAGGGTACACCTGATGCCCAAAACATCTGGCAATACAACATGACAAGAGCAATGCTGCGAGACTGCACTGCATCTGTACAAGCTGCAGCCCAACAGACTCGCACTTTCATACAGAAACCACCAGCGCACCCACAGCACCAGGATCAGGCTGCATGCCATGGAGCGCAAATCTGCAGGAGAAGTCTGTAAGACTGCCAGTATTGGCAAGAGGGAGGGAACAGCAGGGAGTGCACCTTGACGGCCATCTCCTCGATGAGGTCCTGGCGGCGCGCGCGCACGCGGCGGGCCGACTCGCGATTTGCGATGCGGCGCTTGATGCGGCGGCGCTCGGCCGGGGTAAGATCCGGTGAGTCTGGGTCGCCGCAGTATGCGATCGGCCGGCCCACCTTGCGCTTCTCTCTGGGACCCTGAACATGGCAAAAGTTATTTGAGCCGCATCTCTCTTGGTGCCTGTATATATGACAATCGAAGAAAATATCAACAGCGGGATATTTAGACCGTGGATCATCGTGCGGCCTGGTGGGGCATAAATGAAAGGACATCGGACAAATAGAGATGCAGAGATTGCGGCAAAGAGACTGCCCGGCCAACAGCCACACTTTCGGCCAACAAGGCATACAAGGAAATGGTAGCTCGACTGATACTGTCAGGCGTTGCTGCAAAATGATGAAATTGGACAGACACAAAGCAGCATGAGCTGCAGCAGAAGGTGCGTCTCAATCTTATCATTGCAGAGGGTGCAGAGTTAGGTGCTCACCTTGTTCTTGGGCGAGTTGGAGTTGCGAGGGGAGCGGCGGAGGTTCCATTCCTCAGCCGCATCGCTGGAGCAGGACTGCAGGCTGGAATGCCGCGCCTGCAGAGACTCCTCATGCTCCCCCCCAGTGTGATCGCCGCCCTCTGCGCCACTGAAACTCTCCAGATAGGACATTGGGTAGAGGGTTGTGTTGGGGCTGTAGTGGGTCGCAGTCGACTTGCTGCGCCCCTGCTTGGCAGAGGGGTCGAAGGGCGGGAAGGGCTGCGGGCCTGTCGTGATGGTGCACTTCTGGGCTGCCATGTTGACCTGGAAGGACAGATTAAACAGCGGGTCATACGATGGGCAGGTATATGATGGAGAGCCTCTGCTGGCTAAATGGTGAACCTTCAACGCAATAAATTGTCCTCGACATTGGCTCTTGATGAACTTAGAACACCCTTTTCCCAATAAGTCCCACTTTCTTTGACAAGGGACACGCAAACAGAAGAGCTAGGGGACACCAGTGAGACCGAGGAACCTTGCGCTCGAAGGCTTCAATAACATCCGCGTTGTCTTGAATACGACACAACAGATAATTCGACAATAATCAACAGGCCACCAATGCCGGGGAGCCATCGAGCTCACCTTGGTGGGCACCACCTCAGCGTACTGCGACTTCGCCAGAGCCGGGTCGCCTTGAGGGAACAGGGGGTCCATTCCATCAAGGGAAATGGATGGTAGGCGTGCTAGGAAGTCCTCAGCGTCCCGAAGAAATGCCATCCTGGTGAAAGGGGCTGTCTGTGCTGGATTTGCCAGACCTACGACACACCCATGTTTTGTCAAGTTTTGACGGGAGCGAACCGGTCGATGCGGACATTCCCGAATCAACGGCACGCATGGCCCCAACGGAGGCAGCTGGTGCACTTGGTATGCCCGACATCCACTACTAGTTCCACTGACGGTAGGGACAGGTACGCTGCAGTACGACATCCCAGCTAAAACCGAGCGCCCCTCCGTCCTAACCCCACCAGGGATAGCTCTCGTTGCTTTCACCACTATGCTAGACGTTGTCCTAACTGAACCTTCAGAAACAAGCCCCGCCGCCGGCGGTGAACCTGGAAGCCAGCGCGACCATCCACATGCACGGTGTCCAGCCAGTACAATTGCGACCTGGCCGCCCCCGCGCGCAACCCGACATTCCTTTCCCACTCTAGACATAGTCAATCAGGATCTGGGATGATTCCTGGACTCCCTGACACTCGTTGTTGGCTCGAAAAGAGCGCAAAGATCATCAGGCCACTTTATATTTACAGTGAATGGCCCACGCGCGCTTCAGCCCACCTTTTCTGCTGCAGGGGTGATGGGCCTGCAAGCTGTTGCTGTGTCGTATGGGCGTAACTGCTGTATTCTTGTGGCAAGCCCTTGTAATTCCCGGGCGTCCGAGCTTAACAGTGGTGTCTGGTCTGGGCGAAAAAGTGTCCAGCATCTATCTAGCGACGGAATGCGCCTTTCCAACATCACCCCTGCATCCGCTGTCGTGGCCTCTCTTAACGACATGCAGTGGTAGGGTTTCAGACTTCTTATCTGTCCCCTTTTGCATCCAGTACACTTTTGCCAGAATAGGCCCCAGTCCTAATTGTACTTTTTGTCCTCACGTGTCGCCGCATGCGACTTACCTTGAGCACATGCGTGACGCTGTCCCCGAAATTGCGCAACCTCGTGGATGACTGCAGAACTTGGCGGATGCGCTTGTGATCTCGTTGGAGGTTCTTAGCATGACGCGTCTCTACGAACTGCATTGCTAGAAGTAGCAGTGCTCATATCGAGCAGGGCAGTCAAGTGGATCCAATATGGTGCTTGTGGTGCTCTTGGGCTCATTGGCGGTCCTCTGTGGCATCTCGGTTTCACTCAATTATGCATTGAGTGAAGTGCGCCGTAGGACAGGGGTAAAAGACGAGGTGGGCCTCCTTCGATGCCACCCCATCGCCTTACGTCACATTGCTTTCCATAGTATATATATTTTGTTGCCGTCGTGTCGTTGCCAGTCTTGAACATTTACTAACAATCGGTTCCATTCATCGATATACCGATCATGCTTTTCTGGTACATTTCTAGGCGCCTTCAGTAATGGTCTTGTCCAAAATCATGGCATCAACCTCACGTAATGCTTGCAGGAGGGGGAGGTGGAGCATTTGCACGAAAGGAACTTTGATGGTATCGGGGACTCCACCGAGCTAAAGTACGCTCAATCTCGGCATGTGTCATGCAAGCGTTGCGTAAACCCCTCGAACGGTTGAAGCCTTAAGGATGCACTAACTATCCCTGTATTGCCAAGGCTTCGCCTGCTTGTCAAGATTCATCTGTTGTTCTTATTTGTGCAGGCAAACCTATCATGCTGGGGCAACCGAGACCATGATTGCCTTTGGTCTCTCCCTAGCCATGGGCACAGGACTGCTGGCCTTCCTCTACTTCACTATCTGTTAGTCCCCAACTATCTCACTCCATCACACACAGTGTCTCTGGCTTTACGACCTACCCATGCAGATGACTGAGCGCTGGGAATCCATGGCAGTATCTTACATGCTACTGATCTTCTTATGCTGCACTTGGAAACATGACCGGGGTGCGGCAAGACCATTCAGTTGGCCATCACGTGGCTTCAAAGCCAAGCGATGGCAATGACAAGCAAATGACGAGCAATGACAAGCACTTACAAGCAATGACTGAGCAGACATATGGCTGGGTTACAGGGCACAACGGGGGGACCCAACCGAAGCCAAAGTGCATGCCGCCGACGTGGCAGCAGCGGATTGCCTTCTTCGGAGACTTGACCGGGTTTTCTCACCCCATCGCCACAGCCTCGCCCGATGCTCAGAAGCTGTTTGACCAGGCATGCCCTCTGTTGAGCCGTTCTCACCTTCAATCTGTGACCCGGACAATACTGGCTTGGTCTCCTCCCGCTGCTCTTGCCCAGTTTGCGCTGTTTTTTCCTTGTCCACACTTTTGGCTACGGCCGCCATAAGGCTGGAATGCACGCCATGTCCTGTCAGTGCAGTCTTGGAGTGCAAGTATAAATCTACCTGCATTTCATGAGGTATCAATGCTATGCTTGTAAACGGTCATGCAAAGGATTTCCTGAGGATACATTGCCAGACAAAGGGAGTCCCCAGCAGATCAGGTGCAATACTCGCAAATGTGTCAAGGCTTTTGTGCACCCCTCAGGAAATTTTTGCTTGTCCAGGGGATGTTGCTGTCGTGGAACTTCAACCAGTATGAGGCGTTCCAGTCCTTCAGCATGGCCGTCCAGCTGGACCCCACTGCTTCCATGGCGCCCTGGGGCGTTGCCTACTCCCTGGGACCAGGCGCCAACAGGTACTGCCCTCACAGAACCAAATATTCACAACTGAATAAAAAATGCTAGCTTAGCAAGCATCTCTGATGCTTCTCTGATGCCTGCATGGCCATGTGAAGAGCTCGCTGAAGGACAAATACATCGGGCTCTACATGACTTATGAACTCAGCTGTACCAGGATCGTTGACATGTGGACCAAACGCAAAGCAGTATTGCCCCCAAGCAAACCCGAGAAGCTAGGAATTTCCTTGTGAGAGCATGCATGCAGAAGCACCATGTTTTGGACCGCTAGGTTGAGGCGTCAGCACTTGCTAGAGTACGCCCGTCTTCGGGGCGTCTCTAAATAGCTCTTGAGTGTGAATTTGCATGTGCGCTGCAGGGAGGTGGTGACTGAGCCGACCTGGTTCCCCTCCTTCAGCCCGGAAGATTTTCCGGCCTGCCTGGAAGCTGCGCAGAAGTCGCTCGCGCTGGCTCGGCAGGCCGTGGCCGACAACCGCGCAGACCCGCAGGTGACCAACTGTTGGCGCCATCTTTCCCTCCCTTTCTACTCGTACCAGGAAATTACAGACATTGCCACAACCCTGGCAGTCGCGGGAAAGTGGGTTTATCAGCCGCGCATACAGTTGGGCTCTGTTCTGCGTCAATTTCGAGGAAAGAATCACCACCGGACTGGAAGCTGCGCAGAAGGCCGTGGCCCACAACCACGGAGACCCGCAGGTCACCGAGTATTGCATGCAACCATCTTTCCTTCCCTATTTGTAATATTCGCGACTTTAAGGCCTGAAATGAGATGTCCTCTGGATGGGGGCACCTTGTTGCTAGCGATTGGAAATCAGCCACACTGAAATAAACAGTCCTGCCATTCGCGTGCTGGGTTGTTGAGATGAATGTGCTTGCAATCAGGCTGTGTCCTGCGTTGGTCTTGAGCAAAGAGCCCATCAGCATGCCGAAGGCAATCCCAAAACTCTGAGGCCTCATGTAAAAGACATCACAGCCTGGCCAGCCTGTGCCGCGACCAGGATAGTAAGGACATATGTATCCTTCCGTCACAGTGCGACCGTAATCCCTGCACAGGAGATGTCCACAAGCAGTGGCTTAGTGAATCTGTGATTTGTGTTGCAGCTTCTGCAGAAGGAGCTTGCTTACGCGGAAGCTCAGGTGGCCAGGTTTGAGAATGGGACGGCGCTGCAGCCGGGGCGCAGCAAAGCGCAGCGGCGGTACTCGCAGCTTATGGAGGGCATCGGTGCGCGCTTTCAGTGATCTGGATGACAGATTGTGATTAGTAACCAGTTGTGCACTGTTGCCAAACCCGGGGAGAATCCAGACAGGATGAGGCGCCGTGAAGGGCATTCATGGAGTCCCTTGTGAGCAATGTGAGCAAAGTAAGGCACAGAAGAGGGCTTGAAGCCGAAGAGTACTGCATTAAGACTGAGAAGCCCACTGTCCGCTACAGGATGCTGCCTTAAGGCCTGAAAGATACCGTGGGGACGCATACATCCATGCAAAATATTTTCTGTATGAAGGGAATTGCTGTGGTGCAGTCTCTCTCGTCTTGATATCCTTTCATATCTAACCATCGTGTGCTTTGCAAAGAAGCCAGTGTCTAAAAGGGGATTTGTTCCGTGCAGGCGACAAATACAACGATGTGCACGCGTGGGCATTGGCGGCAGAGGGGTACATGACAAATACACAGTGGAATTACTACGACGGGTCCGGTCAGCTGCGGCCAGATGCTGAGGTGGCGGGGCGCCTGATCAGGCGCGTGCTGGAGGCTGATGCAGGGAACGCCCTCGCACACCACCTTCACATCCACCTGGCAGAGACCGCCAGGCAGACCAGGTGACAGACACCTGTATTGACTGTCTTAAATAAAGTGCTCTCCAAGTGTCTGTCCTACCAGTAGTACAAACAGAAGGATCCAAATCGCTTCTTTATTGCAGCAACTGTCCTGACACAGGTCCTGACATAGGCGAGGGGCCCTGGGTCAATGGATCACACTCACATCATTTCAAGATATGCTTGTCACGGCTTAAAGCTACAGCTCGTGGATTTGTGGATGGCAGTCCTCCTTTCCCATGTCTTCTTGGCCTGCCAGGGTGTTTCAATGTGTCCTGTTTCATTACATATTTAAGCCAATGTCACAACGCACTTGATTCGCTTCCTCCCTGCACGTCCGGCCAGTGGTAGGCTACAGCCCCACTTTACATATCTTATATATGATGGCGTGCATGAGTTCCTGGCTCTGGTGCGCAGTGTTGCGAATCTGCCGAGCCCCAAGGTAGCAGAGGGTTCGGGCGTGGCTATGACCTTCACAGCCGGGCCCTGGGAAGACAACTTTGGGCACCTGCTGCACATGCCCGGCCACATCTTCATCAGGTGACATACGTTATTGTCCGCCCTTCATTTTCACTGTATTGTGGTGCGGTTGATTACCACAAGCAGACCAAAACCCAGAGCACAGAGCATACAGACTGGGCGTCCGCAGCGACATCCGCAGGGCCTTCATCAGTCTGCAGCCCAGCACTTGTGTGATTTTCACTCCCTAGACTTATGCCTTTCGGCATGCAAGGCTTATCTGCCTTCCTTCACCTGAAGTTCCTCTGGTCTGTGACGCAGACTTTCCTGCAGATGTTATAGCTATGTGGCTGCACCACAGGTGCAACAAGAGGCGGATGACGGCAGCCCTTCTTGCACGCCTTGTCTGTCAGCCTGCTCCACGTTATAATTGCTCATTCGATGACTTGTGTCTCATTTCTAAGATGACTGCGCTGCTCATGTCTGCAGGGTGGGGCGATGGAAGGATGCGGTGACTGCCAACATTCGGGCATACGGGGCAGACATGGCGTATACGGAGCAGTGCATGGTGGCATACGGGCCGGAGCACAACACCGACATGCTCATCTATGCTGCCAACATGGCCGGCATGGTGCGAGAAAATATAGGGCAACAATCGTGGCCTTCTCGCTATGTGATCCCCAATGTGCCAGGCAGGATGTGGGAGCGATCTGAGCAAGGAGGTGCTGCCATGCTCAGATCGCTCCCACATCGGCATGGCTGCAACGTGTTGCAAAATGGATCAGCTCTTTTGCTCATATTCTTGGAGATTGTGAGGAGGTTTGGTGTCAGGAACCTGCATGCATGGGTCCCCATAGACGGGAAATGTGCAATCCTTTCGCAGTTGTACCACGAGTGAAAGGGTGATTTGATCCAATCAGTCCAGCATGTGGCAGCATTGACCTGGTGCACGCCTGCCAACATATAGTACCATTCCTTTGTAGTGAAAGGCATGTGTTATGAGCAACGAGTGAAGATTGTGGATTGCGTGCAGGTTGGAGTGGCGGAGGAGTATGGGACCAAGCTCCGCTTGTACCAGGATGTCATGCACCCTGCTGCCTATGGCGACTCAACTCGTGAGTGGGCGCATCTGGTTCTAACAAAGGTAACTCCTTCTCGGGGGGCCCCTGTCAAAGTCTCCGATCCTCATCAACCTTGGCACGGACAATGACTAAGAGATGCTGCAGCCTATTAGTAATATATCATGTATCATTTGAGACTGATGTGCGCGCTGCGATGGGCTCTGCAAGTGGTGCGCATGCAAACGCATCTACTCGTTGAGCATGTCATCATCTGCCGGCTAGATTCACCCTTGCGACATCTTCTTGATCTGAAAGGGATGTTGCTTGGGTGTATCTGGCTGGCAGAAGACGACATTATACTCTGCCTGATACGCTTATATTTGTATCAGTAGCATGCATAGAGCATCCGTGGGCTCATGGTTCACTGCCCGGCCCTCTGAAAGACACGGGAGGTCTGCATGCAAGAGTATCACACATTTCACTGGAGCAGGGCCATTGTGGAGCTTTCTGCAGAATGCACGGGCGTCTTGAAGCTGAACAAGTCACAGTGTTTACTGAGCAGGCGCAATGATTGCGGCAGGTGATATTTGGCAAGTGGGACGATATTCTGGACATCAAGTCTGTGCCGGAGAATGCGCGCGGCCAGTGTCCGATTGGCGGGCCGCAGTATGCGAAGGCGATCTTTCACTATGCGCGGTAGGATCCTCATGTTTCCCCTATGTTTCTGCCCGTGTTCAAGCAACACTCGATGTCTTCACTAGCGTCAGCTTGCGGCAAAACGGCAACCAGTCCGGGAATGTAAACCTCCAATTTGTCACGAATGGCGACTGCCTTCTGCACCAGTGCCCCGAGTTCAATGCGGTGGAATGGTTTCCTGCCGCGCAGTATGGACTGAGTGTGGGGGACAGTCTATAATATTAACTCCATGGTGTTCCACCATCAGTTCGTATGTAGGCACTTCCGCACCTTCTAAGCATCAAGCGAACTCAGCTCTGACAGCCTCCAACGCTTCTTTGCAGCACAATGATCTGTCTTGTGTGGGCACAGAGTAGGCTCAATTGAAGGGATGACTAAAGGTGACTGATGCTGACGGGGCAGGTCTCTGGCGCTAGCGGCCAAGGCGGCGGCGGCAGCTGCGCGCGGATTCGGGAGTGACAGGGAACGCCTGCTGGGACTGGCGCACGCTGAGCTGGACCTGCTCAAGGTTAGTCACCACTCCAGCCCAAATAAGTATTCCTGTCATCAAATGTGAGGACCTGCAGGTTGGGCATCCTTGTTACAGCTTGCAGAGCAGGGATGTCTGGAAGACAAGCCTGGCTCAGGCAATTGCACTCGGCCAGTTGAAAGTTGAGAGAGACAGAACATGGACAGACACACTATCAACATGGAAGGTTGTAGGTGTTGCTGTGCGCTTTTCGCTACACAGCGCTGCACCAGCACTCACTTCCAACTCCAATAGGCCGCCCAACCCCTTATTGACCTCTCTCTTGCGTTGTCCTGTAGTGTCCTGGATGAAAACAGCAGAGAGTGCCTACATGAGAGACAGTTGTCTAGTATCCATCCTCCTGGACTATCATCCCAAATGGCTCCTGCCAGGGGTAATCAGAACCCACCTTCAATACCCCCTGCTCCTGTCTATAGTAGGGGGAGTATAAAATTGTTTCTGTTCTTTGCGCAGGCCGCCGAGGAGAAGGTTTTGGATGAGGAACCGACGGTTCCAGGGGAGCCGCCAGGGGTGTATGGCTGCGACTACAAGGGTCTTACGCGAATTGCGATCCTGCACGCGGGCGCCAGGCTGGACCTTTTGAAGGGTGACTCAGCGGTGAGGCCGCCCTGCAGCCCTTGCACCAGCTTTCTGTTACATTCTGTATCCTGTGGAAAGAAGTTTGTCCGGCAAGACGCGCATTGCTGTTCCACGTCTGCGGCCCGGGCATTTGTGGGAACTTGCAAGACATGCCAAGACCGAGATATACATCTGCCTTAGGCACAACGGTGGCTGAAACATTGCATGGTGTGCTTGGTCTGTGCCATCATGAGTTCAGGATGATTGGAACAGAATTGTTTTCTCTTATAACACAGCCCTTCCCCTAACGCACGCTCTGCCTTCGGTTCTTGCTGCATCTGTCCTTGCCACACTCAAAGGCGGCTGTTCCAGGATTGGGCAGTCACAAGACATTTCAAAAAAAGGCTACCACAGATTGCCATTGTGGCCAGGTTGCAGAGCACCCGACAACTTGGTGCTTCAGCTTCAAGAAGGACTGAATTGCAAGGATTTCCTGTGTGGCATGCGCAGGCGGCTGTGGAGAAGCTGGAGGCGGCAAAGGCGGCAGAGGACGGCATGTCTTACATGGAGCCGCCGCGGCTGTGGCAGCCCATCCGCCACTGCCTGGGATTTGTGCACCTCAACGCCACCGGAGACCATGCCGCCGCCGACAAGGTGAGCCAGCCACCCGGCCGATCCACCCTTACTCTGCTGCGTGCTTCGTGCCTCAGCTAACGCTCGCCAAGGTTGGGTGCAATTGAGATCGATAAAGAAAGAGATCAGAAGACTTACATGCAGTGCGGGCGTCAGGCAGGAAAAAAGGCGGCCTCACGCTTTGTATGCAATGCATGCAACATGCTAGAGACTTCTAGCCCAGGAGAATTGCTAAGCCAGCAGCCGCATGTCTGCTCTGTCATGGAGTTCCTCCATATAGATGAGGGCCTCCATGTCTTCATCTTTTCGTCCTCATCGTACTCGCTCTCCCTCACCCAATGCAGTTCACTCTCCGTGCTGCAGTCCTTCAAGTGCTCTGCACGGATAGCCCAAGGCGTGCCATGCATTGAATATAGCATGGAGGGACCTTATGCGGGTTTTTTGGGCACAACCTGCCTGTCTTCTGCAGAGGCTGAGGACGCTGGTTCATCTCAAGACAGCCATGAGCCCAGAGCGTGTCCTTTGCACTGGCCCTGCTTGCTTCAGAAGGCTTGCAAATCGCAGCCTTGCAGGCAGAGATGTTTGTCTTGTCCTCAAAGTGTGCATCTGTGCAGATTGAAGAATTGCAGAAACAGTCACATCTGCAGCTTTTCAACTTGCTCGTGATCCAATGTTATGTCATAAGGGCATGAGGAAGATTGGCATGATCTGCAACACCACCTGAGCTCCGGATAGTGCCTTTTTGTTGTCGCAGGCGTACACAAAATGCTGCACCATTTTGCTCGCTCATGAGCCGTAATTTTTGGGCACAGGCATACAGGGAGGATTTGGTGGAGCTGCCGCGGAACGGCTGGTCGCTGCTGGGCCTCGGGCAGGTGCTGGCTGCCCAGGGCAGTCCGGAAGGGCAGGGGATATTGTCCAATGACTTTCCCGCCGCATGGGCCGACGCTGATGTCACCCTTGACAGCAGCTGCCTGTCGTTTTCCAAGTTCTGAACGGCGCCTGTTCAGATTTGCGCAATTGCTGCACGGCCGATATCCTGGTCGAGTCTGGATGGAAGTTGAACAAGGAGAGAGCGGATTTAGGAAAGAGAGCGCAAGTGCCAGATTAGGGAGGAAGGGCTCTGCAGATTCTTGAAGCTGTGAGTAAATGGCCCCGGGCAAACTTTCATACAAACTTTGAAGTCTGCGGCTGTTAAGACGGCCAGCAATGTGAGGCTGTTATTACTGACAGTTTCTGCGATTTTCTCAGTGCAAAGTGCCTCCTGGCACATCAAATCAGTCGGAGTTTTTGCTGCCAACTTATGGACATGTCCAAGGCACGTACAGTCAGGTTTGTGCAATGATGGGTGTCGTCTAGTCAGCTGATCAGCAGCTCACGAGTTAGGGTCGCTTTGTTATCTCTTCCTCGCTGCATCTGGATTTTAGTGCATCTGTTCCTTTGCGGTGCGTTACTTTATCCTGCTGAGACAGTGGATATAGAGCTCGCTACAGCGTACTATCACAGTTTGCTTGAGCTGGATTAAGGTTGACTCAAGCTTCAAGCTGTCAATCTTGCCTTGTATATATACATGCATGTGCATGCGCATGCTGGTGCGCATGATGAAATGTGTAAGAATGAGCACAGCGAGCTTAATTTCTTCTCAAGTGACGTACTTGTCCACCCTGAAGTGCTCTTGATTACCATGTGAATATCAACTCTATTCTCTTCAGATACTTCCTCGTTCGGCTCCAAAGTTGTTCCGTATGCGGGACAAAGTGGGTTCCGTAATGAGGCTGCAAGCAGAAGTGGTACTGCATGAAGATTTTCCAATGCAGCGCGGATATACGATCGATGTTGCATTGATTCAATTCATTGAATTGGCGAACCTCCGGAACAGAAAAGTAACGTTCATAACGTGGTCCAGGCGCACAGTGGCTGGGCCATGAGAGTGCGATCTGCTGTGAAAAGGCTGTGTGACGCTTGCCGCGTGGTGAAGCGAAGAGGAAGGCTTTTTATTGTTTGCAAAACCAACCCAAAGGTATCTAATCATCGCCATTTTGTCGTGCGTTTGGTGCTTGTTACAGCAAACTACTGTGCCTCCTGTGCTTTGACATGGATCAACTGTGCCTGTGCAGCACAAGCAGCGGCAAGGGTACCACACTCTCGCAGGAGAAGTCCCTGTGCCGCTAGAGCCATCTGTCTTGCCAGCCCAGATCCCTTTCAGGTGAACATCCCGTGCTGCTTTGTTCCGTTCCCTTGCTTCTGATCATTACTGATCGACATTGTTGGCGCCTTTTAGATCAAATTTTTTCGAATGGCACCAGAAGTGAGAAGGAGGATAGGCTCCCCTTTTCGCTGCAAGGCACAAGCTAAACTTACTAGCTTGCAACTTGCAGGACTGGCATCGGTGGCAGCGCAAGCGTGGGCGAGAAGCTTTGGAGCAGCTCTCAGCAATAGAGCGCACCTTTATTTTTTTCATTTGGTGAGTGTTGCGGGAACATCAGAGACTAGAGCAGCTGGGACTGGGAGGCAGGATGGATCAGGACAGCAGTGATGAAGAGGGGGAAGGCTCCAAGTTGGGCCGCAAGGAGCACTGGGACGAGACGTATGCCCTAGAATTGGATAATCTTCAGGAGCATGGGGACGAAGGGGAGATCTGGTGCGTGGCTGCGCTGAAGCTGCTGAAGATCTGCCAACGCGGTGCCCCAGTCTGTGCATTCTTCCTAGTGTGCATTCTTCCCAGCCTTGCTGGCGTCGTGTGTGAGATACGGTGTGTACTGTTCAAGGCAAACCCTTGCCAAGGTGCAAATGGCGTTCCAAGGTGCCCAACAGTCAACTCAGGGGATAGCAATGAGAGTGACCTAGCTCTGTCCGTTTATGGTTCCAGCAACTTAAGAGGGCCATGCTCAAACTTTCTGTGGGTATTTGTGGGGACTTTGCCGCCTCGAAAATCTTTCAAGGCAGACGATGTGCATTGGCACGTACAGAGGTTGTCTGACAGTTGTTGTTGACGTCATCTGACGTGTCCAGGTTTGGAGAGGACGTAATGGACATGATGGTAGGCTGGACAGAGGAATTGGTGCACAGAGAATACCCCTCACAGGCCTCGGACGTAGCAATCTTGGATGTCGGGACCGGCAATGGCGTGTTGCCCCTGCAGCTTGCTCACCTCGGATTCACCAACCTGACCGGTGTGCACCCTGAACCTCAAAACATGCGATAAACATTGAGGCTTGCCATGCCTCTGCAGCTTGCAAGCCTCGGCTTACAGATTGAACAGAAAAGAAAATGGCATGTGCTCGAGAGCAGCTGGTTTCTGGCCTCTTCAGAGAAAAAGAGATGTGGGCAGATCAAGCATTTTTAGTACGAGAGAGGGCATGCTTCAAAACCAAATGCATATTTGTTAATGGTGCATGCATAATTGTTAATGGTGCATGCAGTTGAAGCTTGTGGCAAACCATACTTGATGTTGGCAACTAAATAATATTATTGTGGTTGTGCTGTTTGTCAGGCAGTGACTACAGCGCTGCAGCCATTAAGCTGGCGGCTGCAGTGGCAGAGCGGCGCGGTGTGCGGTCTGTGAATTGGGTTGTGGACGATCTCCTGCACAGCAGCATTTCTGACAGGTGAATTGCCAACCTTCATCCCTCAGTCGTTGTCACTGTTCATGGACAGGCTGTGATTCGATATCCAATCAGAGGCCGTCGTGCATGCCGCACGCTTATACTGCACTTCTGATGAAAGTCAGAAGTTTGCCATCTAGTTCACATCTGGTTGCCAGAGGCCCACGTTGAGGCGCCTTCAGCAGGCTCGGACTCATGCCTGAGCAACAGTGCTTTTAAGCACTGCCTTTCAAATTAGTGGTGAATGCTGTGCGGACAATACAGCATAGTGATGCAGAGATTTGACTGCATATCACCACTGGTGCAAGAAGCACTGACCAAGAGGAGATGCTGCTCGCAGGTTCGAGGTGGTCACAGACAAGGGCACGTTTGACGCAGTGGGCCTCTCCCAGGATGCAGCAGCCAACAGGAAGTTGTACATCACTGCAGTCAGCTCGCTGCTGAAGTCTGGGGGTCTCTTAGTCATCACATCTTGCAACACCACCCGGGAGGAGCTCACTGCCGAGTTCTGCGGCAGCAGGGGTTGCACACCTCGGAATGTTGATGCTCAGAACAGTGGGGTGGCTAGTGATCACAGAGAGGGACGCAGCCTGAATGGTGTCGAGGGGCTATCAGAGTCAGGTGCGTCAGCGGGTGGGGGAATTTTTGAGTATGTAGACCATGTACGGACATACCCAATGTTTCGGTTTGGCGGGGTCGAGGGCAGCAGAGTGTGCACGGTTGCGTTCAGACGCATCTAAGTGCTAGCTATGCTGTGGCACTCAGCGCTGACCGCAGCAGCTAGCTGTCAAGACTGCTGTTCGTTGCAGTGCCTACAGAATCGCAGGTATTTTAATTTTTTGTGTGACACTAGAATTGCATATACCGCAAAGATGCACCTCAACGTCCGGCATGCACTGTCTTGGGTCCTGGTTGCATTGCATTTCTAGCTTAAAACTGACATTACGAGCTCACGCTCGCATGTTAAATAAGGCGACAGAAGCATCTGCAGCGGTGGCTCGATACCCGCGCCTAAGCAATGTAATATGCTTCAACAGACAATGCCCAAGACTCGTTTGCATACGCATGCAAACCCATGCAAAACGCAATCAGCGAAAACATTGTGAGTTGACCGGTACCACCGCAATATCAGCGTGCTGCATGCCGAATCTTAGCTAAGCATAAGTTTTATAGAGTGATGCCACTATTAGTACCCATTTCGGGCCAGTTCACATGCAGCGGGCAACTATTCCTCACTCCACAGTAAGAAGCAGCCAGCAAAACTTGTAGGCTCATCAGCGGGCCTTCTTGGCGGCATGGCGGCTGAGGTGGATGAATACGTCAGTGGGATTACGTGACTTGCGCGTCTTATACCCCTTTGTGGGTTTGCCCCAGGGGGTCTGGCTGATGCGACCCTTGCGCTTGCCGCGGCCGCCGCCGTGTGGATGATCCACCGGGTTCATCGCCATTCCACGCGTCTGTGAAGGCCACACACACATCAGATAAGCTTACTGCATTGAGGAAATTTGCACAGCGCTGCGGTGCAAGTTGCCCCAGTGATCTTGTGCTGCACATTTATGCACCGACAGCGACAGAACAACAATTTCCTGATCTGCAGCAGCTTGTCTGCTAGCAGATTCCGGTTATCAATCACCCTACGTGCAGTTCCCAGCTGAAGAGCATTTGATAACAGCGGGGAACAAGCCACTAAATATTCTGCTAAACAACTCTGCAGCAACCAGCACTACGGTGTCGCATGAGAATAGCACAGCAAAATCGCCGTACGTGCCGGAAATGGCACCTTTGTGAGGCACGCAGGCAAGGAATGACCAGCATCATGGTCCCTTGCTTTGGATTGAGCACACCACCCTGCAGTATTGGCTTCCCTGAAAACAGGAAAGAAAAAAGGTAGAGGCAAGGAGTCGAACCGTGGGCCTCCTGCCGGACCAGCGCGCCGCTCCAGCCTTGCCGAGCTTGCGGTTCTTGTGCTGCGGGTTACTCAGCGCGCCCACCGTCGCCCGGCATGCCGCCAGCACCCGCCGCTGCTCCCCCGATGGCAGCCGCACCGTCGCATACCCGTCCGCACCTGCACAGCCATTCACATGCCTCATGCATTTGTGCATAAACTTCAGGTCCCTGCTGACTGTATTACTGTCGTCTGGCCCACCAGTTCTTAGCCTTTCCAGTGAGCTTACGAGCTCTGGCAGCACTTCAGCAAGGCACTAGCACACCCTGTAGTCTGTGGTGATGTTCGCAAGCAGCCGGCACAGGTCTGCCATGGACCATGAGGTTTACATAAGCAAAGAGACGCCAGAACGCCTCCTCCCGCAGTCCAATCCAAACCGATCCAAGGGACAGGGACCTCGGGTGCCAATTTTAGTACCATTAGAGCAGAGGAGCAAAAGTGTTGGAGGCCAGAGGGGAATGGAGGGCTAAATGCAAATCATATAAAAGGCACCTCTGGCAATGAGTGTGGCAGAAGTGCCTGCAGACCGCGCCATCTGGCCGCCCTTCCCCGGCCGCAGCTCCACATTGTGTATCTGCGCAGCCGACAAAAGCAGAAGATCAGATCACCAACGATGTCCATTCCACTTCAGCCACATGGCAGCAATCTGGCTCTGATGTCAGCGTGAGCGACAGAGAAGTGTTCGGTCTTGCACTCTTCAGGGAGATATGCATTCAGCAGATATCGGAGCGTGCATGTGGGAAATGGCGAGCAGGAGATTGCAGCATGTCAGCTGGTTACTGCAAATTGCAAGACTACAAAGCACAAGAAACGCGGAATACCCAGACAGCTGCAAAAGGAAGAATATACAATGTGATCGATCATGAGCCTCTGCCGAGGTGTCTCGTGCGTTACAGCATTTCCGTTTCACCAGAAGGAAAGGCAGCACTTCCTATTCACCCTGGTCATCAGTCTGCATTTCAGCTTGCATCTGGGTTTAAGTGAACAATATACATGGGAGCACTAGCACCTGCTGGCCGATGGGCATGGCGGAGAGGGGGAGGGTGTTGCCGGGGTGGATGGCAGAGGTGGGCCCCGAAGTGATGCTGTCACCAGGCTTCACCCCTTGCGGCGCCAGCACGTAGGTGAATCCGTTCTTCACGCCAGCCGCGGATCCTGCGAGCGCATGCAAAAGTGACTGCCATGTTTCATTGGTGTCTTTGGTTGTTGTGTCGATCACAGATGATCATGGGGCATGTTATGCAGGGCCTTTGTCCAGTGAAGGGCTGCCCATCAGGCACTGCGCTGCCTGTTCTGCCTTCCTCAATGTTCTGGAAAAGGTCTGCAAAGCACCTCCCTCGTCACACGCAAAGAGCAACGAAACTTTTGGCAAATCAGCAGCTGGTTTGTCAAGCAGGCTTCCTATTACACTTGAGAATTCTGACATCCCTTGGAGGCGCCCAGCAAGCAAGAATCAGCGCTGACCTTCTGGGTATTTGACAAGGGCAATGCGCGCAGTTCTGTTAGGGTCATACTCCAATCGCTCCACAGTGCCCACCTCGCCCTCGTGCCTCCTGCTAAAATCAATCTGCAGCCGCACAGCCAAGAATTGTCAAAAGATCCCCACAAGAACAGGTAACATGCAATGATTATTAGCTGCTTCCGGCCTTATGCAGATGAATTTTGCCACCACAGAATTTCCGAGGTGGGGCAAATAACATGCTGGTCTGAAGGTCTGGTACAGCAGCATTGGAGCTGGTGAAATTGTGCAGGTCAGTCACGCATCTCTTGGTGCTGTGGTGCCACAGAGGGACACCATAGTGGGCTGCCATGTTCTTCAATACACGCTGCAGGAAAGGGGGCGCACAAATCTGTACAGGCGCTTGCTGCCGCCGCCGCGGTGCCACACAGTGGTGCGGCCCTGGTTGTTCCGGCCTCCGCTTTTCCGCAGGCCCATCGTGAGTGGCCGGTATGGCCTGCCAGCCCATAAGTCCTCCCGGGTCGTCACTATGCGCCCCCTCAGCCCTGCAGCGCATTGCAAACGATCAACCCCGTTTGCAACGTGCACACCTCAGTCCTGCATAGATCCTCCGTGAAGTATGATTGGCTTGCATGCGTCCGCCATTGTGATCACAAACTGGCAAATAAGGGAGATATGGGATTGTGAAAGCTGATGGACGTCTGCTGATGAGAGTTTGATAGGAACAGAACAGGAAAGGGGCAGCCCAGGGGAGCTCACCAGGCGTCGTGGGCTTGTAGACTTTGAGGCCTGCATTTGTGGAGTTGTGCCGCAGATGCAGGAAGCCCACCCACCAGTCTGCCAAGCAGGTCAGCCCTACATAAGATCAACACACCAGAGATCAGGCCGAGAACTATTTTGGGACACTCAGCAAACTCAGAAGTGCGAATGCTCAGGTCAGATGTCATTGAGTGAGAAGTGGGAAAGTGCACACCCTGGCCCTGGCAGCTGGGCAGAACAACGCTCGTCGATTTTTGTGCCACCGTATCCTGCGAACAATACACGAAGAGGTTTTGGTCTAGCAAGGAGATGATACAAGCCTGGCAGCTACTCCATGCCACTTGTCTGGGGTTCATGAACGACAATGCTATGCTTTGTGAATAATAAAAGAATAATGATTATACCTGCGACCCCAGAAGACCGCTGCATAACCTTTGCAGGCCTGAAGAACGAGCAAACCTCTGCAGCATCGCAGCCGAGAGTTTGCGGCGCCCACGCTGATTAGCAACTAAAACTCGTAGATGGAGAGATAGAATGCCAAATATATTGTTGTGAGCTGACAGATGTAGGCTAACAACAGAATTGCTGGTCGCAAATTCTAGACGTGCCCCAGATCAACTACCTATTTCTTCCCCACAGTAGAATAGGCCATTCGATGCTGACGAGAGAGTATTGCAGCGGATAGATAACATTTGGCCGATGGATTTTCAGCTGTGATCGATGTTGCAGGTGTGCCATGCATAGCAGGGGGTGGATCGTGGTCACTCGTCGGTCCACCCTGAGTGACAAGGACATGCCCAGAATTCCCAAGATAAGCATCTCTGGGACGTATAAAGTTTGGAACACTGCTGAATAGGTTCGCATTTGAGGGTTTAGAAGGTGTTCCAGGTCAATCTTCCTTGTCTAGGAATTTGGCAAGAGTGGCTTGGTCAGCATGGAGTGATGGGCACGCCATCGGTGCTGTCTGTCGCGGGTCCAATGCGTCCCTATGCATCCACACCTGCCAAGTTGCCTTGTGATAGTCCACAAATCCCCTTTACAGCCCAGAGCTGCCCACGTTGCTGGCCTCGACGTGCTTTTGGACAGAGGCAAAATTTCAGCAGGAGCAAGAGGCAACAGCATGCTAGAGCCGTGAGATGTTGCAACACAAATGCATTTCAGGGAGGCAGCTTCGGCTCAGCATCCCATGAGCACAATGTTCGGCTCACCACCAAGCTAAGATCTGCCTCAGTCAGGACAGCTAGCACAACATCCATGCCTGTGCCTGGAGGCAGGGACTTCTTTGCGTGGTTGGTGGACCTCCCATGGAACCGTGTGGGCGTCTGGGTGGTTGTGGCCTGGTTCATGTACCAATTGAAGGACTTCTTTGGGGTGTGCTCCTGCCGCCTAGCTCCCACTGCCTCCCATTCAAGAGACCCTGCCCCTGCTGTGGCCCACAAGCCCCCAAAGCTGTATCTCACACATTTCACATCCATGCCTTTAATTATTGGTCACATCCCAAGTCCTTCAGCGGATGTGGTGAACTGTTGCCCATGTGCTGCAGATCGCTATGGGCACGTTTGTGCTGTCCTTCATCGGGAATGGCTTTGTGCGGAGCGCGCAGCGGACGATGCCCTTTCCAGCGACCATCCCTGTCGGGATGCGCCGCAAGTTCCTGGTCCTCCTCTACTTCACAGCAATCGTGTCGTGCGTGACGCTGTTTGGCGTGATGACCATCCCTGACATCATCCGCGAGGCCGCCGACTTTGTCAGCCGGCTGCAGAGCGACTCCATCTGGGTCGTCGTGCTGGAGAAACTGCGCCAGGGCCTTGGGTGTGTACCCCTTGCTTCTGGGGGATAAAGAATGAGGTCGGGGGTCAGTTGAAGCCATGCATGCTGGTGGCTGTGTTGGCTGCATGCACATGGATTGCAGAGAAGAGATCAATCATCACTTTTTCCAGGGCTTCTTCCAATTACTTCTGCTAAATCAAGGGCCTGGGCATCGCAGCTCAGCATTGGAGTAGACAAGAAAATTGCACTTGAGTTTGCACATGAGATTTATGGGCTGTGCAGGGATGGCATGATGGAACAGTTGGAGCGATTCCTGCTCGTCGCCAGCGGGGATGAGCTCACAGGCGCGCCCCACTTACGTTGTCCGTACTTTTTGCACTCGACTGCACATCCAAAGAACGCGATAGCTCGATGAAGTCATCTGCTGTGCCGCCCCGCTCGAGCAGCTGATGCATCTCAAACACTGCATAGCCATCTCTGATCAGCGCTGCACTAATGCGGCGCCGAACCATCAGAGATGGCTATGCAGTGTTTGAGATGCAACAGCTGCTCGAGCGGGGCGGCACAGCAGATGACTTCATCGAGCAGTCCCACTCTCTGACACTCCCAGAGATGTGGGCGCCACTGGGTGGCCTTGATCGCAGCAAGTGCTTTCATTTCTATTGGATGGGATTTGCTGCAATCCTGCCCACTCTATGGTACCCACAGTGTACTCAATGCAATGCATGCGACAGTGGAGCACTTGAGCTATGCCTGCCATAAACGCAAGCTTATCTCAGGCTCTCTTGAAGGTCAATTTGATCTGCACAAGGGGCCCTTGGCGCAGCCTGCCTGCTCTGTTGTGCCGACAGTGTCTATAGAATGCATGCGTTGTCAAGGGACAGACTGAGCTCAGCCCACCCACATGAGAGATCAACCTTTGATGTCAATTGATCTGCGCAGGGGCAATCGGCACCAACGGCGCGCAGTGGCATTCGTGGACGGCGGAGAGGACGGCCTACCTGGGCCTGGTGCTGCAGAAGATGCTGCGCGGCTACACCGAAGCTGCCGTCTCCTTCACCTCATCCCTTGTCACTTTTGTTTCACGCTTCGCTGTTCAGGCATGTACCTCTCTCCCCGTTCTATCTCAAAGAAGCCCATGAGCCATTCTGCGGGGCTTCACATGAGCAGCTCTCGCTATAGAAGCTGTGCGCGCCAGCTTGTGTCTGCATATCCTTCCAAGAACGATAGCGCAATCAGAGCAGAGATTTCGCGTCTGCTGTTCTTGCGGAAGTGTGCCAGCTACAAGCCCTGCACACTATTTGTCATTCACCCTCCCTGACCGCTTGATACCCCCACAATACACATGTCAGATCACCTGCATGCTTCCATACGGCATATACTATAAATGAGGTACTCCACATGCAGGTTGGTGTGAGCCTGGTGCTGAGTTTCATGGTGGTGTGGGATCTGCCCACGATATCGCGCGGAGTGTCGTCCCTGCAGACCAGCCGCCTGGCGCCCATATACAACGAGGTGGCCCCCTCCGTCGCCGTCTTCGGCCAACTCTTCGGCAAGGCCCTGCAAGCCCAGGTGCGCAGCACTCAAGCAGTAATTTCGATGTTGCCAACTTCCTTGCTGGAGGCGCAAGCACCTCAGGCAGCTGTTCTGGGCGCAAATGTGGTTTGATTTTGTGAGGACGTTTGCGCCCATGGGTCAGTTTGGGCGGTTCCCTGGAAGTAATTTATGCATGCGGTAAGGCTCTCCATGGGAGTATCGCCTCCCTAGGCTGAGCACGGGCCTGCTGAGTTCAGCGAGGCCAACACTTTTTGGAAAGCTCTGCAGCATGTGAGCCTTACCAGTGCTGGTTCCTGCTCTGTATCCAGTGTGGCGGACAAGGGAGGAATTCGAGAATCTGTGAAGCGCAGCATTTCCCTTTCCACTAATCAAATTGGTGAACTCATTGGCCCGCCGTCTCTGAGGTTCTCATGCACACGCAGTGCTGGCCAAACAAGCCTGTTGGTAAAGCTGGAATATCAAAAGTTGAAAAATCTCGTTTGCGCTGGTGAAGAGCATCGCTTATCGACTGGAGTGGTCTGCAGGCGCGCATAGCGCTGGTGAACACGGCGCTGACGGCGGCAGGCATGTGGACCCTGGCGATTCCTGGCCTGGGCCTGCTGTCGCTGTTTGTTTTCATCTGCTCCTTCATCCCCATCGCCGGCTGCTTCATCTCCACCGTGCCCATTGCATTCGTCGCTCTCACTGAGTACGGCTTCCTCAAGGTGGCTGCCCTCTCTCCCTCTTGCCGCTTTTTGTAGTCCTTGAGATATCAATCAACATCTTGTAGTTGGACTCCCCCATAATATGGCTGCTGTATGGTGCCTGCCCTTGGCATGGCAATGTGCAGGAGCCAAGGCTACTGCCACTTGAGGCGTCAGTTGTCAGGCGGAGCTTTGTCATTGCTGAGAGGGCACTTTGAGCTGGGATGCGGTTGGATTGTGTCGTGCCTGGGGAGCTTGTGCCTGCGGCTTGGGTGGTCGGAAGACCTCTTACATCTTTGGAACCAATATTTGGATATTAAAGCATGCAGTCCAGGTGTCTTGGGTAAAATTGCCATGTGCTGAGTGGAGCTACTTGTGTGCTCCTTGCAGCTGGCGTTGGTGATCCTCATGGTCACGGGCATCCACTTCATAGAGGCGTACGGCCTCAACCCGGCCATCTACTCAGCGCACCTGAAGCTGCACCCGCTGCTGGTGCTGACCGTGCTGGTGGTGGCCGAGCACTCCCTCGGCGTTTGGGGCCTCCTCCTGGCAGGTGTGCACCGCACCCTGCCACATGCATGCATGCATGCATGCATGCATGCATGCATGCATGCAGCTAGGTGGATCTGATTCTATTGTGGCAGCTGCTCGGCAGCTGCAACAGGGTGATTTGAGCATGAATTGAGGGAGAAGTGAAGTTCTTGTGACAGCTGCTGGGGTGCTGCAACTGGTTGACTGCCTGAAGTGAGCCTGAAGTGAAGCATAGGTGTTTGCTCATGAATATCTGTCCTTCTCCCAAGGCCCAGCATTTGCGATGGGCACTGATTCTGTCCTGCAGGGCACACTTAGACACATTGCTCCTTGCAGTGCAAAGTCTATCTTAGTAACAAATACAGCTGCAGATGTATGCTGACGGCATCCCATGCCAGTCCCGCATTGTCAGAGAACAACGGGTTGACTTCTTATTTTGACAAGGCCCCAAACTCCCAGGAGGCTTGCAGCCACCGGGTAATCTAGCGCACAGCTATCCGCCCCATCTTTAGCAAAGAGCTCTGTGTAAGCACACGCAGTGATCATAATCAGACCAAGAATGCATGTGCTTCTGCAGTGCCCCTGACGGTCTTCACACTGGACTACTGCATCCGCTATCCGGCCTGCAGTGTGACTGACGTGGCAGCGCGTGAGCTGGCGACTGTTTCGGTGGCCGACTACGATGATGACGTGGTCTATGACAGCCGCTTTGACCGCTTCATCGATGAGAGCTCTGAAGCCTCGGTCGTGCGCCAATAGCCGATATGCACATTCAGCTCTCAGATCTTTGACAATACAGCCCTGTTGAGTTTCCTGCACTGCAGCATTGTTTGCCGCGGGATGATCTGTGCGGAAAGTATCATGCAGTGTGCGGCAAATAAGGAGCACTGCTCCTCTGATCATGATCATTGCATGGCCCATGGAGACTGGCTCAGGAACACTGACTTAGTTCTGTTGCGATATGACCATGTGTGGTTTGTTAGGAGGGAATTCATGTCATATGGCGCCGTGTGCTTTTGGACTGTTGACATGAGGCGCTTGCCAGTAGCGCTGCAAGCCGGCGAGACTGACTCAATTGGCGGAAAATGTTTTTACAGTACAATGTGGCATGGCCATGACCCAAGCATAAATTTCGCTTCAAAATAAATTCAAATGTTCTGACTCAGCTTGGAGTCGCAAAGTACGTTTGTAACAAGCAGCGCTATGTTTATTATCTTGAAACTCTTGAGCCATGTATGGTGCCATGCATGATGATCCTTGTCAGAGAGAGAGAGAGATTACACTTTTTCCAGCCACACAGGGCTGATTAAGCGTCCCACATATCTCAAACCATCAGTAGCACACACGTCATGAATACTCGAAAATATGCATCCCAGAACGCAGACAAGTATCAACTGCCAAAAAGGACTGCAGGCTGCTTGTGGATGTATGTCGGTCCAAATCAGCGACAAGTTAAGGGCAGGACATGGACGCAAATCACAGGCCAAACAGATTGTGCGTGCTGCGGGTAGGTCCAGCCATTTGCTGTCATTGTAAAGACTGCCCAGATCCTTGCAATAACAGCGCTTCTCGGTGAAACAAGCAAGGGGGGTACCCAATGCCCCACAATGCTTGCCGCCACCTGTATTGCTAAGCTACTACACAGCAGCATGTAGACCCGTACCGAACCAGCAATGCAAGATCACCAAACAGATCCTAAGACCTGCACTTGCACTGTGGATCAAGTACCCCCACAAGGAGCACAGCTGAGTGGTTTGCAAAGGCACACCTGGACTGGCAGGTGTTCAAGGAGCTGCAATCAGGTGAAAACTGCAGGAGGTTAGACTGAGATCTCCTCAAAAGCCCCAATACAGCTTGTATGCGCTTTGTCCTAGGTTTGGACCAGGACCCTGAACATCCTGCCTGGGTTTGGCAGGGCACACACAAGAACGCAACACCGCAAAACCTGCTTGTTCTGTAAAAGGTCTCATGGCCATTTCTATTATTGCGGTCGATTCTTCGCGTCAGACAATGATGCAAACAGCCGTCGCATCCTTCTTTTACTGGTAATGGCGGCTGGCGGCTGTTGCCTCTTCCGCCCCAACCAAAGATTGGCCGTCCTAGATATTCTTACTACTGCGTCATTAAGATCAATTTATTGTTATGCTTCCCAGCCGCTATCGCCTGGCCTCTGTCTGCTCCACTTTTGTATACCCACATTGTTGCTGTCAGGGCCGCCTCTGTTGAAGCGTCGCTTTATGCCCGGCGATTATTTCGTCTAATTACATCCTTTTCATTGAAATCTCTGTGATGTTGCCTGGCTGCTGAAGCCCGACCCAGTTGATCAGTGGTTTATGGTGATGCCGTTAACTGTAAAGGGCCGCCTCTATCGAAGCACCTTGCCCAGCCATTATATATGTTGCCATGATTGTCGAGGAGCCGGATCCCGAAGGACCCAGGCCCCACCCAAAGACATGATACATCATAAGAGTTCAGGCGTTTCAATCTGACTTCTCGCAGGCATGGAAGACTGTAAAGGGCAAATTCTCATGGCAACTTCTTGGTGCGGCACCGAACAGACATGCTCTCTCTGGCATGCTCAACAGAGCAGACTGCATTGCGCAATCCTGTAACTAGCTATCACAGGCACATACGGTTTGAAAGAGTCTCTAGCTCATTTGCCGGAGTTCTAGTAGTGATCATTCCCTGACATCAAATTACGGGCGATGAGCCCTCAAGTGCATTCTTCACGTTTTCTGTTGCATGGCATTGAACCATGCCAAGTGGGTCTTTCTTTACCGGCCTCTCCCAATTTTCACAGCGCACATGCATTTTTGACTCAGATACAGCTCTTTGAGGGCAGAGCAGATGAGACTTGTGCTTATTGCTACCAAGCAGCAGCAGCAGCCAAAATCACAGGGGGTGCTGATTCTGAATGCAGCCCTCGTTGATCATGTCGGGCTCGCCCTGGAACCAGTCCATCCGCTCAAAGGCAACATCATGCACGGAGACCACCCTGTGTGGTGTATCCATGCAGGGGCCACAGCAACCGGCGCAGCCTTACCCCTTGCACCAACGCATGCGCCGGAGGCAATCCGCGCAGCACCCGCACATGCACTGCCGCTCCCAGAAAGGTGCGATGCGGTCTTGCGGCAGGTGAATGCGCTCTATGCAGTGCTCTTCGCATCTCTCCCTGACCAACTGCTTGCCGAGAGGGGTCAGGCTGTCCTGGAAGACCACAACCTGGCTCACGTGGCAGAGCAACCCATAACGGGCCTCAAAGGAGACCACGGGCCCAGCGGTTGCGGCAGTGTCCTGGAGTTCTAGACACAGCGCCCCGCTGCACTCCATGTAGATTCGGTGCAGGTGGGGGCGCGGTGGATGCTTTATGCGAGGACTCAGCCGTGAGATCTGTTGTGCTCCAATCCAAAAGGGTACATTTGTGCTGCACAATGTTCTATGCGTGTTGCAGTCTGTCATTCTTTCAAGACTGTATGCCTGCAAACATGACACAGCTTCATCACTTGACCGACAGCTGTGCGCATGCAGTCTTTCCAGGGAGAGGCTTTCCAAACGGAACGTGTTTTGCAGTCAGCATGCATGCATTGTTGATATTGTTACACGCTCTTTCTGCCAAGGCTGCCACATCTTCTACCCCTCCCTGTTTTTACTGAAGTTTTCCATGTTTTTATTGAAGAATCTCGTGCATTAATGCGATTGAACCAGAAGTCCATTCTGTGAGGCTGCAACTCAGGGCTTGACGAGTCACAAATCTGCCATTCTCGTATTGACCAGGGAATGAAACCTCGGTTTTTGACATTTGATCCACCAAGCATTATCCCCCCAACTTCAACTGCTTGTAAAGTGCACGAAAAAGTGCTGTCTGGTACCACCTGGATTCTAATCATTCCCGATCAATGCTTGCTGCAGATATAGCGTTTTCCCAGGCACATTATGCAACTCATAAGGCTATCTTGCCAAGGCTTGACTGATGGAATCCTCACTGCACAGGTGCTAAGGGGCCGGACATCATGAAACAGGGCGCTCCAAGTAAGGAGGTGGCGGGGAAGCTGATGTCAACAGCAGCTGGCAAGGGGTTGGCAAAGAAGTCCAATTTCAAGGGCGTGACCTGGCACAATTACAACCGCCGCTGGCGCAGCAGCCTCCCAATCGGTGCGTTCTTTTCCTCCGCCCCTTTGTATCCCCTTATAAAGTATGATGATTATCATTATTATTATTATTATTACATTATCATTATTACTATTATTATCATTACACGCTGTCTCTGCCAAGAGGCAAGATGTGTCCTGCAGATAAGCTGCAGTCTATGTGTGCCAGATAAATTCCATGTCTTCATCACCAGGAGCCCCCTGTTAATCAGAATAAGACTGCACCAAAGATAGCCGATTCAGCATTTTTGCTGGTTCCTCCGGTTGATAGCTCAAGCTGCACACTGGCGAATCGCATGCATATAACGATATGCCAGGAAAGCTCACCGCCTGAGTGCTGCAATCAATGAAAATGAGTTTGCGCTTCTTATGATACATTTTAGCTAGTTTGTCGTGCTCCTTTGCAGCATCCTCCTCAGAGGCAAAGTGGCCCAGCGGCTGCCATCTTCCATCTGCATGAGCGCAAAAAATTTCTTTGAAGCAACAATTTTCTAACGGGTATCTGTTGCAGTGTAGTGATGCAGGTCCTGCTTCTCTCGCTGGTGCCAAATGCACTGGCGAGATCCTGCTTCACGCCACTGCAATCACAGCATGCAATAACGAATGGGAGCAAGTAACACTAGCATAAGCTCCCCTGAGGCCACCTTGGAGCGGTGCGGAAAAGGGACTGTTCGACCACGTATTGCTTATTCTCTCAGTGCTAATCAACCGAACGAGAGGGCAATCGCCGTCGAGGCCCAGAAACGCCATCCAGGACACGTGACACTTCTAACTGGGAAGATCCAGTCATCCGTCCATGGCAGATTTAGTAATGTCACGTCACTGAAGCAAATTTGATGTGTGCTAAAACATCAGCATGTACATGTGCCAACAGTGAGAGTTGGGGGAAGTCTCGGATGCGCCAGAATGCTTAAGCAGCTTGTATATTGAAACAGCTGTGATTTGCTATTTTGTTGAGGCCTGGAACTGTCTGCAGGCTTTTGGAATTACCATCTGATGCCCTAAATGCCTGGCATTATCAAATTAGCGAGGCAGCAACATTGCCAAAATCATAAACTCACAGCATGCCACTCACGCCAAAAAGACACCTACGCATAATTGGAACTGGCACATGTCAGGTGGTGAATCTCTGAATATGACAGCATACTGTCACTAAAATTTTGCCTTGTTGCTTGCCACGCTGCTCTCGGAGAAGGCCAAGAGGAAAAGGACGGTTCACAACAGGAAACTCTAAAGAAATGCACGCAGATATACCAATCGACGGACATAGCTATAAGCATGCTTCTGGCACCAAGCAAATCCTGAAAGAATGCAAGCTGGCAGCTGCAGACACAGCTAGAAGCAATAAGAAAGCGCCAAAGTTTTTGAGAAAATGGGCCTTCAATGAAGTCCATTGCGTCTGGGTATAATATGAAACGTGGTACAGCTATTTCTGCATTCAATTGCACCAGAGCCCCGCTAGAGTGCCCAATATAACGCTATCTCACCCTTTTAACACCACCCAGCAATTGGAGCTATTAACAGCTCAGCACAACGCATTGGCATAACAATCTAAAGCTGCTACTGCCATCACCATGACATCCTTACTGTTGCCCTGTTCTGACAGAGTAGGCTCATTTTTGCCACACGAATTGCCCTACATAATTGCCGGCACATACGTTCTAGAATCACAATTCCACCCCTATCCACCACAGGTTGAGAAGGAGGCTGCTGCTGCGATCACTCAGGCGGGTGGTCTTCTTGCTGCCCTGCTATGACTGCGACGGCTGGGATTTGCCACGCAAGACACCGTACAGAATTGCCAACACAAACAACCTAAAATCTAATTAAAACCCAGCTCTACAAATGCCAAAGCAGGTTGGTACTGCCATCACTCAGGACATGGTGTTGTTTGTGCCGCCGCCCTGCTCCTAAGAAGCTGCCTAGGAATCGTCATTGGAGTCAAAGAACAGAAATGGCACTGGCAGGTTCGGCTTTGGCCTGCGCCGCATCGCCGCAGCTGCCAGCGGTTCTTCAGTTGCAGACCTGCAGCAAAGTGCAGACAGAGAATTTAGAAGGCTTGTTCTGCTGTGTACTGTACTGAAATCGCTGGAGAAGAGAGGTCTAGGAGTATGATGTGTTAGGGTACCTGGGAATTATAATTGGGTAGGAAATTGAAAGGTGATGGCAGCAGGTGCCTGCAGTGAAAGAAAGCTAGCACCAATGGCAAGATTGCAATATGCTGATGGGCTTGCAGACAGTCCGCGATATCTCCTCATGGGAAGAATGTGAGGCTTTCAGTGCATTGGTTCCCACAAATAGGACGCAGGAAGGCATGTATGACAGACATCTCCTAGCTCACAAAAGGAGGTCCTATAGCTCATTAGAGCTGGCAAGAGATTCCAGAACATGAGATGCTCCTGCTTCCTAACACCCTAAACTTCCTACATTGCACAGCTCGTCAGAATGTTTGTCAGGCACAAGTGGCGTGAATTATATGGAAGGGCACAGGAGTGGCCCATCGCGCTTACCTGGCCAGGTGTGCAACCCACTGAATCTTGGGCTCAAGCCAAGGCTTCATGAGAGCCTCAGCCTCTCGCTTCATTCCTGCCTGTGCCTTGGCCTTGGCAGTTCTCGGGTTGTCTGAGGGCTCTTCAAGGATGCTTTCTAGTGGCTCTGGGCTACTTGCGTTAGGAGATTGCTCTGGCTCTTGTCCTCGCAGCCGTCGACTCTGTCAATTGCGAGCATGGCATTAGCTGCTGCTTCCTCTGATTGTTTCACTGTGCACGGAACCAAGAACTCAATCAGGCACAGGTTTGCATATTCATAAATGCCGTAGGATTTCGTGAGGCTGGAAGCTGGTGTATCCAAGTTTTGCAGGAAGTTTGGCAGGCTAGAGCAGTGAAATTGGGAGGGAGAACGAGCTTCATAGCTTTATGAGCTTACGAGCTTACGTTCAGGCGTGCTGGTTCTGGAGGGAAGACTTGAAGGGGACTTCAGAGGTGTTCCAGGCTCAAAGTTGTCCTGTAAAGGCAGAAAAGATGGCTTATGAGTGAGCAGGGCCTTCCGAAGCAGTACGGCAGAAGAGAACGTTAAGCTGTCTTGAATCACGGACGAGACAGCAGCTGTTTTGACGATGGCAGATCTGATGAAAGTTTTCGGGGAAATCATGGGCAATCGTAAGTGAAGAAGGGCGCACCATTCTGGCTTTGGCAGTTGCTGATGCACTTTCACCTACCGGCACTCTCAAGCAAGTGGACAGTGGCCCCAGTGAAAGCTGCCTTTGCCAGCGCGGATGAGCAAGATGATACGTCAGCAGCTAAAGAAGCGATTGAATACACTTTCACAGCAAAGTCCTTGCGTTGGGTGTCTAATTTCTGTTTGTGCTTGATGAGGTGCAACAAAGCCCTCTGAAAGTTCTTCCCCTGTTGCTCAGTGTCCACACAGAAGAGGCAGTACCTTTGCCATAGAAATTTCGCAAAGTTCAAGAGTGCGTGCTAAGTGCCCTGCTCGCGTTCCTGTCAGAGCACAGTTTGTTCCAGAGCGAGCCTGATTTGGCATCTTAGATGTACCCTGAGCTGGACCGTAGGCCACCTGTGAATGAGTAATCAAATACATTCTTGTGAGATATGTTCAGCATGGGACATGATATTGCCTGAAAGTGTGTGATCTGCATATTAAATAGTCAGATCTCTGAGCGCCTGCATGAGCTGGTGGTTGACAGGGTCTATAACGTTTCTTAAAGCTTGCATCTGTCCACATCTGTGCAAACCAGGCACAATGCACAGGTTCTGGCATTCTAGTACCTTACTACATGCAGGCGGAGCTGCTGGCATCGTAAGTGACATTCACAGCGATACCTATGACCCAGCACGCATGATTGCTAAAGAAGAATGACTCAGCCTTAGTCAGCGTCGAGCCCTGAAGCACCTAGCACCTGTTTTCAGCCAGTGCATCGGCAGCTGGATTGCAGCGTGTTTTCTAAGAATAATGATTTTTGGCTGGACGCCAATGAGGCTTGAAGCAAATGCCTGACTTAAAAATTCCGAAGCCTGAAATGTGGCTGAAAGCTCGATAGTTCAGTTGTTTTCTTCTGATATCAGCATTCTCTGCTTAAAAAGTCTGGAAGGTGGCTTTCAGGGCCGGGTGAACCCTTCCAAGTGGGAGACACTCTGGCAAGTTACGAGCGCCAAAAGAGCTCCATATCCCTTTCTTTCGAACCATATGGCTTCAGATGCCTCTGAATGATACCCTGAAGGGCTGTTACTATCCGGCAGCAAGGGTTCAGACGCCAAGCCTCTGGCGTACAGCCCGGCATTGCCCAACACTGCCTTCCTCTGAGTCTGAGCCATCCTCGATGGAGTAGCGCGAGCGCTTCAGTGCGGCTGCGCGCCGGGGGCGGAGGGACCTGCTGGCCACCGCTGAGGGGTCCCTGGGGGGAGACCGGGGGGCGCGCTCCAGAACGAGCCCCCCCGTCACGGGGCGGCCGGCGGCTGATATGGCGGGCTCTGGCGGTACCTCTCCGCGCTGCCTCTTCCTGGGTGCCTGCTTTGAGTCTTCGCGTGCAGCGTCCTTGCGTATCTTCTCTTTGATGAAGGACGACCACTTCTTGAAGAGCGCTGCCTTGCCCTGGAAGCACGCGCATGGCAGATGTCAGCAAGTTTTGAGCCTATATTACTTGCATGTGAGTCTATTTCTCTTATCACCGAGCACAGTCGTCGTCTGCACAGTGCACTAACTGGATCTGATAAGTCTTGAAGGTTGTGGGCCAGACACATATCGCATGTTGGGCTGTGCACAGAGAGAAGAAAAAAAGGACCGTCTTCATGACAGGTTGAATTGTTTGAAAGGATCTGGTGATTGTCAGGAACCCACAGCACCCATGCAAAAGCGCACACATGGCTGCAGACATCAAGACTTCAAGAGGCATGCATTGCGTGCAAGGATTGCCTTGTAAGACTGCAAGCAGTGCAACCTGTGTAGTGAATGGGAGGAGTGCTCACCGGGTAGGTGCTGCGTGGGAAGTTGGTGGGAGCCTCGGGGCCTCTGAGAGCTAAGACCAGCTCATCATACCGCCTGGCTGCTCGCTCCTTGTTCTTGAAATAGCCCAGGTGCTGCGGTTTGTTATCTGCAGAGTCAGGCACGCACAATTTTTACCAGATTACAAAAATGTCATTGAAACAGAAGGAATATTGATATGTCCTAGTGTGTCCTAATGTGCAAGACAGACAGACAGACATCCAGAATGCTTAGCAGGCAAGTGAGATGCAGGCTCATATTGCCACGATGATCTTGCTGCGGGCGCTGAAAAGTACACCTTTAAATCTTTGCAAGATAGTAGGATGGGACGCACTGAATTGCACGCTGGCGCGGAAACCCTTGTTGCTTGTATCCATGACACATCGACAAACTTGGACGTCTTGCCCATTCCCTTGGAGCCCTTCTTTGCTCCCGTCTTTGCTCCCTGCTTCTTGCTGATGCGCTCCTTCTTGTCTGCAGCAGGTGCTGTCACCGAGGCAGTAGCAGGGCGCTTGGTTGTTTGATTCTTTTGTGAGCCCTGAGGCTGCAGCTGCTGGAAAGGTGCAGGGGGAGGTGGAGTACGCAGCTGCAGAGCTTCTGCCGTCTCGCGTGCAGGCACGCAACGAAAACCATGCAGTCAGTTGACCAACATACTGCATCGCTTCTAAGGCAGATACAAAACCTGACTTTAAGGTGAGCCCGAGGCCATCATCACGTCTGAATTTTCACAATGTCTTTGAGTCTTCGGTGATGAACTTACCTGGTGCTGAGTGCGTCTGGTACGAACAAACTTTCAGCGAGGGAAGGACGACGAGCTCTCCAAGCCCATCCCAAAGTTTAGCGTCGTCTGCATCGGAGCGATCCAGCCCTTTGATGGGAAGTGCCCTGCAGCGACAGCAACTTGATGCTGTCACGAACGACGTTTGGCAAGCCGATTTCCACCAGCATTTGCTGAGCTCGCCCCATATGAGCTCCTGAGCCCCTCTGACCGTTCCTGACCAAGACCACTGCGCTGCTGTTTCTATTGTGCCAGGTAACACACTTTCTGCCTAAATAAGATATGTCGCCATCGCCAAACTAAAGTTGCCGCTTGCATTTGCGCATCAGGGATGAAAGTAAGATAAGCCGACCAAGCTTTATCTGCAGGGCGCCTGTGAGAGGCCTTCTGTCGATCCTGGCGCCACGATGAAGTCCATCAGACACCTGCAAAACTTATTCCTAATTGTTCTCAGCTCTGAGGACGCTCCTAGGCAAAAGGCTTATGACATGTGAAGATGAACGATGAGGGCTACAAGCCGTGGACGTGACGAATATAATCTTTTGCACGAACGAAAGGGCGGGTGCTCTCGAGGCCCAGAACGCCATCTGGGACACGTGGCACTACTAATTGGTAGGGATAACTAATATATTAATTACCCATGTAACTGGGACGACGATCAGTCATCCGATCTACGTGACATTACTTAAATTAAGTAATGTCACGTCACTGAAATAAATTTGACGTGTGCTGGAAACATCAGCCTGTGCACGTGCCAACAGTGAGGGTTGAGGAAGTCTTGGGTGCGCCAGAATGCTAAAGCACCTTGCTCTATGGAAATGACTGCGATTTGCTTGTTTTTTTAGGCCCGGCACTTTTCCAGCTCGCTCAAGATATTGTCTTCATATGCCCAATATGCCTGGTTAGCTCAATTCAACAAGCCGACAACATTGTCATTGCCAAGAACTCACAGTGTGCCACTCACACCGATTGCGAAGCCTACACAGCTCAGCCTGCACCGCGTTGTGTTCACAATTCAATGCTGCTACTGCCATAATGAGCTTCTCACTGCTGCCCTGCTACAACTGCATAGGCTCATGTTGGACACACAAATCGCCCTGCAGGATTACACACACCCATTTCGGTGTTCACTTTTTCCTACCAAGTCTTGTGAACCAGGCTGCCATTGCCATTGCCATTACTTATGCCTTGTTGTCATTCTACCTTCATGCTCTGATAAAGCTGGCTGGGACTCGTCATTGAAACCGCTGAGAAAATTGGCACTGTCAGATCAGCCTTTGGCCTACGCCGCATTGCTACAGCTGCAAGCGGGTCTTCATTTTTACACCTGCAGCAGAGTGCAAACAAAAACTCTTCAGAGGCTCGATCTGCTATGTACTGTAGTAAAATCGCTGGTGACATGATGGCTAGGTGTACCAAGGACTTCTACCTTGACGAAAATTGAGAAGGCAATGGCAGCAGGTGCATGCGGCATGCAACTTGCACCCCTGACAAAGACAAGTTGTTGAAAGAACTGCAGGCTGACCTTCCCTTATTTTCATGGGCCTAAGCTTTCCTGTGCAATATTTCTATCAATGGCTGGCAGGCACACGGCAAAAGACATCCCCTAGGCGAATGTCGGCACCTCCTATTACTCAAAAGTTTTCAAAATAATTCATGTAAGACAAATGCTCAACTCAAGATGTCCCTGGCAAAACAAGAATGGCCCAAACTGCTGATTGAGGGACAAGCTAGTGCCCCCAATGTTCAGTTGAAGGGCCCATTTGGTGCCAAGGTGTGGCAATGCAGGTATTCTTCCGCTCAAAATTTTGGGACGGATTCTCGACAGCGGCAATGCGTGTGTCTCAGGAGCGGCCGCATCGCCGAATGTACCCGAAAATCAATCCGAAAAAAAGCCCAGTGCTTTTCCTGGGTATCGAACTTGGGAGCGTGGCGTACATTTCGATTCATCTACTACCCCTTGGCTGTCCTAGGTGGGGCAACTAAAAACTTAGGTAGAACCCGAGCCATGATTGCAGCTCCTTGCAATTGCAGTGACACATTTTATTGCAGTAGGATATTGCAGTGAATGCAAGCATGTAAATGAGCGCTCTAAATTTGCATCACACCAGCACATGCTTACAACACACGCCATATTCAGAGCTCTGGGCCAGATTGCCAGATATGGAGTCGCCCAAAATTAGCTATCATTTCCTGATATTCACGTCAATTGTGTTCTTGCACTAGTCCATCTTCACCCGAAACCTTAAACCCTACACCCCATCTTCATGCAAGCAGGACCAGCAGCAGTGGCAGTCACACTGTCCTGCATAATGCCCAGTCAGAAGCTCTGGCACCATAGACATGGTGACGAAGGTCAATCCCTCATCATCGTGGTCACCATTATCTGGATAATCCCTCTCTAAGCTTCGGCCCGTCAGTGCCAGCTGTTTGTCCAGGCTGTCGACAAATTCATCCTCTTGTTCGAAGTCTTCTTCCCTGTACCCCACAGTCAGCCTTAGTATGGAGGCAGCAAATACCTCCACATCCACAATGACGAGGCTCAGCGTCTCATAGCTGTCAATGTACACCCATTCCAGGTGAGGCAAAGGAGGAATCACGAGCGTCAGGTCTTCCGCCTCAACATGCAATTTACGCAGGCGGCAAAATGCCTGGGATGACAGTGAGCGAATTTCCATGTTGTATTGCTCATGATACACGAGGCTGAGTGGATTGCAGCTTTGTGCTGCCTCCGTCCGCATCCGCACAGGCAGAAAGTGCTTCGCTTCTGGATGCCAATGCCAAGGACAACCACTGTCACATAACTCCATCTTTCTGCTGCAAACCTCTATTCCTCGCACGCCCAGAGATTCCTTACTGCGCACAACTACCTTATGATCTTTGGTAGAGCTCCGTATTGTCATCGTGCAACCTTCAGGTATGGTGTACCCCAGGCAGGGAATGATGTCACTCATGCACAGGTGCTTGAGTGACTTTGGCATGACCACATTCCAAGCATGTGCCTTCTCTCCTACATACAATGTCTCCAGGACTGGCAGATTGTCCACCATGGCATGCAAGTCATACTGCATCTGCAGCTGGCTTGACACGGGCTTCAATATCAGGTGCTTCAGCCTGGACATGCAGGGCATGTTCACCCGGAAATCTGCCGTAAGGTGCAGGATATTTAACCCATGTGCTTGTTGTAATATTGCAGAAAGCCATGGCAGCCACTGAGGCCCGGGTTGCTCGGATTCATCCCCGCCGCCAGAACCATCTCCACAAGAGAGATCAAAGCGCCTCAAATGAGTCAAGTCAAGGGCTTGGCATTCCAGTGCACTTCCAAGGATACTTTTGGGATCCGCAGATGACACGTCAGAGGAGATGTCAATTTCGATGGATTCTGCCTCGCGCCAATGTTTGGTGAGCCATGTCAACGCGGACACAGAGCTTCCGTAGTTGTCCACTTTGAGCTGCTTGGGCTGGAGATTCTGGAGAGCCTTGCAGGCACCACTGGCCATGGTCCATTCCTTGGTGGTCATCAGTGAGGATATCTGCTGCCACAGCTCCTCTGGGAGGAGAGGGCATCCCTCAGGCGTGGCCACAAGAGACTTCTCGCAGACTCCTTGCCATGTTTCCTGGAAACACCAGAGCAGGCACTTTATGTCGAGCACCTCAAAAGCACTTCGAAGCAATCGTAGAAGGCGCTGTAAGGACGGGTCCACCAAGCTTCGTAACAAGTTTTCAAGCTGAAAACGACAGGGCCTGTTCGTCTTCAGTATTATCGCATTCAGTCGGCGGCTGCAAAGCACCGTGCAGCACTGCTGGCAGCCAAAAAAATCATTGTTCCTTCAGACAAAATGATACAGCCAGGCGAATGCCACTTTCACAAAAAGCTCGATTCATTGCTTTGTTTCTTTTGGGAGGCACCGTCGTCTTGAAAAGCGTGGGCGGACCTTCATTTTTGGTACCGACCGATCAGCGGTCCGCAGCCCCGCGTGTCTTCCCCTCTCAGTTGAACGTGACGTGGGACTTTGACGCTCTTTTGTCGAAACGTCACATAGCAAGCATACAGGATCGACCTGAAGGCTCAGAAATCGTTGGGTTGTTGTGTTGGCTTTGGCCTTTCGATATTTCATTCGTGCCTCGCTCACTAAAGTTGTGCTCACGTGAGTAGGGATGATGAACATAACAACATTTGTTCTCTTAGGTACCCCCTCAAATTAAGCAAAACCACCCAGTGATACAAGGATTCTGTTTTCTCAAGTATCAGTTCTTACTCGTTTTGAGTCTCGTCTTTTGAATAGATCCAAAATATTGCCGACCATTGGCAACCAGCTGGCAACCATTGGCTGCTGATCATGCACACCTGATTTCTACATCACAGATCTGAGGGCAACATGCACCCAGCCTTGCCCTTTGTGGCGGCTTCAAAGATCATTACACATGTGTCGCAGCTCGTGCAGCAGAAGCCATGGCCGCGAAATTGCCACTGAGCATTGTACTGCTTGTCTCAATTGCTCGTCTTGACGGCTCCGACTGCCCTTTTCTTCATCCCTGTGCCCTACCCCTTTAAGCTTGACCCCATCTCCACCCCTAACATGAGGCAGTATGTCTTCAGAAGAGATCTTATCCAATGAATTATGGCTTCCCACCCACTTCTCACGCTTGCCAAAGTTACTCCAGAACCAAATGAAATGTTCTATATTCAATGTCCCATTCAAACGACAACACAACACACTGCTCAGAGACTGTACTCGTCTGGTCAAACATTCCTCAATCCCCCCAGCTTCTACATTGAGCGCAGCCTCTTGGGCTTTGGCGCGGGCACCCACTCGACATCTCCCTCCCAGTTTGACACCTCGTCAAAGGCGAATCGGCGCTTGGATTTCGCCGTGCGGGGGGACCGGGAGGACCCGGTGCCCACTGCCGGGGGTTTCCCGGTGGAAGACCGGGGAGAATCGTCCTTGCTGTCGTCCTCTGGTGCGCGTGAGTCATTCTCGGCTGAGGCATCATTGATTTTAATGTCTGCCTTGATTGTTCTCTCGTGCTGTTCTGGTTTCTCGCCGATCTGCCCTCTCTTTCCCTCCACAAACTTCCTCCACTTCTCCTCGAGCACTTCCTTGTCCTGGTAATGTGCACATGCATGCGGTCAGTGACAGACAATGAGCTGGCTTGATTTGCGCATCTGCTGTGATTTGTCACTGCAGGTCATCAGCTTCCAGGAACACAGGAGCTTTGACCTCTGGGCAGCCTTTGCAAATCGCCTTGGAAGTTTCTGGGCTTCAAAGGACGACAGGAAAGTCCGCTGCTGACTCAGCTGTATTTGTCAACAACCCACAGGGTCGCCAACTTATAAACTGCTTGGCAGGAGCACCTTGAGCACAGCTAAGAACCCCTAGCCGTGCAGGGCATGCCGCGCCAAGCCAGTGGTTTTGTGCTATCTTGTCTGCTTCCTGAATTGGGTAGTGGGGTTCCTAAAATTACAGAAATGATATGAAAATAGCGGCCGCAGCCGCCACTAACACTGACAATATCACTGCAACCACCATGGCAAGGGGCTTTGACAGTGAAAGGGGGATATTCCAGTGAGGTTCAGGGTGTCTGACTGGGTAGGTGTCGCGCTGGAAGTTGGTGAACTCCTCTGGGCCCTTGATGGCGATGACCAACTCATCATAATCTCGGGCTGCCTCCAGCTCAGTGGAGGCGTAGCGGATGTGCGGACTCGGATTGTTGCCTATGCATGCACCACTTCATGTCAGAAATGGTGTTCAAGGAGGATCTGGATTGGCATTGCACTCGTGCAGGAAGTGCCCCTGACCGGACAAAATTCCAAAACCTCCGTCAAAATCTTCAGAGCCTACGTTTTTGGAGGTGAAAAATGTTTTCTCGATACCCTTTTGTGATATTTGTTTAGTTGGGGTTATGCATAGAGGAAAGCACCATGGGCTGCACACACTAGGGTGCCCACCTATACCTGATCCCATATCAGGCTTCAAGCCTCGAACCCAACAGGGGACTCCAAACTAACTTAACTCACTACTACTGGCCTAACGTTACCTTAAAGTCCCCTAAACCCAAAGATAAGTAAAAAGGGTGGAGGAAAAGAACGCACTGATTGGGAGGCTGCTGCGCCAGCGGCGATTGTAACTGTGCCAGGTCACGCCCTTGAACTTGGACTTCATTGCCACCCCCTTGCCAGCTGCTGTCAGCTTCCCCGCCGCCTTCTTACTTGGAGCGCCCGGCTTTATGATGCCCGGCCCCTTGGCACCTGCGCAGTGAGGATTTTATCAGTCAAGCCTTGGCAAGATAGCCTCATGAGTTGCATAATGTGCCTGGGAAAACGATATATCTGCAGCAAGCATTGATCGGGAATGATTAGAATCCAGGTGGTACCAGACAGTACTTTTTCGTGCACTTTACAAGCAGTTGAAGTTGGGGGGACAATGCTTGGTGGATCAAAAAGTCAAAAACCGAGGTTTCATTCCCTGGTCAGTACGAGAATGGCAGATTTGTGACTCGTCAAGCCCTGAGTTGCAGCCTCACAGAATGGACTTCTGGTTCAATCGCATTAATGCATGAGATTCTTCCCGCTGCAACACTGCAGACGAAGATCTAAACACTCAGCACCGTGCCCACGGTTGATTAAGTCTTGCTTAGGTCTGGCGAGTCCATCAAGGGGTAGCATTGTGGTAGCCTTTGACTGCCACTTGTTTGTTGGACATACCGTGTTTCTGGCAGGAAAAGAGGGCAACACCAATTCAGGGGCCTAATGAACGATATTGAACACACCTGCGGCCATGGCATATGCAGGCGTGGTCGGGCCGTGAGGCTTCAGCTGCGTGGCAGGTGGCTGCGTGACAGAGGGTGCCGGCTGCGGGGACTTCCAGTGGGAGCTGGGAAGAATTTGCACAGCAGCACCAGCATCCTGCTTTGGTGCAGATGGCGGTGCTTGGCTGTGGTTCACCGGCAAGTGCGTTGGCGTGTGGCTCACGGGAGTCAGCATGTAATGTGTGTTGTCGCTGTCAAGGGTAGGCCCGCCAGGCACATCCCTGTCCAAAAAGCACCATACACCCCATTCACTAGCAGGCAAAGAGGATGTTTCTTCAAGTTTGTTTCAAAGTAGATCCTCACATTTCTCCAAACTCCTCCATCTCCAATCAATCCTCACTCTTTTGTAGCTGCACAGGCTTGCAGAATGAACACTTGATTGCCAGAAACTAGGAATGCCTGTTGTTGAGCAAGGACATCGAGAGCAGTGCACGGCTCTGTGCAGCTCTGGAAGCCACTGGAAGTGGGTCTCGATGAAGATTGTCGAGGAAGAAAGTGGACAGAAGCCTGGCGCCTTACCAGTGTTGCACTTCAGGCAGTGGTGTCTTGGGGGAGGTTAGCTGCGCCTCTGGGACAACACTGACTGGCCCCGGATCCTTCCGAAAGAGTGCTCGGCTGGAGATTGGGTTCCCCACCGGCTCTGTATGCACAGACACAATAGAATCAGCACTACTTTCTATATGCCTGGGCCGAAATGAGCATAAGGGGGACGGCCAGGAGTGGTGAGTGGTTTCCCTCCGATCTCCAAGCTGACGGAGAGCAATGATTGCGACTTTAAGGGAACAAGCACAGAAGGGGCATCTCGTGTGCAGCGTGAGAACAAGTCAAGATATCGCTGTGATCAAGAGAATTTTCTGCGAAGCTGCTCACCGGCATTGTGTGTCCACTGGAAGATGTCCTTCAGAAAGATTTCCTCGTGATCGGAATAGCGCTCTGGTAGAGCATCGTCCAGCCGCTCGGCCCTGGTCCAGCCTTGGCCCCTGGACCTGCAAGCGAGAAAGACTGTGAGGCACAATGGATGATACGATGGGGCCAGTGGACGCTTTCCAGCGGCGCCTAGCAACATTTTCACGGTGCAACGGTGACGCGGTTGTATACATGAAACTCTGCGGTAGCCGGGAGAAAAAGCGCGCGACGAAAATAATTACTCCGATACCGGGACAAAGCGGCCGCTACAATGTCTCCCTGCATCTACGATGGCTCTGAAGCTTCACACATAGCACCAAGTGGGCTTGCGAATGAGAATTCACCGTCGCGCTAGCTTTCAAGGTCCGTCTGCAGGTCCTTCAAGTTCGCGCACCTTCCAAGCGGGGTTCCCCAGTTCTCGGGAGGTTGTGCAGGAGCCATATGGTGCGCCTACGTATGATATTGGTACTCGTTAAGTCTGTATAAGGCCACAGTGAGTTTTAGGACTGCATTTCTCGTTCGGCTGTGTGGGTCCTGAGGTCAGGGTTTATGGAACGCGGTCAGCTCGATCTCAGGTGGAAGGGTTGCTCACGCCCAGAGATATTGCTTAAATTGTGACCAGCACGTGCTTGGGGATGAGCACCATCTGCTTTTTTAGTGCCCTGCTGTGCAGCCCATTCGGGACCAATATCCTGCTTTGTACGGTGCCGCCATTCAGACCATGCAACAGTTCATGTGGCAGTTGGATGTTGTCAGTGTTGCACACTTTGTCATGGTTTGTTCTGATCATGATCACTTGGATGCTGTCAGTACATCCAATCAGCCCTGGGCGGCTGGAGTTGATGTGTAATCTCCTTCCTTCCTTCCTTCCTTCCTTCCTTCTCGAGAGCGGCCCCAGATGACTCATCTAGAAGGGAGAGATCTCTCTCTTGGATCCAAAATCTGTTGTCATCGGCAGGGCACCTGCTGAAGAATTTGCCCTGCCCTCTGTCTTCATCAATCTCACATCTGCAGCAACTCTTTAAATCTCCTCCACTGCCACACTGCTGCATATCACATCTGCCTCCTGGCTCGGAGTTCTTGCACGGGCGATGCTTTATTGTTTCTGCTCTGGTCCTGACATTTCACCATCTTCATGCAGGTAAACCGCTGGTTTTGCCACTGTCTTCTGCCTGGCCTTTGTCTTGCATTGAATCCTGTGTGTGTTCTATTGATGGACTGAATTAGCTGTAATATAGCTTTAGTGTGTTGTTGCTTTTGTAGTTTTGTATTTGTAACAGGATTGCACCATTTTCTTCTCTAGGCCGTCCTCTCAACATATATAGAGAAGGGGTTGGGGGAAAGAGGTGAGTGTGTCTGAGTTTGTCTCACACGACGTCGATGATGGATCCTATGATCACATGCATGGTGGTTGTTTGGGTCAATTGACAGCAAAGCGGCTCCACCCGGCGGCTGTGATGTATTTGTAACTCACATCGACATTTCAAGCTTGCTGCCAATGGCAACGAATGGCGCAGGTCAGGCTTGCAAAGTGGCTATGCCCTAAATCTCTGTCCTGAACGGCACCAGTGTTGCTCTCATGATCACAATTGGTGTACATCAGGCATTGCACATGAGACTCATCGCCCTTAAACCAACTCTGTGGAAATCTACGATTCCCCCAGATGGGTTGTCAGCCAGTAGACTAGCATGCAACCCTCAGCCTAACATAAATTCCGTCCAGGAGACATAGGAAAATTTGGGTGTGGATGTCCACATGGTGTGCAATGTTGTCCTATCTTAACGCAGTAGCATTCCGTAGAGTTCCCCAAGTTCCTTCCTTCAAGTCCTGTCGGTTTGCGCAACTGCTCCGGGGCAATCTTTCAGGTGGCTCTGCAGCTGCTGAGACTGCAGATGCATTTGCCAATCAAGCAACACTGCTGTACCTTCCCATGGCATCTCTTGAAGGCCACTGCCCTGCTGCCTCGGGGCAGTGTCCCTTCATCATGGCTGTGTTATGATCTGCATGCCTCAAACATGCTGCCCTCACAGCTGCAGCATTGTGCTTGGCCGCACCATTGACATGCAGGCGCTGTCCCTTTGGCGCCTGGGGGTCATTCAGGGAAAAGGTCATTCAGAGATCTCCGGCAAGGGGTTTGGGCCAATTACACCCCTGGCAGTCAGCTCCTGCAGGGCCCATGCAATGTCCTGCAACAGCATAAGCCATGACAGAGCCTCAAATGCCTGTGTGGATCAGTCTTCAAGTCAGGAAAGGGCAGGCATCTTGACGTACAACGTCTGACATCCTGAGCTGCCTGAGAGGGGATTTGGGCACAAATATACAGCTTGGTCGCGTCAAGAGGCTGGCTGGGACCTTCAAATTATCTTAGAGGAGTGGAGTATACCTGCTGCAAGGCTGCGGCCTCCTCAGGGCAATCCCTGTAGGTTGAGACTCCATGTGCCAAGAGGCCCAGCAAGTACAGACCAAAGAGGACCAGTCCTGCTAATGGAGCCTGCGAACGGTGCACAATATACATCAGACCACAATGGATTTACATTATCACGTGTTTGCAAAAAAATTGCCCCTCAGAGAGGAATGCAATAGATGTGATGCCATGCCTTGTGCACGTAGATAGGCCCGATACATAACAATTATAAGCCTCTCCACAAGGAGCATGTGACATCAGTGAGATAACCGATAGACTTCAATCCAAAGAAAATTTTCAGTCTGTATGTCAATAGAAGAACATCCACTCACTGCGAGAACAGATATACGGATGTTGCGTGACAGATCTAGCTGCAGAGCTCCTAGCCACAATGCAACTGCCACAGCAGCATAGCTCAGGAGGCGCGATATCCGAAGCATGAAGAATTCGGGTCCAGTAGCTTAGTGATCATCAAGTACTTTGGCAGCTTTCAAATGATGGCGTGAGAGATGAGTGAATTACGTAGCCCCTTTCTATACTCGAAGACCTGAAGATATGCATTCCTGTGCAAATGATATCCAAGTTCAATGTTTAAGCGCGCCTTCACAGGGCAAACCAAGGGCAAACGTTCCTGGGCCTGTTGCCTGCTTTGGCATCAGTTCGGCAGGCTGGAGAGTTGCTTCATTTGTCTTTCGATTCAGAAATGTGAAGCACTTATCAGACTTGTGGCGGGCCACTGGATGGTGAAGGAGATTGAGATCGCCATGTGTTGTCTAGTTTGCACAAGCGATTTATACATCTCACCCACCTTGCTGCGGTACAACTCGCCATCGCAGAGCCCTTAACATGTAAATCGGTCTAATAGCAGAAAAATATCATACTGGCATATCCAAACGGAACATCAGGTTGGTTGACTAAGTAGCACCCATGGGGGATGCCCCTCAGGAGGAAGAAGAAAATGCTGCAGAGGGCAGATTTCCATCCGGTGCGACACTCATTTGGGCACAATCATAAGTTCACTTCTCGTTCTTGAATATCTACAAAGAACAAGCCATTACACCGAGTGGGTGGGCAACAGTATGTAGAGATTCGTGAGATTGCTGAAGACACTACTTCTACTGCAGTGGAGAAACACCATTGTAAGGTTATCCTTTCTTGCTGCAGTCTTTGACAGTGCTCAAGCCCTCACCAACGGCGAGGTGAGTGCCATCCTGGCGAAGATAGTGGCGGCCAAGAAGCAGGAAGACCCAGCCTATCAGCCCAATCCACTGCTGGCCAAGACCCAGGAGTATGTGGAGCGATTCTCTGGCAACAAGAACGAGGCTGTCAACCAGCAGATACGAATGTGAGCATCTGCACATTCCCAGTCGGTGCTAGTCCTTGTACTTGCAAGCAACCTGGCCGAATATTCAGAGGATGGTGCAGACAGACGTGTGCAGCAGCGCATGTCTTTGCACGAAGCAGCACACCATGCTGTTGTTGAAGTGCAGCAGCCACAGACCGTGCAAATGGTGTCAAGGGAGGGGCCTTGAACGCAAAGTACCTCTCAGAAACCTTTCCATTCTGCGTGGTCAAGTGTTCTGTGTGGTCTGCAGGGTGTTGGATGCTGGGGAGATGACTGGGTTTGAGCTGGCGTCTGTGGCCAACCTGCAGCCAGAAACTGCAGAAGAGGCCAGGATCCTCATCCCCAGCCTTGATGTAAGCCCCCGAATATCCCACTATAGTAAATACGCGCACAGCAGACAGACCCTAGCAGTGTATCTCTCCGTTAAAGCACCCTGGCTGCCATTCTATCAGTGATGTGAGGCCGTTGTCTCTGGCAAGCTGATGCACCATACATGCAAATGACTCGGGGATTCCCATTTGTTAGGACAAACAGCAAGGGCACTTATATCGGGCACTTCATTCAGTCATTGAAGCTAGCAGGACGCCAGGATATGTAGTGTGCTTGCACGGTCTCCTGGTCTGACTGTATTATGTGCTTTTTGTGGCCTGCAGGCGACGCAGGGAGATGAGCCACGCTTCTCAGATGACACCCTGCAGATAGTGCTGGATGACGTGGCAACCTACAAGCAGGCTTGAGGCGGGTGGGCACATGCCAAACATTTCAGTTGAAGAGCTTCGCTACCTGTAGCCCATGACCGGAGGGAAGTACAGACGCTGCTTGAGAGCGTCCAGCCTGCCTTCAGTAGATGCAATCTGCTGAGCCATGCCAGCTGCCGCCACGGCGCCGCTGTCCTCTGCTCGTGCTCTTTCCTCTGCCATGAGAACAGCAGTTTTGCTTACCAATTGTCAAGAGTCACCGCAGCAGCAGGGGATGCCTGTCCTGTCCGCCCAATGTAGAGGAGCACCAGACAACATGTGTCCCACGCCTGTTATGGCCTGCCCAAAGCAAATTGAGCTGCAAAAGAAGACTTGATGGCATTTGACCAAGTGCCTACGTGCGGACCACTCTAATTGTCATTGGACATAGCTGGCTCAGATTGTAGCGTTTGTGAGAGTGGGAGAAGTGTGTTGGAATACTGGACTTGGTGGTCTTGTGGGGCACTGTCAAACACATGCTGCAGTGTCAAGGACGAGGCGCGGACAAGTAGGTTTTGGGCTGGGAGCTATCGAAAAAGTCACGTGAAGGGTGTATTAATGAGACTTGAATTTGCACAAGAAACTAGACTGCTTGTCAACTGAGGGCGGCTTATGTCAATTCTGCAAATTTGTCCTTGCCTTCTTTCGAGAGGATTCGCAATTTTGCGTCACATTGGGATTTCAGCAATCTGCTCGCAACAGCTGGCATGCATGCAACTGTAGAGAGATTAAATGCCCTCCTTAGCACTCTCTCAAATAGATCCCAGCTACAGTATTCAGATACAGCATTCGAAGTATTCGCATCCTTCTTGACATCACCATGTCAAATCACCAGCCAGTCCTCAGAGCTGTGCACCAAGTGCGCCCCCATGTGCTGTGCCAACAAGCAGCCCTTGAGCTGCTTGCCCTTCCCATGACAGGATGATATGCTTTATTCCGCACGTGAGTGCTGATACTATTAGCTGTCAAATAACATTGAGACAGAGAGACTGACAAACCAGCTGCATTGGAGCACCATCTCAGAACCACTCTATGAGGGCCCGCGTCAGCATACTGACTGTGCTTGCAACAACATGTGCTACCGCACAAAAATTACTGGTGCACTGGTCACCTTTGTATCAATTACCGGTAAGGAAATTTCTGGCCAGACATGGGTTGACATACTGAAATCTTTCTGAATACTTGGTAGGAGGTCCATATTCTTTTGATACCGTTCCAGGTGAGAAGTCATCTTAGAAAGTTCTGAGAAATCGATCTGAGGAAATTGTCAAGTATGTCTCATATCTAGGCTGCATCCAGAATGATCTGAGTCTCAACTTACTGCTTTCTGATTCAGAGTCTTCATAGTGGGTACCACTTGGTATAGTATGTAAATAAGTACTGGTAACGTACTGCCCACAACAACAGACGGACAGCTCCTGCGCCATCCAAGGCTGCTGCCAGAAGGAATTTTATCACAGATAGCGTACTTAAGCGCTCAGATCAGCACACCGGCTGCGCCAGTGCCGGCACAGCCTGCTGCCTGAAGGTGTTGGTGCGAGCCGCAACACGTTTGAAGCGGCTCAGCTTGAAATTCTTCAGCGTGTTTTCACCCCCGGCAGAAACTTGGCCCGCCAATATCCGCGCGGCCGCGGCGGCATGGCCGTCGGCTGCCTTGGTGGAGCACGGCCCGGTGCGGTTAGTAATCCCTGCGGCACAGGTAGTAAGCGTGGTGGCTGAATTAGTCATCCCGGCCGCGCAGGTGCCGGCATGTACGGGCGTGTGGTGGGTGTAGGCTGCCACCCAGTCCCACTGGAAGGAGCCCTGCACCAGCTGCTGGATGTTGGGGTCCTCCCTCCTGCGCATGCATGCAAGCACATGCCACTCAGGCAATGATCTGGCACACTCTCCTCTGCACACGTCTCTGTACCAGGCTGGCAGGGGGCGGTACAAATACTGAGCACAGTGCCCATGCTCAATCTTTGATTGAGTCTTGCTTGGAGGAGATGCGAATGGCAGACTGTCAAAATGGCCCAGTCCTCTAACACGACTGCTCGAAGGCGCGTTGCACAAAGCACTTCCACAGACACAAATTACACGAGTGATGTTCCATGAAGCATCTGCACAAAACCTGCACCTGAGCAGCCATCTCCCAGGACTCGACCACACTGAGCCGCTTAAAATTATCGCCTCAACTTTTTGGCCACAGGGCAAAGTTTTTACTGTAGAGCTCAATCTAAACCCTCACTTTCTGAAAAGTCGTTTACTGCACAGATTCCGGCAGGGCTCACCTGCACACTCAAAGGCTATTATTATGTGTTCCCGCAACCCCAAAATATGCTAACTTCACCAGAAAAGTGGGCTTTTGGGCTGCAACATAGGTATTGTGTTCCCGCAGGCTCCAAATTAATTATATTCTGGGGGTTGTTGTTTTAGCGCTCCAGTGTATGTGTGATTCACCAGAGATGCCCTCAGTTGTGGCATGACTGCACTGCTTCCTTGATGTTTGCAGCCCACCAGGGAGGCCGTGCTGGGCAAATTTGATGAGGTGCAGATCTCACCCTGCGATACGGATCTGCTCTTGGGAGCGGTAGGCTGAGGGGCTGCCGTAAGTGTGCCAGGGGTTGGCGTCCGATGGCAGCGGCGGCGGCGGCTTGTGCGTGGCAATGCCCCTTGCCAGGGTCTGGGGGTGCGCGAAGCGAAACGGCTGCTGCTGATCCGCACGCGTCAGCCCACTGCGCGTCACTCACTCTTCAGTCATTCACTGATTTAGTCAATCTTTGGTCAGCCTGTCAGTCGGACACACTGCACCCCTTTCGGCACATTCAAGGCTGACTCTATGCTTAAAGCAGCTCCCAGAGTAGCCTTTGAATACAGACAGCAAGTGAAGCTGCCCTTCTACTAGGGGGTCAGCACCCCCACAAGCACACACACACCGGCCCTTTAGCTCTTGGCAGTAACACTCCAACTAGAGTGGTCTGCACGTAGGCGCTTGCTTTAAGAGCTCCTATCAGAAAATTCCTAGACTCTACTCTAAGGTACGTGTGATTTTGCTGTTGTTTTGAGCTTCTCAGCCCTGTTTTTGCGGCTCAATTTACATTTGGGCAGGCCATAATGACGCTGTCCCGCTTTTCTCAGGTGCTCCTCTAGATTGGGCGGACTAAGAACTTGTTGGAGGGTAGCCTTGAAGACACAGGATTTTGTATCCAAAATTTGGAACACAGCAATCAACTTGTCATGCCTTGCTTCCACTTTGCGCACCATCGTCTGGATCAGTCTTGTGCATCCTGCAGATGTTGTGATGCCGGGCCATGATGATGATTATTATTATTATTATTATTATTATTATTATTATTATTATTATTATTATTATTATTATTATTATTATTATTATTATTATTATTATTATTATTATTACACGCTTTTCCTGCCGAAGGCAAGGTGCGTCTGCAGACAAGCTGCATGTAAAGGCTGCCAAATTCCTACCCCTTGTTGGACTCGCCAGATCCAAGCAAGACTTAATCAACCGTGGGCACGGTGCTCAGTATTTACACCGTCCCCCCGCCAGCCGGGGCCAATTGGGGCCATGGGCACATAAAACCGGGCGCAATACAGTGTATCAAACGAGAATCTGCAGCCTTGAGGAGGGTCACCAGATGGCAGCATGCTTGTTCATGGACCTGAAGTCTGGGCCAGTCTCCAGCGCAGCATCCGGCTGAGACAGCTCCCAATGCTGCATCACTGCGTACAGAACGACAAACTCAAATATTATGCAGAAGCCTCATCATTAAACCGACTGGAGCAGCGAATTTGAATTCACTGACAAAATTGAAAAAATGGGAAACTTGTGCCACACCTTCCCCGGCATCCTCGGGGTCGTGAGGCCTTGCGTAGCCGAACACCTTGTCTTTCGGAGGATTTGCGAATGTGCACTTCTTTATCTGCGTTTCAACAGCTTATTAAAGCGGTGCTTTCCTGTCAAGCAAGGCAGTTTCACGAGAGGAAAAGCAGCTGTTGAAAGCCCAAACTGCGGAGGGCACACCTTGCCGATATCTGCGCGGTAGAGAAGGTGATTTGTCTTCATAGACGATCGTTTAACCCCGATATGTGGCTCCATTCAAACCAGTCTGAGTTGCGTCTTTTTTCTTGGAATGTTCAGACAACCCCTTCTGCAAACCGAAATGTCTGTTCACCCCAGCCTTACGGAACCCAATATATCGATCTTCTGCACGAAGTCTAGCGTCGTAAAATTAACTGAATCCAAAATGACTGCGATGGCTCCGCAGAGCATCAAGGATGTGTCATCGAGGTTTCCGAGATCTAAATTTAGTAACACCGTCCAACTCCGACAGCTCCCGAAATGCCTGGGACTACTTTCGCATCCGGTGAAAGGTTTGCTCCTGATTTGAGAGACTTCTTCAATACAGGAAACGCGATAGGTGCGTCTAAGATGGACGACGAAGTCGAGAGGCCCCCGTCGGACGGGGTGAGCAAACCTGCGGTGATGAGACAGTACAAGCGCACCATCAGCGACCTTTTGCCCGACAAATACGAGCTTTCTCCGGACACCCACCTATATATTGCGTCTTCCCTGCCTGCAGACAATCAGTGGAGCACGGCAGAAACAATGAACACCACCGAAAGTGACGCTCTGGCCAATTGCTGAGTATACTTCATCGAACAGCAGATGCGCTTGAAGATATTACCTAGCCATCGTGATGTTTTTCAAGCACTCACGTCAACCATTTGGGATCGTGAACGCAGGTAAGAAGGACGATTGCCAACAGCCTGACGAGGCTTCCCTTGCAGGCTGCAAGAGCGCTGACTACTCCATTCAAGCAGTCTATCCAGAGCCAGATGCTCCTCTCGGGCCCACCAGCAAGGCAATGGCAGCCAGTAAGACCAGCAACGCCGCTGACAGTCTCACACAAACAGAAAAGCCATTGACAGACAGTGCACCTTTGCCATCACCTGAAGGGCAGACACATGATTATGCCATCAATGCCATCAATGATTCAGTAGCAAACGAAGATGACCCTTACAGCCTCACTGTGCCAGCACTTGCAACACAGCTTGCTAGCCCTGCAGCTGCCGTAGACCTCGAAATCAAACCCAATGAGCCCCTTTCAGTGGCAGTGGCATCACAGCCACCAAGCCTCGAAGCCTCAGCGGGAGAGGATTACAGCCTGCCCACACCAAGACCAGCCCGGCGCATCACAGGCCAGTCAGACCATGTCGTGACAGCCGCTAAAGACAATAACATGCCACAAGATGATACGGATGCTACTCAGAACATGCTTCTTCAGGCGCTGTCAGACCTTCAAGCAGACAATGCAGCATTGACCAAGGCTCTATCCGACCAGAGCCAGGAGATCAAAGCCCTCAGGTGCTGCACTTGCGTGGAAGTATTCCTCCCTTAGACATCTTAGTCATGCAAATAAAATCTGATGTATCCATGCGCAGTCTGCAGGTTGTTAGCGCTTCAAAAAGTCTGTATGGGTTGCAGATTGGGTTGCAGAATGTGTGCAAATGCAAGTAAATGGGACATCAGGCAGTGGCTTAGTCTTTGTTTGCAATGATTGCAGGGACTCCGCAGATCAGCATACTGTAAAGCAAGACTCTGCTCCGGAGCAGGAGGAAGAATCTAAGGTGTGAAAAATTTCAACCTCCTCTGCACGTTCTGTGAGCATTCCGGCAGAGCTTATTCAATGCCTCTTTGTTTCTGTGCTCAGAGCCATACCTCAGTCAAGCATCCCGGCTACTGCCAGTGTGTCAAGAATTCTGATGTATCTGCACAGCTGGAGGCTGCACAAGAGGACACTTCAGGTGAAGCTGCTAAAGAGACAGCGGCAGTGGAAGATGCTGCAAGGGAAGAGGCCCCTCCCAAGGACAGGACTGAAGCTCGCTATCGCTCCCTCGAGCTGAAAGTATGCACTCACTCCAGCCCTTTTCCCCTTTGAGCTTTGATCAAGCCCGCTCGCGCATCTGTCGTGGACATGTTGCATCGCGGCAGTCCTCTATGAGGAGACGCTGTGGGATTCTACATGCCAGGGTTCGACAACCCTGAGAGGATTGGCATATCTGGTCCAGGGTTAGGGGCAAGGTTTCAGGGCGGCCCCGGGAAATTTTGAGATTTGGGAAACTAGCGTCAGGGTGTTGCCCTGACGCTATTTTCCCATGATCTCAGGGCAGCCCTCTTCAGGGTCACCTTGTGATTTTGGTGACCCCCTGTCAAACTCTGCTACGTGCTGCACTGGAAGTAAGATTGGCTGTGCTGCGCCCTAGAGCCTTTGCACATTGTACGGTTCCGGTGTGGCATGCCTATGGCAGAACCCGCATGCTTGTCTCCTTGTACAGCACACCATATCCTTTCAAGTGAATTGACTCTCGACACACCTGCAGTACGTTCCTCTAGCCTAGCACACGGGATCCAATTAGCTGAGCCAATGCGCACCTGCACTGATTGCGTGAGCATGACACATAAGCATGACCATTCCTCTGCGCACATGTCCCGGATAAGATAGGCATGACTAGGATGGCAAATGGGTGACATGATAATGACAGATGGGTGCTGCCAAATTAGGTCCAACGACTGAAGGCGGAGAGGGATCAGATGGAGAAGGCGCTGCGGAGGGAGGTGGGCGATGACACGCCGCTGACTAAGCTGCTGGAGGGTGACTCGTCGGACTGGCGCGGCCGCGCGCAGCAGATCGCGCTGCTCAAGGAACGAATAATCAGCCTGCATGAGGCACACGCAAAGGTAAACAATCTTTTCTCCAATACGAACAGGTTTAATTTTGTACATGCAGCGAGATTCAGCATTCCGGTGCTACTCAGCAATGGCGCGACTGATAGGATTTGACCAGAAAAGGTCGAATGCATTTATAAGTGAGTGTGCTGAGGACCTTGTTTGCGCAGTGCTTGCACGAGGATCCTTGCATTGTGGGGTTCTTTCACTGATAGAGGCAGCTTTGCTAGTGCTGATGAATCATTCCCTGGTGCTCACGACCCCGCACATTTCATGCCGCCCCACCTTTCTTTAGCATGTGCTGCTTTGATGGGAGCACGGAATCCTGAGTACAGATGCCATCTCAACATGCTATGGGAGATTCTCTCAAGAAGAGATACTCCCTACACGGACACCACATCGCAATTGAAGACATATCTGCGTATCTTGAGGTCATCTGGATGGAAAGTTGCTGTAGTATCGAGATCCCTAGCCTCTGAGTTCTTGATATCAATCTGGGCAGGCTGGGCAGCCCATGTCACCCGGACGCACATCATTGGCATCATATGGTACTGGAAAGAGTAAAGAGAGTTCCTTGCTCTCTCCCTTGCCCCGTCTGAGCAGCGCTGACCATTGGGCACCTTGAATTTGGTGCAGGCGATGGGAACGCCGTCGAACGCGCGCAATCGGCATGACGTCAGCAACCGAGCGAATCTGGAGCGGCTGCGGGGGGGGCGAATGAAAGAGGCTGATGACCTGCGCGCTGAGCTGGCGTCCACGCGGGCGGCCCTCGAAGAAGCAGTCAGCCGGCAGCAGGGCGCCGCCGCGCGCAAAAAGGCGCTCGAGAAAGAGGTGCGCTGCGTTTTCTATGCACAGAGCGCTCCACTCGCGAATTTATGGCGATGAGGTACCAGAAGTGGATTCCCAAGGCTGTGGGCGGCCATTTTCTGACGAATGGGAGATGCAGTGTTGGCAAATGTGAGAGGTCAAGTGCTATGTGTGAATGCGTCGTGCGAGTTGCGTTTCCCTGCCAAAAGTTCCTCATCCCTGATGCAAAGCATTGGCCTTAGCGTGCCATAGAACCCTCGACTCCTCACGCGAGAAGGTGACCTGTCTTTGTAATCTGGCAGAAGCCTTATATTTGCAGTGGGAGTATTTTTGGCATGTGTCCTATTGGCCAAAGCTCACAAATGTTAAATGGCACATGAGCATAAGTCCCTGACGATGTGTGTTGAGGTGAATGTGCCGTCATGTGCGCGCAGGTGCGCAGTCTAAAGGCCAAGGTGGGCCTGCTACTCGACAAGTCTGCCACGGATGACAGCCTCATCGCCGCTCTGCGCAGCCCCGCCGCACGATCCGGCGCTTATGCAACCTCGCAGCAAGCCATGCAGTTACCCAATCAGGCGATGGCTAACCAGGCATGGGAAGCCGGTTCTCCGGCGGCGTTCCCGGCGGCCGGCGGCGCGCTGACCGGACCGGTGGTGACGTGGGAGGGGCCGGAGCGGGGGTCCCGCGGGTGTCGGTGGTGGTGCCGGGTGGTCCTGCGCCAGATCAGGCGGCGGACCGGGGGGACCAGCTCGCGGCGGCTGAGTCAGCGTCGATCCAGCGGACCTCCTTCTCCATCTCCCTGGACATCAACACCAACCTTGTCAGCATCCAGGGGTCTGTGACCAGCCCAAAACTGGCAGACAGAAGCGTGGGTTTCACCAATGGAGCCGGCAACAGCAATGAAAACAGCAATGTCAGCAAGCGCGTGGGAATGGGCACTCCCTTGGGTTCCAGCATGGTTGAAGAGACAGAGGAGGCTCCTCAGCAGGCTACAGAAGTTGAAGGATGTAAAGAGACTGCTGTGCACGATGAGTTTACTGATGAGGGGCAGGGAGATGCAGCGGCTGATGGAGATGAAGCAGTGGAAGCAGAGGGCGGTGTTGGCATTGACGCAGATGCGCCAGTTGATAGGGAGAACAACTGCCACGAAGCAGCGGAAGGGATTGCAGATAAGGAAAGCCATGTCACAGGCACCAATACTGCAGGGGTGCAAGAAATTGAGCAGGAAGCAAGCTTGGTGACAGCGGAGGAAGAAGCTGCTGAAGTGGGGGTGTTGAACGCCGCTGATTACAATGCAGAGCTCACAACCAACAAAGATGCCACTGCAGAGGAAGACACCAGCGCCCAGCAACTGGGGGAGCATTCAGTAGATGGTGCAAATGAAGAGAAGGTAATGGTGCAAGCAGCTGACGGGGCAGCAGAGCCGATTGAAGGGGCTGCAGAGAAGTTGGAAAGCCCCACAGCAATGAACGCTTTGCATGAGGCAGTGGACACAGTAATTGCCGAAATGCAGGTCTCAGCTGTGGCTGCAGAGAGCATTGCTTGAAATGGCCTCCAGACAATTGCACCGGATTGTTATTAATATTATTATTACACGCTTTTCCTGCCGAAGGCAAGGTGCGTCTGCAGACGAGCTGCATGTAAAGGTTGCCAAATTCCTACCCCTTGTTGGACTAACCATATCCAAGCAAGACCCAATCAAGGTGCTCAGTATTTGTACCGCTTCCCCGCCAGCCGGAACCACCGTATTTGCACTGGATACTCTGCAATAAATTGCAACCTGAAGTCTGCAGATGGCGGGTGTGTGGTTCAACTTGAGCCCCGAGGCACTTGCTGATACTATTTTGCACACCATTGTTCTAGCTCAAACTTTCGTGGGCTTTGCATGCATGCATCCAGATGGAGACACAGGAGTTTCTAGTAAACATAATCGGCATTATGTGTTGGATGGAACCCAAAATCTCGGCCCGGCGAATAATTTGTCGGCTCCAATCAAAATTGCAGTGTGCTGCTGTCATAAATGGTTGCTCTCTGACACATCAGCACCATACAGCGACTGATTTCAAATCAGATCCAAAATTCTTTGCAGCTGTGACATTGGCCAGCCGATAAAATCTCCTCCTCTAACTTTGAATCACCGCCTCAGCCTGAATGACCCCTGGATGTGCTGCAAGATCTGCTCCTTCTGCGCATTGTACTGGTCACTCCTTGCACTGGCCACTAGGCTGTACACGCGGCCTCCCTTTGCGGCCGCCACCGCAAAATTCTTCCTCCTGATCTGATACCCGCTGCGCGTCACCGTCTCTGAAGGGAAGCGAATGTATGTGTACCTCTGCGCAAGGATCACATAAGAATTTGAGGCGGCATGGCAGTCAGGGCAAAAGTCATAAAAGAAGAAAAAAACTCCAAAGGCCAAGAACAGCTCAAATTTCACGGGTGCTTTTTCCATTGCCAATAGAGGTACTGTTGATGAGGCAGATGCAGAATTGCCCATCCACATGACCTTTGGCAATCTGGAATATGTTGCAGTGGCAAGAAAGCCACAAAACTGGGCTGAAGATAGGGCTTTGAAGAGATTTTTGGCTCAAACGGGTGGTTTTAGGGGCAAGTTGGCTTAAAAAAAGAGGCCAATTCACATTTTTGGCCGTGCAAGTATGGGCAGATCAGGCAGGCAGCTGGCAAGAAGCCATGCACGATGCGAAGAAAAGGGTCGACATCCTTGTCAAGGGTCAGGTGGTTACTAAGTGCTCACCATGTCATCGATGTCCACAGTCTCACTCTTTATCCGGCGCTCGTCCGGCAAAATCAGCCGCGCATCTCCCCCAATTTCCTGGAAATTTCTGAGACTCAGTCCTTCACATTGAAAAATTGGGTCCTTTTCTGATTGCTCCCTTCCATTAGATCCCAGGAGCTGCTTATTGCAGGGGACTCTATACCAATAATTGATGTAGGAACCCCTGCTTATTGCTCTTGCTAGTCAGGAGTTTGGGCACAGGGGGATCAAATACAGGACAACTTGGCATCCTTGCACCACAGGTTGCTGGCATGAAGGGTGTGAACCCTCATCTTGTGCTTCTCCTTGATGCAGAGCATTCATCCTCACCGGCAAGCAATTCAAATATGTGTGGGAGATTTACCTGCCCAGGAGAGACTGCCCGTCTGACTACTTCCAGCACCATGTCTGCGCTGCTGGGCTCTGGGAAGATCTCTACCACTGCCTTGTCAGCCGTCTGCGCGCATGTGACCGCACATGTCAGCACATGACTGCACGCCATGCATCATCATGCATGCATGCGGCCATCATCTCAAGCTGCATGCTCCAGCTGCACAGTTCACCGCACAAGGGCTTCCTATCTCTTGCCTCCCTTCTTGATCATTGAAACGTCACAAGGCGGTCAAAATTACCTGGCTGTTACCTGCATGAGTGCAACCCCCTCGCAGCAATAGCAATAGCATAAAGCGCAGCGATTGCTTTTGTTATTTTTTAAAGAAATGCTGATTCGTGGGAGTGTGAGATTGTGCGCACATTGAAGTCAGAGACATAAACTCCTTGGCGCAGGCTGTTGCTGCGGCCCACCCAGCTCCTGGGGTACTCAAACACAAATTCCTGGTCGAAGTCGTCGTACAGCTTGAATTCTCCCGAACCTCGCAGCTGCGGCAATCCATACGCGCCTGCAGTGAAGCCAAATACAAGTGTCTGCACACCTGATGCTGGGTTGTGATGTTTGATTAGTTGTTCCGAAGAGGAATAATAAATAAAGATGTGGTAACGAATATTACCCAATATGCTGTTCAGGACTGTTGTGGGATCGTCTGTCCCAGACAGCTGGCTGCCTAGGACTCCAAGGTTGGCAGAGAGAAGAAGATGCTGCCTTCGCCCAAGACCTGTTGTGCAGCATCGTGTGGGCGCCTGGTGGCATAAAATGCAATTTAAAATGATGCTTAAGTAAGTAGAGACACATTTTGTCCTCCATGGATGATGAGATTTATACAGTGATAAACAGATTTGTGCTGAAGATGGGCAGATAGAGAGATGCTGCACCTGCCTTTTGCTCTTTCAAAGCACAGAGGAACGTTGCAGAGTTTCTTGTTATCTTCGGTCTTATTGCTGGCTGAACCAGCAATGGAGAAAGTGTGGGTCTGCAGTTGCCCAAGCTTGTGCTGGCATCCATCGGTCTGCTGACACTACAATATCCACTAATTGTGACTGGGTCAGAAGTCAGTGCCGAAAACCAATCTTTGAAATGTGAAGCCCAAGAGCCAGAGGGCATCGGACTAGATTCGGACACTTTATCATGCTTGGGGTCAAACTTGGCAACTCACGGTCAAGCCTTGCTTAGCAGGAATTTCAAGGTGCAGATTGGGAAGCATAGCAGACTTTCTGACTCTGTGTGTAAAAACTTAGCACATCACGCAACTGAACATTCCAGACCTTGAACCGATCAATACTGTTCGAGGACTATTCCTTCATTATCACTTACTAACTTTGACGAGCTAGTCTAGATACCTGCAGCCTTGGACGACTCATCGAGATGCAAGAAAATATGCGCGAAGGACCTTCAGTTGTCGTATCTCCAGTATTGAGCCACAGGGACTGTAACGCACAGCATCGTGCTGGTGGGAACTTCATTTGCAACCATAGGGGCAACTGCTCGCGTGAGCCTCGAAAATCCTGCAGAGACGAACATAAACCTTTTAAGTAATAGTACAATGTTGTGCAGGTATGGTTGAGGGGGAAGAGCAGTTTGCAAGCCCCCAACATCCCAAGACTGTTTGTGAGGGTGCATCGTGCAGCAGGTCTAAGAACTACCTCTTATCAGGGGGCAGACGAGCCCTCGAAATACAAAATCAGCAGTCATTACTAATGTTGAGCGCAAGCACGATCAAGGTGAGCAAAGTGAACCCCACCTGGCATCTATATAGCAAGATGCACACTATGGCTCCTCCCTAACCTTCTGGTACGACCATGCAGCCATCGCCAGAATAATCTCGAGACCACAGGTCACGTCTCTCAAGCACACACGATGATTGCAGGATCTACAGAAGGCGAATTCTGTGCTTGCCAGAGAGCTCGTCTTGTCACACAGCAGAGCGAAGGAGAGCATAGGAGCATTGCAGCAGCAGCTCGCAGATGTCACAGCCCAGCTTTCACAGGAGCGCCAGACAAATGTGAGCGACCGCAATCTCAATCCTACAGACATGGGACTGAGGCTCACAGAGGCTTGTTTGTTATTGCTGGCTTTGGCTGGCTGGGAATCTATGTCAGCGCCTGGTCATGATTTTGTACGCAGAATTGCTGAGTCGCCTCTCAGACAGTGTGTCACCGATACAGGGTGACTTGAAGACGGGACATGAGGACGTTCAGAAACGCCTCATGGAGCTGCAAGGGAGGTATAGTCCAAGCAGTAGTTGGTTGCAGACAGACCAAGGATGCCTTTTCACCTGAAGATGTCTCCCAATAATGCAATGGAAGGTCTCACGTATGGATGCACGCCTGTGATGAGAAGCCCCTCATGCAGGTTGGATGCTGAGTGTGCTGCGAGGACCGGGGCCGAGTCAGCATTGGCACAGTTACAAAGGAAGGCGCGGGCGTGGAAGAAGAGGTGACTTTACTCGATGCCACTTTTGGCACACAGGGTCTGCATCACACGTCAGCTGTTGCGAGGCACACCCGCCAGCTGGCCAGTGAGCAGTGGGGTGTGCGAGAGTTTACATAAGTATTTTCTCTTATCTGCTTGTGCAGGATGCAAAAGGAGCTTGCATCTCGCACAGATGCAGGTGACGCCGCTGAGCAGACTGCCTCCCTGGCCTCAGGCAAGCTTCCACAAATATGTTCCCTGCAACGATGGACTTGCCGAGTGAAGCCATCCAGAAGGCTGCAGAGCACGCCGCATAGCTTTATCACAAAAGACCCTTGCATGCTCGGCGCGATGAACTCGCATGCGGGATGGGACACACATCCCCAGGATTAGTACATGACTTGCGGTGGTTGCATCTTCCTGTCTATGTCATTAGTGCATGACGCATCAGCGAGGCCGCCGACGTGGCTGCTGACATCACATGCACGCGCAGATGACAGCGTGCAGATAGAGCCGCTGCTGGCAGAGTGCCGAAGGCGCTGCATCGCTGCCGAGGCCGCACTGTACCGGTCGGAGGCCGAGTGCGGCCGGCTGCGGCAGAGGGCCGTCGACGCGCAGACGGCGCTGCAGGAGGGCCGCCACGCCAAGGTAGGCCCTGTGCTGCCTTGGTGGGCCCTGCCCATATTGCTTCCGAGAGGGAACCGTGACCTGCGGGAATTAATGGGGCAAGGCATTATTTTCCCTGCTCTGTACTCATCTGCATAACCAAAAAGCAAGGCTCTTTGTGCCACATGTACAAATTCAAAGTCGCTGTAGGAATGGGACACTTCAGCTATGCAAGCAAGCGGTCTTTTCATTGTGGCTCATCCCACCTGTGCTCTTGTGCAAATCCCAGGTTGCATGGCTAACAGAAGGTGCGTCTTGACTGGCACGTCGATACTGCACATATTTTCTATGTCAGTCATGCAGTGCGTTTAAACATGAAGTCCAGGTCCTCACCTGAAGCCCATGAATCACTCCTGCACATTTCAGGAGAAGTGCAAGCAGCTGGATATGGAGGTAGCAGCGCTACGGCTGGAGCTCGAGGCCGAGAGGGGCAGAGCCGCCGATCAGGCGGCGCAGCTGCAGAGAGCGCTCGGTGACGCCCGGGAAGCTGTTGCCGCGTTGTGTGCCGCGCAGGCAATTGCACAGCAAAAAGAGGAAGCTGCAGACAGGTATGGGCCTGGCAGGTTGTGATATCGGCCTTGCAACTTAAGTTCAGCCTTTGACGAACCAGATCACGGTGGCAAGCTGCAGCGCACCAGATGGCATCAGACTACCATTCGCATCGCCACATTGCACAGGGTTGCTGATAACGCTAACTGCATCAGAGTGGCACTTGCTTCCCTTCTCCAAGCACGCACAGGCACATCTTTATATTATGCGCCATGTCAATCACTTGCCATTATTGGAACATCAGCAGAAAACACATTTTGCAAGTTTGCGTCATGTGCAGGTTGGCCGAGAAACTAATGGAGGCAGAGACAGCATTGGAGGAGAAGCACAGCGAGCTAGATCAGGCGCTGGTAGAGGCAGCGGAGGGAACGCGCGAGACAGAAGCACTGTGTGAGGAGCTGAAGAGAAGGTGCGATGAGCTGGACGCAGAGCGCGCGCAGCGTGCCGCGCTCGCCGAGCACCTGGCAGCTGCAAAATTAGAAGCTAAGGTGCGCTGATTTAACCACTTGCAATATCTGCCTGCTCTTCTGGGTGCTGTGCAATGCAGCCGAAAGAGAGTGTGTCGAGAGGTATCAACATGAAGGATTGCCAGAGCAGCTAGGGCACCGGCAATTCACAGGTTCTGAGATGCAGATCAGCTCCAAGGTATGGAAGAGCAGTGTGTGACTGGGCGCGTCCCACAGCCGCCACTTTTCTTAACACATCATTGTCAGATTGTCTAGAAAGTACACTTTGTGTTTTTAAGCTGTTTGAACTTATTTTGAAAGTGACTTTGAGTTCCTGTGCATGCAGAGGGTAGTTGCACTGCTTGAAGAGGCGAGGGATGAAGCGGCGGCAGCACAGGACGAAGCTGACAGCGCACAATTAGCGCTGACATCAGCGCGCCAGCAGCTGGCTGACTCATCAGAGGAGCTGGCATGCAGCGAAGCCAAGGTCCGGCCCCTCACATGTAGCCTGTTATATATTTCAAATTCCAATCCTCGAAGCTGTCAACCTGCCTCATTCCTCTAATTGTGTGTGTCACTGCCTCCAGTAAGTAATTTCTGCCAGAGATTCGGACCACGAAGGAAGACTTGCTGCACCCTGTTTGCTAGCAACATCCGCACAGCAAGTGTGTTTGACACAGGAGCGTGCACGGGGGATCCTAACTCGAAAGCGGCTGCAAAGCAGTGTCCCATTACTGTTCTTTGAGAAATGCCATTTATAAAATCACAAATGAAGTCAGGGGTACCTGCTTGCCAAAGTAGGTGCTGGTCCCCCAAAAAGCAGTGAGAATTTGCCTGCACAGCATCAGCTAGGAAATGATTACAACATAAAAAAGGATCGCGCTACTCTCTAGGAACACAGATGCCACACTGAGCACCAGTATTTTGATGCCACGACAGATAGAGGAGCTGGCCGGGGCCCTCAACACAGCATCGGACCGGCTCAGTAGCACAGCGGCTGAGAGGCAGCAGCTGCAGACGAAGCTGACGTGCAGCCAGGTGCAGCTGGAGGAAGCTACCGCCGAGCTGCAGCAGCTGAGGTGATGTCTCTTTCTGCATGGCCCCTCCTGGCCTGTTATGCAGAGGCAAATTCTAATGACTTCTGCTGACTTCGCACGGTGCACATGGGAAATGACTTAATAAAATTTGCGGCACTGCTGAAGGTCGCTCTTTGTGCAATTTTCTCTGCAATTGCAGCCCGGCTAGAAAGCAAGCTGTACAGCCTCCCAAACATGCAATGCACATGCTACAAGAAGGCCCATGATGCTTCTAACACACTGTGGCTTGTTCTCTTAAAAACCATCAGATATAAGAATAAAGTGGCATTGATTGGCTCAAAATAGGACAGAAATGGAGGAAACCGGGATCCAGCTTGCGGCCAGTCAGGCAGCTGCCGCGCAGCTGCAGTCACGCCTGATTTCAGCCGAAACAGAGAATTGCGGCTTCCGGGAGGAGATTGCCAAGATCGCGGCCTGCCACCAGCGCGAGCTGCGCTCTCGGGACGAGACAACATCGCAGCTGAGAAAATCGCTCAAAACGGCTGAGGCGGCGGCTGACACGGCTGCCGAAGAGGCGCGCGATGCCGGCTGCCGCGCAGCTGCCTCGGAGGTCGGGAACGCCTGCTGAACATGCAATATCATGCTGCAGTTATTAGAGATACAAAAGAAATACAAGCAGAAGATGTAGCTTGGCGGGTTCAATGGTTTCACTCAGCACAAAGACATCGTGCCGCTGCTGTGCCGGCGCAGATACGTGCACATTGATCTTAGTATATGGTGTCCTGTTGGTGATGAGAAATGCCATGACCGGTGCCTTTTCTTCTTACCTGGCTCTCAAGCTTACACTGCGCTGTATGCTTTATGTCTCTTGCGTTATCTCCTGATACAATGAGACGTTCTTACAGCTTTGGGCACTGCTAAACACGAGTACCCTGTGTTTCAGCGATGATGTTCTTGATCCTTTAGAAGAAAAAATTTGGCGCTGGGTCGTGCGCAGACGAGTCTGCTGGAGGCAGTCAGCGGAAGGGAACTCGCGGCTGCTGAGCTGGAGGCCGCGCTGAGCGCGCTGGGATCAGCCAAGCGCCAGCTGGCGGCCTACAGAGAAGAGAACGCCGCATTACTCGCGTCCTATGATGACTGGCTGGCCGGGCGGACGGGTGGCGGCCACCGGGGTGCGCTGATGTGGCACGGGGGTGATGTCAGCGTTGGCGAGGACTGGAGGCCGGAGTGACTCATCTTTCTGAGTTGATGACTTGACGAAGTGAACAAATAGGTATGCAATGCATTCTATGCATGTATGCATGTGATGATTAGCTGTTAGCTTTAATCATGATGACTTGAAAGAGTGGAAAATTGTGGCAGGCATGCGAATAAGAGCGGTCTGCGTGCCATGCATGAATGCCATGTGGCAATCAGAATTTGGAATGAAGTACAGATATTCCTGGAGACTCTGCATCGATGATATCCGATTAATCCGAATATTCCTTGCACAATTGTGCACATGTGCACACAGCCGTTTGGGGCAGGGCATCAATTTGAAAGCCTGCCGCCACTCTTGAAGGCAGTGGCGATATATGCCGAGAAAGGGGAGACACAAGCTTTGCAAAAACATGAACATGATTATCTATATTATCCTTGTCATCATCATGACACGTGTACAGGCCTCATGCATGCATTTGCCGGAAAGGATTGAAACAAAAGTCATAAGGTGTTCTGCCTTGGCTGCGATCTTAATGCATTGTAGAAGAGCATACCAGCGTGCATCTGAGTTTCTCACAGCAGCTGTCTCCTTCCAAATTCATGTCTGACCAGGGAAATAAGGCCCATGTGCGTCACATGCAAAAGGGTCGAGAAGAGATTTCCGGAAGAAATCTCGGAACTTCATACTGCCGTGAAGTACCTTGTCCATCAGTCAGGAAGAACCCACATATTCTACATATCCGAAGCTCGAAGCATACCTCTTGAAAGACTTGAAAAGCTGGCAACGTCCTGTAAACCACGCACACTGACGTCGGCCGGATGTCGCCAGCAAGCATCCGTCGACGCGCACTCCTCTTGTTCGTCTTGACCTCTGCGGCCGCCAGCGATGATACGACCTTAGAATGCCAGAACGATTGCGACTACGGGATCCTACCAGGACTGTGGAGGGATCAGGGGAGACCGCAGTGGCAGCTCGTCAGCCAATGCTGCCAGCTGCGAGATCTCGTCGGGGAGGCTCGGCACGCTCCAGCCGACTGGAACAGCACTGAAGATGAGGACCCAGCCGTGAGAATTCTGATATTTGGCGACTCCGTGGAGCGTATCACGCTGCACGACCTCTGCGACCAGGACCAGTGGGATAACTGGGGACACGATCAGACCCTGTTCCACAGCTGCAGAAGGGGCCGAGTGCTGCTCTCGCGGCAATCGATGATCGGCGTCAACCCAGACGGCCCGTACCACATGGGGATGACCGGGTCACCCTTTCAAAGGATCCTCAACGTGCGCCCTTTATCCTTCGCTGACACCAGCACCCCGAACTTCACGCATCCTCGCGTTGACAACCGAACGCTGCAGCTGAGACGAGTCTTCCGACCTGTCTGCCCAAAGCACACCTGCATTCTGCCTTAGCTTGTTGTATTGAAAGATCATGTCTTGCAGGGCTTCGCAAGCCACAGGGCCTTTACGGGGTACGAGCCAGATGCAGTGGTGTTTTCCTCCTTCCTGTGGGACATGCAGCGATGGGGGCACTACGAGCCAGACAGGATCTCTGGAAAGGAGCTCGACCCTGCCACCCTGGCTGAGTGGTCTGGGCAGTTCCTCAATGTGCTACGCTTTATCCAGGTACAGGCTTTAAGGAAACCCAATGCTTGCCGCATGCCTTTCCGGCTGGTTGCCTTGCATGTATAATACACAGACTGCGTATATAGCAGACTGCCCGTTCGCTGACAGATGCAGAAATTTAGAAGAAGCTGAACTTCATAACTTCAAGCTTTGTTTGCCGAGCGTTCCGATGACACACCCTCTACTGTTCGAATATGATTTTCAAACAAAAAATTTAGGTTCGAAACATTGCATGTGGGCGCTGTGTGCAGGAGAATTCCCCGGAGGCGGCTGTGCGGGTGTTCAAGACAACAGTGCCCCCGTTGACTAAGGACTGCGCCAGTTCAGAAGGCCGGTTCCAGGTGGCGCTCTGCTAAACCTTAGTCATCAGCCCAGCAAGAACAGACTTTGATGCGGCAGGCTTTGTCTCTGGGGAACAGGATAGAGCCACAATAAGATCAAGAGGTCCATCTGCGAATGAGGCCACCAAGTATGCCGCAAGGCGAATGTACTGTGAAGAGACGTTACCTGACTTTAGCAATCTGAGGTTTCACATCTCGCTATTTCCTAACAGCCTGTCACTACTTACGATGCTAGCTGTGGTTGGGAGAAGCTTGAGGAACAGAAGGTGACATGCTGCGTTGTGAGTCTGTGACAGGTGGCGGAGATGGGAAGAAAGGGGCATGTGCTGGCACTCAACGCTGTGGCAAAGGGCGTTGCAGCAGCGGAGGGCTGGGCCACTGTCGACATGTCACAAGTGACCGGGTACGCAGCCAATCTTGCTCAGATTTCTCATGCTGTGGGAACTTGGGCGAAGGAAATGGAACAGTAGATGCTGAATGTATGGGGCTTGGGAAGTGAGAAGGATCTGTATTATTAATATTGTTAGTATTAAACGCATTTCCTGCCAAGAGGCAAGGTGCGTCTGCAAACAAGCAGCAGTTGGAGGCTGCCAAAAACCTACTCCTTGATTGACTCGCCAGATCCAAGCAACAATACCAATCCACTGTGGTCATGGTGCTCAGTATGTTTACAGCCCCCGCCAGCCGGGGCCAGTATAGAGAGGGGCAAAGCTCGGCCCCGTCTCACAAGGCATTGCCAATTCAACAGCTGTTTTCAGTGTGCTTGTATCCAGGAGAATCTTTTTGGGTGCTGTGGATTGTTTCAAAGTCTGCAGCAGCTGGCAGATGCACGGTCCCGATTAAATCACCTTTTAATCACTGTCAGATTCACTTTATGGCATGTTTCTGCAAGATCCTGGTGCGGGGGAAGGGTGTGTACACCTGATTGGAAGCCTGCAAAATGCATGTTTCATGTATTTTGTGTCTACTGCTGCAGGTACTTTTCTGAGCGGGAGTACCTGCGAGACATGCACCATCCAGCCAGGCAGATCTCACTGACAGCGCTGAATCTGCTGCTGAATGTGGTCTTCAGCCGAGTGGAGATCAGTGGAAGGGATGCTGTTTTCACCAATCAGGACGTTTGGGGCAGCTACTAGCCGGTAGTACTACACAACATGTTCATAGCAGAGTCAAACATTCCAGAAATCCCCTGATATTGGGCTCATGCTTCTGGGTCCTTGGACAGGGTCCGCCCAAAACTTTTTTCCCAACCAACGTGTTTTTACTAGACTGGTGGCAACCTCAGGAATTGCCCAGAGACGCTTAAAGGTGCCGATAATCGTGGATCTCTGTTGAAGTGCTGTCACTTCCTGGTGCGGCTGTTTTTACAGACCCATAGGCCGATCTTCTCTTTTGTTTCAGGTTGACATTCCTCGTCCTGTTAGCTAGAGATACTGTCAGCTAGAGACGCTGTCAGTCACGGATGTGTACATTTGATTCAGAGGCCTGCCGGAGAAGAAAACCTCCGGCAGGCCTTCTCCGGCAGGGAGAAGTAGGGAGAAGTTGTGCCTTCCAAAGAAGGCACAACTCTCAGCAGGGCCTCAGACACACTGGGCAGTAAAGTGTATTATATGTGTATCCACAGATAGACCCGTCAAGGAACCATGTTTTCTCATGCAAATGCAGGCATGATGACCGGCACTGTTCAGTTCAGGCATTTGTTCAGTGGAGACAGTTAGTGCTTAGAAATTAGTGTACTACAGGAAACCTACAAGGATCCAGCAGTACTCAGTTTATGTCTTTTTCTTCCCTTCTGCTATGACAGAAGGAACTGTGTAGTCAGATTCTCGGTGCATGCTTGATGCTACTAGATGTACGAGGCATTTTGTAGGTATATGTTCTGCTGAAAAGAGCTTGGTCCCTGAACAGCTAGGGAGTTGCACATTTGCAGCAGAACCTCCTCGGCTCCTTTTTCTGGTGTTTTGGTGGAAAGAGGTGTTGATATCATAAAGTCAGATAGTCAGGTGCATCTTTGATGCCATTAACTGCACAGGACATTCCCAGAGAATGGGTCCTGTTGTGAGATAGAATCAAAGAGCTTTTGCCCTGAACAGCTAGCAAGACACAGGTTTGCCACATCGCCTGTTATAAATATCTGAGCACATTTACTGGGCTATAATGCTGATGAGCTCTAGGAGTGCTGCTTTATTGTATGTTCAGCATGTGCTTGTCAAACGGCCCTGACCAGAAGGCTGATGAGAATTTACCCCAGATTTCATGTACATAGTGGTTTCAAAAGTCTGCCAGTTGGCTTTTCTCTTCTGCTGTTTACTGCAACAGGCTGCTCTAAATCCAGCCCAAAAGGAGGACGAGTGCGAAGCTAGAAGTGCGGGAGGTGTTAAAGGTTGGGAGGTGTTGCATTTCAGATAACATTACAGAGGCCTTAAAACAATGCTAGTTGAGTTGTCTCTTATGCTGGTTACTCCAACAGGACGCTCTAAAATCAACCCAAGCAGAGCTCAAGTGTGAAGCTAAGAAATGTGTGCAAGGTTGAGAGGTGTTGCAATTCAGGTTACATTATACAGGCTTTTGAATAATGCTACTTGGGTTTGCTCATTTGTTTGTTATCTGCGGCAACATGACGCTCATACTTCCGCCCAAAGAGGACAAGTGTGAATATAGGAACCTGTGCAAGTGGTTTGCATGCCAGATACCCTCACCAAAGGTGTTGCTCTCCCTGTGATCAGTATCTTATGTAAAAAGTTCCTGGAAGCTATGTGCTGCAAAACAGACACACGCATGTCCTGCTAACACCCCGGCGCAGCAAATAAAATTCTATGCTCGTCCCTGCAGACTTCTATATGCAGCCAACTACCATTCTTTTCGAGACCCCCCGCATACCCATAAAGCAAGATTAAGGTGCGCAGACGCAACCTCTCCAGTGCTATGCTGACGTTTCGTAATTTGCTAATCAGATCATGGCAGCAGCAGCCTGCTAGCTTCTAAAAGAGCAAACTCACAAGTTCTCTACGCAGACTACCTGTATTACTAAGGCTCACGCCCATCCTCAAGCAGATGCAGATCTTATAGATCTGCATACCCAACCACTCTTGCGCCGTGCTGACTCTCTATCAGTTGCCAATCACATCATAACAGCGGCCTGCTAGCTACACAAAAATGCTGCTTCTCGAGCTGTCTATCTCACCAAATCAGCTGACCCTTTTCAAAACTCCCTTTAGAATTTCAAGAGGCGTTTGCACGTTTCACGAACGCTCCCTCCGCCGTGTCCACGATGACAGTGTCCCCGGTTTGGACGAAGGGGGGGACCCCTATTTTGGCGCCCCCCTCCAGGCGGCACTGCTTGTAGGATGACGTGGCGGAGTCCCCACGCGCGTAGGGGTCTGCTTCCACCACCTTCAGCTCCACCGTCGCAGGCATCTCCCCTGCAGGGGTCAAACAATAAAAGTTGAATCCCAAGACCTGTGGCAGCCTTCAACTGAACGAGACTCGACAGCTGGGGGCTTCTTCGCTTGGCCCCAGTTGTGCCCGCTTTGGCCGCCTGTGCCCAGTTGCCAAAATCCTTTTGAATCCAAGAAAAAGGGCCCTGCACTGCTTTCAGAGTCCAGCTTGATGAGAACTGCACCTGACAAGTATGACAGGTTGGACCAAGAAAGAGTAGCTGACGAGGGCAGTAACCCAATGTTTCAAATTTGTGAACACTTCCGGCAGAAGACCCCTTGCATGTCTCAGCGGCCCAACAGCTCAACCCGCTCATCTAGCTGTGCCCAGGCTTTAGAGAGGTGTTGGACTTTGCAGCGGATTTGAGAATGAATTTTCGTCATTCTCACAGTTGAGAACTTTCTTTACGCCTGCCCATTTGAGGGGCCTGCCTGAAAGGGGTTCTTGTTTCGCTTAAGCAGCACAAGCTAGGCAATCAAGAGGGTAGCCACGGAACTGCGCAGCAGATTAAAAAGAGAAAAAGGTGTGAGCAATTATGTCACGGGTGACTCACCGCTGACTGGCTGGCCGTCGTCGGTGTAGTTGATGGACAGTTCTGTGCCGGGCGCCAGGAACGCCGCCGAATCCCCGAACAGCTCCGGGTACACCGCTATCTGCTCAAAGCTGGTTGGGTCCATCAGCTGCAGCAGGCCCTCTGCACACCCCAGCATTATAATTAGGGGAAGGGTCTTTGTCCCATTGTAAACACTAGTGGGAAAACATTGGTCCTGTCTCCACTTCAGCGCCATTGATGAGTGCTATAATCATCCCTGAATTGCCTTTGTGTTAATGAGCAGCTGCAAGCTGAGTATGTGTATCCATGCGGCGCAGACAGCAGGCTTTATACTTCTGGCATCAGGAAACAGGCACAAAACTCACGTTCCACACCTTTTCCTGGATGCATCTTCATCTACTGAGAGTGACAGCATTAACTAGCACACACCTTGGCACCTTTCCCTGCCATTAGGATACAACCGATTCCCTTGAATGCGCAATTCAGCAGTGATGTTTCTGGCAAGACATGTAGGCAGAGCACATGCCGGTAGCATTCACCTTCGTCCTTGTAGAGGAATTGGTATGCGCGCCCGTTTAGGCGCACAACCTCCACCAGGTCCGACGGCCGACGGCGTTCATGCAGCTTCGTCCGCGACTGCACGTCCCGTAACTCCAGCTGCGCGCATGCAAGGGTGAATGAGGGAACTTTATCCAGACACAAGTCAGGGTATGTAAATTTGTTGCACGCTGTTCCTGCCAGAGGCATGGTGCGTCTGCAGACGAGATACAGGTGAAGGCTGCAGTCATTCCTGTCTCTTGTCAGACTTGCCAGATCCAAGCAAGACCCGATCAACATAGACATGGTGCTTAGAATTGAAACCGCCCCCTGCCAGCCCGGGCCAGCAGAGCGAAGCACTGTGTAACTCTGGGGAAGAAAGAGCAAGGTGCATGTGTACAGAGACCACTGTTTCACAAGCAGTGGTCCTTGTGAGGTGCCTAGGAAAGCAATTTTGATCTGCAGACTGATTAGTCAGCTGACTTACAAAAGGGTGCGCACCTGCACATTGCCAAGCTGGCGGCCATGGCCATGTGTGTGCTGATGCTTAGTCACCTGGTACAGCCGCCCCTCCAGCTCTATCAGGTTCCCTGATCGCACCTGAAGACGCAAAAATCAATATGTCAATAAATTTGCACACCAGTGTAAATATTGTGCACATGCTGGACAGAGTGCAATTAGGAGTGACTGCTGGCACTGCAAACATAAGGGTCCCCAATTTAATTGCTCCTCCAACAAGAGATACAATAGCTGGCAGGTGCTCAGGGCGACTCAGGAATGGGAGGGTTCAACATGCAACTTCTGATGTGCCCATCGAGTGCTGGGAGAGAGTTTGGCGGGAGAAAGGGGCACAGCGGGGTATCTGCCTCACCTCATTTGCTTTCTTCTTTACTCCACGTGTAGGAGTCAAGTTCCAAAGCGGCTGCTGGGGCCACTGAGCCAAGCTCGGCAGAACAGTGACCTGGTGGGCGCTGCATTCCGAGGGAAGGTACAGGTTTGAGCACCTCAATAAGGAATTCCGCAAAGCTCTCGATGCAGCTGAAGACATTACTGATAAGCTTTTTACTTTAATTTCGCTATTTCACTTCACAAGCCAGACTCGATCTCAGATCAGGAACCACCGAATTGGACCGAACTTGCATTGACGGCGCCTCAATATGCTCAAAGGGCCTTCCTCACGATATTGAAGGCCAGCGCAATTCTTTTTATGTTTCATTGCATTGTGATATCATTTCTGGGCGTCAGAGTCAGCAGGATGGACAAGGGTCGTCATGTCTATATTCGAGGGGTCCTCGATGGAACCACCGTGTTTGAATTTGAACTCTGCCTTTCCATCCCTTTGCCTGAATCCTGGACAGATAGACGACTTCCTTTTCCCTGATCGAAGTGCAAAGGCTCCTTGCATGCTTACCCAGCTGCAGGTGAGGTTCTGGGCAGTCCATTACTAGTGGAATTGCCGAGACTTCCATTTTGGAAGTTGTTACATTCGCGCGAAGGCCTGAACGCAGAAATGGAAAGCATGCCAAGTGCAGGTCTTGTTGAGTCTTGCACGGGCCCTGTGAGTACTGCTCATCTAGGTAAAGTCTGCTGTCAGGGCATATGCCAAGGCGGCCAGGCGTTGCCCCCCAGCAATGTGCGCAGACATCAACAGCGCATCCACCCACCCCTCTGCATCCTCCCCATTATCTGCACACCCACCAAACACATTTAATTATTCACAATCTACCGCTTCTTGCTTGGGTCTGGCGAGTCCATCAAGGGGTCAGTTGTGGTCGCCGTTATAAAGGCATTTACCTGCAAGTCTTCTCTAATAGGAAAAGCATGTAGAGATTTCCGCCAGGGGCATAAAGTGCATCAGACAAGCTGCCAATGCAAGTTGTACAGACTGCAGGTAAAGCTATAGCCTCCGAGCTATTCCTGAAGCATCCTAACAGCCTGTGCTTGCGCATTCCTGCAGTGACGTGTGCTTCGCTGCCGTCCTTATATGCACAGGCAATCTACACACGCTCCTCATTACTGCAGATAAAGAGAAAATTTAAATTCAGCATACCGTTTGCAGCATGCAAAGATGGGTCAAAATTTAGTACCTGACAGGAAGAAGTGGCCCTGAGGTTGGTTGTGCAAAGCGACCCAGAAGGCATGCCCCTCTGGCAGGCTTGGATCCAAACAAGGCTTCGCATCCGCAACTTCCGCCAGATCAATCCTGCATGCACCCACCTTCCTAAATGCGCAAACAGGATAAATGCACGACCTGCTTAGGAATGCCTCTGGTTATGGGAACGCTCCAGTAAAGAAGCATGCCCTGGAGTGATGGCCTAGCATCGCACAAGGACCCAGAACACTTATCAATCTTCCTTTTGTTGCATATGAGATATCAATTTGACATCACCATGGATCCTTGCATTTCGCACGACTTACATCTCTGCTGCGTTCTGTACTGCCAGGGACGCATAGGCAAGCCTACCAAGCCTCCCTGAAGTCTCCTTTGAGGGCAGCACTGCATGTGCTCTCAACACTTCTAGTGTGGCGGAGAATTTCAACTTGCCTCTGATGGAATGGCGGTGATGAGGGGTGGCTCTCGCTGGCTGCCTCTTCATCCTCTGGCACGGCAGCTGTCCGGAAACCGTCGTGGTCCACCACAAAATAGCACCGCTCCCATCTGCGCGTGCATAAACTTGCGTCATGTCTTCCTAATGCTCCCACATGCTCTTGCTGCTCGACTTTGACATAATTGAATGCTGGCAATTTTCCAAGCCAGCACCGCTGCAACGCGCACTTTGCACCTGGAAGTTGCTGTTCCTGTGCTACATACTATCTGCTCGCAAAAACTGACCTTGCAGTGAGGACCTCAGCTACAGCAATGTTACGGTGCATGACCCTACTGCCCCTACTGCTATTGCCTCATTCCCGGCAAGAAAGCAGCCAAGAAGCACATCCAGTTTTGACATGCACTCTCATGTGCCCCTTGCACATTTATCCATATCTGAAAGCATGAACAAGAGGGAGGTCATGTGGCTCGCACCGCTCGGAGCAGGAACGGTCTGTAGACGGGTCGACGGCTGTGAGGAAGCCGGCGCGCAGGTGGCCCCCCGGCAGCAGCGGGCGGACCACCTTCAGCGACCGCGCATACACCTCCCGCCCTGCCAAGCCATCAGTTTAAAACCTTGATCCTCATACAATCATAAATTTTCCAAATCCTCTGACATCCCACACATGAACAATCTGCCAGGGCGAGATGCCTACATCAATCAAATGTCACATATTGTGAAGTATTAGGATGTCCCACATGCAAAGGATGGGCGCAAGCCCCTGCTTGTTCTTACATCAGCAACACACATATCTCCCCTGCCTTTTGCAAGCAGTAGGTTCACCTGATTGCAGCGCAAAGGACAGCGCAATGTACTGGGCAGCCAGGCGGAAGGTGCGCGCAACAGCAGCTTCCTCCAGGCGCTCCGCGGCTTCCCGCTCAGGGTCCTGCATCATTGCACCTCCTCAGCACTCCGCCACCGGTCTTATTTGTCCAATTCATTTACCCCCATTCTTGGTTGCTCCTTTGCGTGTTTTGTCACAGCGCTGTACATGGCAATATGTGCTGTGCCGATTGAGTACCAGGCCAACTTCATCTCATTCCTTGTCCGCTAGCCACAAGAACAACCAGCCTTTTACAACCCCCGACCTCGACATGTATGTCAAAGCAGGACTAAATAGGACGAATCACTGTTGCGTGCGGCATGGCACTCTCACAGGGCATCTGCGCCGGATATCTTTACAAGACTCCTTGTGCACGGCAAGAGAATGGCAGCAGAGATTGTCTGTGATCCTACCTTTGTGAGTTGGGAGGACATTGCAGCCTGTGCAGCAGTTTGCAGCGCAAATGCATGCGAGTAGTACACCGTCCCGAGGTTGTAGCAGGCGCGGTCAAACTCCGGCCGTAGCCTAATTGCCGCCCTGAATTTGGCGACCGACTGGGCCACCAGACGGCCTCGCTCTGCCTCCGCACGCATCGAGGACAGCTCTTGCAAAACCAGGCCCCAGTTGTTCAACGCCTGCGATTGGCGCAAACACATTCGTGCTTATCTGTGCTCCTGTAGCAAGGGTATGCTGGAAAGGCCTTCTTGGATGTTGAGTGCATTACACATATAACTCGTGCAAAGCTGCAGTTTCACTGCAGCCGTGAAAAGATATCAGGCCACAGGCATGCTCAAGCAGGATTATTGCAGGTAAAGCAAGTTCGTGTGTAATCACAGCGCAAATATATGAATGACAGCAACGAGAAACCCAACATGGGTGCCTCCTCCCTGGGTTTGCAGCCTATGCCATTAGAAAGCAAAGGAAGGAGTTCTGAGCAAAGCGTAGATCACTGTACATTTGATTTTATTCAACCTAGGTAGGCTCACCGGCAAACTCAGGAGATAACAAATGATATAGTCTCACCTGGGGATTGTTGGGGTTCCAGCGCAGCGACATGGCGTACTTGTCGGCGGCGGCAAGCAATAAATCGTGCGCTCGGCTTCGGTCGGCCGCCTTGACCGCGCGCGACATGTCGCTCAAGGCAACTCCCCAGTTGTACAGCGCGCTGTGCGAGGACCGCCGCAGCCGCCAGGCAGCTTCGTAGCGCTCGCATGCCTGCGCACATGCGTTGCCATAATAGGGATGAGTCATGTCGCGCCAAATCGGGCACGGACAGAGGGAAATTGGCTTGCCAGGCGTGCGTGAATCCCCGCTCATGCAGCGGAAGGATACGCAAATTCAGGCCACGTGTTACAAGGCCGCAATAGGACACACAACATGACAGGCAAACCATTGCTAATGTGCCAAAAGTGGATGCAGGCTGCAGAGCTGGGCCATCAGTTGAGGGGCATTATCTTTGGCTTAAAGGAAGGGCACGTGGTATTGATTCGTGGAGGTGCCTCATCATTAAAAAGGGCAGGTCTTTCACACCGGTCAGACGACCCCTTTCAATTATGGGGTCTCATTGTCTCATGCAGCCCAATGCTTCAGGGATTGCATGTGCTAGAAAACGAATGGGCACCTGAGCCAGCAGCCGCATCTGCTCATCCCTGGAGCTGGTGACTCGCGAGGCGAGCTCCTGCAAGGCGAGGCCATGGTTGTAGATGGCTTCGAAGTCCGATGAGTCTCGCTGCGTCGCCTTTGCATAGCGCTGCGCTGCGAACGCCAGCTCGCGCGTGCTGTGGTCTGCTGACTTTACTGAGATGGGGATGAGCTGCGCCTGGGGTGTGCTGCCAGATGCTCCAGTGCTCACAGCTGCTGATCCGCCATCCTGTAACCAGCCAAACTGTCATCAGACGAGTGCTTTCTCTTACTTCTCTCTGTATTCGCGTATTGAGTGATATCAAAGGAATCCTTTTCTTACAAAAGGGGCTTGCTTCAGCAGGGAATTGACATCAATTGCCTGGGTGTTCACTTGATGACAAATATGCAGGTGTTAGGCTCCTGTGATTCTCTAGTCACACAATATGTGTGCTGATGGCCGCACCTCGCGCTCCTGGGCAATGCTGGGCCCTGCAAGCGCTGCGATGGCGCGCCTGAGCTCCTCTCCCCCACTGTATGGCTTGAAGCCATCCACCTTCTAGGCAAATACAAAACATCACAGAACAGTTCTTGACATGACATAAGTACCATTTAGTATGTTCCATGTGAACTTTACATCTGGAGCTTGCTAAGAACCCATTAGAAGGCACCAATAGAGCCCTCACAGACCCTCACATCGAGCTTGAAGTCTGCTGCGTCTGGCGCCATGAACAGTTTTTGGGCTCTGACAATGCGATGCAGCGAGTTTTCAAGCACGAATGACGTTGCTCTGTATCATCTACACGCTTGAGAACGCCCTTGGGAGCCTCACTCCCGTTGATGGGTGATGGTTAGACGCAATTAGCTGTTCAAAACCAGGTGAATAACCTATGCACAAACAACACGAATGCCAAGCACCCCGAATTTACAGTAGCATCAAGCAAAATTGATCTCTTGTCCAGGAAAATTGAGCCAAAAGAAAAAATGCACGTGCTTCGGCTCAGCTCGCACGTGGTGATTTTCCTAGGATAAATTTCTCCTTTCTGCAAGCCATATTCGCCGTCAGAGTTGTCCAAGACTAATATTGGTATGGTTACAATTGTTTCTGGTATATTCTGCGCAAGAACACTGTGCTTGTCCACCAGATTGTTCAGCAGCATCAGAGGGCAGAGGTGCCTGCGTAAACAAAGTCGTCTTGCCAGGTTAGCGCACTTATCTTGTCAATCGGATCATTTATGTCGAAAGGTGCCTGTGCTAGTGCTATGAATTTTGAGAACTTTAACTTGAGAGGCATCAACCCCATGCCCACGATCTGTTGCAACACTGCATGCCACAGTGTCACCCTCAGCCATATATTCTCAAAGCTTGACTTATTTTGGAGTGCAAGACTGAATAAACGTCGGTCCTGTATTACGACAGGACCGCAAGACCCATTCCAGTGAGCCAGACACGGCACCTCACAATGGCAGATGCCAGCACAGCCACTGCCAACAGCGCCAGCAGGAGGGTGCATCCAGAAGGCATGGATCAGGAGGCAGGGCTGCTGGCGCAGCTTGCAGAGGTTCCCCTGGCCAGCAAGGCCTGGATCCGGCCTCTTCAGGGAAACGATGCTCTGATCTCTGTACGCAGTCTCTCACACCCACAATTCAAGTCTCATCTGGCCCTCATTAAATTTGTGATCTTACCTGTTCAGGTGCCTGGAGGTATGGCCTGTCCTCTGGTCACATGGATGCATAAATCTTCTGTCATCTGTACTGCTGAAGTCAATGCATGCTGGCTCACAGGTACAGTACAGCCAGCGTAATCTGGCAGCGAATGCACAGAGAAAGTACACTGTGCCTTACATGTTCCCTGCCAGTAGTGGTGAGGCGGTGCCCGGCTTTCCAATGGAGCTCAAAGACGTCCTTCTCTTCTCTCCTTCACCCTCAGGTATCTCTCTCTTGCTTTCACTGCCGCACCACGCAACCTTGCAATTCAGTACTGGTTTTCGTGCCTTTTACTATACACTATGCCGCTAAAACAAGTACCGTAGCTACTAAAAGGGCTTTGTTTGAAAAGGAATCGAACAAATGTTACATAACATGTGCTCGGTTCCTAGCAAGGCAAGGCACCCTCAGCTGCAGCCTATGTTTCCCTTCATCACTGTGTCATCCCTTCAAGATCATGGACCTCAGCATGTCAGCTCTTCCCATGATTACATCCACCAGCATCAAGTCTACATGATGTGTTACGGGGTGGATGCCATTTACCTGCCAACTTTTCCATCAACCACTTCATTCATCCAAACTCTGCTGTGGTCTGCAGGCAAGCGGACGCTGGTAGTAAGGGCGGGGAAGGAGGGAACATCGGTCGTGCTGGAGATCTGGGGCAGCCAGAGCCTGATCAGGGAGCTGCATGTGCCCACCAAAGTGCACGGCTCGGTCTTCAACGACGGCTGGTTCTCGGCGGGTGCTTCCTGGGACCCTCAAGAGCAGCGCATTGCCTACGTAGCAGAGGTGCGCTGCTACCACTTCAGTACACAAGCGTTGAATATGCTGCTTGCCGGCAGAATCACCTTGCACCTGGCAGGAATCGCGTGTAATATATTACAAGAACGAACACAGATTCTGAGGCCTCGTTTTGGGTGCATGTAAGAATGAGTTTGAGTAAAGAATAGTTGGGCAAAAGCATGTGTATGCATGACTGGAGAAACCTGCAGCCCACCTCACAGCAATCCTGTCAAGCACCAAGCGCACCTCTGCATGCCAGTCCTCAGAGCAACACATTTCATTTCCTGAAAAGCACTGTGATCAACAATGTACTTTTACTTGAGAAGAATACATCTTGAAGTGTGCATGGTAATGCTGCAGGCGCCAGCGGATGTGGAGACGCCCGAATGGGGCGGCATATTTGAAGCGGCCACTGATGGCAACAGTAGTGAGGGGCCCAAGGAGGAGAAGGGCGCTGCCCCCAAGAGCTGGCGAGGGCTGGGCGAGTGGCAGGTTCAGAACCCCCCGATTATAAATTACCCCTGCTATTAGCACAACGGCAGCATGCCTCCCCGCATGGTGGCTGCAAGTCTGCATGTGAAATCCCAGAGGCACTGACCAATGCAGACACACCCTTACCACACTTGCTCTGAGCGGGCTATCATTCATGTGTACAGGAAACTTGGTATAAATTGATGGAGTGAATGGTCCATGCCAGTGTTTGTTCACATTGCTAAGAAATCCCGAGGGGCTATCTTGTGCCCTCAGTATGCAATGTCAACATTGCAGCAGCTGTTGTCCCCATGTCACCCTCCAGGATTTTTCCAGGCAAACAAATAAAAATCTTGGAAAAAAAGCACCCAATAATTTTATTGCTGTGCAAATGCTGCAGGAAGACTGGGGTGAGCTGTACACCGGCAAGAAGGCGCCGGCGCTGTTTGTGCTGGACCTGGGATCCTGGAAGGTGCAGGGGCTGAAGGGAACACCCCCGGAGTCCAGCGTGGGGCAGCCTGTCTGGTCCCCCACAGGTATATTTTGATAACTTAAATACCCCACTTGAAGGGGAGAAAGTTTGGGTTATGTTTTCCTCAAAAATATTATTATTGGTATTATTACACGCTTTTCCTGCCAAGAGGCAAGCTGCGTCCTGCAGACAAGCTGCACTTAAAGGCTGCCACAATCCTACCCTTGTTGGACTCGCCAGATCGAAGCAAGACCCAATCAACCGTGGGCACAGTGCTCAGTATTTGTCCCGCCCCCCACTTGCCAGCCGGGGCCAAAATATGCATTTTTCCATTATATTTTGCTTGGCATGAAGGATTTTTAAGCTCAAGGTGCCAGGAGAATAGAGAATCTGTGCAAGCGGTTAGAAAATGATGCGGCAGTTTTCAGCAGCACAGGCTGCTTGTGTCCTGGCAGACAGTTGCATGCGACCGTGCAAGCAGGAGCAGCGTATGCATGACTCGGTGTACATATTCACACCTGAAAATAACCTTCTTGCTGAGGCTCAGGGTAAATGTTTTACTTTGTGGGCAGGGGAGGATCTCGTCTACGTGGCTTGGCCGCACCGTGCGCCGAATCTGCCGACGCTGCCGGGGCGGCTGGGGATTGTGCACTGCCTCAACCGGCCCTGCTCTCTCTACTCCGCCTCCCTGCCAGCCTCTGCTTCTGCCCATCAGGCATGCTGCCTCACTTTTCACCCACATGCCCATCCTAATGCTGATGTAAACGTGCCCATGCTACCGGTCATGTGATTTGTGAAAATTGCCGCACTGCTTAGGTGTGGTGCAGGGTTGGTTGTTAATGAAGTGAAAGTCCCCTTTGATTCCAGTGAGTTGCCTCCGAAGTGCATCGTGCGCATTATTTATCGCCGAATTGGGACAGCAATCTCCATGTGTCAAAGGCAGAATTGAGGGGAGCCTTGTCTCAGCACAGGCCGAGGAGACCAGAAAGCTGACACCAGGCCTCGTCAGTGCGCTGAGCCCGAGGTTCTGCCCTGAGGGGAAAACATTGCTCTTCATGTCACACGAGGCCGCCGCCACAACCGGCACGCACGCTGCCACTGCCGCCCTGCACACCCTCAACTGGCCGCCATCAGGTGCGCCATAAATGAGCGAGGCATTTGTAGGAATGCCATCGAAGATGGCACCTGCACAGTGCTGTGTACATCATGCCTGAACTGTCCCGCTAGGGATGCTATGGGCATGCCCATCCCCAAGCAAGATATATTCTTTCGTCACAGGCTTCGTCTGTTGTGTAAGGAAGAGATCAGCAGGCCTGACAGGTCGTGAGAATATCAGGATATAGCTTCATGACGTTTCTAATGGAAGAAATTTGTATCTGCAAGTTGTGTTCGACATCAGATCTGCAGCAGTCGCATTTCTGAATGGGCTCAGAGTCGCATTTGTGGGTCACAGGCGGCAAAGAACCGGCCCCAAAGCTGCTGACAGGGGTGGTACAGTCACCCGGCAGCGATACAGCGGCGTTCCCTGGCATCTACGCCACCTCACTACCGGAGCAGCCCTTCTTGGACGGCCGTTTTGCGCTCGTAAACACCCAGTGGGGCAACCGCAGCGAAATCGCTGCAGTGGATTTGAGCAGCGGAGATGTGACTGCGCTTAGTCAGCAGGAGTGCTGGCCTGGATCCTGGGCGCTGCTCGGCTGCCATGCAGGTGTCTCCTTCAATTTGCACCTCCCAATAGTTTTTTGATTATCACTATCAAGATCACAATATAGAGACCTGACTAGAGCCATCTGAGGCTCTTTGGTCTTGTGGGCAGTCTTCTAGACTTCTACTCTGATGCGTATCAGTGCTTATCAGTGCTTGGTTCGTGGCACAGTGCATTTGATGCAACGTCTTGTCTTGGACATAATCCTATTGTTGTCAACATAATGGCAGCTCTGCTAGGCTGTACTGGGTGCAGATTTCCTGTCTCAGCTGCAATGCTTCTGCAAGTTTGGGTGTCAGCTGAGATGTCAGTCTTTATTGCTTGTCATACTTGCACCATACGGATTCGGCCATTCGGCATACGGTGAATATTCGGTCGTATATTCGGTGTTTTGGGCCAAAATAGGCCGTTTTTTACCGTATTCCGTATTTTTTAATACCGTATGACCGTATATTCGGCCGCATATACGGTCCCCAAAAAGTGTTCTGACCGAATGGTGCAACTATGTTGCTTGTGCTTCCTTCCCAGAGCAAGGACAGTGCCGCCTTTTCCACATGTCACAGCTGTTGAGCAACTCCGTGTCAACGAGTTGGGGGAGATAACGCACGAACAGATGAAGTGGATTGCCCAGAACCGGAGTGTCTTCCTGGTCTTGCATGAGACGGGCACCACCGAGACACCTGAGCTTCCTGACATTGCGAAACAGATCTCTCAGAAGAAGTATTTCCCCAGACATGGACATTCATGCGTTCAAATTTCCTGTGCACTCCTGCTGCAGGATGGATTGTGGCGTCTGCGTCAGCACCCAACAGGGTCCCAGATATCATAGTCGCCAAACTCGGCCCCGGGCAGGATATAAGCGCGCTGACATGGCGCCAGCTGGCGCTTGGCCAGCAGCCGCCAGCTGGCAGCCCTCTCCTGTCCCTGGGAAGTTTGCAGGTCCACAAGCGAGAGGTAAGAGAATGTCAGGGTGACTCTCGTGCACATAAATGAAACAGCACCTGTGCGAGTCCGCTTGGTAAGCAAGCTGCAGCTTCAGACTCCGAATGCAATATTGGATAGTTGCAGGCTTGGCCGCAATGTGTGGAATATACAGCTTTCAACATTTGTTTCATAGATTAGTAATGTTACATGCGTGTTCCGGCCCTCGGGGCTAGGTGCGTTGCAGCCAAAACTCACAATTTCCCCCTCCAGCCTTCTACAGATTTAAGCTGTGCAGCTTCTTTTCCACTGTGCTTGCGAGGAGAACAGAGGATGTGTGCAGAAAGTGCAAGGAGCGCATTCACAACCCGCAACCAATTTTTTTTATTTAGACACAAATTGTTAGATTAAAACAAAGTCCTGCTGTGGCGCAGTTCACGGGCACCGACGGCGTTGCCTTTGACGCGACGCTCATCCTGGGCAGGCCACAAGAGAAAGCCCCAGGCATCCTGTTCCTTCACGGAGGGCCCCACACAGCCTACCCGGCCGGCTATATGCACTCGCTCGCATTCCTGGCATCCCTTGGATACAACTTGGTGGTGCCAAACTACAGGTCAGTCTCACTGGTGTTCCAGTGTTACACCCTTTCTGTATGTCCGCTTGCTTTACATCAATAATGTTGAGGCTGAAACTGTAGGTGTCAAATTTATGTTCCTCCGCGTGCCTGGTGTCCTGCTGATGCAATCATTCTTGAGAATGGCTTTGATTTAACGAGATGATGGGCTGTGCTTCATGATCATGTCTGATTGGGATTCAGCTTGAATTTTGATTGAAGTACAGGAAGGGGCTTCAATCAAGTAGCCTTCACCTGCACGAAGGAGCACATGCTTTTCGTGGCCATATCATTCATCTTGTATGGTCGTGTAGGTAGGATGATGTAGTACTGGTGACAGCATTTGTAGTTGTCGTGTCAGATTGGGTGTTGCGATTGCAGGGGCTCGACGGGGTATGGGGAGGACAGCATCCAGTCGCTGCCAGGTTACATCGGCACCAACGATATCGCGGACTGCATGACCGCGCTCGATGCAGCCGTCAGCGAAGGTGCGCGCAATGCATCTAGATGGTCTGGATTTAATTTGAATTGAATTCCAAATCCCATGGTGCTCTTAGTGCGGTGCAGTAAATTACATGCTGTCTGGTGTCTGTCTGCAGTGCTGTATATTCTCTCCTCTCCCCCTGTCACCAAATGCATGGAATAGCAGTTCTTGCAAGTAGTGTTGTCACTTGTTCATCTTCCTGCCAGGAGATTGCTAGGCATGTTCAGGCAAACTGCTGTGCAATTCACTTGCGGCAATGCCTGGCCCCTGCCCCATCCACCCACGCATGCTTTTACGCCGGAGGCTTTCAGCTGAGCTTTACATCAATACCTCTCAGCAATTTCCCAACTGACATTATATTGAGGAAGTGCAAGAACCAAGAAGACTGGAGAGCAATAATTCAGGTGTTGCTTGACGTACCTAGTCCTTGAGGACTGGAAAACGTGTAATAATAATAAAAAAATTATTATATTGATGGGTGCATGCAGGTCTGGTGGACGGGGGGAGGGTGGCGGTGATAGGGGGTTCCCACGGCGGATTTCTGACAGGCAACCTGGTGGGACAGCATCCCGAGAGGTTCAGATGCGGCGTGCTGAGGAATCCAGTCATGGACATCTCTCTCATGGTGCAGCTCAGCGACATCCCCGACTGGTGCTACGTCGAGGCCTGGGGATCCAAGGTGAGCACCTGCTTGCTGTTTTTGTGAAGATGCAGAAACGAAACAAACCACATGATCTATTAGTGATCCATGTGCTGACGTGGCAACACAGAGGAGGCAATGTGTGGAACCACTGTTGCGTCCGATCAGGGCAAGTTGCCTGATGAGGGATTTGCACTTGATTTTTGAAATGAGACCGCCATGTTCTGAGACAAGGTGAGACAGAGTTGATAGATTATTGTACAGTGGAGAGCGTGTTGGCCTTTGCACCACAGGATGTAGCACAGACTCTTTCATTGCACCGCCAAGCTGAACTCTGGCTGAATCTTCACAGTGCAACCAATTGTGCAGCACTATTAAATGCTAGTAATGGATGAGTACCCCGTTACAGGCAACCATGCATTTTTCTGTCCCTCTGCGAATTCCGCTCAAAGCAGCAGGATGCAGGCATCTGCAAAGGCAAACAATATCATCTGATGGCTCTCAGCGCTGCCTGGTGTAATGCACAGGATGGCCTCAAGCGGGCGGCGGTGAAGCCAACAGCAGAGGACATCGAGCGTTTCAGGCAGGTCTCACCGATTGCGCATGTGGACAAAGTCACGGCGCCGCTGCTCTTCATGCTGGGAGCCAAGGACCGCAGGTGCGCGCATGTGCCGGCATGTGCCGCTGCATGCATGCAGGATCAGACCTTTCTGCCTGGACGTGCTCTTCCCAACCAGACACACTCACTCAGCCAGACACTCACTCTCACTTTTTTTGGGAGAGGACTTTCTATAACCTGCGCAGAGGTTGTTGCACCATGTCAGTGAGAGTTGCATGAAGCTCCTTCAGATGCAAATCCTTTCCTCGGTAAAACTAACACAGCGCGTCACTCAGTACGATGGCGTGTAACTGGATTGTGGGACTGGATTCCCTCTGCAATGAAATTTACTGTCAGCCGAAGGCATGCACGTGATCGTCAGGCCTTCAGGCTTACTTGCAAGAATCCCCTTTCAGCAGAGCACGGCATGCAATGGCGCTCTTGGCTATTTGCAAAAACCCTCAATGACAAAATGGGCGGCATCCATTATTGGCGCAGATCCCTTTATAATCAAAGGGTGTGTGCCCTGCAGGGTCCCACTGGTGGACGCGCAGCAGTATGTGAAGGCGTTGAGGGCGAGAGAGGGTGCACCAGACGCGCGGATATGGGTATTTCCAGAGGACACCCATTCACTCGATAAGCCGCAAACAGACTATGAGCAGTGGCTGAACGTTGCATGGTGGCTCAAGCAGCACATGGGCTGAGCCCTGCATATTATTATTTTTATTATCATTACACGCTTTTCCTGACAGAAGCAAGGTGCGTCTGCAGACAAGCTGCAGTAAAGGCTGCCAAAATCCTACCCATATAGGTGTTGATTATCTACCCCTACCCTGCACCGGGCAGGGGAATACTAAATACAACTTCCCTGAACCTTGTCAGGGATTGGGTTAATTGTGCTCATGGGGTGGCTGGCTTGTTTGGTTGGATTATGATTTTTACAGGGAGTTCTTGCCTAGGCAAGGTGCACGCGCAAACAAGCCTTAATAACTGACTGTCAGAGTTCTACTGAGGCTGAAAGAAAATCACGCATGCGTCACAATCACTTAACTGCAAAGCTGCCAGAAACGGCAATATTACAAGACATCTGCTTATACATTCTTTTCCATCAACACTTACTTGAGCCTCCAGATACTACATTTCCCACACAACACTCCATTTGGGAGTCTGCCACAAACAGGCAGAAATGTTGTCCTGCTGCCTGACAGGCCCAAGTCGCATTTGTCCAAAAATCAAATCACGTCTCGATAGTCCTCATCAGCAACAAACAAGTGCCACTGCTGCTGCGGCTGCCAGTGTCTTCACGGATGCAGCCACAGCCATAGTCACTGCCGGTCTGGCCAGGGCTGGTGCGAAGCACTGCAGGCAGCTGAGTGCAGTCAGCGCAAAGCCCACCAGGCTTGCTGGCTGCCCTGACTCGCTGACAGGCTCCACGTCGGCTCGGCTTGGAAGGCGGACGGTCTCCTCGGGCGCCGCGCTCTCCACAGCATCTGTTGTGTAATCTGGCTCCTGCACAGTCAGCACATCACATGTCAGGCACATGCCGGAGCGCGCCCTGGACAGTGCAAGTGCCAGGCACCGGCCTGAGCGTCATGCTTGATGCACGACACAGATATTTCTGCAAAGTGCAAGGCAGGCAGAGGTCTTTGAAGCAGCTCGCACCTCAGATATGGTGTCCTGTGATGTGCAGAGCAAGGCAGGATTGATGGCAGCGCTGTTGACGGTGTCCGGCTGTTCATGTCCTGAGACGTCCTGAGCCTTGGCGGATGCAATGTCCACGGTCACCGCGAATTCCTGGAGGCAGAATCAGCACGCCATATGTCAGGCAGCGGCTTCTCAAGTGAGCAGTCATAAAGGCAAGATCCAAGCAAGACACAGAGCAGGCAGGTCTCTGCAGTTCAAGGCAAGCAAGAGCCGCAGGTAGGTTGGGGAAATTACCTCGCAGCTGAGGCTGTCTGCGCTGCGGGCTGATGTTGGCGTGGTGCAGCCCGAGCAGGGCTGTGCTGCAGGATCTGCCAAGTTTGTGGGCGTGGCAGGGCAGTCATCTGAGCTGGGCTCCTGACTGGCTTTGCCCTTGGGCGAGGTCTGGACGTTCTTGATGGTCTTGAGGTCGAGGCTTGGTGGGGCTCGAGGGGGCTTGGCTGTCGATGCCAACTGCTCTGCCACGTTCAGACGGGCGTCGATGGCGGCTGCTGTCTCGGGCTCCTTGGGCATCTGAGGAGCTCGTGTCTTTTTGTTTTTCCTGGGCTTCCTGTACATGTACGCGTAGTGCTGCGTTGAAAGCCACAGTAAACCGTGAGCAGCTGCAGATCACCTCGAAAGTGGCGACCATATGGCCAAGTGGCGACCATAGGCATAGTGAGATCAATGAGATCAACTCGCACTGAAGACACCTCCAAGCACATTCCAAACTGGGCTATTTGCAGCACTGTGTGGACCTCACCTTGACTGCCTTGCGCGGCTCGGGTGTGGCAGTCTTCGGGTTCGCCATAGTGTCGTTCGTAGTTGAGGATCGGCGGGGCTGCCGTGTGAAGATGATGCTGCTTTGCTGGGAGCTCTAGCAATATATGATAAGCAAACCAAAGACCGTGAACTTGCAAGCTCTGAAAATATTTGCTTCATCTGCTGCCAGACTGAGCCCTTTATATGGCGAGGCAGGGAATAAAGTACATGCTCCAAATGAAAAAACAAAGTGACCCTTTTGGAATATCCTGCCTGTAAATTATGGCGCCTGATTGGCTGTTCGTGGCTCGACCAATAGGAATGTAGGGTACATCACGCACCATTTGCTAAGACATTACTTTGATTTTTCATTTGAAGCATGTACTTTATTCCCTGCCTCGCCATATAAAGGGCTCAGTCTGGCAGCAGATGAAGCAAATATTTTCAGAGCTTGCAAGTTCACGGTCTTTGGTTTGCTTATCATATATTGCTAGAGCTCCCAGCAAAGCAGCATCATCTTCACACGGCAGCCCCGCCGATCCTCAACTACGAACGACACTATGGCGAACCCGATGACTGCCACACCCGAGCCGCGCAAGGCAGTCAAGGTGAGGTCCACACAGTGCTGCAAATAGCCCAGTTTGGAATGTGCTTGGAGGTGTCTTCAGTGCGAGTTGATCTCATTGATCTCACTATGGTCTCTGGCTTTGGGTTTGCCGACCTGTAATAATAACGGTCGCCACTTTTCGAGGTGATCTGCAGCTGCTCACGGTTTACTGTGGCTTTCAACGCAGCACTACGCGTACATGTACGGGAAGCCCAGAAGAAACAAGAAGACACGAGCCCCTCAGATGCCCAAGGAGCCCGAGACAGCAGCCGTCATCGACGCCCGTCTGAACGTGGCAGAGCAGTCGGCATCGACAGCCAAGCCCCCTCGAGCCCCACCAAGCCTCGACCTCAAGGCCATCAAGAACGTCCAGACCTCGCCCAAGGGCGAAGCCAGTCAGGAGCCCAGCTCAGATGACTGCCCTGCCACGCCTACAAACTTGGGAGATCCTGCAGCACAGCCCTGCTCGGGCTGCACCACGCCAACATCAGCCCGCAGCGCGGACAGCCTCAGCTGCGAGGTAATCTCCCCAATCTATCTGCTGCTCTTGCTTGCCTTGAACTGCAGAGACCTGCCTGCTCTGTGCCCTGCTTGGATCTTGCCTTTATGACTGCTCACAATGACAAGCTCTTGAGAAGCCGCTGCCTGACATGTGGCGTGCTGATTCTGCCTCCCAGGAATTCGTGGTGACCGCGGAAGTTGCGTCCGCCAAGGCTCAGGACGTCTCAGGACATGAACAGCCCGACACCGTCAACAGCGCTGCAATCGATCCTGCCTTGCTCTGCACGTCACAGGACATCATATCTGAGGTGCGAGCTGCTTCAAAGACCACTGCCTGCCTTGCACTTTGCAGAAATATCTGTGTCGTGCATCAAGCATGACGCTCAGGCCGGTGCCTGGCACTTGCGCTGTCCAGGGCGTGTCCAGCATGTGCCTGACAGGTTATGTGCTGACTGTGCAGGAGCCAGATTGCACAACAGATGCTGTGGAGAGCGCGGCGCCCGAGGAGACCGTGTGCCTTCCAAGCCGAGCCGAAGAGGAGCCTGTCAGCGTGTCAGGGCAACCAGCAAGCCTGGTGAGCTTTGCGCTGACTGCACTCAGCTGCCTGCAGTGCTTCGCACCAGCCCTGGCCAGGCCGGCAGTGACTATGGCTGTGGCTGCATCTGTGAAGACACTGGCAGCCGCAGCAGCAGTGGCATTTGTTTGTTGCTGATGAGGACTGCCTTGCCCACACACACTTTAAATCATTCAGAAGTCTTACCTTTGCCATTCTGGCAGCGAGAGCGGTCCTGTGCTGCGTGTTGCAGCATGCAAGTGCGATGGTGTGTTGCTTGGGGCATAGTATCTCCAGAGGATTTAGTGGATCCCTGTTGGTTGCATCATGCTATGTTTGCATACTAATACAAACGTTATCAAGATACGTGGGTGAGTATGCGCCTTGTACTCTACTGTGGCAGAGTACCTTACAGCCGGTTGTGAACTGTGGGGTGGTGAAATGAAACATAACAGTTGAGGAGGCTTGCAGTATACTATATTAGTAATTGGGGTTGGAATCCATGAGTGACATACTAACTTACTTACTGGAAATCTCAATCCCGGCGCTGTCATATGATGCAGTCACCGATAAGACGGCATGCATTGGTTGCAAAGATATTGTGAACTTCCAGTGTTGATGATTCAAACTTGAAGAAGCTGTAATCTTTGCAGACTTTGAAGCTTCAGCATTTTTCAAATTGCTGCATAATTTCAGGGCAGTATGGTTTAAGTATGGTTTAAACACAAGTCGCCAGTTTCGGCGGGAAGCTTCTGGCGAAACTCAATTACAAATGGCAGAGAGCGCCTGCAAGTGGCGTGATCCACACAGCACCAGCAGCGAATATCCAACATTACATGTAAATAAGAATAGCATCTAAGCCCGTCGGAGCCTATTCCAAACTCCAGTGTGCCCTGTCCTAGAAATATTTGACGGGCTTGTTGTACGGATTCTCTCCGACAAGCACAAGAACGTGGCTGTGCCTGAGTCAACTACTCTATTGTTGCAAGGGGGTGTCTTGAAGTGCAAATTACCGGCTGTCATATCAGCCCAAGGACCCTCGCGTGCCAAAGCCTACCATTGTGCTAAGCGCTTTTGGGACCCACTTCACAGGGCAGCATAGCCTGATGTCCTCAGCAAAAATGCGATAATGGTAGCAACACCGTTGACTGCAATCACGGTGGTCATCTGCCTACTCTTTGGGGCCATATGCTACTTCTCGATCTCGCAAGATCTGCACGTGGTTTCCCACTTGAAGGAGCAGGCCGGCGCCATTTCTCGCCCCTTCCTTGGAATATCACGAGCGGAAGGTTCCTGGTGAGCTTCGAGAGCCCTAATGACGCCTGCACACACCCTTCCACACCCTCTTGAATGGTTTCCTGCTTGACCCCCTGTGACGTTGTCCAGCAGTCCTGAGCCAAAACTCAATTTAACGGATGCTGCGCTGCATCCAGGTCCCCCAACCTCAGCAACCATCGGCTACTACCAGAGTTCCAGGCCAAATGCCCACTCGTCTATCAGAGGCCAACATTGGAGGAGCTCAGGCAAAGGCAGACCCGACCATACCTGTTTGGTGGCCAGCAGCGGCCTTCCTGCAAAAACTGCAACTCTGTGAAAGACCGGGTGCGCAGCTTTGTGCCTTTGCCTGCTTCTCAGCCGACTACAGAGCACATAAGGGGATTTTGTTGCAGCCCAACATTGCCGAGCTCTGGTCGTGCATTATAAGTGCATTTTTTCCAATTTTCACTCATCTGGTCTTTCAGAACAGCGAGGCTGTTTCAGCCAACCTGCTCTGTGCTTGCTACAATGAGCCTTGCTCTCACCCTTCAAGACTCTGCTTACCTCCGCCAAGTGACACTCTCAACACATCCATCCATCCGGACTGTAAGACAATGACAATCAGTTTTGGGGGGCTGGTTCCTGAGCACATGTGCCAATTGGTGGTGCAGGGTCGGGCGGAGTTCTGTGCGTACATACCTCACAGCTACTCCCCGATATGCCCCCATAAGGACCAGGAAGCTCTGCTGCAGTACTTCCTCGAAAGGGCGGGCAATGGATCTGCGTGGGCAGAGGGGCTCCTTCAGCTGACGCCCTGTGACCTGTGGCCCTTCATCAGGTCTGCTCACCTCATCATTGTCACCGCCCGCTGCTGTCGAGTTTCAGTGCACGCTTCACACTGCAGCATGATGCTTTTGTGTGATAACGCTGTAATTGCCACTGTAGCACATGTTCACGTTTGCTAGAGCCAGAAGAGCCCTGACGCATCTGCTGCAGCTGATGCATCAGGCCTTGTCTGGTGTCATGCTTGTTTACACCAGATGATTGCTGAACCTGTGCTTGACTCCCTGCAGGGGGCGGACCTTATGGCTACTGGGTGACAGCATAACGCAGGCGCGCTTTTAATGCTCACCTTGATTTCAAGTTCAAGTGCAAATTCAGATTGCAAGGATGCCGATGAACTGGTGATCATTGCTGGGCATGCTGCATGGCCCAACACCCCATGACTGACTTCGCCTGATTGCATCATCAATGGCAGTCTCCAAGAAGCTCCAGCTGTTAGCTCGCAAACAGTCTTTTGGTTTCTTGAGATGCAGCGCTGAGCTGTCAGCATTGCTGACTTTGCTGACAAAACCACCTGCGCTGAGCTGTGATGTATGACTGATGGTGGCCACGCCTATGCAGGAGTTTATGGTGGCGATGGAGTGTTTGTTCTACGAGTGGTATGAGAACCCGGGATCTGGGGAGGGGATGCCTTTTGGGAGACAGGCGGTGTCCAACAACACTGCTGCGCTGGAGATCGTGACTAAGGAGGGCGGAGTGAGTGGCATGCCTTGCCAGATTGCACGTTGTCTCGGCCGATCAGTATTGACAGCCCTGTAGGCTCCTTGCCTAGCCCAACGAGGCAAATCGTGATCAAAATTGGAGGAGCGAGTCCCGAGCTCTTGTGAAGCTGCAGACTTGTCTGTGCTGATTGAAGTTTGAAATCATGCCCCCTTGCCGGGATCTGTCAAGGATCTGTTTCCCTTGCACCAGCGTCTAACATGCTTGCACAGGCTCATCTGGCGACACCTGTAGAAATATCAAGTGACAGCGCTCTGATCACAATCACCATATCATGATGAGCAGGCTGTTATGATGACCACAGATGACCACCAGTGGTGTCAGCACTTTTTCATCTGCATGCCATACTGGCTCAGTACCAAATTCTGCAAGGCACTTGCATTTGACCGTGAGGAAAAAAATTGAACTTGGATTTGCTGGCGGCAGGTGACGCCGTGGTGCATACACCTGCCCCAGGGCAGCCGCATCTGCCACGTGCGCAGCAACATGGGCCTGGACTGGGCAGACAACGTGCTGCCCAATCTGCCCGCCATCGGCGCACGCAACACCGACATCCTGGTGTGTATTTCTCTTCCCTTAATCCCCTCTCGCAATGCCCTCTTGTGCTCTTCTGGACCCGATTGCATCAGATTAACTAATGCCCTTAATAAGGATACCTTGCATAAAAGCTCTGGGAATGTGCTGCCAGAGCACCACATTGAAAAGGTGGGTGTCTCGCAGTAAAGAATAATACACAATTCCTCTGTGCGGTTTGGCGCCACGAGTGGCGCTGAGATCTCAATTCTCAAAATCTAGAAGACCTCAAGCTTCTGCTCTTGGCTCTGACATGAAGTGTGCAAGAGTGCACACAGTGAGGATGCAAAAAATCCACAAGAATGAATTGGTGTGCGTGTCCAGGTGGGCAACTTTGCGATCTGGATCAACAATGCCACCGAGTATGCAGTCAACATGATCAGAGTGGCGAATTACATAAGGAGCGCCACCGGCCGCCTGCCATACATCATTTGGCGGGACGCCTCAGTGCAGCACTTCCAGGTAGGGTGTTAAAATTCAATTATGATATCAAATTCAAATTTCGAATTCAAATTCAAATTTTGCTTGGTTTTGACTTTGATTTTGCCTGCCGACGTCAGCTTATTGTCATGTGCCCGGTACGCCAAAAGTAGGAGCTCAGATGTGTCATCCTGGATTCAGTAGGAGGGCTTCTTGCTGTGCGCATTGCTGGCTAAAAGAAAAACAGCTTAAAAGCAACATTCTAGACTTGTGTAAGAGCCAATTGCTGTGCATTGCAGACGTACACTGGAGACTACAATGGAGCCAGCTACCCGTTCCACTGCCAGCCGATCAGCAATCGCACCGACGCTGTGAAGCTGCACACAAACGGCACGCTGACAACGGATGACCCAGAGCTGCAGGTGGGTGGTCCCTTTCACGTCATATTTTCCACAGACGGTCAGTCCTTTAAACAATAGTTTGCCAGAAAGGGTCATGTAAGGGCCTTCATGAATGCATAGCAAGCAGCATCTATGAGCTCAGAGCAGACTTGGGTTTGGTTGGATAGAGGTCAATTAGGGAGGGAGGAAGACTGGCAGATCTACAGCACGCCTGATCGAGAAAAGGATGTTGGCGGTTGCTGCAAGTGCGGAGATGCTGAATCATGGCTGTCATCTGCCAGTGCCTGCTGGCATGTGCCAGACCCTCTATTGGACGTATTCTATATTTTATGCATTCCCACTGACCCTCAATGGGTAAAGAACAGACATATATGTAGATCGACCCTACTCAGGAGTGTTGCATGCATGCGCAGGTGACAGTGGAGGGCGGCTGGCGCAACAGAATAGCCTACCCCATCATAGAGGCCCTGAGCATCCCCATAATGCGCACCTGGAATGAGACCGTGCCCATGTGGGGCTTCCACCACCATTACAACATGCGATGCGGCCACCAGTGAGTCACCGCTTACTCATGCTCTGCACTTCAAACGTTGCTCACCCATTGTTGTGTGAGGACTGGCAAGTCTGTATGCATTGCATCGGTTTTTTGGCTCCTGAAATTGTAGTCAGTGGGCCTCCCTGAACAGGCGACAAGACCTGATCAAACGAGGTAGTGAGTTATGCTATGATGTCTGCTGTTCTCCTGCTACTGTTTGTGTGACAAGCCTTCTGCCGCCCTTTCGGTAAGTCACAGCTTCGCACGCTACAGAATAATTCTTATGTGTCTATCATGGGCACAGTGACCATCGAGAACGCCCAAGCACACGCAACTAGTCAGCCGACGGTCGGCCGACTGTCGGCCGACCGTCGGCCGACCTGTGAGTTGCTGCTGTTTGTGTGACAAGCCTTCTGCCGCCCTTTCGATAATCACAGCTTCGCACGCTACATAATAATTTTCATATGTCTATCATGGGCACAGTGACCATCGAGAATGCCCAAGCACACGCAACTAGTCAGCCGACTGTCGGCCGACCGTCGGCCGACCTGTGAGTTGTCCTGGTGTTGTTATTGCTGCCTGATTTCCCATGCACCGGCTGTAGATGTAAGATTTAGTCATCTACCCATTGGCAGAGTGCCAGATGGCAGCAGCTCAACTCTGTTGCAGCAGAGTGGCTGGCTTGAATTTGATTGTGCTGTCAATGCAGGGAGCAAGGCTGCCCCGACTGCACCCACACATGCCAGTGAGTCCCCACTTGCTTCCTCTGCATAATCAATAAATGCAATGCCCACACATTATTCGCCATGTGTGCTTTCATTGATTGCGTGCAGTCTTCAGAGCCAAAAATCTGCTTTGTGCGATGGCCCTTTCTTTTGCCTGCTGTTTCAGCACGCTATCGACCTTCTCAACAGGCATTTCTGTGACATTGTCTGATGTTTGCATCCTCAGGGGAAAGCTTCTACATATGGTAGAATTGATGCTTTGATTCTTGTTTTGTGCGCAGTCCCAGCTACTACCAGGTCTGGATATACCACCTGTATGAGACGCTGATGGCCTCACAGCAGCAGATGAGCCAGCATATGCGCGCTGCAGGCACCCAAGTGACCTTCCCTCAAGCCGCCCAGGACCCCGCTGCTTGAGGGGATATCCAGGGGATAATCATGAGCATCAAAATATTCATGTCTTGTGCGGTAAAATGCTGAGCACCCACGGGTGATTGGGTCTGCTTGGAACTGGCGAGTCCATCAAGGGGTAGCATTTTGGGCCTACCATTGCAGCGTGGCTGCAGGCGCACCTCGCCTCTTGGCAGGAAAAGCATGTAAAAAGAGAAAATGTTTACAGATTTTTATTCAGGATTCCCCTGAGGGAAGGTGCCGGAGGGTCCTGAGCAAGAAGGATCAAGAGGAACTGGTGTCTCTCGCGCACACAGCAAGCCGGTGCTTCTGTGCTGCTTGCATAGACTAGCTGTCATATCTGAGTAACCTAGTTGGCAGATACTGGCTTCGACTGGGCCTGGAATGAGGCACCGCATGTGATCACCAGGTTTGCATGGTCCTGCTCTCCTGCAGTCCACAGGGGAAGGCTTGGGGTGATAATGGAAAAGGTGCTGTCTCCTAGGAAGATGTGTACTTCAGGGTGTGCCGATAGGCTTTTTGATTTTTTTTTTGGTAGAAAGCATAATTCTTGTCCTTGCTCTCTGTTGAGGGTTCGGCGGTCTGAAAAGTTACACGGCTTCGTACTTGAAGCCTTGAGGTTTGATCAGCTAGTCAAAATGTCGGAAGCATGTGAAATGCCAAGTGTCAGGCAATTGGCTCGGAGAATTTGCACTGGAACATGAAGGGCATAGCTGCCTGATCAGTGCCTGATTTTTATAGTAGGCAGTACATTATGACTAGATTGCAGTCAGACAACAACGCAGTACAGGTTGTCTTGCTGCATATTTGTCCGGTCATGTACAATCTTGGGCCCGGCATGCCAGTCCAGTATTGGGTTTATATGAAGGTGCAAAATGCCCCTGAGCAGCCTTGTGGCATCCTATGCTAAAACGACATGTTTGGATGGGGCTAGGTGGGTGCATTGGGGTATTCCGGCGGTCTTGCTCGGATGCTCATGATTGCCGATTTTGCTACCAGTCATCTTTTGATTCTTTGCGCACACGTGCCGCACCAAAGGCTTGTAGAAATTGAAGGCCTTATGTGAATGCTGGCGAAGCCACCCCTGGGGGGGTTTGGGTGGCCTCCGCCCCCCCAAAATATTATTTCCAAACTGCTATATGGTGATGCAAAGGAATGTTGATTTTTCATGCAACTGCCAGTGATTAAATTTCACCACTGTGAAAGCAGTCTGATTGACAGATGATGAATATCTATTACATACGGTTGCTCTGTGACCAGAGTTTCCCTTGCCTGAAGGTGATTGGTGCCTCTTGGCCACCTTCTACCACGTGGTGCACCGGTGGGAGTGGCCGTCCCCAGCCTCGGCCTGCCCGCCGCCCCGCCAGACAAATTATGCATAACTTTCTCGATACGCGATGGTTCCAAGTGAAACCTGGACCCACCCCAGGGGTCAGGGGCTGTCCTAGACTCCATAAAAGCAAAAAAACCAAAAAAGAAAATGCATCGGCCGGGAATTGAACCCGGATCTCGTGCTTGGAAGGCGCATATCCTGACCATTGGACTACCGATGCCCTGTCAATTCACAATTTTCGATGTGATATGTATCCAATTGCCGAGCGACACCCATGTTGTATTCACAAGAATCGTTGTGATTTCGCAATGGCTACAATGCACTGATCCAGTGATATCTCCAGAGTGCTATCTAGATTCCTCACTCATGAGTGGTGGCAAGCTCATGAAGTGAGCAACTGGGGTGGCCCCAAGCCCCAAGCCCCCCGCTGTGCATCGCAGCTTGCACACGCATGCATGGACCCTCTTATGGAGGCTCTTACCACATGCTATCTATGACAAGTAACCTCTGCAAGCGTCCGTGGAGTCTGCCAGCCTCAGGCTGGGTGGCCACGTATGGCCATGCAGTGGGATGTGATCCATTGACCATCTAGTCAAAGATATAGGTGCACATGCATGCGGCTGCTTCTGAGAGCAGTCCAATGATTGCAATTGTGGGACCACATCTTTACATAGAAGTACATAATTCAATGGGCATGCTGCTTTATTGCGTTGCACAAGACTCGCACTGATGTTCGAGTCCGAGGGTTCTATTCTGAAACGTAGACTGTTGACAGATCTTGTGTAAGCGCTCAGTTTTCTCTGGATTTGCTAAAGCCCGCTGTCAAAGTTTAAGCCATTTGTGGCGAGCCTTGCAAAGACATGCCGCATGCACACACAGCACTGCAGCATCCTTGCACAAAAAAAAAGATTCTTGGGCGTTGACACACTTGAGAGCCCTGAATCCAGTCAGCAGAAGCAATCAAATGGCTGCATGGACACGTTCGTCGGTGGAGAAAGCAAATCATTTGCTTTGCCCACAGATATCTCAAAGTGAATGTGCTGGCGGAAAACGAGCAAGCGCATCTAACCCTAACAGGATTTCCGATCTTGGTTGGCCAAGGTGAGCCATGGAAATTGTAGACTTTTTGAAACAAATTCTTGCTGGCACTGTCGCTGCCTCAAACCTCACCCAATACACTTTTCCAGTCAAAGCCCAACCTGAAAACTGCCTCAGGTGCACAGATGTATCTTACATGCATGCGCTAATTGAAGATGTTCATGATTTGCTGCTTGATTTGGGTTTACCGCCGCAATGCTATCCGCACACCATTCCATCCTCTTTCATATTCTTGTCAAAGAGAGCCAGGCGTGGTACACGCTCCTCAGTGGACCCTGCTACTGCTGCTGCGAGCCGAGGCCGGCAGAGGCGGCAGCCTGCCCGGCGGAGCTGCCCGGCTCGGGCACGGCAACCCAGGTGGGCTGCCCGGAGCCGGCCGGGGGCGCAGCCGCCGCCAGCGGCAGCTGCCGCGCGGCCGCGGAGCGCGGGCTCTTCTTGCGGCGCAGGCCGCAGGCGTTGCAGAGCAGCGTTGGCCCCCAACGGCGCCAAGTGGGCGTCTCGGTGGTGCCGCACTCCTCGCACTTGTTGTTGGCCGAGCGCTTGGCGGCCGGCGCGCCGCTGGCATCAGCTTCGCCGTTGCCCTCGCGACCTCGGCGGCTGGCGCCCGCCGCCGCGGGGCTCCCTTGGTGGCGCTTGCGCTTGGGGGCGCTCCCCGGCTGCGCATCTGCCGCCGCCCCCTGCCCCGCTAGACCCTGTGCCATGCGAGCAAAAACAGTTCAATCATGTCCGGGAAGTGGCAGCCATGAGACTTCCCCACCTACCATTTATCTCTTAAAAGTTGATTCTGTAAGCCCAAAGAAGTTCGTCTCAACTATTTAGATCCGTCAAGTCAGTATATATAACCAACAGTGACTAATTTTCTGCAGAACAAAGCACTGCCCCCTTGGACCTTATGTGGGCAGCCGTGGTGACATCAGAAACGCGGGTCTAATCCAGCCGTGAGCAGGGGATCATGCTCACCGCTCGCAGGAGGCCCAGCAGCTCGAGCATGTTGGCCTGCTGCTGCAGGTCTCCGTAGAGGTTCCCTGCGCCCAGCCCGTGCGCGGCCAATGCCGCCCCGCTGTCCATCCGGTAGAAGCCGCTGCCGGCCGCAGCCGCCTCCTCCGCGGCCGCCTGCAGGCTCTGGTGCTGCGCCTGAATTGGCACAGCAAAAAGACCAGGTCATTGTCTGTTGGGTCTGCAAATGGGCAGTGGCAGCATTTGCATGCGCAAAGGTGCAATCGATGGGCATGTATTTTGGGGCGTTTGTATTGGACCGTGGGCCTGGAACATGGCATATACGGCGTTATTTAGCACCTCAAGCAAGGCAACCTTATATCTGAACAACCGTATTGCACCATCACGCTTCCTCGAGCTTGTAGTTGGATGAAAGGTCCCATGAGCAGCTGCACAAAGCAGCCAGAGCACTAGGCGAACCCGGCTGGCTGTCTAAATTCTATTGATCAACTGCAGTTGATGTCAAACCCACACATTTGGAAGTCACAGAAAAAAAGAACTAAGGTAATCAATCGCTCACCTGAGGGAATGCCGCTGGTCCTGCGCCGGACTGCAGCTGGCGCGCCACGCTGGCGTACAGGCTGTCGGCCAGCGCAGCATCGCCCATCGGCGGAGAACCGGCCGCACCGTAGTCACCAAAGACCTGCTGCGACGCCTGTAGCCGCTGCTGCGCTGGCATCTCCGCGGCCAGGCTGCCCAACTGGGACCTGCGCATTCCCATTTCAAATTCAAGCTGGTTGGGAATGATTGGATTTTCTGAGCAACCCTGTGTGACTACCACCCTTGCTTGCAGGGCTTTACATCACCAGAGGTGCGGTGGTAAGTGGTCTGTCCTGGCCCATTCCAATTAACTTTTCCAGAATTGATCCCTACAAAATTCTATATATTCTGATCAAGCTTCCTTTGGGGCTGAAGAGGTACCGGGATGAACAGAGAGTTGTCACCATGCAGGACCGTGAGCAGATAAGTTGGGGCATCGGATGAGAAGGATGAGTTAGCGCTGACCTGATCAGGGGTGACTGAAGGGTGAGCGTGCCGAGGCGCTGTGGTGGGCTGTCCAGCTGCACGGGGGGCGGCGCGCCCCCCGGCCGGCCACCACCGAAGGGGGGGACCATCCCCCCGCCGAACGGCCAGATGGCTCCGGCCCCGGAGGGAAGCTGGCGTGCGTGCGGCGTCGGAGGCGTTGCCTCCCGCTGCTGCAGAGCGGCCATGGCGGTGTCGAGGCTCGCCTGCTTCAGGAAGCTGGCAAGGTTTCCGGGGACCTGAGAAGAAACGCAGTTGACGCCTGCTCAGGGTTGGGCCACACCCCTTCTCTACGCCCCTAAGTCACTAGGTGCAAAATGCCCCCAGGGGGATTGATAACTCCTCATGGATAGCATGCCCGCAGCTGTGCACCGCCCATCGAAAGGCCAATTTGTTCAGCATGCAAACAACTCTATCCCGCACCATCTTCAATATACACTTAATGTGAACGCGCACACCTCACAAGCAGACCCACATCACAGGTACAACCCTCACCCAGAGGTATCTGGCCCGCCTCATACGGTCCAGCCTAGCAAACAGCCATAGTGGCCCTTGAAAAATGAAAAGAATTCCTTTTCAAGTTTGAGGGAGAATAAAATGTGCACCTTGAAGAAGTCGGCTCGGTCGATGACGCGCTGCGCGATCTGCGTCCGGCTGATCTGCGAGTCCAGCGAGTGCTGGCTCGCATGCGGCCACGGCAGCGGCGGCCCAGAGAAGCCGGCCAGCCGCGGATTGATGACGGGCACGCCGCTGGATGGATCCTCGGTCATAAATGCGGCGGCCGGCGCGTTGCGTTTGGCGTTCTGCAGCTGCACCTGCCGCGCAAGGCACACCTCCAGCTGGCGCGCCAATGGGCTCAGGCCGGAGTCCTGCGGGTTATAACACAAGGGGTGTCAAGCCAGGGATTCTGCAGTAAGATGGTGACAGAAGTGATCTGTCCTGGAAGGCTAAGCTGGCCCTCCTGCGTCCATAAACCATTTGAAAACGAGGTGAGTGAGGTCAGCTAGGTGTGCTCCAACCAAGACCTCAGAAAGAAGCATGTTCGCCTGTGTCTCATTACCATGCGAACACGGTGTGGGACTCAAAAACTCAAAAAGTAACATGTGACCCAGGAAGGCAATTGCACAGCATCATGATGTGGCCTTAAGGCCCTAAGGACAGCAGAGTCTGAGTATCGCCACCTTGAGAATCGGAAAAACTCAGAGTTCAATTACAAAACACACCCAAAGGTTCAAAGCCTCGAAGGCAGCGCGCACCTGGTTATGCTGGGGGGAGAGAGGTGGAGAGAGGGATGAGCGGGAGGGCATGTTGGAGATGGACGGGGTGCCCGGCATGATCAGGCTGGACTGGTTGTGTGTGCCAGCGCGTACCGACAGCGGACCCGGCGCCTTGAACACATCCGCGCCCCCCGATATCGGCAGCGAGCCGGTCAGCTTCAAGCCTGCACGCAGCCGCACAAAGACTTGTGAGAGCTTGCCACTAGACCAGGAAATACCAGGCAGCAATGCTTTTCCCTGGATGTCTTGCTCAGGTATCTGCAACTTGCGGCAGCATGAGGCCTGCGCTCAAGTGGGACATGTGATCAAGCGAGCCATGCACGGCAGCAAGGCACACATAGCTCTCATATGAATCCAAGAGGCTCCTGCACAGCAAAATATGCAATCTGGTGCAGGCACTTGCTTTCACAGCACCAAATTGTGCTGCTACGGCTTCATTGCCTTCTATGTACTCCCCACACTTGCTGATCCCAAATTCCTTTAGAAGGAGCTAGAAAAATTCCGAAGGGCACAGGGAAAATGCGCGCACCTTCGGGGCCGGAGCTGAGGCGCCAGGCGGTGAGGGGGAGGGAGAAGGATGGTTCGCTGCCCGCGCTGCCCAGCCGGGCAGTTGTCCAGTCAGCCTGCGCGCTGTGCTGACGTGGCGCCAGCGACGGCCCGGCCGCCTGCGACTGCGGTACCGCCATGCTCTGCAGCTGACCTGCAGCAGCACGACCGCTATCTTTAGAATTCAATTTAAAATTTGAATGACCATGTGTGCCCAAGAAACCTCCTGTAGTCAACTTGGAACCTCACCCAGGCAAGCAAGAAGGCGAGGGGAATCTGCAAATGCTGAATGTATGCCCACAGCTTTCGCTGCACCATAACATATTGAGTTGCATGAGAATCATCGCTGCTATGCTGTCCTGAAGATCATGTCAGGCCATACAATATGTACTACCCCCCTCTCCCCTGCATATTTCACAATGGCTCACCTCCGCGCGAAGCCAGGGCTTCTGAGAAGGCGCTAGTGAGGGACATCCGCTGCGCCACCGGCCCCAGGAGTGTAGCTGCAGCCTCAGCCCACCCCTTGGACATCCGCTCACCGGTCCGCTCAGATCCTGCTGCGCCTGTTTCCCCGCCAGACACACCGTCACAAATTTTGATCCAGCTGTATATTGAATCCAAGTTCAAACTCAAGGCGCACAACTTCCCGCACTGGCAGCAGCCTTTGGCACACGGCACCCGTTTCCAGGCAGCAGGAATATGTACTGCAGCCTGCGGAAAACACTGGCTTTTTCTGTATTTCAGGGACAGGGGTGGATTGTCGCGGAATTTTGCCACAAATATTACAACAGAAGTTCCACCTGCAGAAGCGGAAGCTGCTTGGCATGCAGGGGGTTGCTGCTCAGCAGAGGACGAGGCAGGCAGGGGAAGCTGCGGCTGGATCCAGGTGAAGGGGTTTGACTGCGCGGCAGCTGCGCCGGCTGCGCGCGCAGCTTCCAGGAAGCTGCCGGCAGCTGTCGGGGAGCTGCCCGCCATTGAGGGAAGCCGCGACCCAAAGCCCAAAGGTGCCGCCTCTGCAGCAGCTGCACTGGTTGAAGCCTGACGCTGATTGGTGCCCTCTCCCGCCTGTATACAATCATTGACACATTCTGTCAACACATTTCAAGACTATGATCTTCTGCTAAAGTCTGCTCTGCTTGTTCTGCAGTACACGAAGCAAAATTTGCACAGGGAAATTCCAGCCGGGTGTGGCACCTCACCCCATCTCAGGACTTTGGCACTCTGACAAAGGGAGAAAATGGCAACCTGAGCAGCAGTTTAGCTACGTGTCTGGTGACCACCCTGGTAAACCCAAAGAACAACATGGATGTGGTGAGGTGGAAACAGACCTGGGACTCATTGAAGCGCCGGAAGAGCTCGCTGGCGGCCGCCTGCAGTGTCTCCATTGCGTCCTTCGACTGCTGTCCCGCTGCATTCCCAGCGCTGCCTGTGTGGAACAGGACACACCATTGCTTGTGCTGTGCATGCATCCTGTGCAGGCTGGTTAGATGGGGGCTCTCAGCAAAGAGGGGATAGAAAGATCCTCCACAGTAATAATGACCAGGTGTGTTTCCATACTGTTGCACCAAAATGAAAATTCGGTGCGTCTAAAGAATGCAATGCCTTCTGATCCTGCAGCAGGGCTAGGGGCAGGTTGTGAACAGACTCGTGCAAACAACAGCAAAAAGAAAAAAGAGTGCGCGTGCCTGTGAAGAAGCGGTGGTCCGGATCCTGCTCTTCAGGGTCGGCCTCGCCGCGCGGCGCAGCTTCTTCCTCAGGCGGCGTAGCTTCCGCGCGCGCCCCGGGCGACTCCTGCCGGGGCGCGCGGAACCCCTCGGCCGCGCTCACCGCCGCGTCGTGCAGCATCTCCAGGCTGTTCTGCGCAGGCAGGCTTGCCGGCGGCGGCTGCGTCGGCTTCGGGGAAGATCCCCCGGCGCCGCCGGCCGCGACCGCGGCGGCCGGGGGGGCGGTGGCCGGCTCTGGCGCGGGGTCGTTCCCGGGCCGGGGGACTTGCGGCAGCGGCAGGGAGCCAGCGGTGGGCCGGTAGAGGGACCAGGCGCTCTTGCGGGGGGCCCAGCCGATGGGCTGGCCGCCGCTGCCCGGCTCGGCCAGGCTGCTGGAGGGGCTCAGTGGACCGGAGGAAGCTTCCGGGCCGCCGCCGCTCAGCCGCTGCGCCACCGGCCGCACAACTAGCGATCCCATGCGTTCATGGGGCGTTCCTTGCGCCTTTGCATCGGACGCAGAAGGACTCACATTGCGCTCGGGCTGTGGCGCCACAGCTGCTGGCTGCTCTGCGCCTGCGCTGGGACTGGGTGAATGCTGCGGTGGACTTTCTACGGGCGGCTGCTCCGGGGAGGGCGCTGCTGCCTGTGTGGGTGCTGCGGGCGCGCTGCTGGGCTCCTCATCCGCCATGCCAGACTTGGACAAAGAGGGGCGGGCCTGCTAGATGCCTGGCCTCTGTCCAAGGCAGTTTTGGGACGAAGATGCTGAGCCTGGTGGCTGCCCTTAGTGACTCTCCCTCAGTCTTTTCTGGTCAAAACGGCATCGTTTGGCTGTGCTTCATCCACTACACATCCTGCAAGCAGCACGCAATGGCTCAGATCTGCAGCGTAGTCACCAGTCGTTACAAGGCCAGCCGTTGCGAAATCAGGCCCTGCTACACGCTGTAGACAGCAAAATTATTCCCTGCAGTAACAAATTTTGAAAACACACCAGGCTGACCAAGCAGTACGCCCGAATTCCGTCAGGTTATTCGAGAATTGCCCGCATGGGCAACGACTGCTGCCTCGACTGGGCTTTGTACACGATAAGCCATCTCTGTCGTACAGTCTTGATATGTTTCTTACAGCGCAAATTCACCCTGCTGTCTGTGCACATGGTTGTCTCACCCTGCGACTATTCTTCGAGGATCTGGTGGAGCCCATTCTCCGGAACGGTGTCCGCTAGCTGAGGAAGCTGAGCGCAGACGATGCACAAACTTGAATCTTTATCCACGATTGCTGACACTGACAGCTTCCATTTGCACTCAAGCTTGGCCGTTCAGGCACCCAAGGTCAACTTCCTCGTCGAACTACTATGAGCCCTGTCTCGCGCCACATCCTCCAGCTGCCAAGCACATTCTGTCTGAAACAGATGGACTGCTGTTGCTGCGTCGTCGCCTGGACGCAATTCCCAGGAAGATTGCATTTCGAGCGCGAGCAGGTTGCTCGCGCACATCAACAGCTCCTAACGGCAGGCAGTGATGATGAAGCAGCAACGCGCCATCCTGTCACAGCGATGACACATTGTTCCTTAGGGTTTCGCCCTGCTGACTCACAATGAGGAGGGCTCGGGGTTCAATCCCCCTCAAGGGAGAGGGTGAATGTGGAATTGGAGTCATGCACTATCTTCAGGCATTGCAGGAAATTCAGCTCTTTACATCGTCTTGTTAATGTACAAGCCCACCAAACATGGGGGCCACAAGAACTCCAGATAATGTGAGTGCAGCTGCAACTGCCTTGCATGAATGGCAAACCAAAAAATCGCATATTTTTGCATTTATTACATACTGCCACTGGCACCGCCGGAATATGCACCTCCTACCTAGGCCTACTCAACATTGCATTGATGAGAATGGTGCCGCGTGCAGAGGAGTTGCGTGACTAGGTAATTAGCAGAGCATTGCTGGTCGAATCAGGTTCAACAACTGGCATGACAGGCACGCCCATAAAGCCACCAGCATGGCAAATGCATATCTACTGCCTGTGCACAAAGTGCAGAGTCTTGAGGGTGAATCCGTGAGCACCGGCACAGCCCAGCTAGAGCAGGAGCCATGTATGCTGGGAGTTATGTGATCATGAAACATTGGCTTTTTCGCACACACAGCAGTGATGCACAGATGCAGTCTTGAGTAAGCGGTTCCCTGACTTACTGATATGCTACCTAACATTTGCTTCCCATGGGCTGCAGTTCTGGCACATTGCCTGCTGCCTTCCCATCCTCCAGGAAAGAGCCCTCAAGTGCAATTGGCCGCCAGACCTGATCATGACTGGGGTTTCCCAGTAAAGAGTTCTCACACTACCCCACTGTTCCTCCAAGCACCACTATGCAAGCCCCACGCATTCAGCAGAAACCCAGTCGCCAGATCAGGTGCTTGGCAGATCGCGGCCAAATTAGGTGTGGTGCAGAATTCGAAATGCGCATCGCCAGATCAGGCGCGGAGTCGAAAAAGATTTTGCTCAGGAAAGGTCGAAAGAGCCCTGGCCCTCGCGGATGGCAAAGAGGATCCTCGCGCGCGCGACGGCCTTGGAGGAGTATGGAGGGAGCTTGATGTAATTAGCGCAGGTCATGACTGATGGCAGGTCGCCGTCTGCCGCGAAGCTGGTGGAGGCCTGGGCCTGCAGCGCGCGCGCGGACGCCCCCGGAGACGCGCCCGCCGCTGAGTCAGCCGCCGGGGAAGCTTCCTTGGTGGCTGCCGACACCTTCCGCACCACCGTCAGCCTGCAGTGGCACACACAGGGTGGGGGGTAAAGTCCAGGGGGCTTGTCAGGGATCAGACGGCTGCAACATTGAGGGTTTGGATCCTTGTTGCTAGAGCGTCTCGGTGCTACGCCAGACAATCATACACGCAACAAAAACCGAGGACGAGTGCAGCCCGATAGGAACTCTGCGACCGTCATTGGCATCTCGAGCTTACACCAATCCCCAGCGCTTGCTGCATGTCGGTCAAGTAACACCCAGACGCCCCAGCAAAGACGCACATGCCTCTTAACTCATCAAACTAATCAAACCCACTCGACCAGTTGCAAGTCAACATCTCCGCATTGATGCATGCTGCCAAGAATCCCGGCGCCTGTGTAGAGACGCAAGCCTTCCAGCGTAGCGCAACAGGTGTGAAAAGATTTAAAAGGACGGTGGAACAGTCAGCGCACCTGGGCTGCAGGGAGGCGATGCCGCCGGGGGGCAGGCGGGGGGAACCGGTGACAAAGCGCAGGAATCGGCGCTGGTCGGCCGCGTCCAGCTCGCTGATCACCTCCAGGAAGTACCGGATCGCCGTGCTCTCCTGCGTGTACCTGCGCGCAGCAAGCACAGCCCACGTCAGACCGCCCGCCCTTCTGTCCCGCTAATATCTGTGTGCCAGACCGAGCGCTGGCCCCGGCTGGCGGGGGGCGGTATAAATACTGAGCACCGTGCCCCACGGTTGATTTGGTCTTGCTTGGATCTGGCGAGTCCATCAAGGGGTAGGATTTTGGCAGCCTTTAGGATTTTGGCAGCCTTTACTGCAGCTTGTCTGCAGGCGCACCTTGCTTCAGGCAGGAAAAGCGTGTAATAAAAAAGAAAAAAGACCGAGCGCGACATGTCCAACGTGGCAAAAGTATAACAAATTGACGTGCAAATCGTCACAGAGTCGTGATTGTTGACAATCACCAACAACATGATTGGCTCGCAGACCATATTGTTAAATTGTTGGACAGAGCTTTACTTCATACAAGCAGAAATAGGGTCAATGAATAAGTTTCACTGCGCAAAGGCAGGTCCTGTTCCTCCCTGTGAAATGCCCCATCCTTGTGGGACTTGCGACCATCCCTAGAGCGCAAGGGATGCGCATTCTCCTGCACGTCTCAACCATCATGCACCGCCCTTGCTGCCCCTGAGACATGTGCATGGTTCACCAGCACTGGATAACCACAGGGAGAAGCATTCCTGAGGGAGACAAATTGCGCCCGCAGGGACCACAAGGCCATTCCACCAAGAATCTGTACTGATCAAACACCCCCTAAATGTGCCCTCTCAAGTCGTCTTGGTGAAGCAGCACGGCGCTGTCCAGGTCCCAAGTCCACTTCATCGACCCAGCGAACCTCCAGGGATTCAGGAATATGGCCAAAATGATCCAAATTGGTGAGACTTCAACGTGCAACAGAGCATGCGCACCCGTGGTCGCATTTGATGGTCTCGGCGAGCTTGTCAACGGACCACTTTTCGCCGACCCCGCAGAGCATGGCCTCCAGCTCGTCCTCGTGGAAGCACTGCAGCGCTCCCAGCGCAAACACCTCCGTGAATCCCGCCCTGCAATCCACAGAATTTGAATTCAAACCTGGACAGACAGGCGCGTTTGCACTTTGCAATGCTGCACATCGCACCAAGCTTGTTCTCATACACTCATTGATAATATAGAGAGCGTGTGAAACAAATCCCAATAAAAAAGGGTGGATAGAGCATGGAGAATTGACGGCACACTTGGTACGAGTGGCATTTATGCTCTCTTGCTGCCTACAGTCTGGACTACATTCTTTGCAGCGCTTGCAAAGCACACAAACCAGACCGGTGGCAGCAATCTGTCTGCAATGCTACAGCAAGTGCCACATCTTCTGAGATGCGACATCGTTGGCAGGGGAGTGCACCTGAAGGCCTGCATCTGGGCTTTGATGCCCTCGTGCAGCGTGGCGTTGACCACGGCCTGGATGTAGGTGCCCACGTTGTGCTTGTCCACCACCAGCTCAGAGCCCCCCGCCGTCAGCTCATACTCCGGGTAGCCTGCAGAGCACAGGGCAGGACTGAGCATGCAAAGACGAGAATCACAAGAAGAGCAGATACCAGGCTTTAAACAGGGCTCTGCCACAAGGTGCAGCCCAGAGGGCAACCTACAGCACTCAGCAAGGAATGACGAGAAAGCTTTTGAATACAGGTCATTACATTGCATCCATCAAGTTGAGGCAATTCCGCAACTCCATGGCTTTATGGAAAGCCGGGTTGTAACTCGCGGTGGTTTCATGATATCTGATAATATCCACAATGTGTCTTTCTTAGCATATTTACTTAACCACTTTCTGCCCCTAGTCCCTAGTCACGGTGCCAGAGCAGAGCAAGCGATGCAGTGGCAAGGTACAATAAAGGCAAAGCACTGCAGCGCAGTCACTGAGCAGGCCCGGGGAAAGCACTTGGCCCAGGGGAAGTACTTAGAGGAGGTAGTTGTGCTTCAAAGCATGCCAAGCTACAGCATGGCTCGATGCACAACCCTCTCCCCAAGTGCTTCCCCTTCCACAATCCCCAGCTCTCCTGCCCTGCCATCCCTACCTGCACCTTCAAATCTGCCAAGCAGAGCAGAGCGAGAAATCAGGCCATAGAGCAGCGCACCAGGCAGCACAAAGGAGAGGCAGAGGTCTTCGATGGGGGACCCGTCCACGAGCAGTGGAGCTGAGCAGGACCCGGCAGCGGCCCATGCGCGGTGCGCGGAGGCCAGCTTCTCCAGGGACGCCCCCAGCGCAGCGTCAAACTTGCGCACGTCATACAGGTCTATCGGCCGCTGCAGCGCCGCCCTGCAGCCATCATTTGAAAAGACTCTTCAAGCAAGAGTACCCAACGCTGTTCCTGCTAAGAAGGCAACGGGCGTCTGCAGACAAGCTTCATGGATCTTGTAACACTCCACAATGGATGATGGGCTCGATTGGAGCATGTGCAGTGCCTGTGCAGAGGGGCCTGAGGTTCTCATGTCATGTAGATGGGACCCTCAAGCATTTGCAGGAGAAAGGTGCGTGCAGATGTATGCTTGGGACAGGCTGCGCCCGGGAGAGGATCTGCTTCCATGCGGTTGCATGGGGAAAAGGATCCTGATGGGTTTTTCAAGCAGAAGGCGTCAAGAGACACACTGCTGACCAGTCAGGGCGCATGGATTATGCTCCTTAATACCGTTGATGTTTGCGCGCAGCTTGGCGGTCAGAACACTGTGATAAATTCCCACAGCGTTCTGGCGATGAATGCATATGCAAACAGCAAGGTAGAAGGTTCGTTTGTTCAGGGGCGCACCTGTAGAAGGTGTAGGAGAGTGGAATATCGAGGAGGCGGGAGTCCTGCAGGGCCTTGGCCATAGCACGCCCCAGCAGACGGTACCGCTCCACCACCTTGCTGCCTGTTCAGGCGCCATGCCAATAAGTGTGAGGCCCAAGACACATTCCCATGACATCCCCACGCATGCGCAAGCTTTGATTTGTTCTGCCGCTTTCCCGGGATCATGAAGAGCACCGTCAGACAAAGCAGAAGCAGGGGCCTTCATACAGCAAGCAGTCTGATTCTGCGAATCAATTCCTTGCAGATCACAGGTTAGCCCCTTTGCAGTAGGACTCAACAAATTGCTGGGACTTTGGGAAAAGCCACATGATGAGAGGGACAAACCTGCTGCCTTGGACTGCTGCATGGGTGCAGGGAAGAGGCCCTGGGGAGCCTGCACGTAGGCGTCCGGCCGCCCGTTCTCCCCTGCCGCCGCCTGGGCCGGCAGCGTCGACACCACGATGCGCGAGTCCTCCGCCTTGGACGCCACCGCCGCACCTGCAGCCGGCAGACATGCCCAACAGAATTTTCAATAACTGTCAGGAGCAACTGCATATGAAGCTGCTGTGTAGCAATATAAGTAATACAAAACCAGTGTCTTTCCTGCGTGCCACGTCCGACAGACACGGCATGCATCGACCAGCCATGATAATGCAGACGCTGCATGCACAAGCAATGCCTCCTCGAAAGCGCCCAACCGTTATATGTGACGTACCACTATTTCCAGCAAAGCCTCAGAGGCCCTTAAAAGTGCTCAGTTTTCTTGGCTTGGCAGGCCACATGGAGGCGGACAGAAAGAACAAGAGTCAGGCAATATTGCCGGCAATGCCGTGAGGCCGGGGCGCGCACCAGTGGCGACTTAAGGCGGGAGAGTCATGTGCTTGATTTCACTGCAAATTTGGAAGGGAATCAACCCCTGAGACGAAAGAATGTCCTGACAGAGGCCGCAATCTGTGCGCAGTGGGGGAGGCAGGGCCGGCACGAGTGGCAATTGTGACACCAGATAGCGCTGAGGGGCGCGCACCGGTGGCGACCTTGGAGGCGGCTGAGTCGTCGCCACGCCACATGGCGAGGCCCTTGCGCTGGAGATCGTGGGACAGCATGGTGTAGAACTCCAGAGTAGGCCCCAGCCCCGTGCCCACCTGAAACCATTGCCATTTTCAAACATTTCCCGACATGACACTACATATTGCTCGTCTACAAATGTGCCTCTCAGATCATGGTGTTCTACGTGTATGCATTTCCACTCATGAACATTTCCCGACATGACACTACATATTTGCTCACAGGTTACAGCTGATGACTACAAATTGTCATGTTGCTTCAATCTCCGAGATTTTGCACTTATGAGTACAGATCTGTATTGCCCACCTCGCCAAAGTACTCAATCTCCAGCACCGCGCGGCTGGCGCCGTACATCTCAAACACCTTGGCCGCGCTCTCCAGGATGCGCTTGCGCGATATGCGCACCTGCCATGCACAGTGCGCAGAATTTTCAATAATTGGGCGAAGCCTGTTGTGTTGCCGGCTCCTTGCCGGTTAAAAAGCCCATCTGATCAAAAGATTCGATTGATGAAATAACAGCATGTGACCCCAACTGAGGACTGCGTGTCACGCCATTGAAGACCTTCGGCACCTGGCAACGCGGTGTTCCACATCACATGCAAACAGCAGGTAAGCAGATGACTCCACATTCTCAATGACATGACAACATGCACATGCTTGGTGTAGGAAGGACCTCTTCAATGACGCTTCTGGGTGAATGTGTGTGAAACGGGCAGAGAAGCAGAGATGTCACTATGCTAGCTAAGAGAATTACCAGGCAACAGAACCATCTAAGAGCGGATTGAAGCAATTGACAAGTGGCAGAAATGCCAGTCGAGGTTTGAGAGATCGGCAAGTGGCACAGGGATCAGCAGACACCAATACCTTTTGGCGCTGGATGCGGCCGACACGCAGCTCGCGCGCTTCCCGGTCGAGCGGCTGCGCTGCGGCGCCCTCGGCAGCCTGCTGCTGCTGCAGGTGCTGTAGGGCGCGCGCGAGGCCGAAGGCGGTGCAGTGGAAGTAGCGCGATCGCAGCGCAAAGGGCAGCATGAACTTGTAGTCAAACACCAGCGTCGCGCACCAAGGCGGCAGGTCCGCCCCGCAGATCGCCAGCACGTCCTGCAAGTTGCATTTATGTACCCATGAACAATTGTTCGTTGCCATATGACTTGTCGGTTTTACAGAAAAATGTAGGCACATCAATTCTCATGCAGGGACCAGAGCAGAAATGAAGCACAGCCACTTGGCGGCAGAATATGTTGCTGGCTGGAATGTGGAGAATTGTTAGGAAAACTGATGGGTAGGGGATGCACAAGGGCTCTGATTGACTCGAGGCTCATGTCAAAATGCCACATGAAGATAGGAAGGACCCAACTTCAGTGACAGGGTAGCCTCCAGACAGTAGTAATGCTTGCTGGCTGAGTGCAAGTACTTGCCAGCAGGAGGATCAGACTAAGCAGTGTTCACGCTTACCCATGGAGATACAATCCTTGTGCACGCATGGCAATGATTGGACAGGCAAGAAAGAGCTGAACCAGCGAAAAGAAAACAGTACCTTGAGCTGCTGGGCCAGCTTGGGCGCCAGCTTCTTGCTGATGAACTCTTCGCGCGCCAGCGGCGCCAGCGTCTTGGGCTGCCGACCGGGGGCGCCCGGAGAATTGTCCAGGTGGGCTGGGATCTGATGCGCCAGCCTGCAAACCCAGCAACGCTCCTTTACACATTTCGGTATCCTGTTCAATAGCTCTGCGTGGACATCTGAAAAGAAGGCAGTACAGCAATGGACAAGTGTCAATTCTCTTCTTGCTGCATTGCAATCCTCCAGACCCTCACGCAAAAGTTTTGGCAAGGAACTCTCGGCAAAGCGTGATGCGACAGCAGTGCCGCTGTGCGCTTAAGAATATTTAGAGGACAGTGTGAGGTTTGGCCAAGCCCCTTTCAAAAGTGCACAGAAGCGAGAACAAAAAGAAATGCTATGTGTGCATCTCACGCTCTTGTACCCAGCCATTCCCTCTGTAGATATATATTAGGTCTATTGAGGTTCCACAGAGTAAAATGTCACCATTCAAGGTAGCAAAGCGCACATTCTGCATTTCACGTGCTTCTGCTCTTGTTGTCCAGTCTTTTGTCCCGAATCAAGTATTCAAATGTCCTCTGATACACACTATGGAGAAAGGAACGCGCCTGTTGAGGGCCTCGAGTTGCTTGAGCAGCTGCAGCAGGTCCTGCGTCTGCTCGCAGGCGCCGATGTCAGGCGCGGGGGTCCGCCAGCTCAGCAGGTCCCCCAGAGGTGAGTCAGCCAGAGACCCGTCAGCTGCCTCGGATGTGCTTGCCTCCGCCATCTCCTCTTCTGGCACCGCTGGTGCTGAGCTGGCCGCCTCCTCTGCAACGTTGTCATACCTGCGAGCAACGAGGTACAATCACAACGATTCTTTGGAGTTGTCATGCATGGAAGGCATTTGCTGCTTCTGCCTTCGCTGCCGCAACTGATGACTCAGATGTTGATGGCCGACCCCCAGAGCATGCATGAGACAGCAAACATTCCAGCACCATGTCGCATCAGAAGTGAGCACCTCTTCTCAAGCTCCTTGGGCCGAGTAATTCAACTTCAAGAGGCAGCACGATGCTTAAAGCATGCAATCCACAATGCAGCAAATCATGTATGGCGTGACAAATGATACTGTCGTCATGTGCCTTTCCCACCCACGAAAACACAGTAAACGTTCAATATGTAAACGGCCGCAATCAGTACAGATGAATTTAAAAGTTCAATTAAAAGTTCAACTACAAACTCTAATCTGGGAACATGTTATCGGTGGGCATGCTCACCTGCTGTAGTACATGGTGTGGACCTCCTCCCACAGGCGCCGGCCGCGGCGGTGGGCGCTAACCTCGCTGTCCTGCTCCGGACCCCGCCCCTCCGCGTCCATCCGTGCCCGCCTGGCCGCCTGTGGCCAGTGTGACACAACATCAGTCATAGGAGGAGAACTTCCAAGGTGCACACAAGATGGTGCCTTCAGACTAGCTGCAGTGGCAGCACGCCTGGCTCTCGGATGCAGTGACGAAGCATGCGGAAGCCCGGCAACTAGCAGAAGTGACAGCCAGACAAAGGGTTAACGCAGCATAGATGGTATTTATGCACAGCTACTGACACTTGACGAGTTCCTCGCCCAGGAGCAGAATTCACACCAACGGAATTCTGCAAATACAGTCCTGAAATGGCAATTTAGTCGATTCTTGGCGCTTCCACACACCTGCACAGCCTGGAAGATGGTGGACGGCGGCGCCAGCTGCTCGCCGCCTAGTGTGAAACGCAGCTTAGGCTGCGCGGCCGCGCCCTGGCCGCTGGCCGGCTGCGCCGCGGCGTCGCCGGCGGCAGCTGCGCCGGCAGCTTCCCCGGCGCCGCCCTGCTGCTGAGGAGTCGCCGGGGGTTCCCCAACCCCCGCTGCATCCCCCGCAGCTGCAGCGGCCCCCCGGCCGGAGCCGCTGATCGCCTGCGCGTAACTCATGCGGCCCTGGGCTGTGCGCGTCCTGCATGGGCACTTTGACACATCAGCGGATGCAAGGCATAATATAGTGAAGGTAGCTGCAGCTTAGGGCTCAAACAGCAACCATGGCACTCCTGCACTCATCTTTACGAGCTGCAAGGCAATTGCTTGCAACAAGCTCTCACATCTTCTCCGTCATACCAGATGGCATTGAAGCTAGTCGCCGAAAGCAAGCAATCTCCATTGCCTACTTGGCACGGCCTGGAGAGGGAAGAGGGCAGCATCTGGTTGCCAGACATACAGTGCCTCGATCTTGATGAGTAAGGTGCACTCACCTGGCGGGCTCAGCCGGCTCCGCGGCCTCCGGCTCTGCGGCCGGTGCAGGAGGAGCAGGTGTGGGTGCTGGAGTGTCCCCCAGATGCATGTCGTGCACCTGCGCAGACACAAACTTAAGCTTCTGGACATTCTTCACCCAAACACTGAGAACCCCACAGGCAGCTCCAAGTATAGGCTCAACATTGCTGTCAGGTTCCACATTGTAGATCTTTGACAAATGGAGCAGCGATTATCAGCCTACGCTTACTTCCTGCACCCTGGCATGTGCTGAATCTGAACTCCCTCCAACAAGGAATGGCGCGAAACAAGTACCCCTCACCTGAGCTACCATCAACAACAACGATCGCATGGAAGGTGTACAAAGTGTTGGCTGAAACCGACAATAGATCCCTGCTGCATGTACTGCCAGGGTGAAGGTAGGCAGCGTGCCTGCATGGTGCCAATTCCCATGTCCTCGTCATCTTCCACGTCAGCCCCTTCCTCATCGTCATACTGCACGTCACCCTCGTCATCGTGCTCCTCCATGTCCTCATCCTCCTCCGTCCCATTCTCACCCTGTATAAAGCAGCAGCAGAATCTCGGGGCTGCAATTTCCATGATTCAGTACTACCTAGGGGCATTGCAATCTTTCCACAGTTGCCGCCAATGGCATGATAGATGCTTGTTCATGTGCGCCATGTGTGCAAGTTTTAATGGCATGAGAGCTGCAGCAGAGGGGGCAGGGCTCGGTAGTGATAATTTTTTGTTCACTGTACCCTGAGGATGCACCTGAGACACATAAAGGCACAAGACATTTATGGCAGGGATGCAGGAAGGACGCACTTCGTGCAGTCAACATCACAAGCCATGAAGATGCGCGTCAGTGGAAAGAGGACCAGGGTTTCCACAGCAGAAAATCCTGTAGAGAACAGATTGGGAAGAGGAAGATAGGAGAGTGGAGAAGGCGCAGACCTGCAGCATGATGACCTCCTCCTCCTCAGCCTCATCGTCTTCATCGGCAGCCTCGGCTGCGTCATCATCCGCCATGTCAGCAGCGGCAGCGTCGTCTGCAGCGTTCCCTCTTGGGGACGGCCCCTCCTCATCAGCCTCCGGATCCGCCAGCTCAGCGGCCGCCCTTGCTGCCTACACAACATCATCACTCTCAGCAAGCAGCCTTGCTTCTGCATTTGTGTTTTCATGACAGGACTCTGGATAAACTCCCTTACCTGAGCGCGAGTCATGCGTTTCGAGGACTTGGCGGCGGGCTCCGCTTCCTTGCTGCCCCTTGATCCGCGGTTCCGCCTAACCGCTTCCTCTGCGGCCTCTACAGCCTTCATCGCTGCTTCTGCTGCAGCCTGCGGGGGATACCATAAACAAGAACCTCATCACAGCTTCAACATGAGTTTTTCCAAAAAAAAGATTGAAAGTCAAGCAAACTTCAATATGAGAAGCAGACATGAATACAGGACACCTTGAATCAAAGTGCCCACGTTGGAGCTGCTTTTTGAATAGTAAAGAACAATGACATGTTGCAAGAAACCACTGCCATGTGACGTATGATTCCATGTTAAAGAAGAAGCAAGGTGAACACACCTGCAGCTCAGCAGCGGCCGCAGCGCGCGCGCTGCCGCGGCCGCCGGCGCCGGCCGGCCCCGGGCCCCCGGCTGCGGCCGCCGCGCCGGGGGAGCGCCCCCGGGCCTCGCCCCCCGCTTGAGAGGCGCTGCTGGGGGAGCGGTACACACGCATCCATAAAAAGTCCTCCACCGCGGAGATGGTCGCGAGCGGCTCGATAAGGACCACGTTGGAGGAGTAATCGCGCAGCTGCGACTCGTGCCCCGCGCGGCAGAGACGCAGCTTGAACGGCTGCGCCAGAGCTGCCAGGCCGGAGGTCAGGCTGCCCACGTCCTGCACCCGAGAGCCTGCACCAAGCAAACCTTGATTAAGAGGCAGGACTAGTGCATCGTGTGGTCCTACTACCGTATACGGGTCTGCATATCACATATTCTGCAGGCCAAGGCTGTCTAGCAAGGTCTCCTTGTCCTATGGTGATAGGTTAAATAATATTGACAGACATGCCGTCAGGGACACTTGCACAAGCTCACTGACCTGGAAGCACATGTTCCAGGTTGATTGAGATACAAGCGCATGCAGTTGGCTCTGCCAATACACTGTAGGAGCCTTCGCCGGTGCTCAAGCGATTTGCAGGAGCACCAGCCGAGGACCCCCCAAGTAAATTTTGGCACGCATGCGCTTGTGTCTGGACTTCCCGGGCACCACAAAGACCAACAAGTGGCGCCCGCAGCGGCCGCGAGGCCAATCGACCCTGATGGGTTTGTTGCTGATCACCGTAGTTTCATTGATCACCCCATCTCTTAGGAATATCCATTAAACATATTCCATCAAGCCAAGTGATCAAAAAGGCAAATCTACTTTAAGTCGACTGGCCAAAAAACCGCACCCGCGGAGCCGCCGGCGCCGCCAAAAGCACGGAGGGAGGGCGCAGTGGGAGTAAGCTGGCTGTACTGGACCGGGAAACGCTCGGTGGAGGCCAGACCCTCGTGCAGCTTGCGCACGAGCGATGACATCAGCGGGCTGCCCGTCGGCTGCGGCACAAGCGCGTCATCCGCGAATGCGAGCAGCCGCTGCAGCAGCCGCTTCTCGTCTGACGTGTCCATCAGGTCTTCACCTGCACGTTGCATCCGATAGTCTTGCTTTCCAGATACTTCTGCTGGGTTCCTGATAAGCTGCGCCCTGCTCACACTCTCGACTCTGTAATGCCCTCTATATGCAGATGGAAGAAGACGAAAGTGCGTTTTGACAATACGACAACCGGCATAATGCAGCTACTGCAAGAATTGAACTGTCAAAATGATATGTCATGTTTGCTCTCCCAGTATTAATTCCTAGCAGATGATCGACAGAAACACTTATACGTATTTCAAATACTTCGCATTCCTGGGCTTAAGCGGGGTAGAGAAAGTGGCCCGCCTTGGAGGTAGGCGCGCAGCTGGCTGACGGCGCCACTGGAGAGGAACTCAAAAGTGGAGATGGCGGCGGGCCCCTGATCCTGCAGAGCCGCCAGCAGCTCCCTCACAGCGCCCTCGCGGCCCAGATCCTCCCCGATGCGCCGCAGCTGCCGCATGCCCTCCGTCTCCGACGCCGACCCGCCCGCCCCCGACGCAAAATGCGCCTGCGCGGAGGACGAAAGGCGCGTCACTTTGTCCGCCCAAAATCGATTTTGTGACGATTGCGTCAGGTTGCAACTCCCCTATTTTCAAAGCTTGTGCTGAGTCTCTGCAGCTCACACCCAGCTCCCTGCTAGAGGTGGTGATTTGGGGCGAAGTAGTAACTGCAATGCTTGTTGCACACCAGGTCAGGAGCAGGTGGGCACAGGCCATGCCCTGTTGCAGGGGAAAACTGGCCTGTGTCATACCACGCCCAGATCTGGTGCACTGACCAGCAACAGACGATATTTTGTTTCCTTATTGAGTCAAGAGGAGGCCTAAGTGAAAGCAACACACATCGCACGCAGGGGCCCAGCAGGCACTGGACACTTTTCTCAGAATTTCATTTAAGATATAATTCTGATTGTGTACTGTAGTGCAGCACAAGGAGATCAAAAGTGCATGCCTGGACGAAGGCGGCTGCGCGTTTGGCGGCGGCCTGGCGCAGGATTTCGGAGGGGCTGGGCTTGGGCACGGGTGCCGGCGGCAGCGGGGCCGCCTCCGTGGACGGCTCTGAATCCTGCGCATCCTCCTTGTCCTTCTGCGCGCAGCATATAGCCCCTTCACGTTCACATAACACCAGGCCTCTCTAGAACTCTCACAATTTGGACAACAATGCAGTACAATGTGGCAAACAGCATCAGGTTATGTCTTTTCAGGTCCATTGCATACCAAGGTCCAAGTTTTTTCTGCCCTTTCAGGAACTCTGCACACACCCAGAGAGACACCCTCCCGGTAGGGTGGTAGTAGGTGGCACCACTACCATGCATGTTTCAGGGACCAACGGAAACCCACAAGCCTTCATGGCAGCAAGGAAAATATAATATGGTGAAGAAGACTGACCTTGAGTCGTGAGCTGGAACGGCGCAAAGTCGGCGCGCGGCTCTTTGCCGCAGGCTCTGGCTTGGGTTCTGGCTCGGGCTCCTCTTTCGGCGCCGTAGCAGCCAGCTGCTCCATCGCATGCACCACCCCTTCCTTCAGGAAGAACCTGCACGTGCATGTGATTGCTAGTAAAAGCTATCCGGCTGAAGTCATCTGACCCATGTTTCTCCAAAATTCATTGTGTCACTGGCCTTCTTCGACTCTGAATTTATCTGTGAAAGACACGGGAACAGAGCAAGGGCACAGCGCTTGCACAGGATCTTAAAGACAACGGACTGTGCAAATGATTCGTGCTGCCCAAACAAAGGTAAGGAGGCCTCGTGCATCCTCTCTAGAGCTCTCAAAATTTGGACAACAATGCAGTACAATGTTGCAGACAGCATCAGGGTATGTCTTTCAGGTCCATTGCATACCAAGGTCCAAAATTTTCTTTGCCCTTTCAGGAACTCTGCACACACCCATAGATACAGACACCCTGACCCCACCTCATGAGGTTGTGACACACCCACGTGCAGGAAGCACGCTGCCTGTGGCAGTTTACACATAAGAATCTGAAGAGGGAGGGTAAAGTAGCCGCACCGCCTGTAGTCGTCAGGAACCTTGGCCATGAGCAGCTCTGCCAGGATAAGGGCGCTGGCGAGGGTGGGGGGGTCGTGCGACAGCAGCAGCCCCGCTATGAACGAGGAGATGGTGAGGCCCTTGAGCTGCTCATGCAGCATGTCTGGCGGGCTGTAGTACAGCACCTTGTCCAGTATGCGCAGGCACTTGTTCTTGACCTGCGCGCACGGCAGCAGCGTTTCAGTGAAGGGCAGAAAAGCAATACTTCTATATTGACAGGACCCTTACAATACCCGCAGGTTACCCAAATACTGCCCTTCTGCATCTCGCATCTTCGATTCCTTGCATGGCCCCATCATGTGGATGCATGCACCTCTTGTCTCAGTGTAGTCCTGCATGAGTGCATGCACACGCGATGGTTCCATGCAAAGAGCCGACCCGTAATACCACTATGACAACCTGCATGTCTGCGTGCACAAAAAGGAGAAGACTAGCAAACCTTAACACACATCAAGGGCGCACTTAAAGTAAAGAGAGAAAGTGCGAGTGACTTGGCTGGGCCGCACCGAGGCGAGCACGGTGCTGCCATAGACCTGCATGGCAAGGCCCAGGAGGTCGGAGGAGTACTGCTGCAGCACGTCCGGGTTGCTGGCAATGAACGCCTTTCGCAGCGCTCCGTCCGTCAGGCCGCCCGACACCACCGACACTTGACCTGCGCACCACACCACAGCCAAGCTGACTCAGAACCTGCACTCTGCTAAAAGGAGCATGCTGGTGATGAGCAAAGGTCATTCAACACTCAGGAACCCTGCCAGTGTCCTTTGACAAGCTGGATCATTTATAAGCTGGCTCCCCAAGCTGCTTACCTGTCCATGCATTGGGAATTGTATTTAGCTGATATTATCCAGAGCAGAGTCTGCAGAACGCACCTTGCCTCTTGGCAGGAAAAGCGTGTAATAATAATAATAATAATAATAATATTATCCAGAGCAGAGACCGTAAGACCCAAGCATGTGCAATGACGGGGTGTGGAGAATTGCTTGTTACGATGCCAATTTGTCCAGGATGCCGCACATGCACGTGTCTAAAAATATCCTGCACATCACACTACAGATGCCTACACAGTTCTGTGCTTCGACTTGCATGGATAATAGGAGAGCTGCACCTGGGTCGGCGGTGGCGGGCAGGGCTTCCAGGATGCAGCGGGAGGCGTCGGGCGTGGGAGGCAACAGCTCTGCAGACAGGGACACCACCTCGTACAGCTGGTCTGACGAGCGCAGCACCGACGACGCTGACGTGGTCGAAGTCGAAAACAGCGTTGAGCTGCACAGCACACAGCGCCGTCACTACAGCCACAGGTACAAAGATCGAAGATGTGCCTTGATCACCAAGCACACCACCTGTAATCTCCCTGGGGGCCAGCTATGAAAGCAATGGCGCGCCTGCATGCCACCGCTTCAACAATGCATGGACAACATGTCGAGATGGGAGGCCCATTAACCCTTTGGGCCGCGGATGCCCAAAGGCAAAAGTCCAGCTCCCGTAGAACTAAAACCAGACATTCTGATGTTCTGGGGGAGCACTAGGGCCCGTCTAGCATACTGCCGGGAGACGCAACTCCAGATTTAGCCTTTAAAAAACTGTCACAACCAATTCCTCACAAGGCATTTAGTACATACAAGAGATCTGCGCAAGCAGTTGCAGGTGCTCACCTCATGAGCAGCCGGCGCATGGTGGTGGACATGTTGGCGGTCAGCAGCGACTCAGCGACCGAGTGCGACCCGGCCGCGCATGTGGTCAGCAGCCTGATCAGGCCGTAGTAGGTGGACACGCTCAGCTGCGCGGTCATGCTGCCGGTCTCGGAGACGGCCACCAGTTGCACGGCGTTGCCTACCAGGCCGGCGCCGCAGAGCATGTCGAGGTGCTGCGGGCTGTGCGCGAGCGCCTCCGCAATTCTCGACAGCGCCAGGCACGCGTTCTCCACCACCTTGCTGTCCTGCAGCACAATAAGAACAAGCCAGATCATTTGTTTGTCATTTGCAGCCTTGCATGTGCAAGTTTGCTTGCCAGCTTGTACAGGCACTGACGGTGGGTTTTACTTCGGATCCCTTTTCTTCTGCACATGGTCTAGGCAGGCTATCACCCATTTGTACAACAGTGACAGTGAGCACGGTTGGTGAAGTAGGCCATGATGGTGCTGCACAGCATTTGATTCATGAGAAGATACAATAAGTGAGTGTGCAATGTCAGTCAATTGATTGTGATCATCAGTCCGTTGCATGATATGCCAGTGCAAGACCATTTACAGTCAGGATGCAGAAATGTTGCCAGCTGAGAGTTCTCAGTGTCTCATGGGCAATAAAGAGCACCCTTGCCATGCACACCTCTGCGTCAAGGCAACAGAAAAACCTTGCAATGGCATACTGACAACTGCAAGGCTGCTGGCAGCAACCATGCACTGCCGATCAAGTGGGACAGTACCGTACTCGTCCTAATGCAAGTCGGATCCGAATTCAAGGTCGGACGATATTTGAATTAATTCCTTAGTCGTTTTGCCTGTAAGTTTATGAATTTGGACCCAAAGGCAGGTTTCTTTCTGCCGCTGGCATCTCCACATCATGAGCTACAAGAATGCGGGCTCAAAAGTAAAAATGACTTTGTATTTTGGGAATTACGTAATCCAAAAATCGCAATAATTATTTATTTTTCCGACTAACAATTAGGACGAGTACGGTATTCTTGCCCCATAATCAGTGTCCCACACTATCTGCATGCATTTCAATGCACAAGAATCCCCTCTCACGCCCACCCATAAGAAACCTCTGCAAATAGCCACAATAAAAGCACCTGGTACTGGAGGAGGTTGGTGAGGATGGGGACTGCGGAGGAGACAGCGTCGATGTTGTCGGTGGTGAGGGAGCGGCACATGGTGGCGGCGGTGGCCACCGCCACGCGCTGGACCCCCGTCTGGAAGAAGTCCAGGTAGGACAGCACCGCCACCAGGCCCCCCTGCCGCAGCACCGCCCCCGGATGCTCCGCCGACAGCTTCTCCAACGCCTGCGTCACACAATAGCGCAACAGGCTATCAGGACAGTGCTTAGAGTTCTCATGTTTTCGCAAAAAGGGAGACTTGCATGTACATGGACACAATATTGCATGCGTGCACATCAGCGCCCACCCAAATTTAGATAAGTCCTTAATTTGAGGACCTCAAAACGATGTGAACAATGCCGGCTTTGCTATGTTCTTGAGCTGGGTATGCCCTCTGGAAATCTGCAAAGTTGCCTTGTGGCAATGACATGACTGGGCATAGCGCACTATTGTTGGGCCTGAACACTGAGAAAAAGCATTGGTCTTGTTCTTGAAACATTCCCTCCCTGACATTGAGAGGATGCAACACCGACTGTATTATGAAACGCATATGGAAGAGGCTAAAACCATCACGATCTGCTCCTTGAGATGGGCAGCAGTGCAAGAGAAGGGCGACTTTTCAGATGTTCAGCTTACTTTCAGTTTGGGCATTGCCAAGCATCTGAGAAAGTGCCCCGACCCTGTGCTGCAGATCCGTCCTGCTTGAGCAGCTCATGATGAGCTCCCACAACTGAGCGGATCGGGAAAAGACGAGGCAAGTGCGCGGACCTGCAGGGACTGCTCGGCGAGATCGATGTACTCGATGGTGAGCAGGCGCGCACAGAAGGCCGGCACGGCCCCGTGGCGCACGATGGAGGAGCAGGAGGACGGCAGCACGTCCGCCAGGAATGTGAGCGCGCGCGCGGCCAGCAGCATGATGTCCGGGTTGTGCTCTGAGTTCAGCAGGTGCACCTGCGCAGCGGCGGTGCCTCAGACTCGAACTTTCCACATACGGAGCATCTGCGGCATTGGCATGAGCTAGACGCAGCCAACAACATCTTGCTCACTCTCACCGAGGGCATAAACACCGGGGATTCTCTCAGTCTTTGCAACGACAATGACTAAGTTCCCAGAGCAGCGTTGGGGGCAAGACATGCAGCGTCAAGGGCAAAACATGCATGGGAGTCAAGCACACTACAGAAAGAAATAGCCAGGGAAGATCGTATAGACTCCTGTGTTTTGCCAAAACGCTTCAAGCAAGCTGGTGGCCATAAGCTGACATGCAGAGCACAATCCTCGACACACAGGTATGCAACATGGAAACGAGCAGCATGCAGTGGTGAATGCACCAGCACGGGCACGAGCTGTTCCACAGGGAAGACACTCAGGGACTCTTCGTTGGAGATGGACAGCAGCTCATTCAGCTGGCTCAGCGCATCCAGCTGTGCATTCTCATCATCGTCCTGGCGCAGCTGTACCAGGAACCCCTGCACCCACAACATCAAACCTCTCAATTTGGTCTGACTAAAGTCTCTGGCCAAGAGTAATCACAAATGTCCTCTCGTACGACCGGCTGCGATTTATTATCAGCGTTGTGTTGTGGCGTGCTAAAATATAGCTCGGCCGCATATGAGGTGTTTTGGCGCGTGGAGAGGTTGTGAAACATATGCATGGAAGCTAGTAGCAGGCACGTTTAACAATCCCGGCTCGCATGGATCTGGGGCAGTCTGCTAAGCTGATGGTGTTCAGCATAATAGACCGCCCCACATGTGAGCAGCGCATTTCTGTGTAGCCCGGAAACAGGATGCAGGGTGCAGTCGTCACCTTGAGCTGCGCGCTTGAGAGGCCGCCAGATGGGACGATGTCATCAAAACCAGCTCCAAGCTTGCGCAGCAGTCCTTGTAGGGCACTGCACGACCACAGTAGAGTTTTAGTGAGCCATATCATTAGATGTTTGCATCAGACACAAAACAATCAGAGCATCTACAGCTTGGTTAAGGATCCACAGGAGAAGCTGCCAGAGTCACACACCTGCTTGCGTTTCCAAAGTTCCTCCCAAAGATGTCCTGGGCGTTCTTGTCCTGCAGCAATCACGATCGTCAAGCAGATGCGTTAAATTGCACCCCAAATGCAGGCACCACACCACACAGCATGGTGGTGAGGTGCTGCTGTGAAGATACGTCTTAGTGGTTCGCAGAAGTCATGCAGCGAGTGTAGCAGCTTCCGTGTGCAGAAACACCGTAAACAAGGCTTGATCGAGAGGCGCCATGCATTGACGAAGTTCTTCACTTATCACAGCCTTAATGGACACCCACTAGGAAAGTGGCCTGAGAACCCTGGCATACCTCATCGTCTGCGCCCTCCCTGCCATGTGCATCATCGCTGTCTTCTCTCCTCTGCCTCTCCATCTCGTCTTGCGCTTGGGTGGCTTCTTCCTTCAAGGCTAAATCTGCGTGGCGTTGCTCTGCGTTGGAAGGACCAGCCTCTTCTGAAGCAAATGATCTGGCCTGCTTTCCTTTGCCTGATGTATGTTTTGTTCCTGCCTGCTGCCTTGTTGGAGGCCTAGCCCGTGAGGTCGCCCTGTTGCGAGCCTGGGGAACCTCGTTGCCTTCTGGAGTGTCAACCGGACTCTGATGCCGCGATCCCTCGTTTACAACCGGTGTCCCGACTTCCCTGTGCTCCTGAAACAGGGGAGCAGCGATGCCAGAGGCCCGAGCTTTCTTAACAGTGTTCCTTGTAAGAATCTGGGATTGCAATGCAGCAGCTTCTTCTTCGCTCTGTTTTCGCTTCGAGCGCAGCCTAGTCTCCATCACAAGCACCTCCAAGCCATCTGGGGATAAAGGCCAAACCTGTGCGTGCCCTAGACAACTTTGTGATCAGGCAGCATGGCTCCCTCCAGGCACATAATTTCCGTCGTATGTAGGCGTTCCCTTAAATGCTGGCTAGGCATGAAATGTTCCCATTTTCCATTTTTTGATGAAAAATTGAAGCTCGTATTTTACAGCTAATGACCACACAAGTTATTCTTCTGCAAGCTCAAGAATTTTGCATCTACAAGTATATTTCCGTCTTGCCACGTCATGCATGCGATCATGTATGCATGCAGCTGCGCAGGAGCAGCCGCCCAGTCACACCATGATGGTGCTCAACAGAATTAAAGAAGCTTCCCAAGATACCTCACATTACCTTCACAACATAAAAGCCTCCACTTGGGCAACAAATGTAGCTTGATCCTTCTTCTTCAGCCCTTTGAACTGTGCCACTGCGGTCGCCAGGCCAATTTGCTGCTCCCGTGTGTATTCTGGATGTGTCACGGCCCACTGCCCAAACTCTTCCACCTCAGTCAGGAAAAACGCCTACATGCACAATCACACACGTTTGCGGACATCAATAGTCTTGCTCCCATTACAAGTCGCAGGCAAGGAGCATAGGTACGCATGCGGTGACCTGCAAGCCCTGCCGGGGCAATTGGCATTGATTGCTATTGACCAGTAGCATGTTGCTATTGGAGGGAATTGTTTGGGAACTTGCCTTGATGTAGACGTCCACCAAGCGCGAGCTCTTTTCCAAACAAGCTGCCACGGCTGCGGTTATGGGCGCCAAGGACTTCAATGCATGCATGGCCTCCTGTGCAGCCAGTCAGCTTCAACTCTCAACAGTGTTGACTCAACACTTGCGAGCCCTCCCACTGGAAAATCTCCAGCAGTGATTCTTGGGAATGCAGAACAACCGATCTGCCATTCTTGGCACCCAAATAAAAGCTCTTAGGTGGAGAACTCTAATTATACAACTGCATGTGTGACGGGTATGGCCCCGGCTGGCGGGGGGCGGTACAAATACTGAGCACCGTGCCCACGGTTGATTGGGTCTTGCTTGGATCTGGCGAGTCCAACAAGGGGTAGGATTGTGGGAGCCTTTAACTGCAGCTTGACTGCAGGACGCACCTTGCCTCTTGGCAGGAAAAGCATGTAATAATAATGTGTGACGGGGCTCCCAATGTGTGACGGGGCTCCCATGGTTCAGTGTGGCATGACGTCGATCGACTGTAAGATTGTGTAAGAGCATGAGCGTCAAGAACTTGCCTGCACGTCCGAGGCGATTGCATTTCTGCCAATGGCGCTGCAACGCCCCTTGATCCTGCTGATGCCTTCCAGTAATACTTCCGCCAGCAAGTGGACCGCGTGACACCAGAGCTGCATGCATAGAATGCCGCATCAGAATTCAAAGAGAGCATAATCAATTAATTTCTTGCCTCTCGGCAGGAAAAGCGTGTATTTTTTTAACAAAAATAAAAATCAATCAGGACGCCCTTTCCGAGCAGGCTGCCTGATTATTGATCGAATGATCTGACTTGAAAGAGATCCTTCAGCATGAGCAGCCCATCAAATGAAATGTTATAATTACCTGGGATCTGTGGTGCTCTGTTAGGCCGGCCACCTGCGCGAGCTTCTCCCCGAAATAGCCTGCCTGCCTGCACACGTCCTCCACCCACCGCGATGCCTGCATGCATGCAACAGATATTCCTTAAAAAGCTCTATCTGCATACTCTACTGCATTTGACATGCACTGAGGCCTTGTGTTACCTGACATTGACACAATCCACCGGCCACCACTACTATCGTCCAGGCCATCCTAAGATTGAGCACTCTGCATGCGTGTCACTCAACTTGACCTGCTCTGAAGGCGAACAAAATATGCAGTTTGTGACATGCCTACAAGCTGCCTTTCTATCGCTGTGCAGTGCCTGCATATATCATGTTGCCCAGCCAAACCGCTGAATGCCGCTTTACTCCAGAGTTCCAGCATGCTGAGGGAATTCTCATGCAGACCTGCATGGGCGGCTGGGAGATGTCCCAGAACTGGTGAGCGATTGTGCCGGCGGTGCTGGCAAGGTTGAAGTTCAGCCGCGCGCCGCAGCGCAGCAGGCAGTCGGTCACGTCACCTGCAGTTCAAAGGCGCGCGCATTCAGAATTCACATAGCAAGTTATAATGCGAGCAGGCACGTGGGCCACTGATTGCTCTCATCCAGCGGACTGCACTGCACACCACAATACACCCAAACTGAAGCGTTCATCGCTACTTGCAGGCCATGCAGCAGAAGTGGATATCTCCAAGGCATGTGTGTTGCACCCTAATATACTAACAGACAGAGAGTGCACTCGGGAGGGGCTTGTAATGCAATCGTCAGAGCTTGGATCGTTTGGATTGTCAGAGCTTGAAACGCTGGAACGCAGGTCGTTTTCAACTTTATAAGTTTGTTTTTTAATTCATGCAGGGAGACCTACCTGCGGCGTCAACGGTGCGGGTGAAGAACGCGTCGAGCGAGGGATGCTCTGCGGCCGGCAGCAGCGCCTGGATTGCGCTTTTTCCCTGCCGCAGCTGTTCGGCAAATGCCTCCAGCGATGCGGCCGCCACCACTCTCTCCTGCAGGCCCCACTGATTGCCTGGACAGCAGATGCGCACCTCAACTGATTTTCATCGGTCATGTCAATTCACTCCTTCTTAGGAGCATTGCCAAGCATGCATGCTTCAAAGACGGGCATGGCGCTTGAATTTATTGCATGCATGCACAGAAACCGTGAAGAGTCTTGAAATGGAGAGGGTTTCTTACCGCCAAACAACAGATGCAAGGACATTGCCGACTGCACCCGGCCCCACCTGGCATGAATCTCAAGCAGCTGGATTCAAGAAATAAAAGACATGCCCAGCAGAAACGGCAAAGTGCTTTCGGCAAGCACCTGAGTGCGAGAGCTTGGGGACAGTTGAGGGAGTGGCTGACAGCTGCGCAAGAGCAGCCGCAGCCGACGGTGGCGCGGCGGCTGCTGTGGAGGCTGCTCTCCTGTCGGCCATCTTCAGGTGTGCCAGAAACTGACTGCCCTCTCCACCTGCAGCCAAACTCTCGAGTCTCTGCATCTACTACCTCACAGCATCCATGTACCAGCTTATTTTGTTATTGAAGCAAAGAAGAATGGAGATAAAGGCCTTCTGAACCAGAGCACAATGTCCAGCCTGACTCCCTCAAGATGCTGTCCTACTCAGATTCAGAGCAGCGTTTCTTTCACCTCCTCCAGAGTGCCCTGAAAATATTCTGCTATGAAGTTTTAGATGAGAATTTCCATATCAGGCTCGCACCCATGTCCTTGGCAAGCTGCTGCAGCCACTTGTTCTGCCTGGCAGTTAGGGATGCCCTGAATCTGGCCAGCGGCCCGGCCACAATCCTCACAAGTGTGGCCCTCAGCCTGGGTGACACCGCCTCTGCCTGCTTGGCCTGCATCCAAAATACTGTATCAGCATATGCCCGGTATGATTTGAACTTGAAATGATCTCATCAGCGCAGGCTACAGGGAATCTGGCAAGGCAAACCTGCTACCTCGCATTCAGCACAAGACAAGCAAGCATGCCAGACTCACTCTTTTCATACCTGCTCAAACCGAATCATCCTGAGAATGATCATAGACTGTGCGCGAGAACTGAGACCCATGAAGATTATGCACTTGCACAAAGCGCGTTTAATATTTGCAAGGGGTTGATGAAAGCTATGATGATGACACAAGAGACGCTGACCTCAGCGGCCTCGGAGTCCAGCATGTCAGCCAGGCTGACATCACTGAAGGCCACGTAGACATGCACCAGGTACATGTCAAACAGCTCGCACATGCCCCGGTACACAAACGGAGCCGGCCGCAGGCTCCTGCACAGGAGCATGCCTTGTTGTAGTACACAAGGTGTTCAAGAGCGCTAACTCCCTGTCGCAGCACCTGTCGCAGCCCCTGGAGCAACTGCCTTTTGCTGTAATGCAGTCATTCCGGACACATGCTAAACACTACTCTTGTCATGGGCCATTTTGAATTGCCCATGAGCTACAGCACTTAGAGCTGACGCAACTATGCAGCCTCCATTACCTTTAGTCATGAATCATGACTCATGATGGTGGCTGCTTTTGTGTCACAGCATCGACATGCTGCACTGCAATTCAGCCCTGAGTGAGGTTTGCACCAAACAATTGCCAATAAAAGGCAGGTATAGGCAGCACCTGAGCAGTTCTCCGTACACTTGCATCCATTTGGCAAGCTTCAGCGCCGAGTTAGTCATGGGCATGCTGCCCAGCTGCTGCCCATCGGCGTTGCCCGCCTCCTGCCCGCCCACGTAATGCCATTACTATGATGACTAATTCCACCACCATCCTCTCTACAGGCCATCGGTCTGTGCATTGAAAAACCCCAAATGTTTCTGTGACACAGATATTTTCAAGTGTCCAACAGTCTGATCCATATGACCTCAGCCTCTGGACATTGTGTTCCCCTTGCTATAAAGGAGGCTGATGGGGTGATTACCTTGGCGGTTTGCCTATCGTCCTCCCAGAGTGAGTCCCCACTCAGCAGCTCGTCCTCTTCGTCATCTGACAGCACTGCGTGTGTTGTGGCTGCACTGGTCCGCCTGCAGTAAATTTGCCCCATCAATGCGAATGACTGGTTAGGAATTGCAAGAACCGAGAAGACTGGAGAGCAATAATCCAGGTGTTGCTTGACGTCCCTAGTGCTTAAGGACTGCAAAACGTGTAATAATAACAATGACAATGCGAATGCCTTTAGCTTTAAGGAGGTGCAGGGCATCAATTGGAAAGATTCTAGCAGCTTGTCGAGCACTAGATCACATGCAAAATGGCCATTTGCATTCAATTGCCGGCATTCGCCTATAGCTCCAACGATGCATGGGTTTGCAGCCATCATGTGTGTCATGAAGTGACAGCATGAGGTACCTAGTCCAAAGGACTGTGAAGGTTGCATTGAAGATATGAATCATATTTTTGACATTAGTAGTATTAAGGAGAAGGTGCCAAGATAGGCCAACTTGGAAGGGTGTCATAGAAACGCTGCTGCGACGCACCTAAGCCTAACCAGGCTTGGATAGGCGTGTAATAATTAATAATGGTAGTGACACGGAGCAAGAGGGAACGTTGCCTGGAGGTTGCATTGGACCATATGTCATCTGACACACGTCGTGCAATTCCGTGCTCATCGACCTCTAGCTTCCTCGCAGCCCTGTCCTCCTCCAGCGCTGAAGCGCCGCCAAACCTGCATGGCACCACCGCTTCTACAGAAATGCTACGTACATGTTTGTTAATATGACCTATGTGTGCATGCCCTATGGCCTTCGGGCTTTGGGTTTGCCGACGCTGTAATCATAATAATAATAATAATAATAAAATATGACATGCAAGCATGGTCGGAAGCCCTTCTCAGACTTGATGCAGGAACGCTCTGTGTAGAATCTGTGCACCCAAGAGAAAGTTTGGTGGCCAGCTCGCATGCATGACAGTGTGCAAAGTGTCACTGCAAAAGGAGACGCCAGAGATTGTACTTCTGGGAGCTCTTATGATCCTTGCAGGTGCCAGGAACTCTTGGACTTCATCCCACACTCTTGCAGTTTTGTAATCCTTCTGACATTGCAAAAGCAATTCTGCGGCCCTAATCATGTTAACAAGCATGTGTGAGCTAAGCGGTTATTTATAAAATTGAATAAGCGAAACATGGGTGCTGCTTTGCCAACCAGCGTTGGAAAATTAGTCGAGGAATCTCACCCCAGCTGGAAGGACAGCGCAGGCGAGCCCTGCTTGGCAAGCCGACGGCGCAGGTGCTTCCTGCGCCAGGGATTTCCAGCCGCCAGGATCTTGTCAAAGGAGTCTGCGCCGCCCTTCTGCAGCTTCCCATCTCCCCGCAGCCCCTGCCAAAGACCTCCTGCTTCTGCACTTTGACACTCGTTGGATCAGCTCATAATGCATGAAACATGAAAGTCAACAAATTTTCTTTCTCCTCAAAAGGCAAGATCAAGCCAGGTCAGGCCTAGTGAGTGAAATCAGAAGTGGGCTTCAGAAGAATTCATGTTGAACCTTGATCGCTCATGGCATGCAAGTATTCAAAATCCTGCTATCATGCTGATTTCCACGAATGAGTCATACCAGCATTGCCGGAGGGTATCCTGCGCCAGAGCTCCTTGTCCAGCATTCCATGCAGGCCCTCCAGGTTCTCTGCATGATAGGCTGCGAAGAAGTTGCCCGCCTGCATGTGATATTGGTAATGTATCATTATCATTATTATTATTATTATCAGATGCGTTTCCTGCCAAGAGGCAAGGTGCGTCCTCCAGACAAGCTGCAGTTAAAGGCTGCCACAATCCTACCACTTGTTGGACTCGCCAGATCCAAGCAAGACCCAATCAACCGTGGGCACGGTGCTCAGTATTTATATTTGCCCCCGCCAGCCGGGGCATGTGATATTGGTAATGTATAAATCATAAAATGTACAGCTCTTGTCTACGTTTGTATCATTTTGAGCTCATGCCCCCTTTTCAGTTCTTTGGCCAGTACTTGCACCTTTGGCAGCCTCCTACTGCAGGAAGAACAGGTGCTGCCGATAATACGCAATAAGAGCAATGGTCATTTTGCAGATGACAGATACATGATTATCGGCAGATATTGTTGGCAGCATATCAGCGCAGCTTGTTCTACAGGTGCACCTTGCCTTTTGGCAGAAACAGCTGTAATAATAACACAGAAGCATCACGAAAATTATTTCGAATGGGGAGCTGGGATCAGTGCCTGTGTTGCCAGCAGTGAGCGCAGCCCTGCGGCACCTTCAGGTCCGGCGAAGGCGTTCCCTGCCTCCAAAATGCGCTGTACCCATTCCGACACCTGCACATGTGCTTCCTCTCAATTCAAGACATGCAGCCTGACAAGATGCCCCGCTTCAACTCCTGCAGAAGGCTGCGCTTCTTTTGATGCCAGCCTGAAGGGTGGCAAAAAGTCTAAAGATGATACACAGCAGGGGGTGCTGAAGCTTGCACAGTCAACACATATGTCGAACACGGGATGTATTCAATATGGCAGACTGCTAGATCAGACTCTTGTGGCTTGCACTTGTCAATTACCCATATGTCACGTGTGGACTAGTACGCTTCAACTAAGCTTTGCATGCCAGGACAGCACAGAAGAGTGCGCAGAAAATAGGGTGTGGTAGCTCCTCGTAAGCCTGGGGGTTCCGGTGGTAAGTATGTTGCAGGCATGGCTGATGACCTGCAGGAAGTGATCGCCATCCCAGGCGGCGGGGCATGCGAGCAGGCAGGCGATGTTGCGCGCGGCTTCCTCCCAGAGGAATCCGCGGCTGGCCCACATGCCCCGCTGACTAACCCTCAGCACATCCCCCCACTCCACCTCCTCCGCCTCCCTCCACTCCAGCCCCTGTCAAAAATACCATTCTCTCTGGTTATTGTTTGCTTCTTGCAGCGTTTGTAGAGCACAGTGACATGGAGGATTGCACTCATACATAGAGTGTATTTCTCCTTGAGCTGGGGTGACACATTCATATGGCGATTGAAGAGAGCGGTGTACATTAGGCATCGCAAGCATGCACGCATTTTGTCTCAGGTAGCAGCCGCCTTCCCAAACCCCTAGCCCAGCGTCTCACTTGCAATTCCAACCACAAGCCTCATGGATGTTGAGCCGTGACCAGTGTTTCTTTTAAGGATTTTGGCTGAAAGCCAATGTGGTTTTGAAGATGTCTTTGAACAAGCTTTGAAGCCACAAATACCATTGAAAAAAGGATATTGGCTCAAACGGGTGGCTTCGGGGGCATTTTTGCTCAATGTTGCTCTGGCATAGCTATTTTTATTATTTATAAAATATAACCCTAAACCCTAAACATTTATATAATTCAATAAATAGGCCCGTGACTGTCAAACCTGGAGCTCTGCTAGAGCGTCCTTGGCGGCCAGCGCCTCGATGAAGGACTCCACCGACTGCGGCTGTCCCTCCTCATCGCTGCCCAGCCGCCGCACACCTACTGACAAATCATCCAGTCTCAATTTCGAATTCAAATTTAAAATCACAGTTCGGCATTTTCAAGCATTCATGAAACCCCGGCCTGGAAAATATACTGTTGCTACATAAGCTGGGCAACAAGTGTCTCTATGGGGGTACTTAGCGAAAATATTTACTTCAATGTCAGCCTGCCAAATTGTGTACATGCAGCACATTATTTGTATAATTGAATTTTAATTTTCAAACAAAACTTCAAAAATATGGCACGCGCCTGCCTGGCCCATGGATCGTGCAAGCTGCAGCGCCTGTGACCCCTTCGAGGACGTTCTGTGAAGCTGCGGCCCGGCAGTCAGCGTTTCTGCCCATGCCGGCTTCTGCCGCCTTCTCGGCGAGGCTGGTGCGCGCGGACTGCCACCGACGCTGGCTTGAAAGCTCACCTGCACTTTCGTGAGGTGATAAGTTGCCAGAGAGAAGAAAAACGTCCATGTGTGGAAGCATGTGAAGGGCAACAGGCACGTGCCTCCCTAATCAGTGTCTTCTGAAAAACTGAATGGTGCGGCCAGGCCGGCGCATGTGGACTGCCACCTCGTGAAAATCCACCTGCACCTCAATCTGCTCTTTTGCCAAACACACAAGATGTCAGGTGTATGACATAAGGTTTGTCACCTCAGACCTTCAAGCTTACGGGCGATTGAATGTGTTTATGACGGTGTTTGGTCTAGTGATGTGTCCCATTTGAATAGTGTTCACTGATCCGTCATTACATAACCTTCAACATGCAAGTCCTTCTGCCGTCGGCTTTGCCTGACTGGTGACTCATTGCTTATACTTTGAATTGAGAGTGACGAACCGAGGTGGTAATGGGTGCCGTGTCCCTCATTGAGACGGCTTTGATGAGGCCGCTGCCCTCACCGCTGCCATCCGCAGGAAGAAGGGCCCCGGAAGCTGTCCCGTCCGCATGGAGCTTGATTCCGGATGAATGCTCCTGCTGCACGCGATGCAAATCTACTCATCTGACAGCTGCCCCTTAGTCAACCGAGCTAGAGCCACGGCCGAGGATTGGATGGACCCAAAATCTTCAAAGATTGCCAGAGGGCATCAAATGATGAAAGTGCATGGATTGATGCACATGGACATGACCAGCAAGTGCACCTGTGGTGCATAAATCAACACGCTCATGCAAGCACCTCTACTACAGGCTACTATCTTGAGCCCAAACTTTTCCGCAGCAAAGGTACACATGCCCAGGGTCAATGCCCGAGATATTATCATGGCGATTTTCCAGTGCCATTACGGCCACGAGAGCGACAACCAAGGAATTTCAGAGGGGGGAGGGAACGCGCCTGGCGGATGCGCGCGTGGCATGCGCGCTTGGCTTCGCGCAGTTTGGCGAGGCCGCTCATGTTGTGGTCCAGGGCGCTGTCGTGCCAATTAGTCATCCTCTGGTGGCTGCCCATCATGTCAAACACCACCATCAACGCCTACGCAGCAACACAGCCGTCACCGGTCAAGCTCCTTCAGTTCCATTTCCCGTTCTAATGCTCCACCAACAAATGTCTGTCATATTGGAGACAATCACCATCCATGCAATCAAATCCCTACACATGAAGGCCGCTTAGCATCAGCTATCCCCCATTGAAAAGGAACAGCGCTGGTTCGAATCCAGCAGTGGCCATTTATTCATTTTGTATTTCTAACTTTTTTTGAAGTCTGAACGCCTGAGGGCTAGCTGTGTTGCAGCAGTTTCCAACGAGAATCAGCTTTTATTTCCCTCCACTTTGTCAGAAAATGAACTAAGAAACTTGACCACTTTATAGAGCAACGATGTGCTCCACTAATGCACGAGGGCGGTCATGAGAGACGACCCATGCCTGTCCCCCTGCACTTGCGTTTGTGAAGGGAATTTTGGATGCATTCTTGCTGCATGCGTACATCAAGCCTTGCCAAACGGCATCTCTTGCGCTGCGGTTTTGTTTGGGTAGAGGAATGTGCTCACCCGGGCGAGGCACGTCCTGAATAGGTCGGCAGGGACCCCCCGGACCATGTCCTGAACAGGCGCTCCTGCGCGCGCGCTCTCCTCCAGCCCAGACCGCGTCAGGATCACGCTGCGCACGACCTGCGGTGAGTCATCACCCGATGATGTCGTGATGACTCATGACTCATCCAACATTTTCAACCAACTTTCCCCTCTTTGGAAAACGCTGGCACCTTCCTTCTAAAGCTGTTGCCTAGCAAATGTCCCCAGGTAGAAGGTAGCAGAGGATGGCAGGTCTGAGAACAGGGGACCAAAGATGGCATGACAGGCATGTGCATGAAGCCTGAGCCTCGAATTTACTTTCAACAGGCGATGAAATGGGAGGGAGGGCTGACAGCAAGGAGAAGAAATGAGAGGCACCTGACGGACAGTGCTGCTGACGGATGAAGTGAAGGCGTGGCTCAGCCGGGCGCCCAGCTCGCTGATATTGCCCAGGAAGATGTAGCCCTCCAGCACCTGCCCCCATGCCACTCTCCTATCATCCTGCAGCAACCTTTGCTAGCATGGCTGCCAGTTGCCATCGGCATTCTTTCACTGGTTGCGCAATTTGACTGGTTGATGCCGTCTTTTTCACCTGACACACAAGTCTAGCCATGCTCCTAATAAGGAATTCTGTACGCATCTGGACAAAGCACCCCCCGCCAAGTCTCATTAGAATTTCTAGGCTGCAGACTGGTGCAGGACCCGCAGCCGTGGCTGCAGACGTCCTGCATATAGCCTTTTGGCATTCTGACATTCTTTGCAGCTAAACTAGAATGATGCCCATGCAGTGCAACTCAAAATGAATCTATCGGTTCAAAAGCATCTGGCATCTGCCGGCTGCGCGCCTTGCAGAAGATGTCGGGATGGAAGTCGGAGGCGGCTGCCTGCAGCGCCGTCTCCAGCCGCTCGGCAGCTTCCTCGTACAGCGAATCGACCGTGGCCGACAGCGACGAAGCGCAGCGCAGCGTCCCCAGTGACGCCATCGCGGAGCCACATTGCACGCACAGCCAGAAAGCATGCGCGTAGTCGCCCTCCTGCAGCGCGTCCCTGCGCGGTCATGATTAGGCACCGATTAGTCATCCGGAGTGTTTAGGTGCTGCGACTCACATGCGAAGCCAGAACGCGTGCGCATGGACACCCTCCTCCAGGGCCTCCGTGCGCGGGGACAGCTAGTATAGTATAGTTCAGTAAACATCAACATATTGCTCAGTCAACAGCAGGCTTGAAGTTCTATCTGCAGCGCCTCTCTGGCAGTGGTAATGCGAGTCAGCATTAAAAAAGAAGATATTTTGATGGCCCTGCCAGTGCATGGAAGTTCACATGGCAAAATTTCCTCCAGGTCTCCAGTGTACACAAAGATCACATTCCAAAGAAAGGGCCATGTTTATTGATGTCTCAATGCCAGGAGCCAATATGGTGCTCGTCTACGCGGTATTGTGGGATGCACTTGCAAGCTCGATATTTTAGCACACCACAGATAAAAATGCAGGTCGCAAGCAAGGAAGATGTGCAGGCGAAGATAAGGGCCACACTTGAGGGAGATGTGGAGGTCCTTGGCCTGCTGCAGCTTCTGGAGGGGATCCAGCAGATCCAGCAGCTTCTGCTTGCGCCGACTCTGCTGAGTCACCTGCATGAATTGGGCAGCGTTGCCACCTGCTTATAACAGCATGCATGCAGGGAATCCTTGAACTGGAATCAAAACTCTTCCAGCAGCTCTTGCTCTACTGTAAAATTCCATGCTGGGGGAGCCTTCCGCAGGCCATCGACTCCTTTTCAATATTATGTGCTTTTGTACCATCAAGATTGTAGCTGCTTCTTTCGGCATGATCCTGTTCCCAGAGTAAGCGGAAGCATGGACAGCGGGGCATCTGCACAAGTCCCCTTGCCTATCTCGATTATACATACATTACCAGCGCATGCTTCTCCGGCCATCAAGGCATGTGCACCCCAGCAGCGCTCCTACTGATAACATACCTGGACGCTGGTGGCGATCTCTGCAGAGGAAGCCTTGAGGTTTGCGCGCGCATGCTTGGCCGTGGCATAAGCGCTGACTAAGTCCCTCTCCACAAGGCCCACTTCGTCAATGCCCGCCACAAATTTGTCGTAGTTCTTCAGCACATGCTGACTCAGCAGCTCGCTGACCACCTGAGAGTCAAAGAAGCTTACACACTTTCACTGGTGTAATCTGCATCAATCTAAATGGCAATCTAAAGTTGAAATATCAACTCCTGCTCACTCAATTTCAACAAGGTGTGGCGCGCTGTGATTCCTACTGCTGTTGATGTCAGCTTGCAATCCTGTTGACATTAAAAACGCAGTGCGCCACCATCGTAACACTTGCAGTGATGGTTCGACGCGCATCACTGGCATCTCCTTTGCTTGAGCTCTACTGGAAGGACATTGTTCTCTTATGCACACTAGCAGACTGGCATGCAAAGGCTTTTGCTCACAACGCACTGAACGTGGAAACATTAGGGTGCCTTGAACTAAAAACGTGCGCACTTCAAGTGCTGCTATTCGCCCTTCAGCCAGCTCCTCCATTTGGGCCTGGTCTGCCAGTTGCGCCAGCTCGCACAGATCGTGACGCACAGCGTCAAAGTCCTTTTCGAAATACTGCTGCGGGATAGCCTGCGCACTTTATATAATTATTTGAGCAACAAAGGTAAAATATTCGTATGGCGGGATGCAAATTTGCGACGACTGTTTATTATCTTGCAGTAAGGCCAGACATCTCTGAGTAGAAATTTCTGCCATCACAATTCTTTCACAACACCTTTCCAGCCTACCACCTGATTGCAGAAAATATCCCAAAATTAGGCATGTAAAATGGTTTCGGGCACCTGCAGGAGGGACTTTCGAGCATCGTTGAGTTTACTTGTCCTGGATGTCAGACTCTCATTGGGAGGAAGCATCTGCTGAGGGCTTAAATCTGTGTAGGAAACCTGAGGCAAAATTCTTCGCAGTATTTGTAAAGTTGATTTTTTTGGCCAATACTAGACGTTCCTCTAAAGGCTGCCTCCCGGTCTTCGGATACTGGCTAAAGAACTCAGGATCTTTTTGTGAAAACGGCTAAGTCGGCACCCGACAGGTTGCATAATGTACGCTCTAGGCACAAATGTAGGTTCTTTCTATTTTCTTCTCTTTGGTTGCACATTTCCCTCCAAGAATTACATTTATCGCAGTCCTAAGGCGATCCCACAAGCAGCGGCGGTTACAGCATAACCGGTGAGCATTCGAGGAAGCCAGAAGAGGCTTCCTCTTCTGACGTAATGACTCCGTCGAATTTGCGTGATGGATGAAGAAACTTTCTGTATTTGCAATGCTTGCAGAAGAAAAAGACCGTGAGTACACGAAAAAATTCATCGGCCATCGTTTCTAGCCCCTGTTACGAGAAAAAGGTGTGGTTCCTCAACACCCCTAGTATGACGTGCCTCTGATGACTGCTTTAGCCTCAAGGCTTCGCGTTACTTCGGCATTGTTTGGTGCACCAAGGATCTATGATGAATTTATGATGAAGTCGTTCCGGTGCTCCATCGATGTTCTGGAGGGCCTCCATTATTGTTGTGATACTGTCTACCAGTGCATGGTAACATTGGAGCAACTCTGCCTCCGTGCAGGTGCAGTATGACGAAGCCTATCTCGATCTACGAGCTTGAAGGCGCTCCCAATCAGTTCTTCAGCCCCTTTTGTTGGGCGTCAAAGTTTGCGATCGCTCACAAGGAGATCCCCATCGACACCATCCGCTGGAAGTTCAAGGAGGGCGACAAGATCGCCTTCTCCAACCAGGGGCTGGTATACTTCTTTCACGCCACTTTTAATTTCCGTCTTCAAGAGAGCCGCTGTCTCTGAAGCACACAAGTTGTAAGACTGCAGCAGTACTGCCCATGCAAGGGTGTGAATTGCGGAACCTTGCATTGATGCCACCCTTGACCACCAGTGGAAAGTAAGAATAATGCAGTATGAATCTTGTTGCAGGTGCCAGTCATTGTTGACCCCAATCAGGACGGCAAGTGGGTGAACGACTCGTGGGCCATTGCCAAGTACCTTGAGGAGACATACCCAGACCGCCCCTCCCTCTTTGGCGGACCACAAGGTGCGCGCTGCACACGTTTACTCTTAAAGGCTGTTGCAGCCCCTGTGCACAAGCATTAGAATTGCTCGTCATGCAATCCTGTCTCCGGCAGGCTCCGTCCTGCTGGCTTTTCACTGCGGTTCATAACCCTGAACACAACAGCCCATCAATGCAGTCAATCGGTGATTTCCTGATCACAGTTGGATATGAAAATGCTGCGCTGACAGGTGAGAGGTTTTGTAGCAGCCTTTTATATTGCAACTTGTCTCCAGGTGCATATGTCCTCTGTTTACAGGAGCCAGTTCCTATCAATGTATGGATTTTCCCGACGTGAGACGCTCAAATAGAGTGGAACCATGTGCATGCGCAGGAGAGGCGGCGGCTCTCTTTGTGCAGAAGTGGTGGTTGAATGGGCCCGTAGTGACACTGATGAAGGTTGTGATGCTGGACCTTCTGAACGCGCAAACTCCCGACCTGCAGCCCTGGTTCCGGGAGACGCGCGAGGCAAAATTTGGCAAGCTCGAGGAGGTGTGTTTGCCTTGAAGCATGGCATGAAAATAAAATTCGAGTTAACCCGCCAGAGGGCCGCACAATAATATTCAAGCCGACTGGGTTGCTGCAGCGCCTTTTGCACCTTCCACCTCCTTCATAATGCAAAGCCGCTCTTGCCCCGCTTTGCATGAGAAATTTTAGCAAGCAGGCATGCAAGAAAAGTTTAGTGGCAGCTTGAGCAGGCCTGATTCTATGCCGATTGACACCATTCCCAGTGGCTGTTTTTGCGAGGAACAAAGTGTGACTGTGCACAATGTCTGGCCCGCTCCTGCACTTGCGTTTGTGCAATGTGCAACTGAAGTGGCTTCCCACTCAGAACAGTCTTCATTTTGCATGCATGCAGGCACACTGTACCTTTGCATGCATGCAGGCACACTATACCTTTTGCTGTCAGTATCTTGTAATATCAACTGCACGTGTAGCCTGTCGTTCAGTATTGTTCACATGCGCAGTTTGCAACTGGGGCGGCGGGCGTGCCTGAGTTCCAGAAGGCACTGGAGCCGCTGCGGCAGACTCTAAAGGAGTACTCCCACCTGGGCGGCAAGAACGGGCCCTCCTACGCAGACCACTATATTGCCAGCTTCTTCATGGTACGCACCCTTTTTGTTCGCTCCCCCTTCTATATTTCTCCTTTTGTGCACATAGACAATGTATGAATGGGATTGGCTTGAGTGATCTGTGGGCCTGCGCGTATGCCTCTCAATTTGTGCGGTGCACCTTTTTGGTTCTCAGCATGAGATCAACAGATCATTTGTGATGGTCAATCTATTGCCAATCAAGCTGTTGGACGTGTCACGGGCTGCTTTGAACTGCAAAGGTAGTCGGTTGGCACTGAAGCGCCACAAATGTCAACTGGCCATTTGCCAGACATAGGTTAACAACACTGCATGCAGAACACCTTGCAGCAAAGAAGACCTTGCTTGTAGGACATGTGGTGCATGCAAAAGACCTTGCATCTCACGTGAGAAAGTCCTAAGGGGTTGCTGCTTGTGCATTTACAGCTGGCGTATGCCATCTCCCCAGTGAAGCTGCTGGAGAAGGATGATGTCATGTACGCCTGGCGTGAGCGCATGATGTCAGCGTACAGCGGCATGGGCAGAAACGCCGTTGGACACCCGGAGTCCCTGTGAGTCAGCTGATGAGTCATTGTGGTCAGGCAATGAGTCAGGGATACGTTGAAGCCCGATCAGGCTTTAGTCACCATCCTGCTGATTTATCGCAAGGAGATGCCCGCAGATACTTTCTGAGGGCATCTTGCAGCCATGCTAAGCCTCTTCTATCTTGGCACTGTGCTCTGCTGTGGTCATACTGCAGTGTATCAAGGGACCATCTGACATAACAAAGGACTTCACGTGCACAGATGGAGAGCCACGCAGGATTCGAACTGCGATGGGTCTCGCTGTGGATGTGCAACTGATTGATCTAGAGTTTGTTATGGCAGACAGCAATCCACTGGCCTGCCTCCTCAAGATGAGGGCCTGTGGGAAGCTGATGGCCTTGACACTTTGATATTGAGGATTTTGAAGTGACCTGAGGCCTTATCTGGGATGGGGCATTGTTATGTTTGAAGCCCATACGCATACCATGTAATATATATTGCAATGCTACTTGTCCTTCAGTTCTTAAGGTCCTGTAAAACGTGACTGTATTGGCTGGCAGCGCAAATTCATTTGAACAGCATTCCAGCTGTCACACATCGCTGGGCTGAGAGAGGCAATATATTACGCTTCAACATCCCTTCAGAACGTTTTGCCCTTGGTTCTCCCTGCAAGTTGTATCTGCGACAAATCTCAGAGATTTTCTGTGTGGGGGGATCCAGTGTTGCTATTCTATCAACCCCACCAAAGTGCTGGAGAAGGATGATGTCATCCACGGCTGGCGCGAGCGCATGATGTCAGCATATGGCGGCATGGGCAGGAACGCCGTCGGATACCCTGAGTCGCTCTTAGTCTCCAAATGAGTCATAGTGGTCACGGAACGAGAGAGTTCAGACAAGCGCAGTGTGTGTGCGTGCTGAGGCAGCAGGAGGGAGGGTAGCACACAGCATATAGCATGTACAGCTCTGAGTAACTGCCGTGCTGCGTGAAGCTGTTTTGCCAGCTTGAGATTGACAGCTGAGAGTTAGGCATATTATGAGCCCTGGCAGAGATGGCTAGTCCTTTCCTTTTTCTGTCAGCATGCAAATAAATGTTGCTTTTGAGATTCATGCTTTTTTTTTGTAAGACATAATTGAATTTTGCAGCTGCTGTGTGGGATATCCTTTTCATTCCGTGTGCTAACATCCCAAGAATTGGCACTTCCAGCCTTCTGTGTGCTAGCTGGCATTTCCACCTTGTGTGCCTGAATTCTTTTGTCCGACCACTTTGATGCCATGCAGACCTGGTTTCAGCTCAGGTCTGCATCCGAATGGCAGATGCACATGACTTGCAATGTGACAAAGCGTGCATGCGTGGCTTTGCTGAAAGATTTTATGTGTGTCTTTCCAGACTGCGTATGCTACCAGCCCTGTGACGCTGCTGGAGAAGGATGATGTCATCTACGGCTGGCGCGAGCGCATGATGTCAGCATACGGCGGCATGGGCAGGAACGCCGTCGGGCACTCAGAGTCGCTCTGAGTCACGGACCACAGTTTTAATTTCATTATGACAAGCTTCTAGATTCTTCCAGCAGAGCAGGCAGGCCTGCTAAATTTGCATCGGCGTAGACATCACAACCTGTGGTTCACAGACAGTGTTGGTGACATGCCGTTCTGATCAATGGTGAGCTGTGCTGCGGCTAATCTTCTGCGTCAGTTGCTTGTAGAATTAGAAGCCAGGTATCTTTTGGAACCCTTGTAGAGAGGCAGCGACGCGCGTCCATTTGCTCAGATAGCTACCGTAGTGGCCCACATATGCATGCATGCAAACACTTTGGCGGGCACTTCTGCAGCTCTTTTATAGGAGAAGTGCTTTTATGTCCCTCTCCATATGTGCACCAATCAGTGGAAACTATGTAGTCGTCTGCACCTAGGAGTGCACAAATAATTAGCTGGTACATCTACTGTACAGTAGTTCATGCCGTTCCCAAAATTGGTGCTCTTCCTTGATATGTATGCAAAGGCCCTAGGGGCAAGGCAGCAGTTACCTGGTTCATCGCATGCAGTCACGAAGGTGCTGCAAAGCAATTAATTGCTTAAATGCAACCTTGAAGAAACTACGTGGAGAATTCTGCACATTGTGTCACGCTGCAGCGCATGCATGTAAAGCGGCTGGTGTAGAAGAACGCCAGCCGGATTGCCGGCATGTGCGCCTATCCTGCTGGCTTATTCTGGAATGCTGGGCATATCTTATTTGTATCTTGTCCGACTCTGCTCAGGCTCATTCAGAGCAAAGCAGCAAGCAGGGCTTGACTGCGGACAGCGCTGCGCAACCCTGTGCGCTGTATGCCTAGCTAGAGCTTGGCCAAATATCGTTCGGGGTGCGCCATTGCAACATCTGAGACGATGCACATACTCAGATTAGCGCTTGCTTCCAGTAAAAAGTGCATCCTGCTCTGTTCTATTTTGAGGTGTGCCCTTGACATGACGGGGACACGCGCTGGACATGTGACCTGTGACGTGGCCTCATGTGGACTTTGAATGCAGCAAGAACCAGCGCCTCGAATTCTGCATTCAGCACTACGAAAACAATGCAGACCGCATCTCGACACGCGCAGACAGTCTTCGCAGCTGCTGTGAGGACGTCAGCTAGGCGTCCAGCTGCTTTCGTTTCGGCACCATCTGCAACTCTTCCCACCGCAAGGCAATCTTTCCACGGCTCCACAGCTGGCTTTAACCTTCAAAGACGTTCAAAAAGAGTCGGTACGTACTCTCTTGCCTATTTGAGGGAGCATAGTATGTACAATGCTCTTGCAAGTCCTGATGGAACTGGACAGCACCGTCCCTGATCTGATTCTCAAGTCTTACGTTGATCAGCAGGGGGTGGTTACATAATGACATCCGCTCTTTTTGGATCAACCGCGACTGCCGAGGCGTTCTATGACTTCAAGGTCAAGGTAGGGTGGTCTCAATCAGGAACTAGTTTGTGCTCACGTAAAACATGCATAGGTCCATTGTACGAGACATATGTAGCTTGGAGGTGTGCCCAATAATTTGGGAGATATCTTTGAATACGCATCATAATGGATTACATCTGTTGATCGCCAAGACCTGGTGCAGGATGCTGATGGCAAGACAGTCGACCTGTCCATTTACAAGGGCAAGGTGGTGCTCATCGTCAACGTGGCCAGTCAGTGCGGTTTCACGCCCCAGTACAAAGAGATGGCGGAGCTTTACAACAAGTACAGCAGCCAGGGCTTTGTCATTCTCGGCTTCCCCTGCAACCAGGTGGGCGATGCAATGTCGCACTGTTCTTGTCTTGGTGATGACTGGCTTGATTCCCACTGCACTCCTTCCAGCTCTCAAGTCTGTTCCTGCACAATTGAGCCTTTCAAACAGCAATATAATGTCCAACTTTCCGCTTTTCACAGCTGTGCAATGCTTCTGCCTCCCGATCTGCTGGTGTTACTGTACTTTTGTCTGCAGTGAGAAGTGGGCAGCAACCTTGGCAAATACTGACCTGTTGCTTGTGCTGTGGGCAGTTTGGCGGGCAGGAGCCGGGCAGCAATGCGCAGGTAAAGAAATTCGCGCAGGATAGGGGCGCAAAGTACCCCATCATGTCCAAGGTTGACGTGAACGGCAGCGGAGGTAAGACTCCCATGAAATGCACCTGAAGCCCACTGAGGTCTTCCTCTGGGCCAGACAGCTAGCTAAATTTCCATATGCATGCCTTCTCCTAGACCTGGGAAATTATCACTTTCAATTTGATGGCATGTCACTCATGCCCTCTGAGGCCATTCAATCTTTAAAACCCCGTTACCATTGCCTGGTAAGGGATTGAGGAATAGGTGCACTCAAGTGGTGAAGTGAAAAAAGTGTGTTGGACTTTGTGCAGAGGACCCGCTGTTTGGGTTCCTGAAGGCCAAGCAGGGCGGGCTGCTGACCAAGGACATCAAATGGAACTTTACCAAGTTCCTGGTGGATCGACAGGGCAATGTCATCAAGCGGTGCGTTGTCAATTGATCTTCCTGTGGGCATGAAACTGTGGGAATATAACATCCCGCGTATTTGTTCTTCTTGGCTGCTCCTGATGCACTTGCTGTGCTGGTTCAGCAAGCTAGTCATGGTGCTACTGCTGTCTCTTGCTGACTTAATCAACAAACAAGCTGCAAGGACCCAGTCAGCTTAGCTATTTGATGTCACAAGGCTTCAGATTGACAAGAATAGGGGACAGAGAAACACAGCAGAGCTGAGAGAGCGGTTGCTGTGCAGGTATGGCAGTTCCACAACGCCGCTGTCCATTGAGGATGACATCAAGGGCCTGTTGTGAGAGCGCTTGCAAGATGTTTATTTGACTTCTGCACTTCACTTTAGATTGCATCGCCCCGGCGTTGCTTATACTGTGTTTGCTTCTTTCGCTGTCCTGGTTTGGTATCTTCGTCGGAAAGCGTATGTGCGTTTGAAGTTCATTTTGCCTCACTTGACTGGAAGCTAACTTGTTTTTCATACCACGCCGCGGCTCTCAAAGGTGAACAGCATGCTTTCAAATTCTGGGTTTGTCTGCTGTACCCAATTGAGCAACAATGAAGCTTGGAAGAAGCAATTATCATCAAATACACTGTAATCAGCAAGAAATTCTTAAGGTGCTGTTTCGTTTTAAAGCATCTTCAACAAGCTGCACAAGCTTTTGAGCGTTGGAAGCTTCCGTCCAGCTGCGCGCTCTCGCAGCAGCTGCCGCCCCCACGGCAGCTAGCAAACTCTGCTTGTCCTCCAGCAATGTCTCCACATGCTTGGCCAGTTCAGGCGTGGGCAGGCTGTAATCTGCTTCGAATATCTCCCCGCCCTCTGCTGACAGGAAGTCTGCTGCCCCCACATGACCACCCGCATTCACCAGAGACGGCGCGCCTGCCACACACACTCAGCATGTTATTTAAAGGCAACCCTGCAGCTTTTCCAGACCTAAAACGCCTCGATTTCATCGCTCACCTAGAAGGCTCCTTGAAATCTTGACTTCAAGTGGGAATGTCAGCAAGCTGTGGACAGCATGCCCCAATGCTTTCAAAAATTCAAGGGGCACTTGAGACTTGACACCACTAGTATTCATGCACGTTGTCAGATGACCAGCGGCTCTGCGTCTCTGCAAAATTAACTCCCGAATTAATTAGAAATCCTTCCAAGTTCAAAAGCATGTGCAGCGCCTTGTCCCAGGCAGCGGCTGCAGTGCACATGGTGGGCATGCCGGCAGCACACCTTGGGAGGCCGCTTCGACCACTGTCATCCCATAGGCGTCATACAGCGGCGGGTGGAGATTCAGCGCCGTGGCCGCAAAAATGCGCGCCAGATCGGCCGGTCCAAGGAAACGCTCCTCGACCGCCGCCCCCGGGGCTGCCGCCCTCAGCCGCGCCTTCAATGCATCCGCATACTCGCCTGCCATTTCCCCAATCCTGTCATTTTGCATGCCATGCGCCAAGATCCTCACGAAACATGCGATCTCATCCCTCTTTCCTTGAGGCCATCCACTGCTGCCTTCTGTTTCACTTGCTCTGCGGCATGTGGATCCCACTTTCTTCGTGTTCGCCATTGTTTTGCCTTCTTGGTGTCTGAAGGCATTTGAACAGCAGTAAGCAAGCTGGGCTCACAGCAGCTGCCAAATTGGGCACATCTGGCATCGTCTGTCACCTTTGGCAGAGCCGCACAGCAGGGGAACGATGCCGAGGCGCTGCAGCGCGCCCGCTGTGGCGAGCTGCTCCACTAATGCCACAAAGCGCTCCGGCTCCTTCTCGGGCGATAGACGCACGCAGCATGTCAGGTATGTCCTCTGCCTGCAAGGCTCCTCACCTGCGAACATAGGAAAAAATATGTTTCGCTGTGAAACCGCTGTGAAAATGTCTAAGATCACACAAAAAAAAACCTATGTTACAGCAGGTGCAAGACGGACCCTCGTCATGCGAAGATTGCCAATGAGGGGATGAGGATGTCTGATATGTCCTAAGGGCACATTTGAGGCCCTAGCAAAAACGAGATTTTTTAGCCTACGTTTGCCACTGGCGTTCACCTGCGCGGACTGCCGAGCATGCAGCACTGCTGTTGCTGCAAGACGGCTCGGCATGTCCATTTCCAAGCACTGAGCCGGTGAGGCAGCCCGCGCATGCATGTAAGCTCCTGGTAATGTCTGGGGGGAGAGGTAATCTCTCCATGTCACACCTCAGAGCCGGCAGAAGCACCTGCAGGAAAAGAACCCAGTGAACACACTCAGATCAGACGATGCGCACGCTAAGGTTCGACTCCGTAGTAAAAGCAGCAGGGACTGCCGCAGTAAAGGGGAATCAGCTCTCAGGTACTGCTTCAAGGTGCACAATGGCACCTGCATGCCCGAGGCTCCAGCACACCTCAATAGGTGCGCTGTCAATTTTGCCTGATGACTGCCGCAGGTGACTCTGAATGTACTCTGCATCGCTGCGGCTTAGGCCAGTTGTCAAGATAGACCGCTCCATTGCACTTGACTCCATGGCAGCCATGAAGTCCAGGTCCTCTGCGGAGGCCGATCTGTGATAGACCCTGCACCCGCAGCACAAGGTGCTTTTGTATTCAAGCCATGAAGGACAGCAAAACAATTTGGGTTTGGTGTAGTATGTAGTGTGACAGCACACTATCCCAAAGTAGTAAAAACATAAGTGTGGTACCTGTAGTTCATGAAGACATATGGAGGCACTGCAATGCCTGCAGCGCTGAGGCCACTGCTCAGGTTCTCATAGGCCCGCAGGGAAGTCCAGTCAACGCCAAGCACAGCCGCTGCGCCAAACTCAGCCACTGCGGACACCACTGCTTGGCTGCCTGCTCCTGCGGCAAAGGCTTCCCAGGCGCTGCTGCGATCCAGGCTGCCCCAGGTTGGCAGCTCAATCTGCCAAGACACCGTGCATAAGAGAGGCTGTTTTTCACAGGTCTGAGGCTTTCAATGACCGCTGTCAAGGGCATGCAGGGAGGTCAGATTGGTGAACGGTGCATAAATTGGGCTCTGGTGAGCTTCTGAGCATCAGAAGGCATGGTTCTGTTCTCTGATGGGCTAGTTTAGGAGGGTACCTCCAGGAGCTCAAGTGCCCCTTCCCTCTCTGGTGCGCTCTCATAACCAGCTGGCTTTCCGCTTATCACAAATATTTGATGACCCGACTTTGCCAGCGCCCGCACCTACAACGGCTCGACCACTTGGCATCAGCACTCGCATCAAGTGCAGTGAGTTATGCAGAAGCCCAGCGTGCTTGTAGCAAACTTGCTACTAAAATGGGGTCGGCTTACCTGAGATCTAGCGTATATCCCGTTTCCGCTAAATGTGCTTGCGCTAAATTCCAGGGTGATGAGAACTAGTCGCATCTTGAATACTAGAAGATGGTGCGTTGTCTGAAACAATGCCTCACTGTGTACCTTTCAAATCTGCATATTTTTAAGAAATTTGTGTCATGTTTTCCAGCAACGATCAGACTCCATGTTCAAAACAAGTAAACCTCTCGGTGATGGCCCGTCAGTGATGCCTTTCAATCTCTGTTGGTATGTAAGCGAACAGAGCTACAGTTGATCAAAACAGTCAAGCCTCCAGCTTGCTGTTTGGTTGCTTAGGAAGGGCTTGCAATCGTGGCTTGAAGCCACTGGCTTCAGGTGCTCTGCATAGCTTTAACATTTCAGATGACTCATGGCATGAGTCTCATGCCCATGAGCTGACCAGCCAAATTGGCCAATGAGGCTTTGACTCGAGCCTTTTGTGTGCGGCACACACATGACTCATACAGACATGCGTGCTTTTGGGCGCATCTGTTGCCCGCCAATTTCTGTTTGTACTTCCCTTAATGGCATAATAGTATGCATGTGCAGATTAAACTAGTAAACAGTACTGGCCTGCCACTCCATGCATGGTGTGCAAAATATTATACTTGATTTCGTCAGGCCATTTGAAGCCTTGCCAAAATTTTGCTCATGGGGAAGAACCTGGCCTCCATGCGCCAGTTCAGCGAAGACATGTGTACACTTGCGGGTATCTCAATTGTTGATGTACACTAGTGAGGACTCGAGAACTCCACCGGATTCATGCGCCTCACTGTTTCTTTACAAGTCACACATAAATACGAGACATCACGCCGGCTAGTCCGCGGCCCAGCCGAGCCCATATGCAGTGATCCCATTCAATCAACGCTTTGGTGACTCTCTAGGCGGGCTGCACCACCTCTTGTGCTTCCTCCAGTTCTCCCGCTGACAGCGCTCCGAGCAATACCGGACGGCACGGCACCCTCTGCACACCTGCAACAGGAAATCCTCATGTCACCAAATGAATGTTAACTCTGCACATTGCACATGACTGTACGCTCCTTTATGCGCAGATCTCAGGGGTATGGTTGGGACATGCATGGCCACAATCACTCGCTAGGCACACCATGCATGTTGAACGCTGATCAACACCACTCATGGCGGCTACAGGCTGTAACCGGCTCCAGTGCCATCAGTAATGTGATAGCAAGCTGGCATAAAGACACATCAGCAGGTAGTAAGAAAACTCTGTATGGTCTTCAGCATGCTCTGCTGGTGGGCATTGATTGTCGTTTCACCGCAACGAAGCACAGCAATTGAGAGGTTGCTACAATTCACCCAGCCCTCAGGGCTGGAATAACTTAAAGCGTATAATAAGAATAACAAAGCACAGCAGTGAAGATCTGCTTGCAAAAGTGCTCGGAAAAAATGACAAGGCACCTTGAATTGCCATGCCTCGCCCTCTTGCTCCCTAATCCCGCTGTCTCCGCAGTGGGCGCATGTGAGCATCATGGGCAGGTCACAATGGGAGATGATCTTGGCAAGAAAGCTGACTGCATCGTCGACAAGGCTGGCCTCCAAATCCGCTCTCGACTCCGGGGACGCATCGGCCGAGCCTGGCGCGTATGTGAGCTGCAGACAAAAGAACATGCGGCTGACAACGGCGGTCAGAAACGCTTGCAGCTCCTTGCCAGGATTCTTTCCTGCGCGGCACATGGCACAGATGTCGCAGAATGTTGCATCGTGAACAACATGATGTTTGTCGTGCTCAGACTGCCGACAAATAGGGGTACTTGGCCAGTATTGGCTTCCCTGGCCCGCAGCAACATTCAATTTTGAGACACTGGGCGCAGGCAATGATCAAAGGCAGGAGAGGAGAAAGTGCAGAAGCAGGGAGAAAGTATGACGCACTGTCTGAAAAAATCATCCACCGATTTCGTCGATGGCGGCTGACTTGTTGAAGAGTGCGCCCTCAAAAGATGGCCTGCAATCTTGCAGCGGCTGCGCAGCAGCCCTCACAGTCAGGCCATCATCTATCCAGAGGTCGGATGCACATAATATTATACCGAGTAATTTAGGTGAAAAGGTGGCATGATGAAGGCTCGATGCTGTAAGGACAGCAGCCATGCTCTGCGATTGGCATGTTGCCTTATAATGGGGGATCCCACAATCTGCAATTTGGGAGGCTCAAATTGACTATTCCTGCCACTGCCATTTTGTTTGGAGGTCAACAAAGGACATTTGCGGCAAATAATGGCAACAGAACTGAGTTGCAAGAATCAACTCAGCCATTTGCCGTACCTCTGTGATTAAGTTCCATGAAATCTCAGAGCTGAACAGCCATGCTCCACGAAAGAACATCGTGGCTCCCTGAACACAACAGATTTACCTTCAAACTGGGATGCTAGTACCAAGCGTACACCAGTGTCGTATGGTTTTTGTAATTTCTCAACAGCCAATAGACCCCTTCTCCTTACTGATCGGCGTTTTTAAAGACAACTTTACTACCCCCTGCACTTCTGGCGCTTGCTCTGCCCTGTATGTCCTGGGGTGACTATTTCTACATAGACATTTTCGAGAGCATTGCCGCACCTTGACAGTGCTGAAGGTCTTCACGGTGAAGCTGAGGTGGCTCAGGGAGGTGCAACCTGGGCGGTGAGCTGGCACTGGGGCCGCCAGGTGGACGGTTGCCTCATGAGGGAAGCCAAACCGCTTTGGAGCCACATGAAAGGGAGTGAGCCAGCACCCCTTCTCATTCACTATCATGTGGGCCTTGCTAGCGTCGGCGCTGCCAGAGTCCCTGCAGCCAGCGGAAGCATCCACATCACCACACTCTCACGGGTGCTCACAATGAATTCCATGCACTGGTTGTCTGGCCTATATTTAGGCATGCAGGACCTCGGGCCCCTCAGATGACTGTGATGCTCAGATTTTGCCGCCACTACGCAAGCATTCAAGCTCACCGCATCTTCTTCGAAATCACTACCCCGCCCAGCGAGCTCACGAAATCAGCACCAATTCGTGCCTTGCATACAATGCGATCGCAACAAACCGCAAGGATTTTCTTTTGGAAAAATGGGGCGCACGAGAGCAACGGGTGTCTGGAGGGGGTCCAGCGCAGCCCTTGCTTGCCAACACGGCCCTCGCCCGGCCGCAAAAACGGCGAGCCGGGATGCGGCAGCTTCTCTGCAAGGACGCCCACGTGCTCACTGAACCAAGTGACGGCCATGGGCGGCGCTGACAGCACCCTCTGCATGCCCTCAGTGCGCGGCAGAGGAGTGCTCGATCCTCTGAGCTCCCAATGCATCCATGTGGAGCACACCCTCTCCAGCGCAGTGTCCTTCTCGGTCTCTGCAGCCCACAGCGCCAACCTCCCATCAACATCGTACAATGCACCCCTGGATCAGGTGGAGCCCATCCAGAAGTCGCTTGATCCTGACTGAGAATCAGACGCGGGTGATGTCCACATGACTAATCTATGGAACATTCCATACGCCTTTTTTTAGGATGATACCATGAGTGCGTTATCGGTAAGCAGATATGCTGGGCAGTGGATTTTGCGGCGCAGAGCTGCCATGTGCAATTCCCAACCCCCAAATATTACCACATCAAATGCATTTTTAACTCTCAACCCCCTGCAACTTCTCATGCCAAGGGCATCGCACTTTCAGCAATGACCTGGCAGCAAGCAGCCTTCACATGTAGGGTCAGCATATGCGATCGGGCAAATCTCTACTTTCAGGCAAACCATTACGGTCACTTTTGAGCATAAGAACCACCTTGGCGGCACGCCTTGCGCAGACTTGCTGGCACATCTGCGCTGCGCTGAACTTCAAAGAGGTGGGCGGCAGTCAATGCGCGCTTTTCCTTGAACCCGTCAATGACTAAGAGATGTGACTCATCTACCAGCGCGCAGCAGGGGTCCCTTTTCGCAGACATCCAGGTCAGCTGCTCAGGGCAGGGCAGCACCTGCCAGCACATGATCAAAGCCTTGTCACTCAGTCCTGCGGCAGCAATCTCCCACCACCTTTCCTCAAAACAAGCAGTGGACCAACAGTAGAATATTTTACTTGAACTTGCAATCTTTTCATTCTCCCGACATTTTCCACCCGAGGGAATGTGCAGATGTGGCCCAATTTCTAGCATTTTGTTGAGAGAAGAGCAATTGCACGAGAGCTTGCCTGGACAAAGCAGCAGTGCTCGGCGTCGTATTCATAGATGTCTGCCAGCGGAGTCGCATTCTCTCCCTGTTCGCCACCCACAAGGATTGTCCTCGTCCCCAGGCATGCAAGACCTGCCATCAGGTTGTGTCCGTATTCAGGTTCCAGGAGAGATCAGATGCCACACTACTCCTCCCACTCTAAGGCACTGCTCTGAGGGAGCAATGGCAGCAGCACAGCAGCATTGTGTGTCACAGCAAAGGGATCACAAAGTGGGATTATTCCAGTATTAGCCCCCTTGGTTCTAAGAACAAGGGGAGTAGGAAAGGGTCACATCAGGCCAAAGTGGGAGGTGGGAGGCAGATGCGGGCTCACCCATGTTGTATCTTGGGGTCGGAATCCCAACAGGCTCAAGCTGCCTCCACTCCTTGACCTTAAAATCGAAAATCCACAACTCCCCATTCGGCTGCAACCTGCTCCCATCAGACACAAGCATGAGCTCTAGAGGACGCTTGCAGCTCAAAAAGGGTGGAAGTACCCATCAAAGACCAACAGCTCTGCGATCCCGAAGAGATGCCTTTGACCTTGTGCATACTGAAATTGACGGTGTCAGGATAGTGCGAGTGAATCTGATATTCACAGATACTCCTGTGCAAGGTGTGCTACTCACGAGTTTTCTACATGCTGCGCAAACTCCATGCCACCATACACGTACAGCTTGTCATTGTGCTGCCAGCTGGCATGTCCATATCGACCAGATGGGCCATGGCCTGCACGGAATAGTTTCAGCTTGGAAATGAAACCCAGATGGGTTCCAAAAGTTGGCATGCAAGCCAGATTTGGACCACTTGGAGACACAACAGAAATTCACATGCAGAATTCAGAGGTGTTGCATAGGCTGCTTGCCGCTTTTACGCAGGTGAATGAAAAGTGTTGATAAGCAGAGGAAACCTGTAGAGAAGGGCGCACCTGCTCTCAGGGTCTTGTATGGCATTGTTGAGGCCTCGGTTGGGATGGACTCAGCAACCTCTCCAAATCGAGTGAGCTCATCAGAGGGCTGCATCAGGCAGGAACTTATAACACTCAGTCCAAAGTAGTCTTTGAAGTCTGGCCCAAGGTTGATGAAACCTTCCCAGTGCATACCTCATGTATGTACGAAGCACCATGCACACACTGAACACTCTTGAGTTGTGAACTTTACAGGTTTTTATCATCTATACACTTGTCCTGCCAAGAGGCAAGGTGCATCCTGGAGACAAGCTGCAATCAAAGGCTGCCAGAATCCTACACCTTGATGGGCTCGCCAGATCCAACCAACCCCAATCGACCATGGGCACAGTGCTCAGTATTCATACCGCCCCAAGCCACCCGGGGTCCTTTACATGTTACTGTGGAATAATAGGCGAGCAGCACTGCAGATGCTGCAAAGAAAGAAGACAGAGGCACGCCTGCATGGTCCTCCCATCTGCGGAGACAGAGCAGCCTCCAAAGAGGTACAGGTGCCTCCCATGCGCGACCAGGCTGCATTTAATCCGCAGGAAGTCAGGCCTCGTACGCGTCACGGTGTTGATCTGCACGAACAGCAGGCCATCTGACTCAGCCACTGACGGCTGACTTATCATGCATGCAGAGCGGCTTGTCTGGATGATTGGCGTCACAGGCCACTGGGCGACTGCCTTTCTTTGCACAATGTGTGCACAATGTATAATGTACCCTGTTCAGGATGTGAGTAATTATGAGTCACAATTTAAACAGCACGTGTCTGCTTAAAGAAAGTCCGAGGGGGCCTGATTTGAAGGCAGAAGTGATCAACAGGGATCAATGACCCAAGACCTAGAGACTGGCTATAACCTAGAGACTGGCTATAAGATATGCAGCGGCTTCTAGAAATTTTGCTAAGAGAGGAGTGTTCAGAAAGATGGTAAGAGGGAGGGTTTACCACCACTGCAGCTTTGCTGAATGGCATGTCGGAGTCGTCCACAAGACATGTCACCAGCATTGTGCCATTGTCGGCCATCAGGTACAGCTTCCTGTTCAGGATCGCCCCTTGGCACATGCGCACAGGCACCTTGGAGAAGGAATCAACGAAATCCATCCGGACACGTCCCTGCAAGGGCAATGCATGAGGTAAGCATAATCATCACAGTGGACCGCTGACTGGACTACACCTTTGTAGATTACCACTTGTTGAGTAGCAGGAGTATCGTGGAGTCGTAATCGGTCTTGTTTTCACTACATCTTTTGTTTCAAAAGCTCGACTTCAGGAATGCGTAGTGGCAAGTGAGTGACTGACATTCACAAATATGGCGGCATGGGCAGATTGTGATGACCTTATGCAACCTTCAAATAAGCAAGTGGCAGTCAGAAACACACGGAGCGATGATGCGGCTAGGCCTGAGTGCGCCAGCTGCAAAGCATGCTCCAGGTAAGCCATCGGCCTTAGGGAGAGCAAAGTGCAGAGCTGGGCGCACTTTTGGGTGAATATGGCATAGGTAAAGAGGTCCCTGTGTATCAGCCTCATGACAAGGAAAAGCATGCCGTCGAAGTGCCCACAGCTGAAGATGTCCTCATAGACTCCCTCACAAGGAGTTGTTGGCGGCTCCTGCAAAAAACCAGCAGAGCACAATCGCCCGTACTCTCCTGGCGGTACACCCCTTCTTTGACAATAAAAATGTGGTGAGATGAAACGATGGGAAAATGGAATACTGTATGAACAGATGGACGAAAAATCAAGTTGAATCGAAAATTCAAGTTGACAGTCTCTAACTGCGTAATTGCAGCTCCACAGACTTGAGAGCTGCAAATGAATACTATTTGGAAGAGCACTTGTATGCACTTGAACAAGGGTGATCTCAAACAGTCTGCTTTTTATGTCCCCCTGCCAACATCAACATGAATGATACACCAAGGCTGGTATCATCATAAAATGGGAGCACAATTATCCTCACCATGATCTGCATTGATGCCTGGTACTGGTACTTCGTGCTGGGCTTGAACTGCAAGAGCTGCTGCGGCAAATGCAACAATGTCGCGACTGCTCCTGAAAGCCTCAAGCGTCGGTCTAGCCTTCTTGGCTCTCAGCCTGACAGACACCACGCAGACGTGAAGCTGACACCCAAACTCACATAAAATTGGATAATATGCACTGCAAAAGACCCAATCTGACCTTGACGCTTGTGGAAATACGAGTTCATGCAAGTCTTGTGACCCCATGAGGACAGCTGAATATTGGCTAGACATGAAACCATGCCAATTGAAGAAAATTGTGATGTCTGCCCAAGCATGGCGCACAGGTATGCTCGTTCCAGTAATCTGTGAGACCCCCGTGAAAACCCGCAGAATGCTCATGAGGTTCGGCAAGAAAGAGCACCATACAAGCCATTGTTTATTTCCCGGCCCATATGAGTGCCTGATTTGAGATTGGCAAGTGCCTGTTGTGTCCTTTTTTGGTTGAATGTTTTCCCAAAGACCTACAAGGCAGGGAGCTTTTCCAAGGGTCTGATGAAAATTGAGTGACAAGACAAGCACCTGAAATTCTCCGCCTGATCCATGTCTCTGCGCGGTGTCCGGGGACTGAGCCGCGGCTCAGCATACAGCTGGACTGCAGCAAAGTTGCCCGCCAGCTCAGCACCCAAACCTGAACAGGAACGCCAGGCTTCGTATGTGGTGCCAACAGTGAGGATCAAGATTATAGTAGCATTTTCGGGGGGAAAACTTGCCAGTTGTCTACCAAATCTCATCTTTATAAGGCACTGTGTGCGTCATGACATTAAGGCGAAGTGATTTGGTGAAGTATCTGATTGCAATCACAGCTCTCTACTTGGCGGGATCTGCATGCTGAAATCTGGAGCGCTCAATGCAAAGAGGCAAGGATGGCATACCCTGCCTGATGCATGCCTTCTGCAGTTTCAAGAGAACATCCATCGCGAACTCCTCTCCCAGGCCTCGCAAGTGCTCAGGAACAGACAAGATCTTCCTGATGACGAGCTTTGCTTTGAGCCAAGCCTGTGAGGGGCCACACACCCAGACATCTGAGAGCAGCAGCTCATAGGCTCGAGCTCGCAGTCCCTTGAACGGCTTGGCACACAAGGGCTGATGCTTGTTTGCAGGATCATTGAGGAAGCCCACTGCGGCCCAGAAGCTTACCGTGATCACTGCATGCCCAGCCATCACAGAGTCAATCTGTAATGGCTGGGCAGAGGAAGAGTTAGTTAGCTGCAGATATGCTTGGGCGATGTTGAGGTAGAGTATGACTGCCAAGACGCAAGATTTGGATCCGAGTGACGAAATTATGTCCTCTGAGATCAACCAGTACGCTTTCAGGCCTGTCTTTGGCTTCAAATGTGCCGTGTCCAAGTTGAGTACCGCCAGAGCAGCTTCGTACGCAGCAATGGCCCTCCACAAATCATTGGTCTTATAATATATATTCCCTGCTTCCTTCATATGCTCCAGCAACAACTGTGCTCGTTCATCTACGCTCAACATTGCTTCCTGTATCTGAAAGCAACGAACTACAGAACGGTGATTTGCAACGTTTCAGCGAAGTCTCTGCGAGTAGGTTCCGAAATTATTCTATCAAAATAAGAGATGTCTGCGATTGCGCACTCATAAGATAGAATAATTGTCTGGGACGTCATGTGCATGTGTTCGAGCAACACATACACAAGGACACCCCCTTTAACTGATCATAAGTCCTGTAAAGAAACAATTGAAGAGAATGGCATCTCTGTGCAAAATTAGGAATTGCATTCTTCAGGATGATCGCTATGCGAGTTTGGCTTCAGAGATGGATCTGGATCAAATGATGATGTCAACATGATCAGTTGTCGTCAGCCGTGACGTGAGGCTTATCTAAACTCGACTGAATTGAACTCGCCCTGGCTTGAAAAAATTGCTTTTGAGACGGGAAAGCCCTTTTCCCCCTCAACCCTCACCCACACAACCGATTGCGCTTGCATGCAGACTTTGGCGAAGCCTGGCCATGTTGTGCATACCAGACACAAACAGCGGCAGCCAGGAGCATGCATGGTCCTTAGGAGACACGCCGCATGATCAGACAATTTCCATATGACTGTTATGATAATAGCTATGCATGTGCTATTTGCAGTCGTAATCCCGCTGACGATAACGAGGGCAATATCGGGAATGAATGTGTCACTGGATCCATGGAATTATGAAGAATTACACAATCTGGTACACAGAGTACGGCCCGTAGGCACTTGCTTCTGACTCAACAGGAGCTCACCAATCACTAATTAGTACAGCAATAAAAGAGGCACTGGCAAAATTTTCGCATTCAAACAGTTTGGCTCCACCCAGGACTTTACAACCCCTTGCAATGGCAACAGATACAAAAAAAAATACAAACATTGCTCGCACCAAAAGACATGTACACTCCACGCACTGCGCTGCTGACAAGCAACTTGCGCTCAGTTGCTGCTCATCCTCTCAGATGACTCAGACGTGACCATTGATGGCCTGTCAGATCGCATGCACTAGAAAAAGGCAATGTGGATTCTCATGCATCAATCCAGAGGCAAGTTTTCCAGCCGCCTGCACCACTTCTTATGCCTGCTCCAGTCATTTCGCTGGCATAGGCTGGAGCAGTAACGGACAGAATGGCACCTCTGCACACCTGCAGCAGAAACCAACAAGGCGTTTAACTGACAGCGTAAATTAATAATAAATAAATTGGCCCCGGCTGGCGGGGGCCGGTACAAATACTGAGCACCGTGCCCACGGTTGATTGGGTCTTGCTTGGATCTGGCGAGTCCAACAAGGGTAGGAATTTGGCAGCCTTTATATGCAGCTTGTCTGCAGACGCACCTTGCCTTCGGCAGGAAAAGCGCGTGATAATAAAAAAATAGTGAATTAATCAAAGACGGTGTGAACCTTGGGAAAATATGATATACTGCCGTCTCTGACTTTGCAGACACAACTGCAAATCTTAATTCTAGCCACAAGGGGCTATAGTAGAGTGCACACTCTATGGCTGGCCACACACTACGCCCAGACTGATGCATGAGGCAGTCTAGAGGAAACACCACACAGACACTTCCAGGCTGCAGCCTAACAGGTTCAGTATCACCGCTGGCTTTGAGTGATAGCAGCTTCACAAAATCGCAGTTTGAGAAAAAGTGAGCACTGCAAAACCGAGCCAGGAATGTGTTCAAGCATCCCTGCCTTGAAAGCCATGTACTAAGAGCCCCACATTGAGGTCATCTGATTACTACAGGCCAGAGATTTGCAAAGCGGGGAAGGCACCTTCAAGTCCCCTGCTGCATGCTGCGATTTCCTTTCTTCTGTCTCTCCGCAGCAGGCGCATGTGAGCAGCAGCGGGATGAGCTCACTTTGGCAGATCAGCATGGCAAAGAGAGTGGCTGTACATGTGATGGCTTCGACCTCGAGATTTAGCTTGGACTCCTTTGGCACATCGCTGTTGCCCGGTGCGTAAGGGGCTTGCAACGCGTAGTAATTGTGGTTGATCACCGCTGTGATGTACACCTGCACCTCCTTGGTGGGATCTGACCCTGCACCACATCATTGATACACCTGTATTAGTCATCATAATCATTAGCTCTTTCTGCTTATTATTTTTTCGGTTCACCCCTAAACCCCAAACTAAAAAAAAAGGCTGCAGGTTAAGGCTCCCACATGTCCCCTTGATGGACTCGCCAGACCCATGCACGACCAATTCAACCGCGGGCATGGTGGTCAGTATGCATGCCGCAACCACCAGCCAGGGTTGACCACATAAAGCACAGCCCCAAAATAGCAGCAGCATGCATCACTGCATTCAAGAATGGGGAACATGCTGTGCTGCAAACTTGTCTGGCAGCCAGAGGTTACTCAGCAACGATGCCATGCATGGAGGCAAGACTCCTCTTACTCAGTGTCCTTACTCAGCAGGCAATCTTGTGGTGACATAGGCAACGACAGAACAAGGGAAAAGGAGATCTAGAGCGCACTGTTAAAACAGCAGCATGCGGCGAGTTTGTGTGTGGCCTCCATACCCCAAAACAGGGAGCGCTCCGACTCAGAAGTGCAACTCCTCAAGACCTGCATAGGGAAGCAACCAAGCATAAGCAATGGCTTGCTAAATTTGGAACTGCAGTGTCTTACCGTAAAGTCCTCACAGTGCATCATCAGAACTAGCATCCTTTCTTGAATGCCCGTTCTGCCAACCGCTGACGTGATGGAAGCAAACATATTGTCTAGCCCAGAAAGATGAGAATTCCCGGCATGAAGCGCTTTGATTTCATGAGGGGCATTGAGACGATTTCGATATGTGTGCGGTTACCTCTGTGATCTCCCTCCAAGACGGCTCAGAGCTCACTGGCTGGCATGCACCAAAGTATTGCACAGCTCCCTGAACACAAAAGGCCCACGGTCAAGCAGCTAGATTTTCTGTAATCAGCCAGTAACTTATTCAATCATTTGTGCTTTGCTCAATCCAAGAATGGCATGTCCTGGATCATCAGGATCCAGACAAGAGGCAACTGGTCAAGCTGCTCCACAGGGTGTTTAAATCGTCTATATCGCCCCGGCCGGCGGGAAGCGGTATAAAATGCTCAGCACCGTGCCCATCGATTGACTTGGAGCGTGCTTGGATCTGGGTCAACAAGGGGAAGAATAGTGGCAGCCTTTGACTGCAGCTCGGCTGCAGGACGTACCTCTCCTTTTGGCAGGCAGCGCGAGTCATGATAAGCCCTTCCATAACACAAAGGCACAAGGGAAGTGCGAGGGAGATGACATTTCTGCACCTTGACAGTGCTGAAGGCCTTGAGGGTGTAGCTGAGGTGGCTCAGGTAGTCTTGAGCCGGCCTATGACCTGGCGCCGGGGCTGCCAGGTGGACGGTCCCCTCATTAGGCAACCCCAGATGCATGGGAGCCACATGGAAGGGCGTCAGGAAGCTTCCGTTGCCATCTGAAACCTTCTGGATGCCAATGGGGTCAGGATTGCCAGAGTCCCTGAATAGAGCAGCACAACCCAGCGTGAGAAGGGGCTCATGAGTATCATCAGAGGATGCTTCTTCAGAACGGCACACAGTGCCATATAGGAGAAACTGAAGAGGTGTGCACCGCATGCGCAGTACTTTGGCAAACTCCGGGGACTGAGTGAAGGCGCTCGCATACATTGATGCAAGCACCAAAAATAAAGAGTAAGCTCCTGCATGTATCAACGCAGTCGTCAACAATAGCGGCTGGGGCGCTATTGCCGGGGCTTCAAATGTGTTCTTATTTTATATTTTTTAATCAGGGTTCAGGGGTTTTAAGGGTTTAGTACAAGTTTAACCCATAAAATGTGAAAAGCAAGAGCGGCTGGAGCGCACGAGAGCAAGGGGCGTCTGCTGTGGCTCCACTGCAGCCCGAGGGGCAAGCGCTTCTTGCCAGGCCACAGGTATGATGAGCCGGCTTGTGGCAGGCCCCTCGACAGTGATGGAATGTGCTGAGTGTAGAAACTGACTGCCCCCGGTGGCGCTGTGAGAAATATCTGGAGTGTCTCGCTCTGCTGCGCAGTCCCGTTGGTTCCCAAGTGCACTCTGGCGGCGCTGATCTTCTCCAGAGCAGCGTCCCTCTTGGTTTCTGTGACAGTCACAGCTTTTGTCATGATTCTTCGGCCCTGGCCCCACGGCTGAGCCTCAGTAAGCAGACACAGTGCAAGCTTGCTTGTTGGGTCCCTGCGGACCCGGGAAAGCTGTGGCCTGCCTCAGGAGAGAATGTGAGGAGACTCAAATATACTGGACAGGACCCAACTGATAGGGTAACATGCATTTGCCTCGTGCAAACATTGAAGGCTCATAAAGATAACGCCTCTGCAGGGAGATGGCATGTTCAGTGGCTCAGCCTTACTGAATTTAAAAAGGACATGGGTCGTGCTGTAAGGACAGTGATTAAGTGAAGGAGTCAGGAAAGTCACCTCTGCAGCAGGCTACGCGAAGGGACAGGGGAACGTCTCGGCCGCGACGGATGTCAAAAATGTGGGTGGCTGTCAACGGACGCTTGTCCTCAAACCCGTCGATGACTACCAGATGCTTCTCAGTCACCAGCGCGCAGCATGGGCTCATCCTGGCAGAGATCCAGGTGGCCTGCTCGGGGGCGGGCAGCACCTGCACGCACATGTTCCATGCTCTTGCCAGCAATGGTAACGTACTTTTCAGTGAATTAAGTACCGCTTAAATTCGCCATTGTAATGCCAAGAGGCGTGCACGCTAACCCTGCAACGGTGCAATGCAGCCCCTTGCGACATGTGAAATGTGGAGGCATCACCTTCGATGCTCGGCCACAAGAGCAGGGTACATCTTTTTGATACCTTCCCGACTGAGTAGGCATTTTGGCACGGTCAAACAAACACCATGAAAAAGCTGCAGCACTGAGCGTAGCCCTGTGGGCTGGAACCAGTGTGGCGATGTGATTGGTCACAGCAAAACATTATTGGTGACAATTGTGCAAGGGAGCTCGCCTGCACAAAGCAGCACTGGTCTTCGTCAAACTCATAGATGTCTGCCACATCCATGGGCTTCTCTCGCCCTTGCTGGCCGCCCACAATGACTGTCCTCTTCCCCGAGCATGCAACACCTGCAGTTATTTTACCCTTTAAACTCTTCCAAACCCATAAGCACCTGAGCATTCAGGACTTTGTAGGCTCGGGCACGCAGACTTCAGATTGCGCCCAGTTGCACACCAAATCTGGCATGTGCCAGGATGTTGGTCAAGAAGTGGGCAACAAGTTTTCTCCAGCATTGAAGCACTGCGAAAGGGCAGCCTATTGATACGCATGCCCAAAACAGGGGGGCACGTTTAGTTGAACTGATGAGAAGGGGGGAAATGGGCTTTACCCATATGTCCCCTGGGGCTTGGAACCCCCACAGGGTCCAGCTCCCTCCACTTAAGGGTCTTCAAGTCAAACACCCACAAGTCGTTCAGGGGCTTGAACCTGCCCAAACCCAGACACCCCAGCTCATCAGAAGGAGCTCATGACAAGGACAGAGGCTCACAGACAAGAAGACTAACAAGGCAATGGTGACTTTCTGTGTGTCGCAGCTTCTCCTCTGACCCAAGAGGGAGCTGCATTCCATCCTGGTCGTCTCCAAGGAGGATTAATGCAGGTTGAGAGAGTCTGACTCACTGGTTGTCTCGTGTCACGTTGATGCCACCAAAGATGTACAGCTTGTTGTCTCGCTGCCAGCTGACATGCGCATAGCGGGGAGGAGGGCAGGGACCTGCGAGTGTGCAGCTTAGTCAAATTCAAATTCAAAGTCAAAGTCAAGTTCAAATTCAAATTCAGATGCAAAGCAGACAGCCCAGATTGGATTAAGACTGTGGCGTGCGCATGCATGCATCTCAACTGTCAGACTCACAAGAACCTCACATATCTGGGAGAGAGAGAGAGAGAGATGAGTGCAGAGGTCAAGATGAAACTGGATCCATTTGCTGCCTTGCCTACAGCACCCTTCTTTTTCACGGACCAAAAGGGAAGACTTAGAACGAGGGGCGCACTTGATTGCACTGTTGTACAGGACATGGTAGATTCCTTGGTCGGCATGGATTCGGGTATCTCTTTCATTCTGATCAGCTCGTTAAATACCTGCATCTCACAATACACATGCCAGGAAATTAGTAATGGATATGATCCGCGCACAGTCACAGCTTGAGCAGATACGAAGACTAAGTGACGGATGGGATCATCCGCTCAAAAGTTGCAGCTTGAGCAGACAATTTAACAAAATGAACTAACACGACAGGGGAATGGCAATGCCGGCAAGCATGGCAAGATGTGTTTATTAGGACACGCCTGCATCTTCTTTCCAAAACGGCCTTCGGTAATTTGACAGCCGCCGAAAAGGTACAGGTGCTTCCCATGCGCCACCAGGCTGGCCCCTGTGCGGGAGAAGTCTGGCCTCGTTGTGTTGACGGTGTTGATCTGTCACCCACAAAGCCACATTCTCAACGGTGGGCATCAACTGGAATTCTGAGGGCATGCAGGATAGCCACCGTCAACCAAATTCCCTCCACGAGCACACATGGACTGCTTAGGTATGGTCAGACCGCATATATAGCAGAGTGCCAGAGAAAGGTGAGACATCAAGCCCGAATCCAAATCAAGCTGCTGATACAGAGGTTGGGAGCACAAAACAACAGCAATTACCCAGATAGAAGACGGATAGAGACTGGAAAGCTTCACGCAAGTGCCCAAACGCGGACCGCTCCACTTTGTGCAGAGCAGTAGGGCATGCATGGGGTCTCACCACCACAGCAGCCTTGTTCAAGGGGATTACGGGGTCATCCTCCAGACGAGTAATCAACATGACGCCGCCAGGAGACATGAGATACAGCTTCCTGTTCAGCGCTGCGCCTTTGACGAGCCGCACCGGGACCTTGGAGAATGAGTCTACAAATATGATGATGTCACCCCTGCAAGCAGAGTCCACTCAGAGAGAATCGCATGCTGACATCCGAGCGGAGCGAGCGCCAAAAGTAGGGAGGAAGGGCTGTCTTGCAGTGCCAATGAAACGTGTGAAACATACAAGACACCTCCAATCGGAAACTGCAAAAACCAAAGATGCTGGTAGCTTGAGCAAAGTTAAATTCTCCTGGATGCAGAGCTCGGTATGCAAGATTGCAATGTAAACGCCATCATACCTGACAACGCCAGGAATCCTCCCAAATGCCCTCATCAATTGTGACATATTACGTCATACTCTGCCATATTATAAGACTACGCTCGAGCAGGTCGCCTGAATCTGCAACGATGCAGCAAGAAATCCAGCAGCGCACCTTTGGACAAAAATGCAATAGGTGAAGAGGTCCTTGTTCATCAGCCGCATGACAAGGATCTGCATGTCCATGAAGTGCCCACAGCTGAACATGTCCTCGTACGTACCCTCCAAGCCAATCTCCGGAGGGGCCTGCATGCACACGAGAAACACATGACACGATAAGCGAGCAGACTTGGTTGTTATAGAAAGGGAATTTCGGCCCATATCCAATATATCCACATCCCACAGCTTCCCCCAGAGGTCCTCAAGCCATCCAATACTGTATGGCAGCATGACAGGGCACAGAATCAAGATTTCTTTACATTTTCAGTTTTTATAAGTTTAATTATATTTTTGTGCATCGAAGGCCTGCCTGGTCCTCAAGACGAGCCCTGCAATCACTGGCTGGTTCCCCAATAGAGACCTCAAAGCCCCCTTGGAAGAATGGCAGGAACATGGCCCCACTGAGATTGGTCCAGGCAGGGACTCACCATGGTGAGCATTGATGCCTGGTACTGGTATTTGGGGCTGGCCTTGTACTGCTTCAGCAGCTTTGGCAGAGCCACGCTGTCCTGCGTGCTGAGGAAGGCCTGAAGCGTCGCGCTGACAGCAGTGGCATTCCACCTGTCATCAGACACCCCAGAAGGCACTTTAACGCCCCAATCTTGGCATGAGTGCATAAGGATAATTTGCGTTCAATGCAGGTTGTCATTCTGAGCTGGTAACAGTAGGAATAACAACCGCTGTCCCAAGAGAGATACCGCAATATGCCTCAAGAGGTTCAGGATCAGTCAGCAGACGGGCCGCATGCAACACTCAAGCAAGAAGGCGCATCATATGAGAGCGCCACTTGCAGACACGCGTTTTGCGCTGGGGCTCTATTGCATCATATCAAGATGGCCACACCTCCACCAATCCATGCTTGCAGTGTTTTTCAGCTAATTCAATATTGGGACCAGGGGTCACCTGTATTCGGCCACCTGCTCCTTTGATTGTCTCACAGGCAGGAGTGGCATTTCCAGATGTTGCTTGGCAGCAGCAAAGTTTCCCGCCAGGACTGCCCCAAAGCCTGAATAAGCGCACACAAGCCTTGTGCACTCTGACGAGTCCTGTGCACATATAAAAAAATCGAGCTGCTGGCTGCGTTTGTGATCAGCTGCGCACGTGTACTGACCCTGAAAGGTACCGGTTGAAATCTAGACAGAGCAACTAATCCGACTGTTAGCACAAAACAATGCAGCAAGGTTCTCTGAGGCAGGTGTTCACTGGACAATCAGCAATTCATGCTGATGAGAGCCAAAGCACTCATAGCTTACCCTGCTTGACGCATGCTTTCTGCATTTGATTGATAATAACAAATCTCATGTCCCCTTGCATGCCGCTCAAGTCAGGCGTAGACAACAGGTCCCTGAGCATGCGCTTTGCCTTGCTGCAGACCTGTAACAGAAAGGCACACAGTGGAACAGTCAGATCGCAGAGACGAATTCACCAACTTCTCAGCAAATGCTCATATCCGTGCGTCTTCAATGTGTTGAAAGGGACTGAGACAGCACTGGTTGATACAGTACATTAATGGGGAGGTGTTCCAGATTTCTCACCGCCATCACTGCATGCCCAGCCAATGCAGAGTCTATACTGGAAGCTTTGCCCAAGTAAGACTTGGCAAGCTGCAGGTACGCCTGGGCGATGTTTAAGTAGAAGACTGCAGCTAGGTAGCAGCCTTTGGCTCCCACGATCGGAACTTGATCCTCTCTGCTAGCATAGCATGCATCGTTGCTGGCTGTCGAGCTCGCAGTGTCCAGCTCAAGCAACGCAAGACCAGACTCGTACGCGGCAATGGCTCTCCAAAAATCGCTGTCTTTGTAAAACGTGTTGCCTGCTGCCTTTATCTGCTCTAGCAGTGACTCTCCCACCTGGTTGAATCTATTCATGGGCACTACAGCCTCTCCTAATCAATGAGCTACGGACGCAGCGGACTAGGCGATGAACACTAAAGAAATAAAAAATGCCTGATACTAATTATATCAGGCTACTAGGACGAGCCGGCAGGTCCCTATGAGATCACAAAGGATAAAAAATGCAGTAGCAATAATTCGCATCGAACTTCTGTGCAAGTTCGCCCAACCAATTGATCAAATTATATGATCATGTTCGTAGCTGGTGGCTTGGCAATTGCAAGACGTTTTGAAGCTTGGGGCTGGTGTCGGCAGTGACGTCAGCTGTCTTCGTTTCAACGACCCTGTGCAGCCGCGGGAAGCTGCCAATCTCGAACGACCCACCACCACTCCCATTTTCAGGTATTCTTGCTCGATTTTAGCAGAGCTTGTCTACATCGCGCATCAGCCTGCCACAATGAATTCGCTTCCATACATTACCGAAGCATGGATGGCCCAGATGCCCGGTGAGCAAGCTTCCTTCTTGTCATTGCTTTTTAGTTTTCTCGCACAAACATGTGCTTATAATTGCCACAAGCTTTCTAAAATATTTCTTGGTGATGTAGCTCATTCGATCGTCACGCCACACTTCCACCAGCGTGCACTTGCCCCATAGAAAAGGCAAGGCAGGTGAACCGCTTGTTCTGCAGGTGATGGAAGCAAATTCTTCATCAACTTCACCTCAAGAATCAGTGACGCCTCCCAAGATTAGAAATGAAATGACTGGGCTGGAACAAACGTATCCCGAACCCCATTATGGCCATGGCAGGAGGACCAGGAGGTGGACTGCTTTGCTAGATGCACCAAATATAGCCCTAGGACAGTGGCGAGGGTTCATGCACAACACTTGCAAAACGCTTGCATTCTGCATATGTAAGTGGGCAATGCATGAGCTAGGTGCAGCTAAAATTCATGATAGGGCAAACACCGGCTACTTGAACAGGTTGGTGACCATCTCCAAAAGGCCAGCATAGCAAGCAAATATGTATGTAATAAAAGATTTTGCCTGTGAGTATGGGTCCATCCGGATCTGTTCAAAACTGCGCAAGGAAATGTGCAGCACTGTAAACAGAAGCTCGGGCTATAATGCAAATCCCACCAGCACCTGTCTCATCATGTTTGCAACAGCTGTGTTCACTATGGGACTTCCCGTTTGGTTCTCTACTGCGGTTCGCCCTTTGTTTGAGAGTTCCTTGTGCTGATGTTCCAACTGTTTGGCACAGTTCAAGGCCTGCAATGCCTTTTATGTTCTTGCCAGGCTTCCTTCTGGCACTGCATGGAACAATACCGCACCATGTGGCACCCCTTGCACACCTGCACACCCCGCAGAGCTCAGCAATCAGTGCACCTCGCAATAAGAATGCAAAACAACTCCAGGAAACTCACCGAAAATGAGTCAAACTCTGGAATGTTCACACAGAGCCCCTGGTTCAGAGATTCTTTTCATGCATGAGTCCAGCTCTGCTTGATACATTGCACGGGGCCTTCCAGAAATACAGGAAAGTTGTCCCTGTCATTACAGAGCCTCTCTGCGGCTGCATGGCTAGCATGCTCGCATGCATTCCTACTGTGGAAGACTTCAGAGCTGAGGCGCACCTTGATACTGAGACTCATTTTGCCGTGGTGGAGAGTCTCTGTGAGCCCGCAGTGGCAGCAGGCACAGGGACTTCTCCGTACAGCTTTAAATGTGAGCCTATGCTGGAGCTGCAGAATCTTGGAGCAGATATTGAGCGTTCGGGATGTTCTGTTACTGCCTCCCGCTAGCGACAGGTGAGATATCAGGTGAGCTGCAAAGACATGGCCCGCAACCCATAATACGTACACCTGATCTTCAGAATCTGCACACACCACATCCCGTACTTCAAGGCCCTCCCCCCATTGCATGGTTATTTCCCGTTTGCAGTCCAACAGTTGTCCCTGAGAAATTTTTCTGGCCAATAGACTGCTTTGGGCTGCCAAAAGCTTTCCCCAGAGAATCACAGAATTTCAACGCACCCACAGAGCAGATGCAAATGTATACATGAGGTGCAATGACATCACCTTTGTCTGGGTTGCGGCGCACAAAGTAAGCAAACTCGGTGAATCTTTCGGCGCGCTTGGGCCGCTCAGGTCTGGAGCCATCATTCTCCCGTATGATCTGCATCAGAGCATCAACTGCAAAGCTCAATTGCAGCCTGAGTGCGGCTCTGTAACGACACTGTGCAAAGACGCAGTTTGATTGATCAAAAAAGAAAGCTGCCAAATGTGGCGCACGGTGCATGCATGCACAAACACGCATGCGGACTTCCACAAGCGCTGGAGTGTCTTCAGTGGAAAGGGGGTGTTACGAAGATCCCCTTGCATGGGCACAAAGCATCAGCATGTGCAATATTTTTGCGGTATATCACTCCCTTTCCCAGCTGAAGAGCTTGCGCGTACCTCCACTTCAGAGGCAAAACGATGCCAGGAGTATTCCTGCACCAGCAGCACACAAGAACTCTATCAGCACGGTGAATGCCCTCTACCCTGATTAGACAGGCAAGCTCACCATTTGTGTACAGTCAAGCAGCCCCAAAGCATGTACAGAGCATGCATGCACCAACGTAGTCAACTTTTGTGAGTTCAGGATAAGACGCACATCCACTATTGTCCAGCCTGGCCCGGAGCTTGACTTGACTGGAAGCACAGACCTCCAGTACGCTACAGCGGCCTACAAACACAGTGCATGCATTCTTAGGGGCGTGTGCATATAAGCCTCTTGCAGCAGGAACATCAGACAGCAGGCTAGCGCACCACCAGACTCAAGTGATGCATGTGCAGCCAAAAGACCCGCACTTACAACCCAAGTCGACCAGAACAATTGTTAAAGATAGCTTTGGCTCTAAGGATGTTCAATGAGCCGAAAGACTCCCGGTGCTCAGGAACAGCTAATAGTCTCGCTCCTTACTGTGCAAGCAAGGTAACTTCTAATTGCAAATAGATGACCAGTGGCGCGGGCTTGTGTCACTCTGCTAAAGCTTTGCGGTATTCAACGTTTCGGAATGAATGCGCAAAAAGGCAGTTCTCGAAACGTTGACATGCACTCTGGTGTTTGCCTACATTTCCGTGCCGTGGCTGAGTCTGCCCACCTTCACTGTGCCAAAGAGCTTGACAGTGCTGCTGATGCTTGTGGCTCCTTCGTGGGAGGGCTGTTGCGGCACAGGCGGAGCCACCAAGTGAACCTGCATCAGCAATACCGCCTGTTGCAGTCTCTTCCAATCCAGCGGGAAAAATCGCCAAGCATGCAATTAGGAGTGAAATCACTGTAGTAGTCATTCTCAAACCCGCACCCCTAGAACCTACTCTGACAACTTCCCGCAGGCTAAAATATGATTAATTTATTGCGGGTTCCAGAATGACCGCTTCAGTATATTTGTCAGTCAACAAAGTTGTCAAGCATGGAGATTGAAGTGATCGGTGCAGCACAGGAGCATGCAGGCAAAGCTCACCTGGATCTCGCAGGGTGCGGCTAGATGCCTCGGAGTGGGATGAAAGGGGTCATTTGCAGAGCCTCCTATTTGCCTGCACAATCACGGTGTCCAGAGCCAGAAGATACTTACTCCGCTGTGCCAGTCATCCTCTAGACATCAAAAGCTGCAGACTCACTTGTCAGGCTACCAGCACTGCCTAATGTGTTCTCATGCAAGACACTCTTATGCTACTGACACGTATGCACAGCCGACGGTCGAATGCAATCACCTCAAAGCAGCTTCTAGGCCATAAAGCAGAAGCCTGATGATGCAGCAGCCGGAACTTCATTGAGAAGATTGTTGTGCACAGGGGCAGGCATTTGATTCAGACTCTTTCCAAAAGGTGGCAGAAGACGTGGCAGTTTATCATGGAGAAGTATTGGGGAGCTCACAAGGAGGTTTTGCCCCGCCCGGACCCGTAGCGCAGACCGTAGGGGAACAAAAACCCCCGGAAATACGGGGGCATGTCCGCCACAGTAGCCAGGGTGAGCACGGATGCCGACAGCATGTTGGGGTCCTGCGAGTAGAGTATGCAGCCGCCGGTCTTGGTCGCGGCCAGCAGCTCACGAACAGGAGGAGGAAGCCCGCTCTGCTCCCGATACAGCACCAGCACTTGACAGGCGCCCTCCATCGCCCCGTCTTTCCGCCTGCCTGTGAGCAGCCAGCAGCATGTTGCCCATCCTGATTAGCCAGGTCCATGTTGAGGAAGGGCTCGCCAAAAGATGGGCGCCAGGAATATGGCCTGCCCAAATCCAAGCTGAGACAGCTGCAGAAACAGGGGCTCGGGAGCTTGAAAGAACATCACGATTTACACACAGATGAAGGGTGGACGTTATTCTTTGTTCAAGCAGACACCATCTCTATTTTTGCTCTGAAATCTCCTACATAAGTCCAGCACACCATACTCACCATGCTTCAAGCTTCCCAGAACTAGGCAGGCCTGCTCATAGCCTCAAGGACACACACCCCTGAGCCCTCACACCTATCGGCAGAGCCTGCCGGGGAACTCCTAGCAATCCTTCCTTCAAACTTCCCTAAAGGTTGCTGCAACCCCTGCTAGCCCGCAAGCACCAACGCTTGCATGAAGAATTTCTTGCAACAGCCACGTCCTGTGGGATCCACGTTAGGGGTTCACCTCTGGGCACAACAGCCGTCTGTGCGTGGAAGGTTTTGAGCTTGAAGCACAGTCCTCTCGCGGGGCTGAATCGGTCAGAGACGCTGGTGCATCCGCCCACAAGGCACAGAATGCCGCTGCCAACTCCTGCAGTTGCATGGCTGTGGCGGGCGGACATCCAAGTGCTCTGATTGCCAGAGGGCGCCATCTGGCCCGCACACATCTGTCAGCCAACTCAACCAGTCCCAGCATGTGCAGTCTAGCCCCGGCTGGCGGGAGGCGGTAGAAACACTGAGCACCCGTGCCCACGGTTGCTTAGGTTTTGCTTGGATCTGGCGAGGCCAAAGAGGAATGGGGTTATGGCAGCCTGTGACTGCAGCTTTCTGCAAGACGTACCTTGCCATTTGGCAGGAAAGCCGTGTAATAATAGCGCTATAAATTCACTAGTGTGCAACCACCTCAGGGAGAGTCCGTCTCTGCTGAGATGGCCGCATTGTACAGCCAGCTAGCAGCCAAGGTTGCAAGCAAATTCCCTGGGCACTCTTTATGCATCCCTTTTTTGTTTCATATTGCTGAGCACAGGAGAGGGCATTAGGGTGACCCAGCATGGAATGAAAAGGAGGAGTGTGCCTGGCTATAGCGAGAATTATAAACTCACCTGTACCCAGGAGCACTCAGGTGCATTATATAACCACACATCCGCCAGGTTTGATTTGGTCCTCGCTAGCTCAAACCCGGTCACGCCGCCGGAAATGAATGTGAAATTTCCCTCGACTGCGACGCCTGCACTGACACAGCAGCACTTATGACCACGCCTAATGGCTTTGTTTCTCAGTCATCTCAGATTCCTGCGCTGCCCATGTCACTTGCCAGAGTCTCCTGATCACAGCAGGTGGTCAGCCATGTGGGTGATGAGCTGTTTCAGAGCAATTCTGTGAAACAACTCTGCAATGGCTGCTGCCGTGGGATGTTCACATGAGAACGCAAGTCCTTGGTATTGACACAAACAATGGAAAAAGGCCCATTGAGCCCCACGTGGCGTGCAGCAGGTCTCTAAAATGCAGTCAGTATCATGCTTGTAGTGCTCAATCCAAATTCCGCAATAAATGATAAATTTTAGCCAAAAAGGGTGGATACATAAGACTCTATCTCCCACAGTATAAGCCCTATGACGATTTTGAGACCACATTGGAAGCTCTCGACAAGTCCAATCCGATGGAGCATGACCCTGGGTTTTTAGGAGTCAGGAAGACCCCTACAAGTTGCATTGAAAAATTTTCCCGCACCGCCGGGGGTGCAGAATTTTGTTTGAGCACTACTACAGTACTGTTCAGGGACTTTGGGTGCCCTCATTCCAGCTATGTGCCTACCCATGTGAGCCCTGGCAGCTGGCAGCGTCCCTGTGGGCTCGAGCTCTTTCCAGCAGCAAGCCTTCAAGTCATACCGCCACAGATCGCCCAGCGTCCTGAGCCTGAGCACAGAAACCCAAGGATTTGCTACACATAACTCAGATCTCCCTCCATGTTGGCGCCACTCAGTCCACAAGTCTCAGGCATGACATAAGGCATAAGCAAGGTCCAGATGTTGACGAATGTGATAAATTCTTTGCTAGACCCAAAAGGCTCCTCTGTCAGGGATCAAACAGTGACCACAAAGAAAGGAGATATCTGATACACTTGTTGCTGGACGTACCTAGATCCTAGATCCCTAGGAACTGACAACGTGTTGCAATATTTATTAAAAGTTGAACAGCAGCAGAGGAGTGTATCTTACGGGTACTCTGCCCCGCCAGCCAGTGTACGGAAGTCCCTTGTACTGTCGCCTGGCGACCACGGTTCGATGCCGCCGAAAACATGCAGCTGCCCATCCTGAACCCAGCACCCGTGTCCAAACCTTGCCGGAGGCCTTTCTCCTGTGGCATGCACAACTTTCTTAAGCTTTGTTCACCACAGCAGCATGACAGCAGAGCCGGAAATGTTATCACTCGCTCTTGAAGCCCTGCACAGCCACTTGCATTGCAGGGCTTCAAGACATTTTCAAGAGCATACCTCCAAGCCTGAAGAACAGCGAGCAGCATGCAAAGGTCCTTTTGGCTGCCACAAAATTTTTAATTGGAGCTGGTGATGACATAAAGATGCGTCATGGAGATGTCATAGAAAATGCTACTGCTGATCACATGGAAGGTGCACCTGCAGGCATGACCGTCCACCGCAGGGGCTTTTCCCGAGAGGAGGTTGGCCCAGGTTTGAGGGTGTAGAGCAGATTGTGCGCTGAGGTGGCGCCGTTCTTCAAGGTGCAACCCCCGAATATGTACAGCTTCTCCCCATCCGTCACGAGTGAGCTGTACATGCAGTCCTTGGGCCTGCACGTTGTGAACACCTGGGAACGACAGTGCCATATTAATGTTATAAGGCGAGACATCCCATGACTTGGTGGCAACGTCCTTAAATAGCTTTCAATACTCCCACATCTCTAATCTGATCCGTCAAGGAAGGTGCGTCAGCCAGTGGAAACTCAAGAACGTTAATTGTTGCGCAGTTCTTAGCAAGCTCATGTGCAAGAAGCAATCATACCGAAATTGAAGGAGCATCCCATCACAACTGCCAGATAGCTTCTGTGGTGCCGCAGCAAAGGGTGCCCACCTCCTTGACGGGGTTGCTTGTGCCATTCTCCCTTCGCAGGCGCATGCGCAGCATGATGTCTGGTGACGTGGCGGGCTCAGTCAGCAGATAGAGACAATCGCCCACGATGGCACCCATGCTGTAGACACCCTTCTGCATCTGCTTCGAGTACATGTCCAGAGCGACCATGCATGGCTTGCCGGGTGCCGACCTAGGGCAGAAAGAGACAACCCAGACCCCCTTCAGACGCCGGTTTGGTCATAAACCGCCCAATCTAGAGGAGCTCAAGGGCAAATCTGTCCCCCACTTGTTATGGCCTGCCCAAATGCAAATCGAGGTGCAAGAAACAGGGGCTAGGGAGTTTGAAACAAGAGCCAATTAACAGATAGATGAAGAGTAGAGACTCGAGATTATTCAACCAAGTTTCTACGTGCGAACTACTCTAGTATAATCGTTGGTGTCATGGAAGGTCATCTAGGACCTGCTTTGGGAGGGAAAATGTCAAGCGGTAGAAAGTCGCACTGCGTGAAACCGCAGATGTAGTAGCAGTATGACGCGTTGTAGGGCTGCCGGGCAACAAATATCTGCCAATCCTCAAAGAGCCCGCAAGCAAATACTTTGTCCACAGTGTCCATATTTGGCCACTGCTGCTTCAATAAAGACTGGCTCCATATCTGTTTCCCACCACACAGGCTCAGATTGTTACTACTTCTTGGGAGATCAATTCAAAGCAACAATCTGATCAAGCAACGCTGCATGTTTGTAGCTGAGCATGCGCTGTGTGCTTACCAGGTGATCCATCTCCGCGTGACAGAAATTGAGTGGATCAGCGCTAGCCAGCGCCGCAGACATCTGCCTAGGAATGGGTACGGTGCCTTCCTTGCTTGCGTATTTCTTAAGCGCTCTGGTGATCGATTCCACTTGCTTCCTGCACCAGCAAACAAACAGTCTCGCCAGCGTGCCAACACAGTAAACAGCCCATCTCCGGCTCTTCCTCCTCGTGAAGCCGATACAGTGGCCGAGGCTGCAAGTGTGCCCCATCTCTGCATTGGACTGATCAACAGATCCAGCCCAATGCAGAGATGGGGCGGCTAGATACGAGCCGCCACGAGCGAGAATTGGTCACGTTTCACCATGCCTTGACTTCTAGCCCGCAAAAGCAGCGGCCAATAGATCGGCCCACACCATTGCTCGTTGCAGAGCCAAAGCCACTCACATCTCCAAAGTATGCGGGTCTTGGGCTGTGTTGCATCAATGGTTTAGCCAATGATTCAAATGTATTGCACACAGTGCTAATTTGTTTAAAAAAATGTAGCTGTGAAGCAGGATCTGGTTAAGGAACAGTGTGCACCAAACCAGCTGCCAGCATCAGTAGGTCTGAATTCTCAGACAGAGGCACAGATCTATTCGACACTTAAGGTCGACAATCAGCCTTGAATAGCACTCTCATTTGCTGCTACTACGCATGAAGCGCAACAGCATGAGAAGTGCTGATCCTCATTTGGGCATCTCACTCACCCGAGTGCATCGATGTCACACAAGTCCTCGCATCGGTGCGCAAAGTCCAGCAGAATATTGAGGTGGTTGACTGCTGCCGGGTAGTTTACGCAGGCTATTTCCGCTTTGCCTGCATGTGCATAGCCCCCCCAAAGCAAGCTGTCAGGATTGTCTCACACTTCATGTCACAGCCCACTGAGTCTGATGAACAGGATTCATTTGTGGGAAGGTAACCAATCAGGGCACACCTAGCCTCAAGTACGCCTTCATCAAGCGATCCATGTGCCGAAATACAATCCTTTCAGCTTCCTCTTCTGGGAGACTCTCCTGCTCTTTCTTCTCGAACACGTCTGATAGCAAGCGCACCGCTCGACAGTTCGCCTGAGAGCAAGGAAAGTATGTCTAAGGCACAGATTGGGGTTCCTGATTCGATTACCATCCAGGATCTTCTTTCCACAGGCTGATCAGTTTCACGATCCAGGGTTGAAATCAGGCAGAACGCACCAACGCGGCTGCCGATGGGCTTATGCCGACGTCAGATCTGGTCTGCAGCATCATGAATGCCTGCCCTATGTTGAGGTACAATATTGCAGCCTGTTCATTGTATTCGTTGGGCATGCCTCTTGCCAGTGCCTTGGCTGTGAAATGTCCGTATTTTGCCTCATAACCTAGTGGTTCAATTATGCTCATGTAAGCAAGACAAAGAACATAGGTGTCTATTGCATCTTTATATAGCTTTTCCTTGTATTGCCAGTTCCCAATCCCACGCATCTCCTCAAGAACCTGGTACTCTCTTGGCGAGAGGCGTCTTCCTTGCGGCATTTTACAAGTTGTATGCCGCACATTCAACAGGATCTCCTCTGCAAAAATGCTCTCTGGCGGTGATCAGAGACGATCTAGCTAGAGCAGCCAGGATGCCCGAATAGGCGCTTGGCCCTTGCATGCATGCAGATGAAACTTCGAAGAATTCTGTGAAGAATGCAACTGTTTAAGAGTGCCCAAATGTGCATTTTGCGTACTCACGCATTGCACTTAATCCACACTCCTGGGTTCCTGCCCACACCCTCCCCAGCAAATCCATTTGAAAATGTCTAGACCTGGGCCGTTTCCTTGCAGGACAGCAGTGCAGCATCGGGGTTTTTTATTGGGAGGCTTCCGCTTGAATATCGGACGTCTGGCTCTTTTTGCAGCTGCAGGAAGGAAGGCAGTGAACGTACTGAGCGCAAGTGGGCGTCAGCGTTCCCTCAGCGTGCATCCAGTAGCTTTAGCCACAACGTCAGCATTTGGAGTGCTAAGCCTCCTGAAAAGGCAACGAAGGTGACGCGATTTTCCCAGAATTTAAGACTATATTCCACAATAATAAAGAATGCCTGGTAACAGGCCTTGCTTAATGCCCCACTCAAGTACTATTCCTACTCAGTAGTGCCAGAAGAGACAGACAAGGTTCTCAGCATTTATCAGTCTCAAGCTGTCCTGCAATATGGTGCGCACTTATGTTGTTTTTGAGCACAGTCTTTGTGTTGCACAGGCCCAAGCAATACGGCAGACAAGCAACGACCAGGACATCCTCTCGCAACGAGTTTGGAGCTCCCTATCGGAGAGTCACAGATATACTGCTCGTCCTTAATGCTGCTGTCTACGTCGCTCAGCTGGTCAGCAAGGACAAGCTTCTCTTACTGGGAGCTAAGGTGCTCTCTGCTGTCTAGTGCTCACACATCATCTTGATTCTAGCGATTGAAGAGCAGACACCTATCGAAAGCTTGCATCAATCACTGGAGCACCCTGGATAATTCAGAAAGGGAGGAGTGTCGCTATTGCTTTGTACTTTTGGCGTGAAAGCTCTTTCTGCTTCTGCAGGACAATCAACTGATCCGTGCTGGCGAGTGGTGGAGGCTGCTGACGCCAGTAGCACTGCATGCCAACTTGATACACCTGCTGACCAACAACTACTCCCTGAACAGCCTGGGCCCTGCTGTGGAGGGCCTGTGCGGCCGCCAGCGCTTTGTGTCCGTGTATACTGCTTCTGCACTCGTTGGCTCTGTTGCCAGCTACGCCTTCAACCCCAGCCCCTCCGTGGGAGCCTCAGGTCAGCACAGCAGCCAGACAATCCTGGCATAAATCGGCTTCTAGTAAACACACCTTCACCTAGAATACACAGTCTTGCTCAGATCACATCCTGAGGTGGCTGTTGCATTGGTGACGCCAGACCTGGACTAAATAGTCATTGTACTGGCTGTAAGAACTCAGCTCTTGTGCTCATTTCAAGGCCCTGGCAGGGATCGGTGTTTAGAGTGCCTGACACGAGATCGCTTGCATGCAGGTGCAATCTTCGGCCTTGGCGGGGCGTTGGCGGTGTATGCAGCGCGGCACAGGAAGTTGATGGGAAGCCGCGGGGATGCTATCCTGTCATCGCTGGGCCAGTCACTGGCTCTCAATGTCGCCATCGGCCTCACCACACCCCGCATCGACCAGTGGTGCGCACGTATTACTATTCTCGAGCCCCTGAAATTGCGGGTATCTGGTCGAGGAAGTTGTGGGTTTTCTAATCAGCCCTAGGTGGTTGCGACAATAGCCTGTCCATCTGGACACTGTATCTCAGTTCATGAGGCACATGATGCGCTGTCCAGACAGAGCATAGTAGCATTCGCATGGACATGAAGTGCCAGCTTGACCTAATATGATAGCGCCTGGTAGCAACGGCCAGGATGCAATCAGTCAGGCACGGTCATTGGGGCACTCGGATTTCAAGCATCGAAACCGGGACTCCTTAGGTGAAAATACTACGAGCACCAGAGCAGGATCACCAGAGGAAAAGCACCACATTTGCTCGGATATCCAGACGGTTCCATGAAGGGCCCTACCACCACAGGCGTTTGCATGGTGTCCTCGTGCCTTTTGGAGCAATGCCATGCAGGGCATCCAGTGGGGTGTTTGAGTCTTGGGTTCTTTTGCACAGGGGTCACTTTGGAGGGTTGATAGGGGGAGCGCTGACAGCGTACCTGCTGGGACCAAACATTGAGGTGTTCCAAGGCAAGGGAGGCAAAAGGCAGGTCAGGGACAATCCTCCACTGCCCATCTTTGCCAGCAAGCTCTGACCCTTTCACTGGGGGCTCAACTTCATGCCTTTGTTGCACTCGAAGAGATGTTCATCTCTTTGGACCCGCTCTTGGAGTAAGTCTGGACAGCTGCATTCTCTGACACTGCAATTGTGTCTCTGTACAATATAGGATACAAATATATTATACTGCGCTGTGACTGTTGATGCGCATTCACTGATTCAGTTGGTACCAGTCATCAGCACTATCTGCTTTCAGCCTCACCATGCTGTAGCCAGCATGGTAAGTGTTGTCTTTGACTGACATATTCTTTTGAGCTGCTTTAAGTAGAAGTACTTCAGTGTGCTGAGCAGTCGTTTATAATTACTTTGTGAGCTGCAGCTGCAACATTGCTGTAAGGGACACACTAGGACCAAGTGTCAGGTATGCAATGCACCATGAATATGAGGACGGGCAAATTGCTTTCAATTCTTGAGATATCATGGATGAAGCACCGCAATGTACTGTACTGGGGATTGTGATTTCGTGTCTAGGTATGCGCATTGTAACCATATTAAGAATTGGGTCTCTTACATGCAACCTAATTGCCAAAGCAATTTGGTCATGATCACATCGATGATATCATGATATTCTCAATTCTGTAAATATCTAAGGCACTCTGCCCAAGCACATGCAAACGGCCACAGGCCCTCACTAGCTTAGTCATGCAAACAATGCAAGATTATGCAAGACGTGAAAGCTGTGCACAAGCGCCAAGAAGATAGGACTGCAATTGTCAGAGACAGCCCTCACCCCACTCCCACTGCAATATAGCTACTTTAGAGAGAACTGAAATGGCAGAGTTTCACGGGCAATCCCTTCACTGCTCCCCGTTAGCTTTCCTCAGCAGCGCCTCCAATCGCCGCCAGGTCACGCCTCCTCCGGGACCAAAGCCGTCAAAGACCGCGTCCGCGTTGCCAAACGTGCCCCGCGCCGACAGCGCCGACGGCACGGCCGCCGCCAGGAGGCCGGCCGATTGCGCAGCCTGCACGTGCACCATTGCGATCAGACTTGTCACTTTTTCCAGCCACACAGGGCTGTTTAAGTGTCCCACAATTCTCAACCTAACAGAAGCGACTATCTACTTGTGCAGCATGCTGTGCAGCTTTGCCGTTTGACTGCACTGTACAGCTTGTCCAATAGAGGGGAGGGAATAGGCCTTAGGAGGACCATCAGACAGCACAAGTTGGCAATTGGGGCAAAGCCGCATAGTTGTCCGTCATTGATTCGATCGGATTGCTCCACCGGCGGGTACCCCCCCCCCTTTCCATCATCTTACTTATTCCTGCTAGTAACAGTTTGCATTACTTGAAATCCATCGATCATGCTACAGACTAGAGACACAGCAGGTGGGCAAAAGAGCCTATGCACCTGCAGGACGCTGTTATTGGCTGCCACGGCAGCGCAGCGCTTCAGAGGGAGGTCCATTGTGGCCAGGCAGGCGGCAAGGAAGGCAACTGAGAGGCCCCCCTTGCCTCTTTTGGCCGCCAGCAGCAGCGCAGGATCTATGCCCAGCGGCACGCTCGCCTCTGTGTCCGCTTGCAGCGACTGAATGAACGCTGATGCCTCATCCTCCTTCACCTGCACAAGCACAAGCTGTACATTTCATGCTAGTGCGCAATTTTAATGTATGCTCTCTATTCTGTCTGTTCCTTATGGAAGAGCAGTCACACACTACCTTGCTCCTCCTTGCTCCTTGCTACCCTAAGCACTCTCCATCGCATGTAAGAGAGCTATGAGGAACTTCTGGCACTGACACAGCATTCTTTGACCAGGACACTGAAAGGAAACGCTGATGTTTTGCTTGCTCCAGAAACAGTGCCCAAAGTCACAGAATGAGCATACCAACATTCTCCTTGGGGGCAATGCAGGCGCAGGAGCAATCCGACAAGTGCAGCAGTGAATCAGACAATGCACACCTTGGCTTGCGCATTGGCGAACTGCCGCTCCAGGGAAAGCTCCTGGCCGGAGCCGCTCGCCTCGGCCTCACTAGTCACCATGCTCTCACCCAGCACGTACACGTTCAGCCGCTCGGCCGTCCCGGGACCAAGTGCGGCCAGCGCGGCATCGGCGATGCGCTCCTCTGGGGTGGAGCATGTGCCTGCTATGATGCCAATCTTGGCCCCTGCCTCCAGTGCCTCCTTCACAAACTCCTCTGCCCCTGCATCATTATCATCTCATTATTATTTTAGTTATTTTCCTCAATATCACAGGTTGTATGAGACCTCATGCCAACTGGGGGGCCATGGGGCATAGACGCAGGCCGTCAGCAGCCACATCTGCAGGGCCTAAGAATGCCTAGCATTCTTTGTAACTCATCATATCTCAAGATACAAACCCTGAAGCACTCCCTGTATCGCTTACATACCCCTTCATATCCTAAACCTCGGCATTACCCCCTAAAACTTCCCATTCCTCACCGTCTGAGAACCATTCTTTGGAGCTTTGAAGTCCTTAAAAGTGTTTATGTGTTTAGTATATACACGCCACAATGGCAATACAGGGATGCCCCACAGAGTGGCAAGCATGCAATTTTGAAGCTTGCTAATATTGCTCCCAATGCAGTTAGCAAGGGTGAGTTAAGAAGTGTTGAGCACGAAGCACAAGGGGTGACATGCCTTTTCGGAGAGGAATGTCGCCGCTCTGAACCATCTCAGCCAGATGCTTTTGCTTTGCGGTGTGCAGGCGGTTGACAAAGGGCTCCCTGTCAGCTGTCGCCAGCATTGTTGGCCACCCAATCTGTGCCAGAGTGTCTCAGTAAGAGATCAAGTTTCCTTAATCCAGAGCAAGATGTTCTGGTAGCTTACCTAGGAAATTGCCACTTTCGTAACAATTCCTGGCACTGGGCAGTTTTAAAGTCAACATGGGGCAGCTTACAATTCCGAAGAAAGCTCTGAGAAGTCCCTCCGCTGATCCATCCCCGGATCGCAGTAGATCATGGTACACCGAAGGATTCCAATTTGAGCAATCTAGACCCATCTCCTGCAGTGAGGGCACAGAGCTGTGAAAGGCATTTCGTGTCTGCTGAAGAGAGACATTTGCTGTGCATCTGTGTCTTTGTTAACTGCAAAGGTAGCTGTAAATCTACCGAGAAGGCTCTGTTGAACGCCACTCGGTGGCCGTCGTTATGGGTATCAACTAGGATGCCGTCACACTCCAGCAAGAGGCCAAAAGAAGGCCCTCCGCCGCTAGAGGCGCACGTCCTGATGGACCTGCATGTCCTGCGGCCCCTCCTGCACTGTTGCTCACGCCGCATCGCACCTGAAGGGAAGTTGCAAAACCCTTTTGCCTGGAGACCGTAATGTGCTTGGTGTAGCCCAGGGAGTTCACCGCAGCTTTGTGAAGACAGACCTACCAGTGATAAATCCATTGTGTACATGATCCATCTTGGAAATATATAAAAGGAAACGTACCACTGAGTGCACAGCGGCGCATTGGCAAGTTGGAAGGGCATTGATAGTGCTGAACTTCTCTATTAGCCGGCAATCCCTGACCCATTCCTCCATTGACAACATTCATATTTGTAATGCTGTACATGTAAGATCTCTTAGCAGCTTTCTCAGACGTCTGCACCCAGCTTTGTGGGCCTGCAACGTTCCGATACAGGTTGCAGAAAATATTGAAGGTGTGTCAAGAATATAGGACGAGCTTGTACGATTCAAAATGGTTTGGCAAACTATTAAAGGTGTGTATTCGTTGATGAGTTCCAATAGAGCGCAATCTTTGCGATGAATGTGCACGTGCCTCTAGACAACTAGCACGTGCCGTTTGATTCAGAATTTGAGGGGACACACAGTCAAACTCACAAGCCTTTGACCAGAAAGAGCTCTGTAATCAAGTTGTTCTCAAGAGGTTTTACCCGGAAAAGCTGATGGTGTCGAGACTGCGATGAAGTCAACAGACCGTTCTCAACCAACAGCCTAGTTCCTTCGGTGCACAGCATGCTGCGCGCTGCAAGGGTCCTGAGCCCAAGATTGATCGGCATCAATCCAGCAACGCAATTCTGCTTGCGTGCAGACGCCATCAAGTACTTCAGCACAGGCAAGCAGTACCCCTGAATGGAACACTGAGGTGCATACAGATGTCACCGAGAATGCTTTTGACGCTTCTTTTTTGGGCGCAGGAGCATCTCGAGTTGTGGAAGTGACATCAGATGAGAGTTACGACAAGCAGATTAAAGCAGCAAATGGTGGGTTTGCTGAGTTCATCACTCGTGCACTATTCAGGCACCAGTGGGCAGTGGGCAAAGGGAATGCGCATTAACGGCAATAATGCGTGTGCTGCAGATGCTGGAAATTTAGCTGTAGTGGATTTCAGCGCGAAGTGGTGCGGGCCTTGTACGTACCCTGGCCTCCTGCTGTCGTTGATCTGAGAACACAGGATCCTACTTCCCACTTCTATTTTGGAGGCGTCATTCAAAGACATTCTGCTTTGCAGGCAAGGTGGTGACACCTGTGTATGCGCAGCTGAGCACGTTGTATCCCCAGGCAAAATTCCTGAAGGTTGATATCGACGAGCCAGAACTGGAGCGAACTGTCATCAACAATGGTATTGCAAGCGTGGTAAGAGCCCTTCTGAAGTGTATTCCTGGATGTATTGCATATCTGTGTCCAGACCCGGGTCTGCAGTGGGAGATCGGAGGTCTAATTGGGTTGGCAGATCTGCAGCAGCTGAGCAGTCAGCATAGAAAACGAATGATGTCTGTTTGCCCTGCAGCCCACATTTGTTTTTATCAAGGATGGCGAGGAGAAAGTCAAGTTCAGCGGCGCGGATGTGGCAAAGCTGAAGGAGTCTTTGGACAAGCTGGCTTGAGTCAAGCCGCTGACACATTGTGATCCTGTCATTGTGACCTCTGCTGCAGCACAAGTCGAAGGCATGACAGACAGTCATGCTGCAATAACTGGGACGATGTCAACAGTACCACTCGGCTGCAATGGCATGCATGTGTCAATGAGACTGTATGTGTTTTGAAACATCCTAAGTTTGGCTAGGCAACGGTTGGATTGCCTGCACAACGGCAAAGGATCTGCAGCGCTGCTTCAAGTTGAACACATGGCTGTGATATGCTTGGCATCTGAAATGCATGACTGCCATTGTTTGCGACAGTGCTTTGACGCAGTGACCTCAATGTTCTCCATGCACCTGTGCGATATTTGTATCCGTTCCACTTGTTACAGGAGGAACGTGCCATGAAAGGACTGTCTCAGACACTGCTTTCGCTGTGAACAATGCTGCTGATCACGACTTGTAATTCCTGACCATCATAAGCTATTAAGATCTGCTCTGTTGCTGACAGGGGTCTGCAACACAACTGGCTGTTTTACACAAAAATAGCGGCCATTGTGTTGTCCCCACTCTCCCAAAGGAACAGGAAAGCTGTGCTCAAATGTCCTGTACTTGGAGACCTGCATCATTACAGACAATTCCATCTCAACACTGTAGATTCCCAATGCAAAGCAGTCCCTGACAATCGTCAGACTTCCAATAAGTTCCGATCGCGTTTCCTAGAAGCGCCACTTTCCAGATTTTGTCTACTGACAATAGGCTAGTGCTCTTGACAAAGCCAACAGCTGGGGGGCTGGCACACCTGGGGGCAGCGACTGCTTGAGCTTGTCTGCCTTGTCTGAGTCTGTGACGCAGAGTGTGTAGAGGTAGCGGCTGCAGCGGACCTTGAACTTGGTCACATCCCCGGTCTTCTTGATCTTGACTGACCTGGCATCTTTCCTCCTAGCTGTGAGCAGGAAGTCCTTGATCTCATTGATCTGCTTCGGCTGCAAGCAGACACATCAGCAAGTTCAGGAATCATGGACGTTAATATGACATGATGCCTGACCTCCAAGCCTGCTCACTCGAACTTATTGATAATTTATTGCTTTCTTCATGAACTGCTCTCTGTTTCGCGGTATCTGTAAGTTCAGGATGTCAACACTTCTGCAGCAAAACCTAGAACAGTTCTGCCTCCGCAGTTGTCCATACACAAAATATGGTTAACCATACAACAATCCTGAATCCAGGTTGCTTGTGGACCAGGAAAGAGATACGCATCGACATGTTGCCAAAGCTAGGAATCAGAAAAGGTTTGTTGCTCGATTTGCCGAGTTCAAACGCCTCAAAGCTTAACTCAAATCACTGCAAAAGATCCCACGCTCACCATCTTGTCCAGTCGATGCCAGCAGTCCTTCAAATCACAGATCCAAGAAGTGTGGAGCTCTACAGCAGCTCAGCCGCCTTGCTCCCACCTGCGCTCTCGATACTTCCGCTCCCTATTATGAGAGGGTCGATATGAAATAAAAGTCCTGGAGCGTCTTGCAGAACTGGGTCCGTTTCTTCGAAATCTGCTTGAGCTGTCTTTGTGCAAGTGATCTTTCTGAATGTGCTAGAGTGATTCGGAGCGATTGCTGTCCTGCTATTGCCTCGAGGATTGCTGATAGCACAGGACAGTAGTTTTGGGAAGTTTTATGCATTTAGTCCTGCCTCGCAATTCCACGACAGTCTGAGAAAGCAAGAAACTCTACGTTTGTATTGCACGACGGTGTTTCAGCGGTCAAAAGGTGGAAACCTCGAAATTCACAAGCTGATGAACTAGGTGTTCGTGCTCTCCAAATCCAATCAGCAGCCTGACTCAAAGGCCTTTTAGGAGAATATAAGTCATATGGGTCCGGACAGAGCGCTGCAGTACCTTGAAGACCTGCAGACATCGCAGCCTGCTCTGGCAACCCGCATCAACGAGTTTGCAGACCTGTATCAGAGGAAGCTATGGCATCAGCTCACGGTCTCCATAGAGGAGAGCCTTAGCGTACCCGAGTTCCGCAACCCGGACGTGCTCATACACTTCTACAGCGAGTTCATAGCCGTCTTTGCTCACAAGCTTAACCCCCTGCGCCTGGCGCACATCGCGGTCACAGTGGCTGAACAGCACAGCAACCCCCAGGATGCAGGTGAGCCACACTTGGAGACCTGCAGCACCGTGTATTGACACTCAGTAATCCCCATTGTTGCACAGATCATTTCGGTTGCTCCTTTAGTTGTCTGGGACCTCCTCATCCAGCAGAGCTGATCTGATTGGTGTGTGACACTGGGAATGTAGTGACGTTCCTGAACGGAGTCATCACGGACCTGATAGAGGCGAAGCACGCGCGGCCGGAGCAGCCGCTGCTGTTCCTGCGCATGCATGTGGCCCAGTTCCAGCTGGCGCTGGGGCAGCTCAAGGAGTGCAAGGAGGCCGTGGAGGAGGGCAAGCAGAGCCTGGACAGCCTCGATGACGTGAGTCCTGCATTCACTGCACCTTGTCTCTTTCGCGTTCGACTGGTGTGTGAAAGATGCCTCGCGGCGGTTGTGAGGTCAGAGCTGGGGACGTGCCCAATGAATGCGGTTGTGGTCACACAGCGTGCATATTGAGGCACCGCCATTCTGAAGCTGACGCTGCCTGTTTTACCAAAATGGCAAACCTGCAGCTTCATCTTTTCAGTACGGGTGCCACGGAATAACACGCTGCCTGGACACAAGTAATCCCAAGTCGATGCCAGGGCAGCTCTCACAAATCACACAAATAGGAGTGCAATGGGGAATTATTGAAGTAAATTGCTCTCACAATCACTACATTGGCCCCGGCTGGCGGGGGCCGGCATAGATACTGAGCACTGTGCTTATGGTTGATTGGGTCTTGCTTGCATCTGGATCGTTCAACACAGGGTAGGACTCTGGCAGCCTTTAACTGCAGCTTGTCTGCAGGACGTATCTTGATAATTGTTCTCACGCAGGTGGACCCGTCGGTGAGTGCGATAGTGCACTACGTGCGCAGCCACTGGTACAAGCACCAGAAGGACTTTGCCGAGTTCTACAAGAGCAGCCTCCTCTACCTCGCCTTCATCTCCTCCGACTCCCTCCCTGCCGACCAGAAACTGGTGCAACCCTCTCCACTGCTGCTTCCTATATGGATCACCTCTCTCAATCGGCAGCAAAATAGTATCACCATTGACAGATCTGCAATGATTGTTCTGGCGCGCAAGTGTGTGACCAGCTAGTCCTGAATGGAAGGGACAGTCAGAGCCTGGTCTCGGTGTAAATTTACCCTGATGTCTGACAAGGCCTGCTGCCGATGTGTGTGGTAACAAAATGGCGATTGACTGGGCTGGCGTGTGTGCGCGCAGTCTCTGGCGGTGGACATATCGCTGGCGGCGCTGCTGGGAGACAATGTGTACAACTTTGGCGAGCTGCTCCTCCACCCCATTGTGCGCCCCTTCTTCCCTTGCCTGGCGCATGCAATCCTCAGACCCTACAGTCTCAAGCAGCATCTTTGGCCGTTTCCCAGAAACCCTGCGCGGATGTGCAATTATGGTGCCATGCCCAAGGCCGGTCAATTGGGAAAGGGCTCTCAAACGGACAAGCCATACTTGAAGCCAGTGGAAACGGCTGCCGGTGTAAGGTTGCGTGCTGTTCCAAACGACTGCACTTGTCATCCTCCACGTGTCACCTGTCTGTCTCTTTTTTACAGACTGTTCCTTCATACGTTGGATCCCATGCAAGCTAATTCAGCAATCCTTGTGCCATGCTCTATCTGCACCTCAAGGCTGTTAGTGCATCTCACGCACCCCAACTCAATAAGTCAAACTTCAGTGCATCTCACGCACCCCAACTCAACAATTCAAAATACAGTGCATCTCACGCACCCCAACTCATTAACTCAAACTTCTGCATGCGCGCGCAGATGAAGGCGCTGACGGGGAGTCCCTTTGAGTGGCTGCGCGGCATGCTGGAGGCGTTCAACCATGGCGACCTGCACGCCTACGACGCCCTCTGCTCCAAGCACGCATCCGCGCTCAACTCGCAGCCGGCCCTCGTCGCCCACGAGCGCAAACTGCGCGAAAAGATCACCATCCTCTGCCTCATGGAGCTCATCTTCAAGTGCGCTGCCCTTTTCCTTGAGTCTCTGCTCACCCTGTCACTACTCCATTCTGGGGTTAAAACAAGATCTCTGCGCAGAGATGCCCCCTCTTTCTCTAGCCCCTCTTCGGCCATCACTGTTTCATTCTCGGGCCGCAGTGAAGGCCGAGCATGATGCTCTTGGACGATGGCATTCCTCCTGACTGTCCAGTGCACTCCTGCGGCCCCATTTTCCCTACCCTCCTTGTGCATTCTATCGGAGCACCCATCGGAAATGCTTTCAATGCAAAATAAGGTGGATATTTCAGAGGGGGTGGGTTTCTGCATGCAGCCTGCTGGCTGAGCACCGGCTGTTGTCAAATTGTGTCGCCCCCCACGGTCATGCGCTCGTCTCCTTTAGAGTAGTGTATTCAAAAAAGGCGTATTTTGAGAGAGGGTGGCATACATGCATGCAGCCTGCTCCTGCACTCCTGTCCTACAATTTGAGACAACACACTCCAACATGTGGAGAGGTGGAATAGCGGTTAGATGTCAGAGGGGTGGATTTGTGCATGCGCCTGCCGACCGAGCCTTGGCTGTTGTCAAATCTTGCCGCTCCCCACCTTCATGCACTCCATGTACCCCTACTCTATCCAGGCTCCCTCTGCACTTCGTTTAGAAGTTTTGGTAATTTCTTTTGGTAACTTAACCTGATGAATTACTCGAATAATGAACTCCAAAATGGCGGAGTCTGAGAGGGTGAGTGTATCTGCGCAGCCTGCCGGCGGAGCAGCGGCGGATTCCGCTGTCGGCGATAGCCGAGCGCACGAAGCTGAGCGTAGACGGCGTCGAATTCCTGCTCATGAAGACGCTGTCGCTGCACCTCATCGAAGGCGTCATTGACCAGGTCGACTCTACCGTCCAGGTCAGCGCACATGCCCCTGCTAAATAAACCCGTCTGATTCCACTTGATTCCATAACCCCATTTGCCAGGCATTGTGCGGGACTTGTTTTCATGTGGAGAGAGTCAGGTGCCTCTGGTGCTCCGCCAATGAAGAATCGTTAAAAGTGTTTTTTTAAAAAGAGCAGAGATGCGTGCATGCCAACAGACTTCCTCGTCACCAGGATCACCCGGTTGGAAGTCTTGTTGCGTAGAGTATTTTGTTCTCTGAGAGCTCCTGCAACACAAATACCCGGTACCACCAAAGTCCTGGAGTCTTGCGTATGCTACCGTGTCACAAATTCCTCGTCCTAGTGACAAGGTACTTTATACCTGGATGGATCCCATCATCTCTGAGGTGGGAGTGGGCTCTGGTGCGCGCAGGTGTCGTGGGTGCAGCCGCGTGTGCTGACGCTGGAGCAGGCGGCGGGGATGAAGGCGCGGCTGGACGACTGGATCTCCAAGGTCGCCTCAACCTCCATGATCCTGCGCGACGACCACATCGCAGCAATCGCCTGATGCAGCTGACGTGCCTGTGCTTGGAGGGCAAGGGTTGCGCTTGTGTGTGTGCATTTCACTGTGCAAGGACCGCAATTGTGTTCGTGCAAAGCTGTGCAAGGGCTGCAGTTGTGTGGGTGCATTGCACTGTGTAAGGACCTCAGTCGTGTCTGTACAAGCAGTGCAAGGACTGCAGTTGTGCCAGTGTAAGGTGCAGTGTGGGCCCACGCGGCGGCCTAGGCTAGTGCTCGCGGATAGCTTGAATGTTGATCATGATCATGGACACAAATGCGTTACTGTGACACTGCAGCAGCTGTGGGAGAGAGTTGTTGTGTTTGTGACCTGCATACCGTGGATGTGCTTGGTGCTGTAACCATGTGAGGCTTCACCATTGATCTTGACGGTGCAAAAACGTGCAAATCTCAATAAATTGCTCGCATAGCATGCATGCGCCAGATGGAAATGTTTGCACTGAGTAGCTCACACCACCGAGATATCATCAATCCAGACTTCCCCAAACAGGGTTCTGTAGACTGCACAAATAATTGCCCATATGTGTACACGCTTGAGGTTTGACCTCCACAGACAGTAATCCAGAACGAATACATACAAGACACAACGATAGCATGCACGTACACACAGCATCTTCCAAGCTGCATACAGTTTGGCAACCTGACTCTGAAGTCAAAGTTGGCACCCGCGCGCGTGTCACTTGGGGCTGTCGCAGCTGCGCAGCAGGGGCTCGTAGTCAGCAGCGACCTCGCTGTGCTTGGTGCGGATGTGCACGCTCAGCGACTGCAGCGAGATGCCCACCTTGTCGCTGCACACCGGGCACACGCGCGGCTCCGGCTTGGTCTTCTTCAACTGCGTACCACGCACCCACCCACCTTTTTTTGCACGCATAAGCCACTACTGTGCTTCTGTCAATCCAGGGAACCGCCTGTACAGTCAGTCAACTGTCCGGCAAGCGGTGGAGTCAAGATCGCCGTTTGCTCCTTGCAAGGTTGTGCTTTCCTCAAGCTCACAATATGCGAGGTGGCGCGGTGTGCTTTGGATTGCAAGCAGTGCATGCTTTGTATGACTTGAGGCTGTTGATGTGTCTCTTCCCAGTCCTTCATCCCTGTCCTTGTGAGGACAAATCAGAAGTGGTGAAAACTAAGAAGACAAAGCAGAGGGCGCACCTTGACGGTTTTGGTGCCGTGGAGGCTCTCCTCGAGGCGGATGAGGCGCGCCATGAAGCCCGCATTAGGACTCACCTGCGGCCGAGCAGCGCTCACAAAATCCAGCGCCTGCTTCAGCGTCCACTCCTGCACAAAGCGAAGCATTTAGCGCCAATCACTCGTCAGCCAGCCCGGATATCATTTCTTGGCTGTTGGCTCCAGCAACATCTAGAGCAAGATATACATGATTCCATCTTTGAGGACCGCATGAGAGCCCTACTTCCAGCCATGTGCTGCAGGATTTTTTAGTTTGGCAGTGTAACGGCTTGCCTGGGACTTCTCAAAGCAAGATGCTCTTTGATGGCAAAGTTTGGCTTGCAAAGTCCATGCATGTCCTCCAGCGCCGTCATTGCAAGAGAGAGGACCTTCGGAATCCTTCCTTGCCTGCTTTCCCTTCCCTTCCCTTCCTCGATGTAACACTCTGGACCCCCATGCCAGTCTGACTTCTAGATGGGGCATCCCATTACATGACATACATCAGGTAAGGAGGGGGGCATGCATGCTCACCTTGGCCTGCATGAAGTAGGCGAGCACGAGTGTGACGGAGCGGCTCTTGCCCTCGTGGCAGTGCACAAGAGCGGCGCCTCCGCTCTCGCGCGCCGCGTCGATGAACGCCGCTGCGCTGTCGAAGAATCGTCCGATGTCCTCCTCCTCCATGTCGCGCACCGCGCAGCGCAGGCTCCTGGATATCAGTCAATTGTGAGTCATTGTTTTTGTGGGAAGTGCCGCCGAATATCATCTGACGTTCCGGCGAGAGCAGGCCTGTGCGGCAACCATGCGCACATGACCCGTTGAGAGGCGTGTACATTCACAGGCTCTTTGTCCCTGCAGACGTCAATGTGATGCTTGTAGATAACAGGTGCAACTTAGTATGCTATAATAGTAAGAACGGCAAAGTCCAGTACTCTTATGGGTATTGTTCTCGCAAGCCGCTGTCCTGCTCCAAGGGTGCAAAAGAAGCGCCTCTCTGAACCGCGGGTAGCTGAAGGGCCGCACATGAAGAATACGATTGCAAGTCACTATTTCAGGCGCCTCAAGCCTGATACCTGCTTCCAGCCGAGCGCATGCATACCCCTCGCAAGGGAGACAACTCACCGGAAGGCGGCGTCGGGGTCGGGCAGGAGCAGGTCGTCGGTGGCGTTGAGGACATGGGTGACTCCCAGGTGGCGCAGAAGGTGCAGGCTGTTGGCCTCGACCGCACCCCCCACCCACAAGTGATCCAGCAGCCGCGTCGGCCGAGCCGTCGCCGCTGCGTCCTGCAGGCAGCGCAGCCGCTGCAGCATGTGCTCCAGCCGCACCTGTTTCCCGCGCACAGCAGACACCCGTTTCCAAGGACTCTGCTTGGCTTCAAAGCTGCTTTGCTCTTATCTTCGGGGCCTTGGTAGTCTTGGTGGTTTCATGTAGAGCTGACTGTGATCTCGCATCATGCTGAGCAACGTGCCTGCTGCTACGTGGACTGCAATCTTCAGCATTCTGTTCAACGTACAGCATGGATCATGTGGGAGGCTGCGCCACATTGACACTCACTCGTTTCTCTAGGCAAGGTGCAGGCTGATAAGACGCGCCTTGAGCTCGTAGGCGTCGACGATGGGGTGTGTGCCATCCAGGAAGCCGGTGGTCAGCCGCGGGGCTCCGGTGCTGCTGGCACGCTTGGTCTGCCACTCCTCGACCGCCGCCCGCAGCTCCTCGCCTGACGCACCATCAGCACAGCAAGACTGCTCAAAGTAGACCCCAACATTGAAATAACATCATTGCACCATAGGATGAGATGCCCAGGGGATTACTTCCCAAGAGGACACTGTCCCTCAAACATTGCACAGTACGGTACATGGCCATATGCTGTTCCTCATGTCGCGTCTTGTCCCCGCACCCTTGGCAGTTGGCGTCAACCAAAGCCCCCCTTTATCTATTGCAGCCATCAAGAGAGTGTGTAGAGATAAATAGGCATCAGAAGGTAGAGGGCCTCACCAGGCCATGCCGCTGTGGTGTCTAGTATAGGGGACCTCAAAAAGTGTCAAGCAATTGAGCAGAGTCTATGATGGAGGAAGTCAAGATAGAAGGATATTCACAGCCGCACCGCGCTCGCGCATGGCGGTTATTGCTGATTAGCAAAGGTACCAACAGGTGTCAAAGAAGTACTAGTTAGTAACCGCAGCCTTCGCTGGAGTCAATACGAAAAGAAATTCAAATGACATAAGTAGGAGAATGGAAATACCGCGTTTGCGCATGGCGGCCTTCCAATGGTCCAGGCGCTCGGAGATGAGCTCGTTGACGCGCGCCTCCCGGCCTATGCTGCGGATCTTCTGCGTCGTGCTTATGGATGTGCGCGGGCTGCTGGGACCCCACCGCGCGCCGCCTGTTTTTGGCACCACAAATGCGTGTCAGGCAAATGAGCAGGAAACCGGAATTTCCTCCTCCCCCCAGAGCATGGAACGACCAAGGGTGAAGGTATACGCTAGTGTAACGTACAACACATGCCAGCGGGTAACGCAAGCGGCTGACGTCATCGATGGGGTCATGCACGTGCTCAGCAGCGCCACATCATTCTTACCTGACAAAGCAATGCAGTAGACAGATCTTGGACAACTTCAACATGAAATCTTGACTCGGGGCGGTAAGGAGCATATTTTCAGGACAAAACAGTACACGTTGAGTACTGGGGGTATATAATCTGGGAGAGGGAGCTAACCGGGTGTCAGATGGCTGGCGGTCGGTGGATTGGTGATGTGCACAGATGAGATAGGAGAGGCGCTGGGGGGTGTGGTGGGGCGCGTCCCCGGGGGCGTTCCTGGCACCTCAGTGGTGCTCTCCACATCCTGGCAGCATACAATGCCTGAAATTCACACTTTTAACCCACTGTACCAGGATGGCTTCTCCTACAAAGCACCGCCGACGAGTGGTACTTCACGTATGCTGCTACCGTAGGCTAGACTCAGTCCATACAGAGAGCAGCTTGCGACGCCTCTCTGGACAAGCAAGCATGCATGCAGACTGGTATGAGAACTAGGCACAGTCACACAAAAGAGCAATGACAAGGAGACTGGTGCCTGATGGGGAGTAGTAGTAGCCTTTCTTTGCCAGCGCAAGGGGCGAAAACTGCGTGTTGGTATGCCACGCTCCTCGCATTGCCTCAGGAAGCACCTATTTGGGAGTAAAGCATCTGTTGTGTGAGGTATCTGCAGAGAAAAGGAAAGATCACCTCCATGTCGCGGATGAACTCGTCGATCCAGCCGGAGAGCACATCAAACATCATTTCCAGCAGTCCCTTGATGTGCAGCGTCGCCTGCAGGCTCGTCAGCAACCCCTGCCCAGCACACAGGACCGCCGATCTTAGCCCGCATATCATCGTGCTAGAGACTTTGTGCTGATAAATAGATCAGCTGCTCTGGTCCTGTCTGCATGTCTGCACCGGGGTCTCTCTATAGCACAATCCTATTGTGTGAACACATTCCATGCTTCATCTACAGCACTGAAAAGCCCGCATCAATGGCCGCGGGATAGCACATCCCGCAATGACTAAACATGTAGCAAAGGCTAGAACGGACACTGCTGATTGGGCTACTTTTAAAAGACTCTCTCCCATCTCAATGCATATTGCTGTCAAAAGTGGGGAGCCCAGACACAAGCAGCATAAGGGGCCCCATCACGATCAAATCCAAAATAAGGCCCTTCCTTCTCATTTCATGCTGCCACCAAGAACAGATCGCAGAGTGCAACTGCACACCTGCTGGAAAGCCTTGTGGACGTCCGGGTTGCTGACAGCTTCCACAGCGAATGCACTGCTGGACACGGCCTCCCTAAGCACGCTGCCTGCCACGCCCACGTCATTCAGCGCCAGCTCGGCCAGCTTGTTGCAGGCTGCATCCTCCAGCCACATCTTGCCGCCTGCAAACCAGTTAACTCCTCTTGACCTTTGCCGGCCATGCAACAGTGCAGTGCTCCTACCTACACAAGCGGACCAAATTGCATGTGAGTAACCGTGTCTGAAGTCTCACAGCCTGGCATGGAAGCGTGGTCGTTCAGGGACCTTTGAGCAGCGAGACGTCTGAAAGGCTGCACCCAACTGAGGTATGCTAGGCCAGGGCAGTGGGCTTTCATCTATACGATTTCAGCCGAGGCGTGCCTGCATGCATGCAGTGAAGACTACGTGCACATGCACAGCAACGCTTATCTTGCTCGCCACCAGCTGCAAGCGCTGGCAACATATTTGGCATGCTGGGGCGGAGAGACACGGACAAATTGGACGCGCAATCCGCGCATGATAATCACAATGATGCTTGTGAACCCTGGAACCTGGACGGGTCTGGAAACCCAAGCGTTACTTAGCATGGATAAGCGCAACGCAAAGACAAGCTCGGCTCAGCGCAATATCTCCAGATCACACCTGGCGGGCGGCGCTGCACTGCTGAGTCGATGGCGACCATGCGGCCGGCGTGCGCGCCAGCGGTGCAGAAGAGAACGTTGTGGGGGTTGCCTCGCCACCCCAGCGTCGCACAGGGCAGCTGGTCCGCGTTGCCCAGCAGCATGTCCAGCAGGAACAGCCTGCGCATGCAATTTTTAAAATAAGGAACGGATTGGGATTTTGCAGCCAGGGCTGTCACTGTCCATCCTGCCATAGCAAGGTGCGTTGGAATAAAGAAAAAAACAGCCTACGGGTGCGAATTTTCCAGTTGGGCTTTAAGTTGGTTTGTAGCAGGGTCAGCACACTGCCTCTGTGGTGCTATAGCAAGACCGTTAGCAAAAGCAGAGTGAGCGTGTCGGACTGGTGTAACGGCATATAGAATTGGAATTTTTATTGCATTTTTTCTTTCTGATGCAGTTAGCAGCAGGACTGAAGCTGGCTTGAAGAGCATTGCATGCCAGGCTGGAGCACGACACGCCATGAGACCATTGCACACGCAGACTCCATCAATACCGGGCCCCAGGATGTCCGCCATGTGATTATAAAATTAAGCAACACAGTGCAGCAGGTAGTGTTGCTGCACTCAGGCCAGTTTGAAAACAAGAAAGAAAACTATGAAGACTTAATAGCCAAGACGTCACCTGCCGAGGTCTTCAGCGGTGCGCAGGATCTGGGCCGGCTGGAAGGGCTGCTGCAGGTGGAAGAGGGCGCGGCCGGGGATGTACTCCATCACTAGCATGCACGCTGAGCGCGCCATCTGCTCCTCAAGATCCGCCCCCCTCCTCCCCAGCAGCATCGCCGCGCCGTGCGCCTCTTTCCACTCCTCAGCCGTCGCCCCCTGCCGCATCCGAAAAGCTTTGTGACAGTTGGTGAAAATTGAAATGCAGATAGTGGTTGCACAAGACCTTGGCTCCACAGAGCGCCACTGGCCTTTGGCCGCGTTTGGGGCCCCTTATTGAGTGCAAACGAAGCAAATGAATTTAGCGAGTCTAGGGTGTCTGCCGCAAAGCAATTAGTTTGTTCAATCCACTGCATTACAAGGTGCCAGCTCGAACTGCTGCCGCGCTTTGGCGCAAAGAAGTCCCCATCGACTTTGATGGAGCCAGGAGGGAAGGCCCTTGAAAGTTGATCATGATTTGCCATACAACTCACAATATGCTATGCAGGACATTTACAGCTGAGTTCTCTGTCAGATCCTTGAAATGCATTCGGGGAAGCTAGTGCTGAAAGACTTTGACTTCCCGGAGAGTGACTTTCTGTCAGCTCTTGGGTGCACAGCTGCTCACCGCCCTCACAAGAGCTCTGCAAACAGGCTGCTGAAGAAGACAGGACAAGAATTCTGATGATCCAATGAGAGGGTGGCAGCAAATGAGACTGGTAGCATCATGGCGTGCTAAGTAAACAGTTTACAGCGGCGCACCATGCGGCGTAGGATGCGGCAGGCGGGGGCGCAGATGCCCAGGTGCTGAGTCAGCTCGTTGGCAAACTGCTCGCTCTGGCTGGCCAGCCGCGCCTGGTGCACCTACTCACAAGTACATGATGGTAGTTCAGTTGCAAGAAGCTACACAGCTGCAAAGCTTTACTGGCATGTCGGCCTGAAGGAAAGTCATGCGCGTGATGACAAGAAAAAAGTGGTGATGACATGGCGTCCCTTTTGTAAACACTCTGCACCTTCCTTGGATGCACCAATGTGCATGACAGGCACCTAGTTGTCGTTGAGTCCAGGGTAAGAAATAAGCACAGCACTAAAATTTGTGCATTCCTCTTGACTCGAAGCCCAAAAATGAAAACCATGCGTGCGCATCAACAAGACCTTGATCCCGCAGCAGTAAGAAACGGCAGAAGAAGTTCGACTCCAGGGAGGGAGGAGATCAGGAACATAATTTTTGAACGCACCTTCACGATGACCACGCGTTCGGGGGCGTGCTCCGACCCGGCCGGGGAGGGGCTGCGGGACCCCCCTCTGAGCGAGCTGCAGGGGGAGAACCTTCCGCTGCCGCCATCCCCCGGCGACGGCTGCGTGCTCGGAGACGCCGATACCTCTGGGCTCCTGGGCCGGTCTGCCGCGCAAAGAGACTGCTGCAGAACTCCATGTGCCAAAGACGATCTGGACTCGTTTGTACCGCTGTGAGCATGTCTGTGCTGTGGTGACTGCGCTGGCGCATTGTCCTGCTGCAGAGGTGTGGCCGAGCAAAGCTGGGCACCGGAGAGTGTATCCTGCGCCGGGCGCTCCCGAGGTGCGGCCGACGGCGGCATGCTGTTCCCTTCTTCCCCAGCAGCCGCGCTGTCAAACGCATGGACCAGGCTCCGCCCACTGCCGGGCTGCCTCATCTGCTGAGATGAGTGCTGCTGGGATGTACTGTCATGATGCTGTTGCTGCTTCTCACTGTCCTGCTGGGAGCCGGAGTGTGTGTGTTGCGAATCGCGTTGGTGGCTGCGGCTTCGGTGGGTGTGGCCTGTGGGACCTGACAGGAAGCAGAACATGACGTGGCCGCCCGAATTCACCTCCACCAGTCCCCCACCTGCATCAACCGCCGGGACTCCTTTTAGAGCAAGTTATTTTTCCTCTCAATTCCAGGGACGCGCAATATCAAAGCACTTGGCATGAAAGGCAGGGATGCGAAATATGAGTCTGGCTAGATCTGTGGTACCAGCGTATTGTATTTCACGCAGCCCCAACCAAAGAACACCACGGGCAGTCACAAACGTCAAATGCATGGCGTGCAGGGGTGCGGCACGCCATGACATGCACAGAAATAACACGTGCATTTGGCACAGCTGGGTATGGCAGGAAGGTTAGAGAAAGATTACTGTACCTCGGGGTGAGGTGTATAGCTGCGCCTCGTCAGTGCCAGACTGGCATGCCTCGCTGGCGGCAGCATGCTCCGTCTCAAACTTGAGCATCTCCGACCCGATCACCAATGTCAGCTGCTTCCAGTCTATCTCCCCGGCCCCTGCGCATGCATGCGGAGTTGTAGACACCCACAGCAGTCTATTACGTGGTGTACGTCAGGTATGCGAAGACAGGCCTGGCTGGTCTGTTTTGACATCAACCTCAGGGGTACAGTGGCGTCAAGAAAGGGGCACACACCTATTGGGCAGGGAACTCCGGCGGACAGACGGTGCTGGAAGCCGCCCTCTTCCTTGTAGGAGGATCGCCGCGAGGCCTTGGGCGGCTGGGACGCGCCGCCGCTGCCGCTGGCGCTGATTTTTAATTTTGGCGCTGCCTCGAAGAGGAGCACCGCCAGCTCAGCGGCGTCCTCCGGCTGCTCTGCCAGCCAGTCCCATGTGCGTCTCACCACCTGCGCGCACCGCATTTGGATCTGAGTTTCTTTTGTTTCAATTTCTATTGTGGAAACTGGCCGCGATATCCATCCTTAACGGGGGCTAGGTGCCCTTGCACAGGCAGGCAGCCCTGAAGGCGTTTGCATATTTGACGTCCAAGCACTTTCAGGACTGGCCAGAGCCTAATACCATGACGTACCCACTACCAATCTATGACCAACCATACCAGCAGCCAAGCAAGTTGCTGTTGGTCACGATCCCCAAACGACCGATCCACATTACCAATACCAGGCATGTGCTCCATGGCAAGTTGTTTGCAGGTACAGGGGCTGCACAGGCCAGTGCCTTGTCAAAGATCTATGACTAGCAAAAGTAATGACCAACCTTTTCCGGTGAGTCGAGCGGCCCGGCGGCTGCGGCGTTGGCGGCCAGCATGGCGGTGACGGCGCCGGCCGCCAGCGCGATGGTATCGGCCTCCAGCTGCCTCACTGCATTGCTGGCGCGCCATTTGGAGGGACTGGGAGACTTCATGGCGCGCTGCCACTCCTGCACCGCCTTCTCGCCCTCCGAGGAGCTCCGCGCCGCGCCTGCGCAATTGAAAGGAACGAAAACGGAATAATATTAGTCAGTAAAAGCATGAATGAATGACTGGAGCATCTCCAGTGGTGTAGCAAGGTATGCATGACATCTCTGTGAAGGCCACTAGACTTTTACTCATACTTCAGATATGGCCAATTCCTGTCCAGCTTCGAGCAGGGATCTGTCTGCCAGCATGGTAAGGCATGCATGTCTCCAAGATGCCAGGTACAGGCTTTGATGGCAGGTGCTGAAAACGGATCTGCGGCAACGGGCAGTTGCAGCACCATGCAACAAAGGTGCGTAGAATTCCCTGAGTGTGATGTCTAGGTGGTGTTTAGCATGTTGGAAATGATAAAGGGTTCAAAAGTGGAAACTTGCGCAGAGGCACAGGCCTTAAGCTCACCCTGCTTGCCAGCGCTGGAGCGGGGGGAGAGGATGAGGGGCGGCGGCCGGCGGGAGTGGCGCCCTTTTACGTGCGACCAGGAGCCGCCCTTTTTAGGCGGCGACGGAGATTTTTTTGGGCTCAGCCGCTTTCGTGCGGCCGCGGCGGAGGCCGGCGACCGCGGTGGGCGATGCAGTTGCTGCCTGGATATTGAACTATTGTTTATAAACATTTGACCAGATGGTCAAGTTATTTTGATGATGACAGGCTTGTATATGTTTATCGGATAAACATATACAAGGCTGTCATCATCAAAATAACTTTATCCCTCCTCATCATCTATCAGCTGTATGACGTCAGGAATAATGCAACCATAAAGCTGCTGCGGACAAGAATGGTTGACGCCAGAGCAGAACTGCAATGTTCAGCACAGACGCAAAGCGGTCGGCGCTATGGGTAGGAAGCACCAGTTTTCCCCCCAAAAAGGAATTTTGCACATGAGTTGAACGGGAGGAGGGGGAAACCTGACAGGAGACGTCTGTGCAGTGGGGCTGTGCGGTGGCGTGGCATCCAGCATCCCTGAGATCTCCTCTTCATCATCTGAGAGCTCCAGCGCTTGCAGCTGCCTCCAGGCCGCAACAGGCCCGCTGCTGTGAGCCGCAGGGCTAGGCAAGCAGCCTCCATCTTGCTGCTGACTCATCAGATTAGACGCAGCGTTGATAGTGAAAGAACCTGCCCCTGATGCCTTTGGGCTGCTGATGCCTACTGCTGCAGTGCTTAATAGATCTCCTCCAGCTGAAAAGGGGGGTCTCAGGATCTGCTCGTGTTGATCGTCTAATTTCCGAGCTGGTTGTGTGCCTGCAAAATCACCAGTGGCAAGTGAACGTCAGGGGCGTCAATCAGAGCGTGCTTGCACCTGCGCTTTTTTGTCAGAATGTCAAGGAACAAGAACAAGGGGTAACAAGAGGTCTGAGTGGGTGCCTGAATGGGTTGACGTTCCTGGTTGGCTGGCTGCACGCACAGCAGGGCATCTGTGGGAAGCTGACCACGCTTGTACTGGGGAGGGGTCTCCTTGCGGGCAGGATGGCTGTCCAGAGAATACAAATTCCTTTCCTGCTACAGATGTAGGTATGTGTTCGTCAGAGACGGGCTGAGTGTCCATCCCAGCTGCTATTTCCACCCCTGGCTTAATGGAGCTGTAGGGAGCTGGGGGTCTCCAAGGAATGCAGAACGCACAATTAGGTCAGCAGGTGTTCTGGGAGAATGATAGCCGATTAAGATTGCAAGTTCGCGCCTTCAAACATGACCTTCCTAAGCGATGTATATAACAATATGTGCATGCAGTGCTTGCTTTTGGGGGGATGGCCTGAATAACTCTCACTCATCCTTTCACCTCTGACTTCAGCTCATTTGGGATCCTGCCGTTCAGTCGTATACAGGTCGACGAGCATTCCTAAGCCCTCTACATGCTCCACAAGAATAAGTGATGTCCACAACGATCTTGAATGGCAAAAGCAGCTGCAAAGCGCCTCTAACACTTCTAATCGTTTTTGAAAGCTACAAAATCGCTGAGCAAGTCTACAGTAGACTGTCTACTAAAGACGAGAAGAAGTGGACGCAAGCCTAGTAACGGAGCTGGCAGAGTTGCCAAGTTTGGATTCGGAAGTCTTATTTTAAATTATTCTCGCACATGCAACATGTGCAACAGATTGCCTTTGTCTGCAAAGATTTATACGTGGTGGTCTCAATCCTTCAGCAGAGACACTGACTTTGCATCAGCTGTACTGTTCTGAGAGCGATCCTCCTTGGGATCAATAGGTAGGGACGACTAGTCAGTCGTCGATCAAAGGATCCGCACTCTATGGCGTCCTACTCACCTTTGCTGTCGCATATGACGCATCGAACCCTGCCAACACCGTGGATTCCAGTGAAGCACTCCTCCAGCAGCGGTGTAGCACCATCTACAAGGCACTGCAGACACACACATGTCTTAAGAAGGGCCTTAACGCTTCGAACACCAGATGGTAATGCCAAAGAGTTCTATCAAGTGCGTTCATGCCTTGGCAAGCTCCTTTTCTCTCTGCAGGTGCACCAGACTTGCTGACATCCTAGTCTCTCAGGCTTTCTTTCCGTCCAGGATACGATCAGCATAGGAAGCTCCAGCACGGCTGACTTCCGCATAAATGGCCCAAACGTTGCTTCAGAGCATGCACAATTGGCCCAGAGGAGTGGGCGCACCTTCTGCACTGCTCTGGTGGGAGAGGAGGATGACCTCACAAGCAGCACGTACACTTGGCTGAATGGCGATCAGATCAGGAAAGGTGATCTCCGCAGATAGCTTTACACTGGTCTTCTACAGGCCGTGAGCATGTATGATGCACCCTGGATTGCACAGTACCTGTCAATCTCCTGATGCTCTCATGGGATAGGACTGCGGCAAACATGGATCCACTTTTGCTCTCTAGATCTCAAGATATGGTTACCAGGGCAGCATGACATGCCCTTGATAACTGCTTGGCAACCATGGTGCTGCCTCTCCTGCTTCAAGACAAGGGGATCTGAAAGCTTCAGTATCATCATTTAAAGTCTGGTGCAATGCAGGCGTGGCATATGTAGTGGCGCCAGAGACAAAACTTGCTTTTGGGGAGCATGGGAATGTCTGTGTGGTGGACTTTACGGAGAGCAGTGGAAACAGCGCAATTTTTGAGACATTGCTGAAAGGCATGGCGGCCGGAGCGAGTGATGATGTGAAGAAGCAAGTTCTGGACAGCCTTGACAAATGAATGTGTATAAAATGTGCAAAATTCTAGCATGCAGGAGTCCGAAGAATACTGTTTCTGGAAGGGCTGCTGCTGTTTCAAGCTGCTTCAAAGCACAAGTGTAAGGGGCAAAAACAAATATGCTGGTATTTTCAAGGCCTTTTATATATGTCAACGAGCCTAATGTGGGTTCCCTTCAGGGAAGAATAAATACCACAATCTTGACCACAATATCAGGACAATATAAACACTTCAGACGATATGCATACCACAACAGTCTCTCTCACACTTTGCAGCACATTCTGTTCCAAAAGTTGCTCTGGTTCTATACTGCCTTGGTAGCATTTCTTCTCAATTCAAGACTCCAACATCGATGCCTACTTACTATGACTCAAGGTTGCAGTAAGGATGTGCAGATTATTGCACATCACCAAGCGAGACATGTCATCATCAAAGATGAGCTCATGCTTTGCTGCTCTCCCATCGCTGATATCTGCATTAGTCTAACGTTTCTCTTGCTGTTCAAATACTGAACAACCAACAATCGTCAACATACAGCAAAGGGAGTTCCCTGCATTACAGCTGGTTTCCGACAAGCCAATGATTCATCTATTACGGTGTATACAGGTGCCGTGAGCTTTGCAGCTCGCCAGCATGTTCTTATGTGCCAAGCTTCCCCTGCAGTGCACAGGAGCTTGGCAGTTCCCATATGTTGGTTTCTGCGTCTCTCGTGCGTGTGCCACTCGTGCGTGTGACACAACCCTTGACACAAAGGGTGCCTTGCCATGAGGCAGAATGACACAACCTGCTGTCAAAGTAGTACGGAACTACATCTGCCCACCTACGGTGGCAACATCCAGATATATCCCTCTATCAGAGATATAGATGTGCCTGCATCAAATGGTGATAGCTGGCAGGAATAATACGAGTGTCTGCGCGGCAATCAGCTGCTCTGTTCCTGTCCTCTCCTCTTATTGCGCCCACACATAAGAACGGCAGCAGGGCACAGCATGAAAAATGCCACAGTAGTTAATGCAGCGCAGAGCATGAAACCCTTGCATGCGGTGCAGATAGGATGCACAACAATGAACCCGCAACATGCGCCCAATTAAACAGGGCGCAACAAATACCCACACGTTGCCTCTCTCTTGAGTTCACCCGCTGGAGGGAGCCACCCGCTGACCCCACCCTTCCAAGGGATTCTTCAATTTCGGCAGCTGCAGGCCGAGGAAGCTTCCCTGCTGCTTCTGCAACGGCTTCACTGCATCTCCAGGGCTGGCCGAAGCTTCCCTACATGTGCTCTCAGCTGGGCCCTTCCCCCAAACCGGCCACTGGAATTGCCCAGCAGTGTTCTGCTTCTGGGCTGGCTCGGCAGTGACACTAAATTTCTGCACTGGTGTGGGTGCCAGGCTGCCTGCCTCCATCTTGCTCATCGCTGGGGTGGCATTGGGCAACGATGGCAGGGGCTCGGCAGTCCTCGCTGGAACGGACGAGGCTTCCTTGGAGGCGGCCTCATTTGGCCACTGCTGCGCGAAGGGGTTCTGTATTTGCGGCAGCTTCCAGTTCCACGGTAGCTGCATCCCGGGCCCTGCAGCAAAGCGCCAACAGCATTGGTGAGCACCAATGGGATCAAAGGGCATGCAGGGGCGACCATACCCGTGATGTATATAGCATGCTTAGCATCATATGGGTATAAAAATAACATTAAAAGACATTGGGTGTGTCACTCTACCTTGCTGCTGGGTATCTTCGGCTGCGGTGCTCTGAACGGTGGCGCCAGAGGCTGGCCTGCGCTTGACGCTCCTCCTGAGGTCCTTCACCAGCAGCTCAGCATCCACCTGTGTGGCAAGAGACGAACGGATTCACATACATAGCCTCATCATACACAGGTCAATCTCTCTATCACAGCCATCCTTGACTCGTCCTTGCAGAGGGCGCATGCTTGCTAGGCATACAACAAGGCCAATTGTTACGTACACTCTGCCACTTCGAGTGCATCACCATTCACTCAGAGCCATCACCATGTCGACCTGTCAAGAGATGATTTATGGCACCCGTTCACCGCAACTGAGGCACCCAACACATGATAATCACAACACCAGAACAGCTGTTGAAATTCTCAGATTCTCGGAAGCTGTGTCACTGCCAGGCTGGACTGGAGCGGTGGCCACCACCTTTTGCAGGTGGGCGTTGATGTCCTCGACATCAAGGGTGACTGCATGCTCCAGCTCATGCAGCGCTTGCTCCTTTTCGCCCATGCGCGCCAAGCTGCGCCCGATCTCCACCCTGCATGCCACCCGCATCAGCCTACCCTGACAATGCGCAACTGCAGCCGCTATGCTGCCGCTATGGACAAGCGTTGCTCCTGTCATTTGGGTGCATCTGGACACTTGCAGCAAATGGCCCTGGCACGCCCAGATGGCAAAGAGCACGCAGGCCAATAGCGAAAGCAAGGCGATCGGAAGACTAAAGAGCCTTACATCTGAGATTGTCTGTGCCTGTTGATAGCTTAAAGGTACAAGGTGTCCCTAGCACTCGTGCTCACAGCCCCACAGGCATCACATTGCTCAAGCATTCTGTCGCGTTTTAGCCTTGACATGAGAAGCGGCACAATGACAGAGATTTTGCTACACGCAGCTTGTTAAAGCTGTCAAGGAACAGCGTCTTCCTGCCAGATGAGGCAGAGGTGCAGCACCGGTGCACAAGAAGTTGATCACTGCATCTGTCTTGGAGCTTTTGAGCAATGCCACGGTGAAAGACCAGAAACACTGTAAAATAGGGCGCCCCTATCTCTATTGGCATTTGTCAAGCACAGCAATGTCCCAGTAAGATGGCGAAAATAAGTGCGGAACGGCGCACCGGTGCACGAGGCGGGCAGGGTTGAGCTCTGCGGCGCGGCGGTAATAACGCAGTGCTTCGGTGTGGCTGCCGGTGGCGAGGTCGGTGCCGTACATGAGGCGAATGAGCGCGCGCACGATTCCATTGATGTTGGCCATCTCCCAGTGCCAGCGGCCCATTAGGTGATTCGCCAGGTCATCGGCCGGCTCTTTCTCCAACGCTCTCACCGCATGCTCCCGCGCCTCCTTCGCCAGCCGCACCTGCCGCATGAGCACGAATTCGAATTCAAAATTCAAACTTCGAACCTTCAAATTCAAAATACCTGGAAAAGCCACTCTGTGCTGGTTGAGTCGGGGTGTGCTGGGTCCATGAGCACGCGTGTTTGAACCCATCTGACATGTGACATCAAAAGATCAATGTGCATCGGTGTGAACAAGCTTGCCAATTTCATCTGTGCGCCCGCACACACTGAAAGCATGCAACAGCACAACAAAAAGGTGTCAGGCGTGCCCATGGTGGTACTTTGGGCTATGAGCGGAAGGTAAAAAGAACTCCTTTAAAAATAAGTGTGGACCAGGAGGCTGAGGCAGACCTTGGTCTTGTTGTCTGAGAAGACAGCCATGCGGCCCATGCTGATGCAGCACGCCACGTGTGGCAGCGCCCTTGCCGGCGACATGCTGATCGCCTGCCACAAAAATAATGCAAAGATGCTGGTCACTCATTTGCTCAGTGCTTAGCTCCCCAATTGGAGGGCAGACAAAAACATGCTCATAGTAATGCGTAGAAGTACAGCCTAGCAACATCAGACTGCCCCCTTCGTTTCACAGGACTGCACACATGAAATTCTGCTGTGCAGTCCCTATCATTGCATTGCTCCGACGCTCCTTCAAGCAGAAATACTAACTCCACACACCATTAAAACCACTGTAGAAGTTGTCTGCAACTTGTCTCGTCATGGAAAGTCTCATCGTGGAAAGAGGCGAAGCATCCCCCGCCCACCTGATTGGCAAACTCGATGGCCTTCAGGTTGACGTCAAGCTTGTCCTGGACCGTCAGGCGTTCTTTGTGGATCTCGTCCAGGTAGCACACATCAGACCACGCCTTGGCTGCCAGGCACAGCGTGTCCGGCGTGTTCGGCACAAGCTTGTTCGCATCCTGCGCGCAGCACATGATATTGCTGGCTGACTGATAGGGCTCCCACCGACGAGACCAACTGCCGTGAGTGTGTGATGGATACTGCATGCAGACTTCAGAGAGTAGTCCTGCCCGGTGGGGTGGTTTGCTTGTGGTTCATTGAGAGCCATTGGCGAGGATATCAACAGCAAAGACTCTAGGTCCTGTTTGACAGATTCAACCCCCAGATATCTGCAGAGAGAACATCAAATTGAGTCCTTCTTGTCAGGCTAGAAGGTCGCTCTTCTTTGAATTAAGGAAAGATCTTTGAGCAGTGGACATGAGGAAGACAGCTGTGCAGATTACCTCGTAGCAGCGCAGTGCTGCCCTCACATCCATCTCACGCTCATACTCCTTCCCCTTCTTGATCAGCGCCTCTGCAGTCGCTTTCGCGCCCCCAATGCGGCTGCACCACAGGCAAGAATTCAATTCCATTGCCCAATGCACACTCCCTTGTCCTGTCCTCGATCAAAGAGGCCTTCCATTGTTGCCAGAAGCAGAGCTCCCCATTCTGGCAACAGGACTTCCCCAAATCTAGTATGTAGGAGTGCTGAGCAGCAGTGCTGTCATACACAGGCAAGAGGGCTCACAAGATGCCGTTTTCGTTGTGCGGGCCTCGTCGCCGCTTGCGCTGCCAAGGAAAGGCCAGCTTCAGTGGGTTGTGGTGCTCCTCGCCCCTCTCCTTTGCTCGCTTTGCCTGCTTGCGCAGCTCCCCTGTGCAGGGAACGAGGTCCGTAACTAAGATGTCCATGCCTTAGTAAATGAAAGACTGGTCTTGCAAACCATAAGGAGTTTGTCAGCGTGAGTAGGAACTGCAAGCGATGCGGTTGCCCTGATTGTGATGATATTGTAGAAAGGTATGGGCAGTATATGCACACCTTCCTCCTTCATTTTGGCATGGTGCTCCTTTATCCTGTTTCCAATCCTGCCCACCTTTCCCACGACTGCAGCTCCCAATAGTATGGCAGCCCTGTGAACATTATTCCTGGCCTGCATAGCAACGACAGAGAGGTCAGCACATTCAGGGTCCTCCTGTGTAGTCTGGCTTCCGCAGCAACGATGCTGGACCTCCCAAAGCTTGCTGCAGAGCATTAGTGGACAAAGGCGATCACTGAGTGGGGCAACAAGGTTCCCACACACCTGGACTGCCACTATGACACCCTCATCCTCGACGAGCAATGGGGCCTTTTTGGATGTCGCCTCTCGAGTCCTCTCAGATACCGGCTGCTTTTGGAAAGCAGAATGCTTTGCATGCAACGGCTCACGAGGCAGAGGTAGCCCCAAGGGGTGCGATTGAAGGTGCTGCTGCAGCCTCTGCACTCCCTCAGAAACGGATGCGAGGATCTGCTGCGGTTTGCATGGGAGCGCCAAGATATCTCGGGAATCCTTTTTCATAGCTCCGACTGAGACGCTGGGCAAGAAAGCTGATCTTCAGTAGAAAGCTTGCTCTGCTGACTGGGCGAAAGGGGTGACTGGTTCAGCACAAATGACCATCTGTCGAGCCCATGCTACACAGTCAAAGACAATCCAATACAACGACGTCCTAGCGTGTTGTGCAGAATCTTGGGCGGTTTTCTGATCAGAACTCAAGCAAGTCAAACTCGATCTTATCTGCAGAACACTGATCGGCGCGGCACAACAGCTGCCGGGTCCTGAACCCGTGCAACAGCTTTATTCTAGAAAAGTCTACGGATAATTCCCACGGACGCCGGGAATACGCTTCGCAGAATTCTTTTGGGCCAAGTCGCGGACCAGCTGCACTGCAGGTCCTGCAATTCGGGCAGCTTTGGCAGCTGGGCAGGAAGGTGGGCAGCTCACCACCCCCCTCCACGATCTGACTAGACACGCTCTTCTGACTTTGTGGGCTTTAGAAAATCTTCATCCTGATTACATTACCGTGGAGCTGAAGCTCCTCTCGTGAACATCAATGCATATTGACATCCTGAGAGCTTGCTTCAGCATTTGCATGCATACATATGTCACAAGCCGCTTGTTCATGATCACTGAGGGCATCACACTCAGGGCTTCAGGCATAAGCAAGGTGCTGAGTTATATTATCGTATACAGTGATTACCCACAGTAGCCTTCACGCAAGTCTTCATAGTCTGCCAGCTGTGCAGATCTGACCTCAGGCTGATCTGAGTGGTGACGCTCAAACCACAACCTTGGTCTAATCTTTGGTTGTGGTGATGATCATGAATACACAGTGCGGCATGGCCCCTTGGCTTCCAGCAGGAACTCCAGCCTGAATCCCCTTGGAGTCTTGCCCAGGCACAGTCAGGACAATGAGATTGGCCGGCACGCCGTTCAAAGTCCCCAAGTCCACCAAGGCGCCCATTTTCTTCTTGTCCATTTCAAGCGCCAGTGCCTGCACACCAATATCCAAAATTTGTTAATCACCATGTCAAGTCGTGCCTACTTTTCCTGCCTTTCCTACCAGGTGCTTTCCTGTCTTGCAGGTCAGGCTGGCACTTTAGAGTCCAGCTGATGTACACTCCAGTTGATTACGAACTGGCCAGCAGGGGGTACCAAATGCTGCAGAGGGTATTATGGGTCAACGCGTCCTCCACCCCTTTGCCAATGCATAGGTTCTGCGCAAGCTGCTTCTTGACCTCACGTTCTCAATTATGACCTACTGCGATGTGTGCTCAGAGTGGTTTTTGAGAGCAAGAGAGCTGCAGAGGTGAGACTCACCTTCCCTGTCTCCTCCAGCTCGATGATGTTCAGAACCCCCCTCTGAAGGCCCCTGCCTCGATCCTTTACAAGATGGTTCAGGTCTGCCCTGTTGGTCAGCTTGTTGATCACCTGCGCAACGAGTGCATCAGTCATGGGTCTGCATGCTTATGTGGTAGCCAGGTGGGACCCTGTGCTCTAAGCCCATGAGATGCAGTTCAATCCCTCAGTGTGCGCTGTTCACAAACAAACGTCCCGGGGAGATGTACACTGAAGGGGATTTGCTGTAAAGTGCTCACCAGATTCTGTGGCCAATTCGATCCAAGGCCAGGGGGAATGTGATGGCTGTGATCGATGACAGCCGTGCAAGTCCAGAGCTTCCGAGTAGGTCCCTTGCTCAGTTTCTCGCCGAGCAGCATGGTCCCCTGAGAAGTGAAGCACAGAATTAGTCTCTGTATCGTTTACAAGGAGCTCCAAAATAAGGGGATGGAGCCCCTACAGTCTGCTCAGGCGTTTGGCCCTGATTTTTCAATGTAGTTGAAACAAGCAGCCCTTTAGACTGACACATGAAGGACCAGGCCCAAGACGTGCTTGCTTCTGCCATCAGGACATTTCTCTCTGCACCAGAAGCCATAGCATCAGATTTGGCAACAGAGTACCTTCCAAATGGGTGTTCGCTGTCTCTGGGGCTGCCCTGCCGCTGCAGGGGCTCCTTGTGATGGCTGCATGTAACCCTGTGGCGTGGGCAGTGGTGGCACGCCCAACGCGCTGTGCTGTGCCTGACCCTGTGATCATTACCTATCAGTCAACGAAAGGCAACTTCCACCAGACCCTCAAGAAGGGCTTGCAATTTAGAATTGCAAGCATTGTGACAAACTTGACTTGAGAAAACTGTGCCAGTGCATTTCTGTGCGTTTAAAGATGAAACTTCATGTTGTCTATGTACCTGTGTTCCGGGAGCTGCTCCGCCAAAATGTGCACCTGCACCAAAGTGCTGTGTTAATGTTGTTTGCTAACCGCTGTCACTGCAAAAAAACAAGAACCAAATGCAAAAGCAAGACAGAGAATTCTATGCAGGCACAAGGCATGATTGGAGGCGCCACCTGGAGTGGTATGCCTGGGAGCTGACCCCTGTGGCAGCTGCACTGTGATATGTGCTGAGGCGCTGAGCTCGGTTGCAGCCGACTGCGATGTCTTTGAAAGTCCCTCACTGCTGTTCTGCACCTGCTTCACCTGCAGCCATGCATGCCTTGCCTGAGCGATGCCAAACTCCTTGAGTGAATGCCTCACCCCAGGACAGAATCTTGACCTCTCACATTGGCACCCGCCGCGAAGTTCAGAAGGGGACAATGCTAGACTGAGAATATGCATGGATCCATGCATGGAAACATGCGTAAGACAAAACAGAGGGTCACACCGGTGCATGTGTTGGCGGGGCCGCCGATTGGATGGAGGCTTTCGCCTTGGGCCACTTTGGAGAGATGCAGCACATCACATCTGGGCTGATGTCGACCAAACAGGCCTTCACCTCGTTCATGTTCCGCATGTCCTGCCAATTCAGACGAGTCAGCTCGTCAGAAGTGCAATTGCTGTCTCCTTCTTTGGTCAAAATCAAGAGGGAAATGCTAATCAGGTCAAACACTCAGTACACGTTTCCTTGCTCCTTTTATTTGTGAGGCAGGAGGTGCATGAAAGCATGGACTGGAACTCACATGAGCAAGTGCAAATGCTCTGATAAGCCGCTGGTGCAATACTTTATTCCCCTGCACCTGACCTGCCACAAAGTTGAAGTCTGCTCCATGGTTTTTTAGCGCCTGCAGATGCACAGTATGTGATATGTCCATCCCAGGCCCAGGGACTCCATTGACACATCGCGTAGTCAAGTTCAGGTGACCATCTGTTCCTGACAGCTAAGATCCTTTTCCAAGCACAGCATAGCATTAAGGCTTGCAGCGACACCTGTATTTCTGCAGCAAGCCCAGGGTCATGTAACGGATGTGCATCTCCAATGGCTCTCTCATGTGAGTCATTCATGTGATGCAGATGAGACACATGTCACCTGGCAGATCTCAAAGTGGCTCGCCAAGCCATCCATGACCTTGCAGTCTGCTGGGTATGGCCAGGGCACATAGAGTCGGGAAGGCTCTGAAGCCACGCAGACTATGACCCGGTTGTGGGTTGGGCCCTGCTGCGAGCCAGGCTGACAGGTGCGCGCAGCTGTCTGCAGTAAGTACACCGCCTCTGACAAGGCCTCTGCAGCAACCCCACAGCTCGTCACCTGACTGATGGCCAACCTCGGGGTATCCCTGGAATTTAATGATCTATTCTTCCCTGAGTATCCTGTCTGCCCTCAAAGCTCCCACTGACATTGATATAAAGAGACAGATATAAGATGGAAACCCCCGGCACTCGTGCAGCGGGCAGAGTATATGACATTAAAGAGATAATAACATGCCTGGATGTTTGGTCGAGGTGTGTTCTGTGGATGACACACATGCTATCCTTGGAGCGTGCCATGCATGCCATGCACACATGTATGGAATAAGGCCCTTACCTGCCAGCAGCGGTTGTGGCACTGGGGCGCCTTCTGATGGCTGGATGGCATCTAGCCACTGGGAAAAGACATGCAGGTTCTGCGTCCATCCGCTCCGCTCGATGGGGCACTGGCTCCACGGTGTGGCGGAGCCGCAGATGACCAGCGCAAGCTGTCACATGCACACGCTGCTTAGCTGGACTTTGATACATGCTGTGCTTCTCTAGGTCAAGGACTTTACAAGCACAGCATGCATCATAGTCAATGATTCTCAAGATTCCCTGTAGTATTATCGCTACAGAAGTAATGATGCAGGTTGCGCGTTTGACAAGACAAAGAAAACACAACAGATGACAGCACAACGGGTGGTACAGAACAAAATTCAACAAGAAAGGCAGGAGGCGGCCTTCTTGCGGGACCTGGTCACACCTCAACTTGTGGCTCAGATACACTACTAGTCCTGCTCTCAAGGTCTTTCAGGATAGGATCCAAGCAGTATGTCCTGATGTCCTGCCAAAAGGGAAACATCGCTGCTGTGCCCTGCAGAGAACATAAGTGCGTTTGGCCCACTTAAATGTACAGATGAATATCAATCATTTATGACAGCACATGTCAGCAGCAGTATAAAGGGTCAGAGCCAACTATCAAGACACGCCATGGACGATGGCGTGTGCTCTTCACCTCCACAACGAAGCATATGCGCTCCAGCACAGGCACAGGACTGCTCTGTAAAGTTGGTGCAGGGATCATCAGCTATATTTTGCATCTAGATCTAATCACAGTTTAGGAGAGATCCCAGTCCTCTCTCTCAACCATGATACACAGAATTGGCCAATGAGCCTCGAGCAATGCACACCCATCACTTCATAAGTTGGTGCATAGAAGTCATAAGATCAAGGTCGATTGCAGCCCCATGCTACTACACGAGAACTTTCTTGATCATCAGGTGCATGGGGAAAGATCTCGAAGGGACGAGAAGACGGGGAAGATCAGACCACACATTCACAATGCAGCCTTCCCAAAATGATCGCCGAGGGCTACAGAAGAAAGGACTACTCTGTCTCGAAACGACCATTTCTCCGAGACCATGAGGGCATGAAACCCTGCAGGGAACCCTTCATGGAAGCTGCTCGTGCAAAACCACAGCGTGATTTTTTTCTTTGTTCTTAAAATTGAGGATCGGTGGATTCAATTTCGAGTGGCATCGTTGCTATTTAGCTTGACGTCAACGGAACAGCTTGCAAAGTTTCTCCCTGCCATCCCTTTGCATCAGACAAGAAGTCAGGCGCAGCCGCTTAGCAAGAAAAGCGCCATGGCGGAGACCATTGAAGACGAAGGATTTTGCTTGACACCTCCTGTCACGCTCCAGGTAAGCGACAGGCTCAGCTGGCCACTGTTTCAGAGAACCGCCTGAAGCATGACATTGTCTGCTGCCGAAAACTGCACTGCGAAGATCCGATGGCGCTCAGAAACAGCTTCATAATGTGCTCTTGATTTCTTGATGCGCCAGATCTCTTCTGTCGGACAGTTCATGTCAGCCAGGCGACAATCATCCTGCAGATGTGGGCATCTTGTTATGTAGTTATCATTCTCATAACGATGCCAAAATTCCTGTTTTTCCTTTTACAAGCATTTCCAGTACATAGATGTCAACGCAAACGCAATAGCGAAGCATCTGGAAGCGAAGATTTGGTTTACGCTGCCTGACTTTAAGCCTTGTTTTCCTTGCAAATACAGAAAAGTGTGGAGTACATGGAGACTCCAGAGCCATTCGTGGGCCGATCGAAGCCACAAAATGTCACCTTTGTGGACAACACAGCAGCCACTGCGACGGCTACACTCTCTGTGGCTCAGGCCAAAGGAGTCTCGAGCCTGCAGTGGCGGCAGGTCAGCTCTTTTTATTCTTCTCTCTTTGCCCCCTTCCAAAACCATTGTCATTAAAAGGCCATGCCCACGGTGACTTGCGATTGCTCAGAAGGTGCTATTGTGCACTCCCCCAGCTGGAGTGGGCATCACGTGCTGTTCTTAGGGCTGGTGCTGCACAGAGTGTTCCTGAGGATCTTTGAAATGCAAGCAATGCTGCCTTGCTCCCTGCAGGTGCAGGATGTGCTGAGGTGGCGCAACCCAGCAGTCAGCGCGCTGGCCTTCCTGCTGGGCGGCTTCTGCTGCCTGGCTGGCGAGTACATCATCAGCGGCAACCACACCGTGACTCCCCTGAAGGGTGCGCGCCAAAACCTGTAAAATTTGATGTGGCACTTCTGCTATGCCCGGGAGAGGCATCATATGCATCAAACCTTCCACCACTCTCGTGCAGCTATCTCATAATGGTGTTACATGGGCCATTTCGGCTCCCAGCAATAATTGAAGCACATTTATGCCTTGCTGAAGTACCATCCCATTGTTCGTGCAGCAATCTCCTACTGCATCCTGTTCGACCTGGGACTCAACACGGTCCGTTCAATGGTCAGCGCACAGTGGCAGGACAAGGCGGCCTGGGGCAGCAGCAGCCTGATTAAGACCGCAGCAGAGACCGCCAAGGTTGCTGTGCTGAAAGTGGCCGACCTCCATGACCAGTTCCTGGCTGCGCGCGACCCCTTGCTGACTCTGCGCATCGCCTCTGCTGTCTCCGCGCTGTCTGTCCTGGGCGGTATCTTCAGGTGAGCAGATCACTGCTGTGCTGCTGCTATGACTTGGTGTCATGTTTCAGCGTGCCTCTGTGCTCACTCTGCACATTGCCTCTGCCGTCTCAGTGCTGTCTGTGCTGGGGCAGCGTCAGGTGCGCTTGCCGAGCATTGGGAGGTACTGTTGCGCTCGTCCAGAATGGCGACATCCTTCAATTTAGTGGCGTGTAGCACAGCTGTGGGGACATAGCGTATTGTAATTTGGCAAGAAATATCACACTGTACTGTTGAGTATTGGCAGGGCTGTAAACTGGAAGCAATTCGAGAGCCATTTGGGTCTTGAAAGTGGAGAAAGTTTGTTCTCCACTTTCTTCTTGAGCTATGCAGCTTTGATTCTACCGTTTCAGGGCATGCATGTAGCCCAGCATAAGAAAATGCAGAGGTCTACAGTCAGAGACAACGCATGGTGAAGGGATGTTTATGTGTGATGTGCATGCAGCTTCTGGCGGCTGGTGAGCCTGGCATTCTTCGGGGCCTTTGCTGCGGGCGCTGTATACGAGACATACGGCAAAGAGATCACCTCCTTCCTCCAGACTGCAACGACTCAGATCAAGGTGCCCATTGCACAATCCATGCTGCACATCCTATGGAAACAGTGATGCTCTCTCTGACTATGCTGCATCAATGCCAAGCTCTGCTGGAACAAAGGCTGAAGCCAATGTTGCATTGCCACAGGCTTTGATCTTGTGATGGCATCTCAAATCCGCGCAACAATCCATGCCTGCTTGCTGACAGAGGATGCTGATGCCTTCTGGCACTGCTAACGTAGGACGGTTATTCACAACGGCACCCAAATTGACCCCCATAGTCCCTTGCGCTGCCGATTACATACAATTATACCCTCACAGGAGCCCGCTCTGCATACGGCATTCATCCTCTGAAATGACAAAATAAGTCACTGGGTCTGCTGGATCACAAAAACAAGTCACATGAGACTGCTGGGGTGTGCAGGAGCGGTGGCAGGCACTGGCACTCTCTCGCAGGCACAAGGCGGTCGCTCTCACAGTGGCACTGTGGATCCTGTGGGTAAACGTCAACTGGGCGGCTCGCGCTCAAGCCCTGCTGCTGGGCGCCCTGACTGTCCGCTGCAACCTCAAGCCTGCCGAGGTGCGGCTGAGCCCCTGTCGTGGTCATAATTAGCTGCACCTTCCTATAGAATACAGCATGTCCGGCATCTTCCCAGATCTGTTTTGAAAAATACAAAAAACCCCGCTGTTCTTGTCGAATAGGCATTTATAAGTAGTGATGCCTGGACTTCTCAAGTGACTTCTGTTGTGTTTACCCTTACCAGCAAGGAATTGAAAGGCATTAGCGCGCTGCAAGGCCCATTGGATGCTGGCACCCTTGCTCAGGCTGCTGCACCACACAGTTCTCTCTGCCCACGCCCCACGCACTCAATAGACTGGAGTCTGTGACAATCAAGGATGGATGGTGAGATTGACTGCTGGCTGTGGCGCAGGTGAACGCGATCATTTCCCACGCGGAGCCGTACATGCACAGCGCAAAGAAGCGCGCACGGCGCATGTCGGTGGTGGCCACCGACTTTGTGCGGCGCCAAAGCATGGGGCTGACGCAGACAAAGTCGCACGACAAGTGAGGCCGCTGCACCGCCTCTCTGCAGTCAGAGGTCCTTGCAGCGCTACAAGAAGGTTGCGGCTGGATTTTTGTTCACTTTGTGCACCATCACAGCATGGTGTTGAATCCTGTCCAAGCTGCACTACAAATGAGGCGGCCGCACCGCTTCTCTGCACGCACCTCTGCATTCAAGGGTCTTTGCAGCGCTCCAGGAATGTAGCTCTCTGGCGTTTGTAACCAGATGACCGCTAGGTGGGGTTCCCCCGTTGCAGCATGCATACGAGGAATGCATTGTGTGAATTCTCTGGAATCTTAAGTCCTCAGATGACCTCTACGTGGGGCAATCCGATATAGCACATGACATGCACAGCAGGGATGCTGGAAGACAGTCCTGACTTGGGGCACTGGGTCACGTTGAATTCTGGCACTGCGGCTGAATTGTGTTATCCGCAGCTGCCCTGCGGTCACTAGTCTTGGATCAGCTCTTGATGGAAGGCATGGCAGCTGCAGCTGCTGCAGTGTGCGCTGCTGAGCATGCTTTGGTGTCTTGAAGGATGTACAGTACAGTATGATGACTATGCAGGTAGCGCAAGTGCATGTTGTCTGGTGCATGGGTTGAGAGTGTCCAGCTGAGTCGAACCATAGCGTTGCGGCAGGATTGCTGATGTGTGCTGTACATCGTGATTGGCACCTCGGCATGGAAGCACGCAGCCTGTAAGCTTGCTAGATATGGCCTGCAAGGTATGGGGGTGAAAAGTATGCTCTGTTGAAGCTGCACAAACAGACTTGCATTTTCCATCCAAGCGCGTTAATGATCACCACCAATAACCAGGAGTTTTTCGGCTGGTCGCCTTGAATCTGATGACAGAGCATGCAGTCAGCATGTTTACTGCTTTCCGCATTGCATCTGTTGGGGCGAACACTTTGCGCAAACTCAAGAAACAACAAATTGTTCTGTCGAACGCAAATTCGAACTTTGCTGCCTATCTTGGTAACAGTGAAGGAGAGGCCCTGCAAGCACTCCCTCTGATGTTGGCTTATATTTCTCCAATACTGACAAAGGCACTCAAATTTTAGGCATATCCTTGTTGAAGGCACCAGGTGCTTGCTTTCGACTCGCAAGCTGATCGTTATGTAAACTTGCGTGTGATAAATACACGTGACATCGGTTCGTACTCTGCTACTAAAAAAGATGTACGGTCTTCTGGGCACACAAGTGTCGCCGATGGGATACCGCATCCGCGAAATGTGTGCTTGCATGCGCAGCGATGGAACACCTCGTCGTCTCAATCGACGATCTCTGTTGGTCGAACTGAGAAGGAGTAGTGGCGCAAGCAAGGATGGGAACGACAAGTGCGTCCCTTGTCATACTTGATCTTTAGAACAGGTGCCTGGTTAATGTCGAGAGTCGACTATTACCGTCAGTCTTGCCTAGCTTTTAAGTTCAGATTCCTTAATTGTGTCCTTCAATTGAACCGATTAAATGCCTGACATGATGAGAAACAGCTTTCTTGGGAACACATCATTGCAACTCTTGTCCAAAATTTGCAACCAAGTGGGCGAAGATTTGCGAGAAGCCTTGCTTCTGCTTCTGCTGCTGTGTGGAGCATGCATGCGTACGCTGCAGCACGATTACCTGTCCTATATTATATCTTTTCATCCATAGATCCTGTGAAACCCTTAAAATGTTGTTAACTTGCTTCTTAAAGGTCCCTTATATCTGTCTGCAGCCCACGTTCGCGGAAGGGGAAGAGCTATGAGAACAAGAAGCGGCGACGGGGGAGGCCAGCCGGGCAGAGATCTGCAGATGACACACCCCTGAGGGATGGGAACAGGTACAGCAGCTCATTCTCAGCATCATCCTTTCTGCTCGTCTTTGGCATGCCCTTTTGCTTGCTCATGCCGAGAGACCCCTGCAACAGCACAACAGCTCTACCTGCTGCATGCTGAATCTCATAGAGCGCATGAGGGGGCACGCATAATCAATGCAGCTCTGCAAGTCTCTGTGGGTGTTGTGGGGATGTCAGAGTCCACAGCTGTAAAAATCTTGCACCCCTAGAGGTCGCCGGCACATGCTGAGGTGCTGGCACATGCAGGGACAGGCTGATTGGACTGCTGACGGAGCGGGCCGCCCGCACTTTGCTGTACTACCTGTCAGAAACCAACCAGCACCTCTACTACTGGTTCGGTGTCTACATCAGAGACAACCCCATACCCCGGGTGTGCCCCTCTTTCCTGGCTACTTTGCATATTTTGAAATTCCCAGTTTGTCAGCCCAATTTGGAAGAGCACCTGAGAAATTAGGCAAAAGAGCTACAGCCTATCCAAATCCAAATCGAGCTGCAGGGGCTGGGGAGCTTGAAATAACAGCGAATTCCCAGATAGATGAAGAATAGAGAGTGACAGTTTTCAAGCAAGTGCCTACATGCGGAGCACACTAGTTCTGTTGCCCTCTGCGCTGCTGTAAAAAGCCCAGTAAGACCAATCTCTGTGACACTGTGCAGAATGGGCACTGGGATGATGTCAGCGGGGAGACGTTTCTGCGCAACCTGCTGTCGAGGGGAATAGAGCGCGCGCAATATGACCTGGTGGGGTCACTCTCTCTGTACTTTCTATATTCATAGCCATGACGAGACACTTTTGCGCAATTCTGCAAAATGCTAGTGTCGCATTGCAAAGCTGATAGAGCAACATATAACTGGGGCTTGCTGGCATTGGTGGGCTTTTGCGCTAATGCTAGGGCCCATTTGATACACCGTGTCAAGATGGGAAAACACAGCAATGTTGTTCCATTTAACATGTCCTGTGATCGCACAGCAGATACTGCGGTGTGCATCTTGCTGAGATTTAGGGTTGACCCCTGGCGTGCATGCTCCCAGGGCCATGACTCGATGTATGCCCACTTTGGAGAGTGCGGCGTGGACCCCAGGAACCTAGCGCAGCGCATCATGGATGTGAGTCACCTCATCAGTCATCTTTCACCCTTGCTCTTGCTCCAACCATGTGGCTTTCACTGTCCCTGTGCCCACAGTGATTATGATTGGCTCTTAGATTGCTGATATTTTTGCAAAGAGGACATGGTCGACTGATGGCAGGATAAGGCAATGCTGCCTTTGGTCTACAATGTTCTTTCTGCAATCATTATCACAGCGCACTTGTGCAAGCTCACAATACTGTAGCATCAACTCTGCTGCCCGGTCAGGCGTTTGATGTTCATCTAAGAGATAGCCTGCACTGCATTTGAGGGCCGCAGATGATGATCTTTGTACAGCCTGCTCCTTGCAGGCTTGCATGTTCTGGCAAGGCCCAGCATGCAACCAGTATTATTCTAATCTGCAGCTCTGTCCAAGTCTTTCATAGCGCAGCGCGTTCCCTTTGGCCTTGCTAGGCTTTGGCCTTCTGCCACCCCTGACAGGGAAAGCATTTTTGTATGCTGCAGATTCGCACGCAGATTGCCAAGGAGATGACCGAAGACCTGAGCAACATAGCGGAGGAGAACTCGCTGCTGATGCGCGAGACGCTGGTCACAGCCTTCTCTCTGGACAACGTAGTGGATCATCCTCTGAGCCAGTGGGAGGGCACGCCGTCAGGCGGGGGCCCCGATGACTCACCTCTGCAGCCCTGATGACTCACTGACGTAGACCCGAGGGGCGGCCACTGCCAGCATCTGTCTCAGGCCCAGAAGATTCTTACCGTTCTGCTGCCCAGAAATGAGGTGCAGGAAGCTGCTGCAACTCTTCATGGGATCGTGTGCTTGCAAAGGTTAGGGCCAAGTAGGATGCACTGCAATTCTTTCAAAATATGGCGAGAGGGAAGCTTGTCTAGAGGGCTCCTTAGGATTCTTTTTGACAGTGGGAAACCACGAGTTGGCCTGCATGAGTGGCTTGTACACTACGAGGGGACATTATTTCATTCTTTTGAGAAGAACACAACTGCATGTGAGGTGTGCACATGTGCTTTGCCACAGAGACCTGGGAAAGTACCAATCAGATCTGGATCATAACTGGACCTGATCATATTGTGTAACATGAATGTATAATAGAGCTTGGGACTTCTCAGCTACATGTCATGTCTGTTTTGAAACTTCCATGCAGCATGTACGTCCGGCGGAAGGAGTATACGATCTTGATGCCACTGATCTTATCAGCAAATTTACATGGCAATACAACTCTTTGCGCGCCAATGGCGCTGCGTCATAAAATTGTTCAAACTATGCATCATGCACATAATAATTATGATCCCCTCGTCACACATCAACACAGCACTGTCTCCTTTGCTTGCAACATCTGGCGCTGCCTGAACACAGTCTTGGCAGGCTGTTGCATCGAACCACTCTTTATCACTCCTCTCATGCAATTTTCTGACATTTCACATGGCGCTCTCTGTCATAAGGCAACAAGAAGGGGCCAAGAAGCTACTCGGATGCAAAGCTCCCCAATATCTACACCGAATCAGAATCAGTTCTATCTTTTTGAGCACACTGATAAAAAGCAGTAAAGATAAATTGATGAAAAGCTATTCAAATTATTGCAGGATGCCATAAAATGCACCGAAGGTCTGCCTATCTGCCTACTGAATATGCCCATGCGTTCAGTGCCCATGCTCTGGGCACAACCTTTGCAGGCTCATACTAAAAGATCAGCCATGGAGAATTTGTCTTGCTTGCCAAGCAGTTTATGTGCCCTGGTGCAGCAAGATCACCAGGATTGGCCTGCTGATGAATAGGCCTTCAAGCCTTGATCGCCTCATTTCACCAGCCTCACAGGGCAAAGGATGCCTGCAAAGACACAAACAATTCTGGCAAGACTATAATCTTCGCAAGGAGAGTCCCCCATCGAACGGTGTTGGGCTTCAGCAGTGGTCGTAACTCCCGGAATCTGGTGTGAGGTTGGGATCAGTATATTCACGAGCGGTGGTATCTTGAAAATGCTTACCCGTATTAATTAAGGCGTCTCTCCACTCGCTTGGCTCCAGCAGAGCTGGCCTCTGAGGTGTTGACGTTTGCCCCTCCGAACATCTGCGACACCCGTTTTTCAACGGGGACCTCTTGCGCACTCATGTGACGGTACGCAGCCGAAGCAGCGCCCGAAACCTCTTTGGGGAAGTAGCGTCTCATCTGCGGCAGTCGAACACCGTCAGCTGACAACAAAGCATATGCCTCCTTGACTACGTCCAGGACTATGAAGTCCCGACCCCCCTACCGCTCACGCATCAGCTCAGAAGCAAGGCAAGACGTACCATGACGGCTTCCCATGCCAGGGACATCAGGGGACGGGCTGCCATTTTCGCGAGTGTGTGTATTTTGAGGAGCCGAAAGTCAGCTTCAGGCAATCACCCGAGGAATATCCTGCACTTTCCCGAAGGCTTTGCACAGTCGTGTGAGGTCGTTAGTCGGGCTCTGAAACTACCCAAACGGGCAAAAAAGTAGGATCTGCCTTGGAGGGCCAACCTCGAGGATCTGACGTCTGGGCGAGCTGTCCGAGCAAACGCCGAGTCAGGCAGGTCATCTCGCAGGTTATGCCCTGCCCTTCCCAAATTCAAGATTTCCCCGTCGATTCACCTACGTGGAAGGGACCTTCCCGCCGGATATGTAACGGCGCCTCCCTTGTCAGACTGCCGTTGGCCACCTGGGCCGCTGAGTCAGGGAGCACACATTTGTAAGATCTCGTGGATGTCAACTGAAAGCCTGAGCTAACTCTTCTTCCCATGGCTTTCTCCTGGTGGGGCCTGGGTCCTTCGGGATCCGGCTCCTCGACAATCATGGCAACATACATAATGGCTGGGCAAGGTGCTTCGATAGAGGCGGCCCTTTTACAGTTAACGGCATCACCATAAACCACTGATCAACTGGGTCGGGCTTCAGCAGCCAGGCAACATCACAGAGAATTCAATGAAAGGACGTAATCAGACGAAATAATCGCCGGGCACAAAGCGACGCTTCAACAGAGGCGGCCCTGACAGCAACAATGTGGGTATACAAAAGTGGAGCAGACAGAGGCCAGGCGATAGCGGCTGGGAAGCATAATAATAAATTGATGTTAATGACGCAGTAGTAAAAATATCTAGGACGGCCAAGCTTTGGTTGGGGCGGAAGAGGCAACAGCCGCCAGCCGCCATTACCAGTAAAAGAAGGATGCGACGGCTGTTTGCATCATTGTCTGACGCGAAGAATCGACCGCAGTAATAGAAATGGCCATGAGACCTTTTACAGAACAAGCAGATTTTGCAGTGTTGCGTTCTTGTGTGTGCCCTGCAAAACCCAGGCAGGATGTTCTGGGTCCTGGTCCAAACCTAGGACAAAGCGCGTACAAGCTGTATTGGGGCTTTGAGGAGATTTCAGTCTAACCTCCTGCAGTTTTCACCTGATTGCAGCTCCTTGAACACCTGCCAGTCCAGGTGTGCCTTTGCAAACCACTCAGCTGTGCTCCTTGTGGGGGTACTTGATCCACAGTACAAGTGCAGGTCTGAGGATCTGTTTGGTGACCTTGCATTGCTGGTTCGGTACGGGTCTACATGCTGCTGTGTAGTAGCTTAGCAATACAGGTGGCGGCAAGCATTGTGGGGCATTGGGTACCCCCCTTGCTTGTTTCACCGAGAAGCGCTGTTATTGCAAGGATTTGGGCAGTCTTTACAATGACAGCAAATGGCTGGACCCACCCGCAGCACGCACAATCTGTTTGGCCTGTGATTTGCGTCCATGTCCTGCCCTTGACTTGTCGCTGGTTTGGACCGACATACATCCACAAGCAGCCTTGCAGTCCTTTTTGGCAGTTGATACTTGTCTGCGTGCTGGGATGCATATTTTCGGGTATTCATGATGTGTGTGCTACTGATGGTTTGAGATATGTGGGACGCTTAATCAGCCCTGTGTGGCTGGAAAAAGTGTAATCTCTCTCTCTCTCTCTCTCTTCTACAACACGGTCCTACATGCATGCAACTGCACGCCAGTGGTTACTGCGGACCCGTCGGCGACATCCATAGATATAAAGAGGTGGTGCATGTGCGCATGCCAGTGACTCAGGGCATGCCTGCGCAATCATTGAGTGATGTGAGAGATGCCCACTTGACAGCGCCCATATGGGACAGCGCCCATTTAGCGCGGTATGATGCATCATAACGCGCTAAACAGGCCTTGAGAGCCTCTGAGCTGGCATGCCATGCGCATTTGCGAATTGAACAACATCTTTCCCTTCAAGCCACACCTTTCCTGCAAGTTGCTCTCAAGACTATCACTGATGACATCCGCCGCAAAAAGTGTTGCATCATTAAGTAATATTGGACTTTAGCAAGTTTGCATGTAGGATACTCAATAGCAGCTGGGCCAGCTAGCAGTTTCTCTCTGGATCTGGATCCGTGCACTGCATGGCATTCAACCGAAGCTTAATGCCCCATGCAACCTGCACATCATTCTGCAGTACTGCCAGGGGGCGCACACTGCATAAAAAGGAGATCGGAAAACCTCTTCTTGAATGACCTTTCAACAGTCTTGAACACTCTGCAGGCCTCCTACAGGTCTCGTCACCTCATATATATCAACTTCAAATGTCAAGCTTAAGATGTGAAGCTTGCATGCACTCCCTGTTCAACAAAATTCCTGGCCCAAGCGCAACAATCATTGCAAAACATATGGTACAAATGCAGCCATTTCTGTTTTTTTTTCTGCTCCTGAAGGCACTGGGTCCTGTACATATCCTGCCCCTCAGCAGCTGCTGTACAAACAAGCAACATTAGACAACTGTATCTTGATCAGTAACGGCACATTGCCCGTCTAGCCCTTGCCGTCATTGTGCCATCAGTACATCATGCAATTAGCTGCATACACTTCAGGACTGGCTCTGCAAGAGCCAACTCCAGATCTTGTGGGACTGTCAAAGTCTGTCTGACAGACAAATTGTTCCTAGTGCAAGTGCAGGCTTCTAAATCTTTTTAGTAGATGCTCTTGTTTTACCGCCCAATTCAGCCACGCACCAATGGTGCGGTGCAAGCTGTTCCAAATACCGATAGAGGTAGATAAGAACCCCCTTCCGTCAAGGAAGAAGTGCTCTCAACAAAATAACAGGCGATGTACTCTGTGTGGTCGTCTGACTCACAGCAAACTTCTTCCTGGCTGTTGACAGCATATACAGCAGCCAGCCGCAAGGGACCTCTTGTGAGCACCCCTGCGCTGTCCTTCTGGCTTTCAGACCATGCAGCCTTCCATCCACTGGCCATCATGCTAAGCAAGCTCCCATCCAGCTGCAATGATGGGCAGAGAGCATCGTCTTGGTTTTGCAGCATAGCTCCGATACCACCCGGGCACATCCGTGGAGGTCACTAATCGCTGCAACATATGATTCAGCAGTCGCACAAGGGCAGGGGAGCCTGCCTCTTGACAAATGTGCTGCCACTTACTTTGGCTTTACCATCAGCAGCAGGCAAGTTGCCCCTAGTTGGCGACCATAGAAAGGAAGCCTGTCTAGAAGAGGCATGGGTCTGCCGCTACTTGGCACCCATGGTTACGGAGCCCGCCCCACCCCCTGGGCAGGAAGCTGCCCCCTAGTTGGCCACGAGAAGGCAGCCTGCCTCTAAGATTGTATCCATAGGGCCGTCTACTTGGTGACCGTGCTAAAGGAGCCTGCCCCGTGGCCTGCAACCCTTGGCTCTCTTTCCAGTTGCAGCAGGGGCAGCAGGGGCCATTGCGGCTTACAGTGGCTTCGCCAAGGACAGCAGGGAAGCTGCCGCCTAGTTGGCGACCATGGACTCGGCCTCGCGCACGAAGCCGTCGCCGCTCCACTTGTCGTCGCCGGAGAGGCCGGTGCGCGCGCGCTTCTTGGCGGCCACGGCCTCGCGCTGCATGCGCACCAGCTCGTGGTGCGTTGTAAAGTAGGGCAGGCTCGCGCCCCGGAACTCCTCAACGCTGTTGAAGCCGTGCTGCACCATGAACTCCTGCGCCAAAATAGCCAACCGGACATCAGTCGCTGCTGTCTGCACCCGCTGTGATGGCGCTGCTGCCAAGCCTCTCATGCGCGTACCACTTGGGGCATTTGCCATAGGTCAATTTGATGCACTGGCCGCCTGGCTGGGAGCAGCGGCTGACTTGCAGGAATGCTTTTTGGACACATTTCAGATTACAGGTGGTCAGTGCCCTGGAGTGTTGCAATGTCAGGCCTTGAGCATACCTGGAGACCGCCACAGAGCTGCTTCACCAGGGGGTACCCATGCAGCATCACCCCAGTGCAAACCTGCACCCCACAGCCATAAATCTCACCCCCAAAGAAGTTCGGTCCTTCCCTTTGAAGCACGGCAAACATGCTGCAGGAGCACGGTTGCATTCTGTGGAGCTCTTGAATATTGGGTTGTTGTAAGTGATAGAGGTACCTGCACGCTGTTTGCTCCAAGGAGGATGAATTCAGCAGCGTCCCTCCCGGTTTCTACTCCCCCAATGGCTGACACATCCCTGGCTCCCCCATACTCTGAAGCCACCATCTGCGCTATCGACATCACCTGTTACAAAGAGAACAATGGCTGCTCAGTCATGCATTTTGACAAAATGTAACTCACAAGTGTCTGCAGGAACAGAGCTCTTTGGACCTGTCAAAACCATTGCTCAAGCCACCCAACAACGGAATTCCAGCCTTGTAAGCTCTCCACTCATGGCTCACAAAATTGAACTTCTGCATGTTTTTAGGATTCCTCCAACGGCTTGGACAAGCCCACAGTCTGCCAGACACATCCTTGAGCAAGTTCTCAACGCACAGCACCTATCGAGCTGCTGTGACAAGTGAGAAGGTTCGATAAGGCGCACATCTCACAGACGAAAGCTACTAGCAAAAAGATTCTGTGAGGGTAATTATGTATCTAAGTGGGTGATGCAAGGGACCAATCATCACATTACATCCCAATCCAAATGACGCCCTCCCACAGCAAAGCAGACAGTGTCGGAAGCTTACCTTGGCGAGAGCGATGGGCTTGACAGCCTTGGAGGAATAGCCGCCAGGAGTGGAGTACCCCTCAACGCTGGGCTCTGGGCGCAGGGTATCCAGATTAATGCCCATGACCGAGGTGATTGTGTTAATAGCCGCCACGCCCTCGCAGCCGGCCGCCAGCGCTGTGCGCGCCGGGACGGTGATGTCTGTGATGTTGGGGGTCATCTTGGCCCACACCGGCACACTCGCCTTGGCATTGATCCACCCGCAAACTTCCTGCACAGCCAACGCAGCTGTCAGAGCTGGTACGATGCAATAAAATATGCGACGTTCAATGCCATTTGCACCTGCAATTGTGCTAATACACAAGAGCAAACGCAACTGGCCAAGAGAGACACATAGTGTTAGCTGGTCGACCAGCATTGCTGTGGCTCTTGATCCTTCCCTAGATCTTGAACCGCCTCAAATTGAACGCCTTGAGTATGTCTTGGTACTTCGTTTTAGCTGATCTGCAGGTTAGCTGCCCCAGAGGGCTTCTGACATTCGCACCCCTGATAGAAAGTTTGTTCTAGATAAACTGCAGGTTGGTGGCTGCCCCAGAGGGTTTCTGACATTCGCACCCCTGCCGACAACATAGGCAGAGCAGTACATTTAATCCCATGAAGGAACTAAAATAGCGAGGGGAGCAGGCACCTCCAGCAGCTGGCAGTCCTGGCCCATGGCCATGCCCATTTTCCTCTCGGGCATGCCGTGAGGGCAGCTGAAGTTGATCTCAAACGCGTCAACGCCCGTCTGCTCACACCGCGCTATCAGCTCCTCCCATGCCGCCTTGTTGTACTCCTCCATGATTGATGCTATCAGGATCCTGCATGCAGCAGATGAGTCAGTGCCTGAGTACCCTGGAGCCTGGAAGCCAATATCCCCAGGAGGGCTGCATCCAGACAATGCCGTTGCAGCAAAATGGTAGCAGCCATGCCAGTAAGCATGTTTTTTCATCAGGTCACACGTTCCTCTATCCCGGAATAAATTGAAGTCAAGACATGCAGATTGTTTTTTGCATTGGTTTGTTGATTAAGCTTCTGCTGATGCGCAGACAGAGCAGCAAGGGGCCAGGACACAGGTAACAGAGAAGATTATGCAATGGCATGTACAGGCACAGCAACGCAAAATTAATACAGAAACATGCAAGAGAGAGGGAACAGCACCTGTCAGGATACTCCTGTTTGAGCCGCTTGAACTCATCCAGCATCACTTCCAGTGGCCGGTCACTGATGAGCTCTATGTTCTCCCATCCTATCACCTGCAGGCAATCAGTAAATTTGCATTATCCACATGCATACCGAAGGTCTGCAGGGATGCTCTAAGAAATTTATTTTGACACTGATTTGCAGAAGATGACTACAAAAAGTCATTTTGACATTTGACACGGGAGTTCTTGCAAATGGGCATATAACACTAGTCAGGATGGCACCTCCTTCTTGTCCGAAGCCTTCATCCTGGCATAGCGCGGTGTTACATTGATGACCTGCACCAACCTTACACTTCAGCCTCTGCAATATCAGCCGCATGCCCTCTCAGCACACAACAATGTTGCCTGCATGAAAAAGGGATATTTTTTGAGGTTGCTGACCTTTGAGGAGTCCAGGGACACGGTTTTCGCAATGACTGCACCCCAGCCTTCATCAAAGGCCTTCTTCATCACCTGGTAGTTTGTGCCAGGAGGCCCTGAATGGAAGCATCACAAAGATGCACATTAAGGCCCATGTAAGAGAGATAATAACGCCATAGTATTGACGAGTAGCAGGGTGGGAATGCACATTGTGTGCAGGCAGCGTCCTACCGCTTCCAATGACAAACGGGTTGGGGAGCTTGAGGCCACTGAAGTGCGTGATACTCAGGTCTGGCCCGCTCTGTACTTTGCCATTTACCTGCAGCACGCAGTGATATTTCAAGCACAGGTGGACTGAACTCTCACACCCATGGGTAATGATTGAGAGGACAGGAAGCGTGGTGGAGTAGCAGTGACGGTACCAGGTCTGCAGTGAGGTCTGCAGGAGATGAACCATTTCCCGATGAGGCATGCACCCTCGCTACATGCCGTATTGCTGGCACACTCCTTCTGCATATTCCCCCTGCGAGTCGAGCCTTGAACTGATGACATCGGAATTGATCCCACAGGGCAAAATGCAAACAGGAAAATCTAACAAGGGGTGACAGAGATCGACCCAGTGTAGTAAAATATTGCACCGGATAATTCGCCTACACTTCATTGTACGACTTCCAAGTGAACCCCACGAAAGGTAGAGGGGGAAAATAAACCGAAGTTTGACTAACCAAAGTGGCTGTACACCTGCTTGTGATGAGACAATACACAGCACAGCAAGGTCCAACGTTACAGCATAAGTTTAGAGCATTCGGATGTGTCGATCCCCGTCTGCAAAGCAAGATTCGAAGAACACACCTGAAGCATCAGATGCCCTGAAGGACACCTGAGAGCGGTTGGGACAGCAGCTACGACCCCCTGTGAAATACATATCTACACGCGCTTTGCAGAGACCAACCTTGGGCCTGAAGTGGAGGAAAACACTTCGAGATCCTGTAGATGCACTTGACACGTATTATCACATGGATCTGACGCAGAGGACCCACGTGCTTAGCATGGTCAAAGCAGGCTTTCTCATGCCTGAGTTGCACGGTGCAGCCTTCCAACCTTTGAGAAGTCATACTGCAGTGCACACACTATTTATAAAAACATGCCTGCTGTTTGCTCGCAGGCTACAAATGTTGGGAAGGTCAAATTACTTAGGTATTGATCACCATACCTGCCTGCAAGGTGCAAAGCTTGAGAGGGCTGTCAACTCGCTGCGAGGTTAGCTTGTGTGTACCTGTTTGACTGTACGGAAGAGTTTTTGCGATGCAGCGCCCAAGTGCATAGTGACTTCTGGGCCACCTTGGCATGCAGGCTGGGGCTGCCTGGCAGTATTCGCTAGTAGGCCACTGAGGACTGACGCTACCGGAGCTGAGAGACTGGTAGCAGCGCTGCAGCTCAACAGGTTCTGCTCTTAGTATTTTATAATCGCCTGCCTGTGCTCAAAGCAGCCTGGAAGCCAGCTCCAAGGGTTGCTCACTTGCTGCAGGGAGATGGTGTTTACGCAGTCACGACTACGTGAGCTCGTACAGGCGGAGCTCCCTAAGTCGGAGAGGGCGAGCCTGGTGGTGCTGGTGAACACACGCTTCAGTGATGTCCAGGAGGCCCTGGAGGGCGTGGAGGAAGAAGATGATGTGTCAACACTGCAAGCATACCAGCGCCAGATTGCCGGTGACTTTGCGAGCTTCCTTATCTTCGCTAGTGGTCTTACTTCAGCTGACATCCGTCCTCTCCTGTCCATATCAGCACAGCACCGTTGAGGTCCAGCAGTATCATATGCACAGCTGCCAGTCACAGCAACTTCCACTGGCAGCAGCACCTCAGCTTAGCTGGTATTGCAGGAGAGGACGGATGTCAGCTGAAGTAAGACCACTAGCGAAGATAAAGAAGCTCGCAAAGTCACCGGCAATCTGGCGCTGGTATGCTTGCAGTGTTGACACAGCATCTTCTTCCTCCACGCCCTCCAGGGCCTGCTGGACATCGCTGAAGCGTGTGTTCACCAGCACCACCAGGCTCGCCCTCTCCGACTTAGGGAGCTCCGCTTGTACGAGCTCACGTAGTCGTGACTGCGTAAACACCATCTCCCTGCAGCAAGTGAGCAACCCTTGGAGCTGGCTTCCAGGCTGCTTGAGCCGTGCTGCACCTGCTATTTCTCGTTTCCAGTCCGGTAGTCTGCATGCAAGCTTTCACAGCACTTTAGTTGAACTTTGGTCAGCACACAGTGGCATCAATTGGCAGCAGGAGCACCAGCTGAGTTCAGCTAAAACCGAGCCGCTTGGGCTGTGCCTCCTTCAGCACAGCTTGCTGCCTGCTAAAATATATGCAAGATCTCACTGCATCTCATTTGAACTTGGTCAGCGCACAGCCGCTTACACTGGCAGCAGCACCAGCTGAGTTCAGCTTGAGCTTTGCCGCTTTGGCTATTACTCTTTGATTGCAGCTTGCAACCTGCTGGTTTCCCAGTCAGTACTTAGTGACTTCCAACTGGCAGCAACACCATCTGAGTTTAGCTTGATCCGTGCCGTTTTGGCTGTGCGCCCTTCAGCACTGCTGGCAGCCTGTTGGGCATACTGCAAGCTCTCACTGCAGCTCAGATGGGTTGGGTCAGCCCATAGTGACTTCTACTGGCAGCAGCACCAGCTAAGCTCACCTTGATCTGTGCCGCTTTGGGTGTGGGTATCGTTCACGGTCGTGAGTTGCAGCCTGCTGGTCTTATGCAAGATTGTACTGTGTCTCAGTTATAGTGGATCAGTGCTAGAAGTGCGAGTTGACAGGACGTCAGCTCAGCGCAGCTTGAGCGTTGCAATTGCCGCTTCTGGCTGTAGCATGGTCATGTATTGATTACAGCTAGCAGGCGCTTACATAGCCGAGTGTGCAACTTTAGTGCATCTGTGCTGCTATGGCTGTCCTGATTGTTGCAGCCTACAGGGGTTTGTGGGTGCTCAACGGTGTTCAGACCAGGGCGCAAGGTCTTGGCGGTGAGGCATTTCAAAGCGGGTATGCGGCCTTGTTATGATGCAGGTCAAGACGAGGAAGAGTATAATACAAGCGCCCCCTTCTACTCCCGCTCCTTAGCTGAGCGGTTTAATGCATGGGCACCATATGAGCAGTATGATATCTACATTTGTAGTGCCGCTGTGCTTGGCACAACGCTGTACAAGACTTGGGATGGTTGGCTCGCTCTGCGGCGGGCCAAGGAGCTAGGCACGGCAGCCTTCCTCAAAGCCCGAAAGGCGCCACGCGAGGAGGTGCTGGACCACTTGACTTTGGCGGATGCCACGGAGATGCAGTTGCGCAAGGCGGAAATGTTCATACGCCGACACCAGAACCACGCCAGGGTTAGCTTTGCTGCTGCAATTGCTTCGCCTTTGTTATTGACTGCTTACTTGCGGTACTGCAGCATTGGCTCATCCACCCAGCAGCCGCACCAGTTAACCTGAAAAACCCGACTGTTTTTGCAATCAACAGAATTTATAAAGCAATTTGCAGGTTTGCAGCAGTGACAGAAGGTGGCGATAATCCGCAGTAGTGGTCAGTGTTCGCACATTTCTGACCGGTTTGAAATTGATTTGAAATCGATGCCATGTGCAATGCCTTGTGTGCAAGATATAGGACAACGTAGTTAACTTCACAGCCTTACACACATTCGGGGAGTCACAAATTTGTGCATTCAAATGCAGAGCCTGCAGCTGCGTAGGATATCTATTAGAATCTATAAATTGACAGCGGTAAATAAGCTACAACTGAGAATCAGAGTGTGAACCCTTCCTCATGATTGATTTGTGGTAATGCTAAGTGCAGCAATACTATCATCGACATTCCTCAAAATCTGGGATTTCTGCACAGCCCCTCATATTGTAAAGACCAGAAATTGCTATCATTGCCCATGCTGGCATTTCAAGAAGCTTGCAAAGCCTCCTAAATATCCAAGCACTACATACACAATGCTTCTGTCATGCTTCCTGAGGATCTTGTCATACTTAGCAACCTACTTTCAGCCTCACATGTAAGGCTTTGGCCAACGTAGCAGCATGCAAAATTGGGAACCTCTCCTCTAGGACCATACATATCGCAGATGTAAGGCATGGCAAGAGCTTGCCCTTTCCCCAACATATATATACTATGCTTCAGATCCCCGCTTCCCGAACAGTCCCCTACAAACCTAGTGAAATTAAGCAAACTTAGAATGCCGCCATTAGGCACCAGCAAATCAAATTTTGGCTGTTGTATGGCCCTTTCCCGTATTAAGTCCCTGAGCTTGCACATTCGAGTGCATGCAGCGGCAACAACATTTAAACACTGTAGCACTTGGCATCCCATTTGGATGCTTCTCTGCTGCGGTGTCTTTTGCTGCTTGCAAGGTCCTTGGCAGTGTCTTTTCCACCCGCTTGCTTGCTTTGCAACCTGTCCATCAAGCCGGCTTGCAGCCTGCACAGAAAACAGCGCACAATCGTGCAAGATCGAAGCATGCAGCGGAGCATGCGGTGGCGAATGGCGTGTGTGCAAGCATGCGGCAGCGCACTGCTATCACATGGCTTCTGGAGCGACACCTATTGCTCTGCGTAGGCTGCCCCGATGAGCAGCCACTGCGAGCACGTGGCGGCGGCATGCTGTCACATGCCGGCACATGGCTCACGTCGGCCGCACATGGGCCGCGTCGGGCGCGCCGAAGCTGGCCCACTTGTTGAGCTCGCGCTGCAGGGCCGGCAGGTTGTTGGTGGCCATGGCCCACAGCAGCACCAACAGCAGGCCCAGTGCAAACCAGAACACCCACGACAGCTGGCCCTCCCTCTCCACGGCAGCCGCCTTTGTGCGTGCTCCTAATTTGGGTCAAAACATCCCAGATTAGCTACGTTCCATGGTCATCTATGACTTGTCATGCTTGTGGGTGTCCACTGCAGATTCTCCGCGATACACAGAATACACCATTAGACAAGGGCTGCTTAGCGCTTGCTATGAATATATCCAGAAACCACATGAATGGCTTCTAATATAAGCCTGTGAGCACGAGCATTGAAGACTCATTCCCCCAAAAATTTCTTTGAGAGAGGACACAAGCTTAGCTTTGGAGTTCCTTATGGCATGGCCACACGTGTGCTTGCCTGCTGCAGAGTTTTTCGACGTGGCCTCATCAATATGGGCATTGCAGCAGCGCCAATTAAGCACAGCGTGGTTCAAATTTTCCCCTCTGTCTTTCCAGGCAGTGACCATGGCCGTCATAGAATGGCAAGGAAAGGAGGGCAGAGCATGAGCTTGTGGGCACTTGAGATATCAGCGCATACCTTGCTTGTACACCCGCTCATTGACGGTAGCCAACCATGCCTCCACACCGACGTTTAGGGCCTCTACCATGAAGGGCGTGTTGGCAGGGATGAACACCACACCTGCCAACGCAGCACGCCCCCTCAAAAACTCTCACAAGAACACCACCGGAATGAGGCAGCCACCTTTGCCCAAACAGAAGTCTCTCCCCAAAGCTATGCCCTGAGAGAGACATTAACAAAATGGCAAATTTTCTCACAAACACATAGATCAGGTTACAGCCATCACCTAAACAGATTCTTTCCCATAGCAAGGCCCTGGAACAGACATAACAAAATAGGAATAGCATGCTGTGGGGCATTAGTGGACTTGTCTTCCAACGCATGGCACTGGAAAAGTCGCGCGCTCAGCACGTTTCATGTCACCAAGCACTTTTTCGATACACGCCATTTTCAAGTCATCAAACAAACCAGGTAGATGGGCATGCTATGTCAAGAGCGCCCCACTCACTAAGATGAGCTGTCATGTCACATGTGCTTTGGAAGTAAGCACCCACCTCCCTTGCGAAGCTCAACCTCCTGCAGCTCAACCTTGGGGTCCGCGTCAGCGCGCGGGGGGTTCCGGGTGAAGGCTCTCCCTTGCCCTTCCCGCACAAGCAGTATCTGCGGACCCTGCAGATGCCACCAGCCCCCACTCAGCTGCACACCACGCAATCATCTCTGCACCAACCAGGCCGCTTCCAGGCAGGCAGAACTGTTTCAATTTCTAATATTTGCTGACATCTCTGCAGGCCATGCCACTGAGGGGAGCATGCATGCCGCCGAGCTGCTCGCATTGTCATGAGAGGAGATTGCAGTGTAGTTTGTGAAGTACAGATTTGAGAGGCTGACTCACTGGGCTGGCAGGAATAGCCTCCTGGAGGCCAAGGGGCCTGGTGGTGCCTGGGATCCTGATTCTGAGGACCTCAAACTCGTCGAAAGGCGGGCTGTAGGTGACAGTCCAGGTGCGGCTGGTGGATGGTGTTCCCTCCAAGATCTCCGGGGGGCCCTGGCTGTACGTCAGCGACTCGCACAGCACTGACGTGTCCCTGCAACAGTGATTCACACTTGAAGTATGCGTCTTGACATACAAAACAAAGTATGAGTCTTCTATCAGGACCAATTGCATGACTGCGCCCCTATGGATAAATGGCGACGCCTTCTTCAGAACAAGGCTGACCCTTGCATGCGTGGCGTTTGGCAGATCAAACATCTCATGGTGATGGCACTTGAATGTTTGAAGTGCAACAAGCGGTTGAGAGGTGATCATTGATAACCGATTCAGGATGGGATCCAACCAGCATGTTGCAATGACAGAGTGTCTCGCATGTGCACATTTAAACCTCAATGAAAATGCCAAATAACAAGCTCGGTTGGCAGGGGTGAGCGTCCAATGTGACCCCCATGGCATCCGTCAGGACTGAAGTTACCCACACAACACGTCTCAGAAAATCCACTGATCTGATATTTCACTTTCTGGGGAACACCGTAGACTTGAGACATTGCCGGGTTGAGGCTCACCTGAGCTTGGGGGTGAGGCCGGCGCGGATGACATTGTCGGAGGTGGCCATGCACTCCACCAGCTCACCAGACACATATGCGTGCGGCACATTCGCCGCCAGGTAGACCGCCTACACACACACAGCCGGCCACTTCACGCATGCCAGAAATCGACCACTGCCTCCTTGCGGTGTATGCATCACATATGAGAGCTTTGCTGTCCAGGTGACTGTGCTTGAACCGGTGCGCGCTGTGGCATGCTTGCCAGAGCTATGCGACCATAGGCTTCTCTGGGGAGCAGATAATATTCGAGTGTTTTGCTTATCAGGTGACATTGGTCCCATTGGCAGATTGCCCCAGCAAGTTGACCACTGGCTCCCTTTGAGAGGAACAGAGCATTTACGAGAGCTTTGCTGGTCAGGTGGTCCCATTGGTGCGTGCATTAGCATACTTGCCTTTCTACTGTACATGCACTCTTCTGAATACCTGAAATGTATCTACAGACGTGTTAATAAGATGCGCTGTGGGGAGTAAAGATCTGGAATGTGCGCCACCTGGCCAGGCTTGAGGGTGACGAGGTTGAAGAAGAAGGCGGAGAGAACGCCGACGTCCAAAGGGTACTGCTCGTTCAGGCGCAGCACCAGCTTCTCCTTCTCCGTCAGCACCCGCCTCTCGCTCAGCAGCCGCTTAGTCATTACCTGGATCGCCGTTGCCACCTGCAACCGGCCGAGCCTCTCTTGGCAACATGCCCAGTATTTACTAATTTTATTTACCAACTTACTAAATATTACTAGACACAAGAGAACATGGTCGTGCCCTGCTGCACATGTGGGGCAAATCAGACCTGCAACAGGTAAGCGTCAGCTTGTCAGATCACTCTCTGGACAACACCGAGTGGCAAACGATGTGACGTGACAGTCTACAGAAGAAGGTTGGGAGGACCTGACGCACCGTGGATGCATCTGCGGTCATCAGCGCGCTGAAAGCAGCCTTGAGCGCTGCCTTGGAGGGGCTTGCCTCCACCGCCGCAGCCGCTGCCTGCAGGTGACACACAGATTACTCACAGGTGACTCACTGCAGAGACTACTGTACAGACAATGCTGACCCTGTGCCTTTGACCAAAATGTAACTCCAAAAATACTCACCGCAGAGGCAATGCTGATCCCGGGCTATTGAATGACATGCAACAGACTGCAGTTCTCTTATAAGGGCTTCTTGATCATTGTCAGCCATGTGAGGTAGCTGCATTGGGGCCGCATGCACACCTCTCCGACGACAGATTTCAGCTCCGGGACACTCCTCAGGGCCTCCACCAGTTCGTCGTGCTCCACAAAGCCGCACAGGGCCTCAAAGTCTGTCAGCGCAATGGCCATCTCCGGCTTGTGGTTGTCGTCCTTGTACACCTGATCAATCAGCCACCTTGACGCATTCAGCTTTGCTTTTCTTGACACCACTGACGTCTCTGACTTAACATTGCATGAGAGCTCAGAGCAATGCATGTTGCAGAGCTCATTCGATGAATTGCATGCTGCATGCCTGCAAATGCTGGGTTGCTGGGGGCTGTGCAGAAGCTGAGGGACAGGGAACGAACACACACGTCAGGGCGCTTGGCATGCAGCTTCTGTGCGAGGGCCTTGTCCGGGTGGGACTGGATGGATAGAGCAGTCCCCACTGACAGCACCTGTGGCACCGGCAGCAATTTACTCAGTAACCCCTAAACACCTTCAGGTAATCACCGGCCTGAGTGGTGCACCACAGACATTTTGAACTTTGGATGAGCACCTAGATATTGCAGCATTCCTATGTGTGGAAAGAGCATGAGCCAATGGAATGATCAGGGTGTCGAAGACAAGAAGCAAGTTCTACCTTGAAAAGAAAAGGGATGTCATCTCCGAAGTACTGTTGGGCGTCACCCAGAGCAGACGGATGTGTGCTGAGCCAGTGGCTGAGCGTGGTGTTCTCAACGCCAAGGACAGTTGCCGGACCACTGGGGTGCGTCCCCATCCTGGTTTAACAAGGAGATCAGTGGCAGCGAGACCCTGTGCATGGAAACCTCCGTCCAGAGTGAGAAGTGATAACATCCGATCCTTTGGTCCAGAAAAACAGGGGTTATCGCACCAGAGTTCCGCGTAAGGTTTCTCGGGATCAACTTCGATACCCGCTCCGGCTGCAAGGGCGGCAACCTGCAAGGACAAGATTGCCCAATCACACTTTCCGGACATTTGATTGCACGAGATGACCCAGCTCTGCCATCTATCTGAGATGTGAACTTAAAGTTTGTATCTTTGCCTGATTTACAAGATGCAGTAGGCTCACAGCAGCCTTCGATTGAGTCCTGGCAGTTGGCCAGGTGATGACAAGATACAGGCGCTCTGTAGCTAGAATTCAAAATGCAACAGTATTATCAAGTTGGTACAACAAGCAACACTCGCAACGAACTGGCATTGCCAAATGCATGCAAAGACTCCGATGAATGCGAGCATGGCCGCTTCCCCCACTTCCTTGCAAATTGGCATCGGACCGTCTTGGATCAAAAGATACATTGAAAATGCTTGTAATTGGCATGCTGAATATCACCTCGCTCCCTCTCTTGCCTCCACCACCATCTGGCTTCCTTCCCCAAGCATAGTTCTGCACTGGGCACTGAAGACGCAACATATTTCGCGAGTTTTCGCGATCTCCGCTTCAAACTGACCTGATAATCGAAGACGGATACTCTAAAACGCAGAAGTTCACTTCTGCGTTATATGCTTCTCTTGTTCTGGATTGTTTGGGCAATTTGAGAATCGTAAAGCGACGATACTTTGACGCCCTTATAAGGGCTTCTTCACCAGGGGGTTTGGGGGATGCTCAGGTAGGGCTTCCAAGCATAGAGCATCGTTGTGAAAACTTGCATCCTGGGTAATATATCCAGAGATTTCAGTATTGAAAACTTCAGGGTGTAGCGTCCTCAAATCAGCAGAGGCAAGGCCAACCTGCCTCAGGCTGGGTGCCACCCATGTGTCTTTCTGCGAAAGGAGGCAATCAGTACGGGGCCTGGACATGCAGAAAGCCTTTGATTGCTGATAAATTGAGAGTATGGCGCGAGGCCAAGCGATCGATCCTGACTGCACTCGCGATCGCAGCTGTGCTCGTGACAATTCTAGCCACATACGCCCAAATGATGCCACCGTTGCAGGTACGGATTATACCAGATGTTGTCAGTCGGTTAAGATGCTCCTCATAGACGGAGGTTTTTTGGGGTTGCCTTGCAGCAGTCCGGCAATTTCGCTTCATGGCTCTATGCTGTGGAATGTAAGCATCGTGTTGCTGCCACAGGCTCAAGATTGGGCGACTATACGGCAGTTTCCACCGCTTTCTATTCCTCAGCTTGCTGCTCAGAGAGATGTCATTCAAAGATATGCAGCAGAACACATGGTGAGATTTCATCTGCTCCTCGTTGGTTCTGTTTGACCTCCTCCTTTGTGCTGACTCATAAGAGCATCAGCCTCTAGACTTCAACCGAAACTGACACAGGAGAAATTTGCTGACTGGCCCTGTGCACGCAGGTGGCGACACTGGTTGGCTGGACTTTGGTTTACGTCTTCATGCAGATGTTTGCCATCCCAGGCACAGTCTCCCTTAGCCTCCTCTCTGGAGCCCTCTTTGGCACACTGAGGGGTCTGTGCCTTGTAGCAGGTACATGCTGCCACTCAATTTCCATTTGATTTTTGCAATGCGTATGGTGCACTGATGCTGGCCAGCGGACTAGTCGGCTAATCTCTGTTACAATGGTTGCGATCTGCAGTTGTTTCAACAATTGGATCCTGCGCGTGCTTCACGCTCAGCAGATTGGTGGGAAAGGCCCTGGCGCATGCTGTGTGGCCAGAGCAGCTGAAGTCTTTTGAGAAAGAGGTGCGCTCCATCTCAGAGATAAGAAGCACCTTTTGAAATTTGCACACTATTTTAGTTATGGCATACCAGGTTCTCACACAATCTGTGCACAGGTGGAGAAGCGCAAAGGGGATCTCTTGAATTATGTCATTTTCCTGCGCGTGACGCCCCTGCTGCCAAACATCTTCATAAATATTGCGTCACCCGTTGTGAACGTTCCGATATTTCCCTTTGCTTTTGGTGGGGAACTCGTTTAGTCTCTCTACTTCACCACGTTGTGCACATGTTCATACATGTTATCACATGACCAGCATGCATGCATGGGTCATGCTGGCTTGCTACTCGATTTCCAGGGACCCAGATCTGCTGTAAGGATCATGCATCTCCGCTGGACGGTAAGAAAATTCTCATTAGGAGTATTTGCATGCAGGCACACTGTTGGGCTGTCTGCCCAACAACTTCTTGGCGGTGAACGCTGGCAGCAAGCTGGGCGAACTTAAGAGTTTTACTGACTTATACGACGCCAAAATCCTCCTTGTTGGTGAGCACCTGCTCTTGCTGATGTCTTTGGGAGTGTCACTGCCCATGCCTTGCAAGTGTGCTTGCCAACCCATGGCAAACTGGGGTCCTCTGTTTATCCAGTGGCGTGTTTTGGGTTGTGAGAGACTCCCTTAACTGAGCTCATGCTACGAATGTGAGGATATCCTATCGGTGTCAGGCAAGGAATGTCTTAGCCTTGCCTTCAGTGTGGAGCAACCTTTGTCTGAAATGTGCAGGTTGTGGGGTTGGGGTGGTTGCTGTGCTGCCGATAGTATTCAAACACATTGCCAGTAGGAGGCAACAACAGCAGCAGCAGCAGCCATCAGCGATGAGCTCAAAAGCAGACTAGAACTTGCACAGCAGATGATGGCACGAGAGTCGCAGAGAGCCCTCAGCAATTCGGTGGCAGTGATAATGCCACAGGAGGGCATCCCTGATATGTTTTCCGAGTGCGCTCAGGCCCCCACAGCAGAAGATGGTTCTTGCATGCCACTTGTACTTGACTTGTACAGAATTGATTACGCTGAAGTAGCAGCTGAGGGTTGTAGACTTCTATAGTATCATGACATTTCATGACATAGCTTCGCAGGTCTTTGTACTTGTTCAAATCCAAATACCTGGCCGTTCTGCTCAAACTGGCTCTTTTTGTACTTCTTTCTTAGAGTAGCATTCGTGGCGGCACTCAAGCGGCCGAACCTGATTGATCGTCTTATCCCCATCTTATCCTTATCTTTTGCCCTTCCAGAGTAGCATCAGAACATGTTGTAGTGCTATTTAAAAGGTCTGGGCGTGTTCATTTGCAGAAAGTAGTGCCTGCAGTTTTTGTCTTAAATATTATGTCTTAAATATTATGTGTGTGGATCATTCATTGGGATGTGACAGACAAGATGCACAAGATGATTTGTGCAGTCAGCATGTGCAGAAAGGAGAACTTGTCTCACTTGTAAAGCGTGCCAGTGGTCTTATCTTCTTGTACAGACTGCACTCTGATGAAATAGTAAACGTAAGCATTTATCACCGTGAGAAAAGGTCCTTGTTTGGGTTCGATGGATGACATCACAGGGCATATATATGACTGATCAGTCATTACTAGCATGAAGCTAGTGAGCTCGAGCTAGATTGCACAAATCTAAATTACAGAAGAACTTGCAATTGCATCACATGCAGGACGATATAAGAAACCCAATAATCAATTCCTGCGATATTACCACCCATAGGTACTTAAAGGCGCTTGTTCTTCCCAGCTGGGCCCTCGTTGCTAATTTGGCACACTGCATGTGTGCCTCAAGTTAATTTTGGGAAGGCAACTGGAACTAGCTTAATTAAGGAATTTTAAGTAGATAACGCATACCCCTGGCCCTCATCATGAGGATATCCTCGGAAACTTCAGCGTAACTTCTGCCGCTCGGTTTGCCTGGATGCCTGCAAACCTAATTCTCAAAAACACATTATTTTAGCCAGGAAAAATCAAAGGCATTATTACTGTCACGTTGCTCTGTCCTTTGCCTTTTTGGCCGCCGCCACATTCCTCTTCCTGTCCCTTTCCTGCTTCACATCCAGATCTTCGAACTCGTTTAGGGCGGTGCCCCCATAGCCAGTCAGCGCGTACTCGCACATGCTGTCTATAATGATGTCTGACGCAGATGGCGGATTGGAAGGCCTGCATCAATAAAAGGACCTTTCAGCATTAAGTGACAGCGCTGACAACGTGTGAAGCATTGCAATAAGCATGCGCGCATGCTTGCCTTTAATCATGACATGAAGCAGGATATGCTGAGGCTTCCTCTAGCAAGGCAAAGCGTCTTTGGCAGTGTGGGGACATGAAAGCAAGGGGAACGCTGAATACAACAATAAAAACACAACTATTCTGAAACCCGATTTCTCCTCAGGAGAGATGTGCAAGGGTTGCAGGGACAGAGGGTGGCAGAGGCGCACTCTGTCTTGTATATGAACATGTGCCGTTGGCGCATGACGTTCTCATACTTCTCATCCGCCTCCTCTGGCGCCATCTGCTTCAGGTAGAACACCACCTGCAGCCGACACAGCACGGCCATGATTCATGCTGACTAATGCCCACCGTGCTGATTCCCCTCATGCATGCATGCATGCAAGCATGCATGCATTGTTCTGAGGACTCCATTGCTTGCTGGGAGAAGCAGTGCATGGCTGACCACAACAAGAAAGCAGGTCCAGCACAGGCTTAGAGGGAGTGGTCCTGCTAAACTCCGTCTACACCCTCAATGGTCCAAACGCCTCGAAGATGGAAAGTTCAAGTTCAACACATCACATCCACTCATTGGACGTGTCTCATTGGTGCTTCACTCCCTCATCTCAGGAAAACTACAGTCAGTGGAGTGGCAAGCCAATTGAGTACAGTCAACATCAAGTCAGCACACCTGCTCCATGTTCTTCAATGTGACTGCCTGGCCGCTCATGGTGTCCGCCTTCCACCACTTAGGGTGCCACCAGTCACCTGCCACAATGCGTACTTCTTACGTGAGACATGCGTTGACAGAGAATGCACAGCAATCATCATGCACGATAGCCAGAGACTCCCAGATGATACCATGCTGGGCCCCATGGCATCTCTGCCCAGCTGCATGTCTGATCATGAATAGGTCCAACACCCACCCGTATGCATCAGACAGTGAATATTTCATGGCCAGTTGGTGGGAAGACAGCCCATGCACCGATAGAATGCCCCTGTCCTAACAGATATGCATGCAACTCATTTTCAAGGGGGATCTGTACAGGAACGTGAGACAGGAAGCTTCCTGCGCACCTTCCTTGCCCTTGTGCTTGTCGAGGATGCGCGGGTTGAGGTGCCACTGCGCCTTCTCCTTGCCAAACCACTTGCGCGTGTCCGTCAGGTTTATGAACACCGAGGAGGCTGCGTAGTCCACGTGGCGCCCGAATGGCATTGCGTGGAATGGCGGGCCCACAAACACCGGGATGCAGCCTGTTCGCAGATAAACACCCCTCTTGTGCGGATCCGGATGAAACTAAGTCCACCCTTACTGTCCCAAGTGAGAGAATGGGTGATTGCCCATAAGCTGGAGCAATGCTAGGCATGGTACACGAGAGGAATGCGAAACAGCCCTGCAGAAGTGCATGAAGACAGCACCCAGCCATGGTCCACAAAACCCACCAGGAGATTACAGAAGCAATTGTGCGTGAGTGACAAATGCTCTGACATGGCAACAAAAAGCATTGATGCGGCTGCAAACTGCAATGCTGGACCCTGTGCAATCAATAAACAGGTGGTCGTGCCAACACTGGGTGAGACAGGAGGATGAACTGCTGCACTTGTGGAAGAGAAAAATGAGCGCTACTCACCAGTCACAAAGGCATCGCTGAGGCGTTCAGAGGACTGGGAGTCCCCGGGGATGATCATGCAGAAGCGCGACTGGGCCATGGACTCGAGCATCGACTTGTGCCAGCCCTGAGCTGTTCCCCCGCCGTGCGCCTCCTCCTTTGTGCACTTCAGGCTCTGCGCCTTGGGCTCGCCTGCATGCAGTGGGGATTCTGTCACTTCAGGTCACTCAGCACCAATACAGGCTCTGCGATGCCTGTATGAAGAGCCAGGATCACAGGCTGTTCAAGCTATGCTATATAATGGGGGCAACTGCGAGCCTTGCAATAAGCTGTACACCGTGTCAGGCTGCAGCTCAGAACCTTGCTGGCAGACAAGGGAAAATGCCCACTGCCCGGCGATGCTCGGATAGCTGCTCAATCCCAGGAAAAGCCAGTGAAGTTTTCATGTGCAGGAAGCTCCATTGCTATAGTCCCGGAGACAGCCGTATGCACTGCGAAGGGTCATGTGTCCGCTCATATTCCTAAACTTGTTTTGCAAGGGGTGGGAAATTGAAGGGAGGAAGAGGCGCGCACCGAGGCAGCAGGCGTCTATCTCTGAGGAGTTGCCCTGTCGCAGTGCTCCAACCAGCGCATGGCGCATGCGTTTGGCAACCTGGGACACATATGCTACTGTTAACTCATACATTACATTAACTCATTTAATTTCAGACACGCTGGGATTGTTTCCCTGAGACAGACATGCAACAGAAAAGCCGGGCTTGGCGTCGACCAGATTGGTAGCTCAATATCAATCAAAACTTGTCAGGAAGTGCCGCTTTGCTGAGTGCATGTAATCTCCCTCAAGGGTATGCAGTGCACATGTGCGCCCCCTGTGGTGTATGCAAAAAAAAACCCCAACCAAAATTAGGGAGGACATGCACCTTTACACTTGGAGTGGCACAATAGAGTGAGAACAAAGACTTGTGGACGGACCTGTTCCCAGGGCCCGCAGTTGCCCCTGAAGAAGGCAAGCTTGGGACGCTCGGACGGCCGCGGAGTGGAGATGTCACTAATGGAGTGCACCAGTGAAGCCAGGTGCTCCGAGCCGCTGTAAGGGGCTATCACTATATTCTCTGCGCGCAGCAGCACCAACATCCAAGACTTCAGATACTTCAGTGGCCATTGTCCGGCGCTATTGAGAACAGCTCCAAGGTTGGATGGGTGACTGGTGTCTTTCACAGGAACACACAATATTTGTGATCCTGTACCTGTGGTTGTCAGCCAGCCGCTGCAGAATTAAGGCTTCAGGCATCTTCAGCCTCAGCTTCCGCATGAATTATGCAGGAGCCAGCCATGGCAAACAGAACAGCAGCCGGCAAGGCGCGGATGCATGAGCAAGGTGCCATCAGCTGTACAGCATGAGCATCCATGCAACATGCAGAATTGATGTCTGCTGCGGTCTGGCTCAGCCTGCTATAGCTCTTCACCCGCCCTTTGTGTGAACGCTAGCAACTCCACGACACGAGGCAATCAGGCACACCTTCTCTGTAGGTGGGACATTTCCAGCGCTGGCCCCTCTCTACAACAACATGCAGGGAATCGCCCATTTCGCGGCACATGATCTTGTCGTAGAACTCCTTTGTCACATTCTCGTTGCCAAAGGCAAAGCCCGGGTGCGACTGGAAGAAGACAAACTCCTTGCCGCCGCTGCGTTTCCACTGCAGCATCTGTGTTTTGCATGACACAGCACAGCGTGTCAGCCATGCACTGTAATCTCACCATTGATGACGACAACATCATTTCTGCATGAAAACCAAGGAAGCAGCTTGGGTTTCCTGCAGCCCTCCTCTGCATGCAGAGATGCTGGGGTGCTGCGCTGAAACCATAAATAGAGGAGATGTCCCTCTCACATTAGAAAAGTTCTTCAACGGGGCAGCCATGTCGAAGCAGTGTGGACAGGCGAGACAGGGAGCTCTCTTTCACTGCACCGCATGACTTGTTGGAAGGCACACACAACACCCGCACAATCAACATTACTAGTCCGTTTTGGGGACAAAGGCGGACACTAGAGAAACCGTGATGGGCCCAAACCTGGGTCATGACGTTGTAGGCTGAAACAAGCGCGGGCCCCCCGGTCCCGGTGAGTTTCTTCCTGAGATACTCAGACGCCCACCAGTGGTGCTCCGCGTGCTCCTCGCTGAGAGCCCACATGAGGCGGCAGTAGTCATAGACAAAGATGATGTCAGCCTTCTCCGGCTCGTCCACTCGGCGGTCGCTCTTCAGCAGCGTCTGGTACACGTACCAGGGGGCTGCGCGCGACAATACTATGAAATCAGGGGAATGAATAGGGTTGTGGGAATTGCGATGAAAAACTCTTTAGCGTCTGGTACATGTATCAGGGGTTGCGCGCAATGAATTTGTATAACCAGGGCTGTATAACCAGGGCAACGAGGTCTGGAACTCAGAGGCCTGCGAGCGACAAGATCAAGAAACTCAGGGAGATATTGAGGGTTGGTGTGACATTTGTTGGCAGGGCAGTGTCCTCTTTGTGGTTGCTGGGCACCGTTGGCGGCACATCAAATGCATGCAAGCAGAAGAACGTGTGCCGCCAGGCTGAACATGGGTTTATTGACTTAATCACAACGGGAGGGCCTGCAAGCTTCAAAGCACGTCGATTTTGCAAACGCCAGAGCACAAGAGGAAAGTGCCATATGGCACACGCAAGCAACAGGGTCACATTACAGCATTCGAGTTCGGATTTATAAGATTGCAGCGGAAGCTTCAGAGATGAGCTGGGAGAAGAAGTGCGCTTACCTGCGTTGAGGGACTCGTGGTGGGGCAGGGAGTTGAAGGGGTACATGCCGGTGTACTGCTCCATGGGGGGAGTCGAATTAAACTTGGGCAGCAGGTGCGTGGCGTTGGGCAGAATGGTGCCGAACTCCGGGTCGGTGACAAATCGCGCCACGTCGCAGCGCGGGTAGCCCAGGAAGTGGGCCATCTCGCTGATGTCCAGCACATAGATCTTGCAGCCTGCGCCATGCAAGGTGCAATTGCGAGGCAAGCGAATGAGTAAAATGAGAAGAAAATCTTCATCAGCAAGGTAATAGAATATCAGAACTGCAAGTGTGTGGACATACAAAGGGGGTTTGCATCTCAAAAGAGCTCGGCAGCCTTTGCTGGTCCCTTCACCAAAGTAAAGCAGGCATACCAAGACCAATGACCACTTCGGCGCAACTTTTCTTAGCATTACCCCAATAGGAAGCTGCATGCAAGCAGCTCAGCATCGGCTATAAGTGTGCAGTCAACCACCCCTTCTTGCTGACACGGGCTCATTCAGCAACCGACCACGCTGATAAACACAGTTGCGGGCGTTACAAAAAAAAATACTAAAAGTTCATTGTTGAATTAAATGAGGCTCATGCAATCACTTATTAGGCAACTTGGAGAGGCCAATTCACTCTTCGTGCTAATAAGGGCGGACTTTACTGTTTGACACATTCAAACAGGATTTGAATACAGAAAGGTTGACTCAGTAATGACTCACTTTTGGTGCTTATGAGGGCCCCGTGCTCCCAGTGCACCTCTCCTTGCATCTCGTCCCATGACAAATTACTAATGGGTGACTAGGGGATGACTAGGGGGGCTGACTCACTCTTGGTGCTTATGAGGGCTTCACGCTCCCAGTGCTCCTCTGCCGGCAGCATGTCGGCACGCTCGTCCTCGTCCTCGTCCTCGTCAGCGCCACTCTTTCCAGGGTATTTGGGGATGTCCTGCACCTTGGTGTCCGCCACTATGTCCAACTTCTTCACCTTTGCAGCCTTCGCTTCCACCGCCTGAAAACCCATGACAAGCAATTTAAAGACTTGAACTCGAACTTCAGATATAGGGCCCCTCTTAGGATGGAAATTTGTGTGTCCCTAGATAACACAAAACTAGGTAAACCAGGACCATTGCATTGGAGCCTCACCTGTAGCAAATGTCTGGTGTTTCAATGCCCACAAATTCAGCCTTAGAGCGCTCTGTTTGGTACCCCTGAACTTCTGTTTTACAGACCTCTGAATTATGTTACCAGGCTGAACCTCTGATAACAAAGGCGTGTTGCCTGAAAGGGTTGGTATTACCCCGACAGCCTTCAAAGCCCTGCGAGCTCACCTTTGTAGCTTCCTCGCTGTTCTTAGCAGCGGCCGCCTTGGCCTTGGCCTTTTTGGCGCTGGGAATGACAGCACCGGTGGCCGCGGGCACCTTCTTCGCAGGCGCCGCCTGCTTGGCAGCTGCCGCGGCGCCCTTGGTCGGCTTCCCAGCAGCTGCCTTCTTCTCCGCCTCGTCCAACGCATCGTCCTCGTCCCACAAGGGGGTATCCTCCGTCACCCCCTGCACCGTTAATTATGAGATTGATTTCATTACCCCTGGATGCCAGCCCTGGCGAGGGGTCAGCGAAACAGAAGCAAAATAAAAGTCTCCTTCAAACATCTGTCAGACAGCATTGCTAAAAATGCCAACAGTAGGCTGCTGTGCATCTCAGTGAC